CAACCTTTCTGCCCAGTCGATTCCGGCTTGGTCAGACAATAATTGACCGCCTCGCCTTTGTCTAGGGTCGTGTCTACAGATGTTAGGCGCCAAATTAGTCCTTGATCAGCCTATTGTGTCTGAAGTCGCCTTAGCTGTGATCTAAGCTGAGACTGCTATTGGAGGTATCTAACCGCTCGGTCTTGCTGGAAATGACTCATGAAGACGACGTAAATAACCAACATAGAAGGCCGTGCAAACATCTCTAGTCTCATTACCTCAGAAGCGTCCAACATTCGTATGATGGCCATTTGAGGATTCTAGAGGCTGGGTCATACTAAAATAGAGGCCAATAGAAAGCATAACAGTGGTGACGGGCATTGTCTTCCAACCGCATAATAGACATGAGTTGCTCGGTTTGCTTGAGCGGCCACGAAGCCAAGACTTCAATTCGGTTGTTGACCATGGCGGGCCGGAGTATTGTGATCCTGCGTTTACAGATATGGACCAACCCAAGGCAGAATTGGCCAACTACTACACCGCCCTAAAGATCGACCGCGGGTTGGATGGATTCCCCGATGCCATCTATTACTCCGTAGAACAAGACACCTCAACCAATAGATTGCGATCCATCCCACCTTAGTTGACAGTTTATACCCGAGCTGTTGTTGGAAGCAAGCTTCAGGCTACGGCCACTTTGTTACGCTCGCCTTTAGTGTTGGTCTCGCCCTCTTATTAGATAGATTGTTTTCTCGAGGGCGCGACGAGGGTTCTTATCGCGGGGGCTCGGCTGGCCTAGAGCGATACGCCTTCACGGGTGCGCCTGGCCGACCGGCCCAAGGCCACCAGGTAGTTAGCTGGCTTCAGGTCCTAGCCGGCGTCGCAGGCAATGGGGGCTTACTGAACCAACAACTTATAGGAGGGTAACGTACAGGCTGGTACTTACCTACGTGCGTGCCTACGCCAATAAAAAGTCAAGTGAAAAAAGGGGACATGAATATGGACTACAATGCCTTTTCTCTATATCTTTATTACAGTGGTACGAGGACTACAATGAGAATGCGATGTGGGAAGGGACGGAGCTATTCACTGATAAGAAGAGGGAGAAAAGTCAGACCGGGGAAGGGGCATACATTGGACATAAACCACACTCGTGCCGGGGGTATGCTATTGCCCTTTAGGGCAGGGAGACTGACGCAGCGCTTCTCTGAAGATGTCAACCAAGACCTAGATAGTCAGTAGCCATGGTCGGGAGCCAGGTCGGTCCGGGAGGCGTCGTCATGAAGCGTCGGGGGTAGGAGTTTTCAAGCATGGACCCTGGGTGCCTGCGAGGCTGAGATGGAAGCCCCTGGTCAACCCCCCCGGAGCATCCTGGTAGGCTTTACCAGGTAGGGAAGCATCAAGCGAATGTCCAGACAGGAAGAAGCACTCTGACGCGCGCGCCGCGTGCTTGTCGCCTTTGTTCCCGCCGAAGCATGCTCAGCCGCTGGGCGGTTTCGCTCGTTCTTCACCGTTTGTTGTAACGGCCGGCGCTTGAGGATGATGGAGCTGCGGCTGAGCCACTGGCTGTCAGAGTTCACTGGTCTCTGGCTCTCTACCCCACACGGCCAACATAGACCTCAAGTCGTCCTTCGAGGTTGGATAGCAGGCTTATGCCTGTTCCTTTGCAACGTCTGATCTAGTGATCAGACGAGATGGCCTGTCTCCCGGGACCAGCCATGCCATGGTCCGGTACCCGGAGGTATCTTTCCGCGCGGCACACAGATCAGACGGTTCTCTTCACTCTTCTCTTTCTCTCCGTCACTATGGTCAATGATGAAACTCTTGGGCCAGGTAGTGGGGAATGAAGTGATTTCGAATCCGAGCTAGGCCTTATTGCCCGCCGCAGGGGGCCAGCACGAACTACCCTGATTAGGCAATGGGGAGATGGAAGGTGTGTAAGACTGCCTTGCCAAGTGGACTCTCTCTCAGCTCTACAAGGGGTCAGTGCCAACGCATCAGCACCGGGCGGCGTGTCAAGAGACGAACGAACAAGGGACAACGGGGAACCGATGGATGAGTTGGATGCGCAGCCAGACACCCGAATAACACGGCCTACTCTGTATAACTACTTCTCCTGAGCGGAATAGGAGGCGGCGAAGAGCGGAAGTTGGATGATGGTGCGGTTGGACAGACTGTGGACTCTGCTTGGCAGCTCAGACGGACTTCCGAGAGGGATGAGGAGCCTGGCCGAAAAGACCAACATCAATGATCCATCTGGATGGGTCGATATGACGATGCGGATGAAGGCGGCCAGGGTTCGTTATTTATCACCATCAACAGCCAGATTTCCATTTTCAAGAATGGCATGCGGCCAGAGGATGAAGATCGTATTCTCGCTCGCTTGTCCCTGAGAATGCGAGAACCCTTACATGCGGTGATCAGCGATCGGTCCACTGTTTGGCGCCCATCCTCATAACCCGTAACAATACTCCGTCTTGTCTGGGCAGTAGTAATGAGCACTTGGCACTGGACTCGAGCTCACCGTTGCTCACCTCACCTCAGGCCATTGCTATGGGGGGATCTTGGCCCAATTGTAATGAATTGGGAACATCTGAAGGAGCTGTCGATGACGGGACATGCCACCAATGCAAGCCACCTGCAACTTCTGCGCAGGCACTCATTTTAAATGTTCTGGCCTTCCACAATCCAATCCCACAACTTTAAACTTCAGCTTTGCTGCAAAAGATGCTCTGGGCGGACATTTTAGAGGCCCCCGTCGTCGTACGTACGGGCTTGGCCGCTAGCAGAAACAACACAGAGCCCACTAGCCGCCCTCGCTAGAGCGCATTCGGGCTCGGCAACCAGGCGTTCCGTACATGCCGGACGACCCGGATCGCAGCTTGAGCTCGTTCTTCGAGCGAGTGGACGCACACCAGTTGTGCTACCAATCTCACTACGAGCAGGCCTAGGGCAGGCTAAAACACACCCTGCTGATGAAGAAGCAAGGTGACAGGAGTGTGCTCGGTGTGGACCCTGGAATCTGGCACTAATAAGGACAGGAGAGAGACTAGCCATTGCCATGAGGTGATGTGATGTTTGCTTTGCCTTGCGGCGGTAGTAGTGAATCCTCCGTACCCCGTCCGTAGAATACTTTGTACAGTAGGTAGACGTTTGTGGATAATTAAAATTGGTGGCCGTTTGTGAGAAATGTGCTAAGCGTGGAGGCCCATTCCACTCTGTGCATCATCGATATCATGGCCATCGATCATCACCAATGAATGTCCGTCTTCTTCTCACGGATTGAGTGCCGAGAAACTCTGTCTGTTTGGAGGCTTGGATTTGGCTGCGCATCCATTCCTTCGAAAGAGAACAACAAATACGAGGTGATGGGCAACAAGAAGTGCTGCCCCTCGTTTGCCGCCACCCGGATCGTCCTTGAGACCAAGGACCTTACGGAGCACCTAGGTAGTTAGGTCGGTCAATCCCAGGGCATTAGCTTGTGCAAAAAGCTCCGTAGCTCAGGAACGGGCCAGGCGCTTGACGTGTAGTCCGATGCGCTTGAAGAGATTTTGTAAGAAGAAAAAAGAAGGAAGACGCTTGACAAAATAATAAAATAATCGACTTTTGAGATCTCGATGGCATGGCAGGAAATAGAGCCGGACGGATGGACAGATGGGCTGGCATGGCAGTTAGATGCAAACCAACACATCAATACTGTCTACAGCTGTTGTGTGCTGCTGTAATCGTATTAAGTTCCAGGTCTGTGCTCCCCATACGAGAGAGCTTCATGTAGGTCTGCTCGCCCACCAGTCTGTCTCCTCGCTGTAAATCATGGCCTTGAAACTTGATCTTTTTACCAGGCTGGGCCTTTTATTCCATGGTCTCGTGGATAGATTTATATCTACCTATACAAGACATACTCAATCGCGGCCGTAGAGAGATCCAGACGCGGGATGGCCATCACGAGAAACTACGTCACTAGCACTCTATCTTTGTCGACGCTGTGCCTCTCGCACCCGCCTTTTAAGGACCCGAGATCTATATTACCTGCATTTCCCGACTCCCGACTGGCCAGCCCTCATTTACATCATACCAAACCTGCCCGTCTGGCTATACCTACTTGTAGGTAGCTTCCCGTCATAATGCGGAGGGAATGATACGCAGGCCCTTGTTTGCGTCTTCAAACAGACCCTTCGTCTCTTCAACAGCATCCTTTTTGCTCGAGCCGATGGGCCATGTTCCCTGCTTGCGGAGAACTCTAAGCCTCGTTCAGCTGGATCCGCTCGCTATTTTTTTTTGCATCCATCCCACCTGGGCACTCCATCGCTCTGGGGCCAGCGTCCCCACCGAGTCTCACAGCTGCTCGAAGCCTCCTATGAAACTGGAAAGGAGAAGAGCAGGACTACGGAGTACGGAGGTAGAGCGGGGACCCATTTGCTTTCCTTGCCTTGCCTTTTGACTTCTGCCTACCACTCTTCTCTTTCTCCTCTCGACTATTTGTGACTGCTCGTCTTTCGCTCTTGGACACATTGCAGGAGAGCAGAACGGGAACAGAAGAGAAAGAGAGGCCAGTCGCTCGCTACCGTCGGAAGTCCTGCTCTGTCGTGGCGTCCACGTTTCGCCCACCAGCCGCGTGCACACGGGAAAGCATTCGCAACGGCACGAATACCGTACTGCCATGACTGATTCCTGATTGAATGTCACGGCGGGTCGTTTTCCAAGTCCGCAAACCCCTGTCAATCTCGTTGGTCCCCGGGTCTTCCTTGCAACTCCCATCCTGGTCCTACACCATCGGGGGGACATTTCCTTAATACCTGTACCTACCTCTCCACCAGGGTCACCAGAATACTACCTACCTACCTCAGCAACAGCTAACTACCTACACCACCGTCCTCCACACACCTCTCTCTATCCTCCAGTCTTCCTCCAGGACTGCCGACACTCGTTATCACCAATCACGCCGAAGGAAAGCGACCAATTCTGCTCGCACCAACCGACGCCAGCCTGCCGGTCATGAGATGACCGGATCGGCGTTGACGATGGCCCCGGCCGTCGACTCGACAGCGCCGTTCCATCGCTCCCAGTCCACCCCAGACCTGCTGTCCTCGCTGACCACACCCGCCCCGAGCCTGGCCGGTTCCCGCAGCGATCACCGTACCTTGAGCCTCAAGAGCCTGCCGAGCTTGCCGGCATTCGACGTGCCGTCCTTTGATCTCGACAATGACTTCGAGACGACCTTCCTGAGCAGCAAGGCCGCCCAGAACCTGCAAGTCCAGGAGGCGCCCGTCTCTTCTCCGGCCGCCGAGACGGGCCCGGCGCTCGCCAGCACCCCAGAGAAGCCGAGCCGGACCATGTCCGTGGTGGATCGCCGAAAGTCCTGGCTCCCAGGCTCGCGGTCCAGCCCCAACTTCAGAGATCTGCTCGCAGGGGAGGAACATGCTTTGCGGGAGGCTGGCGAGCCTGCCGAGTCGATATCGTTGGGCAGGGCATACCAGGCCAAGGCTTTGGAAAAGACGAGGGCCGTGTCTGGGTCCTTTGCGAGCTTCGCCAGGCGGACGTGGAAGTCCGATTCTAGGTCCCCATCACCGAGACGGAGGAAGGATAGGGACGACAGCCCGGGACAGCAGCGGCGAGATCGGTCTGCCAGTGGTGGTTCTCCTGGACCCAAAGGCCTATTCTCCCGCAAGCGCATTGGCCCTCTGCCCGACCCTGGCGATGAGAGCAGCCGCTCGACCGACTCGCTCACCAGTAGCACCGGCCGCGCTCTCAACCGGGCCAGCGTATACCTGACCAAGCTTAAGGAGCGACCGCAGAGTATGCTTATAAGCAGGACCTTTTCCAGCTCGCCAGCAGTGCCGGAGAACCACAGCGAGCCCGAAAAGCATGACGCGCCAGTGCTGCCCGCCCTCGAGGCTCTCTCAGACCTGGCCAACCCGCCGCGGAACTCGTCACACACTGAGGAGTCGTCGGGGAGCAGTGTCGACAGCGGCTCTGGCAGCACGGCTCCTGTCGCGTCTGAGACTGGATCGCAGACCACGGCCGAGACGAATCCCTCACATGGGGCATCCAGAGACCCTCTCTGGACGGCATTCAAGGATCTGGAGGATGGCTACGCCACATTCGCATCAAAAACGACCACAGCCCAAAAAGTAGCCGTCGCTCGAACATCCCTGTTCTTTTTCCTGCAGCAGTATGCCCTCGACACGACACACAAGGTGAAGAAGCTCCTCTCGACACAGGACTTGGAGCGCCGGACCGGCATCTACGACAAATGGTGGAATGGCCTACTGGACCTGCTTGAGGGGCCCATCAACAGCGTTGGCGGCTTCACTGGCAATTCGGCGTCCATCCAGCACATGCAGCCACTGGCAGGTGTCGAGCGGCCAGCCATCCTCGAGGCGCTGACCATGGTCATGATGCGGCCGGAGTGGCGCATGTGCACGACCGTCTTCCGCCCCCTGACTGAGCGGTCACCGGCCGAGCGCGTCCGGCCCCGGTCCAGCTCAAACGACTCCGGATCCTTCGGAGCGGCCAACCTGGCCTTCTTGGCCGAGTCTGCAGAACACAACATCCGCAACATGTTTGTGGCCAACCTGCTCCGACAGATGATCGTCGTGGTGGACAAGATGTCTCTGCGGCACACTCCCTCGTCCCTCGTCAACTTTGCGGGCAAGGCCTGCGCTTACGCATTCTTTTTCGTCCCGGGTATCGCAGACGTGCTGGTGCGCCTGTGGGCCCTGGACCGGCACCCCGACTCGTTGCGACGCATGGCCGACGCCTTTGGCCTGCCGCGGCGGAGCAAGGGCGAGAGCGACGACATCATAGCGCTCTTCCCGCCCACCGTCGGCCCGCTGGGCTGGACGTCTGTCCAGGCCATGACGAGTCGGCTACGGCGGCCGGCGAAGCTGCCGCTCCAGGTCGCCAAGATCCAGTGGCACGGTCCCTGGATGTCGAGGTGGCGCGGCGGAGATACCGATCTCTTCTTTGTCTTTTGCAAGTACTATTTCATTCTGGCCGACGATTTCATGCCCGCCGAGCTACCCCTGGTCGAGAAGGCCCGGGCGCCGGCCTTTGTACTACTCCACGCCCACCTCTTGAACATTCTGGATAGCACTATCCACCGCCAGGCCGCGGTGGAGGCCATGATGGGCCCGCAGATGGCGGACGCCGCGCACGGTGCCGACGCGTCGCTGACGACGCTGCCTGCCATGCTGCCCAGCAACATCCTCCGGGGCATGGACGAGAACCGCATGGTTCTCCTGCTCAAGGATTTCCTCTCGCTGGACGAGGCCGTCGTCGGCGGCGCCGGCCACACCTTTGCCGAGTCCTTCATGACCGTGCTGGGTGCCGTGACGAAAAGGATCTCCAAGTACGACCACAGCGCGAGCTACCTCTTGTGCGACTTCCTCCAGGAGACGCTGATCGCGTACGATTCGTATTACGGCTACACCTTCCCCATGCCGGGAGCGGCCGACGCCGAGTCGAAGCCCGTCGACTACGTGGACTGGACGTTTTGGTTCGGCGTGTGCAGGATGATCCTCGACTCTAACAACACCATGTCGGAAATTCGACTGTTGACTTTTCTCTTCGGCGGGTGGGACATCATCGCGGCCGACCCGGCGAGGAAGGAGGAGCTGTGCATCAACTGGCTGCTGAGCGAGGAGGTCTTTGAGAAGTTCTTCAACAACTGGTGCCCGATGGTGCGGGCGTACTACATGCGCCTGCTCTGCTGGAGGGTCTGCCGAGACCCCGGCAGCGCCAACGAGCTGGACGCGAGGATCTTCCTGCTCGTCTCGGAGCGCCTGGGGACGGTGTGGTCGCACTACCTCTGGCTCAAGCAGAACGCGGACAACCAGGGCGCGATGCCGCCTTCGACGGCGCCCTCGCTGCCGCAGCCGGGCAAGCGGTTCATGATCATCCGCACCGAGGTCGGGGTGCCGCAGCACGGGCTCCTCGCCGGCTTCGACCAGACGTCGTGCGCCATGGGCCGGTCCGCGGCCATTAGCCCCCGCGAGCAGCAGCACTTTGCCGGGCTGGGCATCTCGGACGACGGCGGCGGCAAGGACTCGGAGAACGGCGGCTCGTACAAGAAGAAGTGGTCCCTCCTGGGCAAGGCCCTCAGCTTCAGCTCCGCCAAGCCCAGCGGCGGCGGCACAGCCACCAGCGCGAAGCCTACCACCTACGAGGAGGAGTTGGAAAAGGCCCGCAGGGACACGGCGGCCTCGCGGACGCGGCAGCCGGGCCAGCAGGTCTCGTCGGGGGCCCCGCTGCCGCCACCCAAGTCGGCCGTGTCGCCCGTCTCGGACGCGTCGTCGACGGGGTCGTCGCCCGTCTTTGACGCCGCGCAGTTCGTGTTCAAGTTCATCCTGCACAACGTGCCGTGGCAGGGCGCGCTGCGGGACCGCATCCTCACGCGCCCCCGGCTGCCGGCGCCGGCGCAGGCCCGCGTCAGCGCCCGCGGACCGGGGCGGGGTAGGAGCGACAGCCCGCCTCCGCCGCCGCCGGGCTTGCCGCCCATCACGCGCAGGCACTCGGGGCACATGCTCACTGGCCTGATCAGCGGGGCTAGGAATGCCAACCCGGCGGACTCGGTCTCTGATGACGACGGGAGGAGCAGCCTGTCGTCGTCGTCGAGGGCGAGCGTCGGGTCGCGGTCCGTCAGCGACGGGTCTGTCTCGTCGTCGCGCGGGACTACTACTTCGTTCGGGGCGGATGTCTTGGGAGGAGGAGGAGGAGAGGACGACGAAGCGAGGCGGTTCTCGCCGCTGCAGCCCTCGCCGGCGATCTGGGACATGGACAGCGAGCGCGAGGCGCGGGATCGGCAGCAGCAGCAGCAGGTCGGCAGCAGCGTCGGCGTCATCCGGCCCGTCAAGCCGGCGGGCATCTACGCGACGAGCTCGCGGTACGCGGGGCGGGCGCTGGCCGAGTGGAGCCTCGTCGTCAACGAGTGCAACTCGTTTATCGACCGGCGGCGGGACGAGGGCGTGCTGGGCCTCAGCGAGGTCGAGGTGCCGACGCTCGGGGTGGAGAACATGCGGAGGCTGAACTGAGGAGCTGGCGACTGCGGCGACGACGACGCTACCTGCCATCTATTCCTGGTTACTCTCATCGACTACCTAGTATATATATTTATCACGACACGCCGACCGTCATCACTATCCAGCGGCCTTACACGCGAACAAGCGCAAGATGAGGACGGGAGCGTCATTCACCTCTACCCCATGGCTACCCTTCTACCATTATTTCTTTCCCTCTTCAGCCACACACAAGAGGGCAGTCATATTTCTCAAGCAATTTCATTCCTCACTATACGGCATTACACAATCATATCTGGGCATCATCCACCAGGACCGACCGACATTTTCTTGGTCTGGAGCAAAAATTCACTACCATGGGACACGGCGTTTATTTCTGGGGATCATATCATTTCTCCCCCTCCCCCATTGCTTCACATTTTATGGGCATTCTTGTTTCTGCAGTTTTTCAGCATCCTCCAAAGGATGATACTGTGTGGCTTTTGTCGTCTCGGGGGTGTTTCTTCTATGTCATCATCATCATCCATTTTGGCTTGGTTTCATCCACCTAATGAACCGGTGGTTTCTTTTCAGGGTTTGCCGATATTTTTTTTTTTTTTTTTGAGAATGAGAAGAAAAGGGTTTTTGGATGTATATATGTTTCTGGGTGACCCGACCCCATTATCTTGCGAGGATCGATCTTTCTTCTGGAGATTATGGCATTTTTTCTGCTCTTTTCCTCTTCTGTACTTCTAGCTTTGCAACCTTGCATTACATGCAGATTCAGATCATCCAAGAAGTAAAGTCATAGGACTTTGGATAATACGACAACAGAAGGCTCTATCTGGGGACGGACATAGCTCAACCTTCACGTAAAATCAGTGGCAATGCTTGATTCGTGATTGCAGGGATGTGGGAAGGTCAACCCCCACGATCTTGCAACAAGTCTCACGGGGATTGCGTGATTGATATGCGGGAGGAGGATGTTCCAGCGTGCATTCTATTACTAACGAGCGAGATGAGAAGGGGGGGGGAAGGGTGAGGGATGGGATTGTATAGATAATCTCCTGTTGAGTCTCGAATGCGGTTTCTCCCAAGTCTCTTCCTTTCCTATTAGACCAGACACCAAGCAAGCGGCAGGGAGGTTCGATTGAATTGGATAGCCATTGAGTTTGAAATATCTATAGGTTATGCGAGAGGTATGTTGTGTTGTTTTTGACATCTATTATCCCTTGATTTCCCTTTGGTGCAGAGATTCGGGTTCTTTGCGTCTTTGCTCGATGCAAAGTGTGCAAAGTATGAAAATCCTTATGCCCATGCCCATGCCCGAGCCCTTTCTTTCTTCCTTACTGGTTGTTGAATTTACTGCCAGTCGCCCCTTTTATCAGACATTGTTGGACCAGATGATGGTCACATCCCAAAAAGAAGCCCCGTTGAACGCCGTTGGACATTCCCCTCTCTCTTGTCATCCCCCCTTTTCTTTTCTCTATTCGAGGCAACCCGAGAAAGGAGAGCCGAATCAAGGGAGAGAGAGAAAAAAAAATTGTGAAAATCCTCTATGCAATTAGAAATAAAACCCATCGGTTTCGAGGAACTCTTTCAGTGCCCATTCTTGACGCCGTTGCTCCCGCCGTCCTCGCCGCCCAGGGCGGCGAGGGACAGCGCGCGCAGGACGTCGTCGACGAGGTCCTCGGCGGCCTCGACGCCGCAGCTCAGGCGCACGAGGTCGTCGTAGACGCCGACGGCCTCGCGCTGGTCGCGCGGGATGCCGGCGTGGGTCATGCTCGAGGGCACCTCGCACAGCGACTCGACGCCGCCGAGCGACTCGGCGAGCGTGAAGACGCGCGCGTGCTGGCAGAAGCGCTCGGCGGCGGCGTGGCCCCCCCTCACGCGGAAGGAGAGCATGCCGCCGCCCATGCCGGCGCGGTGCTGGCGCAGGGCGATGGCGCGGTGCGGGTGGCTGTCGAGGCCCGGGTAGTTGACGGCGAGGACGCGGGCGGGGATCTCGGCCTCGAGGGCGCGGGCGACGGCGAGGGCGTTGGCCGAGGCCTCGCGGGCGCGCAGGTGCAGCGTCTTGAGGCCGCGGTGGGCGAGCCAGCAGTCGAAGGGGGAGGGGATGGCGCCGATGGCGTTCTGCAGGAAGCGCAGGCGGTCGTGCAGGGGGTCGGCGTTGAGGGCGGCGACGCCCATGACGACGTCCGAGTGGCCGTTGATGTACTTTGTGACCGAGTGGACGACGATGTCGGCGCCGTGGTCGAGCGGGTTCTGGACGTAGGGGCTCATGAAGGTGTTGTCGACGACGACGAGGACGCCGCGGGCGTGGGCGGCGGTGGCGACGGCGCGGATGTCGACGAGGCGCAGGGTCGGGTTGGAGGGCGACTCGATCCAGATGAGCTTGGTGGCGTCGGTGATGTGCTCGGCGACGTCGACCTCGATCTCGGGCGTGAAGGTGACGCGCACGCCGTGGGCCTTGGCGACCTGCGTGAAGTAGCGGTGGGTGCCGCCGTAGACGTCCGAGACGGAGATGACGTGCGACCCGGCGGCGAGGGACTGCAGGATGACGGCCGTGGCGGCGGACCCGGAGGCGAAGGCGACGGCGTGCCGGGCGTTCTCGAGCGCGGCGACGGCGCGCTCAAAGTTGTCGCGGTTCGGGTTCGCCGAGCGCGAGTACTCGTAGACGCCGACGGGCTTGCCGGCCGAGGTCTGCGCAAAGGTCGTCGACAGCGAGATGGGCTCGATGACGGCGCCCGTGCTCGGGTCGTGCGGGCTGCCGGCGTGCACGGCGCGGGTGCCGAAGCGCTGCGCCGGGGACGGGGCCCGCGGCGGCGTCTCGATGGGCAGGTCGTCGCCGGTCGTCATTGTCGGCTGCCGGTTCTCGAGCGGCGTGTCGTTTTTCGGCGGGAGAAGAAAAAGAGAGGCTGCTGATCTGGGGCCTCGATCTTTGTCGATTGGCGGCGGCGGTGATGGTGGGGGCGGCTGGTTCTTCTTTTGGAGGGGATGATTGTACCCGGACGATCGTCGTCGTCGTCTACAACACCAGGAACTGAAGGCTCTTTCTTTCGACGACGCTCCCGCGACAAGCAAGCTGCGGCAGTCGGGAACAACAAAAGGTGCTGGTCTGTCTGGTGGTCGGGAGGAGGAGGAGAAGAAGCAGCAGCAGCAGCAACTAGTCAGGGCAGGCCGTGCATTATTATATCGACTCGAAGGGAAGCGACACCAGTTTTTGTACCTGTGGTAGAAGAGCGGGTATCAGTGACTAACAGCGCGGAATTTTGTAACCGGTGGATCTCGGATCCCCGCGGTACAGAAGAAACAGACGAGACAAAGCAGACAAAAAGCACGCTACTCAACTGTGCATCCGAGTTGTGCAGGCGGCCGTTTAGGTTTGTCAGGGCATTCCAGGGCCCGGGTCTGCCTCGTGTCATCATGTCGGGACGAAATGGCGATAACCTGCGCTAGACAGTCGGGATTTGTCATCGACGTCAGTTCAGGCGAGTTTCACACTTTTCGCGGTGGTGATGATTTTGATGATGAGAACAAGAGATGGCCGTGGAATCGAGTAAGCAGGTCGGTCCTATGACATGACTCCCCGCCATCTACTCGACTGCACTTATTACTCCGTACCTAGCTGTAAGGTACCATCCTGCCATTCTGCATGATTTAGGTGAATGGTTGGTTCTGTGGCTCGAATTCGTCAACGGCTATTGAGAGATCCATTGGGACAAATTCCTCGACGGGCAGTTCCATGCGGGCCACGCAGGCCGACCGACCTTCTCAGCTGAGTAAAGTGCCCTTCCACTCTTCGGCCTCGTCTCGACATGCAACAGGTTCTTGCGCGCCTTTTTTGACACTTTGGATGTGGGTGCCTGCATTTCCAGTATGTAATCGTTCCATTTCTAAGCCGACGGAGGGTGCACAGATGCTGTCTTGCGTCTGTCTGTCTGTATGGAAAATCGACATTTATTCAGAGGCCACATCTTCCTCCCTCACCGCTCTTTTCTCGCTTTCCTGCATCTCGGAAGGATGATCCGTTGCAAATGCGTCTGACGAAAGGATCATTTGAGAGCTGCCCTTTGGGCACGCTGGCGAACAAGAAGAATCTAATCCCCACCGTCCTCTCCCCGCACTATCTATGGGCATCGCCATGTAACTTCAGCGGCACGGAGGAGGATCGCTGGGGATCTGGTTGCGTTCCAACGAGGCTAGAACAAATGGAAGGGCAATCCTGCAGAAGCCTGACATTGACTCGATATTCCCCTAACCCAGGTCCGGCATACTAAGCGCTATGTTCTCACCTCTCTACATTAGCCTCAACGAGTTCCTGTTAAGTCATTCCTGACCTTATTTGTCCATCTGTTTGGGTATCTATCATTGTTACAAACAGGATAGACAAACCATGATGCACGATGAAGTGAAAGAAGATGTACACCTTGGGGACTTGGCAAGCAGCTGGCTGATCCTATGAACAATGTCGTCGGGCATGCGGTTGAGCTTCAAGTTGCTTTCGCCCGGGATACATGCAAGATCCCAGTTGACTGGACGCCCGTGATGCTTTTTACACACAAGGCTCCCAGTCCATCCGGTGCTCGAAGACACGGCTGGGCTCAGGTTGCCCGTTGCAGAGTCAATTACGGCTCAGCAACTAAGCAAATATTTTGGTTACTGGGAAGAAAAGAGGAAAAAGCACGGGAAGGCATTCGATGATGGATATCATTGGCTCAGTTTGTAGGTAGGTGGTCAGTCACCACACCCAGCACAGCCCTGTCTCTCCCCGCACGACCCACTCAAGGGCGACGCACTTCAGGGCAGTTTTGCCCTGGATTCGTCACATGCATGCCCTCTTGGTCGCTGATGGCGTGCCGGGATCCAGGCAAGTCCGACTACTGCGAGGCTTAGCACGGCCTTTTCCAATCCCAAGTGCACGATTAGTGCCGGCTACCGTTGACGCCGGGCCCCCATGCCATGGATCTCCGTCTGCAGAAACCCGCCCACCCCTTCTTCCTTGTACATCCTCTAATGCTCGAGTCGTGATATGCAACCTGACATCTTCGATCCCTCTCTTGGCCGCAACGCAGAGCCAGACCGCACGCCTCGACATAGCACAGTACTCCGGAGTGTCGCCTTGTTCCCGACGATGCCGTGACTCCCTGCATAGACGCCACTACACCTCGAGCACAAGGTCTAGCCTGTTGGTCGACATCAGCCAAATCAGCCCGCTCACGCTCTCCTCGCCGAGGCCCTTTCAACAATGCCCCCGCGTCGATCCCACAAGAAGTCGCGTGCCGGATGTAGACGGTGCAAGACGCGCAAGATCAAGGTTCGTTTCAACCTGCTGTGGTCCCCTCTTCCATCTTGCGCGCGCGACAGTCCCGAATTGACACCGCTTTCCGCTTCCTCTGTGACAGTGCGATGAAGTCCACCCTCGGTGCGGCAATTGCCTGAAACACGGCGTGGCCTGCGACTTTGAGCACCCGGAGCTCGCCGACGAGCTGCAGTCTCTCCTGTCGGCAGACACGCCCAAGTCCGAGACGCCGGCCGCCACCCCCGCCGTCACGGTGTCGACCCCCTTTGACTTCAACTCGCCGCTGCCGGCCAATTCCTCCGCGTCCGACTCCCCAGGCCGCGTTGCTCTCATCACTCCTTTGTATACGCAACCTCACAACCCGCCCGTCTCCTCGACGACGCCTGCCACCTCGAGACTGCTCGAGCTGAGGCTTCTCCACCAGTACTCGACCAACACCTGCCACACGCTGTCGTTCAGCAGCGCGGCTACCGACAAGGTCTGGAGGGACACGGTCCCGAATATCGCATTCTCCGGTTCCGACCACCTGGCCGATGCTGTCCTGGCCGTTGCGGCCCTGCACCTGCGCAGTCTCCAGCCCAACGACCGGGAACTGATCCGTGCCTCCCACGGGTACATGGCGTCATCGCTCCGAGCGTACAGCGAGACGCTCACCAAGGGCATCCAGTCCACCGCCAACGCCGAGGCTCTCTTCCTCACCTCGACCTTCATCGCCTTCCAGTCCACGGCCACGCGCATATTCAGCAAGGACGAGCTGAGCCTCAACACGGGCGCCGTCAATGGCTTCGCCAAGACCGGCGGCCCCCCCGGCGGCTACGCCATCCCCCTCTCCTGGTTCCACGCCTTCCAGGGCGTCAAAGCCATCACCGCCGCCTCGTGGCCCTGGCTGCGGCAGAGCCGCGTCGTCATCCCCATCATCGAGTCGCAGCCCGTGCTGCAGCTCGACTTCAGCAACAGCGGGCAGCAGTTCTTCGACCACCTGCTGGACGGCCTCGACGAGGAGCTCGCCGAGCTCCCCGACGACGACAGGCAAGAGGCCGCCGCGCCCCACAGCGCCCAGACGGGCGCGTTCAGCGGCGGCATCCGCCCGACGCCGGGGCAGACGCTGGCCGCGAGCACGAGGCAGGCGTACGAGCACGCCGTGGCCGTGCTCAACTGGGCGCACAAGATCCCGCACAAGGGCGCGCCGCTGGCCTTCCCCGCGACCGTGTCGCGGCGCTACGTCGAGCTGCTCGAGGAGCGCAAGCCGCGCGCGCTGGCCGTCCTGGCCTGCTTCTTCGCGCTGCTCAAGTCGGTCGACAGCGCGTGGTGGCTGCAGGGCATGTCGCGGCGCGAGGTGCTCGGCGTCGCCTCGCTCTTCAGCTCCGACTACTTCGGCCTCGAGGTCGAGCGCCGGTGGTGGCCGCACCTCGAGTGGGCCGTGCGCGTGGCGCTCTACGACGACTCGGCCAACCCGGGCTTCGTGCCCCCCGAGATCTGGGGCACCAAGTGGATGAACGACGAGTCGGTGATGGCGGCGCGCGGGTCCGAGAGCTTCGTGAGCCACATCGACATGCTGAGCCAGCTGGTGGGTGCTGTTGACTGAGGGGCCCTTTTTCGTTCGTTCGTTCGTCCGTCCGTTCGTCCGTCCGTTCGTCCCGAGGTTTTTCTCTTGATCTTTTTTTGAATAAAAAAAAACAAAAAAGGTTGGGAATTTTTACTGATGCTCCGGCTTAGGGTCATGGTACGCCTCCGCCGGCGGGTGTTATCGCCAATATCAACGTGTGAGGAATGCGAGACCGAGTGAAAGAAGAGCGGCGGCTTCGTTCCTCTGGGAACAGAAAGGATATCTGGATGCAATACGTTTCGGATTGGCGTAGGACCCTTGCCTGGCCCTATGACCCACGGTATGGTCGATTCGAAGCCGTCCACGGCAGCAGGCCGGTCTCTAATGCTGGGGACGTGGGAGATAGGGTGCTCGAACGGGCAGCCCAGAAAATCGAAAGACGGGCCAGCTCGTCCAGCGATCTACTCAGAGTGCGCGCTATCAGAGCGACTTAGTCGACAGGTCTGTGCCGCGCAATTCATCTGGGATAACTTCCACAAGGTTGGAAATGCGGGCACATGCGTCGACTCAGAGAGAGAGGGACGACGCCTGGGCAGACTGACCATTGTGCTTCTACGTACATACTGGGCATCCAAGAGCTGACTAGAGCGAGGTCACCCTCTGGGATCTGTGGTTTCATCCACAGTTCAGATGCAGGTCGTGTGTTAGTATAACAACATGATGAAGGAGTTGGTAGTGTACGGATTATCTGTCATCTGTCAATGTAGATATAGGAGAGTCCAAGAAGGCATGTATGCAATAGGAAATCAAAACAGTTAAACTACTGAATACTTCTCCTTCTCCTTCTTAATATGCAGCGATTGATAGCTTTGCTGCCAGTCGCCCCCAATCCACAGCTGAGGCTCAGCCGCATCCGCTAGTCTTCATGGACTCCTCCGATGCCAAGAAGAGACACCGATTGAGTCACCAAACAAATCTGCCTTTGCTCAGTAGACAATCTACCTCAGTAGCGAAGTTGGGCCTTGTTTAATTTTGTGAGTGTATCTGGTTCGAAGTCAAAGTGTCTTTTGGTGCCTGAGGTCAAGCATGCCTGAGAACTCCAACATTTCTTTCATGCAAGCCTGCCTCACTTTTGCCGAACCAGGCAGTCACAAAGCTTCACACGACTGCGACCCTACTCTCTCTCTCTCGCGTTCAGGCGATCATTCAAAACAGACTCTTCCAGCCATTATTTCATTCGTGTTTTAATTACCCAGCATTTATCGCCAACACAATTCAATTTCAGAAGAGCAGCTGGAACTAGAAAGTACACCGGTTTACTCACATCGCTCCTTGCCTCTCTCCCACCAGGCACACACATCCTCACACCTGCACCACACAAAAAAAAAAGAACGAAAGGAAGGAAGGAAGAAGGAAAACATGTCCTCATCATCGCCACCGTCAAGGCCGCCGCGCCCCTTGCAGCAGCGCCAGCCGAAGCGCCACCGCTCGGCGCGGGAGATCGCCCTCGCCGGCGTCGCCCGCGAGACCAACGCGGTCCTGCCCGCGGTCCTCGCGGCGCTGCCGCACCTCCGCCCCGCCGAGTCCGAGTTCCTCGACGCCGACTCGGGCGACCTGCCGCCGCTCGAGCCCAACGAGTGCCCGCGGCTGGTGCCCGCGCGCGTCGCCGTGCGCGTCGTCAACGAGGACTCGTTCAACGCGGCCATCGAGATGGCGGGCCGCGTGCGGGCGGCGCAGGCGCAGGCGCAGCAGCAACTCCAGCAGGGCAGCGGCACCGGCGCAGGCACAGGCACAGGTGGTAGCACCAGCACCAGCAGTGGGAGTAATAGTGCTGGCGGTGGGAGTGGAAGTGGAAGCGCCAACGCGATGGCGGACAGGGTCGCCGTGCTCAACCTCGCGTCCGACAGGACGCCCGGGGGCGGCTGGCTCAACGGCGCCACGGCGCAGGAGGAGGCGCTGTGCTACCGCTCGTCGCTGGCGCTCAGCCTGCACCGCCGGCACTACCCCTGGCGCCGCCCGGCGGCGCAGGGCATGTACACGCGCGACGTCGTCGTCGTCCGCGGCGCCATGGACCAGGGCCACGCGCTGCTCGTCCCCGGCGTGCCGGCGCGGGACCTCCCCGTCTTCAGCGTCCTGAGCGTCGCCGGCCTGCGCAGGCCCGAGATCGCGGCCGTCAACGTCATCGATACCACCGCTACCGCTACCGCCAGCGGCGGTGCCGGCAGTGCCGGTACCACCAGCGCGGGGTCTGGCGCCAGCGGCAGCACCAGCGGCAGCGCCAGCGGTAGTAAGAAGGCGGCCGCGGCCGTCGGCTTCCGCAGGAAGGAGGTATTCGAGCGCGTGTCGGACCGCGAGTCGACCAAGGCCCGGATGCGCATGACGCTGCGCATGGCCGCGCGCCGCGGCCACCGGCTGCTCGTCCTCGGCGCGCTGGGCTGCGGCGCCTTCAAGAACCCCGTCGAGGACGTGGCCGAGTGCTGGCTCGAGGTGCTCCGCGAGCCCGAGTTCCGGGGCGGCTGGTGGCGCGAGGTCTGGTTCGCCGTCTACGACCGGCGCAACGAGGGCAACTTTGAGGTCTTTGAGCGGATTCTGGGCGGGAAGGAGGTTTGAATTTACATTCGATTGCGTTGTTATTGGCATTGCGGAGAGAGGAAGGACTCATGAGATGGAGCAAGGGCGCATCTCTGGATCAGGGTTCATCCATCGAGGTGCATGTTTATAGATGGATGACTTGCATATCAAAAGTCTGTCCATTGCAGATGCGTCAACGAGTTACGCACATCGCGGCTAGTCAGCCAGCCAGCCAGTCAAGGAGGGTATCATGCTTCTATAAGTCTATGGACTATCATACAAATTGCACAAGATGTTATACATCAGATTTCGGTTCCTTTTTTTTTTGTACACAGAGCCTGGTCGTATCCTGCCAGTGCTACGCCTTAGTCCGTATGGTCGCCTCCGGCCCGGGCGTCTCGGGCTCAAACTGCCGCGGGATCAGGCCCTCGGCCATGCGGATCGCGCCCTCCATATCGCTCTTGTTGAACAGGAACAGGCCCTGGATCGCCGCGGTGCTCGTGTGCCGCCTCGGCACGTCCTCGGGCCTCGGGCCCTCGATCAGCCCCAGCTCCTCGAGCCGGGCCAGGAACCGCGCGCACCCCGTTCCGTCGGCGTCGACGTCGCCGTAGAAGCGCCCCCACATCTGCGCGGCCTGGTAGCGCGTCGCCTCGCCGATGCGCAGCATCATGTCGACGCGGCCCGGCCGGATGAGCGCCGGGTCGAGCCGGTCGATGTGGTTGGTCGTCAGGAAGGCGATGCGCTCCTCCCCCGCGGCGACGCCGTCGAGCGCGTTGAGCAGGCCCGAGAAGGTCACGGTGCCGCCCGAGTAGCCGTCCGGGTCGCGCTGGCGGCGGTTGACGAAGGCGGCGTCGGCGTCCTCGAGCAGCAGGATGCTGCGCCGGGGCACGTTCATGAGCAGCATGGCCAGCTTGTCGTCGGTGACGCCGACCTCGCTCAGGTTGATCATGGCGAGGCTGTAGTCGAGCTCGCCGGCGAGGGCCTGGATGAAGGACGTCTTTCCGGAGCCGGGCGGGCCGTAGAGCAGGTAGCCCCTGCGGTAGGGGATGCCCCGGTCGACGTACCACTGCTGGCGGTCGAGGAAGTCGCGCACGTCGGCGACGACGGCCTCCTTGACGCCCTCGTCGAGGATGACGGACCCGAGGGGCCGCTTCTTGCGCGGCTCGCCGAGCGGGCCCCAGCCCATGCCCTGCACGCTGTAGACGGCCGTCTTGCCCTCGTTGGCGCGGGCGGCGAGGGCGCGCGCCTCGAGGAAGACCTCCTCGAAGACGTGGCGGTGCGCCCAGAGCGCCGTCAGCGTGACCGTCTCGTGCGGCTCGCCCGTCGTCATGTTGCTCGAGCTCTGCTTCTCGCGGTTGACGGCGATGTAGACGCCCGCCCGGTGGCGGATCAGGTGGCGCCCGTAGCCGGGCTGCAGGAAGAAGGAGGCGTGGGTGGGGCCGTCGGCCGCAGAGCCCGAGTCGTGGTGATGGTGCCTCGAGGCGTTGGCGGTCGCGCTGGCCGTGGCCGTGGCGACGGACAGGTTGTGGATGCGGGTCAGGCGCGAGGCCAGGAAGCCCTGGGACTCGCGGGGCAGGGAGAGCCAGGCGAGCACCCAGGGGTAGGAAGGGTCGCGGCGGCTGATCTCGACGTTGACGAGGAGGCGGCGGCGCAGGACCTGGGCGCCCGAGACGACGCCGCGGCGGGCGAGGGCGGCGGCGGCGCCGAGGCCCGCGAGCCCGATGCCGCCGGCGAACATGGGGTTATCGGCGAGGTGGGAGAGGTTGAGGAAGGAGGAGGAGGAGGACGACGAGGAGGAGGAGGAGCCCATGTCTGCCGAGGCATCTCTCACAGCGACCGGCACTGTGGCGCCCGTGCCGGCGCCATTGCCAGTATCCGGGGTGGACATTGCTGTTCTATGGTCCTTGACGGGACATGACGGAGTCTCGTGGTGAGATGAACAGGTAGAATATACGGCTGGGCGAAGCTCCCCAGCCAGCCTGTCCTAGAGTTGCAATCGATAACGCAAAATTTTAGTGGGGCCCTTTGTGATCAACGCTCGAGAGTCGAGAACTTATGCTGATGACTGGTACTCTGGCTTATTGCCGGGTTTTTTTTGGGGGTGTTGCGTGTTTTGGCAATCACGCGAGGCACAAAAAGTCCGAAAACCTAGTGCACGACATGCTGAATGCTTTTGAATGTCTGAGATCTCTGGTGATACATCTGAATACACAGTCCTAGTCTACACGGCTGCGTCGCAGCCCTGACCCCGTCCGTCCTGATGCAAGCTTGGAAGATGCCACCCCCATTCTAACCCAGACGTCTGGGCTTGGGACTCCTCGTGCCTCCAAACTTGAGCTTCGTGCCGTCCGCCACGCGGATGATCTTTGACCGCAGCATGCGCCCCTCGTTGCCCAGCAGCACCTTGGTGACGGCCTCGCGGCCGGGGCCGAACCCCCTCAGGGTGACCTCCATCTTCTCGATCTTCTTGTGCCAGCCCTGCTGGTGCAGGCGGTCCATGACGTAGGCGCCGAGCTGGTAGGCCGAGTCGTAGTGCTTGCGGCCGGACTTGCGGAAGCCCAGGTTGCCGCAGGACATGGAGATGATGACGTTGCGGTCGGGCTTGGAGACGGTGATGTGCGTGTTGTGTCGGTGGCTGAAGATGTTGAAGTGGTAGGGCTCGACCGAGTCGTCGATGCGGATCTCGCCCACGGGGTCGAGCATGCTCGTGTTGATGTTGGGCTTGCCCCCCAGCGCCGCCGTCAGCGTCTGGTTGACGAGCTGGTTGCCGAGGCCGTCGAGCACGCTCTGCGCCCGCTGCGGCGCCGCGGTGCCCGAGTTGGGGCCGCTGGACGTCCGGCCGCTCAGCAGGGCGTTTCGGAGGGCGTTGCCGCTGTCATCGGGGCCGGCCGGCCTGGTCTGCGTGGTAGAGAAGGCGCGCGGCAGCTGCAGAGAGGCGCATCTCGATGCCGGCAGAGGCTGTGAAAGGGACTGGAAGACGGACCGGGCCAGGAGCCTGGCTGTCGAGGACTTGCCCATTGTCGCCGGGCTAGGGGTGTTTGCGACGCCCAATTGTCCGGAGTCTATGCGCAACTGGCGGAGTGTATGCCTCTTTCCTCCTTTCTCTGCCCTTTGCGTGCTTGTCTGGTCGTGCTTGTCGTCGTATGTCTTTGAATTGGAGCTGGAGGTCGCCTGGGATCGAAATTGTAGACTGACTGATTAGTGGAGCCTTTTGCCTGTGGAAACTCTTCCCTAGCAATGATGGCCCCCCCGGAAAAAAGACCGGCAGCGCTGGCTTCTCATTCGCCGCGGGCCAGCACTAGCAAATGGAAATCACTAGAACAAGACCCTCCAAAATTTCTCCCGCTTCCGCTTCCGCAGCTCGTCGACCACATTCAACCCCCGGGCACCCATCTCCTGCTTTTTCTGCACCTCTTCGCCCCTTCGCTCAACTCCCTCTCCCTCTCCCTCTCTCTCCGCATCCTCTTCCAAACCGTGCGCCCCTCTCCTCGTTCAAGCCTCGGGACGGTGCACCTGGATGCGCGTGCCACTCTCACAATGAACGCTTTCCGCAATACCGTCAGGAGCGCCCCAGCCGGCGCTCTCGCAAGGGCACCCGCGCTCCAGCTCGGCGCAAACTCCAGATTATCCCAGGCCCACCGGCGGTTACTATCAGACAGGCGTCTCGCCCTCGGCGCCGATGCTGCCAGGTCCTCCCAACCCTCCATCTCTCTCGCCTCGTCCACGACCCAGCCCTTCCTCCGATCTCAGTTCCTCCCCGAGTCTCTCCCGCTCCGGGCGTCATGGGTCCAATCGCGTTCCTTTCATATAACCGGCGTCAAGCCGCAACAAGCCGAGGACAAGACGAAGCCGGCGCCCAAGCCAGAGACCGAGCCCGCCAAGAGCGACGAGTCTGCCGATGACGCCGCAAAGGCCAAGTCCGAGTCTGCTGCCGAGGACCAGGCCGAGCAAAAGGAGAAGAAGGACGACGAGAGCGCCGAGGAGGGCGACAAGAAGAAGGAAGAGAAGAAGGAGGACCTCCCTCCTCCCCCTCCCCACGGCGACAAGACCCCCTGGCAGGTCTTCATGGAGACCATGCAGACCGAGTTCAAGCAGTCGAAGGAGTGGAACGAGTCCACCAAGGCCCTCTCTGCCGGTGCCCAGCAGTTCACCGAGAGCGAATCCGTCCAGCGGGCCCGCAAAGCCTACGAGGCGACCTCGGGCGCCGTCTCGTCGACGGCATCGACCGTCCTCAAGGGCACGGCCAGCGCCGTAGGCAAGGGCGCCGCCTGGACCTGGGAGACCCCCGTGATGAAGGGTGTCCGCAAGGGCGCCAACATCACCGGCGACGCCCTCGACAAGGCCACCAAGCCCATCCGGGAGACCGAGGCTTACAAGAACGTCAAGGATGTGATTGACGACGGGAGCAGCTCCCGGTATGGAGGATGGGTCGAGAAGGAAGAGCGCAGGAAACGGAGGGAGGCCCGCGAGAAGCTCGAGGGCAAGCAGCAGGTGTTTGAGGAGGACCCCGAGTAAGTCGATGCCATGCTCTGCTCTGCTTTTCTTTGCAATTCTCAAGAATGTGCCTCTGACTAACAAACGACGCAGCGCGGGCACCAATGTGACCCTTCACAAGGACGCCGCCTGGAAGGAGGCCTGGAGGGATTTCCGCGATTCCAACAAGTTCGTGCAGGGCGTCTTCAGCATGAAGAACGTGTACAACGAGTCCGAGAACCCCCTCATCTCCACCGCCCGTAGCATCACCGACCGTGTTGCCGGCTTCTTCGCCGAGAACGAGACCGCCATGGTCATCAAGAAGATGCGCACTCTTGACCCTTCCTTCCAGGTCGAGGGCTTCCTGCGAGAGCTGCGCGAGTACATCCTGCCCGAGGTTCTCGACGCCTACGTCAAGGGCGACACCGAGACGCTCAAGCTGTGGCTGTCGGAGGCGCAGTACTCGGTCTACGAGGCCCTCACCAAGCAGTACCTGCAGGCCGGCATGAAGTCGGACGGCCGCATCCTCGACATCCGGCACGTCGACATCCTCAAGGCGCGCATGCTCGAGCCCGGCGAGATCCCCGTCTTCATCATCACCTGCCGCACCCAGGAGGTGCACGTCTACCGCAACGCCAAGACGAACCAGCTGGCCGCCGGCATGGAGGACAAGGTCCAGCTCGTGACCTACGCCATCGGCATCACCCGCATGCCCGACGACGTCAACAACCCCGAGACCAGGGGTTGGCGCCTGATCGAGATGCAGAAGAGCGGCAGGGACTACATTTAAGCATTTGAGTTCCGCTTCCGGCAACGAACTACTGACACCTGCCAATCATGCGGCGTGGCACGGCAACCGCGCCACGAACTCTTTTGTTTCAATCAAACTACGGGCCGATCCGGCCTCGGGCCTGGTCTGGCGACCCCCCCTCCCCCCTTGTTTTACTACGGTTACTGTACTATACTGTGCAACTATTGCGACACAACCAACCAAAAAGGCCGATATGTAATGATGCCGTTCAGGAGTTACTGGCGGGGTTATATTCTTTTTTTTTTCTTGCATAGAGAACGAGTTCGGGAGGCAAGGGACGAAGCAACACCATTGGGGAAACCCAGGGAAACACACCACTCTCACGCAGGGGATCTCAAAAGGGAGATTCTCTCATTTTGTACTATCTTTGGGGCGGGGATATAGAACTGCCAGGGCGGAGTGGGCAGATGTAAGCATAGGCCTTGAACAGAAAGAAAAAAAGAAAATGAAATAACTCTTAACACGGGTCCATCAAATGGACCTACTACTCATATATATTCCTGGCCCTTCCCGCGATAGTTCTCGTCTTGGAGCACTATTTTCATGCCTTCTTCTTCTGCTTCTTCTGCATCTGCTTCTCTCCTTCTGCACCGGCCCTCTCCTCCTCGTCCTCCTTCCTAAAGATCTCGCGCACCTCCATCAGCGCCCTGCCCAGCAGGTTCTCGCCCCAGTCCTCCCTGCCCACCCCTTCGGCGTGCTCCTCCCGGTACCCGATGCCCCAGACCCTGTCGAACGGGCTCGCCTCGACGAGCTCCCGGCCGCCCGTGGCCAGCAGGCGCGCCCGCAGCCCGCCGGCGCCCACGAGCGGCGACCCCGCGGCCTCCGACGAGGCGCCGCCCGGCCCCCACCCCGTGCCGAGGCGCAGCGACTCGACGCCGCCGGGGACCGCCGGGTGCGCGAACTTGAGGTAGTTGCCCCGCGCGACGACGCGCAGGCGCTCGGCGTCCCAGCGGCGCTGGTCGAAGGCGCGGACCCGGCGGCCCAGGCTCTTGGCCTGGCGCGGGTGCTCGGCGCGCAGGATCTCGAGGCCCGTGGCCGGGTCGTCGAAGAGGAGGGCCTTTTGGTGCATCATGTAGCTGGGGGAAGAAGACAAGACAAGAGTGAGATGTGTGAGCTGAGGGGGCTGAGGGGCAGAGAAAAAAGTGAGAAAAACGAAAAACTTACTGCTCGGCCGTCTTGTACGTCTTGCTCGGCTCGCCTGGGTCGCGGAAGGGGCAGGCGTACCACTGGCTGAGGTAGCCCGTCAGCGGGTGCGTTTCGCGCCAGAAGTAGACGGGCCCGTCTTGCGCTTCAGGAGCGTCTTCTGCATTTCTTGGATCTTGTGTCATTACGGTGTTGGTGTCGTGTTCTGATGTGGTCACTGCTGCTCTTGTGAGTGCGGCCTGTCGCTGTTGGTTCAACCTTGGGGATGTCCTTGCTGCTTTGGCTATCCGGCTGCTACTAATTCGCGGCATACTGTAGCATATTTGTAGTTGGGCAAGGCGCAAATACGGCTGGTATGACTCTATGATATATTGTCATGGCTTTTTGTATGCACTTCCAAGAACCATCGTCGGTCTCGAGCATCTCAAGATGAGCAATTGGGGCTGAGCTCTGGCCCTAAAGCTCAGCTCGAGCTCGACTAACACGCCAGGATGGTTCCCCGGCATGAGTCACTGTGGATTAAGCTCCATGGATTCCTCTCCACAGAGAAGGAATTACATCCCAGGTGAGAAACGAACTCTTGCCACTTTAGAGACAAGTTCAACGTCTTTATCTCGAGTTTCAGGGTAATGATTGATCTCTTCGCGGAGGCATGCCCATGAACCCACCCTCCTCAGGCCTACTGCCCGGCCGGCAATTGCCTGCCGCCGGGTAGGGCCACGGGGCGTACCGCAGGGTGGCTGGCCTTCAGCCAATCAGATCTTTTGGATAAAATGTCTTATCGATAAGGGTTAGGGTTAGAATCATATCACCTCAGGAGGAGACTCCATCTCCCCTCGCCTCCGTGGCCTCAATTAATCGCCACAGTGTCTGAAGAATATTAAAAATCATATTTTCATGACCAGATTTAACAGTACTATGTTTCTACAAGCCTATTGGACCTTTATACAGGCAATTGGGTGCTGTAATGAAGAGAATTCGGACATACGCCAAAAAAATAATCAGATACACTCTGATGAAAAAATTTTAGCTGGACCGGTTGGGGATCGAACCCAAGACTTCTCGCATGCAAAGCGAGCACTCTACCACTGAGTTACAGGCCCTTCGAATTTCGATTGATTTTTTTGAGGCAGATTTGCGCTCTATACAGAGCCGGGAAGATGCTTGGGTGTATATACATCTTGGAGGCCGGAATAGTATATTTTGCGCGCTGTAGTAGGACGATCCCTTCACAATACCCTGCATCGTGAGCCTTGTTGGATGGTCAAATACCGTGTGCAATATTGAATCCGTCTGACTTCTAGAGGACCACCAAGGGAGAAAAGTCGGCGGCTGTGCCTGTTCTCGATATTGGCCTTTGGAGGCGACTAAGGACTGTGAAAGCTCACCGAATATTCATCGTAATAATGCGGGATTTATTTTATCAGATTCACTGTCATTTCTTGTACCCTGGGAAGACATAACTGAGGCCAGGCAAGCCGTCGGACTGACACCAGCGCCCAGAGATTAGTGCGAGGATCTCGTAGAAGAATATCGGATATAAGGAGTATTTACGGCCGCATAAGCTCACTTACAGCCACACAGGGACTCCCTCTCCTGTACCTACGCCAGTCAAAGAAGGTAAGAGGCTTTTTGAACCCAGGCACGGGACTTCGTCGCCTGAAATGACCGATCCAGCCGGCGGTGTTATGTCCCTGGGCATTGCCGCTCTGCTGGCAACGACAGCCCACTGCATCCCATCTGCACCCACTACGGCATCAATTAGTAGAGTTTGAGGTCGCTTTGGTAAGCTGAGACGTTATGTTCGATGCAGACGTCAACATGTATGATTTATCGGCCCCAGCCTCGTCCGGGATCATAAACCGTGGAACCATGGATTTGGGAACAACGAATCTTTTCCATCCCCGCACATAGTTTCTGGAAGCATCAATATGACATTATAGTATGGGGACTTCGTACATCAGGTTATGAATAGTGTTAGAAGAGTAGATACATTTTATCTCCCGCATAAGATGACCAATCGGGAAGGGATCGTGTCGTCCGTATGCTTCGCCAGCGTATGATGCAAACCATTCGGCTTGAAAAATGTTTTATAAATGTGACCCTCTCTATTACAATTCCTATCTATGTGGCTGTGATGTGAATATTTTTTCCCTGTGAAGTGTTTCGAGGGAAACCCTCACACCTCTCTCCTGTCACAAATCCCTACACGTTATGATAATGCTGACGTTCGTATACAAGTATTGATTTATGATCATGACTAACATCATGTACTATGTCTCTAGGATTCTTATCAATCTAAGAGAGAGTATCAGTTTTGAGAAAGCTGAAACTTGGAACATCGTGTAAGAGACCTAGGTCACATAGATTCGACCGTCCAATTGTTGGTTATATATTCCCCATGCTAGTCACGAATTAAATTCGACCTTCCCCGCGGTATCTTCCCAACCCCGTATTATGACCTTTCAAGGACCGAGATGTTGCATCCTGCCTGTATGTGCCATGGAGAAGTTAGTGACTAGCTGTGGAGGTAATACTGGCTTGAGGGGAGGACAATCATTTGCGGGTGTCGCCAACTTCTTGTTCGGAGTAGGAACGTTCAGAGTAAGCAGACATTAAAGTCACCACTCTTTTCGAAGCAGGTGATCTTGGCGGGGGTCTGTTGGATGGTAGGCTGCTTCTCGGTGGTGACCGGCGGCTTGTGAATAGCTACAGTACCAGGTTAGGCAGTATCTATAGCAAGAGGAGGTTAGAATTAAGTTTCGGCACTATCCTTACCTGTATGGTTAGTAGAGACTTACTCTTAGTAGAATGCAGAATATTATTATACTTTCTAGTACTAGAGATGGCTATGCACTCTTTAAGGCTTTCTAACTTGTCCTATCCCTGATATTAATACTGAGTCTATCCTGTATCCTAGAGATATAGGTAAGGGGCTGGTTGTAGAAGGATGGTTTCTATAAGCTTCTACTACTTATTAGTAAGGTTGAGCTTACTAGGCATTTCTCCTATGTCTACCTGCAACTATATAGAAAGGCACTACATGTATTTAGGGGAAGGTATTGGTATGTTCAGTGAAGGCAGTGATACTTTATATAGTTGGGCAGCCTTGGCGTGAGAGATTTTGCTTTGCATGTTTGTTTTTCTTCGACCACGCTTGTCTCTGGGAGGGTGCTGATGGATAGGAAGAGCCTGGGGGTTTCGTTGTTTTCTCCCTCCCTCTAGTCTGGGCTGGCCAACGCACGCCACTCACGAGAAATTCAAATAGTTTCTCAGTGTTATCGAATCATCTCTCAACTTGTAATGAAGTATCATAATATGTGAGGTATATGAAGTCGAAAATCACTGGAAGGCTAGTATTCTACAGTAGTATATATATACTGAGGTGGTGCTCAATAACGAAGATGGAGTTATACGGGTGCCGTAGGGTCTTTCTGAATAGTGAGTCTTTTCGTCTGCATTCTTGGATGACATTGACCGTCAACGGCAAGGCTCGGAAGCCATATATATAATCCAATCCCTTAAACGGGTCTCCGGAATTCTTACTTGAATGAGACTCAGATGAGCCAAGAGTTGTCCGCTGTCCCGGGGTCCCATATCGGTGGCTCATGGGCGGACTTCATGCTTGCCACTGACTTTGCTTCCAGAGTGCAACTGAACACCCTCTTTGAGGTTTTGAATATTTATTTAGTCATGAAAATCGCCAAGGCTACGTACGACACGGTGCAGCCAACCCTTCACCTTGTGGTGTTGGCGAGGACGACGTGGCTTACCCCAAACCTCCCACGAAATGAGAAGTAAAGGTTATCGACCAGCCTTTTGTCAGAGCTACCTAGTCTTCTCTGGTCGCGTATACATCAAATGTACCGAATTTGTATGATAAGCTACCAAGGTATTTTAGGGCCGTATTTTCCTAAACGGGAGGGTCACAGCATATATTGCAGGACGCGGGCAGAGATGTCGGGAATCGCCAATCTGTACCAATGGTAGGAGACATTTAAACAGGGCTGTCCAAGACAGGGATATCCCAGGTTTGCACGCCTGTCTCTCACAAACTGCATGTGCAACTTGCTACAACGTGCATCCGCGGTGCACATGAGCCGGAATCACAAAAGTGCATTAGATCTCCGATGCTTGTTGGAGTCAAGAAGTGGTCCGAGTAACGTATCACCGTGTATGTTGCGATACCTTGTAAATCTCTTCCTTACAAACCGACAGCAGATCGACACACATAGACGGGGCTCGACCTGGATTTCTTCCTCGACCAAGGTTTGAGGACATGCACGGGGCCTGTGAAGGCCACCCACTTCTCCGGCGAAGGCGGTGAAGTACTTGGGCCGGTTTGCGCTCGGGTACCTACTTTGCGCCTGGTTTTACACCTCTGCTGGGCTAGCCGGTGAGCTTTACCGAATCCCAGCATCCCCGGCGTCGGCCCGTGGGGGTGAGGACCAGTTTGTCCCATGCCTAGACAAGCAGGTGCAACCACCCGGGGGCCAGCTGTTTGGTTTCGCGGGATGTCGGAAGGTGGGTGGGTTGGTGACGACTCGGTGACCCGGGGTCCAGATGCAGGAGCCCGGCAGGGGTTCACAAAATGGACCGCGTGATCCCATGCCAGGTAACCAATCTTCACACCGCTGAATGGGCCCTGGACGATGCAGCTACCCACAATCGTATTTTTTTTTCTTTTTTCGTTCCATCCGCCCGCCCTCTCGCAATTTTTTTTGGTTCCTGGTTTGAGATGTGTGGGTGTGAGTGTGTGCGTGCGTGCGTGCGTGTGTGTGTGTCCTGGCTGACAAGTCATCGGTCATCTGCTGGGAGTGAGATCTGATGTCGCGCCCATCGACTCAGCTCTGAGGCAGCAGCCTCGCCCTGCCGTCTGCTGCTCTGTTCAAGGCAGCATCAGCCTTAGCGCGGAGGGCATGCGGTGCTTGAGTAATCGGGATTAGACGAAGCGTCAGGAAGTGTTGGTCACATCAGCATGCGTGGCATCCACTGGGGTTCACTCCCGGTCCCTTGGGTCCTGGTCCACGCCTTGGCGGTAAGCTGAGAGGCCGCTCCTGCAGGCGCCGCCCATTGCTGCCGGTTCCATCGCGTGCAGACACCCGATGAGGCTCCGACTGGACGGCCGATCCTTGCCAAGCAACCCCTTTACTAAGGGATACAAGGCACATTTCCCCCTCGACTGTAACCACGGAACGAGCGTGGGCGTTCCAGAATGTTGGCCCGGCCGTTGGGGTCCTGGTCGACTGGCTCGTGGCCCGGCCAAGGTGGGTGGTTGGTGTCCGCAGCTTCTCCAGCTTCTCCAGCCTCTCTGGCTCTTCGTTTCCGTGGCCGCTGAGACAACAATTGGATTGTTTGTCGTTGGAAGCGGAAAACTAGCAGACTTTGCATACACGTACCCAACATTGAAGGTGACTTGGGCCACGGTACCGGGCGTCCCGACTACTGCACACCTCCGTCAATCACACGCCACTGTGACACCAACATTCGCGCCCTTGAAGAACGCCACACAACGGGAGTGATATCGAAGGGCCGCTCGTCAAGAGACCTTCTGGCGCCAAATTACCTCTTGATCGGATGCACGCAAGTGGTGAGTTGGAGAGCCCAGCATGCCCGTCGAGTGACTCACCTGTTGACCGGAGCTGTTTGGAAGCAAACCCGCTGCCGTCATTCGTCATTCGTCATCCATCATCCGTCGCAGCTGCCGTTTTCATCGTAGGCATAGGCAGACTCAGCGCACGTTCATATCTGCGCTGACCAATTGTTTTCTCCGCCTGCCTCTGCTCTCACTTTTCCACTCCTTCTCTCCGTCTCTCACGACATCGACCATCAATTGAGGGCCAGTACCTGTTCTGGTCACAGGGTGACAGCACTCAGGGTGTGAACTATTGTGCGCGCATGGTTGGGAGGCTCAGACCCGGCAACAAGCGACAAAGCCACCACATTCTTGAGGTCGATCCCGCATCCCGGGCGGACGTGACGTTGGTTCTGGTCTCTGTCTCAACCCTCCTGCCAGGCTTCCACGACAAAAAGGAGAGGAATCACTGGGTAGGCAGGAACGAACCTACTCCAGCCCAGTACCTCCTGCTGGACTACTTATTCCTTCTTGCCTCAGCAGCAGTGGCGGACCGGACCTCTTTTCCTCTGCTTCATTTCTTCTCTCTGGGCTGCAGGGACAACAGACAACATCGTCATTGTGTCTTCAACCACTCTATCTGATCCTCAGCTGGCGCGTGGCTCCCACCCCCCCTGCTGCCTTCCAACCCGGGCCGAGACTCTCGAAGAAATCTGCTTGGAGGAAGACTTGCCAATTTGGCAGTTGCACAGCTTGCTAACCAGCGTCACACAGCAAGCATCGTGCATCACCCTTCTTCACCCTTCTTCACCCTTCTTCACCGTCGTCGGCCAAACCTACCTCTTTCAGGGATCGCCGCCAGACTGTGATTCCTCGCCATAATCTTGACTCTACTCCGCCCTCGACTCGCTTTTGTAGCTTGCTGCCACGAATCCTTCCACCCATAGGGCCCTCTCTGTAGCAGTCTCTTTTCCTCATTCCAAGCCAAGCCGAGCCCAAGAGGCCCTCTAGACAAACGATCACCACCATGTCTCGAGATCTGGCATCTCTGGATGCGGACTCGCCTGCCGATGGCCGTCCTGTACTGGCAGTAGTATTGCCCATAATGCACTACATCTATCCGACGGCCATCTTTTTGTATTGGCTGCTTGCAACCTCGCTGGCTATCTGCACCCTCCAAACCCAGCATTCCGGTCCGGGCCTTGTGCCACGAAAGCCCATTCAGATCTTGACCGGCGCCGCCATTCTGACCTACTTCTGCCAGCTTGGCGCACTACTCTACACTGCCTTTGTCGCCCACGGGATCTTGGCGCCTCAAGACGCCATTGTCGGCCTTCTCTCGTGTATTCTGGTCTTTGGCGTTCAGCTCGCTGCTCTCACCAGGACCAAGAACCCCGTCTGGTATCCCTACATCGGCTCCTTCTCCTTGGGGCTGGTCTTTGAATTGGCCCAAGAGATTTTGCGGTGCGTCTACCATAGCCGCCCGCTTGGCACTGTCGCCGAGGTGATTGATCTCGTCGCGGTGATCAATCGCTGCCTTTGCTTCTCACTGGTTCTTCTACTCTCCGTTGGAGCGAACCATCTTTCCCGTACCCGAGGGAGGGATGCTGAAGAGCAGCCACTCCTGCCAAAGGACGACCGCGTCCATGGACACACGAGAGACGGCCAACAAGCCAGCCAAGACTCTGGGTACGGCTCGACTGGCGCCAACTCTAGCCAGGCATCATCAGACACCCCAGAATCGCCATGGGAGCGGCGCCAGCGAGAGGCAAAGGAGAAGCTCGACCAGCGCCTCAAGGAGCAAGGTAACTGGTTGAACTACCTCAAGAGCTTTCAGGTAAGTGGCATGACCTCATCGTCATACGAGACGAACAACTCCTAACCAGGAGCAGATCTTCCTCCCGTACCTTTGGCCAGTCAACAACCGAATTTTGCAGCTCAGGGCGGTACTGGTCGGTGTGTGCTTGCTTCTCAACAATTTGCTTCATGTCTTGATTCCTCGACAGCTCGGTATCGTTACCGATAGCCTGGATGAGCGGAGTTCTCAGAATCCCTGGACCCAGGTCCTCATTCTCATCATCCTAAAGCTCGCCGCCTCCGAGGCTGGTATTCTTCTCTTGCAGCAATGGCTCTGGGTCCCCGTCGAGTACTACTCGTTTGGCGCCATCAGCACCGCGGCATACTCTCACGTACTCAACCTGTCGTCGGACTTTCACGATACCAAGAGCTCCTCGGATGTCATGATGGCTATTCAGTCTGGCCAAAACGTCTCCAATCTGCTTGAATCCATTTGCTTCCAGGCCTTGCCCATGCTGGTTGACCTCGGCATCGCCTTTGTCTACCTGTCGGCCACCTTTGGGCCATACGAAGGTCTCATCACTCTAACGACGGCGATAGTCTTTCTCTTTATCGCGACCCGCATGCTCGAGGGGCTCAAGGAGAGCCGAAAGAGCGAAGTTGCGGCGTATTTCGAGGAGCACTACGTCCGCCAGGCCGGTATCCAGGGGTGGTCCACAGTTGCATCTTTCAACCAGATTGGCTACGAGGAAAATCGATACTCTAACGCTGTCGGCACCAGAATCGCCAGGTCGCAAGCCGTCTTGATCGGCTACCTTTTGTCCTACGCAGCCCAGTGTCTGGTCCTGTTTTTGGGGCTCTTGGCCGGCGCTTTCTTAGCTGTCTATCAAGTGTCGACTGGGCAGGCCACGCCCGGCCAATTCATCATGCTCCTTACCTACTGGGCTCAGCTCGTGGCGCCCTTGAGCTTCTTTGCCCGACTGGGCAAGAACCTGTCCTCTAATTTGATCCATGCGGAGAAGCTCCTCGAGATTCTCACCACCAAACCAAGTATTGTCAACAAGACGGGTGCAGAGCCTCTCCGTCTCGTTGCCGGACACGTAAAGTTCAGCAATGTTCACTTCTCCTACGATGACAAGAAGGCTATTCTCAAAGACATCGACTTTTCGGTCTCTCCCGGCACGACAGTCGCTCTCGTCGGACCAACCGGGGCTGGCAAATCGACCATCTTGAAGCTCCTAGATCGGTTTTATGACGTGACAGAGGGCTCTGTCGAGATTGACGGCCAGGATATCCGAGAGGTCAACGTCAATAGGTAACAAACCCCCGAGGTGTCTAGCGATGGGAAGCGCGCTAACAACTGACAGTCTTCGATCCCACATCGGTATTGTGCCACAAGCACCCATTCTTTTCGACGACACCATCATGAACAATATACGCTATGCCAGGTTATCAGCATCCGAAGACGAGGTACACCGAGCATGCGAGGCAGCTTGTATTCATGAGCAAATATTGGGTTTCACCGACGGTGAGCGGCTCAGGGCCTTGGCTTGAGGTAATAGCATGTACTGACGCGACTTGATAGGCTACGACACGAGGATAGGCGAGCGTGGAGTCAAGATCTCTGGCGGCGAGCTACAGCGCATGGCCATAGCTCGAGCCATTCTCAAGAATCCCTCCATCGTCTTGCTGGATGAAGCCACTAGTGCTGTCGATACCGAGACGGAGGAGAAGATTCAGGACGGCCTGAAGGCCTTGTGCCGCGGTCGCACGACTTTTGTCGTAGCGTAAGTAGTTCCCGTTTCCTGCCTCCATACGACATGTCGTTACTGACAAGCGTTGGCAGTCACCGCTTGTCCACCGTCATCAATGCCGACTGCATCATGGTAATTGCAGGCGGTGAGCTCGTCGAGCAGGGAAGCCACGACGAACTGCTCCGCAGAGGCGGCCGATATGCCACTCTGTGGTCGAAACAAATCCAGGCCAAGACCAAGCAAAACAGCGAAGACACTGACGGTGATGGTAGCACTGGCTTATCAGATCTTCTCATCGACGTGGCACCAGCGGCCGCAGATGAGGAGCTGGCCAAGGTCAACTCGTCAAGGGAAGCCAAAAAGAGTGATACCGAGGAGACAGAGGACCAAGACCAGACCTAGCATGTCCGTGGCCACCACAAAGAGGTATGCGTTGTAATATCTGTCATTCCACTGGCCATCTGTTAACATCACACAGGGCTCCTATCTGAATCCCGACGCTCCAACTTTTACACCTCGGACGTATGCTGCTGCGGGCACTCCAGCGACTAAAACGGGAGATAGGGCCCAGAAGCGAGGACTTCTTCCCAGCTTCGATGAGGCGCCTTGTCAAACCGAGAACGAGGTGACGCAGCTAGCCTCGCCTATCGAGAATGAAACACCCTGTCCTGAAGCGGAGCCATCCAACGTTCCCGTCGAGGCGCAGAAGGTACAAAAAGACCAGAAAGAGAACCAGCCCACGGTCAAGGCTGAACCCGTGCAAGACGCCGAAGCGGCAACAAACAAGCGGGCGGCAGAGGCGTCTCGCACCGGCAGCAAATCCAAGGGCAAGTCGGACAAGGTTAGATGGAGACGCCCTCGGTATTCTCGTCGCCTTCAGTCAAAGAGTGAGCCCTCGGCCAGCAGCGGCTCCTCGAACCAACCCGCTTAAGCTTTATGTGTGTGTGTTAAACTGTTCTTTTCATTATGGCAACGGATATTTGGTTTTCACGGCGCGGACTGGTACGATTCGGAATTCAAAAAAAGGGCGATTTTTATTTACTACTACTTACTCTAGAAAGGCATCTGCCTGTTAGAATTCTTTCCACCGTCTGTTATTTCTCAGGTTCATGGGCCGTTCTCAGCATCTAGAGATGGTCGCTCTGGCAGTAGACATACAACAGGTACTTAGGTCAAAAATTCAAGTGTGTTTATCCAATGTTTGAAGGTCAAATTTATGATATTGACTTGGATATGTCTAGGTATTTGAGTTCAAGATCGCGTGTTGTCGCGGCGTGGCTTCGTCCGCCACTAATAAATACAATTGAAGTTCGCGTCTTTGTCCTCGCAAGCTCGCAAGGCATTTCCTTTCATCAACGCATCAAAGGAAATAACACTAAAATGCTCCAAACAAAGCATTCTGCTCACGTGGCGGTCTTTAAATTGACGACATCGTAGAATCTAGAAATATATAAAGCCGGTATCATTCCCAATAAACACGAGTGCATGTCACGAACGCCCCTTTTTTACTTCTTACTCTCTTGCTCATTCCCCCCATTTTTGTGCAGAGAGAGAGAGAGAACAGAGACCACAAGCCAAGAATGTGCCACCTCGAGTCCGTCAACGCCGTCTGCGGCCGGTGCGGCGACTCGTGGAAGACGACGGAGCGCAGGACGTGTCAGGAGGCGAGGTGGAAGACGGCGGTCAGCCGGGCCCGGCGGGCGATCGTCCGGGGCTGGCGCTGCTTCGCCGGTGCTGGCGGCGGCGGCGGCGGCGGCGGCGGTGGGGCTCCACGGGTCGCGTGCGGCGCGTGTCGGAGGAACGACGCTATGGTGTACCGGCGGGTTAGGGGGCTGTGCCGGTTTTGCCGCTGAGGTTGTTTTTTGAACGGTGGGAGAAACGGTGTGGGCGATAGATAGATGCACAACTATATATATTCCTGTCATGGACGGGACGGGACGGGACTTTCAGGGGCCGTTTACTTACTTGGCTTGGTGTCTTGAAGGAAGACTCTCTTTTGCCGCTCACGAGAAGAAAAGTACAGAGAGATGATGAGAACGGATCATGCTCTGTATATAAAGAATAAAAACATATTGAAATCTCATTAGTGCTGGAAACCCTTCGTTAATCTGTGGGCGTTTCATCGTATCTGCCCGGCTCAGAGTTGAGCGAGCGTGGTCATAAATACATAACGTGTCATATCCCTTCGTGTCTTATTAACAAAACAATCTCATCACGGCGCCGCGCCAGGCACAGTCAGAGAGACAGGTCCTCCGTATCCATGGACCGAGATCTCTCTAACCAACGGAAAAAGTCAGAAGCAAGGTCATAGGGTACTCGGAGCAAAAAAAAGAATACAACGGGAAAGCAGCAGCTGTCGCCCGTACCCACGGCGTCGTGGATGAGGCGACCGAGTAAAATCTAACCATCTTTGAAGAGAAGAAAAAGCAACGCAAGAAAACCCGTGAGACAAAAAAATATAACAGAATAGAACGGACGTGTGGAAAAAGCCAAACCCAATCCAATCCAACAGGAAACCCAGCCAGGGAAAAAAAAAAAGGAATCAAAACTGGCCCAACGCAGGCCCATATTCCAAACATATTAAAAAGATAACACACAAAAGCCGTATCTTCATCACATAACGAATCAGGCCTGGGAAGGCAGACAAGCAAGTGCTTCATTCACCACGCCCGCCTCCGCATCCTCTCCCGGAGAAACGTCCTCTCGCGGTCGCGGTCGCGATCCCGCTCCCGCGCCGCGAGCATCTCGGCCGCCATCTCGGCGGCGAAGTCCCTGAGCGCCTGCTCGTGCTGCTGTTGCTGCTGCTGCCGCCGGCGGTTCATCTCCTCCCTAACGCGGGGCGGCGTGCCCGCGAACCGCGGCGGCGCGGGGGCCGCGGGCGGGATCATGTCCAGGTCCGAGTCGGACGCCGCGTCGCCACCGCCGCCTCGGCCGTCTCTGCTGCGGTTTATAGGCTCCCCGTCCGAGTCGTCGCTGCCGCTGCCGCTACTGCTGTCGTCCTCCTCTTCCTCTGGCTCCTCGTCCGAGTCGTCCGAGTCGTCCGAGTCGTCCGAGTCGTCCGAGTCGTCGATGACGTCGCTCGTCTCGTCCACAACGTCGTCTAGGTCATCGCCACCATCGAGCTCGTCGTCGTCATCGTCATCGTCAAGGATGTCGATGATCTCCACGCGCGGCGGCCTGCGGTGCGGCCCGGGACCACCGAACCCCGGTGGCGCAGGAGGAGCCCGCGGGGGCGGCGGCGTCAGTGGCCGGAAGGGGTTATCGTCCGCCACGAACCCGGGTCTCCCCGGCGGACCACCTGCCTGGGCCATCCTCCTCGGCGGAGGAGGCGGCGGCATCCCAGCACCCCAGTGCCCTCCCCACCGCGGGTGCATCGGCCTCTGGTGGTGGCGGTTGCCAGGCACGTTCAGCGGGGGCGGCGCCGGGGGAGGAGGCGGCATGAACCCGGGCATGTCCTCGAGGTCGGCAAAGATGTCGCGCTCCGTGCACCCGGCGTTGTGCTGGCAGCGCAGGAAGCCCTGCGGCATGACGGTGCGGTAGGGCGCGAAGCAGACGTAGCACCACTCGTGGCCGCACACGCACGTGATGTGGTTGCACCCGGAGTACTTGTGCACGTCGCGCTCGCATGCCGGGCAGCGCTTCGAGATCTCGCGCACGGCGCGCTCCGAGCGGCGCTCGTCCCTGCGCCGCCGCCGGTTGCGCCGGTCGTACTCGTCGCATGTCTCGCCGCTGTGCCAGGGCACGCCGTGCGCCACGCAGTGCCGGGCCCGGCAGGCGCGGCACTTGAAGGTCGGGCACGCGCCGTCGTGGATCTGGCCCGACGTGCACCTGGCGTCGAGGCACCAGCGGAAGTTGCGTATGTCCTTGAGCGCGGACCGCGTGGCCAGGTCGTCGTACCGCTCGAACACGTGGCCGGCCGCGAAGCGCTTGACGTCCTCGTACCCGAGCAGCTCCGGGCAGTCTGGGCATTTGAGCCTGTCCCAGGCGACGCCCTCGAGGCTCGACTCGATCCACTGCTGCAGGCACGGCTTGCACAGCTCCGGCTTGTGCGCACACTTGGGCGTGATGCGGGTGGGGAACTCGGAGATGCGCCTGTCGTCGCAGCAGACGGCGCACGTCTCCGTCGCCGGCAGCAGGAAGGACTCCTCGTCCGAGAAGGCCTCGGCAGCGTCGTAGTTTCGCAGACTGAACTGCACCGTCGAGCCCCACGGGATCTCGGCGAAGCCCTCCATGGTGTTTCCGTCGTGCTCCAGTACAATGTCGCGCCTGCTTATGTCGACCTTTGTGGACCCGTGCCGGTGCACGCCCGTCAGGAGGCGGTTGTGGATCCATGTCTTGACGAAGCGCACGACGGCGTGGGAACTGCTCGAAGATGACGGGTGGTACAGGTACTCTCGCCTCAAGCCCCTGACGACGAGATACCGATCCCTTGGTTTGACTTCCACGTCCAAGCATCGACACAGCCATAACCGGACCTGGCGTACCTCCCACGAGTCCCCCTCGAGAGCTCCGGGCCGGATTCCTCCCCAGGCCGTCACGGCCACCCTGCTGGCATCCTCTACCTCCAATTTCTCGGCGAGTTTCCGACGCACGTCGCGTAGCGTCATGCCCTGTTCAATATCTCGGACCAGCCCTTTTGTAAATTCCGAGTCGAGGTTATCCCCTCTCTTGTCATGTCCGTGCCAGCGTACCCTTAACGAGCCGTCATCAGAGCCACTAAGGACTCGGTAGAATATCGTCCCTGCCTCGCGGACCACGCTGCCGGGCCGGATCTCCCGTCCCTCTCTGTAGAAGAGGACCAAGGCCTCTTCCGGAATGGGGTTCTTGCTCATCCGGTCCCTGAGTACCGAGTCGATCTTGGAGATGAAAGCGCCCGGCCGGACGCCGAATGTGAAGTCCGGACGGTGAGCATCTAGGTCTCGGACCTTGATTTCGATGCGAAGCTCTGCCTCCTTTGCCGCCTCGTTGTGGCTGCGGTGGCCATGATGCCGATGTCGGTGCTGATTTTGCTGATGGTGATGATCATGATGGTGATGACTGGGAGACGCCTTGTCGGCTAGCTCTTGCGGTCGATGCTGCGTGGCGAATGTGGTGAGAAAGGAAACCCTGGGTAGGCTCCGGCGGAAGCCTGATGAGTCCCGCCCCCCAGACCGGGAGCTGGCGTCGTCTCTCTTGACCATAGTTTGAGTTGACGGCCTAGTGCCGTGGGTGTATCCGTTCCATTTCAAGGTATCCGGCTCATGTAGGTAAGAAAGAAATACTGTAGAAACTACATTGGCAAAGGATATCAGAGAAAGAAGCGGAGCATTACAGCCAGTACATACGCTCCCACACACACACACACAGACACACACTGGAAAGGAAACACAGACAAAAGCTGAAGAAGTGGTGCGTAAGAAAGAAGAGAAAAAAAATTCACCCAAAGATTGGAGGTGCCAGCCAGCCAGCCAGCCGCTCAACCGTTCTCTCCGGGTCGGGGGGTCAGGCAGGCAGGCAGGTCACGCCCCAGGCAGGCTGCATAACATTGATCCTGCATGCAAGCGATTCGACTGCAAGTCAGTGAGTGAGCAGACCCGGCGAGACGATCACAGTGAGGCTCACCACTGGGGGCCCCTTGCACTCTTTTGCTACCTACGCCCGGCCAAGGCGTACATCGAACCCCGGAGCGGAGCTAAAGGCGCAGGAAGGGCAACCAAGCAGAGACTTTTTGAAATCCACTCCCCTTTCCCCTTTCCAGGGCTAGGTTGATGGGGGGCGCGACTGGAGACGAAGCAGGCCAGCGAGCAAGCAGCCGCATTGGTGCCCAGAAGATCGTGGCTCTGTGAGTGGACGCTCTGCGCGGGGGGATGTGTGCTGGAGGATACTCGCCCGTCCAGCCGATATGCGGGTGAGGTATCAAGGCCGTCCAATGGATCGTGTTCGCGTGTTTTTTTTTCTCCTGCGGTGTCCTGTGAGAGGCAGAGGGAGGAGGGAGAGGAGGGAGTACCGTTATAAAAAATGGGCAGGCCAGGTCTGAGTGGCGGCCTCGGGAACGGGAAGGGGGGGTGGGTGGTGGGCAACGGCGGCGAGCGACTGCGCAGCGGGCGTGTGTAATAAGAGCTAGTTAGGCAGTCGAGTCCTGCATGAGGAGGTGCAGAGCCCGACCAATCACGCAGATCGTTGGTGGTGTGAAATCTGCAGCACCAGCGGCCATGGACTGGGCTGAATTGAAGGAGTCGCTCTCCGCAGAGGCTGCACACGCCCTGCTGGCTGCGGCATCCGCCTCTGTTGTTGTGCGAATGAGGTGTCCATCACCATTGTACAACAGCGGGGATGCATGCGTGCGAAGATGATCAAATGGGGAGACTTGTGTACGAAACGCCCACGCGCCCGACCCTGGCTGTGGTCATTGGCAGCTCTGGTTAAACTGTCGAGACTTCTGGAGACGAACTGCCTGGCTAGGTGGGTGCGTCGCGCCGGTCCGTGATCGTTAAGCGGTGGTGGGGTCGGCGGGTGGGTGTCGACATGGAGTGCCGTGCGGCTGATCGTCGCCCGTCTCCATGTTGGGGTGGCGATGATCTCATGGTGTCACGAACCGCCTGGACGAACTCTGCCCCTCATTCTGTCGCGCGCGTGCATAGGAGAAATCTGCCTTGCCGGGCCTAGAGGCGACGATGGGCCAGCACATGTATAAGACCTGGACAGTGGCGGTTTCATGAGGAAGCACAACCGTCTTAGACGCATCCATGTCAACGGGAAGCAGAGGCTGAGTAAGGATCAAACATGTCCTTGAATTGCTTGGTATTGGTATCTCCGCATCTCGGTCGGTGCATCGCACAAAAGCACGGAATGCAGTACCAAATGCCCATTCTCAGGGTATCTGGACAGCCCCCGAAACTCTGGTCGAACACATCTACAGGTTCCTCATATCCCCCGTATCCTCCAAGGCAAGCAAATGCATCAGCTCTCATAACATTCAAAGCCTCGTCGTCGTCCAATCATATCAAAAGCGCTCCCAGTGTCAAAAAGCCGCGTCCATGCATCGTCCATTATCACCTGCCCCTGCGTCCGATACGCAGCGGGAAATACATGCTCGAGATAAGTGGTCTCGGGTATAAAATAAGATGTAGGGTTGGCGTGAATTGAGTACAAGAAATGAAGTGGCAGTACCGGTGGCGGCCTGCACTGCCTTTGTCAGCAAGAGACGAAGAGACGCAGGCAAGGATCAGAGCAGGCCGGCCGTCGGAGTTTTCACGATCTCACAGCGGTGAGAAAGCGTTGGCTCTGCCGCATCATAGCATGTAGGCAACCAGGCCCATGGCGACGGCAGCGGCGCCGTTTCCGTACTGCTGGAAGTTGGTGGGAGCAGCGGCCTTGGAGCTCGAGGTGGAAGCGGCGCTGCTAGAGCCGCCCGAGGAGGTTTGCGCCTGGGTCTGCGTCGGGGCGGGTGTGGCCGAAGAGCTAGAAGACGAGCTGACGACGACCTTGGCAGGGTCGAGCGTGCCGCACTTGTCCGCGATGCTGGTGGTGCAGTTCTTCTGGCCCTGGGCATTGCCAACGTTGGCGTCGTTGCACTCCTTGAAAGCCTCGTTGCAGATGAACTAGCGCGGGGAGACTCCGGGTTAGCAACGCGACAAAGATATCCATGGCCACTACTGGTGTCAGTGCGACGAGGTCTCGGTGCCACTTACGAAAGGCATGCTCTGCCTGTAGTAGTCGAGACCAGGAGCAGTGCCGTTTTGACAGGTGCACAGGTAGTTTAGCGTGTTCTGGAGAGAGATGGCTTGTTAGTCTGATTGCGCATCTTTGCCAATATGCTCGGCACAAGAGCCGTCTCAAACGCAGTCTGTACATACGGGATCGCAGTCGTTCCTCTTGGGGTTGTTGCCGCAGAGGATGTTGCAGACGGCATTCTCGCCCTGGCACCAGGAAGCTTTTTGCAAGAAATCGCAGTTAGCGCATGCTGCTTGAACAGTCGGAGAGTCGAAAAAGCGATTGCGTACCTCGAGTGCTCAGATCAACACGGTTGGGGTCAATGGTGAAGGTCTGGTTCTGGGCAGCGACCAGGGTCAGCGCCGAGAGGGCGGCGAGCATCATGTTGCTGCGCATGTTGGCGGATGTGATGAAGTCGGGAGGGTCGGAAAGACTGTATCGAGTTTGCGACAAAATTCTACTTGGGCCTCGGCTCAGGAAGACGTCGGAGAAATGATGATAATTTGCGATGACGAAAACGCGAAGATGGGAGAGTGAGAGAGCACTGGCAGTGGAAATGTTTGTCGAGGTCAGAAGAATTTGACTCTTCTGAGAATCGGAAATGAGGGCTGGTTTATTTTCCCTCTTAGATCTGAGGAAGGTGGGCAAGTGGTAGTTATTTACAGAGAGCAGGAGTGAGTGAGGGAGCGGGTGAAGGAGTAGGTGGTGTGGTGTTTAAAGGGCAGGCACGACAGGCACAGGCACAGGCACAGCGCAGGCAAATTCGGCAAGCTTTGTCCGTTCTGGGCAAAACAGAGTCTCTTGGAGCTATGGAGCATGTCTCACTCTCTCGGCGGCGGCGGCGGCGGAAAGACGCAGGTGGAAGGAAGGAAGCTCTGCCGTTTCTCACGATGGGACGATTGGGGTCGCATGGGCGACCAGGGGGGTCTGTTTTCCCCCGTCGTGGGCCCAAGGCCAGTACCCAAGCCGGCAAGGTAGGTACCCGCAGCGCTGTTCTGCTGCATTTTGCGACGGTTTTGACCGGGCGACAGTACTTTGCGTGCCAGTCGATTAGCACGCTTGGCACCCACCTGTCCAGCATTAGCGGGGCCCGACTGTCACTATCCCGGTCTGCCCCCCCCCAAAACACATGCACCAGGGCCAGCCAGGGTGGTTGGGAAATCTCCAATCTGGAACAAAACGAAGCTCAATTATTGGTCGGGCCTCGAGCTCGCTCCTGTGCTAAAACGCTTTCGGGGTAGCTCCAGGCCGTCCCAGGGCCGTCATCAGTGCTCCCTCTCCTCCTCTTGCTCCTCGCCTCGCACCCCAGCCCGCCGCTTGCAGGCCGGACGGCACAAGAGGGCCGAGCAGGAGAGAAAAGAAACATCTGCTGAATGGAGGGCGGTTACACTTGCCAGGCGCGCCACTCGCAATCACCTTTGCTGCCGCATGCTCGCCAGTCTCTCCCGCCGCTCAATTGATAAACAATGTTTCTTGGCTCATCGATACCAGCCTTCTTTTCGCTTCCCTGCACGGCGCGACAGCAAAGTCGACGAAGAAGGACACCCATTATCATCATCACCATCATCAGAACAGATGATGCACGATTAGCGTCGCGCTAGGCGGTCCGCGCTTGCAGGAGCAACGCTATCTTTGCTCCAAACTTTTCGGACCAACCCACCAGCCTTGAAGCGTCGGCCCTTCCAGGTTTCGATTCTACGCTTGAAAGCAGTTGGAACAATCCTCCCGATCAGGGCGTCGAGATAGTTCTTCTCAATATGTTATCACGCAGTTCCCTTCGAGAAATATGACAGACAACATGCGAGGGTGCTTTCTCGGCTCGCGTAGAGATGGGGAATCCTTGAAGCCCAACATCAGGCGTCGCCCAAGACCCCGGACTGATCAGCAAGCAACAGCGACAAGGGAAGACGTCAATCATGTCCACTTCGTACTTCTAGCAGATAGCGTGTGTGCGTGTGATGCTAGGGTGGCCCACTAAAAAGAGGCCGGCCGCTGGAGTCGGCGGCGTTTTTGACATCCCAGGATGCTGATTGTGGCGGTTTGCTTTTCCCATCCCATCAGAAAACTCGCAACATTTCAAGTGAGAACATCCAGGCTCTACGCCACAACATTGAAGCGAGCGCTGTCAAGTGCTCTACTTTCCATCACTATTGACTTCTACAAGACATCGTCTGAGAGAGAGAAGTGCGCTACGTGCGCTGTACTCCGTAGGCCTTTCTTATTGATTTGATCTGCTCCTAACCGGTTGTCCCAGCAGCTCAAATCCATGTGATCCTATGACCGGCCGGCAAATACACGCAAGCGGGGAATGCATCCGGGCCGTGTTGTTGCATGTCGCCCCTGCGCCATTCGATCAGCCCTCCACCAAGGTTCGGGCCAAGCAATTCGTATTGCAGTTCCCTTTCTTGTGTGAATGATCTGCCTGAGAGCCGGAGAGGAGGGTGGTTGGGACGAGGGTGGTGGTGTGCCCGGCCGCTCGCCATGGCTTACGCGGACTTGTCGTGGTCGTAATGCGCCCGCTGGTGCGGAGCAATGAGACACTATCGAAATGCTCTTGGGAAGAAAAATGGTTCTAGTGCGAGATCAACAGAGAAGGCCCGCGCTGTTCGCTATTGCTGCCTCCTTGCTGGCCCATTCCTCGTCGCTAAAATTAGATGGAGCTGACGATTCCTCATCTTTTCGACGAAAGCGGGAATAACGCAGGGACCATCCAGTCTTGGCACGAAACAGCTGCCAAGACATTTGCAATTTGCGCAGGGCCCGTTCCAGTCGTCTCGTCTCGCCAACCACCCGTGAGTGGTTGCACCCCAGCACACATCCCGTCTCCGCCCGATGATGGTCTTTTCTTCCATTCCTGTCATTTCTTCTAGTTACATGTGCAAAGGATTCGATTGGAGATTCCGTCGTATCAGCTCGAGATTCTGATATTGTGGTACCAAGGCCCCTCTAATCCAGCACCACTTCCTTTCTCCTTAGATTGTATGCTGTCACAGATAAACAGGGAGACCTTGTCCTACAGAAGACTGTTCGTTCGTGAAAGTGGTTTCTTCTTACAGGCACATTCCCTCTGTGCGTGCGCCCCCGACGACGCCTTTTCGTTTGGTTCATGCGTAGTTCTGTCCATCTCCACGGCGTGACAGTGATACGGGATGCTCTCGGGCAGTGTGTCGTTTCGCAGGAGGTGCAGCAACGACGCAGCCGTAGAGGAAACCACGTCGTGCGCATGTCAGTCATTCAATGTCCGTGGAGGAAATCCTACTGCCCACGGGATAGTAGTTTCGGTCTCATTCTGCTGCCGAGGCGAGTCCCAGCCGTTGTAAATATATATCAAATATATATCACCACTTTCCAGTCCTGGCCCTGACGATTGTTTCCCTGTTTTAGCTAGACCAAAGCTTCTTCAACTGATCAATGTTGATATTTGTGACTGGGGAGAAGTCCCAATGGGATTGCCAGCCAGATACAAATCACATACACCGAGTACTTGTCGGAAAAGCTTTCTACAAAGGCAATGTCATGAAATATGACAACTCTAGCACGCGAGTGTCGGTAGTGGAATGAATCATCAATTTCTCTTTCAAGGTTCTAGACTTGACATACACTTTCTAGGCTCAGGCCTACAAGGCCTGCACAGAGTGTCCATGGATAAGACAGCGCAAACAAATGCCATGCAAATCAGGAAAAACAAGACAAAACAAACATCAAGAACTCTGCGCTCACTGTACATGATGATACCCCCTTCTGAAACTTTCCCCCTTAGTGATACAGCACATCTGCCGAGAACAGACCAGAGTAGAAAAAAACACAACAAAAATACCACAAACGGTACCAAGGCATAGGTACCAGGATTCATCATCAAGAAGCCCAAAGACCCATCCACGTCCGGTGATATCAACCATACCACTTGTCCAACTCCAGCCGGAGCTCAATCGGGACCTCCAGCGAGGCACACCGCGTCCAAAGCCCAGACACGACGACACCCCCCGCTTCACCTTCACCAATAAGCGCCCCGGCGCTGGTGCGCATGCTGCGCCGCACGCTGCGCGCGCAGTCCTCCTCCGGCGGGCTGCTGCTCGTGCGGCAGCACATACTTGGCCCGCTGGCCGTTGTCGACCAGCACGCCCACGCCGTCCATCTTCTTGATCATGGCGAGGGCCGGGCCGTACAGCGCCCGCCAGACCCCTTGCTCGTCCAGCGTGTCCGCCGTCCACGACGGCTCGCCGCCGACGGGCAGCGTCTCGTTCTCGGCCAGGATGGCGTCCCCGCGGACCGACGAGATGGACGCCTCGTGCCAGACGCTGAGCTTGCCCTTCTCGAGGTCGTCCTCCCGGGGTATGGCCCGCAGTGTGACGCGCTCGCCGCCGGGGGGAGGAGGAGGAGGACGAGGAGAAGCCTCGCGGCGAGGCAGCTCCTGCAGCTTCATCTCCTCGACCTGGCTGAGGCGGAGGTAGCTCTGGCCGTCGCGGCTGCGCAGCTTCGCCACGTGCCGGACGCGCGCGCCGCTCACGGTAGTGAGGTGCAAGCCGCCGGCCGAGTCCTCGAGGCGGCGGCTGTCGGGCGTGATCTCGAACGAGGGCCGTCCCTGCACGCCCTCCGGGACCGACAGCGAGTCGAGCAGCGCCTTGGCAAAGTGGCCGTAGGAGCTCTCCAGCTTCAGCGTCGGCGAAAAGCTCGCTATGCCCTGCGCGTCCCAGTGGCGATGGAGGCAATGGATCCAGAGCGGCGGGAGGCGGTTCTTGACCAGTCGCAGCGCGTACGTGAAGCGGTCGGGCACCGTGCCGTCGATGTCCACGATGAACAACTGGCTCGAAATCTCCCGGCCAGACTTGGAGCTATGGGTGTACCGGCACGAGAACTCGTACACAATCTGCGTCTCGACCACCTCCCACATGGGCTGGCCCGCATCGTCCTTCAAGTTGGCCATGAAGTCTGCGTCATTGCCAAAGGACGAGAGGATCTTGGTGAAGGTAATATTGGCCGCGCTTACACAGCCGCCATTGAGCCGCGTGACAAGCTCGGCAGGATGCCAGCCGTTGCTAAACTCCGTGGGACGGTTCCAGGCCAGACCGCTGGGAACAAAGGAGGTCATGATGATGCGGCCGAGGTCTATGCGAAGCTCGAGCCGTCCTCGTATGGTCCGGTAGTACTGAGCAAAGTCTCGGAGTCCTTGCGTCAGGTTGTTGGCAAAGGTTGCATCAGGATCATTCGACTCCTTGGACTGGTTGACGGGAGGCTCGGATCGCGATGTAGGCACACCACCACGAAGGGATGTGCCCGAGGCGGGCTCCGCCGAGAGGATCTCGCGGGTGTCAAAAGTCAAGAGATCTGACATGCCCGATGTGATGGTTGAGACATTGGAGTCCTGAGTGCTGCGCGTCTTCGGAGAACCGAACAGTGATGCTGCAGCGGGTCGGTCCTGTGCGGGAGCCGTCGCACTGCCGCCTGTTGTTGAGCTGCGGGTATTGGCCTTGTGGCGAAGCTCCTGCTCATCGCGAGCTGGTTGAGTCTTGAAGATAGTTTCGGCAACATTTCCATCTTCCTTTTGTTGAGAGCCCAAGACACTGTTCGCCCTGGAGGGTGTTCCTGACTGTTGAGCCAAGGTGCCATCGGGGCCCTCTGCCATCGTGTCGGCCGTCGGCTCGCCATCCATGACACCCTCGACCCATGTCTCAATTTCAGCCTTTTGGCTAACGCCGAGATGGTCGTTCCGGATGACCGCAACCTTCGCCGGGTATGTATGGGTGCGGAACCACTGGTTCTGGCGGGTCGCCTGGCTGGTGTCAAAGACCGCATCAGCTCTCGGTCCGAAAAGAGAAGACCGGCTCTCCATAAAGGGGATCGCCTCGCAGATGCGGAGGCAAGTTCCAGTGCGGCACAGGGTTTTGTACAGTTCACCGAGTCTTAGCGTCGACGAGTCGAACACGGTACAGTCAATCAGCTTGGGGTTGATAAGAGCTGCATATCGTGCATCGACGCGATAGTCCTTCGAGGACTCTGCGTATAGATAGTGCTTTGTGGGTGGGAAGGGCACAGTCTGTCAGAGGGTTAGTTCAGTCAGAACCTCGCGTGGCACATAGCTAGGACAACTTGCCAGTTGAGAAAACAAAAGATCGAGCTTTGCGACAGCCTCGTCCACCCTGGCTCGCGAGTCGCCGCCCAGGAAGACCATTTTACCCGACACATCCGACCTGACCATCACGCCAGATTCCTCCTGAAAGACCTTGGCCTCAGTGCCGCAGAGAAGCACTGCGAGTGTCACCTTCTCCGTCTCCTTGTACAATCTGTTCCACGAGGCCGTGACCTGGAACTGTTTGAAGGCCTCTGGTACTCGGTTGTCATTGTAGTCAACAGGGCCCTGGCTGCGCGGCATCAAGTTGCGCTTGAGAGCCCTGATCCACTCGTTGTTCTCGTCGAGAGTCTCGACGACGGTACCATCCAGCTGGATAATGTCATTGACGTCAACGTCCCTCTCGATGGCGAGCATGCACTCTCGGAAGATGGCCTGGACTTTGGCCATTTGGCTCTCCAGGCAGGTGACCCTGAACCAGCCGGATTCATCATCGTAGATGTAACCTGCACCGGGCTACATGAAATCAAATGGTCAGCGGTACTGATACTACCTGCCATCGGCCCTGTTTGAGGTTACACACTATATTTCCCGCTTCGAGCTCGTCCAGGACGCGGTCTACGCCTTGGGGGCGTAGAGACCACATAGAGCCCAAGTAGAACTCGACTCGATCACCCATGGTCACGAGGGGCGAGCTTCACGAGTATGATGGTGAGGCGGTGTTGAGAGGATGAAAGTTACTCCTCGCTGGGAGATATGGATCCAGTCTCTCGTCGAAAAGCAAGTGCGATGACCTGGATGAAGAGAGGCTAGACTGGCGGGAAGGATGGCCTGGCCACCGGCAAGATCCAATTACTGTTTCGTCCAAGAACCGTGAGGCTCGCGATTTGGAGGAGAAGGTGAGGTGGAAGGTGAGGTGGAAGTGAGGTGGAAGTGAGGTGGCATGGAAGTGAGGTGGAAGTGAGGGAAGGTTCAGTCAGGCCTGCGCAAGACATAAGTGACGAGGTGCAAAGGAAAAGGAGACCCTCAAGACTTTCTAGGTGGCTCATCTATATCAACAAACAACGAAAGCACTTCCTCTCAAACTTCAGCAAACTCAAACGAGCCAATCCTTTCTCCACAATCATATACCTCCTGGGGCGCAAACTTCCACCAAAGTTTGACAGGTTCCAAACGTTCAAACCACAAAGAAATGTATCCGTATCTATTAGTACACGCAAAGTAGATGCAGGGTTGCATATGCATTTTCATTCTCATCATGACGTCGTTTGTAGCAATTCGGCTCCTGACCCTTACTGTTCAAGCCCGCAAAACCAGCCATTGTGTCCAAAAATAAAAGGTATCTCGACGCCGTCTTGTGCCCTGACCATGACCTGTCCCGCCTCTGTCGGGCACTGTCCAGGAAGTTGCTAGCTCTTCTCCGTATATTACATCTCGTAGTTCCCAGCCTGGCCACAACATATCGGTTTCTAATCCACAATCTAGATAGGGGAAGTTGTCTCGTGCCTTTGATAACAGGGTGTATTGCCCCTTATGAAATGGTCGCCGCGCAGCAAAACAGCCACGTAGCTTTCGAACAGTCGCAGGTAAGCATAATTTCGAAATTGGATCTCGGTCCTTGGCTCTTCTTCACTGAGCCCCTGCGACGGTCGCCTTGACATTCAGCGCCCACCTGAGCTTGTCAAGCACTTCCTTGGCCTCCCTCAGGGTCTGCTCCTGCTGCGACTCGCGCGCCGCCGCCTTGGTCTTGATGTCGTGCAGCGCCCGCTCCTGCTCCGTCTTGTAGTCCTCAAACTTCCGCGAGATGTCGTCCTTTTGCTGGCGCAGGTCGTCGAGGTTGCTGTTCTGCTGGTCGCAGAGCTCCCTGAGCACCGTGATCTTGTCATCGTCGCTCCGCCGCTCGTCCAGCAGGTCCTGTATCTCCTTGCCCATCCTGCCCATGGCCCTCTTGACGTCGTCGCCCTGGTCGCGCCAGTGGCTGCTGATGGCGTTGTAGCGGCCCTCCATCAGCAGGGCGTAGCTGGTCGCCTCGTCGACCTGGCGCTTGCTCTCGGACCGCGTCTTCTCCATCTCCTCCCGCCACGTCCTCTCCCGCTCCTGCGCGTCGGCCGTCCGCTTCTTCTCGAGCTCGACCGCGGCCTGGAGCGACTCCACCTGTCTTTCCTTCCTCGAGAGCAGGGTCTTGGTGACGTTGGCGTCCAGCAGGCGGCTCTCGTAGTCCGATACCAGCCGCTCCATCTTGTCCTCCAGCAAACGTGCCGCCTGGCGTGACTCTTCGGCCTTGAGCCTCTCGATCTTGAGGTCGCGCTTAAGAGTCTCGTTGTCCGAGACGAGACGATTGATAACGCGGCCGGTCTTTCCCAGGCCTGCCTTGCCGACGGTTGAATCCCAACCGTTGCCCAGATGCTGGTCTGTAGAGCTCTGGCTGAGACTCCCTGGGCCCTCCTCGTGGTGGCTGCCATCGGCGTAATGGACTTCTACGGCTGGAGCATGGGCGCCTGGACTCCTCGACCTCCCTGTCACGCCGAGACTGCTTTCTCTCCGGGGTATCTCGACACTGGATCTGGACCGTGCGCCTGGGCTTGGTGTCCTTGAGGGAACATCACTTGCTCTGTCGTGGACGTCGAGGTAATCACCTGTAGCGCTCTGCTTTTTCCGCACAGTGCTAGATGACGATGTGTTCTTGGACGGTTGTTGCGAGATGGCAGACATGCCGCTCATGTTGCTGTTGAGCGAGCTGGAGAAGGCCGAGTTGGAATGGCGCGGAATGGACGGCGAGCCGTCGGAGGAGTCGTCCTCGGAGTGCGTGCCCTGTGTCCTGTCGCTGAAGCTCGGAACTGCGCGTATAGACATCTTCCTAGATACCACGTCGGCTTGACCGTTCCTTGCTGAGCGCGGGCTTAGCCCAACGGAGGGCGACCCCGAAGCGTATGATTTGCCCTCTGGCTGTACGGTGAGGGAGCCGTTGGCCATGCTTCGCGAGTTCATGACTGCGGAAGAGGCGGGAGTGAGGCTGGATCTGAGGGACGCATCTGACGCGGAGGGCGTAGAGGACTGAGGGTTCTGAGCTGCTGTGATCAAAAGTGTCGGGGTCAGCGGTGGGCTTCTAGTATTTTGCGCCGGACAGTTCGGCCCCAGGAGTCGCGCTCGGCCTCAGAGAACCAACATCTGGCTGGTTGCCATGAATGCTACGGCGTGTGGGTGTGGGGGAGAGCGAGCGTGCAGTCTTTGTTTCAGGAACAGCGGGGTCTGGGGGCCGGGACAGCACGTATACACACCTGTTACCAAGTCGTCCTGGCTGTCGGACGGCTTGTTTGGTTTGGAAGAGGAACGGGGCCTTGGCTTCTGAAGTCGGCTGCGCATTGCTTACGAGCCGTGCTGCCAGCACTCCAGCATTTGGAGATGCCGTTGCTTGGTTGGGGCGGTCGTGGAGTTGGCGCGCGTCTAGTGCCCGCAGAGGTTGTCGATCTCGGAAGGGTTTGAAACGTTGGATGGCCCACGACGGCCAAGTACAGACACAGTCGCGCGGCAAATTCAGGATGCTTGAAGGAGAATTGTCACAGCTGAGAAGAGAGGTCGTCGAGACAGGGCCGGGAGCCAAGAGCAAGGAGCTCAGACGGGTGTACTGATTGTTATTTGATCTAGGAGCTGTGGAGGAATGTTGGCTGTTTGGCGCTCGACTACTGCGAGATTGACAAGACTCGTGGCGTTGTGAAAGACAAGACGGGGGAGCAATTATGTTTAATAAATTGAAGAGTGAAGACAACAGCTACAAATGCGTACGTAGACAGGCACACTTCGATCCTTAGCAGAATATTGATTACGGAGTACGTTTATGGCAATGCGGACAAAGATGGCCAGGGTAAAAGAGCACCGCACAGCACCTGGAAGTAAAGAACCTGGGTGGAAGTACCCGTGGCCTTTTCCCAAGCGGTGGAATGCCCCCTTCGATGAGGGAAGAGTACATTGAGAGGAGATCAAAATTAAAACCCGCAACCTCTCTCGGGCAGGGCGAACAGCCTTGCTCTCTCTTCCCTGTCTCTTTTGCCAGCAATTCCGTCACGGCGAGATTGTTGATCCACTTTTGGGCGACTTTGACAGGCACCACCACAGCACTGAGGGCCACACGGGTTTGTCCCAGCAACCAAAGCTGACGGCTCGACTGGCTCATCAGGGCCTGGTCCAGGTGCCTGTTCCCCACCCCCTGCATCCCGAGCCGACCGCTGAGGGGCCCGCTAGCGGGAGATTAAGGTCAGTAAGTAGGTAGGCACCTTGGTCTGATTAGGTCAGCGCCAATTTACGCGCTTCTTGTTAGCCAAAACACGACTCTGGCACGTGTGTTGACGTGTTTTCCCCTTATAACGAATTACCAGTAGGTTCTATCCATGATGCCTGTGCCGGCTGGATTCTGCTTGTTGTGAGCTAGTGATTCGAACCGGCGAGCCGTGTGCAGCTTCGTGTGCAACGGCATTGTTGACCATAGTGGCCGCCAGTCTAAACCGACTATTCGCGGCCAGAATGTGATGTTTCCACGGCTGCTCCTTTAGATGTTCACCGCTCATTCGTCCGGAGGCAATGTTGACGCCTACCTAGTAGGTAGGTAGGTATGATACTATGGTAGTACTCCCGATCAATAGGACGCAAAGAAAGAAACATAAGAAAGAGCGAAAATCTGCACTACCCTACTGCTGGAGATAGACCTCTAGACATAGCATATTTATACCGTTTGGTGTGTGCCCCAGGTCCGACGTGCAGAAAACGGTGCAGAAGTTTGAATGGTACCACCCCTGCATGAATATGGCCGGCCATAACGGCGAATCACATGTGCTGCCGGCCATAGGCAAGAGACGTATTGAAACACGGCAGGGTATCGGGGTCAAGAGATCGATACCAGCCCTTCTAAGCTCAATGTTTGGCAAAATGGCGTTCATGCTCACCAACCCTGAGGAGGGCACTGACGAGTCTCTCGAGCCGCACCGCACCTGTCGTCCCAAAGGGGCGAGAGGGGATCGAGCTCCCTCCACTGAATCTCATCGCACCCAAAATGAGCCGGAATGTCGAGACATGGCGGTGTGCAGGCTGTCGGATTGGGTCGTTTGGGGGGTCCAGGCTAAGCCTAATGGGACTGACAGCAGCAGAGGGAGCAGATAGCGACCAGTGATCATCGAGTAAAAGTTCGCGGATGCTCTTCGTTTGGGGACCATTTACCCCTCCTTTGCAGGAAGCGAAAACAGGGGTGTCAAAAGGGTGGCCTTTACCTATTTTTTCAATGCTGTTCTTTGGTGCGTGTTGGTGTCGTTCCTCTCTGCACGGATCATCCATCCCAACACACAACAAACCCCAAGCAACAAGCACGACCCAGGGGGCGACGACCCCTCCAGAGCAGACCGCCGCCGCCTGCCCGCCCGCTGCCTGCTACCCACTCGATCCCCCCCACACACAAATCAATCTCCAGCCCACATCAACAGACTGAACCACCAAAGTCGACCAGGGCCTTTTCCAAACCTCCCCTTCCCTTAGCTTTTCTCCCACAGCGCTGTGCGCAGACAAATCTCCGACTTTCTCGCTTTGCATCCAACTTCCTCCCTCCTCAAATCCATCATCGGTCATCACCATGAAGGGCGAGGTAAGCAGTGCTCTCCATTTACCACCCCGACCCATCGTGGCTTCGTGAAGGCGGATCAGAGGCGGGCAGCTGTTCACCGATACGCCTCCCCACCCCCTATTTCAGCAGCTTCACGGCCACGGCACCGCGTTTTCGACAGCGCCCGTGGCTCGTTGCGATTGCGTGGGCTCTTGGTCATATCAAGACACATTTTGGGCTGCTATGACACGATATGCGCCACCTGCAACGACCACCATTCTCGCGTAACCCACGCCACAACCGACGGGGTTTGCTTGTATCGCGGACACCATCTCGCCTCGGCTCGTCCCGCCGCCCGCCCAAGCTAATTCTGAGCCTGCCCGACGATGCTGCGGTGGACGGGATTGCCACGGCAAAGCCAATTATTCCGGTATGGATGGCTGACATGTCGTGTTTTATTAGATCCTTCACCTCCATTTGGGCCAGGCTGGTACCCAGCTCGGTAACAGTGCCTGGGAACTGTGAGTTTTCACCGCCGGAGCCGTCTTGTGAGGCCACTATTTCTGATCCCAAATCTAGCTACCTCCTTGAGCACGGTCTCGGAGCCGACGGTCGCCCTGACCCCAACGCCAAGGATATCGGCGATGGCGGTTCCTACGAGACCTTTTTCAACGAGACGAGCGGCGGCAAGTACGTGCCCCGATCCATCTTTGTCGACCTCGACCCGTCCCCCATCGACGAGATCCGCACCGGTGACTACCGCTCGCTCTTCCACCCCGAGTTGTTGATCAGCGGCAAGGAGGATGCTGCCAACAACTATGCCCGTGGTCACTACACCATCGGCAAGGAGATGATCGACAACGTCATGGAGCGCATCCGCCGTGTTGTCGGTACGTACACCCAAAAAGCCTTGACGTGGTGCTCTTGCGCTAATGTTTATGACGATAGACAACTGCAACTCTCTGCAGGGCTTCCTCATCTTCCACTCTTTCGGCGGTGGCACTGGCTCCGGTTTCGGTGCCCTCCTTCTGGAGCGCCTGTCCACCGAGTACGGCAAGAAGTGCAAGCTCGAGTTCGCCGTCTACCCGGCTCCTCGCGTCTCGACTGCCGTTGTTGAGCCCTACAACGCCGTCCTGTCCACCCACAGCACGATCGAGAACTCTGACTGCACCTTCCTGGTCGACAACGAGGCCGTCTACGACATCTGCCGCCGCAACCTCGACATTCCCCGCCCCAGCTCCGAGCACCTGAACCGCCTCATTGCTCAGGTGGTCAGCTCCATCACCACCTCCCTCCGCTTCGACGGTGCCCTCAACGTCGACCTGAACGAGTTCCAGACTAACCTCGTCCCTTACCCCCGTATCCACTACCCGCTCATCAGCTACGCTCCCGTCGTCTCCGCGGCCAAGAGCGCCCACGAGAGCTTCAAGGTCCACGACCTCACCTTCCAGTGTAAGTAGAGGCTTGCGTCTAGCGCCAAAGCCGACCCGTGCTGACTGCCCTATGACAGGCTTCGAGCCCAACAACCAGATGGTCGTCTGCGATCCCCGCAACGGCAAGTACATGGCCGTCGCTCTCCTGTACCGCGGAGATGTCGTCCCCCGCGACTGCAACGCCGCCATTGCCGCCCTCAAGGCCAAGGCTTCCTTCAACCTCGTCGAGTGGTGCCCTACCGGCTTCAAGCTCGGCATCAACTACCAGAAGCCCATGGCCGTCCCCACGGCCAACCCCGCCGACGGCGGCCTTGCCTGCGTCGACCGCTCCGTCTCTATGCTGTCCAACACCACCGCCATTGCTGAGGCCTGGTCCCGCCTGGACTTCAAGTTCGACCTCATGTACAGCAAGCGCGCCTTTGTGCACTGGTACGTCGGTGAGGGTATGGAGGAGGGTGAGTTCAGCGAGGCCCGTGAGGACCTGGCTGCTCTCGAGAAGGACTACGAGGAGGTCGCCGCCGACTCGTTTGAGCCCGAGGAGGGCGATGTCGAGTACTAAGCCTAATGTCTCTTGATCGTGGCCTGATGATTTTCTTTTTGTTTCTCTCCGGTGGTCCTTGGGAGGGGATTTTGGTAGAAAAATGGTTCGCCAAAAAGTTCTTGGGGAGAGAACCTCTTCATGTCCACGGAAAGATCGTTGTCTAGCTTTGCGACCTCTTGTTCTTGTTATGCAAAGACTTAGCCTTTTTATGTCTGGGTAGTGGAAGTACATCCTCGTAGAGATATCTGAATGGAGGGGGGGAACGCAGGTAGATGGGCTGCATGCACACCGCTGCTGCCTTTCTAATATACCCATCTTCGGCTTTGAATCTGGACGAGACTGGATCGTGTGTGTGTGTGTTTCCGTAACACAGCCGTCTCTTTGCTACGCGGCTACCTTGGGATATATGATCACGATCCAGGTCAAGTAGGTGGTGAAATGGGTCAGGTCATCGTGTATGTTCTGGTCGATGCTCAACACTTATGTCTCCTGGGAGTGTAGCATGTCTCGAGGTATGGTGACTTTGGTCCTAAACGCGTAGCAGAGCACACACCTCACACAGAGCATGATATCAAGCCAGAGTATTTTATGTAGAATTCTGGCCGATGCACAAAGTAAGGGTATATCTATCACTGAACCCTCCTAACCCCCCTTTTCTCCGTTAGACCACAATATTCTCTGCATCAGCTGCCCTGCTTCTCCCTCCAGCTCGCCGTCCTCTTGGCCTGCCTCTTGCGGTTATTCGAGTCCTCAGCCCTGCCGCCATCGCCAGCCTTCTTGCCGCCGCCTCCGCCGCCGCCCACTCCACCGTGCTTGCCCTTCTTCCCACCGCCGCCGCCCAGCTTGAGGCCCAGGCGCTTGCCGTCCGTCGACTTGGCGCGCTGGCCCTCAAAGATGACGGTCTCGGGCGACTTGAACTGCGGCTTGTCGTCTCCGCCGTCGCCGGCGCGGCCACCAGCACCACTACCGCCGCCGTGCCGACCGCCGCCAGAAAGGCGCGGCTTCTTGGCCTTGTGCCCACCAGCGCCGCCGCCGCCGCCGGCCTTCTGGGCCGCCGAGCGCCCGAGCAGCTTGCCCGCGCGGCCGGCGTGCGTCTGCTGCTCGGCCGTGGCCTTGGGCGCGTACTTTGTGCTGCGGGGCCTGCCGCCGGCGGTGGTGTCGCCGCCGCCGACGACGAGGGCGGCCTTGTTCTTGCGGGCGCGCTCCTCGACGGCGCGGGCCGTCTTGTGCGGCGCCTTGCAGCGGCTGACGCGCAGCTCGCGCGGGAGCATGGGCGGGAACTTCTTGCCGTTGAGGAGGATGGCTGCCTCGACCGAGTTGGCGTCCTGTGGAGAGTGAGTGCACGCGTTAGCAAACCCGCGAAACTTTGTTCTACTTCTTCTTCCAGGGATCAAAAAAGAGAAGAGGGGGGGGGGGGGGGGGGGGGGGTATGCAAACTCACGTAGAACTGCACATAGGCGATGCCCTTGCCCACGCGGGTCACCTGGTCGCGCACGACGCGCACGTTCTCGACCTTGCCGGCGTGCTGGCCAAAGGTGCGCCACAGGCCTTCCTCGACGTCCATGGGCGTCTTGGTGCGCTTGCGGGTCTCGGTCTTCTCCTTGCCCTCCTCGTCGACCTTGGTGGTGATGACGGTCTCGTCGTCGACGAAGCCGAGGTTGCCGACAAAGACGCACCGGCGGTGGGCCGTGGGCGCCGGGTGGGCGACGCTGTCGGCGCGCAGGTGCCGGTCCAGGACGACGGTGCCGTTGAGCTTGGAGACGGCCAGGCGAGCCGCGGCCGGGTTGGGGTAGACGGCGTATGCGTTGACAGATTTCGTAGTGGCGTCCATGACGGCGCCGGTGATGAAGGCGGCTCGCTTGGGCATGGAGGCCGTGGAGAAGGGGAGCGATCGGAAGCGGAGCGTCTCGACAGAGCCGGGGTTGGACTCGTCAAAGATGGACGAGAGGTGTGCCATAAGAGTCTTTTTCGCCTTGCGCGACGAAATGGCCTCGATGCTGACATTGGACAAGAATACCGTCCGGCTTGCCTTGTCGAGGTCGGCGTCATGCTCCCCGTTTTGAAGGGACTCGTGGACGAGGTTCTCTCCAGAGTCAGACTCCTCAGCCTCAGCATTGTCTGCGTCTGGCCGAGCGCGCTTCCCGGCAGGTGTGCTGTCATCCTCGTCGTCTAGTAGCTTCTGTAAGTACCGGCTCTCCAGGTCTTCGTTGTCGGCATCGGCTCGCTTCCGCTTCCTGTCCTTCTTGGTCGAAACAGATGAGAGCTGGGCCACAGACTCTTCAACGTCGGATGCGTCCTCTTCTTCGCTGCCTTCGACCTCGTCCTCCTCCTCCTCTTCATCGTCATCGTCGAGAATCTCTTCGTCTAACTCCGAGAGTTCTGCATCGGGTTCGACATCCTCATCTGACCCTTCTGACTGGTCCTTACGAGAAGCGCTCTTTCTCGGCTCGATAAGATCGGCATATCTAGTCTTGGGGAGGGGTTTAGCCGGCCCCGCCTGCAGCTGTGTTAGCTTCAAGAGCCTCTCATCAAGTGCGAAAGGCATATGCATGTGCGGGCTTACACTGGAGGCAAAAAGCGCTGTGAGGGTGGGGTCGAGAGCCTTGGAGGCTGCCGACAATACGGCTTGACTGCGGTCTGGGTTAGCTCTTGAAACTTGACATGGACGGAATTGATAGAGTGACGAACCCTTTCGCCATGTTGTATAGGCAAAAATCTCCCTCGGAGCGTTGCACGGAATCAAACTTTGGGCCTGCTCTTATTGTTTGCACCGAATTGCGGTCGCCTCTGGTTTCACAGAAAAAAAATACGGTACTCCCAGCCAGGGACCCATGCAAAATGCTGGCGATAAGGACATATCTTATCTCTACTTGCCGCTATTGGTACGATAAGTGTACCTAGTGATGCTAGTCTGCGGTGCGCTGAGGTACCTGGCTAAGTTTGGGGACCAGCGGAGACGAGCGCTGCACAGGGAAAGGAGCCATTCACAGAGGTGTATTGTATGTGCTATGGAGGACGCATCATGAGGACTGTCTTGTTCTGCCCAGCTGGGTGATCATCCAAAGGGCCCCAATGACTGAATCGCGAATCAAGTCCACTCCTTGGCAGAGGAGGGTTCTTGAGTGCTGCGTCTTGCGTCAATTGGAACCCAGTTTCTGCCGCAGTCCACCGCCCAGCTCGGCCCCAACTGTGGTCACCACTGGCTGTGTTTTGTGTGCGGAGGTACTCTTTCGGCGCTAAGGAGAATTGCCGTTAGGCGGGAGTAGCAGACCAGCGACCGCTGGGCGAGGGACGGTTTCCGCTGGTGAGGTCGGTGGCAGAACACCTGCACACACCAACCACACCCGCCTGTGCTCTTTGCCCTCTTTCGCTCTCTCTCTCGTGCGCGCCGCCCGCCTCACTTTCTCTTGCAAAGAATGCGCCCTCTACCCCGACAACCCAGAATCCCTTTTTCAGAACGTCTGGCAATAGGCATCTTTACTGCAATTACTTCCCCTGACGCCTTTTCTCGAGCACGCCCTCACCCGTGGCGGAATCTAGTCGACCTACCCTGTTCCTGACTGGGAGGAATCACTGTTTGAGCTTCTCGTCAGTTTTCCTCCTCCCACGCCTTTCCGGCTCCAACCCACCCGCCCCTCCGCACAATCTGTGCTTTCCAAGCCCTTATCCAAGGTCGCCCCGTGCTGATACCCCGTAGCGACGACTTCAAACATTCCCGCTCGACGCCATGGCGACGGGCGACACGGCCGTCTCGATGCCCATCTCGAGCCCCCCGCCGCTCCTCGACCGCACGCCTAGCAACATCTCTAGCCCTCTGAGCGAGGTTGAAGACAAGGACGGCGAGCCCGAAGACATGGACCTTGACCTCGAAAACCAAAATACCTCCACGCGTAATCAGTCAGACCGCGACGATGACGATGCCGAGACTGGCCCTGTGCCCGGCACCACGGCCTCGGGCTCGGACGGCGACGGCGACTCCAATTTGTCCGAGCTAGATATCAATGAATCCGAAGCTGAAACAGAGCGGCTCGAGGACACTCCGCGAAAGAAGCGAAATGGTCGCAACGCCTCTGCCAATGGCACCGGCGACGACTCGAAGCATTTTGTGCAGTCCCGCGATCGGCCCTTTGAGCCGAGCCCCAGCAAGCTCAAACAGCAGATACAGGTCGACGTCGAGCCCGCTCGTAACTCTGACGAAGAAGACGACGCCGAAGAAGAAGGGGAGGAGGAGCTCTCCGAGGAGGAGGCCGGCCACGAATCGGATGCCTCCAGCCAGGCGGACGGTGGCCGGAACGGCGGCGGCTCACCTCGGTCCGCCTCCCAGAAGCGAGCCAAGGGCGATGCGGCCTCTACAAACACCGAGGATACGAGCCAAGGCGCATCCTCGTCAGAGACTCGCAAGCGCAAGCGATCGCTTGCCGCCGACCAGTCCGAATCGGACCAGCCGCTGAGGAAACGTGTCGGATCGGTGGGTGTCGATCGCGAAAACACCGACGACAAGACCGTGCTGGACGACGATACCGAGAACATCTCCACCAACCCCCAGAGCAGAGCTCACTCGTCAGACGAGGACAATACCAACGACAAAGAAGAGCACATTGCTGAGTCAATAGAAACTCCCGCTGCCGATGCCAACCGGGCGCGCAAGTCAAAGCGCCACGGCGCCAAGAGGCGCAAGGGCTTTGAGGACAGCGCGGCTGGCTCAGAAGTCAATGAGGAATTGGCAGACGACGATGCCGGCGCGGCAGAAGATGAGACTACAGCACCAGGAGAGGATGAGCAGCCCGAGGGCGAGGTTGACGAGGAGGCCGAGATTGCCCACAAGAACGAAGAAGAGAGTACGACGAGAACCTCCCTATTGACTGATAAAGTCATCACTGACATTCCTATTGCAGTGGAACGAAAACGGGCTGCATTTGAGCAGCTGCAAAGCATCGAGAAGCACTTTGCGACATTTCGAGAGCGGTAAGTTTTCCAAGCCACGCCATCCTCTGAAGCTGGTGTGCATACTGACCATGGACTTTTTCGCAGCTTATATCAAGAGCGTTTGGCGCAGCTCACCGAAGAAGAAGCTATGCTCACCGGCGACAATCCAACCCACCCCGAGTACCTTGCCATGATGCAGTGTATCGACGCTCGACGCGACGAGAGACAGCGAGTGATTGATCTCGAGTACCAGTTCAATATGGACACCACGAAACGCTGGGCGGTAGCGCGGCGCGCACAAATACACGGGCAATACTTCCAGAGCATTCGCCAGTCGCGCGAAGATATCCTGGAGGACCTCGGCCGGCAGTGGTACCAGATTCAGCAGCAGCGCCGCAAGCACGCCAACAACATACCCGACTTTGGTATCCGTTTCCCCATGTCTAAGCCACAGAGGGTCAGGAATGCCATTGCCTACAACAAAGAAGTTTCCATTCTCTCGGGCGTCGCAAAGCACGAGGGCTTCCCGGCGGCGCCTCAGATCAACGGCGCTTCTGCCGGCGAGATGGACGAGGATCTCGAGGAGATCTTGGTGAGTCCCCGAAGACCTCCGGAGCCCAGATGAAGACGCAACGGTCGCTGATGTTCCGGTCCAACAGAAATCACGGCCGGCTGGTCAGCAGGTGCCCGGGGCGCAACCTTCCTTCCAGGACCTCAGCGGCCTAACCTTCCACCTCGGAGCAGCAGGCCACCAGTACCTGGCAGACACGCCCTGGGCAAATCCCAATCACCCCGCCCACCAGGCGCAACGGCCACAAGCAACGCAAGAGCCCCGCATAGACAGCCCAGCTGCCGGACCGTCCGACCGGAGGCATTCGCACCAGCCCGGAGGGCTTTTCTCCTCGAGCACCAACTCAACGATACCGGGCAATGCAGTCAACGGCGACTCGCCTGTCGCAGCAAAGCCGAGAGCTGTGTCAGGCGCAGACATTGCGAGGCCGGCCAAGTCATTCGCTGCGGAGAAAGCGCTAAAGCATGAACCCGTCGTGTGACGCATCCCTTCACGACGTGTGCTACCAGGGGAAAGAAAAAAGTCATGTGCATATGAGTTCTGCACGCTTTATGTGGGGACAGAGCGTGTTTTGTTATAATACATGCACCAGGCATTTTGTTTGTATAACCAGGAAGGTCCTGGAGGGAGATGTGCCGACGATGCCTGTATCAAAAGAGTTACTTATATCCAACGGACTCCCCCATAGCGGGGGACGGCTAGATCATGGTCTTTTAAGGCGTTTGAGTAGGAGTTGATTCATTCAATTTTCTCATATCCGGAGCGGTGCTTCTATCTGTACATAGCATCAATACTACACGGCCTTTCGGGGCCTATCTTCACACGGGACACTGGACCCTTGCAGTTGCCTGTCCCAAGGCTTTGCTGTGCCCCTATCCTCCGAGCTCTTGCTATATCGTCCAACATGGGTTTCAATAGAGGGTATCATCGGGCAGGCTCTTCCCACTTCGTGATCCTTTCGCCAGTCACTGCCTTATCGTATGATCGCCGCCAGCCTTTGTCTTCGTCCCTGGTTCCTGCTTGTCGCCGCATTGATCCAACTTATTTCTTTTGCGCTGCCGCTGCGGCCTGCTGTGCTTGCTGCGCAGGAGCAGCAGGGACCTTGACGTCCTCGAACTCGTCCTGGCCGATGATGTGGATGGTATAAGCATCTGCGGCGAGGATTGTTAGCTTCATGGCACGATCCCTTGAGAAATCTTGTAGGTGGCCGCGGAACGTACAGACTCCAATGGCAAAGGCCGCGATGCCGGCGCCTAGGACCGCATTCTTGACGAGATACGGTCGCCTGGCCCGGATGAGGGCGGGAGACTGCCTGTGGTTGCGGTCGTAGTAACTCGCTTGCTTCTCGATACTATTGAGGACGACGGATTAGTTTGATGCATTGTAGTGGGGGGCTGTGTGTATGCGAGAGTCGATGCCTTACCCTGCCATTGTGACAAGATGTTTCCTACCGGGGAAAGTGAGAAAGTGCGAATGTCGTCTTGCATGCGGAAGATCATTCGAGAGGCTTGCTTACAAGGGTCTTCTCCAGTAGATATGTACATCCACACCCGGACTGGCTGTCGAAAGATTTCCAAGCCGCCCCGCCATGGGCCAATCACAACGCAGCGCACCTGCGTCACTGCCGACCAGCATCGGGGCCTCACATTGGCTGGATACAGCACTGTTTTCCAGGCAGTTCCCACTAGAAGTGCTGCCCAGAAACAATGACTTGAGCTGCCTGCAAACGACCACTCTGGACTCTGGGCGAGAGGTACCTATCCAAGGTACCCACATAATAAGGTACAACAGCCCAGAAGCGCAATTCGTTTGCTGCGCTGGTACCAAACACCTCCAGCTGCACGGCGTGCCTAGATCTTTGTCTGGTCTGCATGCAAGATTGTCACGATTGCTTCACTTCTTTATTCACCCGACGTCAACATAGCCGCACGGCACAGTCAAAAGAGCTTCCTCCTCACAAAAAGGAAAGAAGAAGAAAAAAATCGAGACCACGTTGACGCCAGGCGCGGGAAATGCGCACTGCACCACAGCCTTCCTGCCCGACGCAACCATGGCCGCCGCGACAGCAACGACGACGGCGCCGACCGACTCGAGCATCGCCGAGCAGATACGGCAGCTCAACGACGCCCGCAAGCTCGTCCTCGGCGACGTGGCCTACTACCCCAGCATCGTGCAGAGCATCCTGCCCATCATCGGGCCCTCGTCCCACCCGGAGCTGCGGCGATGGGGCGCCGACTTCCTCGCCGAGGCCTTTGCGACGCCGGCCCTGCCCTCGCGCGACAAGGAGACGCTGAGCCTCGTCGTGCTCGAGACGCTCAAGGGCATGGTGGAGAGCGCGTCCGAGGACACGTACGTCCTGAGGAGCGTGGTGCAGGCGGCGGCTAGCATATACCCCTTGGCCATGCGCTGGATGTAGGTTCTTCTTCTTTTTGTTCCCCCCCTCCCCTCCTCATTCTGTTTCCAGCTGTGGGAGACACTTTGCGCTAACTGTGATCCGTGGTCTGCAGAATTAACAATTCTTACGATGCCCCGACCTGGGAACGCATGCAGGCCATCAAGTCAAGGATCTTCCGCATATGGGAAGGTTCCCCCCCTGCAGTCAGGATATGCTGCATCAAGTTTGCTCAGCGGGTGGTACTAGCCCAGACGCACGGCGCGGGAAGCGAGCAAAAGGTAGATATCTATCATCGCTCTCAATTAGAAGACAGGCACTCCAAGGTACTGACTGTGTTCCGCAGCGTGATGGCCTCGAAGTCTCCCTCGCCATGGTGCCCCCAGATCACCCCGTTCTCGATGCGAGGCAGCTCGAAGCAGAAGCCACCGGCCTGCTGGACCGTATGCTGGGTATACTCCAGGACAATAGCAGGTATGAAAACTCTGTGGACTTGCGCTCTTATGTTTCTTGCGCTAACCAAGCAACAGTGATGCCCTCCTTGTAGATGCCACGATCAATACGCTTTCAGTGCTCATCCGCACGAGACCATCGACGACGAACCGCATCCTAAACGCCATCTTCAACTTCAACCCACTCAAGCTCGCCAACTCACCCATGACCTCCAAGACTCGTGTGCTCATCAAGTCCATGGAGAAGACGACACGCATGCTCCTAATTCATCTTATCAAACGGTAAGATACCCCAGTCGCTGTACCTGCTTTTCGGTAGCTAATCCAGCCTGTAGCGATCCCAACCATCCCCTTGCGCCCAGGATACAACAGTGCATCGAGCGTCTTGTCCGTTCAAAGACTGAGATCTTTGACGACACCAGCAGGAAGCGGGCCTTGGCCGAGACGGCTGCCTACGGAGATGCCAAGCGGCAAAAGGTCGAGGCCGAAGCCCCGGCCCAGTTCCAGGTACCACCACTCGGCCCTGGCGAGCACAGTCTCGCAGCAATCTTCACTCTGACGAGCAATCCTGCTCTGCGCGCCTTCAACGCTTCTCTTGTACCGGCCGAGCTGGCTGCCAAGGTCAGCGTCTCTACGCTGGCAGGCACAGATCCACGGTTATTTGATCTAGCCATTAATGTGAGTCGATGGGCGTTCTGAGATGCTTCGACATAGTCAAACTGACTCTGATATCACCAGGGCATTCGGGATAGGATAAAAGCAATGGAGGCCAACGCGGCGCAGCCGGCCGCGCTCGACCCGAACACGGCTCCGCTGGGCGTGGAAGAGGACGACGACGATGATTACGAACCGGACTACTACACAGCAGAGGATACGGAACAGATCCTCAACAAGCTCGACAGCGCTCCAGACGACCTGGCCACCAAGGCCGAGACCGCGGCCCTGGCCCTGGGAGCGTTCAAGCTGCCGCCGGCGCCGTCTCTCACGCCAGACATCGCGGCCAAGGTCGGGCAGGGCACCGTGTCGCGCGTGTTTGGCGTGATGCAGACGCTGGAGGACCCGGCGGGGAAGCGCGCAAAAGCGGGCATCAACAGGCTAGCGGCCAGCACCTACGACCGCGACTCGTGGATCACCGTCATCAGCCGCCTGGCCACGAGGCCCGCGGCCGCGCTGGGAGACGGCGGAGACGGGCCGGAAGAGGACGACGACGACAAGTCGCAGGTCCTCAAGGCGCAGGCCCTGTCCCTGGGCAACGCCATCCGCGAGCGCCTCTTCAACTTCATCCTCGAGGACTTCCGCAAGCGCATAGAGCTCGCCGTCTCGTGGCTCTCGGAGGAGTGGTACAACGACCGGGTCCAGCAGCGCTACTGCTCGGCCGCAGAGGAGGGCGGCGCCCAGCAGAAGCGGCAGCCGGTGCTGCACTACGACGAGTGGGCGCTGCGGCTCATGGACGGCTTCCTGCCGTACCTGCACGCGCAGGACAAGGTGCTGACGCGGTTCCTCGGCGAGCTGCCCGAGCTCAACCGCACCATCCTGGCCAAGGTGCGCGGCCTGTGCCGCGACCCGAGCCTCGTGCAGCTCGCGCTCACGAGCCTCGTGTACCTGGTCATGATGAGGCCGCCGGTCAGGGAGGCGGCGCTGGATACGATCCAGGACATCTGGCTTGAGAGTAAGTCTCCCCCCCCCTTTTTTTTTATCTATCTTCCCTGCTTGTGTGTCTCTGCTCTAGGGATCATTTGCAAAGAGGGAGCATTTCTCGCTGACATATGCTGATTTTTCTGGCGGTACAGGCGAGGATGCCAGAGCGTTGGCGCAGAAGTATCTGGTCAAGTGGAGGCCCGAGTTCGTGGCTGCGAACAGCGGCGCAGCTGCCGGGGGAGGAGGAGCGGCGGCGGCGGCGGCGGCGGCACCGCCCAAAGCGGTGACTGCTTCGTGAGGAAAAGCGGGATTGTTTTTCGTTTTTGTATGATATGATGAAGAGCAAATCATGGTATGATAGGGGGGGACAAAGCTGGCCAAAAGGTGTTTGGTCCGGTTTGGCCGCAGGCTTTTTTCAGCCCTCGGAAAGAGGCGTACATGCATGGCGGAGGGAGAGACGGACGATCCAGTTCTAGCGAGAGATTCAATGCCATCACCGCATCATGGACTGGCCACGCAAACCTGTGGTCCCAGGTCCAGATGCTTCATCATGATCTGCGAGGTTGTTGCCATCTATTCAGCATGTTGCTGCCCCCCCCGTAGCCAACTGTATCTCTGTGTGGCCCTAGGTTTGATCAGTTGACCTACACGGGTATCTACTTTCAAAGACAGACTTTCACTTCACTGTACAAGATAAGAGAGATGGGTATCTATGTATACGATTACCCCGAGAGATGGCCAACTTGGAGGGATAGGGCATATCACGATATCGGAGAGTGCAAGGCTTTTCCAAGTGGTTTCAAACAAGTATTCGTGCTCAGCCAGTTTCTCGAACACCTCGATAACTCAACCCGTTTCTTTCGATCGAGCAATGAACTCATATGAAAACTCCAAGCGTATCTATCAACGGCTTCTCTACTCAAACAACTTGATCAATATTGAGACGTTTGTTTGCAGATTAATATATTACTCTACACACTGTGACTAGTCGGTCAGGCCGAGCAGTCCATGATACAGTCAGTAAAACGTGCAAAGGTCCCATAGCCCGAGACTGGGTTAGTCTGCAGCGGAAGGGTAGCCAAGAATTCAACTCTCTTCGTATGAGCGAGCAGCCGTTAGACTGGCTGGCATCATAAAAGGCTACAGAAAGAAATCATTACTTCATATAAGACCGCCCAACAGCCATGAGCAGCTGCAGTCGTTTCCCTCAGTCTGCCGTCAAGCAGGGCCAACGAAGCATAACACATTGAGTCTGATAAGAGCACATTCGCACCAACACCTTTAGGCGATACATTCAAGGACTAGGCATGTTCATCATTACAAGTCCAAGTTCCCATTTTTCACACTAATAAGCTGACTTGATTTCCGACTTTGCCTTTGCCTGGAAAGGCCCTTCATTCTTTTGTGTCCCGTGCGCCTCGGGTGGGTGTGACGCCGTGCCCTCCAGATGCTATGAGATGATGCCCCAGGCTGCCAAAGAGAAACTTTGCGTATTCGTCATCATATCACATTGACGAGGTGATTTCGGGCCGCGAAGAAAAGCCAATAGCTGGCTCTCGTCGACAACCCCTTCGCCGCCAGCTCATGCATGGCTATGCGAGAACAAAAGGGGATAGCCCGGACCAGATGTGTGAAAACCAAAACCCCGACACCAACGCCCACCATGATGTAGCCAGAGCAGCAAGCATCTACTGCATCTTCTTCCTCTTGCCGACCTGGGCAGAGAAACCGGTCTTGATGGCCTGGACTGACCGACGAGAACCGCAAGACTGTTTTGAGCCATGTCAGTGATGTGCCAGGAATGGAGAAAAGGAAAGGGAAAGGACTGGTCAGGCTTACGTTGCAGGTGACGAAGTACAGACGGTTCTCACCACGGACCAAGTCCGTGTCGGGAGAGCGACATGTGCGGCAAGTGACGTATTCTAGACGGGCTTGTTAGCAATGACGTTCGGTGCAGTAACAGACCACGGACGGGTCGAGGAGTGGGGGCATCGCCAAACATACCGATGATGTATTTCCGCAGCACGTTCTCGATCTGCTTCTGCTGGAAACGACCCTTGATGACCAACCGCCTGCTTCCGTCGACACTGCCGGTCGTACCCAACTCGGCAAACAGGTAGGCCGTGACGTGCTCGTCGGTACGCTTCATGCGCTTGCAGATCTCGGCAATGTTGGCAAAGATGGTCTTCTTGTTGCCTTCGCGCATGCACTGGGGCGGCGGGATCTTGTAGGAGCGGGAGCCGCTCAGGGCGTGGTCGGGGTTCTTCTGCGCCAGCAGGGCGAAGAAGCGGGAGAGCAGGGGGTCGAAACGGATGGTCTTGGTCTCGTCGTGCTGCCAGCAGCCGGTGCCCTTCTCCATGTCGCCCTCGTCCTCGGCACCGGCGTCCTCGGCCTCGGCGTCGTCGAGGTTGAGGGCCTCGAGCTTCTCGGCAAACTCGTTCTTGGAGCCAGCCTTGGGCTTCTTCTTCTTCTTCTTCAGCAGGGCCAGGTCGAGGTCGCCCTCCTCGCCGGCCGGGGCGGCGTCCTCATCCTCATCGGCAGCGGCCTCCTCCGCCTTCTTGGCCTTCTTCTTCTTCTTTTTCAGCAGGGCGAGATCGAGGTCGGCATCATCGCCGGCGGCGGCGTCCCCGGCGTTTTCGGCAGCTTGAGGGGTATCAGCAAAGGCCTCAAGAGCAGCAGAGAGAGGCGGCGTACGGGGCGTGTGGGACTGCGCGGTGCCCTTGGTGTCGTCGTCTGGGGTGGCGATCATTGTGACACTTCCGTCGGCGTCAACTACGAGCTTCTCTTCGGTGAAGGCGACAGATTTCCTCTGCGTAAGTTGGGGCTTCTTTATGGTGGAATATAGTCAGTAATTTGATACTTTCTTTCTCTTTTTGAGGATGTGGCCAAGTCGTCGCCTTGTCTGATGACTCATGTGGGCACCGGATACGGGTGATGGGACTCAAGGAGCCAGGGTCGCGTGGGTTTGGGCAAATTCTTATGGAGGGAAAATTGGCTGGAGGGGCTCGATCGGAAAACTCACTTCAGCTTCCATATTCGCTTTGCGCAGCGAACCGTCGTGCAGGCCTTATGCTTTTCTTCCTTGTTTTTTCTTCGTCGTTGGTAACTGGTTTGGTGCAACACTGCTGCTCGTCTGGCTTCCTTGCTTTGCGGAAATTTGGTGTTGGGTGCGATGACTGGAAAAGACCTGATTGCTGAAATCACACCTACGAAATCGAAAATGTCTGGCCAATCACTGCGCCGCCAGCGAGAAAGTGTGCCCGCCCGATGCAGCAAACGCCTCGAGGCCGCGGGGTAGTGCCTCTGTGGCTGTGGTGGCTAGTGCATTCAGTCTTAGTCAGCCGCCAGTCTACGCTCTTTAGTCCATCTCACAGAATGATCACGGACAACAGAAGCCAAACGCGCTTTATTTCCTACTTCATCGTCATTCATTATTGGTATTCACGGTGCTAAAGAGCTTTTTCCATATCTAGAACTAGCTGATCATTCACGGCAGCTGCAATTGCTGCCGTTGAAGAGGGTCTTGCCCATCCATACTGATCAACTAATGCAGTCCTGTCCCTTCGTGCAGAGGTCCCAGTCGACAGTTGCTGTCACCACTTAGCTCTTTGCCGCACCGGCCTTGATGAGCAATATGTCGCCGTCCTCTACCACGTAGTCCTTGCCCTTGGTCATCATCTTGCCCTTGGCCTTGACCTCGGCTTCATCGCCAAGCTCCTTGAGGACACTGAAGTTGTACACAATGGCCTGGATAAAGGTCTTTTCGAAGTCGGTGTGGATGACGCCCGCCGCTTGAGGCGCCTTGGTCCCGTTGCGGATCGTCCATTGCCTGACCTCGTCCGTGCCCGACGTGAAGAAGCTGCCAAGGTTGAGGACCTTGCGCATGGACAGGATGATCTTGGGCAGGGCGGACTCGATACCCAGCTTCTTGCACTCCTCCTGGGCCTCGGCCTCGGTCTCGAAGCGCGTCAGCCGCTCCTCGAACGAGACCGAGATGGGCAGGATCGGGTCGCCCTGCGCGTGCTCCTTGATCCACTCAGCAATCTTGGGAAGATGCTTGTTCTTCTTGCGCGTGTAATCCCGCTCTGACAGGTTAACCAGGTAGACGACCGGCTTGGCTGTCAGGAGGAATAGAGGGTTGATGATCTCGACCTAGGATGTGTGTGTTAGTCTCGTGTTCAACAACAGCTGTAGCTGAGAAGTACAAGACGACGGAAATGGACAGCAATCAGAATGGGATTTTATCTCAGGATGCACTCTTGCGTTGTTTTTGGTGAGGCATTCGACGAGCTGGGATTAGATCAGGCCTTTGGCCCTTTGTCATCATCGAAAGCCATGAAGGCTCGTGCTGCAGGCAAAGCAGAAAAGAAAAGAAAAGGACATTGTGCAAGCTTACCTCCTTGGGCGTCCAGTTGCCCTTTCGGACATCCTTGCCGTCCTTCACCCACTGAAGGATCCTCTCGATGCAGGCCTCCTCTTCTCTGGCCTTCTTCTGCTCCAGACTCTGACCGCCCTGGCGCGTCTTCTTCTTTTGGTTCTCGAGAGCCTTCTCGATAAACTCGATATCCTTGAGCCTCAGCTCCTCGCTGATAATGTCGAGATCACGAGTAGGGTTGACATCACCCTCGACGTGAATAATCTCAGCATCATCGAAGCATCTCACCACTTGGAAGATGGCATCGACGGCGCGAATATGTGAAAGGAAGGCATTGCCGAGACCAGCACCAGTCGAGGCACCACGGGTCAGACCGGCGATATCATAGACGGTCAAGTTGGCCGGGACCCTCGACTTGGGCTGGTACTTCTCGCACAGCCAGTCAAATCGCTCATCTGGTACGATGACGCGAGCCTCCTCAGGGTCGATGGTAGCATAGGGGAAGTTGGCCGGGTTGCCAAGGTTGCACTTGGTGATGGCCTGGAACAGAGTTGACTTGCCGACGTTGGCAAGACCGACCTAAGGTCTAGGATTAGCATCTGAAGAAGAAGAAAAAGAAGCGCCAGAAAAAAAAGTAGCCAAGAGTAAAAATAAAATAGGCGGTCAGGAAAGATCCTGGTCATTCGGGGGGCACCCACAATACCACTCTTCAAGTTGTTGCCGGGACGACCCAGCAGGATCTTCTCTTCTTGAACCTGCTTCTTGGGAGGCATTTTCTTCTTCTTGTTTTTACTACTGTAGGAGCGGCGATTGGGGAGATAGAGGACAAGATAGCTCAATGAGAGCTGAGGAGAAAAAGCAGACCCGGCTGCAGCTGGCCGTACTAGGCGGGGGATCGAAGTGAAAGGAGGGCTGGGCCTGAAAAGGGACGTCGTTTTGAAGGTAGAGGCGGCTGCTGACCGCCTAAAAGGGGGGTTCAAAGCCCAGCAGAGCAGTCAGGACGCCAAAGGAATGAACTTGTGCCAAGTGCAATGCGGTGCTGTCGTGGATTTGCTCTTGGTCAAGGAAATGCGTCGAGTTGGGTGCAGGTGCTCGTGAATTCAAAATTTTGTCAAAATTTCCCCTCGCAAAGCTTCTGCCAGGTGGTGGGATGGAAGGTTCCTTTTAGTGGGGCTTGCATGCGACTTGGCTTGGGCAATCCACAGATTAATAGTGGAGACATGTGAGAGACTCGCTTCCATCTTTTGAGCTTGCGGCCTTGCTCGGGTTTGGCCCAAATAAGGTACCTATAGTTAGCATCTCCAAGGGCTCGCCCACTGGATTTCCACTGGGTTGAGGTAGTCCTCAAGAATGTCAGTCCAGGGACCTCGTTAATGACAACCGAGACCGGGCAAGGGACCGAAACTTGTGTCGAGTGCTTGCAACCTCCGTACTCCGTAGCTGAAGCCCGCTGGCGAGTTTCAAGCCAGCCCTGTAACTTGGGCGAACTTGGGTTGTAAGCTGAGCGACCGGGCACCTACAAGTACATTGAAATTGAGCTAGTCCGCCACTGGTAGAATCAGCTCCATATCCTCCCCGCATTTCCTCGCTCAGCGCCCTTCCACCTCTGTCATAACCACCGACAGCGGCGACGAATTCGGGGTCTCGAGGAGCAAACAGTTGTCGCGCAGAAGGCCAGATATTTCCTCTACTACTCTGAGCGATCTGGGATCCGGCTCACCAATCCTTCTCCCACAAGCGAATCGTTTTGGGGGCAATCTGATGCACAGCCACCAGAGCTCCGCACGTCACAGACAGGCCCAGATATCCACCAGCCGCGCAGGCTGAACTCGTCCTCGTCGCTACCTACATCAATTGGCGCCTTTCATCTCTCTCCAACCATATCACACAGAAAGACTTGCTTCGACAAAGTCCCTAGTTTCTGTGGCAATGGCTCCCAAGAGGTCCAAGTCGACTCGCACGCACCGATCGACGTTATCACTCCAGAAAACCGAGGTCGTTATCAATGTGTACGATCTCCTCCCGGTAAGCCATCACATCGTTGCTGTGCAGGATTGACTCCATGGTGGCTCGGAATACTGACGACCCCGGTCAGCCTGGTAGATTGTCCTCGGTGCTCTGGACGCTCGGCACATCTCTTCTTCACTCGGGCGTCGTCATCAATGGCAGAGAGTACGCCTACGGCGGACACGACAGGCCGGGAGTGACGGGAGTGTACTGGACGAAACCAAAGACCGAGCCTCCCGGAGGCACGTTTCGATGCGAGATCATGCACGGCTTCACGGTCGCGCCGCAGAACGAGATCGACGCCATCATCCGCACCGCCTCGGAAGAGTTCCAGGGCACGGCGTACAACCTCCTCACCAAGAACTGCAACCACTTCACCGCGTACCTGTGCCAGAAGCTCACCGGCGAGTCCGGACCGCACTGGCTCAACCGGGCCGCCAGCATCGGCGTCGCCCTGCCGTGCGTTGTCCCGCGCGACTGGATCGAGCCGCCAGATTACGACAATGCCGAGGGGGAGCTGCTGGACGAGGACGACCATGCGGACGAGCAGTCCAGGATGCTGCGCCACTCGTCGGAGCAGCCCCATCTGCTCCACGACGACCATGGATCCACCGGCGGCTGGGACAGCGAGGAGGAGCGCCGCCGAGGCGGAAGCGGCAAGGGCAAGGGCAAGGCCGCCGTTCGAGACACAGCAGGCAGGCCGCTCCCACCGTCGGAGCGGGCACCGTCGGGCTCGCGTGCATGAGTGCTGTGGACTGGGATCGGGGCATGGAAATGGAGTTACGGAAATTGCTTACATACTACGGCGCAACGGTCATACTCTTGATACCACAGACTCGTTTTGGGGGGTGCAGGCACTCTTTATTCCTGCTTTGCGGAGAATTGATTGTTAGGGAATCGAATACCATGGACCGGGCTTAATCCGGGAAAATGCACTTCATCGTTGCCTTCCAGTTGGGCTCATACTTCGGGCCTCTTCAAAGTGCAGTAGGACACCAGACCAGATCAAGGAGGAGATGAGCTGCTTGATCCCTACCTTCGGTGCCAACGCGACTGCGCCTATGTGAACCATACTCTGATAACCTAGAGGGCCTCGCAGTGACATCGACAAACGAACTTGCTCTTGAGAAACTTCATTCGTCCTGCGCTGAATCCGTGATTACCGCGGAAATAATGAAACAACACCAGCTTCCTGGTATCAGGCAGAGTTCTGTCACATTTACACAATGAGGAATAATACGATGATAACCCAGGACGATAAAATATGATAGTATATATCATAATAACTGGAAGAGCAAATATCGCATCAGTGGTTTAGTGGTAAAATCCTACTTTGCCATAGTAGGGCCCCGTGTTCGATTCACGGCTGATGCATATTTTTTTGCTCCCTTCCAGTTCAACTCTAGCATCAATTTCAGGTCTGTACAGGAATTTTTGCTACTTACCTTTTCGTACTTCTTCTCGTTTTCTGCCTTTATTTGAGACACTACTCAATGAGACCTACTTTTTGCAGTAATGGACGTTCTGGAACAGGGAGGTATGAAATGAAGGCACACTTATCATCGGCATCCAGACCATCGGGATGCACGGTAGTGCCATAAGGCTTCAAGGGTCGTGAGGGCTATTTCCAGGCTGGTGATAAAGGGATGGAATCTGCTGGTATAAGATCTGGAGCCCAAACATATCAAACCCATACAGCTATGGTTCGTTGCCAGCTGGAATCTCACGAGCAGGTAATAAACATCGTTTTGAACGTATAATCATATTAGATTTGCGCCTCGTATAAGAGTTCAGTAAGCCTCATGCCATCCCCCCCCTTTTGCCTCGGGTCCCAATCCTTCAAACCTTCGTGGATCCTCATCAAAGAAGCCACTCACTCAACCAGACTAAAAGATTAATAAGAATAAACACCACCCATCCATCCATCCCCTTTCGAGCACTATTAAAGAACCCCCAAGACACGAACGAGCAAAGGCAGTCAACTCCCCCAACCCTTGGGGAACCAGCCCCAAAGACCAAGTCTCAATCCAGCAAACGTTGACACCCCCGCGGAAAAACGCCCGTCGTGAAAACACAATGTCATCAAAAGCCATGTTCCCTTTTTCCCTCCCCCCTCCTTTCGTGAAACCCATACCCATCATCATCAATCTTCTTTTCAGCAGCCGCCGTACTTGACGCCCCTCTTGCCGAGCTCCTTGCGGCCGACGGGGTCCTCGGGCCAGACCCAGCCCCGCGAGCGCTTGGCCTCCCTCTTCTCGGCGAGCTGGGGCTGCGGCATCCAGCCGTCGCGCGGCAGCGCCTTGCGCCGCGTGCCCTCGGCCGGCGCCCCGATCTCGGCGCGCCAGTGCGCGTGGCCCCGCAGCGGCTCGTCGCCGGCGAGCATGCACAGCGCCCAGAGGGCCAGGCACGCCGTCATCGGCTGGTCGCCCGCCTCCTCCTGCTGCTGGTGCTGCTGCTCCTGCCCATCGTGATCCTCGGGGGCGGCGGCGGCGGCGGCGAGCTGCACGCTGCCGACCTCGAGGAAGCCAAAGTGCGGCGTCGACTCGTCGCCGTTGCGCACAAAGACGAGCTCGATCTCGGTCAGGATGAAGCCGTACCGGCAGCCGTGCTCGCGCATGGCGTGGTGCAGGTGCGCCAGGCCGCGCAGGTACTCGACGCGCTTGACGTTGCCCTCGACGCGCATGCCCGTGTTGAAGCGGTCGAAGCTCTTGACCAGCCCCACGACGCGCGCCGTCGGCTTGCCGCCAAAGATGGCCGCCGCGAACGAGGACTCGCCCGAGAGGTTGGCGACGAACACGTTGTCCGCGGCGCCTGCGGCACCGGCACCGGCGGCGGACGCAGAGTTGGGGTTCTTGGAGGGCACGGAGAGCTGCAGGGGCCGCGTGGACGACAGGGCCAGGGCGGCGTTGAGCTTGGGCACGTAGAAGTTGGCGTAGATGGAGTGCAGGGCGGCCTCGGTCTCCGGGTGGCGCTGGCCGGTGGCAAAGTTGGGCAGCAGCGGCTCCGGGACGGGGCACGAGAGGAGGCCGGCAGCGCCGGGCAGGGAGAGGATGGCCGAGGTGGTGAAGGAGGTCCACGGGCGGATCTGGCGAACGTCCCACCAGAAGTGCTTGGTGTTGGGGTTGCGCATGGGGAAGGAGATGGAGCGCACCAGGGAGGGAGCAGGGTTGGCGGTGGTCAGGTACGACATGAGGGTGGTGCTTGCCGGCGGCTCGGGCGTGATGGTAGCGGCGGCCGCCAGGGGAGACGGGGCGCGCGGCACGTAGGCTTGGTACATGAAGTTATCGGGCTGGCACATGCCGGCTTGGAGGGTCGCCGTGGGGATGGCGGTGGTGGCCGCGGGGCCCGAGACGAAGGCGGGCATGGCTCGGTACGTAGGGAAGCCGTACTTTTCCAGGGCGACGTTGTCCAGGCTGCATGACGACGCACGACGGGAGTGGTCGTTGAAGCCGTCGTGCTGAGGAGCAAAGCTGACAGGAGAGCACAGCAGAGTGGGCGTGCTCGAGTTGGAGTCGTCTGAGAGCTGGGAGCTGAAGGAGAAAGCGGCGGAGCGGCTGATCTCAGGGTTGGTCATGCTGCGCTGGTGGGAGGGACGGAAAGCTGGCTTGGAGGCGACGGGCGGCGGGGTTGTGCGCAGGCGCTTGGGTGGCGAAGGGACGATGGCCTGGTCCTGGGTGCGGATCTTGGGCAGGAGAAGGGGGCCGTGAGTGCGGATGGGGGAGCGGGCAGGCGTCGTGGTGCGCGTGCTCGTGGTCTGGAGAGAGTCGGAGGGCGACGACTCGAAGGAGTAGACAGAGCCATGCGAACTTGAGCGAGCATGTCCCGGGTGGTACGGGATCTCGAGGAGAGAAGGGTCAAAGGTGAAGCTCGGCGGGGTGGCCGGTTCGCAGGAAGGGAAGTTGAAGTCGAACATGACATCCGCTGCCAGCCTGTTGACACGAGTGTTAGTGCTTGGTCTAACAAGAGAGCAATAAAGGGTTGCCTTACGTGGACATTGTGACGACTTGGAAGGGCGTGTGTATCTACCGGGACACACAACAAACGTTGAGATTATATGGTAGGCGGAGAACCAGCTCCGAGGACGACGCAGGCTTTTGTGATATAGGTGATGAAGGGTGGTCGTGAGAACCAAGCTCTTCTTTCCCTCGGGGGCAAGTCTAGCAAGATGAAACAGAAAGGAAAAGGAAAGAGAGGGAAGATGGCGTTTGAGAGTGAGGAGGAGGAAGAAGAGGCTTGGGCTGATGAAGAAGAAGGACTGGAGGAGAAAGGCTGATGGAGGGTTGAGGGCCATGAGGTCTTCTTATCCTCGCGGGAGAGATGGGAAAGATCACAGCCCCAGCTGCCGGTCGAGTGGGAGGGGACCCGCATTGGACCATCCGATGGGGGATATGATGATGAAGGCGGTGATGCCACTTGCAGACATGGGGTGTGTGGGTGGAAGTGACAAAGGCGAGAGAGCCCATGATCACGATGGGCCAGCCCAGTTCATCAGAGATGGCATCCACTTGGATGAGAAAGGCCACCTGAAACACGGAAGCAAGAGGGAGCCCGCATACAGTAGAGCTTGTGTCGGGCAAGCATCATACGCACCAAGGCCCGTCAAGAGGCCAGAATGAGATCAATCTCCCGTAGCCTTGGCTGATCGTCTGCCAGAGGTCCGGCCGTGTGGCCCCAGGCCCAGGGGTTGGCGCCGGGGGACGACAAAAAAGCAAAGGGTACGCACTCACGGTGTACAAGAGACAGACCGGGACGTGGTGCAGGCGGCGAGAATGAGATACGCGCGCAAGACCTCAACTGGCAATGTCTCGGGAGCCGGCGCTTGCAGCGAAGAAGCAAAGGGCAGGGTCGTTGCGGTCAAGTACCCAGATATGTCTCCCGGAAGCAAAGAGACGAGGTACCAGATACCGGTCCTGGGCGTACATCTGGATGTATTTCTCCTCTCAAGTCTCCCAACCACCCCCGGTCGTATGCTTCCACGCTGAGAGGGTTGATGAGCTTCTGCAGGGTGGCCCTCTCGCGCTCTCGTCTAGACTTCTAGAGCGAGGCGGCAGAGATGGTGCCTCTGCACATCGACGACGTCGGTCGGGAGAGAAGCAAGCCAGGTCGGACAAAGTCCCCGGCAGATCTGGGGTCCCACAGGCGTCTTTCCCACCCCGAAAGGAGCAAGATGGGCAAGCCATCAACGGCCCTAGCTCCTGGGAGTTGAGTTGTCGATGCAGCATCCAAGGCCGTGAGTGGCCAGAGGCATATGCAGCCACCCCTGCCCTGCACTGGCGTCTATGAGTCATATTTAGACACATGGCAGCATCTGTGGTCCAGCACTTTGGGATGCGACATTACAGCGCAACCCCCACTGGAGCCGGGGGCGGGTGGGCACTCCACGAAACCCACGAAATGCCGCTAAGGCACCCTCAACGCTGCTACTGCAGAGCGCCAAAACGCGCTGCAACGGCATCACGAACAACTGACGAGGCGACCCCCCCCCCGCGTCTTGCGCGACTGGTTCCACGATTCAAAGGGCAGAAAAAAGCGCGGGGTGGCATGGCAGAGACACACTCCGGAGACGAGCCAACAAACGTGACTGCGCATCCGCTGCTCCGTGCATACGCGTTGCACGTTGCAGCGTCCAAGACGACGACGCGACAGGCCGACGGCTGTCCTCCTCTACAGCACCAGCCCGAACAATTGGCACACAGTGCTCCCCCCGCCTACCGCGACAATCCTCACTTTGGGCACGGCTTGGGCTCCCATGCCGTACATGCTATGCCATGCCATGCCATGCCATGCCATGTCTCGCCGAGCCAGCGTCTGTCTCTGCGCTTCTGGGAGCGGCAAGAGCGCCCTCTCCTCTCGGTACTTTGCTTCATCGGCCAGTCCTATTTTTGGGACACCCGCCGGCCCAGAGACCTGGCTGGACAGATTCAAGGGCTGTCTCGGTAATTGCCATGGCTTGGGGCGAGCGGCTACTGAAATTGGCAGGCTTCAGGGAGAGAAAAAGGAAAACCAGGCGACAGCCATGTCTGTGTGGTGTAAGTAGCCGTAACAGCCGCGCCGAGGGCGGTTGCGACAAGCTCGTTTGGTTAGGCGCGGAGAGGCTGACGGGAGCGAGATTACGGACAGGGCCGGGATGGGATGGGGCTGGCTGTCTCTTTTTTCTTTTTCTGGAAGCATGGTCTCTGCGTGCGGGTGTCTGTGTGTCCGAGTGCGCTGTGTTCCGTGTTCCACCTCTGTCGTAGATCGGGCGCAACAGACCCCGGCCCGGGCTACTGCTGGTGGGTGGTGCTTCCTGCTGCGCTTCTTCACTCTAACACAGCATCAATCCATCGTAGGCAACCTGCTCGGCTACTGTGTCGTGTGGCTTTGCTTTGCCTCACCCGCCGGCCCAATGCTAAACGACGGGACGTCTTGCTTTTGCATCGTGTGACCCTCCCTCGAGATCTGCTCCGGCATAAACCTCCGTCGCCCTACTTGACGCAGCTATTGGGCACTCTCTGTGTCTGGGCGGCTCCCGAGATGAAATCCAGGGACCAAGGGCCTGCCTCGCCCGACCCAATCCGGCTTCATAAAAGCTCCTGGTGACCTTCATTTCGCCCAAGACGGGCGGCTTGACAGTCTGGTTTTGCACAGCCTCAGCAGAGAAAGTCGGCCAAGGTCGGTCTCTGTGGCCTGACTGACGACGACAAGTCGCCGGGTGGCCGCGCGTTGGCTGGCGCTTACACACGATATTTGCGAGGGACGGGCGCTTACATCCAAGCTGAGGCTGGGCGTCAAGCACCGTGTGTGTTCCGTAACGAGAAAGACTTGGCTGCTTGTATTATCTAAGCATCCCGTTTCCGACGGGGGCCATTCTTCATCTCCGTTCTGTTCTCGCGTGCAATTCGTGGGCCGTTCGTGGCGCCCGTGCAACCGGACTGGGTTGTCCATCGACGCGAGAGTGCGTCGCGTGGCTCAAACGCGGGCGCGAAAGAGAAAGAGAAGAAGGCTGGCGTTCTCTTTAGCGGGCGGATTTCCCGTCAAAAAGACGTTGGCGGAAGCGTCCGATTCGCCGCTCGCCGGATCCCTGTCCGGCCATTCATGCAAGCTCGCGCGAGCGCTCCGCCCAATGAGCTTTGTCTCCCAGGCCCTGTCCTTCGCCCGGTTCATTGGCCCTCGATCGTCGTGGGAATACCGATGGGCACTCCTCAAGACGGTGTGGTCTTTCCGAGTCCCGACAGCTCCCACCCTTCCAGTCTTTTTCCTGATAGTCCAATATCTCGTTTCATGTTTCACCCCGGTAGCTTCGTTGTTTCATGTTTCATCTGCTTCCCTCTTGGTCTGTGGGATTATGACTCACCTCTTGGCTGCAGTAGCATGCAGGAAGTGGTGATCCTCTCTCGCTCGCTTACACGGAACGAGCTCTGATCATGGTGATGATGATGATGACGATGACGATGGTGCTTGTTTCTTCCTTGGTGACATCCACGGGAAAAATAGCGCAAGAACTTGGCAGAGAAGTACTCCTCGCCTCGTGATGGGACTTTGATCTCGCAGCGCTATTGTCTGCGCCCGCGCTGTGTATCTATTCCAGCCAAAGTGTCTATGAGGTATACTCCCGGCCTTGGTATCGAGCTTTCCAGATCGGCCACACAAACAAACCATTATCTATGTCATTAAAAAAGAAGCGAAACACGAGGGGGGGGGAAAAAAAGGAAAAGCTCCTGTAACCCTTCTTGGAAGAAAGAGCCGAACATCCGTGAAAAAGCCTAATCAGTATCACCGCCAGTCTCTCCACTAGCACTCGCCACGTCCAACTTCCTGACTTTCCTCAGCGCCCTCTTCATCCCCTCGAGCCTCATGCGCTCGAGCACGAGCACCCCCCTCGCCAGCTCCCGCACCGCCCTGCGCCCTTGCCTCTCGTGCATCTCTTGCCACCCGGCGAGCTCGCTCGCCACCGTCTGCTGCGAGTAGCGCAGCTCCCTGCTGAGGTCGTCGGCCTGCGTCTGCGCCTGCCTCCCCCTCTGCTCCCGCTCCTCGTTCATGCGCTGCCGCGTGTCGTCCAGCAGGCCCAGGGGCCACCGCGTGGACCGGTTCAGCGAGCTAAAGTCGCGCTCCGCCTGCCTCCGCGTCGCCGAGATCTGGTTGATCAGCTTCGGCGGGCGCGCGAGGGCGATGAGGATGGCGTCGATGGTCGATTGCATGGCCAGTGCGGTGGCGTGAAAGGCCGCGTACGGGTTTGACTGAGACGGCTGCAGCGCGGCCGCGTATGCCTCCAGCGCCGCGATGTGCGCTTCGGGCAAGAAACCTAGGTGCTCGGTCCGCCGAGGAACCAAGAGCGAGATGTCATAGAGATCTGTTTTGCACTGGTCAGTATCAAGTAGACAAGGGAACAAAAGGGGTCAACAGGGCTGTACGCACCATTCCCTACCAGAGCGATGACATTGCTCCGCCTCGCCACGCTCTTGGTGAAGTAATTGACCCCACGAACCATGTCGCGGGCGTGGTCGACAAATTGCTCGACCTCTCGCACGTCATGGACCGGCTCATACTCGTCCCGGACCTTCTCGGCCCTCGTCTCGGCCTTGAGCTTGCTCCTCTGCTCCATCATGTCCAGCTGCAGGTCCGGCACCAGGAAGAATTCCCAGAGCATCTCGTGCGTCGCAAAGGTTGGGTGGCTCAGCAGTATGCGCAAGAACCAGTCCATCCGCACCTGCAGGTCCTTGAGGGTCGCGCGGCTGGGCTTGGACGGGATCTGGAATGGGGAGCGCAATCCCGTGATGTTAGGTATCCACGAGGCTGGGTTTTCCATGGCGAGCAGCTTGGCGAGGTGCTCAAAATCTGTGAGCGACCGGCGGCACGTTGTGACCGCATAGCTGACCTTGTCCACTGGCGCGCCCGACTTGAGCACGAAGCGCACGCTCGCGTCCTCCACAAAGTAGGACCGGACAACGGCAGTCGTGCGCGAGTCCGCCCCGGGCGGCATGCTAAAGAGAGTCAAGTCGTCAATCCTGTTACGCACGTCGTCGTCCTTGGCCAGTTCTACGGCTGTCAGCCCTCGCAGCTCCCTGGCGGCAACGTCCACACGCGGATCTCCAAATAGTGTGCGAACCATATCCAATCGTCCATATTTGCTGGCGACCATCAGGGGTGTAAATTTCTTATCGTTGGCAGCATTGACGTTGACGTCGCAGGTCTGCAAAATCCGCAGCGCCAGCTGAGCATCTGTTACGATGTGGAGGAGCGTGTTGCCCTTGCCATCGACATGGTCATCCAGATGGAGAGGCTGCCCATCTTCTTGTGTCACCCGCGCGACCTCGAGCGCCTCTTCCACCATCGAGCGGTAAGTCGCGTGGTCGTAGGAGCGGCAGAGCGCGAATAGGGGCGTCTGCCCATTCTTGTCTTTTTGCCGCCAGGGCAGCATTCTTCCATAGGTCGCCATTAAGAAGGGTGCATTGAAAAGATAGTGCGCTACGCTGCGCCCCCAGATGTCCTGCACGGCAAAGTATTTTCGTAGTCTATCGGCGCCGACGTGGGGCGAGTCGGCGAGGTACTTGAGGATGAGAGAGATGATGTCCCGGTTGCCGAGCTGAACGGCAGCGCTGAACAGAGTCGTATCTTCGTGATTCATGTCGTCCAAGACGAATTCGGGAGTGTAGTATTCAGTGAGGGAGAGAAAGTATCGCAGAGTCTCAGTTTGCTCGTGTTGGATAGCCATCATGAGGATAGATTCGCCAAAGGAGTCCTGGGTCTGGGAGAGCCGCTCGATAGACGTGTCGGCTTCCAAGGTACTGCCAATGGTACCGATGCTCGTAGCCCGCGAGCGAAACGAGATTTCCGAGCCGCTCGACATGCTTCTCGTGTCCATGGCCACTCTCTTGATCCTCTTGGGGACAATGACGGGGAAGCTGCCACCTGTGCAAGTCTCGTCCACTTGAAAGGGGAACACATGGCTTAGGCCCGAGCCGGAGGAGAACCGCTCCGACGCGGAGAGATCGATGGACGACCTCTTGGACGAGCGACGGGACGAGCCGTTAGTGAAGCTCCACCCACTGCTAGACGAGAGCCTGCGGCTCGAGGATGACAAGTCGGCGTCGGCGAAATCTAGTGCCTCATCGTTCTCGCCCTCCTCTCCCTGATCGGGTGGTTCAATGATCCGGCGCAGCTCCGCCAGGTCGCCCTTGGTGGTAGCTTCCCATAGTGTCTTGTTGCGTCGGCTCGCTCTGCGGAGCCCGGCAGAATCCTGGATGAGATAGGAGAGCACCGCCTCAAAGGTGCTTAGAGCGTAGCCAATCTCGCCGCTGTCTACGTCTTCGATAAAGATGAAGTGCCTTATGTAGATAAATCTGGCTTGCAGGTGGCGCGTCTGGGCTCGTATGACTACGTACAGCAGTAGTGAGACCAGTGTGTCGGCGTTGACGGTCATAAAAGGCTTTTCGGACGACGAGGTAGAAGCGGAGGTCGGATCGGTTGAAGGGTGCGGCATTTCTGCCAGCTGCGTTGCCAATTTGACTGTGGACAGTAGCGTATCGAGCATCTCCTGCGGACTCGAGCCACTTGGAATCTTTTTGAACTCCTCGACAGCGCGCCCAAGCGCGATGGTGACTTCATGCTTGCCTCGCAGACCGCCCTCAATGGCAATACCCAGCTGGGAAATGTCAATAAACTCCATCTGGCGGATCTTAGCCTCAAGCTCTAGATCCTCTTGTCGCTTGAGGGCGAGGATGCGAGGGAAGAGCAAGTGGTGAATATTCTCTGCAACGTAGCGCTCGATCAGCTTCTCGACCACGGGGCCGGTCAGGTCCGTCGTGGCCCCCAGGAGTGACAGTTGCTGCTTGTCCACATTTTGAAAGAGGTCGATAGCTGTGGTGACGGCGGTCTCCAAGGCAATCCGCATCACATTCTCGTCGTCCTCATCGCTGGCCCAGGTCCCGCTGAGGCTGTCCGACGACGGCCGCAAATTAACCGATGAGCTGCTATTGGACCTTGCTTTCCTCGTCGCTGTTGTGATGGGGCCGTCCGGGATCGGGTCTGGTATGTACGTTGATGAGGGCGGCGGGGGGAGTTGCTTCTCAAAGACCAGGCTGAACTCTCGGAAGATCTTTTCTAGCCCGGACTGCATCTGCCTGGCAATGGCTGGGAAATGGTTGAGAAGCTCGTGGAAACTCTTGATATCCTTCTTCTTGGGCAGATCCACCGCGTCACTGGCCTCGGCCGCCTTCGCTCTCTCCTGCCCGAGGACCACCGCGGCGCCCAGGAGAAGCGCCGGTGGCACCTTGCTCTCCTCCCACGTCCCAATCAGAGGCTTCGAGATGTAGTATACCAGCCAGGGCTTCGGCTCGAGTGTATCCGCGTACCATATCGCATCGCTGACAATGTTGGCCTGGGCCAAAGACTTGAACCCTGTAGCATAGACGCGATGATGTCAGACCAGGTTCGCAAGAGAGATAGATAGGGGAATAGAAGTGGCGCAAGTACTAGACGTAGCTTACCCTTATTACTATAGACAACATTGTCCTTGATCACGACGCTCCGCCCGTTGATAGTGTTGTACGGCTTGGCCTTGCCCCTCACATCGCGCAGGTTCTGGACAGACTCCTTAACCCCCGGCCCGGCCGGTCTCGTCGCCCCTGGGATGCGGAGGACGTGGCTTCCCAGGAAGTCGTCGGAGGCGACGACCTCGGCGGCGGGGGCGCCGCTCTCTGTGTCGTGACTAGACAGGAGCACATCGGTTGCGGGGACGAGGAGGATGTGGTGAGCGATGGGATGACACTGTGTCGGGGTGGAGCTCTTGAAGAAGGCGCTCAGGAATGGATTTAGAGGTTGCATTCATTCGGCTTGTCTCCTCGGAGCTGGTCACATCCGCATGTCCTGAGCTCAAGTGGAGAGCAAGCAAGAAGAAGCAGTGGGTTCTGCGTGTCGCTGTTGATCAATCGGAAATCGACGTATTGTAAGAGAGGCCGGATCGGCGGCGGCTTGCAAGATCCACGTCGGCCGGAGGTGGTGTCGCTGAGCTGGCGTGGAGCGTGGAGCATTGATGGCGCAGCTCGTGGAGCTTCCGAAAGAAGCTAGTGACCCTAGATCTTAGAATGGCTTTGATGTAAGGAAATAGGCTAACAAAACTCAACAATCGCATCAGTGGTTTAGTGGTAAAATCCTACTTTGCCATAGTAGGGCCCCGTGTTCGATTCACGGCTGATGCAAGCGAGCAAAGTGTATTGAAAAATACGCGATTTTCTTTTTGGCCGGATTTAGATTTTTGTTTGCCTCTCTCAGACATCTGAAGCAACTGGTGTGTTCTAAAGTAGTTCAGGTGTGGCTATTTTGACATCTTTGCTTTATGTGCGCAATTGCTCTCAGCTAAAAGCAGGGGCGTTTAGCTAGTCGAGGCTCTGGGAAGCCTGAGAAATCACATCACGTCTTCTCATTCAAACCAGCACCTTACCTTACTGCACTGCCGTAGCTGATCAACACATTCCGTCTCAAGCCCATGTCTATTGCCACGCATTTTCGCCCATGTCTTTTGTGGTCGGGGCAGAGTGCAACATTTACAACAGTTCAGGTATTGTGGCTTGCATCCTGTAGGCTTAGAGCAATAAAGTGTTGGTAGTTCTAGCTTTCTGCGCCAATATTGCAAACAGATTAGAAGGGGTCGAGCACATATTGTAAACTTAGCAATTTAGTGAATGCCATAAGATGTGATGGGTTAAATAACAATCAAGAATACTATTACAGGATGGAGCAAAAAAAGGAAGATCATATTTGCATCAGCCGTGAATCGAACACGGGGCCCTACTATGGCAAAGTAGGATTTTACCACTAAACCACTGATGCTGTTGATTGGTCGCTCTCAATATTTGGTCATGAGCTATATTGATTCTCATTGAGAGGAACTTGCGCCTGATGGAATCATCGAGTTCCCAACTTTATCCTTGTGTAATTGAACCTTGTCTCTTTGCCTATAATGCCGCGAGCTCGTTCATTGACGACGAAGACTCGAGGTGAAGTTCCATGGACTCCTAAACCCTTTTGCAACTGGATATATCGGTCACTCACCTACAATGGATATTGTGTAATCCCACATGTTGAACAAAGAGAAACTGCCAACAGCTGGGCTTGTGGAGGCACCAATGCTTCTAACAATCCCAGTAGCATTCACATACGCTTTAAACGGTTTCGGGCATTCCCAAGAATATGTAGCCATATTCGAGGGAGATCTTCCGCCAGTCAGTCACTACGTTGAAAGGGGTATCGCAAGGCCAATGTCGGCCTTTGTACGCCGTGCCTCGCCTGAGGATTTCCTGTCCACCGTCACACCCAAGATTCCATCTGACCTCTTTCTCCTGGTCTATGTCGTTGGGTCGCCCTAGGCTGTCCAGTGAATGTAGCCAGAGAGTGGTATGTGACCGGCAAAGACATCTGACCTGCCTGTGACATTCACGGATACCAACATATCGACACCTCGCCGTACCACTTGAAAGAGATTGGGCCGGCGTGGCGTATCTTTCCTGCGGTGTCTTCTTCTTCGTAGAGTGAATGTATCTTGGTTGCTTCGTTTGCCTTTTGTCTCCAGAGCGAATGAGGTCAAGACGGCCTGAGCAGGCTTGCTGATTGCTTTTGACGACAAACTCAATTCTGCTTCAGCTTCCAGACCTGCCTCACATAAAAAGCTGTCTCGTACAACCTTTTCATCCCATCGACTGAAACTCAAAGCCTCCTTTCCCCTCAATCTTAATAATCAGTCAGCAGGATCACCATCCGCAACAGTCGCAATGACCACTCCGACAAGCATGGCGCCAGTCCTGCGCCTTCTTCTCCTCCTCCTGGCATTCTCCCCCCTCGCAGCGACGACATTCTGCTACTGGCCCAACGGCGAGAGCGCTGACGAAAACACGTACGTGCCCTGTGTCGACAGTAAGGGCGCCGGCAACGGCGTCTGCTGCCAGCAGGGCGACATCTGTATCGGCATCAAGTTATGCCAGACTCGCCCGTCCTTTGGCGAGCTGCCCCTCGGCGGCGTTGGGAACATCGAGGCTATCCCAGAGTACTACCGCCCGGCATGCACGAGCGACGACTGGTTCAATGATCGCGTCTGCAGAAAGGTCCCCTGTGCAGACGACTCGGCCCCCTTTCACGACCTCCTGGACGGAGTGCAAGGCCTCGGCCAGTGCGACGATAAAGACCAGGGCGTGTTCTACTGCCTAGACGACGCGAGGCCCCAGCCCAAATGCGGCCTGGGCGATAAACATCTGCTTACCATCGATAGTGAGTGTTCTTCTTTCTTTTCCCCGTCCACTGGGGGCCGCATATACTGAACCCTAAGACTAGACATGCAAGACACATATACAGCCTCCCGGCCGAATGGTGTATACCTCATCCCCACTACCACAAAGGCCACGGAGACGAGCTCCAGAAGCAGCAGCAGTAGCAGCAGCAGCACCAGTGTAATCCTGGTAGCAGGACCGCCCGTCACCGCGGCCCCGGCCCCGTCGAAGTCCACCTCCCCGCCACCAGGAACCGCGGCGCCTGCCCCAACGACAACAGGGCCGGTTGTGACGCCGACGACGACACCGGGCGCGGTGACGCCCCAGGAAGCGAACAACGACGACAAGGCGGCGGACCTGCCGCTCGCTATCGGCGGCGCGATCGGCGGCGTCTCCTTGCTGGCGGCCGGCGTGCTGGCCTTCTTCATCGCGCGGCGCCTGCGCTGTTGCCGGGGCCGCCGTCTCGCCGCGAGGGCCGAGAGCCCGCCGCCCATCGAGCTCGACGGTTGGCGCCCTGGACAGGCTGAGAACAGCAGCGGGAGGGACTATGTTGCCCATAACGGTGGTGGTGGGGGCGGCGGCGTGGAGTTGGGTAAGAGCGCCGGCGATGGCTATGGTTATGGCTGGAGGAAGTACTACTGATTTTGGTCTTTGTTTTTATCTTTGCTCCTTTCCATTTTCTCCTTGCTAGTGACGTATGACCTCTCTTCTTTCGTGGAGTTTTAGAGATAACAATGGCGTTGACGTTGTGACAAGGGTTCAATGCCTGGGGGCCCCTGGACATGAAATCATGAAATGGCGAACGCACATTCTTCATGAGTGAAGAATGCGCCATTCTATATTCTGTATTCCTTTCATGTGCACATATATTTCTGTATGCTACGTTGGGATGGCTATCCCTCTTGCAGTCGCTCCTCCATGCCGTGTATATGCTACGCAAGGTCTCAATGATCATCATCATCGTGAAAGGGAACTCAATTTCCTCTGTACATGACTCTCCCTTCTCCCTTTACTTCGGATCTAACCTCGAGTCACCGTCGTTCCGGCATCCTTATCTTTGCCAAAATCCTGCGAAAAGATGCGCTGCCAAGCGTCTAGCCAGCGCTCGTGCTGCGCCGTCGGTAGCTTGCCGGGCTGCTTGAAGGACCTCGTCAGCATTTCACGGAGCCGCGAGCGCAGCACCTTGATGACTAGCATGGTCTTCCAGTCCGGCGCAGCGAAACGGGCTCTGTTCCCGTCCAGGATCAATACGCCCGAGTACATCTAGTCATCGTGTCAGCGGGTGTGATTGGAATAATTGCAAATGGGCTGTCTCAGCGGGAAACCTACATCAACTCGCACATCGCCACAGAGCAGGGCGATAGGGAAGGCCTCTACGGCCGTGGTCTCGTGTGCATTATAGTATCTAGAGTTAGAAAAAACGATCATTAGTAGAGGGCCCCTTAAATTGCGGCCAAGTTAGGGTTGTGACATACGACTTGGACTGCATGATATGGTAATAAGACAGCCACCTCAGGTCGTTGTGGCCCTTGTTGACGCTCGAAGGGTGAAGGCTAATGGTCTGGTTGTTGCCGACGTTGCGCAGGCCCCGGCCGCCCGGCACGTCGCGCACGAGCAGCTTGGGGTAGAAGCTCCACGCGATGACGGACTGGGAGATGACGTCGTTGTCGCTGTTGATGTTAACACGCTGCGGCACGTCGACAAAGACCTGGCGCCGCCGCCTGTTGCCCGCGGCGTAGCGCGACTGGTTGAGCGCGCGCCTCTCCTCCGACGTGACGGACAGGAAACCCGAGTCGACGAGCGAGACGAGCAGCTGGCCCTTGAGGTCCTCGATGTTGGCCAGGGTCTGCGGGCTGAGGAAGTTCTTGCGGCAGAACTGGAACTCGCCGCCGCCCGACGCGGCCACGGCGGACTGGCAGACGCGCTTCCAGGCGAGGTAGGCGTTGTAGATGGTCAGCAGGTCGGAGTCGCCGCGGCGGAAGCCCAGCCGTACCGTGTCCGCTTGGTTGCGCTGGCCGAAGGGGGCGACAAAGGGGGATTTGGAAGACAAAATGGCGGCCACGGTGAGCGCCATGTCCAAGCACTTGAAGACGGTGCCGAGGAGGATGAGCTTGCCGAGGAAGACATCGAGTGGCAGGCGCGCGAGCTGGTTTCCCAGTGGCGTGAGCTCTTCTGCCGGCGTCAGGGCCCTCACATCCACGAGGGCGTCGACGGCGCGGCGGATATTCTTGGCCGAAGGGGGATCGAGGGCCTCGCTTAGCGTCTCCTCGATGGCGCCAATCTTACAGATCTTGACGCGTATGGCGAGGTCTTGCAGCGACAGGCGCAGCATCTCGGGAGTCTGCTGGTCGTTCATGAGGTTGTCGTGCCGGTACTTGGTGAAGAGATGGAAGCAGAGGCCCTCCTGCACACGGCCCGCGCGACCGCGGCGCTGTTTGGCGTTGGCACGGGAGATGAAGGCGTCGAGCAGGCGGGACAGCTGCCGCCGCTCGTCGAAGCGCATCTCCCTGTGCTTTCCGGTGTCAATAACGCAGGTGACATCAGGGATGGTGATGCCCGTCTCTGCAATGTTGGTCGCCAGCACGATCTTGCGGTAGCCTGGGGGTGGTATGAGGAAGGCTTGCTCCTGGTCCTCGGTCGCGATCGTGGAGTGCAGTGGGTAGATGAGCCAGTTAGAGCTAAAGTTACGATCACCGAGGAGCAAATCATTCAGAGTGCGGATCTCGGCAATGCCGGGGAGGAAGACCAGGATGGCCTTACTGAAGTCCGCATAGTTCGGGTCAGCAGCGATCTTGGAGATGAGCTGGACGACTAGGTCAGGGTAAATTTGGTATTCGTCAATCTGGGACAGGGTACTGCGCGTCCTGGGCGAGTAACTGCCGAGGGTCTTGAGCAACTCTGGTTTGGACGAGGTCTCGGGCTCAATGTCTACCAGGTCATCGTCGAGATCCGTAAGCTTCTCCTGGACGCGCTGCTCAGTGGAGAAGCCGGTGAGCTCGACCGCGTCCTCGAGGTATCTAACCTGGACGGGGAATGTTCGCCCGGGTACGTTGAGCACGGGCGCACCACCGAGATACTTGGAGAAGCGGTCCGCGTCCACAGTGGCCGACATGAGGACAACCTTGAGGTCTTTTCTCCGCAGCATTAGCTTCTTGAGAACGATCAGCAAAAAGTCGCTGTCAATGGACCGTTCGTGGACTTCATCCAGCACCAAGTGGGTTATCTCTTTCAAATCATTGGAGCCCTCAAGCATCCTCATGACAATGCCGGTGGTGGCATAGACAAGCCTGGTCTCTTTGGACGTGTTGGCCTCGAGGCGGATCGAGTAACCAACGAGCGATCTGGGGGTACCGATGTCGTTGCGGCCTTCGCCAAGCTCCTCGCTGACGCGTTTTGCCAGCGAGATGGCTGAGATCCGGCGCGGTTCTGTGCAGTAGATCTTGCAGTTCTTGCCCTGGGAGAGCTGGTGCTCAAGCAGAAAGGAGGGGACCTGAGTAGACTTGCCGCAGCCCGTCTCTCCGCAGACTATGACGACCTGCTCACGATCGACAGCTTGCAGGACTTGATCCCTAAAGTGCCACATGGGCAGCTGCATGCGCGACTTTAGCATGTTTTGGAACTTGGGAGTGCTGCTCTTGTCCGACCAGATCTTTTGGTAGTATTCCGGGTTGCTGGCCTGCGCCTTGGACTTGTCCGAGAGGCCATCGTCCTGGGCATCGGCGGCGCCCCGCGGACCAGCTCGGCCTCGAAAGGCCCCCTGTAATAATACACCATCCTCGAGCTCCTGATCCCGGCGTTCTCGCACGATCGATCGGAGCTCCTTGATGGCTTGGCGGTCTTTGGCGTCAGCCTCGCTCTTCCTGGCATCCGCAAATTCTGTCCAGAGGTCTTTCCAGGCGGCCGGAAGGCGCATCGCTACCTTTTCCTCTTTTGAAGAGGAGCCAAAGACGAGGAACAGAGCGGCCGTGGCCACATAAGCCTCGGATTGCTTCTTGTCGGGCGTCGCCACGCCAGTCATCTGGAAGGTGAAGCGGCTCGGGTAGACGACGCTCTGCACGTTATCGACTGAGAGCAGCTGCGCCGTGTCCTGGGCCTTGTTCCACTGGATTGTCACAGCGTGGCGGTTGGCAAACGTGGACTCGGAGATCAGGGAGTAGGAAATCCTAGCTGATGAATCGCGAGACCTGCACGCCTCCTCAAGTACCCTCGTGGGACTGATGCCGGTCCATTTGCCAAAGTCTCGGATGATAACCTTGACCCCATCTGCACCGTTGACGACGGTGCTGGATTTGCCAGAGACCGGATCAACTTCGGTGGTGGGGAGGCTTGAGAACAAGTCCCCGAGTGCGTCGTCATCATCGTCCTCATTCTGCGCGAGTATCTCTGCCGCGATACGCTCAGCCTCCTTGGACACATCGTCTACTTCCTCGGCGCCATCCTGCGCGGTCTCTGCGGAGGCTTCAGCGGCCGCTTTTGCCTCTTCCGCCTCTTCTGCACGCTTCTTCTTTTCGGCCGCATAGTCCTTCTCTAGTATAATTTTCCTGTTCCTCCACAGCTGCTCGGCCACGTGGCTGTCAAAGAGCACATCATTCTCGATCCGGTCAATCTTAGCAAGTAGCTTTGCGACTTTCAATTCCTCCTCAGGGCTCTGCGACAGCGCTTGAGCCGCCTTACGCTTGTTCGCCGGCAGCTGGTCTTGCTGCGGCCGCTGTATCGCAAACAGCTCTGATTTGGCATCAACATACTTGGGCACGAGATCGTCCGGCTCTATATCGCTGTCGTACGTGACGACAAGCTTCTTGGGCGCAGCCTGCTTGACGCCGTTCTTCTTCTTTAGGCGAGAGTCGGTGCTCACGCCTCTGGGGGTAGTAGCACCAGAAGGCAGCGGCGTGTCCACGGGTGTGTCCACCTGGGATTTAGACCCTGCTCCAGCTTTGGCTTCATACCCGGGCAAGTCGTCGTTCTGACACTCCCTCGCAAGCCAATCTAGCGCCTCGTCAAGACCCCATATGGAATCCTTGTTGCCAGCGTTGACGTTGGGTGCAATGTCGAGCACGTACTTGAGCACAGACTGTATCCTTTCGCCCAGAAAACCAGCTGCCTCGAGCGTCTGTTGCAGGGTCCACAACTTGATGGTGAGGTCCTCCTCGGCCAGCATCTTGCTAGATGAGACCGAGTCTGAGGCAACACTCGAGGCGGCGAAGCGCCCTTCGGCCTGAATGAGATCGAGGACGTGGTCCATGAGTTCTGGCGGTAGCCATTTCCGCGCATTGACCGACTCGGCCTGGCCTCTGAGCAGGCGGCGGTCCGTCTCTAGCCGGGACTTTTGGCGCTGTGCATCCCGGCGCGTCTTCTGCGCATGCTTTTCTACCAGCAACTGCAGCTCCGACTCTTCGAGCTGCTTCTCGAATTCCTCTGCGCTTAGGTCCTGTCCGGGTGCCCGTGCCTTTTCGCCGTTCTGGGGAGCTCCGGCGGCGGCGGGCGCTGCAGCGGGTGATGGGCCGCTGCCTTTGGCTGCAGGAGGGGCATCGCGGGCCTTACCGGCAGCTTCAGCGGTGTTGTCAGCGGCCGCTTCAGTGGGGTCTGCCCGTGGCTTGGACGCAATGGATGTGGTCGCAAAGCCACGGGCTACACTGGCAGCCGGCTTCTTCTTTTTCTTGTTGCCGCCTGCCATGCTTGGCGAATTTCACGGGCGTGCGGATACAGTCTCTGATCTTGGTGCTGTGCAAAAGGGGAGAAACAGTAGAAGACAGATTATTTGGGTGCCCGTAAAACAGCCCAAGCTCGCGTGTCTGGTGTGCTGCTGTCAGTGATGTCACGCTGTAAAACCCGCCGAAAGTGGAAATGTGAAAATGTTAAAATTTACCCGGGCAGGCCTTTAGCGACCCCATAAAAACGGCATAAAACGTCGACCGCCTGCCTGTTTGGTGCTGAATTTTCACACCCCACCAAAGGCGGCGTGCCTGTCGTAGCCCTACTAACCAGACCAGATCTGGCTCGCCGGACATGAACGTCTGAGAAGGCTAGCTCAGCAAACCTTCAAGGCTCGAAGACAGTACCTTTTCACCCGCCCCAGCTTCGAAAGGACCCCAATTCTCTCTATACAAGGAGCGACGACTGCCGCGGGAGTCCTGGTTCGCTTTTACAGTGTCTCAAGGCCAACGCGCCATGCTATCGGCACCTCAGATGCGACACGATGACTGATGTGGTGGTCAACGGCGCCGGGACTGGCAGCATTGACCTGGTCTCGGCCAAAGCTGCCCTGCTCTCCTCCTCTACCAAGACCAGAATCTCGCAGCTCAGGGCCATTGACGACAAGATTGCTCAAGATGGTAGGTTTCTGCACCCCTAGGACCCGTGCTTTCTGGAGCTCGACCGAGCTGATGAACCGTGACTGTTAGTGATCGAACCCGCAAGCCTGGCCGCTCTCCTACCGACCCTCTTTTGGACGCACGCCTTCTACCAGGACAGACCCTCGCGAAGCGCTGTTCAGGCGTGCTTCGTCTCTATCTGCAAAAAGGGAGACAGCAGCCATCTGGCCCCTCTCGTATCCGCTCTACGCCAAGAATCGCACAAGGCCAACATTGCACCCAACAATGCCTTCGTTCTTATGGAATGGTGCAGCGTGCTGATGCAGGCACTGGCTGGCACCGCCCTGTGGGACAAGTTTGGCAAGGATATCGTGTTGAGCGACGCAGAGGCCCTCGAGAAGTGCCTACGGCCTCCTTCCCGGAGCGGACTGGCCCATTCGGCACTCGTCGTCACTCGACGCGGCTTCAGAAAGCTCTTTGCGGCGAGCGCTAACTGCGAAAAGACCCTGCAGGAAGCCGTACAGATCCTGACAGCCAAGGGAAACCAGCCGACGGCCAAGTATGCTCCCCTACTTGGCGTCATCGCCGGCGTCTCTTCACGCAACGACCAGGCACGGCCAGTCTTGCAGTCGGTCAAGGCCCAGTACTTTGCCTATTTCACCCGCGAGATTGTGGGGTCCAGGACGCCTATCCCCGTACATCTTGCCAGCGGCCTGCGCGACTTCTTCTCCGACTTTGTGACGGCTGAGGACCTCCAGGCCGAGATCGTCCCCCAACTAGCAAAGGGCCTGCTGCGCGCACCGGAGATCGTGCTAAACGACCTTGTCTCTCCTCTCATTGACGCCCTGCCGAAGGATATAGAGCTATCTCGGACCTTGAACGAGCATCTGCTCAAGCCGCTGCTGTCCAATGTTAAGTCTACCAATGCTGTCATCCGCAGTGGCGCCGTCTCAGTCTTTCGTAAGATTGTCACCAGGTGCTCGGACCTTGGCTCGCTCGAGAAGGTCGTAGATGAGATCCTGGGGCCCCTGAAGACGGGCAAACTCGCTTCGGCAGATCACAGGATTCTGCACTGCGAGATGCTTATCGCTGTTCCCAAATCGGAAGCCAGCGCCAACAAGATCGTGACGGGCTTACCGCTCATCACGGCCAAAGAGGGAAATGAAGCCGCACTAGCGGCTGAGACCGCCGCTCTCAATGAGAGTACAAAGATACTACTCTTTGGCGCCGCAGAGCTCCCCAAGGCCGCCTTGGATGCTTATGCAAAGGGCCTCGCTGAGAAGAAATTACCCCTGCGGAAGATATGGATTTTGGCTGCAGGTGAGCAGCTGTTGCAGCTGCGCAATGACACTGGCAGCCTGCCCGCCAATGCCATCAAATTTGCCGAGGTCATTTTGGCACCGCTCTTTGAGACGTACAACGATGTGCTCGCTAATCCATTGACTGCCTCGCAAAATGGACTAGCGACTGGTGCTTTTGTGATCTGCGCCGTTGCTCCGTTCCTCTTTGAAGCTTCAACAAGCTCCTCGCTGAGCGCCATGGCGAAAAAGTTCTCCATGGCCAAGCAGTGCCTCTCTCTGGCACCCAAGCCCTCCTTTCTCCTGAATCCTCGTATCTACAGCAAACTCGTTACCGAGGACGATCTGAGGTGGAATTATCGAGCCTTGGCTGCTGCTGTTGATGGCCTGCCAGAAGATGAGGAATCCGACGTCGGGGTTGCCTGGGCCCAGGCTTTCATCTACGTGATCTGCGCTAGCGGCATCAGCCATCAGGTTCGGCGGGAGGCCTGCGAAGCCTTGTCTCTGGCCTATATCCGGAAGCCGCAGCAAGTGTCTGCCGTTATCATCCATGGCATCTGGCAATGGCTGGAGTCCCTGGAAGCCGGTGATAAGGACAGCGCTGCTGTGGCGGCAAAGTCAGAAAATGCAAACCTGCACCTGGTGCTCAAGGCTATCTTCCTGCCGACCAAAGAGTTTTCACAGAAACATGGTAACGAGCCGGATAAGCAATTACTGGAACCTCAGCTGTGCTCGGTCGTCGTCCTGGCCCGCCCCGAACTCGTCCCTCGATGCAGCTGGATTGACCTATGCCTACGCTTGGAGCTCGACCCCGGAAGTCTAGCGCACAAGTACGAAAAGGACTTGCTACAAGAGGTCGCAAACCGTACTGACCTCGACCAGAAGGTAAAGTCCCTAGCAAGGCAGGTGAATGACCAAGATGCTGACTTGAATTTCCATAGTCCGAGGCCATCCGCAACGCTGCGTATAAGGCGGTTGCCGAGCTTGCCTTTGTCGCGCCAGATGTTATGATCCCGCGCATTGTACAGCTCATCCGCCATGATCTCGCAACCGCGCAGCTCCAGGATATCGGCCCCGTGGAGGCCGCCATCTTCCGCACACCCGAAGGCACTGCCTTCATCGATGTGCTGGCCAAGAAATCGAGCAACCTGCCGAGCAAGAACAGCAAGGACTATGACACTCTCAAGTGGGAAGAGGAGCTCCGGGCGCAGCTCGCCCAGAAGAAGGGCCAACAAAAGAAGCTGACGGCGGACGAGACGGCCAAAGTCAATGCTCAGCTTAAGAAGGAGGCCGAAATCCGGCAGCGGGTGCGTGGTGTCGAGGCCTGCCTGCGGCGCGGCGTCGGCGTCATCAGTAGCCTGGCCACCGGGCCGCCCACGGAAGCCAGCCATTGGATGGGGCCTGCTATCAAGGCCTTGCTCGACATCATTGACGCGGGTGCCTGCTCTATCACTGGCTCAATTGCCCCCATGGCGCTCTTGACGTGCTCCGACAAGATCTCACCCCGACTCGGGACCATGAGGCCGTTTGTTGGCGTTGCCATTTTGCGGGCACACGAGGTGTCGGCGCTGCCAGACAATCTGAAGGAGGAACCCTTTGAAGATCTTGTTACACGGGTCCTCTACCGCCTACGCTTTGCGGGCGAGCAGCGGCCTTTCGATCCCGTCTCTCTCATTTACATCATCCCACTCGTTGTCTTGGTTCTGCAACACGGTGGCTTCGGCGCCAGCACAGACGACCGCGACGCACAGGTCGTCCTGGCCATTGAAGTGCTCACCTTTCACACGGCCGTCTGCGCGGACGAGACCCTCCCGCGCGCCGAACTCTTCTCAGTTCTCATCGCTTCCATGCAGCAGCACAGCCAGCACTACAAGATTCTCCGCGACTGCTTCTCGGATATGGTGCGGTGTGTTGCGCCCAATATGACGCCGGAAGAGATTGCCGTTCTTGCACGCGGGGCCATTGTGTCCCAGGCCTCAGTGCGAACGACCGTTCTGCAGTCCCTCAGCGCCGAGGTCGATATGACAGACCTAGATTTCTCAGAAGAGATTTGGCTTGCGTGCCACGACGACGAGGAAGAAAACGTCGAGCTTGGTCGAGAGATCTGGGATGAGAGCGAGTTCCAAGTCTCGGAACAGGTCCCCGCCCGTATAATACCCTACCTGGAGAGCAAGGATGCCCAGCTCCGCAGGGCCGCAGCCCGCTCGCTCGCCGAGGCCGTGCAGCTTCACGCCTCGGCCATGGACCCTGTCCTGCAGCAGCTCCGCTCCTCCTACGCCGAATTTGCCAAGCCGCGCGTGCAGCAACTCGACGAATTTGGCATGCCCAAGAAGATGGACTTGTCAGACCCCTGGGAGCCGAGGCACGGCATTGCTTACGCGCTTAAGGAACTAGCACCGCACCTCGAGAAGGCGCAGCTTGCTGGTTTCTTTGACTTTCTGATCGAACAGGGGCCCCTGGGAGACCGAGACGACCGAGTCCGGGGCGAGATGCTCGACGCCGCCAACCGCGCCATCGAGATCCACGGGAAGTCCGTCCTCGATCAGCTGATGAAGACCTTCGAGAAGACCCTTGAGGCACCCGACAAGAACTCACAAACCGGTGACCGGGTCAACGAGGCCGTCATCATCATGTACGGCGCCCTCGCCCGCCATCTTAAGCCCGGCGACGCAAAGATCCCCGTCGTTATCGAGAGGCTCATTGCCACGTTGGGGACGCCATCCGAAACAGTGCAGTATGCCGTCGCCGAGTGCCTGCCGCCGCTTGTTCGGACTTGTAAGGACAAGTCGTCCAAGTACTTTGACCAGATCCTTGAGACACTTCTCACGTCCAAGAAGTACGCCGTTCAGCGCGGTGCCGCCTATGGTCTGGCTGGCCTTGTGCTCGGTCGAGGCATCTCGGTTCTGCGGGAGTACCGCATCATGACAAGTCTCAAAGGCGCCGTGGAGAACAAGAAGGAATCGCACCAGCGCGAGGCGGCGTTGCTAGCTTACGAGCTTCTCTCCACTATTCTCGGCCGGCTTTTCGAGCCGTATGTGATCCAGATCGTGCCGCAGCTTCTTGCCGGCTTCGGTGACAGCAACGCCGACGTGCGTGATGCGTCCCTGGCTGCGGCCAAGGCGTGCTTTGCCAGGCTCAGCTCCTTTGGTGTCAAGAAGATCCTTCCTACGCTCCTTGACGGCCTGGACGACCAACAGTGGCGCAGCAAAAAGGGAGCCTGCGACTTGCTCGGCGCCATGGCCTACTTGGATCCACAACAGCTGGCGCAGAGCCTGCCCGAGATCATCCCACCCCTGACGGCTGTTCTCAACGACAGTCACAAAGAGGTCCGGTCTGCCGCCAATAAGAGTCTCAAGAGGTTCGGTGAAGTCATCAACAACCCGGAAATCAAGAGCCTGGTCGACATCCTCCTCAAGGCCCTCAGCGACCCCACCAAGTATACCGACGAGGCGCTCGACTCCCTCATCAAGGTTCAGTTCGTGCATTATCTCGACGCCCCGTCCCTAGCCCTCGTCAGCAGGATCCTCCAGCGTGGTCTGGGCGACAGGTCCAATACCAAGCGCAAGGCAGCGCAGGTTATTGGCAGTCTGGCTCATCTTACCGAGCGCAAAGACCTCATTGCGCACCTGCCTGTGCTCGTCGCTGGGCTCAAACTGGCCGTCGTCGATCCGGTGCCAACGACGCGTGCGACAGCATCCCGTGCTCTCGGCTCTCTGGTCGAGAAGCTGGGCGAGGATGCCCTACCCGACCTCATCCCGGGGCTCATGCAGACGCTCAAGTCGGACACTGGCGCCGGCGACCGCTTGGGCTCGGCCCAGGCGCTCAGCGAGGTTCTCGCCGGCCTCGGTACTACGCGCCTCGAGGAGACTCTACCGACCATTCTCCAGAATGTCGAGTCGTCGAAGTCGGCCGTGCGGGAGGGCTTCATGTCGCTCTTCATCTTCTTGCCGGTTTGTTTCGGCAACAGCTTTGCCAATTATCTGGGTCGCATCATTCCGCCTATTCTGTCTGGCTTGGCAGACGATATTGAATCTATCCGTGAGACCGCGCTCCGCGCCGGTCGACTCCTCGTGAAGAACTTTGCTACACGTGCCGTCGATCTGCTACTGCCCGAACTCGAGAGGGGCCTGGCTGACGACAGCTGGCGTATCCGTCTCAGCTCAGTCGAGCTGGTTGGTGATCTCTTGTTCAATCTGACGGGCGTCAGCGCCCAGCAGGAGGATGCCGCTGAAGAAGAAGATGAACACGCCAAGGAGGCCAGCGTTTCTCTCCGCGAGGTGCTTGGCGACGAGAAGCGCAACAAGATTCTCTCAGCCCTGTACATTAGCCGTTGCGATACTGCTGGCGCAGTACGTTCGGCGGCCATCAGCGTCTGGAAGGTTCTCGTTTCCACCCCACGCACGCTCAAGGAGCTGGTGCCTACCCTCACGCAGCTTATCATTCGCCGCCTGGGCAGCTCGAACATGGAGCACAAGGTCATTGCCAGCAATGCTCTGGGCGAGCTCATCCGCAAAGCCGGCGACAACATTCTGTCCACCTTGCTGCCGACGCTCGAGGATGGCCTGCGGGCTTCGACAGACACCGACGCCAAGCAAGGTATCTGCCTGGCGCTCAAGGAGCTCATCTCATCGGCGAGCCCTGAAGCTCTCGAGGACCACGAAAAGACGCTCATCTCTGTTGTGCGCACTGCCCTCATCGACTCGGACGAGGACGTCCGGGAGGCGGCTGCCGAGGCTTTCGATTCCCTGCAGCAGATTCTTGGCAAACGCGCTGTCGATCAGGTCCTTCCGTACCTACTCAGCCTGCTGCGTTCCGACGAGGATGCAGACAACGCCTTATCGGCGCTGCTGACGCTGCTCACCGAGACAACGCGGTCCAATATCATCCTCCCCAACCTCATCCCCACCCTCATCGCACCGCCCATCTCCTCATTCAACGCAAAGGCGCTCGCTTCCCTATCACGCGTTGCTGGCCCGGCTATGAATCGGCGCCTGCCCAACATTATCAACTCGCTCATGGACAACATCATCAACTGCAAGGACGACGGACTGCGCGAGGAGCTGGACGCCTCGTTCGACACTGTCATCTTCTCTATTGACGAGTACGATGGTCTCAACACGGTCATGAACGTCATGCTCCAGCTCATCAAGCACGAGGACCACCGCAAGCGAGCCGCCACCGCATACCACTTCTCCCGGTTCTTTGCCGCGGCAGATATTGACTACTCGCGCTACAACCAAGACATCATCCGCGCCATGCTCATCTCATTTGACGATCGCGATCCCCAGGTCGTCAAGTCAGCCTGGAGCGCCTTGAGCGAGTTCACCAAGAAGCTCAGGAAAGAGGAGATGGAGGCTCTCGTTCCCTCTACGAGGCAGACTCTACTGCAGGTCGGTGTGGCCGGCGCCAACCTGCCTGGCTTCGAGCTGCCCAAGGGCATCAACGCCATCCTGCCCATCTTCTTGCAAGGTCTCATGAACGGAACGCCCGACCAAAGGGTGCAAGCTGCGCTTGCCATCTCAGACATTGTCGACAGGACGAGCGAGGCATCACTCAAACCATTCGTCACTCAGATTACGGGCCCGCTCATTCGTGTAGTGTCGGAGAGGTCGACGGATGTCAAGTCAGCCATTCTACTCACGCTCAACAACTTGCTGGAGAAGATGCCAACAGCCCTCAAACCCTTCCTGCCCCAGCTGCAGCGTACCTTTGCCAAGTCTCTCGCCGACACCTCGAGCGATCTCTTGCGCACGAGGGCCGCCAAGGCCCTCGGCACTCTCATCAAGTTCACGCCCCGTGTCGACCCCCTAATCGCGGAGCTCGTGACCGGCTCCAAGACATCCGATCCGGGCGTCAAGACGGCCATGCTCAAGGCGCTCTTCGAGGTTATCAGCAAGGCGGGCGCCAACATGGGCGATTCGTCTCGGGCCGCTGTCTTGGGCCTCATCGACATGGAGACAGACGAGCGCGACGATACCATGACGATCACCAATGCCAAGCTCCTAGGTGCCCTTGTCAAGAACGTGCCCGAGGATGCCGCGATCCCGCTAATGAAGAACCGCGTCATGACAACAAACTTCAGCCATTCGTCCGTGCTGGGACTCAACGCAGTGCTTCTGGAGTCGCCCGATGTTCTTTTGGGCAGCGCTCTGGCCGAGGACCTCCCCGCGCTCCTCTGCCAGGGCATGACCAACAAGCTGGTATGTTTTTGATACTTTTGTTATGTGCATCATTACTAACGCCTTGGTGCAGCCGTTCATTGCCGACAATTTCATACTTGCCACTGGCAAATACCTTCTGTCCTCTCACCCCAAGTCGTATGAGGACACCAAGGAGATCTTCCAAACGCTGGCCAACATCATCCCCCCCGGCGGACCCACAGACTCGCGCCGCTTGGCCCTGGTGCTCGTCCGGACCATCTCGCGTGTCAATTCGGACATGACCCGACCGCACATTGCTATCCTGGCACCTGCCATCTTTGCCTCTGTGCGAGACGTGGTCATCCCGGTCAAGCTGAGCGCCGAAGCCGCGTTCGTCTCCCTGTTCGCGGTTGCCGATGAGGAGAGCAAGGTATTTGACAAGTTCATGAGTGGCCCCGGCGCAGAGCTCCCTCCCAACGTGAAGCGGAGCATGGGCGACTACTTCAAGCGCGTGGCGCTGCGGCTGGGTGCGCAGGTGCGGGAGAGGAGAGAGGCCGAGGGCGGTGCGGGAGGCCTCGGATTGGCGGGAGACGAGGTCGAGGACGAGAAGGAGATTTGGAGCGTGGGCAAGATGGATGTTGGAGGGGACATCTTTAGCAGCACCGAGTAGTGTAGCCGGCGAGTTGTGCTATCTGGTGCTGTATGTGGGAAAGGATAGAGCCAAAGAAAAAGAAGACATGAAAGGACACATGATGTGAAAGGAGGATCTAGATGAGATTCTAGACATTAGCATCGGAGATTAAAAGGCGAATTAGGACAGAAGAAAACGTTTAAAGCATCATCATTCATCTATGAATACAAATCGGTATGCCTGTGTTCAGTGGAATAAGTCACGGAGCAAGATTATCTTCGAAAAGATAGGCAATCATATGCTGCAAGAGATACTTCTTTGCATCGTTTTATAGAGTATTTGATGGCATTCGCAAGCTTTCAAGTTGCACTGTAGAGGAAAGGGTTTCATAGCCTTTGCTTCCTAGGGAAAGTACAAGGCTAAACTGAGGGCTTGACTTGGCCTAGTCAGTTGCTCTGATACTATAGCCACTTCTGAAAACTTTGATGTTGAAGTGTTCCCCGAAACTCTCAGATCGGATCAGGCTGAATTGAAGAGCTGGTTAGGAACATAACCTCTAGTTTCTGTACATATTTCGCAGTACAGATGTTTCAAGGTTCCGGGGGAGTATTTGATAAACAGTGCCGGTCTAAATCTTTTCATCTACCGAATCATTAGCATGGATGCAGCAAGATTTCGGGAAATGCTATTAGAGACTAAGAATAGTCGATTGAATTCTTCCCCGGCCGTCCAAAAAGCCGAAACTGGTCGGAGTTGCTCTGAGCCTCGTGAAGTTTTGATGAGCGATCGACATTTGCTATGGTCGTTTCTATCCCAAAAAAGAAAATTGAGAGAGAACTTATCGTCGGCCATGAACGCGTCTGTTGGCTATAACCAGCCGTAGAGCGCCTGAAATTATAACTTCTGTTAAGTTCATTAAGTATGAGGTATCAGAATTCGCCCAACCAAATTATATGAGGTCAATACATGTAAGTACCCGTAACCTGGTTTAGCTAAGTTTCATTTTATCTGCAAAGTTTGCGCTTTCAGAGACTGCAGTTGAGATCAAGTCTAACTTTTGGAAGGGGACAGTTTTGAGGTAAAACACAATACTGTAACCTCTCATATCTACGCAGGTGGGCATAAGCCCATGAGAGACTTCGGCATTAAGAAGAATAGTTGAAGTACAAATGGTTGTCTTGAATCGTCAATCTGGCTTTGGACTACGGGCAATAGCATCGCAGCTGCTTCAATGTATTTTTACTTGTATTAGTGACCTGAATATACTGAAATTCACTGGAGGACTTGGGAACGAAATGCTGTGGAGCTTGAAGGCATGAGAATGAGGAAAGCCATCGGCATCAACACCATGTACAAGTCGTTCGAAGTGCGCTTGAAGGCGTGTTGAAGGCGAGAGTGAAGATCACATGACTAATCACATGAGATCCCCATCAGTCCTTCCTCTCGGCGTGAGTCAAATTTTTTTCTTTGGACGGTAGCCCTCGCTAGGTCAGGTGACTCTCACAGTAGCCCCAATCTAGCCCACAGAATCTGGCGAAATCTCTCTCTTGGGCTGCCCTACCTTTAGGACCCCCTCAATCTTGAAATTTCCACCACACCTCATCGACAAAAAATCGCCAACGACCATCACGATCAACGACAGTCAAGATGTGAGTGTCTGCCATCACCTACGCATCACCGGAGGAGATATTGAGCCTGCTGGTGTTGCTGTTGGATGCTTGCCGACACTTGAGGATGCGGAATCGATGACGACTACCTGGACACGACATCCCTTTCGTCGCCGGCAAGCATCTACAGGACATCAGTTGGCCCTGCGAAGCTATACATCACAGTGTCTTTCTAGCCGGGATCAAGTTGCTGACAATCAATGCTCCTTTTTAGGGTCAACCTGCGAACTCAGAAGCGCCTGGCGTCCTCGGTGCTGGGATGCGGCAAGAACAAGATCTGGCTCGACCCCAATGAGGTCAGCGAGATCTCCAACGCCAACTCCCGCCAGACCATCCGCAAGCTCGTCAGCGATGGCCTCATTATCCGCAAGCCCACCGTCATGCACTCCAGGTCCCGTGCCCGCGAGCTCAACCTTGCCCGACGAATTGGCCGACACCGTGGTTTCGGTAAGCGGAAGGGTACCGCCGACGCTCGTATGCCTGAGTATGTTTACTCCCCATCACAATTGATTGGACTGGTCGACGGACGCGACGAGAGTGTCTGACATGTCACGGGACGGGATGCATGGATGGATTGGCTGACACCTGATTACAGGCAGGTTCTCTGGATGCGCCGTCAACGCGTCCTCCGTCGTCTCCTAGTTAAGTACCGCGCCAGCGGCAAGATCGACAAGCACCTTTACCACGAGCTCTACCACCTGGCTAAGGGTAACACCTTCAAGCACAAGCGCGCCCTCGTCGAGCACGTACGTTTCCACCCCCACATCCCCGTGGACCATTGCTTTCCAAGCTGGTACCAAGCAGCATAGTCCTCCGTTACTGACCTGTCTCCCGCCTCCAGATCCACCGTGCCAAGGCCGAGAAGCAGCGTGAGAGAATCCTCAAGGAGGAGATGGATGCCAAGCGTGCCAAGACCAAGGCTGCCCGTGAGCGCAAGGTCGAGAGGCAGACTGCCAAGCGGCAAGCTCTGATGGGTGAGGACGAGGAGAAATAAGCGGAAGGTAGACGTCAACTTGCAGTTACTGAATGAAGACGGAAAGGCGGCCTGCATTCGGAGTAATCGGTTGGGTCCTTTCTACTTATCGACATCCTGCACCCATCTGGTTTTTTTTACTCGAGGCACATATGATGGGCTTTTGCATGTATCGTGGCATTGAAAAATGAAATCAATGATTTTGAAAGGAAAAGAGAGAAACGGATTCGAAAGCATTCATGGTCTTACTATCCTCTTGATTCCCAAATGAAGTGGCCTTCGGATGTGATTTGGATATTCAGGCAAACCGAGGGCTGTTGTGACAACTACCAAATGTGGATGAGCTTGCCCACGCTGTCTTGATGGGCCGCAGCAGTCAGTCAACTGAGCTTCAAATGTTCAACACGGAGTCACTCCTCGATTCCGTTTCATGAAAAGACGATTGAAAGCACGTGATGCAGCGTAGTAGTAATTTGTGTTTGGCATTCGCTTCGAGAACTCGGAATTTCCACGATGCACATATCTCAACTGCCTCAAGCCTCTGCGGCACACACGTCACATAACACAATCTCCTGGCCTCGGCCCTGTGGATGGGTCCTTTTCTTTCAAAAGTACCTAGGTATTCTTTTCTACAAGTAGATGGGACGAGGTCGAGAGAAGCGATGGCCCAAGCCGCAGCACTTGCCTTGGCGGGCTCCAGATTCCAAGACTTCTCTCGTAATGGGAATCATCAACCAAGACATATTGGGTCAGAAAGCTTCAAATTGTCCCTGGTATTGTGGTGATGTTGTGCCAGGACATGTCAGCATGTTCCCAAGACGATACAAGACCGACTGGAATACCAATGTGCTACGAAGCGGGCTCATCACCCCCAATTTAGTTGATTGGGGAAAGGAAAAGGAGAAGAAAAAGAGAATGAAAAGCCACGATCACAATGGAAATCTTTAAGTACTGCCAGTCCTGCCTGCTTGCCTGGGTGCCCTGTGCGTCGCCCGATAAGCGATAACCAGCCGGGCTACCAGCGAGGACGATAAGGCCGGACAGCCTCTGGATGATAGCATAGCTCCACTGTAAAGACGGCGGTTCAGACGCCCGTAGCGTGCCCCTCTAGGCGCCAAAAGAGAAGAATTCGCCCATTACAGTGGTGGCCGAAGACTGAAATGCGGGGACAAAATGGAGTTGATGTCCCGTCTGTGATTGCTCGGGCGTGACCTCGACCGCTGCTGTGCATCTCCGCACCAGCTTTCCCCAGCTATCCGCCACATCATCTCAAGGCACAAAAAAAGAAGAAGGGCTCAACTGCAGAGTCATACCAGCCCTGTCGCTATTCATTGGTCTTTCTCTTTTTCTTTTTCTCTGTCATTCTTCAGCTGGGTGACACCTGATTGTAGGCAGCACAGTACTGGGTATGGTTGTGGCCCTTGCAAGCTTCGCTGGGAGCCATCGCTAACACATGACGCCACTTCCTCCGCACAGCTACCTTCACGATGTCGATCCCCGTCCTGCGAGGCACCGCGCGTGCCTTTCGAGCAACATCGCGATGCTCCAGCATCCAGTCGTGCCTGAGGAGGAATGTTTCATCCACCGCTACTGAGAGCCAACAGAGGGTATGGTGATGTTGCAGCCCCTCGCGCGCGGAGGGCGCATATCCGGATATCTAGCTGACATTGGATTCCCCCCAGCTCCTCACAGCACATCTGCAGCAGGCCGACCCTGTCATGTTTGATATCATCGAAAAGGTCTGCTCAGTCTACTGTTTTCAGATTGGTTCTTCCAAGTGCCTTTAAAGGCTTCTTGACTGCGCAATGGTTCTGCGGAGGAAGTGTGCTGACCTGGCCTGTGGCGTCCGCATGTAGGAGAAACAAAGGCAGAAGGAGTTTATCAACCTCATTCCCTCGGAGAACTTTACCTCACAGGCCGTTCTGGATGCACTGGGTAGCCCCATGCAAAGTAAGTCACATCCTAGAGCATTATCACAGGCAAGGCCTGGGTGGATAAGGAAGAAACCCGAGTCTCACATGATACCGCAGACAAGTACTCCGAAGGGTACCCCGGTGCGAGATACTATGGCGGCAATGAGTTTATCGACCATTCAGAAAGGCTGTGTCAGCAGCGCGCCCTCGAGACCTTTGGTCTCGACGAGAAGCAATGGGGCGTTAATGTCCAGGGTCAGTACCTTTTGACTCGGATCGCCAGCGTCGTGCTAACAGAGAACCAGCTCTCTCCGGCGCCCCCGCGAACCTCTACGTTTACTCCGCCCTGATGGATGTCCACGATCGGCTCATGGGCCTCGACCTCCCCCATGGCGGCCACTTGTCACACGGCTACCAGACTCCCACCAAGAAGATCTCGTTCATCTCCAAGTACTTTGAGACGCTGCCGTACCGGCTTGATGAGACGACGGGCACTATCGACTATGATGCTCTGGAGAAACTGGCCGTTCTGTACCGGCCCAAGATCATCATTGCCGGTGCCAGTGCGTACAGCCGCCTCATCGACTACCAGCGCATGCGCGAGATCTGCGACAAGGTCAACGCCTACCTCGTGTCCGACATGGCCCACATCTCGGGCCTGGTTGCCGCCAAGGTCATGCCCAGCCCCTTTGCCTACTCTGATATTGTTACCACCACCTCTCACAAGTCTCTTCGTGGACCTCGAGGCTCCATGATCTTCTTCCGCCGGGGCGTCCGCCGCGTCAACCCCAAGACCAAGGTCGAGGAGATGTACAACCTCGAGAACCCCATCAACACGTCCGTCTTCCCCGGCCACCAGGGTGGTCCGCACAACCACACCATTGCCGCCCTGTCGGTCGCGCTGAAGCAGGCCCAGACGCCCGAGTTCCGCGAGTACCAGGTGCAGGTCTTGGCCAACGCCAAGGCGCTCGCCAAGCGCCTCAGCGAGGAGAAGGGCAAGGGCGGCCTGGGCTACAAGCTCGTCTCGGGCGGCACCGACAACCACCTGATGCTCGTCGACCTCAAGCCCCAGGGCATCGACGGCGGGCGCGTCGAGCGCGTGCTCGAGCTCGTCGGCGTCGCGGCCAACAAGAACACGGTGCCCGGCGACCGCTCGGCCCTGGTCCCGGGCGGCCTGCGCATGGGCACGCCCGCCATGACGACGCGCGGCTTCAACGAGGAGGACTTTGCGCGCGTGGGCGACATTGTCGACCGCGCCGTCAGCATCGCCGTGCGCGTCGACAAGGCCGCGCGCAAGGCGGCCGAGGACAAGGGCGAGAAGAGCCCCGGCAAGCTCAAGCTGTTCCTCGACTACCTCGGCTCCGGCGAGAACGACCCCGAGATCGTGCAGCTGCGGAGCGAGGTCGCCGACTGGGTGAGCACGTACCCGCTGCCCTGGGACGGTGCTCAGCCTTGAAACCGATTTGTGGTAGGAATGGAGTGGCGGATGCATCGTCCGGTGACAATCCAAGGAGATGAGCCGGGAGAGCGGGGGTGGGCGTGCGTCGTGATCATAAAAGTGAAGATAGAACCAAGGGGGGAGGAAGCTCCAGAGTGCCTGCCTACCTACTTGTTAGGGTCGGAAGGTCAGGCTGAATCTATCTACATGCGCCTCGAGTGAAGTGTGAGTAGCATTGAGAAAGCGGGAGGAGCCTCTTTTTCCGACACTTCTTCGCTCTTAACCTGCGTTGAATATGTTTTTGTCATGATTGCACCTGGGCGGAGAGGGCGAGATACGGTAGTCTTCAACATGTACTGACTGGTCTTCGCCTCGGAAAGCCAAATCAAAGGCCAAATAACAAAATAAAACAAGAGAAAGATTTGGTGTCACAGTGTGTATGAATTGTGATCTTTGGACTTTGCTTTCGAACCTGCCATCAATATTTGTTCGACTCGAGGATACTCGGATTCTGGTGGACAGGAACCTCGACTGGGAACATCAATCTCGAGGCAAGCCACATCAATGTATATATACCAGGCACCACTTGACCAACAAGATACGTTTTGCAAGTATGTTTATTTTTTTCCGAGTCTGGCATCAGCTGGGTGCTGCTACCTTCGCATCATCTAGCCAGCCATGCACCTGAATCAAACGCAAAGCCTTTCTTGCCCATGATGAAGAAATTTTTTGGCATCTCCCATTCATCTACCATTCCATGAGTTCAAAAGACCAATTAACGAGACAAGCATTTCCTTTATGCGCCCGCCACCATGGAACCGGTCAGTCAGAGTCCTTTCGTCATGCTATCCTCCCTTCCCATGCTCCGCCACAACACGCTCGAGGCTCCTCCCGCTCACCCTCTATGCCCTGGACATGACACCCCAGGCACGGATGATGTTGTCGGTGTAGCCGGCGAACAGGGTCTGGCCGTCAGCGGACCAGGCCAGGGAGACACACTCGGGCTCGCGGCTCTTCTTGCCGACAGCAGGGAACTCGGGCTTCAGCTCGTCGACCTTGCTCTTCTTCTCGAGGTCGAAGATGATGATGGAGGAGGCGGTGGCAGCGCACAGCCAGTACCGGTTGGGGGAGAAGACGAGGGCGTGGATCTCGTCGTTGGCGTTCAGGGAGTAGAGGTGCTTGGACTCGTTGAGATCCCAGAGCATGGTGGTACCGTCCTTGCCGCCGGAGGCGCAGAGGGATCCATCGGGGGAGATGGTGACGGTGTTGATGTAGCCGGTGTGGCCGATGTGGTCGGTCTGCAGCTTGCAGGTCGACAGCTCCCAAACCTAGACGAGACGCAGAGTCAGCCCATCGTGTTGCCATACGTTATGTTTCCAACTTGCAGATCGTCGTGGGGAAATGGGTCAAAAATCAGTGCACGGTGAATGTTGGTCTCATGGCCTGCCGAAACAGGCTCTGAAGTAGCAAATACTTTTGAAATGGCAAAGCATCATGTGGATGGAGGGCCCAGGAAAGAGTTCCCCGCAGAGCATCTCACGTACCTTGACGAGCTTGTCCCAGCCGGAGGAGACAATGACGGGGTTCTGGGGGTTGGGCGAGAAGCGGACGCAGGAAACCCACTCGGTGTGGCCCTTATCGCTAATAGTGTACTTGCAGTCGCCGAGAGTGTTCCACAGCTTGATCGTCCGGTCGCGGGAGCCAGAGACAATCTGGCGGTTGTCGGCGGAGAAGGAGACGGAGAGGACGTCGTTGGTGTGGCCGACGAAGCGGCGGGTGGTGGTACCGGTGGCAAGCTCCCAGAGGCGGAGAGTCTTGTCCCACGAGGCCGAAAGAGCGTAAGCGCCGTCGGACGAGATGACCTGCCAATTATCATCAGCCTCAATTGCCTCCTCAAAAATCCCTGGCCACGCCAAGATGCCAGGGAGAACGAAAACAACATACACAGTCGGAGACGATGTGAGAGTGACCGTGGAGCGATCGCTTCGGGTAACCGTACTGGGTCTCGTCGCGGGTCAGGTTCCAGATGATCAGGGTCTTGTCGCGGCTGGCGGACAGAAGCATGTTGGGGCTGTATCGATGTCAGTATCCTGCACCAGATGATATCCTGCGGTAGTCGTCGAGGGAGTCGTACTTCTCCATGGAGGTAGCCAAGCTGGTGACCCAGCCGTTCTGTTGCAAAGTCAGTCCATCGGCTTCTTCATTCGTCGGCAGCGTCGCCGAGCCGTGTGCCCTTCAGGTGAAGGGGGAAAAAGGATGAGAACTTACGTGGCCCTCGAGGGTGCCCTTGAGAATCAGCTGCTCAGCCATTCTGGGAGTCTGCTGCGTGAGGCGCGGTAGGTGAAGTTCAAAGGGGTGGTGGGAAGGAATGAACTTGGTGGGAGAGCCTCGTCTTCGTCGTCGTCGAAATTTGTCCAGGCCCAAAAGCGACAGGTACTTGAAATTCCGAGAATTTTTTGTGCGGCTTCTCAATTAGGGTCGCAGGCGAGAACCTCTACCATGTGGGGTTACAGCCAATGAGGTAAGCGCAAATCACGCGTGACCCACTCTAGCATTCCATGGGTCAATTAAGATGCTGGCACTGGCAGCCAGCTGCGCGTAGAGCTGAAGAGAATCTCGCCTAGAGACTGTCAATAGTCTACATTTGTCTCTGAATGGCTGCTACTACAAATTAAGACCAGTGGATAGCATGTCACGAGGCAATGCGTGCCGTAGCTGTACTAGGAAGAACCTGCTGATCCGAAAGCAATTCTCTACTGAAAGACTCTATTCGCCGCTGGGTATATCATTCCAATACCATCAAGATAGATAAACACAGAAAAGGTGACCCCTGACTCCTCGCTGATGCAAACATCTCCTAAGATACAAAGCGGCACGCCGTGCCACTATGCCATTCTGTGACTCCCCCTTCCTTGTAGAGCATGTTTGCTTTGTTCCTCTGAGCGGCCATATGCAGTTGACCGATCTCTTGATGGCCAGTCCACCAGAGATGCAATCTTGCGGACCCTGAAAAAAACCAATCCCAAAACACTCGCCCTCTGAAGCCAAGTGCTCATGCCGCTTCGGGCAATGCTGAGAGCCCTCGACTTCCCCTAGCTCTTGCCCACCATACCCTCACGCGCACTCCTCTTGCCTCCCCTCGAGATCTCCCGCCGGTAAAAGGCCCTCTCCGCATTGACAATCATACTATGATCAGCGATTTCCAGGCGGGACGTCCCGGCGTCCGCCATGGCCCTGGGCTTCGACTTGCCGGACTCGTCCATCAGTTCGCGCATCGCCGCCTCCCACAGGTCGTAGCGCTCCTTGCTCTGCGGGTTGCGCACCGCCGTCGCACGCACCTCCTTAAGGGCGTTGATCTTGCTCGCCCGGACGAGGCCGCGCAGGGCCTCCTCCGCCTGCTTCGCCTCTCGCGCCGCGGCCTCCCGGACCCTCTTGGGGTCTCCGCGGGGCCCTTCGACGGCGAGGTGGTCGAGCCTACCGCCTGTCTTGACGGGCGTCCCGTCGTCGTACCGTAGGCCGGTGCCGCGCACTGTGACCGAGTCGACGTCGATGGGCGTCGCCCTATACGTATGTATGCTGGGGAAGTCGGGAAACCCCTTGGGGATGTACGCGCGGGATTCCTTCTCCATCCTACCGCTCAGCTCGTCTCCTATCAGAGGCAGCTCTGGTGCGGCGCCGGGGTATTCGGCCAGAGGGTTGAAGTACGTCGGCCTGAGCTTGGATTTCGCGACGGGATTCCGCAGGTGCGGCTTCAAAGCCGATGTGCACAGGTTAAACCGTGCAAGAGAGAGGTCGAAGTCGGCGGGACTGGGCTGTGCACGGCGCGCCGTATGTGCTAGTAATTTGGTGTCTTCTATCAATGATTGTAGGTCTGCAAGCGTGTTCGTTAGTCAAACGGCACTACAGCCAGGCCCAATAGTAGGAAATGAGGATTCCTTACATGTCTCCGTCATTGCAGTAAAGCTCTCTAGAGCCTCAGGCGATGCTGTGTCAAAGCCGACATGCTCGAGGGCGAGCGTGATGGATCGCCGCAGGCCGGCGCGAGCCTGCTCGTCTTGTGACGGTGGTTTTGTATGTGCAGGGTCCTCTGAAGCCGCCTGCACTACGATTCCTGAGCCGCCGGCACGAGAAAACCCAGTCCTCTGCCGCTTTCGAGGTGCCGCGTAATCTTCGGGAGCCAGCGAGGCTCGCTTCATTGGTGAGGTCGCCATGATGTCCGCCGCGAGCTGAGGCGACGCGCGCTACTGTGATGACTTCACCGCCGTGTATCTCGAGGCATCTGTATCGGATTTGCGTTGAGGCCAGGTCGCGTCGATTTGAAGGTCGAGTTTGGATATTGCTGAGGATGGTCTGGGGTAGATAGTGTCGTGATGCTAGCATGCTGGCAGAGCGCTTGGCCAAATGACTAGTGAGGGAGGTGCTGCCTTAGTGGCCCGTGCGCGTGTTGCTTTTTAGCGTCCCAAGCCTTTTAATCTCAACGTCAGTTGGTACCTAATTACCTACCTACCTATAGTTACTAACTTTGGCGGAGCCTCACACACTCGCCATCTCCACCGCACGGCAACATAGAAGCTTGACCAGGACCACATGGACTGATTTCGAGGGACAACACACCACGGCACGAGTTTAGACACAATAAGGAAGTCCGAAAAAGGCTCCATCAACGCCATTGATACCATGTATGACATGGTATCACAGGGCGTTTTGGCAGGGCCACCCGTTCTGCCTGTCACTATCTATCACCGACCGCAGATAAGGAGAACCCACGTGGGGAAAAGCTAGAAAAGCCATGGATGGAGCTGAATCATGTAGCACTGGCGGTGAGCGCGGAATCTGACTTGATCCTTGACGTGCTTCTTCGCTGCAGTCAGCCCTCTGCGGCACTTTACACCGAATTGTCCTAGGCTCGCTCAGTCTCATTCCCACGGCCTGTGCCTCTCCACGCCAGGAAGATGCACAAGCTCAGCGAGCTCAAGGCGGGCGAGTACCGCACGGCCGGTCTCAAGATGCTCAAGCTGACCGAGCCCCTGGATCAGTTTCCGGTAGAGATTCTAGACCTGGGCGACAGCCTCGAGGTCCTGGATCTCTCAGGCACAGGTCTGGCCGCGCTGCCCGTGGAGATTGGCAGCCGGTTGCCCAAGCTCCGGATCGCCTTCTTCTCAAACTGCAGCTTCGCAGAGTTCCCCAAGGAGCTGGCGTCCTGCCCCAGCCTAGAGATCGTCGCTTTCCGCAGCAACGACATGACCAGCATACCCGAGGGTGCGCTGCCGCCTCAGCTACGGTGGCTTATCTTGACCGACAACCAGCTCGAATCCCTGCCGGCGAGCATCGGTCGCTGCAGCCAACTGCAAAAGTGCATGCTCGCCGGCAACCAGTTGCAGTCGTTGCCTGACGAGATGGCCAACTGCCAAAAGTTGGGACTGCTGCGACTGTCCTCCAACTGTTTCGAGCAGCTGCCAGAGTGGTTGTTCGACATGCCTGAGCTAGCTTTTCTCTCGTTCGCTGGCAATCCTTGCTCGACGGGCCAGCCGGCGAGTGTCACGGGCAACGCCCATTCTCATGCCGAGCTGTGCAAGGTCAAATGGGCACGCCTGGATATTCAGGACACGCTAGGGGAAGGTGCCTCTGGTGTCATATCCAGAGCCACTCGGCGGTTTTCCAGCGGCGCCGAGGACGAACAGGTAGCCGTCAAGCTCTTCAGGGGGGCCCTGACCAGCGACGGCTCGCCCATCGACGAGATGCGCGCATGCATCGCCGCAGGCTCCCATAAGAACTTGATCGGCGTCCTGGGCAATGTCGACGAACACCCGGATGAAGCTGTCAATGGGTTCCAGGGAGGCCTGGTGATGCGCCTGATCCCTCCTCACTACCAAGTCCTGGGCCGGCCGCCGTCCTTCGAGACCTGCACCAGGGACACCTTTGTGCCAGGCGCGGCCTTGTCTGTCGCTGCTGCGATCGAGATCCTCGAGGCCCTCGCCTCGGCGGCAGAGCACCTTCACGCGAGGGGCATAGCCCACGGCGACTTGTATGCACACAACATCCTCACCTGCGAGGGGTCACCAACACTCCTGGGCGATTTCGGAGCGGCTACTGTCTACGGACTGGACGCACCCTTTGCCCAGCGCCTGGAGAAGCTCGAGGTGCTGGCGTTTTCGCACCTTGTCGAGGATGTTCTAGGGCTGATCGCGTCGGGGTCTTCCCCGAGCGACGGTGGAAATGTGACAACGCCCAAACTTAAATTGCTGCATGCAGCATGCTCAAATAGGCGAGTCCAAGAGCGCCCCTCGTTTGCCAAAATCCACCAGGATATACTAGACCTCATGCACCCATGAGACACACACCCGCCCCTTGCCATCGATCGGGGCACTCCAAGCCCTAACGATGATGACCCCCACCTATCTGGGGTCGGTCAACATTCAAGATCTACTCTTCCCTTTGGGAGCTCGGTGTGTCAGTAGATCGAGTAGCTGCAGTCTCTCTGTGATCATCGATGAGATCGGCGAACAGGACCTTCTCGGTGCGATCAGCGCTCACGAGGAGGCATGGTACAGATTTAGAGACGGAGGATAACTAGAATAGGAAAATGCCGTGCCTCACACTCTCACCTCACTCCCAGGGTCAATGCCATCACCAATTAGAGCATTTCTTGCTGCTGCACACATATGGAACCTGTTATAGCTATGCAGGATGAGCCCACGAGACGCGGATGTCCAGGGTTGTAGTGGTTGTCCTACTGACCTGAACAACCCCTGACCTGCGAGTTTCCAGAGGTTAGTCGGTGTTGGTCCGACTGAGGAATACTTCAATGGCTACTGGATGCATGAATACGATGATTCTAGGGCTAACACATCCGTTGCCCTCGGTGCCTCGCTAGTCTTGCAGAATGCATATTCGCCAGATGTCCTGCGGTGCAGGCCGGGGAAGCAAGGAGGTCTTCCGGACCAGAGCCTATTTCCGGCAGAGTCGTATTGTCTAACAAGGTACTTTGAGCAGTACCCGGCAACTGAGACATTGTCTGTTGTTTGCCTCTGGCTCGAGTGTGCATCCCGCGATAATGGACATCTCTTGAGAACCGCATGCTCTAGGAAGATCTATTCTCCTCCGATCGTAATTGTTTTTCTTCAACTTATGCAGCTTGTTTCGAATGCGGGCAGACGCGCATGCAGCACGCACCCGCTGACTGACCGCATCTCACTTGACAGGCTTCACTGAAGTACACTAGTCCGGAGGGCCCAGCCCGCCGCGATTTCCTGCAACTGGCCCATCGTGAAACCTTCTCGGCAAAAGAAATTCCGTCGTGTTTGTTCGCCGGGACTTCTTGCGGACGGACCATTGTTACCGAGTTTCGCCGTCTCTCCCGGGTAGGTTCTTCATCTGCCCTGCTCGGACCGAAATATTTACTTAGTCCAAACCGTGTTATAATTAGAGCTGAGGTGTCACAGGACGCAGAAAGCCTCGTAGACTCGAAGTTACATTTGTAATGTTGAATTACTATCCCCAGACTTGGCTTTCTTCTCTGCGTTCTCCCCGCCTCTCTTGGGAGACGGAACAAAGAAAAGAGGGTCTCTACCCGTATCGGTTCGCATAGAAATACAAGTAGATCTATATATATATGTTGTGTGTGTGCGTGTCTGCGTGTGTGGTTATGTGCGAATCTCGAGTCTGCAGGTTGATGTCGTTTTCCGAGCCACAACGTCATACTAGCCGGCATGATCGTAATTGTGTCAGTCCGGCTTACTCTGCAGCAACTCTCTGGTATGGTGTGCGGCCAAGTAATCAAGGTTGGCAAACATGCGACAAGTGTTTGCCTTCTGTGAAACTCGGCGTGTCAGCATCGGAACGACAGCAAGTCTTCTCGCCGTCTTCTTGCCCGATGCAAATTAATCCATGGATGGATGGATGGATTGGTGCACTCGTACAGGCGGCGCTTCGATATCCATGGGTGGATGGGTGCATGCAATAGGTGACTCGATAACCCCCAAAATTCCAGGGTCTAGCTCTACTTGTAGGGCTTCGGGGCTCAGGTCTCAGGCTACCGCATTTTAGCTGCCGAGAAACCCCACCACCACGGCCGCCCCTTTCCCGTCCAGCAAACGAGCTAAAATCCCCCGCCTCCAAGTCACAAATCATAACTCCAGAAAATGACGATAAATGTGCAGAGCGTGCATCGCTCTGCCGGGAGGTCATCCACCCTCCACAGCAAGGAATGATATGATCATCAAAGTAATAATCGCCGGGAGCCGGAGGCCGATGCCCAGCTTGCGTCAACCAGACCGACACGTGCTCCAGGCATGACTGCCTGATGCTACAAGTACTTGTACATGTACTCTGCCGTGCCCTGCCGATCTCTGCCAACAACCCAAAGCCCGCACCGCCAACCACCGTGCAAGCCCACCCCACACACTCTCTTCCTCTCTCCGATGCCCAGCTCGGATTGGAACTTTTACAACTCTCTCAACCTCCATCAGCCCTCTGATTTCCCATCCTGAGCTGCAGGGCCCCGCCTTGTCACCTCTCGTCTCAGATTCTTCCATTCCTACTGCTTCGGGCAGGTCTTGAGTCGGCCATTCCTCCGTCGGCCTCTGTCCAGTTGTTGGTCCTGTGCTGCACTGCAGCCCACAAACTGCAGAAACACCACATCACGCAGTGTAGCATCACTTTTTGGTTTTTCTGCTGCTTGGTCTTCCTCGGCCAGCTATTTGCCAGGCGGCTTTTGTCCTCCTGCACCCGGTTATCTTCTTAAGAATACGGTCTGGTCCGAACTCGATCATCTCGTGCCCGGCTCGGCGACCATTTGCCTTACTATGCGCATACTTTAACCGGCAGCAAGCATCGCCATGTAGTACACGCAGCAAGCAGCCGCCGTTTCTTATCCCCTTTGTCTCGTGATCTCTTGGCTTCTTGGCCCACAACCGGCCCTCTTCTGGAAACCGAGTGAAATAAAACCTGTTGCATCCCCTCATCACACTTGCTCGAGCAGTGGGAGCAACAAAGGCCGAAGTGAGCAACGGACAGCGACCAGTGTACCGCGGATGCCATGGCCGCCAAGTTCCCCATTGACCAGAGCGTCCTCCCGCACCTGCGGACACGCAAGGCGTTGCTAGTGTTGGACCTTCAAAACGACTTTTTGAGGCTCGACGGGGCCCTGGCTCTGGAGGAACCCGAGGAGCTCATCAAGGAGACCCTGGATGTGGTCAAGGCTTTTCGCCAGTCCGGTGCTGGGGAAGTCATATGGGTCCGGAGCGAGTTCCAGGAGCACCGCCCAGCTGGCGGCGACCAGGTCGTCGTCAGCGACAGTGCCATCCTGCCATCGCGCTCGGCCTACTCCCGCGGCCGCAGACGGACGTCTGATCCGCCGCCCGACGAGGCCGACGGCGACGACGAGGCCTTTCTGAGCGCCGGAAACGCGGACAAGCCCAAGTGCGTCCGCCCAGGGACTCCCGGCAGCGAGCTGGTCTCCGAGGTCCTCGCTGTCGTCGAGGAGAGCGGCGACATGGTTCTCACCAAGAGCCACTACTCTGCCTTTGACTCCACACAGCTGCTGATGCGCCTGCGCACCCGCCTCGCTACCGAGCTCTACATCTGCGGCGCCCTGACCAACATCAGCATCTTCGCCACCGCCGTGGACGCAGGCCGCCACGGTCTGGCCGTCACGCTGGTCGAGGACTGCTGCGGCCGTCGGAGCGGGGTGCGACACCACAATGCCCTGCAGAAGCTGGCGCAGCTGGTCGGCTCCGAGACCACCACGGGCGCCGAGCTCATTGCCACACTATCGCCCAAGGCATCGGCGCGAATATCGGCTCCGGATAGGAAAGGGCCCGTTCCGCGCAAGGTAGGGAGCAGCCCCCTTCGACCTGGGGACGGCAACAGCGGCGGCGGTGGCGGCAGGAGTCTACCCGTACGTAACAAGATTCAGTCTCTCGAGGAGGAAGTCAGCTCCTCCTCAAAACCCGGTTCTGCTCCGCCTAGTTCGGAACTAAAAGCTGCAGCTCCCTCACACGTCGCCTCTTCGAAGCAGCCGCTGGTATCCCCATCGGTTCAACCCCTGGTAGCAGCAGACGCGCCGTCGCCGGCGCCCCTCCCCGTCCTTGACGGTCCCGCCGCGGCACCCAGCGCGAAACCTGTTCTTCCGGATTCCACAGCCGCGCCGGCCCAACGATCAGGCGATGCGGACGGCAAGTCGGAACTGCCGGCGGCGGCGAAGCAGGCTCGAGACGGCGAAAAAGGAGTGAATCCCAAAGATGCCGCTAGAAGCTCATCAAAGGGTAAAGCGGAGCAGCTGAAACAGCGTGTTGGAGACGCCGCGAGCACCGGCGCCAAAAACACAAATCCGCACGCCACACCAACAGGGACACCAGTGGTTGAAAAGCCTTCGAAGCAGCCTGCTCTGGATTCATCGAACCCCAAGAGTGGTGATGCACGGCAGCAAAGTGCGGACCCTTCAGACATCACGACAACAGGAGACCACGACCGTGACGAAGACACGAGCGACGACGAAGATGCCACTATCGCCAAAATGAAGGTGTCGCCGAAACAACCGACCGCGAGCGAGCCGCTCTGCGAGGGGGACACGATCATCTATCACAATGTCCTCCAGCCGTCTATCGAAGAGGGTATGTTTGAGCGCCTACGGGATGAGGTCTCCTGGATGCGCATGTCACACCAAGGTGGAGAGGTACCGCGCCTCGTCTGCGTCCAGGGCGCGATAGATAAAGATGGCAGTATGCCTGTCTACCGACACCCGGCCGACGAGTCGCCACCTTTGCTCCCATTCAGCCCGTCCGTCGTGGAGATCAAAGGCGAGATCGAAGAGCTGATCGGCCACCCTCTAAACCACGTCCTGATACAATTTTACCGCAGCGGCAACGACTACATATCGGAGCACAGTGACAAGACCTTGGATATCGTCAAGGATTCTTACATCTGCAACGTGAGTCTCGGCGCCGAGAGGACGATGGTCTTCCGGACTAAGAGGGTAGATAAGGACCCCTCTCGGAAGACTGCCGATGCCGAGGTGAAAGCAGAGACGGCACGAGAAGCGAAGGAAGCGCCTGCCGCACCATCCTCCAACGACAGCAAGAAGCGCCAGACCGTCCGTGCCCAGCTCCCGCACAATTCTCTCTGTCGTATGGGCCTCAAGACCAATATGCGCTGGCTGCACGCCATCCGGCAGGACAAACGGGCTGACCGCGACAAGACGGAGGCCGAGCTGGCTTTTGCGGGCGGCCGCATCAGCCTAACCTTCCGGCACATCGGAACGTTCCTCAACAGCAACAATACACTCATATGGGGCCAAGGCGGCACCGTGAAGGAGCAGAAGGATGCCAGGCCCGTCGTCAACGGGCAGACGCCCGAGGCTGTCAAGATGCTACAGTGTTTTGGGCGGGAGAACCAAAGCTCCGACTTTGACTGGGGTGAGACGTATGGCGGCGGCTTCGACGTGCTTCACATCAGCAACGCGCCTCGGTTCTTCAGCAGCAGCGACCCCGTGGTCAACATGCGGATCCAGCTGATGCTGGCGGAATACGGCATCGCATTTGCCAAGGGCAGCATGGGCCCGGCCCGTGCTACCCGTCACGACCAAGAGGGCGGAGCGGCCAGCGCGGACGACGTGGCAGTCAAGTTCATCGACAACGACGCCGAGCACTCTACGGTGGAAGGCCAGCTCGCCATCATGCTGTACCTGGATGCCCTGCACGGCGCGGCGCAGTACCAGCAGGCAGGGCACCTGTTGGCCAAGAGGCTGACACGATTCCAGCGGGCGATTGCCCTACTGGATAAGTGGAGGGGTGTCGCCGCATGCGCTGCTGCTGCGGACCACAACACGGCGGTGAAGGAGGAGGAGGCCGCCGATGAGAAGGCGAAGAAGCCGGAGGAGAAGAAGCAGAAGAAGCGCAAGAACCCGCTCAGGCCGCTGGCGAGCGAGCTGCTCCTGTGGGACGGCTACGCGTCCGAGACGGAAGACGACTTCATCGCGGGCGGGGAGGACGCCACGCTGGCGGACTTTGCGCTGTGGCCGGTCCTGCACGACATGGAGCGGGCGTGCGGCGGGCAGGACGCCTTCGTCTCCGACCTGGCTGGCCTGGGCTGTGAGGACCTGGTCAAGTACTACAAGGTGCTCAAGGGGAGGCGCTGTGTGATGCATGTCCTCAAGACGCAGGGGGGCGCTAGCTCGTGATGAGGCTTTTTGGACAACGGGGTTTTTGCATTCTGCGATTTGGACTAATGGATGGATTGACATGATGTTGAACGATGCTATCTAGACGGGGGACTTTTCACTTGATCACATCATGGTTGGTTTCTTTGTCTTTGGGTATCATAGAGTCTTGGTAATTGGATAATGAAGCTACGATGGGCACAGAACCGCTCTGTATGTGTCTCCTGTTTGTAGCGACGTAAAAAAGGGAAAAAGAAAAGAAACGATGATCTGGTTAGGCGTGGAGTCTTCAATGTGTTGGTTTGCTCTGGTGTGTATAGCACGATATCATTGCATATCATCCCTGCGAAAGGGGGTCGTTGTGATCATGTTCCTTCATATATCTGAACCCTGAGCGGTGCTCTCAACAGCAGCAGTCTGGCCGTCCCCATATTCCTTCTTGACTCTTGGTGTATACAAGAAACAACGCATATCCCAGGAGTCGTTGTCATGTTCGAGAGCTTGGGGCCGCATGTACGGCAACCAGCATTTCTTCTCCTGCGAGGGGGCGAACGGCACGGCGCGCGTGCGTCAGAGACATTCATAGATAGATTAATGAGGTCTAAAATTGGGGGCAATGTAAAAACGTCGAGGGCTTGTGTCGTCAGGCACCACCTTGCTATTAACCCTGAGCTGTACAGATGTACATCTCAGCAATTAATAAAGGGGGACGGGGCAAGTACCCGGCCAGCCAATGTCTTTGGATTTGTGCGGATAAGCAATGTTTTCCCCTGTTTTGAGACAAACCAGGCTGGTCTCATCGTGCCGAGATGGAAGTGAAATATTAAGTTTGCCAAGTTGAGACGTTTTTTTGTTAGATGGACTGATCAGAAGCAAGTGTGTATATATGTGATACAGGCTGGTGAACGATCCCAGCTACGCCCCTGATGAGGAGACGTTCATGGCCAGTTGGTCAGTTTTACAGAGTACCTAGACAATCCCCAAGTGGCCGTGACAAGCCTCAAGCCATATGGCGTTCATTGCGTGCCTCAAGTTGGAGCCAATACGACACCCTCGGCTTTTCTTTCCTCATTCATCTGGAAGCATCTTGTGTGTTTTTCGAGGCCACGCTGCCTCTCCTCCAATTACCCGTAGAGAGAGCTACAGAGTATGCCAGAGGGGTAGGTAGTCCCCCAGAAGGATCAGCCAGCGGTAGGGATCGCTCCTTCATCTCAGCAGGCGGGCTTTGGCGAAATCATGCGCGGTCGAGAGACATCAGTACCTATCATCCAGGGTAGCCCCCCTGGCTCTGGCCAGCGAGCTGAAACAGGCCATAGACAGGTACAAGTACTTGCAGGGTGCCCGAATCAGCCTTGGGCTCACCGGCGCCCGTTGATGGGAGACAAGGACCAGGGGCAACCAGGCTCTACAGGTTCGTTCGGGTCATGCATGCATTACGGTGAGTGAGGAGGAGCTGAGAGGGATTTCGGTCGCCAAGGACAAGAAAGGTACAAGTATCTTGGCGGTCAAGTGAGCGTGTTAAACTGTGACGAAAGTCGAGTGGTTCCCAGGATCGCGTGGTGGGGAGAGCTGTGGTGGCCCCCCTGTAGATCCCCTCGCTGTCAGTGGCCAGTCCAGCCAGTCTGAAACGCACCTAGAAAACCCGGGAATCTCCATGAGGTAAAGCCGCGAGATTTTGGCGCCAGCTACCAGGCTTGACACCAGCCGCGACAAAAAAAAAAACCCTGGCACCCCTGGCTTCCATGCTTCTCTCTCCCCCCCAACGTCTTTTTTTCCCCAATGGCCCGGCGGAAGAAGAGCAGGGTTCAAGTCGAGGAGGGGAGGGGGGACCTTCAGCCGGGCGGGTACACAGCGTGTGCGTGGCTCTGCGTCACGGCTCTTCTGGTTGCCCATTGTGCGTTGCGGCCCCCCCCTGCGTAGATCTCCCTTGTGGGATGGGATGACTGCTGCACTTCACGACGTACAGAGTACAGAGTACGAGGTATGAGCGAATAAGCAATTAAGCATCAATCGATGCAGGTATGCTGGCTTGCACAAGGGGTTTGTGTCCCTTGCGGCTGGCGTATTGTCATGGCCAGCTGAACGGCGGCCAACCTGCGTCGAACTCTTGCACCTAGAGGACTGGCTGCATGGCGCCGTCGTCGAGTGTGTTCCAAAAGTGGGATTAGTTTACTACTTGTAAAGACTACTCCGAGCTTACCTAGTCGGACACCACAGTTGTTTAAGTGTTTGCGTTGACGCCAAAACGCGAACCCATCACTTAGTACTTTGTAGTTGCGTGGAGGAATTCGTGCCTCCATTCCCCGTTGCATTCCTTTCAGCCCACCCACCACCGCCCAACCGCATGTCCACATTGCAATGCAATGCAATGCACACGGGGATTCCTTGCGAAAGACGGGTGATCAGAGTTCATGATCGGAGATGGACGCAGCATGATGGATCGAACCGCCCTCTCCATGCCTCCCAATCGCAACACGAAGTACGTCGTGATGCGGCAAGTGGGCGTCTGAATAGTTGACAAGAAGTTCATCAGGAATCAATATCCTTGTCACACATCCTTGCCCTGGAACACGGAAGGGCTATCCCACGACCTAAATCCGATGGGCTTGATGGATAGTCATGTACTTCTGTTAGCAGTCCGTCAACAAATCTGACCATCACTCACTTGTGCAGGTACCAGCGAGACGGTGTGGTGGGGAGGGGGTTCAAACAGGGACAGGCCTGGCACTTGTGCCACAGTGACCAGACTTCGGACACAACCACATGCATGCATTGCATTGCACTGTACAAGTACAGCAAGGGGGTTCTGATCTGATACGGGCCCAGGGAATGAGCTTTTAGCAAATGCACACGCACACACACACTCTCTCTCTCCTGTCCTCTCTGGTGCACGCCACTGTTTTTGTGTACAAGTAGGTACTGCATCTCCATCTGATCCGAGATGCTGCAGGAGAGATCCTCCTGAATGTGCAGGTATCCCGGTCAGCGATCATCAGCGCCGCTGCATGCTTGATGGTGATAAATCCACCGCCGCCGCCCAATAGCCTCACTCGGGTGCCTGGCCTAAGACTGCTTGGGGGACACTACGGAAGTAATGGGGGGCGGGAGACCGCTCGAACGACTCGGGCTGTTGGCTGTTGGAAACTCAACTCGGCAGACACGGCAGACGCAGAATGCAATGGCAGGCTGACCTGACTGATCCGACTGATCTGACTGATCTGACTGCTGCTTTTGTGCTCCCCCAGGGTTCTCTGTCATTTAGTTCGTCATTTCGAGGCCGCGCCCCTTCGTCTTTACATGCCGAGCTGGGCATAGCTGGCATGCCAGTCCGGCACCCGTACCGGCGGGATTGGGGGCCTCTGGAGAATGTAACTTGGAGACGATGCCGGGATGGTGCATCGCATCTCAAAAGCCCAGGGGACTCGAAGGAGAAAAGTGCTGAGCCAAGGCCGGGAGCCCACTCTCGCAAGCCTCCTACCCCTGCCTTGGACATCGTCCCTCCCGTCCTCGAGCTATGGATGCGACTGCTAGCCCGGGTCTCCTGCGAATCCCCACCCGAGCCACTCCGCCTCCTCGCTCCATCATGCATGCCTCTCTCTCTCCTCGCCTTTTTGCGGTTGGTTGTGCGTGCCTCTGTGTGTGCGTGCGTGCTGCGTGTGTCTGATGGAGCATGGATGCATGGCTCTTTTGTTCCTTCTTCTCATTATTGACGGTGGCCCCCTCCCGACCTTCCTTTGCGACTCTGCATTTGCACCATCGTGACATTCTTTCCTTACCACCACCTTTCGTCCTTCACTTCTGGTCGCCTCTTTGGCTCTCTCTCTCTCACCCTCAGTCGTTCATTCTCACCGATTCTTACACACCGGCAACATTTGAAGATCTTCCTTCCTTTTTGTAACAGGCTTAAGTAGCAGCCAATCACACCGACGACCTTCGGCTTCTATCCGACGTGACAGTGGCACTCTTGGTGACCTATTCGCTCGTACACGCACACAAGAATACGAGCTGGATTTCAGACATCTGGCCCAAGCCGCGAAGATCTCTAGGGGCTTTGCCGTGACACATTGGCGGCCGACCTGTGTATCCTCTTTTGCTCTCTCTGAATTCTTCTCCAACGACTTGCCTGGACGTCAGAGCACCTACCGCCTTTTCTTTCTGCTCTCACTCCATCTTTTCTATTCGACACTGCGGCTGGCTCCTTTCCCATCCCTTGACTGCTCCTACTCTTGACGGAGCGGACACCAACGCCGTCCAGGCGGTTTGATCAACTACCTCTTCGTCCACTACCTTGCTGGCCGACACGATGCTCGTGGGAAACCGTTCCCTCTTGCTCTTATGGGCCTCGGCCGCCGCCATGGCCAGCGCTCAGGCGCTCGGTGACCTCCCAGGCTGTGGTGTAAGTGCGACACCAAGTCCGCAGGCACTTCGGGCTCGAGCCGAGTCCGCACGCCGGATGCTCGCGTGCAGATATCACGAGCTCGAGTCCGGAAACCTCCTGCTGGACTTACCCCCGATGCATGGGGGAGAACCAGGTCATGCTGACATCAGAACGCTTCCTAGCAAACATGTATCGCCCAGGCGCTGGACAAGAAGGCGGCCCTCGGCTGCCCCGACGGCGCTCAGGCGTGCCTGTGCGCCAAGCCCGACTACCACAACGCCATCAACGACTGCGTGGCCCAGTCCTGCGCTGCCGACCTCCGCGCTGTCGTGCTCACCTACGTGACCAACACCTGTGCCGGTAAGCTGCCACTGCACCGTCCCTTTTCTTCCGGCTTGTTTTGATGATGTGTTGTTTTGGTGGCACCAATTACTGACATATATGTCTCTTTCCCCTTGGACAGCGGCAGGAGCACCCGCCGCGACCACACCGCCCCCCGCAGCGACGCCGACGCCCGCCACTTCGGCGCCTCCCCCGGCGGAGAGCACACATAGCAGCGCGCCTCCTGCGGCCACGCCGAGCAGCAGCGCGGCCCCGAGCACGAGCAGCCCGCCTCCCGCGCCGGCGGCGAGCTCCACGTCGAGCTCTGCCTCGAGCTCCAGCTCTGCCCCGACTCCGGTTTCCAGCTCTGAAAGTAGCTCCAGCGTAAGTTTGTTTCTTTCCCTCTCTCCCACCGGCTAAGCCACGCTATGTCGACTGACACATTGCCAAATTACAGACGACTGCTGCCGCCGCAGCCACCACCACATCTGCCTCGAGCACCTCCACCCCGGCATCGAGCTCGTCCGCGTCCCCTACCTCGACGTCGACGCCGGAGCCCGCAGCGGGCGGCGGCGGCATGAGCACCGGCGCCAAGGTCGGCGTCGCCGTCGGCGCCTCGGCCGGCGCGGTCGCCCTCATCGCCCTGGCCGCCTGCGCCTTTGTCACGCGCCGCCAGAAGCGGAGGCGGGGCGGCAAGGGCGGCGGCTCGAGCGGCCACTCGTACAACATCTCGGACCCGCTGCCCGGGTCCGGCCGCGACTACGCCGGCTGGTCGGACCCCGAGGGCCACCACCACCACTCGTCGTCGGAGCTCGAGATGAAGTCGAGGCGGTACGAGGACATGCTGCCGAGGCAGACGCCGCGGACGATGATCTAGGAGAATGTTTGATTGAGAGGATGAGGACACGAAGGAGATTTTGGTACTGTAGCGGGTGAAAGGCTCCTCTTTTGTTTTTTTCTCGCTGTTTTTGCAGAGATGGAAAATCATTGATGTACATAAAACTCGGGGCTGCCAGGCCTGAGATATCTAGCGGAAATTTCTTGGGCGAGCGAGGGGTTGGGGGGGGTTGCAATTGGGAGATGATGTGTGGCTTGCAACGAGGGTCTCTTGCAGGTCAAGGTGGGAGTGGCGTGCCCTCCCTCGACAAACTTATTCTGCCGTCACATACTACTTTTTACTACTTACAGCTTTTAAACCCCCCCCCTATCCACGGGTCATGATATAGAAAGGGAAGGAGGGGGGGCCTGAACTGGCCAGCCCCCTGTCCAGGGAAGATACATCTGTTTTTTTTTTTTTTTTGGCGCAATATCGAGACAAGTTGGCAATTGAACAGTTGTTGTGTATATTGTGACACAGTTCTATTGTTCTATTTCCCATGCCGAGTATGTATGTAGTGTACAATGCTAATAAGGGGCTAGATGATATACAAGCTTGAGGTGATGGATCTATCGTGACATGGGCCCGAGTGTGAGAAGAGAGCTCACCCCCGCTGAGCTGTCTTCTGTGGGTGGCGGTGAAGAAACTACCATGAGTAGTAGGGCCGCTGGGCCGTGACCGGCCGGTTGGGCAGGTGAACCCAGGGTCCCTGGCGCGCCTTCTTGGCCTGCCGCTCCTCGTGCTCTCGTATCCTCGTCTTCTCCTCCTTGATGACCATGGTGATGGCTATTGCAGTGGGTAAAAAACCTTGGTCAGCATACAGATGGCCCTGATTTACAAAAGAAACCAGAGAAGGGTCTCGGAGTTGGGTAAAGGCGGCAAACTCACATGTCGTGGGGCGGGTCATCTTGTGCGCCCGGCCTCGGGCACGGTAGTCGATCTTGTAGCCTCGCGGCGGGCCCTTGCCCACCCAGGCCTGCTCGACGTACAGCCGGGTCGGGTCCTCGATGGACAGCCACTTGCCGTCCTTGGTCTGGATCTTGACGGGCTCGGCAGCGGCGGCGGCAGCGGCATCTCCTCCCTCCTTCTCGCCCGACACCCTGCCGAGGCCCATGCCGCGCTGGACGACGGCCTCGTCGCGGGCGAGCTCGAGCTGGTACCGCACCTCGCGGGCCATCTTCTTCTTGCTGAAGCGCATCTGCACGATGGCGTCGTCGACCGTCTTGCCGGCGATCTGGCGCGCCAGGTGGACGAGCTTCTTGGTCGAGGTCGGCAGGTTCTCGCTCTTGGAGGCGTGGCGGCGCTCGGTGCGGGCGATGCGCTCGGCGCGCGTCTCGCGGTCGAGGGGGTCGAGCCCGCGCCGCACGCGCCGCATGACCATCTTGCGCTGCCAGCGGACGCGGCTGCGCGGGTCCGGGTCCACGGCCCGGGCGAGGTGCTCCTTGACCATGGAGGCGCCCGTCGGGCCTCCTCCGCCTGCCGGTCTCCCCTGCTGCTGCGAGGAGGACGTCGTCGTCTCGGACTGCGGCTGCTGCACCTGGTCGGCGAAGATGGAGTCGCGGCTCAGGTTCGGGTTGCTGAGGCGGTCGGCGAGGGACTGCCGCGTCGAGGCCTTGGTCAGGTCATCGGCGAAGGCGCCGGCGGCGTCCTTCTTGCGGGAGGAGCCCCACGAGGCCCAGGAGCCCCATGAGATGGAGCGGGACTGCTGCTGGAGGAGGGAATGAGGCGGGGCTTGCGAGCCCGAGAGGGAGAGGGCCTGGAGGGAGGCGCAGAGGGCGTTGGGGACGGTGGACGGCCGGAGGGTCGTGGCGGCTGTCGAAAGCAATGGAAGGTTAGCTCAATGGTCTGATGTCCGTCCAACGATTGGAAGTGTAGCAAGGGTCCAATTGGGGTGAGATCAACAGCGTACCTGTCCGTAGGACCCGCCTCGATGGCAGATGGAGGCTCATTGCGGCAGCTGCATCAAGCCCTGGGCCGCATATGAGAGAGAGTGTGTGCACGCGAGATCGAGCTTTCGAGGTGTGTAGTCCAGTCTGCTTCCTTTGCAAGAAATCCTGCGGTTGTGGGCCCGTGCGCTCCTCTCACCCTTTGCGGTCTGAAAACACGTGACTCTCTTTTTTCCCTTTCCCTTTGCCGGACTCGGCTCTAGCGCGTGCAGAAGCGAATCAGGCCATGGGCGATTCCAAGCTTCTCCAATTTCCTCAGCAGACAGACAAACTCACCTTATTCCCTCCTTCCCGCCAACCACCACCGTACAGTCTCTAGAAACGACTTCACCCGGCAAGAAACAATCGCAATGGCTGTCAAACCCGTCGTCGGCGTACGTACCATCCCCGCAGAGGCGGTCGCGGGCCGCCAATGGCTGTCGTGCCACGGAGCAGGCGGCGGCTCGGGATTGAAGCAATCCCTCGAATGACTGATCCCATTGCCGAAACGGAGCTAACACCGACGACAGATGCTTCGCCGCAACCTCATCCTCGACCTTGGTATCGGCCTGGGTACGTTCTCGCCTCTGCTCTTCGGGTCGATGCAATTTCCTCCCCTCCCGTGCTGGCTTTTGAGCTGGGTTTTGGAGCTCGAGCCGAGATGCGCGAGGGGAGGGTGGCATGATGTCTGGGGCCGACCTTGCTAACGTCCATCTGCGTCAAATTAGGTCTTGGTTTCGCCATGGGCAACGCTTTCTGGTATGCTCTGCTACGATGAGAAGAGAAAACAACGGGCTATTCTCGACGCCGGAGGATCTAGATCACTAACGAGGTGTCGTCCATCTAGGTACGGCTACCACCTGCCGCGCACCCAGCGCCGCGACGACTACTACATGAAGATCGAGGAGGAGCGGGCCCAGAAGCTGCAGGGTTAGAGGTGATCAGATCGCCTGAGCTTGAGAAGGGGGAGTGACCGTCATTGTGGGAGTTGCCAGTGGCTTGCCGCGCCGGGGAGGATGTTTCGATAGGATGTTAGACGTGACGCCGTCACCGATCCGTTGTCACCAAACCACGCCTCGGTCCTAGAAATATCATTGCATTGTTAAGAAGGCTATTCGCTGATTTGATCATTGTGTGAACGGACGGCTGGTATAGAAGCCGACCTTGGAAATACATGTTGCTCTCTCGCCATGTCCAACTAAACTATCGTACATCGATCGCTTTTGAGTAGCACGCCAACCCACGTACTCTAAGGGAAGGGTATATCTCTCCTCACAGCACGACGAAAGAGCCCATCGTCTCCATAGGCTGGCTGTCATGACTCCAGGAACATCGATTTGCCATCGTGCCACCTTGTCGTCCAACCCTCGTGGCCAGCTTCTGACGGGGGTGTGGCAGCACTTTGGCTAGCATGAGATCCCTCCCAAGCTGTCGTCTCGACCGTAAAGCTGCCATTGCTATCTTGGCATCTGTGTGTGTGGGCGTGCTTGCATCGTCAGCCAGGCATTCCATAACTAGCAGAAAGCACGTGAGGGGCAAGCCATCTCCCGAGAGTGATCTGTACCACCAGAGGGCCAGAAAAAGAACCATATCGAGAATCCTTCCAAATCCCCCCCCCCCCCCCCCCCAAAAAAAAAGGGCACGCCTGAAATCAGAGAGGGGAATTTTGATGCGCAAACGTCCCCTTAGCAAAAGCCAGGACGGGAAGGCTATGAGAGGAGGCTGTGGGCTGACCTTCTGAACAGACGCTGCACAGGCCAGCACCGCACTGGGCTGTTGCGCTGGTCCGGCCGGTCGACGAAGCAGCTGTACTGCATCATCGACAGCAGCTCGCACGCGCTCAGGTCGACGTCCCGCCCTCCTGGAGTCTTGCGCTTGCGGCCCTTGGTGTTGAGCTGGATCTTCTCCGGCAGCTGCGACGCCGGGAAGCTGTGGCAGGGCGGCGCCATTGAGATTGAGATTCAGACTGGATGGAGGCCGCGGTCGGGCGGCGGGTGCTGGGCGAGGTGGAGGAAGCGAGCCTCGACGAGGTAAGGATGCTTTTCGTCTAGTCTTTCAACTTATCGTCTGCTCTATCCTTTGGCACCCTCTTTCATGTTTTTGGGGGCGGTGGTTCATGAGAGATGGTGTTCATTCTGTCACGTACACCCCAGTGCCACCACTCTAACCTTATCGCCGCTCCTGATTTGATAAGCCCGCTCACGAACATCGCCTTCCTAGTTCCTGACCTCCTTCCGCACAACGCTGCACGCACTCTCGGCAGGCTATGCTGCCGCTGCCGCTGCCGCTACCGCGGGCCTCGAGCCCGCGAGTGCTCCTACAAGGACTACTACTAGCAATAACAAGAAGTTGGCATCGCCTTTCCCCATCCCGGCCCTGAACGAGCTGGCCGAGCGCCACCTGCGGGCCACGTCGTCGCCGACGCTCTCCGTCTCGGGCCGGCACCTGCCGCTGCTCTACAAGCTGGTCTCTACGCTCGTGGCGCGCCCGCACGCCAAGGCCGTCGTCGTGATCGACCTCGAGCACCGCTTCGACGTGTCACGGGTGTTGCAGTGCTCACCTTACCGGGAGCCGCCGCCGCCGCCGCCGCCGCCCGCGGATGGCGAAGGTGCTGTTCAGAGTGATGTGGCTGGTGCCACCACCACGTCTGCGGTGGAAGGAGGAGGTGCCCACGCCGGCCGGCCGGAAGCGGCCCCTCCGCTGGTGACCCTGGCCGACCTCCAGCACATCCACGTCTACCGCCCGGCGCGCAGCCCCGGCACCCGCGTCGCCGACCTGGTCGCCGCCGCGGAGCAACGCATGCTCTACGGGCAGCACGGCAGCCGCCGCCGAGAGTGGTGGGGCACCATCGTGATCGGGCGCGCAGCTGCCGCAGCAGGAAGTGGAGGGGCCGGCGACGTGGCCGTCGAGGCCGGCTGGAGGGGCTGGCTGCAGGTCGCCGCCGCGCAGGAGGCGACGAGCTTCGGCTCCTGCCTGAGCCTGGAGGAGGGCCTCCTGGAGCGGGAGCGGGGGCGGAGGCGGCGGGCGGCGGGCAGGCAGCAGACGTGGGTGGCCAGCTCCGTCTGGGGCGGCTTCGAGTTTACGGAGTCGTAAGGCCCCGTTTTCACAAGCCCGGCTGCCCCTACCGTGAGAGGAAGGAGGGAAGAGGAAGGGGCAAAGGGGAAAAGGCGGTGAGGTACTTTCCAAGACTCATCGACACGGTTCAAGGGGCATGGATGCAACACACCAAAGCACAGTATACCCAGAGGAGCATTGTACAACTACGGATTGTCGACTGCACATCTGGCGCTATTATCGGCACGATGCCGATTTAAATGTACTTGTGATGGCAGAATCACGCCATGTGGAGCATCAAGAGTCCTGGAAAACCCGGCAGATAAAGAACGCAAAATGTACAAGTAGAAGTGAGAGGGTTGAAGACAAAAGAACGGGATTTCAAAGAGGGTCCTTTCGTCTCGTCTCCAAATCTCTGGGGAGTTTGACATGTGTGGAGATGTGGAGAGGGAGAGAGAGGGATCGCGAGAGGTCGGTACAGACACAGTACTGCAGTACTGTGTCAGTCCGTGTGTATGAGCGCTGGAGGCCTCGACTGGCAAGACTGGCTTGCGGAGAAAGAGCAATGTCGAACGGAACGAGCACTGTCTTGTCCGTGAAGGAGCTTTGGGCAACATCGTGGAACCTCACCTGTGGGTTCCCTGGTGGGTTCTGTGGAGAGCCAGAGCCTGGAGAGAGTTCCATCCGCTGTGGGCACCAAAGTGTACAACGCCTGCCCATGCGCGCTGAGCGACTTTGCCTGTCGTTTTACAGTTCCCTTTTACGGTAGGGACAGGTTGAGACAAGTCGGCACTCGGCATGAAGACAGAGGGATTTGATGAGGGAAATGGCAGGTCGCGTATGGAGTTGCATAATGAACGCACATTGGTCTCGGCCGGACCTGTCTCGATGCTTGTCTATCGGCCTTGGCTTCTTACTTTTCTTCCGGCTCGGTAGACGGGTGCAACAGCAGCAAGAAGGGAGGACGGACGGGATGATCCTCGCTGTTACTCAGGGCCCCTCGGGCAGGGTTCCCGCCAGCCACTGCCGACGCCAGCTTTCTTTTTCATGTGAGCTTGGCCTAGCAAGCCTTGATAAATTTGGAAACCCATATCTGTGGTGGCCGGCAAGTGCGCAGATCATAGGGTGATTCGGGGATTTTTGGTGACTTGTTTGTTTGATGAGATCAGCGTGAGCCCACCGTGTAAGAAGGAGAGAATTGAGGTATGATATGGGAGACATGTACCACGATGCGTGGTACGCCATTGCGCATATATGAACGTAGGCCAGATGTGTACATGCCAGGTTAGTACAGCAACCCGTAGTTGAGAGTAAGTAGATCTGCGCTGAGTGTTGCTCAGTAATGATCGCCGGCATAGATCTCTGCGACTTGGCAGCGAGGGATATCTATCCTTTCTCAGGCTGACCTGCAGATTAGGGCGTTGCAATCCCTGAAGGAGGGGGGGGGGGCAAGGGCTGTCGAAGAGGAACGGCAGCCATAGCGATTATCCTATCCTATATTGATGCTATTTCGACGGCATCTCGCAACCGGTTTCCAAAAATGCAGACACATGAGGTCTGTTGGGAACGAGGCACAAGGAGGCAGTCAAGCCACCTCGGCCACTCAAGGCAGTCTTGGCACTGCAATACAAGTATTACCCTCGAAACTCGAAACACCATACCCGCTTAATGTATTGGAGATGTGGAGCAGAAGGAGTCGGACTGGGTACTGGATGCCTGCAGGTGTACTTGTGTTGTACAAGATTGGTAAATCTGGGTGTCGACAGATCTCTCCACACAGTTCCTCGCCGCCTGTCGAGCCTGTGTACGGTGTATGTCGTGGTCGTCGAGACTGGCAGTGCAACATCAACATTCAAGTTGGGCCCGGCAAATCACCACAGTGCTGATGCTGATACTCAACACTCGGGATTGGAAGCGATAGATGCGCGTACCTTCCGCGTGGATGGCCTGCCAGTTTGCTTCCCTGAACCAACCCCGCGTTAGGCTTTGCCTTTCTCCGTAACACACCGTGCGATTGTGCAATCAGTCCTGCATCCATCTGCATCTCATCCCATTCCCTCCATCCATCCAAACCCCTCCCCCGTTCAACGGCTTCAGATGGTATCACTATCTCTAGACCGCATGCCGCGCCGGTCACAATCAGAGCTGCACGCATTTACGTGTACCTCTCGATGACGGCTACGTCGGCACACCGCATCGAGACGGCGGAGACTGAGGCGCCCATCCTGGCATGACGCCGTACGTTGGTATCCACGAGTCCATTTATTTACGGTACGCTTTGCTGTGAATCTGTCCTGTACGCCAATCAGATGCGTCGCAGAAGACACATTCACATGCAAGCGCAAGGGACTACTCTGACGCCGCCCAAGGTACCGTCCTCGACATGGAAACCCCGGGGTTCCACCCATCCCTGCTTGCACGACAGGATAGGTCGGCGGGAGGATATCGTCGCAGGGAGAGGCACGGAACAAACGTTACACCCACGTCTGCAAAGCTTAGCAGCCGTGGCGGCGAGGCACCCCTCTGTGCTCCCCTACCTCGCCAGACCCTTGGGTCCCTGATCGCCCTCCCGTTCTGGGCCATCTGTCCGCATGTTGTACGGGACTTCGGCAAACGGAAGCCCAGAGGACCGTTCTCAGGTCTCGCGCCGTCGTAGCCGTGCCGCCAGAGCCTCAGTCCTTCCTCATCCCACCCTATTTATGTAAGTGAAGATAGCCGAGTAATTGACACAGGGATGCCCATCCTGCAGGCGCTTGATTTCACCCTGTTATGCTAATGCCTGGGACTAAGAAAGACACAGCTTCTAGCCTGTCGAGCTTCTTCTCTTCAGCCAAACGGAACGACCGAAGCGAGCTCTGATGCTGCCGCTGCCGCTACTTACCGCCGCCACATGGCAATACGGTGGCAGTGGGTACGTGTCTCTATTCACCGTAGGATCTAGGGCGAGGCTCTTTTGATTTGATTTGGCTCCTGTGACGGCTGTCTTCACCTGCAGGCGGTACGTCAATGGCCCGCCGAGTCACAGCCAAGCCGCTTCTTGGGCCGGTTTGGTCCCTGCAGTTGCGGCCTTTTTTTTACTGGTCCCCTGCCGGTAGCCGCACCACCAATTTCTTTTCTGTCCCGGTCGCAGGTCGTGGTCCACACCTGACGTCATGCTGATCGACGGCGGCGTGGGACTTCTCGGCCTTGGCGACCCTGAATTGTGGTCCGACTGTGGATGCCGACACCCGCCGTCCCCCGTCTCATGCCCAATGAGTGCTCGCCGTCCGCCGACCAGGCTCCGCTCCTGCCCCCGGGCTCCTCTTTCGTGCTGCGAGATGCTTTGTGTGATGCGTGGCTTGTATGTACACCCGCCCGCCGGTGCGAAAAGAGATATCCACACGGGGACGAGGAGGGCGGGCGCAGGATAACAAATGCCATGTCACGACGCCACGGTCTCGCGGGCCAAAGGGTACTCGCACCCAGATGAGCGAGCCCCAGTGTCAAAACAGGGAAATCCATATCAGAAAATCTGCAGGTAGCACCGAGCACATGCGCGCCGTATGCAGGGCACCAAAAGCACTCGTACCGTTACGGACAGTAAACGGGAGGATCAGTGATCTTCGCCTTCTGCTTGTACATTCTGGGCGAGTTATTCCGATACGAGCCCGCTTTTCTTGCTTGTCCCTAAACCAGTCGAAGCGCTCGCCGTATCAGGGGCTCAGCTCAGCTCTGGACGGACGGGGACCAGGGCGAATGAGTCGCACCGAGTTAATCTGGACCTTATCTCACCATACACCACACCAAAGCAGATCGCTCGACCCTGACCGGCAGCCGTGCTGGCCCCCGATTGGCCGGGAGGCCGGCACCCTTTACGGTGTGCAGAGGCTCTGTGAAGAGATTGACAGGGGGTAGTGGCGAGCCTACGGGTGACCACCGCACCGTGTACTGTGCCTGTGTTTCACTGCCTTGACTACGGTGCGACCTAAGCCGAACGGTCCCTGCTTTGCTTGCCTCGCCTTCCACCGCATGTTTGACTAACAAAGCACTGTCCTTGCCGTTGAAGGAAAGCAAGTCCTGGCACCGGCGCGGCGTACCGTCTGCGACGGCGCTAGAAGAAGAAAAAGAATGCGCCCTCCTTGGTCTTAGACGCTTTCACAAGTGATGACTGCCACCATCCAGGCTTACCACCTTGCATCATTGTGCTTCGACCCGTATCCACACGGCATCCACCGTGGCATGCCTCATTTGGACGTTGGGTGAAAACTCGTTCATGACGGTATCCACTGATACATTGCCGTTTCTGTCTCTTTAGTAGCCTACACGGCGTACACGGCGTCACTGTGTTGATTCGGCGCTGCCTGGCGCTGTCGAGGTACGGAGTACACACACCTCACCAGCCAGTCGTTGGGGATAAGGAGAGTGAGGCATTGCTGTTTGCTCGAGTCAAGATGGATATATAAACGGGGTCCCCGCGGCCGCAATCCTCTCCATTCTCCAGTTTCTCCAGACACCAACAGACAAGTTCCCATTTATTCATCCACCAGCAAGAAGATCTCTACGGGGCTCTCTGCTTTTCTCTCCTTTTGACACACACGCGTGTCCTGACTCGGTTCCAACGTTTGCTCTTCTCTTCTACCAGCACGGAAAACAGTTTTTCTTTGCTGTATCACAAGTCCTCTCACAAATCATGGCTACTCTCCAGAGACCCGCCGCCCCTATCCGGACGGTGTCCAACAGCAGCTTTGCCGAGAGCTTTGACATTGCCCGGAGAAAGCTGGACAAGGAGCTCGACGGCAACATCTCATCCCCGGACTCCCGCCCCGGATCTCCAGCGTCGCTGGCCACGGGCTCCACCGTCACCCCGGCCGAGCTCAGCACTCCCCTGACCCCCTTCAACGCCGCCATCGATGCCGACCCGGATGTGGCCGACGAATTTGCCTTCGCCTTCGATATCGACGGCGTCCTGATCCGCGGTGGCAAAGTCATCCCAGAGGCCATCGAGGCCATGAAGGTTCTCAACGGCGAGAACGAGTATGGCGTCAAGGTGTAAGTGCAAAAGTTCCCCACTGCTCGCGCTACGCACATGTAACACGGTTACTGACTTGAGAACTCACAGTCCCTACATTTTCCTGACCAACGGCGGTGGGAAGACCGAGGCCGAGCGCTGCGGTGACCTCTCCCGCCAGCTAGAGCTCGAAGTCTCGCCGGGTCAGTTCATCTGCGGCCACACCCCGATGAGGGAGATGGCCGACCGCTACAAGACGGTCCTGGTCGTCGGCGGCGAGGGCGAGAAGTGCCGCCACGTCGCCGAGGGCTACGGCTTCACCGACGTCATCACGCCGGGCGACATCCTCAAGGCCAACGCCGCTGTCTCGCCCTTCCGCAAGCTCACCGACACGGAGCACGCCAACTCCAAGGACCTGCTCTCGCGCGGCCAGCTCAGCGACATCGTCATCGACGCCGTCTTCGTCTTTGCCGACAGCCGCGAGTGGGCCTCGGACCTGCAGATCATGCTCGACATCGCCATGAGCAAGGGCGGCCGCCTGGAGACGCGCTCCGAGACGTTTGACGAGAGCCCGCCCTTCTACTTCTCGCACAACGACACCCTCTGGGCCGCCCAGCACGAGCACCCGCGCCTCGGCATGGGCGCCCTGCGCAGCATCGTCGAGACCACCTTCGAGTCGGTCACGGGCGGCAAGAAGCTCGAGACGCACGCCTTCGGCAAGCCCCAGGTCAGCACCTTTGAGTTCGCCACGCGCCTGCTGCAGAAGTGGCGCGCCGCGCAGCACGGCCTCGAGTCGAGCAAGCCGCCCGAGACGGTCTACTTTGTCGGCGACACGCCCGAGTCGGACATCCGCGGCACCAACGCCATGAACGAGGCCTCGGACAACGACTGGTTCTCCATCCTCGTCAAGACGGGCGTCTACCAGGACGGCACCGAGCCGGCCTACAAGCCGCGACAGACGGTCGAGACTGTCCTCGACGCCGTCAACTTCGGCATCCGGCGCGAGATGGAGGCGCGCAAGGCGCGGTCCGCGGGCCCGGACGAGAAGGCCGTCATTGAGAAGCTGCTGCCGCTCGACGCGGCGGCCCAGCCGACGACGACCGCGTAAAGGGTCCAACATACCTGCTGAGCAGGTGATATGGCTCTCGTCTTAGGACATACCAAAAAGGACACGAAAAGAAGATATTGTAACGCCCGACAACGAAGCACAAGCACCGGCCTGCAGCTCCTATCCTTTGAGCCAGCTTGGTTTTTTTTTTAAGAAAAAAACGAGAAGAGAGGTGCCGGACGACGAATTTCCTTGGATGTATTTGTGATACCATTGTTTCGGATTTTATTGGGGGAGTTTTTCCTTTTTTGCCTTTTGAAGTTTATTCTTCTTCTCCGTCGTTGGATTGATATGGACCGAGATCCAAGTCACTACGACTGCCGATTGCACTCTTATTTCACCAGTGTTTCTTTTGCATACAAGCATCATAGCCATCTGCATGCATTCAAATAGCTCTCATAAGCTTTCAGTCGTTTGTTATAGAGGAATAGAATTGAACTTGGAACCAATCGGTAGCTGCTGCTGTTCATCTCGTACTGGTAGGTCTCGCCCAGCTCGAGGCCTTGTGAATCGCAAACATAGTTGTTGAATTTCATCGATCATAGAAAAAGAAAAACAGTGTACATTGGATTGTACTTGAGCGGCAATGCATTTGAACAACGAGGTGAAGTTGTGTCCCAAGGCCCCCCTCCGCGACTTGGGAGTCGTCTCAAAGTGGTTCTAGTGAAATGGGGGGAGTCATTATTGCGATAGCATACTACTCACCCATTTCACACCTCACGTCATGCCTCAAAAGGCTGGCATCTCTTTGATCGTGTGTGATGTATGAGCGTTTTTACAGGGGGGGGGGGGGGCACACGGCATCGATCGACCAGCGTGCTCGTCTCGGGAGACACCTCGCGGCATACTGACGTACATCCAGGCCCACTGGTGCCTGAATCCTCATCACCTTCAGCTAACATTAGGTAGTCCCGGGAATGATGCTCACCTACGTTGTCTCTCCTGGAGGAAACATGTTGTCTGGGCTAGAATCCCCTTTGGACCGTGTTCACTCTAGAAAACGCCCCCCCCCTCGGAATTGATTTCATGGTCTGTCGATCCATAACCCGTGGCGAAAGCAGGTGATACCGCACATTTCTTTTTGTGCCAGAAGATGCTGGTCCACTTGACCGATGTCGAGAACTGCTGATGGATGAGAACGGCCGGAAGTGGGCTACAATCGCTACCTCTGCATCGAGAGGCCCGATCGACCAGCCAGAGAAACGATTTGAGGGGTGTCATGGCTGGGATTGATGACGGACTGTATGGTGCTGAGGTTTACCGTCCGCGAGGGTTTCATGTCTTGGGTATCGGCCTTTGAGATCGCTTACGAGCAGACCCGGTTCGGGACGGACTCCGAAGGGGCAACTTACAAGATATTCGAAAACGAGAACTCGTTCAGTCCCGTGCTGCCGCCCTGTTAGGATTCTCGACGACGTGATTTCACGGGCGATGCTGGTGTTGGTATGATTAGGTCATTTCAAAGAATTTGTGCTGCATCGTGGCAGCACGGCATTGTGACAAATATCTGGCTGTTGTGCGTCTCTTCCCACATCGCTGGGGTCCGGGTCGTCGTGAGGGACCAGGCCTGCTCGGCTGCTGTTTTTTTATAAGGCCTTGCTTGCGTAGCTGTGGAAATCACTACTATCATGGTTGACAGAACTGCGCGTTGAGGGGGGCGCTGCATTGAGAGAGAACGTGGCCATCGATTGGTTTCATGTCCGGACACGTAAGGTGATGATGTGTTTGACCTTCCTCGCGCGGGGGACGCGGCGTGCACAACGCCGGCCCCATCGATGCGGTGTCTCGGGTAGGAGCGCAAGCTAGTGGACCACATTGACATGCGTTCGTTGGGGTTGGAGACCGTTGGACACGATCTATGCCATGAAGAACCCTTGTATCACGCGAAATCATTGCATGAGACTTGCTTTCGGGGTTCTCTCAATGCTGATCGTTCAGTTATGTGGCCATCTTTCGTGGCTTGCTGGTTGACTCTTGCCCTGGACTCGCCGGCGAAAAGTTGAATACCGATGTATGAATGCGAAACCTCTACCGTTGAATTTCAAAACAAGCGCAAAGCCATCCCTTGGACTTTTGAATCAGCAGCTTCTTTTTGATCTGTTCGAGAATGGAAGCCTCCCGTTCCCAGGTGTCTTGGGAAACGAAGCACGTGCATTCGAGTCCAGGGAGGGTAGGAGACGATTATGGAAAGCCGGGGTTGATCCGGCAGTTGGGATGCCAATCATCCAGGCTGCCTGGTAGTCGCGCTGTTGATCTTGTGAGTCTAGAATGGCCGGCAGGGTCGATCAGTTGCTGTGAGTGGCCGATATGGATGGCAATTCAGCTCAATTGTCCCCTGCATCGGTCCGACGCTTGGTTGCGACAACTCGAAATCTGTGCGGACACGCGCTGGCTAGTGACAATCACGTAACAACGCCCATCGTATCTCTGCGCTGTACTTGTGTGCTTGTAGTTGCTTCATCACTCACGGCCATTGATTCCCCGGTCGCTGTCCGATCAATGCCGTGGGGGGATGTTGGAGCGACGGATGTGATTGGCCGAGAGTCGCCGGAGCGCGGTCCCGGCGCCAGCTCTGGGTTCAGAAGTGCTAGAGATCTTTGAGAGGAGTCTAGAAATGCAGATCTCGGGATTAGACCGTATCTTTTAGTTCAGGGGTCCCACCTCGTGTTTAAAAAAAAAGAGAAATGGAATGAAGGGGCTCAGCAATTCGCTTTTTCTCTCCGACCCAAAAGCAGAGAATCGCGGTCGTTCCGCCTCTTGTGTTTTGGAAGGACGAGGGGGCCCAGAAAAAGAGGAAATTAGGTACAAAGCCAAGAGATGCGCCTACGTCATTGTGCGTCGATGGGATTTGACACTTTGGTTTTCTGTTATTTGCATTGTCTGGACCGGGCGGGCCAGGGTTGTGTTTTTCAGGGATCGCAGTTTGCGGAGGCGTTGGGTGGGGTGACACTGGACTTCAGTGCAGGTAGACAAGACGACAATCAAGCAATGATTACTAGGTAGCTAAGTAACTTCGCCTCCAGGCATCCATTGACGAAGGGAGGATACCGGATTGCTCTCTTGACCCTGCATGGGGCTTCTGAGGCAAGCGACGAGGTCTGGGAAACAAGAGGCAGCCAGCCAGCCATCTGCTTGGTACTCCGTAGTGAATGCCACAAGCAATTCGGGGTGCGGTCCAGCGGTGGGGAATGATCATTACAGGGGAATTGATTGGCCTGGGCCTGGGCCTGACCGGCTCATCGGCACAGGACCTTCCCGCAGGCTTCTTTCTTCACGTTTTGGTCCTTTTGGTTTTGGCCGACGTGTCTTTCAGGGACAGAGTACCGGAGATCCAACAATATTGATGCTTGACAAGTTCTTGCGCGTGTGGTTCTAATACCTACATAAGGTAGGTGAAGTGGTGGGAGTAGTAATGCCATCCTGCAATAGGTAAGTAACTACATAACCTACGTAGACACCGAGGCAGCGAGAGCCAGGAGCATGTGTGTCGGTGTTGGTGGTGGTGCGCGCGTGTGTGTCTCTCTCGTCCGAGCCCTGTCTCAGTTCAGATGGGCTGCTTCTCCGTCGGCATCCCAGACCAGGCTCCCTCCACGCGCTCCAATACAGTTGGGATCGGCAAGCCTAGGAGGCCTAGACCCCTGCCGACCGCGCGCCGTGCAGCATCACGGCCACGGCTTGACGCCATTGTTGTCTGTCCTCCCAACCCATCGCTTACTTCGGTTACGTACCTCCTAAGGAGCGAACCCTGAACGAGGGTTTGAAGCAAGGTGTGTGCAGCGCGACCCTGCGTGACGGTGTCCCTGCGCGTATATCAGCATACTTATATGAAGCTAGATATCTCCTGAGGGAGGCATGTCCGAGGAATCCAAGCTCGAGAGGAGAGAGAGAGAGAGAGAGACCACAGCAACCCGAGGATGGCCGTCATTATCTCCAGATTGCTGTCCATAAAAGGGTCTGGTCTGCCTGCCTCCCGACGGAGATGCACACTGCGCGTGGTGCCAGTAGCTCGAGGTGTTGTTTGCCTCGCTCATTACTTTTCAGGCTGCATCAAGCATCTTTACGTAACTCTTATGCCGTGACGAGGCCAACAAGGCTGCTGCTGTGAACCATTTGAAAATCATTTGAATGAAATGAGTGATGATGATGCGGCACGCGGCCTCCCTACCTTACCTTCGTAGATCTGGCCGGACTCTTGAGACTCGTTAGCAGTGCCAACCTGCCGGGCCACTAAGAAACAGACCTTGGGAGCTGCCTTAGTCAGTTTAGGGGCCAAAAAGGCCGATTGCAGGGTCCTGTCGTCAGTGTTCTGGGGGACAGGCACAGGGCCCAGTGACGACACACAACAATCCTGGGTGGAAGTAACCACACAGGCGGGCACACAACACCGGCCTGACCAGCGACCAGCGCTGAAAACAGCCCACTTGGCACTTGGGACCCATTCTTTCCCACCCCCCGGTGCCCTGGATCTACAGGCCAGCCCTCCCTTCAAGCCGGTACCTGTTTGCGCTGTCGGCGAACTTTTTTCCCTTTCCCGTTGTTATTCCCTTTGCGCCTCGCCAAACCCCAGACACACGACAGTCCTCTTTGTTCCCTCCGGCGCACACCGCACCTCGCACTCGAGCCAGACCGACGACGTTCCTTGCCCGGTCGCGTCTCTCTGTCCGAGTGAGCTATACGTACGCAGCGCCGCATCAGGAACGGAAGGAACTGTGCTGTTCGCCGCCCCGTCTGCTCTTGCCCTGAGCTCTGTCTGCTCTGCTCTGCTCTGCCCTGCCCGTCGACGACGACCTCGAGCTCCAAGCCTTGGCAGCCTGGCCCTCCCCCAGCAACCCTCTATCAGCACCGTCGCCGTCATCTCGTCCTAGCGAGCAAACAGATGGTCCGGCTCGCGCCGAACCAGCAACACCAACCACCACCAAGATGGGGAGCCCTCCGCCAGCTCCCCCGCAGCCGGTAGGAGAGGAGAACTGGGTGGACTATATCGACCAGCAGGCCCGCCACGCCGACTCTCTCGAGAAGCGCATCCACGTCGTCGAGCTCTACCGCACCGCCGCCAACGCCGAGCCCGGCAGCATCAAGGTCTGGCTGGCGTACTGCGACTACTTCTGGTCCCTGCATCAGGACTGCCAGCATGGCAGCGACTCGTCATGGCCCGCCGACGAGGCCGCTGCTGCCCGCGACATATTCTCCCTCGACGCCGCCCTGCACCTCTGGAGCGAGGGCCACGAGGCCACAAAGTACCGCCTGAACGACAGCCACGAGCTGTGGAACCGCTGGATCGGCCTCGAGATGGACCTGCTCTCCAAGACGAGGACGCCCGAGGGCGTCAGGCGCATCACCCACCTCTTTCGGAACCGCCTCCTCACCCCGCACGCCACCTGGGACGAGACCTCCCAGATGTTCTCGAGCTTCCTGTCCGAGTACAATACCGGCGCCTATGAGTCTACTATGAAGGATATTACCCAGCGCGCTGCCGAGGCCAAGCGGCTCTACGACCAGCGCGAGATCCACGAGCTCAAGCTCGCCCGTGCCACGCGCGGCGGCGACGCCGATAAGCAGAAGGCCGCCATACGCGAGTACCTGGCCTGGGAGATCACGAACTCGATGTATGAAGAGAGGAACAAGGCTGCCGCCGTCGAGCTGGGCCTCGCGCTCTTCTCGCGCGCCCTAACCGGCATCTTTGCCTCGGACGAGGCCACCTGGACCGACTACATTGTCTACGTATCGACGCTATACCACCGCTTTAGAGAGGAGCGCTCCACTAAGACCGGGGACCTCTCGCACCTCCTGCCCAACAGCCTCGACATACACCAGCGCGCCGTGCAGCACTGCCCTTGGTCTGGCAAGCTCTGGGCCCGCTATATCCTGAGCGGCGAGGAGGCGGCCCTGTCCTTCTTCGACATGGAGCGCATAAAGCATGCCGCCACGAACAGCTCGCAGCTCGACCGCGACGGCATGGTCGGCGTCGTCGACATGTACGCGGCCTGGTGCGGCTACCTCAAGCGCACCGCCATGCACCCCACCGCCCCCGACGAAGCTGTCGACATTGCCGACTCGGGTCTTGTCGCCGCCCTCGAGGCCGTCCAGGTCTGGGGCGAGCGCCGCTTTGGCGATGCCTACAAGGGCGACCCCAGCTTCCGCCTCGAGCGTATCCTCATCCAGTACCTGACCGAGAAGCACTTTGCCATCGACGAAGCCCGCGATCAGTGGCGCAAGCTCGAGAGCAAGGAGTTGTACGCCAACAGCTATGACTTTTGGGTGCACTACTTTATGTGGGAGATGCTCGTCTTCCAGGCCCAAAAGGGCCAGGGCCGCAGCCCCACGCCGGCCTCGAGCTCCAAGGGCTTGCGCGTGCCCAGCCTCGCCACCGAGGCTCTCGAGCGCGCCCTGCACAACCGCAACCTCGACTGGCCAGAGCGCGTCATGGAGGTGTATCTGCACCATTGCAACGACTACCAGACTGCCGACACACTGCACCAGGCCCTCGATACCATGCACAAGGTGAGCAAGGGCATCGCGAAGAGGCGCGAGAGGGAGGCCGCGGCTGCCAACGCTGCCTATGCCGCCGCACAGGCCGAGGCGCAGGAACAACACCAGGTCGAGGCGGAGGAGGGCGCCAGCAAGGGTCAAGCGAATGCCCCTGCTGCTGACGCAGCCGCGGCGCACGCCTCACCGTCAGGTGCCAAGCGCAAGAGAGAGGCTGAAGCTGGCGACGCCGACGCCGAGTCGGCTACGAAGCGGGCCAAGAGCAAACCCGAGTCCGCAGAGCCGGCACAGGATGCCTCGTCTCACGATCGGGTCGCCAAGCGCGACAGGGAAAACACCTCGGTCATCGTCCATGGCCTCCCGGCGGACGTGACCGCGACCAAGGTGAAGCAGTACTTTCGCGAGTATGGTCATGTCAACCACCTGCAGCTACAAAAGGCCGAGGACGAGGCGTCAACGTCGGCGCTCGTCGAGTTCGCAACCGCCGGAGATGCCCAGTCAGCGCTCTTGCGCGACGGCAAGTACTTTGGGCAGGATGTCGTCAGCGTCAAGCCGGCGACGAATCTCACCCTGTTTGTGACCAACTTCCCGCCGACTGCCGACGACGGATACATACGCAACCTTTTCAAGGACTGCGGGCGCATCTTCTCCACGCGCTGGCCCAGCCTCAAGTACAACACCGCTCGGCGCTTCTGCTACGTCTCGTTTGGCGACCCGGAGGCCTCGGCCAGGGCGACGCGCCTCGACGGGACGATGCTCGAGGGCCGGTACAAGCTGCAGGCCAAGTACTCGGACCCCTCGCACAAGAAGGCCCGCGAGGGCCCCATCGCCGAGGGCCGCGAGGTCCACGTGACCAGCATCGACCGGAGCGCGACCGAGGACGAGATCAGGGAGCTCTTTGCCAAGTACGGCAAGGTGGACAAGGTGCGGCTGCTGCGGACCATGAAGGGCGAGAGCCGGGGCTCGGGGTTCGTCGTCTTCGCGGCCAAGGCCGACGCGGAAAAGGCGGTGGAGGTGCTCGACAAGGCCAAGTTCAAGACGCAGGTGCTCGGCGTCGAGATCTCGGTCAAGGAGAACTTCAAGCCCGTGGCGCGGGCTGTGGCGAGCAAGTCGCCGACGCCCGCCCGCAGCGCCAAGGACGAGGAAGGGGACGAGGCTATGGCGGAGGACGGCGGCCCGGCCAAGGAGGCGCCGAACGAGAGGTCGTTTGCCTTGCTGGGCCTGCCAGACACGGTCAACGTGGAGCGCGTGCGCACGCTCGTCGAGCCCCATGGCGCCGTGGCCAAGGTGCTGCTGCAGCCGAACCACGGCGGCGCCGTTGTCGAGATGGCGGACTCGGCAGCCTCGGGCAAGGCGCAGCTGGCGCTCGAGGGTGCCGGCATCGACGGGCAGAAGCTGCGGGTCGGCACCGTGGCCGAGCTGTACCGGACCAAGGTCGGGAAGAAGACGCAGGCCGACGGGAAGCCGGCTGCCGCTGCCGCTGCCGCCAAACCCCTCATGGCGCCGCCGCCTCGTGTTTCGCGGCCTGTCCTGGGCGGCAAGGGTGCCAAGCGCGGCCTGGGGTTCGTGGGCGCGAAATCTTCTGCCGGTGCCGCGGCGCCGCAGCCGAATGGAGAGACGACGGTCAAGAAGAGCAATGCCGATTTTCGAAAGATGTTCTTGGCTGGCGGCTCCTCCACCAAGGCTGAGGAGACGGGAGGAGAGGGAGGCAAGAAGAAGAAGGAGGAGGAGGAGGGGAAGGAGCTAAAGGGGCAGGAGCACCAGGCGCGAGGCGTGGAAAACGGACATGTCGATGCGTGAAATTGTTGGTATCTGGAGACATTATACCCCCTTTTATCTTTTCCATGGTCAGCAAAAGTGGTCGTTCGTTTAGGGCTTTAGTCGGACAAGGCGGAAGGGGAAAGGGGACAGGGGGGGTGGGTGCGTTGTGACAAAAAAGTTCCGGTGTTGGCTTTTTTTGTGTGTTTTTGGGACACCCCCTTTTTGTTGTAATATTTTTCTTCTCTTTAATCGTACAAAACGGCCCTCAAGGGCAGTGTGTCATGTCATATTGGTGTGTTGCCTTGCCTCTTTTTTCTTGCTGGAGCATCGCAACTGCAATGGAATACCCTCTCGTCTCTTTACCCGCTGACTTTGCTGGTGTGTATGTTATTGCCAACGAGGCGAGGGGTAGCCTTGTGGCTTTGACAAACGAGTGGACTTTGGTCAAGTGGGAGCTGGATACGAGGCATGTCTAGTAGTGTTCAACCTCGGAAGTGCAATTGTTGTTTTTGAGATAATCATGGAGCCTCGTACTGGAGTTGTAGTGATAGCACATGCTCGAGCCACTTTGAACTAATTTGTACAAGGTGGTCGACTTGATGACATCACGAAGGAGGTTTCTTTGAAGGAGATTTAATGTCATAACCAGCTGGTATCAATACATGTTTCTTCTCCAAGGAGAGAGCCAAGTTACATTCCACTTATCAGATAGAAACGGCTTGCCCGATTCCATGTGTCAAAATTCATCACAACCTAGGCTTGATCCTCCCGTCTCCTTTCCCCGTTCCCGAGTTACAGTACCAAGCACCAAATCCGTCAAGGCAGCGCCTCGGCCAACCCACTGTCCTCCCCGTGCATGTCCCTGAAGAGCGGATCCCACACCGTGACCGACCGCTCGCTGGGCCGGCCGTTCTTGAATTTGAGCTGCGAGTAGTCGAGCTCCGAGACCAGCTCGCCCGAGCACTCGGCCACGACGCCGAACCGCGCGTCCCCGCCCGCCAGGAAGCCGTCGTAGGCCCGCACGATCGTGCCCACGGGCGTCATGCACTCCGGGCTCACGGCGGCGACCATCTCGGGCGGCACGATGGCGGTCGCCACGATGCCCGGGCACACGCAGTTGACGTAGACGCGCTCCTTGGCGGCCAGCACGTCGGCGACGGTGCGCACGAACTGCACGACGCCCGCCTTGGCGCCGTTGTACTCCGGGTACGACCGGTGCGGGTGCACGCCCGCGTTGGACGCCGTGCAGACGATCTTGCCGCCCGGGCCGCCGCTCCCTGGGGGATTGTGCCGCATAAAGTGCACGGCGAGCTGCGTGCCGTACAGCACGCCCTTGTAGTCGACGTCGGTGCACAGCAGATTTGGCTCGGGCGGGACGTCGGCGACCGAGGCGCCGCGGTGGCGCAGGATGTAGAGCGAGGACTGGTCGACGATGCCCGCGTTGGCGAGCAGGGCGTCGAGGCGGCCCCAGCGCTCCCAGACGGCCGTGAAGGCGGCCGCCTGGGAGGCGTACGAGGCGACGTTGGCGTGGAAGTAGGCCGCGTTGGGGCCCAGGGAGGATGCTGGGGGGCAGTAGTGGCATGTTAGCAATGGTATTGTATGGTGGGTGGCACGTTTTCCTTGGTTGGGGTTTCGACTCTTTGAAGGGCACGGGGGAAGAAATAGGGGAGGCTTCTTTTCTTTTCTCACCGAGATCTTTTCCCACTTTGTCATTCACGTCCAGGAGGGCCACGTTCCACCCTTTGCCGATAAAGTGCTTGGACAAGGCCGTTCCCATGCCGGACTGAGCATGGTCAGGTCAGCAGCAAAGACAGGGACAAAGGGGGGGGGGGCAGGGGTACACGTACAGAGGCACCGGTGACGATGGCCACCTTGTTGGGTGATACGGATGTCCCGTTGGTCGCCATGTTTTGCTGTGCTTGGCCTCTGTCCACGATGATATACGTTGATAGAAATAGTCACCAGATTCTAGGGCGGTGCTGCAGAGTAAAGCTCCCCTCCTACGCGGTCAAGATGGCATGAATGGACTCCTAGCCCTGTCGTGTTCTCCTCCGCTCTCTTATATAGAAGTACAGCCATGGCCGAACTGGTGTCTGGCCCCTCCATGACAACAATGCCAAGTAACAGGAGATTTCACTTTTTGGTGTTGGTCCCATGAGATCTGTGGAGAAGGTGTGCCGGACACAGCTTGGGTGCGAGATGTAGGGTCTGTCGTCGGGAACAGGATATCCAGCTTCTGTCAGTGATGCTAGCGTCACACAAGAGCCAAACCGTCCTGGAACCCCTCCGCATTTCTATCTAACCTTAACCTCTTCCCCACACCCAACCCGATGGGTGCGGAGAAGAGAGCCATTGAGCCTTTGACAGCATCACGACGATTCGCGTGCGGATACGATTTCCAGAGCGGGCCATGGCGATGTGGCCCGTGGCTCAGACACTTGAATAGATGCCGTCATCCGAGACCCCCAGCTGGAGGAGCTTTTATTTCATGTGTTCGCTCTCTGGGCTGGCTAGGTAGCTGTTTCTCCACATGAGGTGTTCCCCAGACGCCAGCTTAACATGGCTAGGTACTGGAACCTCCACACTCAGACTCCACTTCTGCCATTGTCCCCTTGCGGATGACATTTTCCCCCAAGATTCCCATCCCAAATACCCTTTTGGAGTACTCATATACCAAGCCCCCAAACAATAAATAATCTGGTCATGTATGCGCCGGAATAGATGTGTATCCGTATATGCGTGACTCGTTAGATGACGACGTACAAGTCGATGTAAATGATACAAAAAGAGCAAGGCTTCTCGATGATATGTGCAGATAAGGTGAGGACGTGACCGTCCTCGGCCCCCGATGTCGACAATGGTACAGCGTCCATCAAGACAGAAACTGCTTGCTCCCTTCCTGCTTGAACAGCCAGTCTCGGTTGGCATCCACCATAAAGTCGGTGATGTTGAACTCGTTGGTCACCATGGGTTCCTGGCTACCGTCAGCCCCGGGGGCAGCCATGGTGCCGTTGGCTCCCTGCATGGCAGATGAGCCGCCGCCGCCGTTCGTGGCCATGCCCGCCTCGCCCGGCGCGCCAAAGGGCAGCCGCGGCACGTTGAAGAAGTCAAAGACGTCGAGATACTCGAGGTCGTTGGGCTGCGGCGTCCTCGCCGGCGTCACGCTCGGATACCTGCTGTAGGGCCCCCCGTTGCCCGGCTGGCCAGGGCCACCGGCCTGGCCGGGCGCGCCGAAGCCGGGCGCCATGTGCCGCGGCTGCCGACTGATTAGGAAGTCGAGATCAAAGGCTGTCCTGCGCATGTCGGACAGGATCTTGACGCTGCTGGGCGTCACCCCGTCGCCCTGCCGCTCGCTGTCGCGGTGCTCGTCGAGTACCCTCTGCAGCAGCTCGCAGTACCGGGCGGCCACCGGCCAGTGGCGGCCCATCTCGCGCAGCGTATCGACAAAGAAGGCGATTTGCGGGCTGAGCTTGTGCTCTACCGTGGAGCCGTGGACCAGGAGCAGCCTCGCGGCTACCCAGAGTGTAAAGGCAAAGGGTGGGCCCAGCTTGGTCAGCAGGTTGTTGGCTAGGACGAACTCCCCAAGCGCGGCAATGTTCTCGACGGCGCCGTGGCACCTCTGGCTGGCCGAGTAGCTGGGCGTGAAGATGGGCGAGCGGGTCGTCGGATAAGCGGCTGACGAATGCAGGCGAATCACGGCCGTGTGGTAGGTGGCGTGCAGCATGACCCAGCCGCAGTTGAGCGACTTGGCCGACCCCGGCTGGAAGAGCTTGGCCATGTTGCCGTATTCGCCAGGCAGGCCAAACTTCCACGACGTGAGCATGTTGTCGAGCGCCTTGTACCGCATCTGCCATTGCTCGACGTCACTGAGCGCAGAAATGTCAACGGGCTGCTTCAGGAACTTGTGGATCTTGGTGAGGATGCCAAGGATCTCGATGTAATAGCTAAAGGCGCCGAGGTTCTCGGGTCGATTCATCTCATACTCGGGGCTCGACTCGTTGGAGCGGTCCTCGATGCGGAACCAGCGCGTCTCGACCTTTTGGTTCTTGATCCATAGGTCGTCCCGGCAGGGCAGAGTGCGGTCGATCTCCTTGTCGTCGAGGGCAAACTCAAAAGCGGTGGCGATGGTGGCGTAGCGGTCAAGCAGGTAGATCATCCAGAACAGGCGCCGCCGAGCCTCGTCCTCGACGAAGTCCCGGGGTTCCGGTAGGATCATGGCCCGCAGGGTGTAGATGGAGGTGAAGTTTGGTGACACGGAAAAGGAGTTACTCTCCACGGCGAGACCTAGCTGGACGACCGACCGGGTGATGAGGGCCATGATGTTCCACCCAGGTGGGCCATTGCTGCTCCCACAGAGGTCTAGAGCGAGGATGACGAGGGCCTGAAGTGCCTTGACCGACGAGTTTTCCATGCCGTAGAGCAGGACTCGCTGCTTGGAGACGTCGTGGTAGTGCCGCCGCCGCTCGTCGGTCAGCCTAGCGTCGGTGGAATATCGGAGGGTCGTTGCCACTATGGCGTGCAACAGAATCTTGTCGGTCTCGTCGATGACCGAGGGTCCAAAGAGTGAGTCGAGCGTCGCCTTGCGGTGGAGTATGGGACACCAGGTGTTGATGTGCTTGAAGTACAGGTCTACTAAGGCGTAGAGCAGGTCATAGGGCGGCAGGTCCTGGTCAGACGATATCTGCGACTGTCCGGGAGACATGTTGACCGTGGGCGACTGTAGGGGTTGCGTCTGGTTCGGGCCGGAGCCGTAGTACTCCTGGGCCGCAGCGCTCGGCACTGGGCCGTGGTGGCCACCGTGCGACGTCGGTGAGATGCCGGACATGGGCATCTGTGAGGGGAAGCCCTCGTGGATGGACGGAGTTGGTGGCGGCATGCCAAAGTCCATGGGCTGCGTCGACTGGGGATAGGTGGAGGGCTTCTGCAGAAAGAGGGCCGTCTCGGCCTGGGGCGTACGGATGGGGTCAGCGGCACGGGGAAACATGGACGGAGGGACCTCCCGCGGCGTGCCATGGTCGCTCGGCAAGCTTGTATTACTCCCGCGGACGCTGCTGGCGGTGGCGAGGGTCGGATGGGAGAAAGTGGACGGCCCGCTCTGGGTGGCCTCAAGGGTGCTCTGAAGTATTTCGGAGTGAGCTCTCAAGATGGCCTCGAGCTTGTCGAGGCGCTGCTCTAACTCCCGGCCGTAGCCAGCGCGCAGACCAGGCTTTTTGCGTTCCTTGTACTCGCACAGAGCGCCATTGCGACTGCACCAGCCGCACGATGGCTGACCTCGGTCGCACTTGACCTAGATGGCGTGGCAGGTTAGTTGCTTGTCCCATCGACAGCGATACGTATGGGGATAGAGATGATTCAAAGACCGGGACAGCATCCGGGCGCGCGTCCTGTGCTCACCTTTCTCTGCTTACACAGCTCGCACCTGGGAATAATAGTCTCGTCAGCATCGGGCTTCTTGTCTTGCGATGCAGTCAGAGACGGGAGCTGGGCAGGCCCGGGGCTCTCGTCTGTAGAGGACTGATCGGCGTCCGCGGTAGGAGAAGATGGGGCCATGATAAGTGAATGCAATAGAGGTGGAGAGTGGTACGAGATGAAAAGGCTATAACAGTCCCACTTGGCTGTGATAAGAACGAGGTAGGCAAGGAAGGGCAACCTACGAGACGGAGATGGGACGTTTACGCTTGCCAGTGCGGGCAGTCTCCAAAGGGTCATCGGCATCATTGTCACTCCTGTCATCCCCGCTGTGGCCCTGGTTGGCCTCGTCGCCGCTGTCAAGGTCGGCTGGGCGCGGCGAGGATGGCAGGCCGTTCTGGTCCTCGGTATGCATTATGCTGTATGCAGCGTGCTCAGCACTACGGGCAGACACAGGACACAGGCCACAGACCGTGCCCCTAGCCCGGGGGACAGTCAATGGCGGTAGACGGTGAGAGCGGGGCGGGCTGCTCCAACCAATGCGGCCGGGATGCGGTGCAGTGCGTGCCGGCGAAAGAGAGAGATGCGCTGAATGGCCGGCCGGCCGATTGAAACGCTGGTCGGGCGTGGTGGCGGACGGACGGACAAGAGAGCGAGGCAGGTGGGATGAGGGGCGAGCTTCGGGGTAATGATGGGCAGAAGAGCTTTGAGGACGTGCCTCGGGCTTTTATTTGCTCGAAGTGGGAGGAACCAGGGCCCTAGCTCTTTTTTTTCCTCGTCTGACCATCCCTAAAGGCCTTTAGGGGGTAGAAAAGCGGGCGGCGACCTGGAGATGGAGAGCGCCTGGAGGAGGAGAGGGCAAGGGTCGGGGTGGGGGAGACGCGGAGAAAATTGGAAGAGCCCGGATGGATGCTGGCCTGGTTCTGGCCGGTAGTTAAACGGCCCGTGGACCGCCATCTGTCTGGTCTTTAGTGGTTTTCTTCAGTGGTGGCTTGCAAGTGATTGTGCCCTTTTGCCCTTCAAGGTTAGGTACCTAGGTAGGTAGTTAGCATATGGATCCCTTGTCAAAGTCAATCAGCCCATCAGACAGATCCCTCGAGTCCTCGGCAAACTGGCTAACACATGAGAACTGCTTCAAGCAACTTCTAGATAAACGAGACAAGACGAGATGGCGCATCTTACACCATCGGATTTAACCTCATCGGATACCTGGTCAGCAACATCATTGCCTGGATGGGTGCTTAGTCTACCAGGAGGCAACGATGTACGGGAGTGACCACGGAATGGCCCTCATTGGCAGCTCAGTGCGGGGAAAAGACGGGTCGGGTTTCTGTGCTGACATTGACCACGAAGCTCCTGGACGAACGCCTCAGTTGACGGAACAAACTTGAAGAAATCTTACACCGCACGGAGTACCTTAGACATCAGTGATGCAGTGTCTCTTTTTCACGGAAGCAGACGGGAAGGACCTACCGAATACAGCAGGTCCGTACACGTAGTGTGTCTGGTACCTACCCTGTGGTGGTTGCTTGTACTTGTAATCACAATGTCGAGGAGGGAAAGGGAAAGGGAAAGGGAAAGGGAAAGAAAGCAAAATGCACGGCAGTGGGCCCCCTTGTCAGGTCGTGCCTACCTGCACCAGTGTTGGAGCACAGTTTTCCAACTCCCTGCGCGGGCAATACCGGCGGCCGAGGCTCGTTCGTGCTTTCCAAATCGATCAATGTCCCCTTCAGCTCTCGACTCTCAACTCTCTCCCCCGCAAGATCATGATTGATTCTCACTCCTAGCACGTGCACCCTGCCGGAACGGAGTCCCCGACGCCCACCGTTCGCGGGGATGACCAGTTCCATTGATCTGCTTGAACCAGACTTGCCAGACTTCCATTGACCATATGCACGGCATCCCCATCCCCACTCGAACTGCCTGTGGTCCACGAGTCGGAGACCAAAATCTGCAATGTACGGGTGCTGCACTCTCTCCATGGTGGGTCGGTCCATCCGAGACGATATCGTCTCTGGTTAGAGGCGCTGGTCGGTGCATCAAGTACCGACACGGACGGCCCAAGGACCACACCACAGCTCCAGTTGCTAGCTTGGCAGCCAGGATGATGCTGTTCACCATTCCGCCCCCACCGCGGTGACGATTAGTAGCAATCACTTGCCTCTGTCTGTGATCTCCCTCTCAAAAGGTCTAGCTTCCCAGCTCAATTCTCTCTATTCGTAGCTCTTTCTCTCTCTCGCAACTACCCAGGGATCTTCTTCACTCCCCTCCCCCCCTCTGCTTCTCCAATTCTGCCCCTGCGCGGCCTTCAACTGACCTTGGCAACCTACCACCGACCAGCATGGCTTCCGTCAGGCAATTCCCCACCATCAAGAGCGTGCGGTCCTTCGTGATCGGTGGCGTCGGCTCAGGTGAGGGGACAGAGAGACCACTCTCCGAAGTTCATGCCTTCGCTGACTTGAATCATCGCGCATAGGCGGCGACTATCACAATGTGAACGGCGGCCACTGGTACGTGCTCCCCCGCCTCCGGTCCGCCGAGCAGGCAGAGTGGATGCTGACAGACCATCGCAACTAGGCTGATTGATTCCCCGATCTCAACCCCTTGCTCGAGGTGGGAGAAGTACAGGGTATGTGCTGAACCTCACGACAATTCTCCCGCACCCGTGTGCTTTGCGACAGGCCAAGGTTAACACATACGCAACCCGGCAGTCTTCCCGCACGAGCTGGGGCATCAACGTTCTCGGCTCCTTTCTCGTCGAGATCGAGTCTACCGATGGCACCGTCGGCTTCGCAACCGGCTTTGGAGGTAAGCTGGTATACCAGCGCGTTCTGGGACGAATTGACTGCCCTGCCGGGGCTCGGTGGAGAGAGAATTGTGTTGCTGACTGGCGCCTTGCCCACGGCAATAGGTCCTCCGGCTTGCTGGCTGGTCCACCAGCACTTTGAGCGGTTCCTTGTCGGAGCCGATCCCAGAAACACCAACCATCTGTTTGAGCAAATGTACCGCGCCTCCATGTTCTACGGCCGCAAGGGACTGCCCATCGCCGTCATCTCGGTCATCGACCTGGCCATCTGGGACCTGCTGGGCAAGCTGCGCAACGAGCCCGTGTACAAGCTGATCGGCGGTGCCACCAAGGAGCGCCTCGACTTTTACTGCACGGGCCCCGAGCCCACGGCGGCCAAGGCCATGGGCTTCTGGGGCGCCAAGGTCCCGCTGCCCTACTGCCCGGACGAGGGTCACGCCGGGCTCAAGAAGAACGTCGAGTTTCTGCGAAAGCACCGCGAGGCGGTCGGCCCAGACTTCCCCATCATGGTCGACTGCTACATGTCGCTCAACGTGTCGTACACCATCGAGCTGGCCAAGGCGTGCCTGGACCTAGACATCAACTGGTGGGAGGAGTGCCTGTCACCCGACGACACCGACGGCTTCGCGCTGATCAAGCGGGCGCACCCGCAGCTCAAGTTCACCACAGGCGAGCACGAGTACTCGCGGTTCGGCTTCCGCAAGCTCATCGAGGGCCGCAACCTTGACATCATCCAGCCCGACGTCATGTGGCTCGGAGGCATGACGGAGCTGCTCAAGGTGTCGGCCATGGCGGCGGCCTATGACATCCCCGTCGTGCCGCACGCCAGCGGGCCGTACAGCTACCACTTTGTCATCTCGCAGCCCAACACGCCCTTCCAGGAGTACCTGGCCAACTCGCCCGACGGCAAGAGCGTGCTGCCCGTGTTTGGCGACCTCTTCCTCGACGAGCCCATCCCGACCAAGGGCTTCCTGACCACGGCAGACCTGGACAAGCCAGGTTTCGGCCTGACGCTGAACCCCGCAGCCCGGAGCAAGCTGATACCAGCCGACTACCTCCTGAACCCGCCACCGATGAAGTCCCTCAGCACGCAAGACGGCGCCGCCAAGACCGAGGAGAAGGACACCAAGACCAACGGTGTTGTCCACGATCTGGTAGAGAAGGTGCAGCAATTGGGCGCCTAAAGCCAGAGCGAGCACCCAATCCAAGCGAGACACTTCTGCAAGTGTCTAGAATGCACAGGGCTGCGGCTTGCACGTGCGTCGTAGGAGATGCCGGCGGGGTCGAGCGGCCAACAGGCTGTTTTGCCGTTGTTGCACTTGGGCGTGTGCAGTGTAGGATTGATGCATGTGCAATTGCCGGTCTTGCGGGATGCACTCTGCTGCTTTCATGTCTCTTGCTGCGTCGCACCATCATGCATTATCACGGGGTGATCATCCAAGCGCCATCTGCTTTTCAGCCCTTATTCTTGTTTCGGATAGAAATAACGCGCGCTGCTTTGGAACAATGTGACTGATATCTACAAGTATGCTTTCAACTCGAGCTATCGCGACGGGCTGGGGGCTGGAAATCCTGTGCAGCCTGGGTGCGCTCTTGTATTCTCTCTACTATGCCTGCCGCACGATACCATCTGATCTTCAGTCAAGCTCTCCATGCTGCGTGACTACTGACTGTGCGTGAATCAAGGTCGCTCGAGGATTCGAGACATGTCCCTCGCGGCCTCGCTGCAATTCAAGCCGAGGGTCGCGGGGTGGATTGCTCGCCAAGCCATGCGGGTCCCTCAGTGCTGTGGGTGTATGTAGGCTCCGTTCTCTGAAGGAAGTGGGGGAAGAGAAGCCCAAGACCAAGACAGCTCGGTGCAGGTACCTCCTCTTCAAATATCGGCATAGCTTTACATCGACGCTCGCGAGCGCGAGCCCAAAACCCCTCCAAGCCCACGAATGCTTAGGCCTTTACGATCGGACAAGATTCGCAGAGAGAAGGCCAGCGATCTACCTAGTTAGTGATCGACCCTGTCTCTCTGTTCGTATTCCTTCGACCTTTCGACTGTGATCTATCATCGTGATAGCTTGCTTGGGAGCTCCAAAGTACCTAGATCAATCAGCCCTTTTGGACCGCCGTGAAGTCAGTAAGCGAGCACACTCGAGACGCGAAACCCCAAACCCCAAACCCCAGACCCTGGTTTGTCCGAGTTTTGTCTGGCCCTTTCCTTTACCAGAGTCCACGGTGATTAAGGCCCGGTTACCACGTGCGAGCCCAAGGACAACATGATGCACCTCCTCAAGGGCAAGACGGCCGTCATCTCGGGCGGCACCACGGGCATCGGCCGCGCCATCACCCTCGAGTACCTCCGCCAGGGCTGCAGCGTGGCCGTGAACCACCTCGGCCTCGAGAAGGACCGGCCGCACCTCGACTCGCTCGTCGCCGAGGCCGCCGCGATCAGGCAGGCCGACCCGTCCGCCGGCCGGCTCGCGCACCGGGCCGGCGACGTGCGCGACCCGGCGACGGGCGCCGCGCTCGTGGCCCTGGCCCTCGAGGCCTTCGGCACGGGCCGGCTCGACGTGTGCGTCAGCAACGCGGGCGTCTGCGCCTTTGCCGAGTTCCTCGACCTCGACGCGGCGCTCTTGGACGCCACGGTGCGGACCAACCTCGACGGCGCCTTCTACTTTGTCCAGGCGGCCGCGCGGCAGATGGCCCGGGGCCAGAGCCCGCCGGGCGGCAGCATCGTCGGCGTCAGCAGCATCAGCGCGCTCGTCGGCGGGGGCCGGCAGACGCACTACACGCCCACCAAGGCGGGCGTGCTGTCGCTCATGCAGAGCACGGCCGTGGCGCTGGGCCGGCACGGCATCCGCTGCAACGCCCTTCTCCCGGGGACCGTCAAGACGCAGCTCAACGAGGAGGACCTCGCGGACGAGGGCAAGCGGCGGTACATGGAGGGCCGGATACCGCTGGGCCGCACGGGGGTTCCCGCGGACCTCGCGGGCCCGGCCGTGTTCCTCGCCTGCGAGCAGCTGAGCGGTTACGTCACGGGGGCGCAGCTGCTCGTCGACGGCGGGCTGTTTGTGAATCTGCAGTGAGGGGGCTGGGATGGGCTGGGCTGGTGATGAGGGATGAACGGATGAAAAGAAGACGTGTGCAAGGCCTGGTTTCCTGTGCGAGGTGTGGGCTGACGAGCTGTGACTGGGCTGCTCCTCTGATGGCGTAAGGCTGCCTGCGCCCGTGGCAAATTGATTACATTGGGAGTCGGGGTCGTAACATGGAAATGGACCAAGATAGAATGTCTGCTCATTCTGAGATTGAGACGAAACCAGTGCGCCATCATTAAGATCATTGACGCTTCAATATACAACTACTCACCGCTGTGGAACCATCGTCGATTACATGACCCTTGTCTTTCTATATCTGGGGCAGAGTTGAAGCCACCGACATCAAAACCGCCTGCGATGAGCCCGCATCAGGGGCCCTTGAAGATGTTTGACTGCCCCGACCGCCGCTCTGTCTCGTTTCCGCTTGGCCTCCTCAGTTCCGGCTCCTGGTCCAACGTGGCCGCTATCCCGTAGCCGCTGGCCCGGATACGGCCAATGACCTCGTCGATCCAGGCCAGCTCGCGGTCCCAACAGCCGGGGGCATGCATCACGAAGCCTTTCGCTATAGCTAGGGCCGGCAGGACGCTCACCGGGCCGAACCCTCGCGTCCGGTCCTGGAGGAAGTACTCGATGGACTGGCAGATGTTGGAGGCTGCGGCGCGGGGCCATTCCACTTGTTTGTCGAGCAGCTCCATGGCGAAGTGCCGCAGGCACTGCACCGGCGAGTCCTCGATTGCATCCGAGCATGTGCACGGCAGATTGTCGCGGCCCATGGCGTCCAGCGCGGCGGCGAGGCGCGCGAGTAGGCGGTATGTGGAGTGCTGCTGGGCGTGCACGCTCAGGAGGGCGACCCAGTAGTACACCAGGTTCAGGCCCACGAGGAATGCCGAGAAGCGGAACGCGACGGGAAAGACCTTTCCCGTGTCGTCCGTGTCGAAGCAAGTCGTGATCTTGGATAGCTCGGCGTGGTACAGGTCTCCCGGCATGGCGGCCCTGAAGCTGTCGAACCACTGGCCTAGCAGCGATTCTACTCTTTGTCCATCCCGGAGCGTCTCGATGGCGCTCGAGAGGATTTCTTGCGGCTCCGTCCGGCTCTTGAGACTCTCGGACAGGACGAAGAGGTCGGCGATATCGACTAGGAGGATGTCGACGAGACGGTCGAATGGCGTTTTCTCTGGATGCGAGCCCCAAGGCAGATCGAGCCATTCCGGGGACGCGAGAAATGTCCGCTTGCGTTGCCCGATTCCCTGCACAATCTATAATCATCATGGTTAGGGGATACTCTTTTCACTGAGTGCCGGAGGCAAGGGAGGTATTAGTTCATGCTTACAGTGTGCACTCTGAGAATCTGAAAGGTGCTGTGGGCCAAGCCCGAAGAGTGAGCCCCGGGGCCTCGCATCTCCAACAGTTTCATGCTGCCGTTATAGTGTGCCCGGAGCGCTTCCGCCGTGCCTGCGGGACACTCCATGACCTCGTACATGAGCAGTGCCAGACAGGCGGCGAGGCTCTGCTCGTCGTCTCTCTTTGACTTGACGAGAATGTCTCGCCGGATCTGTGCCATGCCTGCCGTGTACAGCTTCAAGCTCTCGTGGACCAAGACCTGGTTGGGAGTCTGCCGCCCGAGGCGCGCCGTGCAGATGGAGAGCAAGGCGTTCTCCAGGGCCGGCGTTAGAGACGGCAGGTAGAAGACCTGGAGCATCCAGTCGCTGCGCTCGCTCAGCGACAAGCTGGGTTCGTTTAGGGGTCCCATCATGTGTTCCTCGACAAGGGCGGAGAAGAATTTCTCTCGGAAGGCGTTGCGCAGCGAGATGCTGTGCGGCAGAGGGTTGGCATTGATCGGTTTGGATGATTTAGAGGAGTTCTTCGTTTTCGATGCGGCGGGTGTGGGTGAGTCGCGTTGGTCTACCCTCCACCGCGAGATCATGACGGCACCGGAACCGGCTGCATCGCGACTCACTAGTTGTGGCGGTTCTGAGCTGATCAGGCCATGCTCTACCATGTCCTGGGAGAGTATGAAGGTGTGGCTTCGCTGATATCCGGTACAAGTCCGCCCGGACTTGGCACAGTTGCGGCACCCGGGCTGCTGGCCATCACACTGCGTTTCTCTTCCTTAGAATCGACTATGATACGAGTGAAGTACTGGGCTAACAGGACAGGAATATCTCCCAGGGAAGCCCACCTTGATTCTTCTAGATCGACAGATATGACAAGCCTTCGACCTGCCCGGAACGCCTACCATCCTTGGCTGCGGAAGAAAGACGCCACGGCCCCGCCAGACTTCAGGTGAGCCAAATTGCGGCGGACAGGTGAACCCTCGCCGACTACACAGTGGACGACTGATTTTAAGAGGCAATGTCGGTCCTCAGAGCTAATTTGACGAATGCAGATGACGTTTCAAGATTGAACACAGTCGCCCTAGTGGTTGCGTGGCGTGGACGAGTGCAGTGGCAGATGTTGTGGCTTTCGAGATACCGACGACTGGCGCCAGTTTAGGACATATGCCAAGTGAAGGTTGGCAGACACACACATTCCCTAGGCACTCTCCATGAAGCAAGATTTTGAATGTGCAGACGAGATGACCGGCCCCCAGTCAGCCTGCATACACGCATGCAACTCCCAGTCAGTGGTGGACCTGTCACGACAACGCTATTCCGCTTTAGGCGACAATCCGCGAAGCCAGGCTCTGCAGGGTCAGCTCAGCCCTACGATTGCGCCAAGCCATTTGCAGATACAATCTGCGGTCCTCAGATACGGAGTCGTAGCTACGAGCTTGAGATCCTGGATGCAGGAGCTAAACGCAAGCGATTGGTAAGGAGGCGCATAGATGGCCCCGGTCTCCAGATCGCTTCGCTGGTCTGATGCGTGCCCGAGGCTCAGCCCTGGTCTCGAGGCCGGAGTCTCACACTCGTCAGCGGGTCAAAATACAAATAGAGAGATGGTTCCTCGAAGGTGAGAGAGCTTGAGTCTAGATTCTTGTCGTCTGTTTATAGTTATCCAGGCCTTTTCTTTCTGAGCTTGTCGAGTCGAGAGCGAGAACTGCTATCACCATCCGAGACATCCACGATGAATCCTCACCAGGCTCTAGCCATCGCACAGATCGTCTTCTACGCTCCGGTAGTCCCAATCGCCTTTTATGTTGGGATCCGCGCCTGGAAATATGGCCCCCGTATGGCGTGGTACCCTCCGATGCCCTTTGCCTTGGGTATGTGGTTTTCGCCGTCACGATACCTATCGATGATCTCCATATGTTATGTGATGTCTGGGCTGACGTTGAGAGGTGACAGTAAGACTTGCTGGAGGCATATTGGTACTCGTCGAGCAACATAACCCGCGAAACACGGGAATAATCATCGCCACAATTGTTTTGCTCAACATTGGTCTCATCCCTCTGATCATGACCTTCCACAGCTTGACCCGTCTGATGTAAGACTTCTATGCTGCACGCTACTATGACTGATGGCGTTGAGTGCTAACGACAGCAGACTGCAAACGAACTACAGCGATGGGATACTGATGAAAGTTTTCGTCAAGGGAACTCGACTCCTCATCTTCGTCGCTGTCGGTCTTCTTAGTACCGCAGGCGGTTTCACGGGCGACCCAGCCAACGCGCACATTCAGTCAACATTGTCCAAAGTAGCATATTTCGAATTTCTGTTTGTCATCATGGCCCTGAATTCCATGTGCCTCGCGCTGTATGCAAGACAGCGGCACGCTATCAAACAAAGTCAGCACATAGTAAGTGGTCGTCACGAGCGCTTTCATATTACTTGAGTAGTCACTGATCATGGTGGATAACGACCAGTACTTGAAGTGGCTGCTGATAGCCTGCCCTCTCCTCTATGTGCGTGTGACGTACGGACTCCTCGGCGTGTTCAACGCTATTGGCAACAACATGTTCACATCGCTTTGGAGTCCGCTCTGGGGCTCTGCTGTGGCCTTTGCGCTCATGGCCCTCTTGCCGGAATATCTCGTGCTCGGCATCTACCTATATCTCGGGCTTCACCGATCCCAAACTTGCACGTTGGAGTCAGTCGTAGATGAACGACCGGTGACAAAGCAGCCTCGGACAAAAGCTGACGGCGAAGACGGTGTATGCTGAAGAGGGGTCTTTGCGCCGAGGAGTGACCCCAGGGGCCTAGGAGGCCCTTATAGGTGGGGTTAAAGCTGTCAGTTGTCGGGGAGGAAGAGACCGATATGGTCAAATGGGGAGATGGCGAGATCGTTACAAAGACGGGCCGAGGAGGTTCGGTGTTCGATCCCCGATGTCGAAAGAATACCTTTCGACAAAAGAAAAACTGGCAGTGAGATCCTGTGCGTCCCAAGTGGGATTTTCGTAGCAGACTCCCCTGCGGGCGAGTCTGTGAGCTTTTTGTAGTTTATTTTGGCACTTTCTTTTTATACCTCTGGTTGCTGGCGATCGAACCCCGAGTATCACCAAATGGTTTCAAGCTGCACTGAGCTGCACTGGTCACAGCCAGTGCAGAGTGGGCGCGATCAGAACCCGTTGAAGCCTACCAGTAGGTCACGAGGTGAAAACTGAGAAGAATAACGTGAAGGAAAAGAAGGGTGTCACCAGCGGCATCAAGCACGTTTTGAGATCTTGGTGAGGGTTCCAGTCGATCGACTTTCAACTGTTTACACACATTTTGGTTGTATCTCCTTTTGCCTATTATCTCATTTTCTTTTGTAGCTGCTTTTCAACGATAGAATACAACTTGTGAGCATCAGCCAGCAGTTCATTGATTGCATTTTCTTCAGCTTCTTTCGACTTGTCATCGGTGTTACTGCCATTCAAGGTTGAAGATGTGTGATGTGCGGACTGTACCTGACCACCCCCCCTTTTTTTTGTCCCTTTCCCTCCAAACCAACCCCGAAAGAACAAGAGTTCAAGAGAAAAATCAGAACGAAACTACATATGTATAAAGTTCTTCCCCTTGATCACTTGCGACAGAGCTTGCTGTTCTGCGAAGGCAAATGCCCCAGAATCATCCCGCTCATCTCCCAGTCCTCGGACCCGACCGCATTCTGCGCGTAGAACACGCCCTCGGGATCCCACCGCTGCTTGATCTCGTACAGCCGCTTGTAATTGGCCCCGTGGAAGCTGGTCTGCCAGTCGGGCTCGATGTAGTCCGACTCGGACATGTACGTGCCCGAGCCGGGCGTCAGCGCCCGCCAGCGCGGGTTCCACTCGTACGTCAGGTTCCGCGACAGCTCCGCCACGCGCCCGGGCGGGTCCGCGACGCCCCAGGTGACGAACATGAGGGCGAACATGAGCACCTCGCGCCAGGCCGGGTTGACGGCGTTGTCGGCGCCGGCGGCCTGCGCGGCGCCGGGCGGGTTGCGGATGTTGAACATGATCAGGTTCGCGCCCTCGTCGAACACGCCCCGGACGGCGTCGAACACGGCGCCGCGCGAGGCCTCGTCCGTCAGCACGTCCCGCGGCACGAGCCGGCTCGCCTGGCGCATCGTCCACGTCCAGGCCTCTTGCGGGAAGCCCGCGGCCCAGGCGTCGGCGTAGTTGTCGAACTCGCGGACCGCCGGCGCGAAGGGGACGCCGATGGCGGCCCACTTGCTCCAGAGGGGCGCCATCGACGCGCGGAACTAGTGCTCCGACGTGTTGGGCGCCACCATGGACGTCATGTCGTGGGTGATCTCGTCGCCCGCGTGCCGGATGCGGTAGTAGGCGTAGTACCCCAGCTTAGCGAGCCTGTCGAACTCGTCGACGTAGGCCCTTTGGGCCCGCCAGAACTGGTCGTGTGTGAACATGGCGTTGGTCGTCAGGTTGTACGACATGATTGTCGTCTTGATCTTGGGGAACGCCTTGATCGTCATGGACGTCACTACTCCGAACGTGGAACCGCCGCCGCCACGGACGGCCCAGAAGAGATCGGGATTCGTGGTCGCGTTGGCGGTGATGAATCGTCCGTCTGCAGTGACCATCTGTACTGACAAGACATGGTCGGCTGCCATGCCCCATATCGAAGTAAGAGGCGAGTGGCCGCCGCCCTGGATATAACCGCCAACAAGGCCAACCGTCTGTGACGAAAGCAGATATTTGTAAGCAGCAACACAGAGGGTAGACGCTCAGACTTCGTCATTGACATACCTTGCCTTCACCGCCCACAACTGTCACTCCGTGCTGCTTCGCCAGCCCATTGGCATCATAAACTTGGATACCGGCGCCGAACCGAAATGCCGGGCCGCTGTAATGTGGTGTGTCAAACGACTCGTAAAACTGTGCGTCTTTGAGGTGGTGGGTCCAGATGCTGAGGGCCCCATGGCCGGTGGACTTGGCGCCAAAGTCATGTCCGGTATTCTTGATGACAAGTCGAATGTTGCGTTCTCGAGCAAAGTTGACGGCCAGCTGAATCTGGGCCACATTGGTCACATTGACTGTGTACTCTGGATACCCCCCCGTAGTACAGGTGTTGTTGACTCCGAGAAAACTTGCCGTATACTCTGGAGGCATACATGTCATGCCCTCGAAGAGGACCGAGCGGATCGATGTTGGGTCTTGTATGCTGTGGAACGTGCGAGGTCAGTACAGATAAATCTATCAGCTTTCAATCCGCCACGCGCGTACCGTAGGGTTGAATTGTTCCAGCTTGTCGTGAGGCTCTGGCAATCAGATGCCGAGTAACGTTCCCAGTCGGAATAGCAGATCGCTGCTTCGGGAGCGGTCTTGATCAACGCTCCACCCACCGTTTCATTGAAGGCGGCCCAAACATCGTTTGACGGCCAAGAGCTCTCGTCAGGATAGGTTTTGCATTGCTTCGTTGGCTGAGAGTGTTGTTGCTCATTAGAGACTGGCGAGAGATCACTGGAGTTGAATCGAACTGAGAACGCAAGTGGACACTTCTCATGCGCTAGCTTGCTAAGCACTCGATCTGTAAGTTGGATGGATTCGAACGGGAGGAAACCTGCTGCAGGAACCTGTTCGAATGCGGGAGAGCAGGCCGTTTCTGTTGCTTGTGAGATTCCAAAACTCTTCGAGACTTGATTCTCACCACTCTGATATTGGGAGATACTCACTATCAGTGCCATGGATGGTTTTGCTAGCCGAAGTTGCGTGTGCTAGAAGTAAGAACGCTGCTTCCCACAAGGTCATCTTTTGATACTTTTGCAAGAGTCTTCTGCAACTGAATGCGGGCTTAAAGATTGACAGAGAGCACATTACTCTGTCATTCCGGGGAACCCTCTCTTGACATAGTGAATCAATGTGGCTGATTTCCGTATGTGCAGTATTCCAAGCGCATTCACACATGCCCCTTGCGCATTCCAGAAACAGTAAATGGATCTACTGAGGAAACTGCATGATATCCAATAACCGTGCGCCTCTAAGCGGTATATCGTGAGGACCATCACTCCCGGCCGCAGGTTGACAGGGTCATCAAGATGCGGGCGCCAATCACCTACCCCAATCCATCTGCGGTCAGCTCTAGTCGAGGCTTAACCGGCTTTGTGCTACACCACACTCTTGAATGCTACAAGCCCTGTGCGGTGCCAAGATGGTATCCATTCAGGCTCTTTTACAAAGGAAGGTGTTTATTGGCTAACCTCGGAAAGGTCCATGGTAGACATCCATGGATCGTATAATACCACCAGTCGTCCCTCACGTAGACCCATGTGGTGGAAAGGGGGCATGGCTTCATGGATACATGTAGCTTGATTGACGATGCATATGTGTAAGACCGGGGAATACGAACTAAGCTCGCGTAATTCATCTGTGAATAATTCCAGGCTCTGTCACGGCCTCTTACATGGGGAAATGCCCCTTCTCCGGCCCAAAGTACCCCCTCGGCGGGAGCGGAAGCAATCCCGCACCCTTGCCATCTACACCGGCCCCCGAGACGGTGTTGCCCCACCACTTCAGGCTGACGGGGTGGTACCCAATCGCAAAGAACATGATGAGCGCGCTGACCGCGACGCCGGCAGTCAGGGCGGCCGACAGCACGTAGGTGTACTTCTCCCACCACGCGAGGTGCCTCCGCGGGATCCAGTACATGAAGATGAAGGACAAGATCATGCCGGGCGTCTTGTACGAGAGGTTGGACGGCGCCCAGTGCTGGATGCCCTGTATGATCAGGACCGGGTTGAGCCAGAAGAGCGAGGCGACGAAGGGGAAGAGCGTCCTGTCGAGCAGCGCGTACGTCCGCGGCCTCAGCTTGCGGCGCAGCCACTCGCGGACCCGCGGCAGGTATACCGGGCCGTAGCCCTGGCCGAACAGGAAGACCAGGGCGATCAGCGTGCCGATGAGGAAGCACCACTTGAGCATCGGGTACAGCTCGTTGAACATGCGGTCCGAGCCCAGGAGGCCCCACATGAGGGAGCTGGCGTAGAGCGGGTGGCCGTCGTTGGCGCATGTGAAGCGCGACGGCTGGTCCGGTGTGCAGAGGCCCTCCACGCTCCTTAGGATGAAGTCCTGGGTCCCGACCGCCACGAAGCAGGTGATGATGATGGTGCCGATCTGGCTGCGGAAGACGGCCCGCGGCGCGATCTTGGTGTAGTGCGCCATCTTTTGGTCTTGTACAAAGTTGTCCGAGTAGCCTGGTAGCACAGAGGATAGTTAGTCTTATCTTCATTCTTCGTGTGCGTCTGACTGACATGGGGATACGCACCTGCCAATGCCCACGAGCCCAGGGTCTGAGAGAAGAGAAAGGCGTTCGGGTTGCCGGGAAGCAGGTAGCCCGTGATCACCTGGATGAGAGCCCCGAGACCAAGATTGGTGCCTGTCGTCGCAGAGAGGAAAGACAAGGGTACGGCAAACACCAGGTTGATTCCCAGAACGACCAAGATCAGCCAGACCGGCGTGTCGAGCGGGTAGATCTTGAGGAAGACACAAGACACGACAAATGCAAGAGCCAGGATGAGGATGAACCACCAGTCTGGCACTTCCTTGTACTTACTCATGAGCCGATTGTGGATGTCCACGGCCCCTTCAAAGTTGCCCCGGCCGTGCCTGATGCCTTGATAGAAATTGACGTAGGCCTCCTTCATAGTTCTCCACTGGTTCACCATGATGTATATCAGATAGACGGGATAGAACGCAAAGTTACCGCCTACTGTCAGGATGTAACCGGCAGAGTAGAACGGCGGGGAGTATTCTTGGTAGAGGTTGTTGTCCAGTCGATTGTTCCTGACCACATTCTGTACCTTGTAGGCGGTGCCGTCGTTTGCAAAGGCCGAAGACGAGTTGATGGGCAGATACCCCGTGTTATACATATTTGTGTACCAGATGCCGAGAATGATCACGCCGCCCAGAATAGCACCACAGTACATCGTACATGTCACAAAGAAAGGCTGAGCGAGTGCAGCATAGGAGGACGTTGCCACGTTCCAGTCAAACGTCGTGATGGGGTTGAAGAGGCCGAGGCCTGACACTGACCCAGTCAGGGTCGCGAGTAAGACATTCTTCGGGGCGATCCAGGTCATCCAGTTGAATGTAGCCAGCGCCGTGAAAAGATAGCCAGGCAGCCAGTAGTAGAAGAACATGCAACTTGCGCATATCCAGAAGAACCGATATCTAGAGATAGTCCATCCATTGATGTTCTCTTTAGGCTCTGGCCTTGTAAGGACTCTGTTGGTCTGGATAATGGGAAGCAGGGTTGGCCACAGCGCCTTGACCGGATAGACGCTGAACCTTCTGAGGTAGCCGGCCAGACCCATACCCATGAGTTGCACGAACAGAGTCAACATCAACTGGTATCCAAAGTTGACATAGCTCTGTCCGTAAAACATGGGGAGCCTCTGGACCAATATCATTCCGTAGCTGTTGGTGGTGTAGATAGCAATGTTGTACGTGATGGTGGCAAACATCTGCTCCTTGAACGTCCACGGGCCGGGGTTGAGCGAGTGCCGGATGCCTCTTATTTTGATTCCCCAATCCGGAAGGATACGCTCAAGGACCTTTGCACAAGGGAAGAGCAGGATCTGTATGACCTGCGAGTTGAGGCCTGAATATTGCTTCTTAGAACCAGATTTTGCTTCTCCATGAGTCTGTTATCTGACTTACTGATGGATGGGAAGCGGCTGTTAAAGAAAGTGGACACGAAAGTCCCGATTACGGCCCACCCAATGCCCAAGAAATAGGCGCGTATAGTTTCGACAGGTATCTTCTCATCGTCGATGATCTCGGCTACTGCACGCACCCCAGGATATGGCGATGAGTAGCGGATCATCGTGGCGTCTATCCGCAGGTCTCGATCATAGTACTCTCCGTATGCCTTTGGGCCTTGTAGCAACCGCTTCATGCGGTCTCTCATGTCTGAAGGAAAGTTCCAGTCGTCTGAGAAGAAGTCTACGCCGTCGGTAATGATAGAAAGCGCCTCTTCCTCGGACATCTCATTGATTCTCTCCAAGATGTATGCGCGGTCTCTGTCCGAGTTTGGGGCGAGTTCGTGCAGAAGCTCGTGGGAGATCTGATCCCCAATGCGTTGATCGGGTGCCGGGTTGGGTTCCTTCTCCATGTCTTTGGCCTGCTGAATCGACAGCTCCTCGATGGGAGATATTGGGCCCGACATCTTCGTTGCTCTGTTCGATTGTGATCTCGACAGAGGCCGTCTTTGAGTGCTTGATTGGAGCGAGGAGTCGAAGGAGAAATAGAGCTTGTTCGTACCCTTGCCTGATTTTAACCAACCTCACGAGACACACCGCAGGTTGTTTTGCGTGGGTTTGACCATCGTTACTGAAGCTGTGCCACTCACCCCGCAGGCCTACCCTCACGACCTGCCGGATAAGGCTTGCGGGGGATTCCCCCGCAATATGTGAGCGTGCGAAAGTACCATTTTTGCCGCAATGATTCCGGCCGGTCGGTGCAGAATGCCCCTCATCTGCCGAATCACCATGGTGCTGTGGTCCCTGTAGGGTACGTTGGATGATTTGTACCACGGGTGTGGTACGGATCTAGGCCGATTGTGGCAGGAGAAGTGGTCTATATGTTCCCTCGTGTGTCCAGGTGATTCGTTGGCCATTCTCTGGATGTAACGATCCTTCATGCATATCATTTTTCAACTGACAATCTCGACGAACAATGTGGCTTCACAGGATATACCGTAGTAAGGCTTGGGCGGAAGCTAGCATGTGCCAAACTTTGATGACTTCAAACACTTGCCAGTTTACGGAGTACGGGATCGATTTGTAGATACACAAGTTTGTTTCATTGAAGTTACAGTGGGCATTATATTGTAATTCACTCCCTTTATCTATGACCGAGTGTTCTTCACCATCACCCTTCATCAGGGTACAAATCGACTCATAGGAACTCCTTTCTGTGGTCCCTGAATCACAGCCGGCGGCCAATCGGGATCTTCCTGCCAAGTCGTCACTAACCTGTACTCTCCACTCCCAATTGTCTCGTCAACGCCGCCAGGAAGGACGACCCGCGCTTCAGCATTAGGAGGCACCTTGACCAGCGTCACCATCTCACCTCCCTCCACCCGCCAGTCGACCTCATACGGCCCGTACGGCGAGTCAAACGCAGTCTTGGCCCAGCGTAGAGTCCCTCCCGGCCGTGGCCGGACGAGTGCTTTACTCCAGCCCGGCTCGGCCGGCGACAGCCCGCCCACGATGCTGTGGAGGAAGTCGCAGACGGAGCCCAGAGCGTAGTGGTTGAAGCTCGTCATCTGGCCCGGGTTGATGGTGCCGTCCGGCAGCATCGAGTTCCACCGCTCCCAGATGGTCGTGGCACCCATGCCGACGGGGTACAGCCAGCTCGGGCAGTCGCGCTCCTGCAGCATCCGGTACGCCAGCGACAGCATGCCGTTCTCTGCCAGAGTCTGCAGGATGATAGGAGTCCCCGCGAAGCCAGTTGTGATCCTGAAAAGCTCCCATCTGGTCAGGTAGTCGAGGCGTTGTCTTGCTGTTGGGAGGTGTTGCTCCGCCAGCAGCCCGAAGCGAAGCGCCAGCACGTAGGAAGTCTGCGTATCGCATGCCAACCTGCCCTTTGGCGTGACGTACTCATCGCGAAACATCTCAAGGAGGCGGTTAGCGTCGGTAGCATATCGATCTGCGTCTTCCGCGCGGCCTATTGTCCTGCCAATCTTTGCTGCAAGAGCTGTGGTATAGCAGAGGTAGGCATTGGCAACCATGTGGTTATCCGTGGGCCCATTTCCAGGCATGTCTGGCGGCGACCGGGGATCCAGCCAGTCGCCGTATTGTGGCAGCTTGGTCGCCCAGAACCCCTTGTCATCCCGTGGTATACCTTTGTCCAGCCACATCCTCATGCTTTCCCACTGAGCCTCTAGCTGTCTCTTGTCTCCGAATGTGTTGTACAGGTCCCAGGGCGTGATAACCGAGCTGTCACCCCAGATGGCCATTGGTCTGATCATGCGGTCATCCGGTTGCGAGGGCATATTTGGGATGATGACCGGAATGACGCCCCCGGCATCCTGCTGGTCAACGTCTAGGTCCCGCAGCCAAGAACCCAGGAACGCAGATGTATCATAGAGGTAGTTTGCGGTAGGCGTGAACACTTGGATATCTCCCGTCCAGCCCAGGCGTTCGTCGCGCTGAGGGCAGTCTGTGGGGACTGAGATGAAGTTCCCTCGCATCGACCAGACGGTATTCTCGTGCAGCCTATTGAGCATGTTGTGGGAGGACTCAAAGGTCCCAGTGCGTCGCATATCTGATGAAATGACTACGCCGGTGAAGTCTTCGACTGACACACCGTCGAAACCGTTGATCTCCGCGTACCTGGTTACTCGTTAGCCTTGCCCAAAGTCTGGGGGAAAGCTGAGTGTGCAATCACGTACCTAAATCCGAAAAAGCTGAACTGAGCATGGAGCCCTTTGGTCGGACCCCCAAGCTTGACAGTGTATTTGGCATCAGCTGTGCGTAGAGGTCGTGTGCCTAGCTCACCATGCTCGAGAACCTCGGCATGCCGTATGATTATCTCATCGTTTGGCGTGCCGGGCACGTCCTTCTCGAATCTCAACCAGCCGACAAAGTTCTGTCCAAAGTCGAGGATCTTCTTTCCACTAGGTGTGTTGATCAATTCTTTGGCTTTGAGCTCCATGATGATTCGCACGGGAGCAACCTCCGGAGATATCAGCTCAGCGGAGGGGAACGGGAGTTCCTCAGCTTGGCTCTTAGCGTGTATTGCGGACGCTGTTGTTGACCATGATTCGTCCAGAAGATTTGTATCGCAAGCCTCCCCGTTGTAGAGTTCAGAGTTGAGCAGAGGGCTGTCAAAGATTTCCCAGCTTGAGTCTGTTACGCATATTACTTGCCCGTCGGCCTCGACCTGTGCGAGAAACGCAGGCCGCTCCCCCCACTGGTTAGGAACGCCTGGCCGTCCAAGACGGGTTGCGTACCAACCTTCGGCGACGTGAGCTCCGATGACATTGGTGCCGTGCTGAAGGAGGCCGGTGATGTCGTAGGTTTGATAGTGTAGCCTGTGGTGATAGGATTGCCACCCGGGGGCAAGAACCTGATCTCCCACCGGTTTGCCGTTGATCTCAACTTCGTACATGCCATGGGAGGTGGCGTACAGACGCGCAGGACCGGAACCAGTCCACGTAAATGCCTTTCGTAGGCGGAAAGGGCGCTTGGGTTCGGGGCCCTGGGGCTCACCACTTATGAGCCTCGCTTGCCATTCGGAGCGGTCTAACAGAGCGACTTCCAGGTTAAGAATTGCCCAGTCGGTAGTTGAACCGTCAATGCCGGTAGCCCGGACCCTGACCAGGGCTTGTTCTCTCGACGACAGCGGTGCTGAGGGCCACGGCACAAGAAGTGACTGGTTGGAGTCGACCTGGTAACTTTCCTCTTTGCCTTGGCGAGAGACAGTGATCTCATATTTGGCTTGTTTCCACCCTTTGGCAGTGGTGGCGTTGAACCGCCATGAAAGGCGTGGTGTTTTTGTGAAGAGGCCGAAGCCACTATGGTGGTGCTCGGCACTGAGCTGAGCGATGGATATGGCCATGTTGACAGGATTGGGCTCCCCCTCTTGCTGTTGCTGCGTCTGAAAGGTGTACAAGCAATTTGAATCTAAAATACAGTCACGTCAGACCATGTCCTCGCTGCATTCACACCGAGGCCGAGAAGCGTGGGCTGAACTAACAGGTCGGGAGCGAGGTTTTCCGCACCAGCAGCGGAATCTTGACACCTTCAGCTAACGGATTTATGACGGAAATCCTTCTGAGAGATCTGAGACACGCTGTATATAGGGAATAAGTCATCAAGCCCTCGGGGAATAACACTGCCGAGAATGTGTCAAATGCGGGGGACCATGTACCATCAGTATGGGGAAAAGGCAACCCCACAGACGATCACTGCGCCTAAGTGCGTATCCTGAGGGCTTCATCACCGGAAAAGCCAACCCTTGTCATTGATAGATAGTTGGGGAAAGATATTGAGGAGAAGGGGATCCGGTTCCAGCTTCAAGACCAGTTGACGGCAATGCTGATTGCGGAGACCGCTACGGATCCAGTACCGTGGGACTCGGGATAGCTGATGACGAACAAGGATATATCATTGCCCCAGTCGAACCGGGTTGATATCAAGAGTCTTAGTGAGCTGTCAGTGTTGAAATCCCGTCTTACTTTACATGTAGCGTTCGTCTATCTTCACATCAAAAAGACAACGAGACAGTCACACTGCCCACGATGGCATCGAGCCCTAAACAAGATGAGATCGAGCAGGCAGCACCCCGTGCTGACAACGCCGAGTATGACAATGATCTCAAGCACGAGCCTGTCCTTTTGAAGTCTGGCTACGACAAGCTCGGCTACATAGCCACGGTCAAACGTTTCTGGAAGGCAGGCCGAGCAGTTCCCACGGGAAAAGGACCGTCAAAGTTGACTAATCGCGCAATCTATAGGCTGCTCTTGTGTGCAATCTGATCTCGATCGCTGCCGCCGCCGATGGCTACCAGTACACATTGAACGGAAACATCATCGCCAACAAAGGTTTCGTTAATCATGTCGGCTTCCTGAATGCCAAGGGCACCGGCTATGTGCTGAATGCCAACTACACAGCCTTGTGGGGTGCGATGCAATCTCTGGGCCAGTTGCTCGGCATGATCTTTCTCACTCCCGTCTCGGATGTCATCGGCCGCAAAATGACTATGTATATCCTCTGGGTCGTCCTCGCAGGTGTATGTATACGAATTGAAAAGGCTTGAGGAAGCATTGTCATAAAGCAGGCATGTGACTGTGACTGACTGTGTCTGGTAGTCTCTTATTCTCGAGACAGTTGTCCGTGACTGGAAGGACTGGACTGGAGCCAAGATCCTGGCAGGCATTGGCATCGGCGCCCTGCAGTCGACCTTGCCGATATACATTGCGGAATGGTCTCCCGTCAACATCCGCGGCGCAATGAACTTGACGTACGGCGTCTGGAACACCTTTGGCAAGTTCCTCGCGCCGCTCATCTTGCTCATCTGTGAGAAGATCGACCCCAAGGAGTACAAGGTTCCCATCTTGACGCAGTGGGCATTCCTCGGTTTAATGTTACCCATATTCATCTGGCTCCCCGAGACCGCGCAGTACTACGCCGAGCGGGACCAGGACGAAGAAGGGAAGGAGACGCTGCGGCGCATCAACGGGAACGTTCCCGGGTATGATGTCGAGATCGAGTACGCCATCATCAAGAACGGTATCCTCGAGCAGCGGAGGAGGAAGAACGAGCTCGAAGGTTACAATCTCAGTTGGAGGGAGCTGCTGTGGTCCTACGTGGAATGCTTCAGGGGTAACAACTTCAAGCGAACGCTAGGCTCGGCTCTGCCGGCGTGCGCCCAGCAACTCACCGGCCTCTCTTTCCTCAAGACTTATGCCTCTCTCTTCTTCCGTCAGGCGGGTTTCTCTGATCCGTTTCTCATCACGACCGTGATTAGTAAGTCTTGCCTTATCACCAAACCAGCTCACAGAGGAAATACTGACCAAGGAACAACGCAGCCGTAATTGCCCTGGTCACATCCATTGCCCTCATGCTGTGGACCGACCGCTTTGGTCGACGCATGATTGTCTTTGTCTCCTCCGTCATCTGCACTATCTGCATGCTCGTAGTCGCAGTCATTGGTCTCTTCCCCTCGACAACCCCGCTCAAGAACTTTTGCATCTTCGTCGGCTGCCTGTGGTCCCTGTTCAACGCCGCTCTCGGCTCGCTCGGATGGGCCTTTGTCGGCGAGATCGCCACACAGAAGCTGCGCGCCCGCACGGCCGGCATCGCCGCGGGGCTTTCCGTCCTCATCGGCCTCACGTTCAACACCTCGGTGCCCATCATGTGTAAGTTACATGTCGCGCGATCCTATGGATCCGACCATGTCACCAAAGATCAACTGTCTCTAACAAAGTCAACATAGTGGACACCCAAGGAGCAAACCTGGGCTACAACACTGGGTGGATCTACTTTGGGCTGGGCGTCGTCTGCACCGTGATCGTGTGGTTTTATGTGCCAGAGCCGTCCCGGCGCAATGGGGCTGAGATGGATGAGATGTATGAGAAGGGAGTCCCAGCGTGGAAGATGTCTAAGTACGTGACGACGATACAGGAGGAGCAGGAGGCAGTCCTGAATCAGGGCAAAGCCTAGGACCTTGAGGGTGTACCCAGATGACACCCGCAGGTCGCCATCACTCGTTGGGCAAAGCCAGGAGGTTCCGCCAGATATGCGTTGCCGATGGACATTTGATCGGGATGTCCGATCTGAAGCCGGTCACAGAAAGAACTGATGCCATGGAGTGCCATTGCACATGTTATGGATGGTTATGGATGGACACAGTGTAGTTGGGACAAGCAATATGAGACTCGCAGAGCCACATGCAACATTGAAGTTAATTACAACAACATGAGTAATGTCTCGGTGTTGATGTCAAACAGGGAAAACAAAACCCCGCGCGGCTCGTGGACAGTCTGCGTGTTTAGTCATCACGGCCCGCATTAGTGAGTTGCGGTCGGCGGTGACGGACGGTACATGACATTTAGCATGCTCCAATTTATGGAGTCACCATACATCATCGATGTTCGATGTGGACGGGCGGCAGCTAAAAATGTGGATTTGCCGAGGGAGAAAGGGGTTCAACCTCGAGACAGATTCACTCTCATGATCACATAATTACACCACGGGTGACTCAGCAACGCTGATAAATTGCATTACCAGCGAGCATAACATATATATCTTTTCACTCACACGCTTCTTCCCGAATATCACAAGACTTACTTGCTCTATAACGACTTCTGAAAATCGTGCCCTCGTCAAAAGATCACGACCGGCCGGCCGCATTAGACCGACCCAGTTACGACCCCGCCATTTTTTTTTGCTCCCTAGAGAGTTCCATAGAACAATTTCCGCCTCTTCCAATACATCTCGTCAAGATGAAGCGTTGGGTGGTCACCACCAAGGACCAGGGCTTCGATGGCCTCAAATTCGAAGATGCCGCCGAAGTCCCCAAGCTTGGCGATCTCGACGTGCTCGTCAAGCTGCATGGTGCTTCGCTGAATTACCGTGATCTTCTCATCCCGAAGGTGTGTCATTCTTCGTCCATACCCGTTCATACATGCATGCCTGCACTCGGATAACACGTAGACTGACTGATACTTACTCGTGGCAGGGCAAATACCCCTTCCCGGACAGGATGCCCGTCGTCCCCGGCTCCGACGGCGCCGGCGAGGTCGTCGAGGTGGGCCCCAAGGTGACCAAGTGGAAGAAGGGCGACAAGGTCGTCACCATCTTCAACCAGGGCCACCAGTTCGGCGGTGTGGACATCGCCGCCACCTACACCGGCACCGGCGGCATGGTCGACGGCACGCTGAGGCAGTACGGCGCCTGGAACGAGAACGGCCTTGTCAGGGCGCCGAGCAACCTCAGCTGGCTCGAGGCCAGCAGCCTGACCTGCGCCGGCGTGACTAGCTGGAACGCCCTGTACGGTCTGCGCCCGATCAAGCCCGGCCAGAGCGTCCTCGTCCAAGGCACCGGGGGCGTGAGTCTCTTTGCGCTGCAGGTGAGTGCTGGCCCCCCATGACATTTCCGAATACCACACACAGCTTTGGCGCCAGAGAGAACCCCTGATATGCTGACGACGCAACCCTGTCCAGTTTGCCAAGGCGGCCGGCGCGACCGTCATCGCGACCACCTCCTCGGCAGAGAAGATGGAGCTGCTCAAGAAGCTCGGCGCCGACCACGTCATCAACTACCGAGAGGACGCCAACTGGGGCCAGACGGCCCGGGATCTGACCCGCGACAAGGCCGGCGTCGACTACATCATCGAGGTGGGCGGCCCCAACACGATGGGCCAGAGCCTCAAGGCGATCAAGTTCGAGGGCATCATTAGCGTCATCGGCTTCATCGGCGGCATGAAAGCCGAGAAGCAGCCGACCACCCTCGAGGCCCTGAGCAGCATCTGCGTGATCCGCGGCGTGTATGTCGGCTCCCGCGAGCTGATGCAGGACATGGTGGCCGCCATCGAGGCGAACGATATCCACCCGCACCTGGACCAGAAGGTCTTTAAGCTGGAGGAGACCCTGGATGCTTACAAGTACATGGTACGTTCTCTTGGTTTCATACTGTCCGAGGCCAGCAGAGAGTTGGAACGATGCTAATGAATTGGAAATAGTGGGATCAAAAGCATGTCGGAAAGATTGCAATCCAGATCGAGTAGAATGTTGGTCCAAAGGACGCATAGATGACATTGGCGTGATAGATGAGTTTTATGTTTAGACCTCGAATAGAAGCAACTTCATTCTTCATCATTTTCGTCCCTAGAACTCTACTCAGTTCATTATTGATTAAGAAAAATCAGCTTCTCATTGAGGCAATCGATCATTAGATGAGCAGCAACATCTTGTAGTCATAATGACACCGCAACACCGAGCTGCGAATGAGTCCAAAAAGCCTCGTCTCTTTCATGCTCGGTTTTGTAGCTGATCCACGACAGCTGAGACCACATTGGCAAGAAGATCAACGCCAGTTCTGAATCGTCCTCGGTGTTCTTGGCTGGCACATGCATGAATATCACTCTCCTTTCCAATTTTCGCCTCCATAGCTCAGCCAAGGACGAATAGAGTAGGTATTCGCAGGAGAAGCGACCGGGTTCCGTCGAAGCCCGGATGAGGGTGTTCTATCGAGGTTACACATTTAGATCTCTGCTCCTTTCGGGTGACAAGGCTAAACTTACAGGTATGGGCTGTTTGATATCATCTGTGACAGCTTCAATGCTTCAACGTCGATGTCGGAAGTCAGGGTAGTCGGGCAGGAGATGAACTGCTCCTCAACCGGATGTGCTGCTGTCATGTTCTGGATCGTTTTGGGCAGTTGGTCGTCCAGATCCTTCCTCGAGTATCCATCTCTATTTGCAGTCTTTCCGAGAGAGGAGCCTGGAAAGCTCCGCACTTGCCCAAGATGAACGACCAGAGCGGTTTTGAGTCTGTCGTCATCCTCGCCATCATACTGGATACCGGCAGAAGCTGCAGACCTGGACCAGGCGGGCGACCTTCGGTTCCATATGTCTACTACTGCCTGTGTGACATATTAGTACGTTACATGGATTTCCGGATATTTCAAAAGATGGATTGTTCTGTTGCTTACGGTTGTGATGCTTGGTGACAGTGCAGCTAGAACCATATTGGATGCGTTGAAGTCGTGGGTTTCGGCGTAGAGCTATTTCTCATGGTCAGTGCATATTTCTGGTTGTCCGGAGATACGACCTGCCCTGAATGCTGTGACGCCCACGGCAATACTTCCATCTTTTGTCTTGGGCCAGATTGATTGTGAAGTCATTGCTGTGAAGTGAGAATGTTCCACCTTGGCCGGGAATGAGATGTTGCGGCACTGAATGAAAGCAGGGAGGGGAGATGTGATGTTAATCGGGGAGGGGGATCAGCGGCAGGCACAATTACGTGAAGCGTCGCTCCATCTACAAGATGACGATATCGAGGGGATGTCTTCCCAACTTCACCGCCTGGTCAAGGATGGCTGGTTCAACAAAAAGGCCGCCGTTCCCTAGGCCGACGACTCTTTTCCACTCGACGATGCACTCATTGAAGGTAAATGCTATCAGACTGATATCATACACCCCAGGTTTCGATATTTGGCCTGTGCTCATGGCAGCTATCAGCTCTATCACACTGCTATCGGCCACATCATTCGCAAAGTCCGACTTCTCCATTACCGGATGTCTAAGAGGCGAGGCTTTACCAGGTAGATCTCCCGAGAGTCTTTCCGTCAAGGTGAGGTAGAAGTTTCACCTACTCTTGTGAGAACAGAATAGTACTGATCATTGCTGCCCTAGCTTGCGAGTGACGATGATGGTAAGATGATGCTGCAAGGCGAGTATGAATCTCTTTGTGCAATAGAGAAAGCAGTTCCGGGATTTGTTCCAGACATGATCGGCTTTGGCCAGTGCAAGAAAAACCCAGATGGCCACAAGGTATACTTTCTCGTGGAGGACCTGCTTGAGTTCCGCCAACCCTCAGCACCCGATCTGGAGGAAATCGCGTCCCTCCTTGCCAAATTCCATCTCTCTGGAAAATCGCCAAACGGCAAATTCGGTTTCCATGTGATTACCTGCGATGGCCCTCTTTCCCATCCTGTGGCACGGCAAGAGACTCGGTCAACATTCTAAACTGCCCTCCTTCGCAGCCGTGTTCGCCTGGATGCAGAGGCCTGCGGGGTTTGGCACAATCTCGAGCGAGCAGCTGAACAGGTTGCTTCCAAGGTTGGGATTTGGAGAGTGATCTATGCGAAGACCCTGGGGCAGAGAGCCTACAAAGAGGCATATTTGCGACTTTATCCAGCTACTAAGCCTGCAGAGAACCGGGACGACCGCAACCGTCTGTACAGTCTGATATGCAACTTGAACTGGTCCGCCACTGACCAGGAACCATAACAAGACAAATGTGAGTACATTATGGCCGACCCATGAATTCTATAGTAGGACTAGTCATATGCCAGAGCGTACAATGACATGTGCTATCTTTGTGAGAAGTATGCTCCTCTAGATGAGACACCAAGATATGATCCTGAGAACGACCCAATGGTTACGCCTATCGCCCAGATGAAGGGACTGATGTAATAGAAGCCTCTTGTGGGTTATTGAAGGCCAATGCTCATTCCTTTCTGGGTGTAGACCTCTATAGTTCACATTTGCCGGAACAATTGAGCAGTTTTGATACATCTTTCAGCCAACATGCACGAAAGTCAGGCTAGTATCTCGGAACTCCTTAAGCTAGTAATATGCTACAGGGAACTACAGGAAGATGAGGCTCAATTGATATCTCGCTATCTGTATCTAGAGTATGCTGCTGAGGCGCTTTATGCCTCGAGACAGCGCCTAGTGAACTTCTCTGGTTCGGTTAATCGCGGATCATGCCACCAAGTGAGAAACGTGCTTGTGGGGCTGAATTCAATCATGAAAAACTGAGCTTTGTGCAAACTCCTCGAGAGTAAACGGCCTCTTCGAACAAAGTCATTCCTTGTCATGAGCCAAGTGAAGGTGTCATGATGATAATGTCTCAATGGATATATCTCGGACTGAAGGCCTTGAAACGCAAGCTGCAGATAAGGCTCGTTTCTACTTTCCTCGAGAGAGACTTCGATCATCATGGTTCCAGCCTCGTTGGTGAAACTCCCTCTATACTCTGAGAGGTCTCGCGGAGTGGTGCCTAGTATTTGGTTTTGCTGAAGCTCGGTCAAAATGTCAGGATACCATCTCAGTGTACCTTTCACTGCCTCTTCAGAGAGCGCGATACAGTCGTTTCTCTCTTTCACGCCGAGATATGCCTCCAGGTACAGTTGACCAAGCCAGTCAGCGGTGTCGTTCAAGGCCAAGGAATTGGTGAGCACAAGGATTGCGCCCTTGGTGGATGGAATGAGATTTACGGCTGCCAGGTTCCTTGCCATCATGCCTTGGTGATAGAGAATGAGCTCGGACGGATGTCCACGCGCGACGTCTGGAGCTGGCTTGGGATCTAGCAGGTCGGGATTCAACCCAATAGTCCCCATCGGACCCGGAGTCTGAGGCCGTGCCCATCCTAGCGCAACGAATCTTCATGATAGGAGATCGGATTGAGAGCGACCTTGGACGAAAAGAGAAAGGGCACCTGTTTCAGGGGGGAACCAGGAGTGGACGTGGTATGGTGTTCAAACTGATGAGCGCCAGACTCAAGGAAAGCCGTGTAAAGCTTAACCAGATCCTTGATACAACTGCGCATTGCCGATCCAACTCCCCCAACCGTATCGTCTCCTGTGAGCATTGGGACGACCTCTACTACCGTACCATCGTCCAATGCTTCATAGCCTTTGGCGACATTCTCGTCTCCTTGGCTGTAAGAATACCGAGTTCCAGATCTCGGCATACCAAGGGGTTGGAAAATTCGAGACTGTACAAATTGGCCCCAAGATCGCCCAGCGGCTTGCTCTATCAAGTGAGCAGCGATCTCGTATCCCAGGTTGTTGTATATGTAACTCTTCCGAAACAACGGCCTTTGTCAGAGACGCACAAGGGAAGATGGTCGCATCGGTGACTGGCAGTTTGAGCTCCTTGTCGCGAACGCCGATGTAGTCGCTATGGAGGAGTTTGCCATCGTGGATGACGGCTATTGCGGCGCCAGGCGTGCCAGAGATCTGCAAGAGACTTGTCGCTTCCGGCAAGAGCTCTTGCAGTCTCACTTCCAAGGTCGTAGGAGGATCCATGTTTCCAGTCGCGCGGCTGGGAACGACTTCGGATGTTCTGCAGCTTGCAAGGGGATCGAAACAAGTGCATTGAACAAAGCTTGAACAGAAGCTGACCTGGGGGAAACGAAGGTTTCCATGGCCAGCTTCAAATGCCCAAGTTCACGAGCAAAATGGAAGCCTCTTTCGGACCGGGGTTAAGACGCCTGTAAGGCAGTCTCGACCTGCGTACTCAGCATCCGTATGCAGTGTGAAGTTACGTCCGAGGTCGGCTCGAGCGGGTAACGACCTTTCGGATCAATCATGCCACTGGGCCCGGCTTCTCCAGTCAAGAGTGATGCGAGAACTTCTTGCTTGTTCGGCACATTGAAAGACACTCACGGCCGCAGGACAATGATCTCGGGCCTGCGTTCACGCTTGAACTCTGCATACAATTGGTTCCATGCGGCTAATTACATAAGCCCGTTATCGCGCATGGACCCCTGGCATTAGCGTCATGCCGGCTTGGCATCACGGAATGTCAACAGACCAAGCTTGTCCTCATTCTTCCCCTTCCAACCTCCACTCTCACACTTATCTTTTTCCTCACCTCCCCGGCGTAAGCTATCCTGCACATGATGGCGATACTGTCCGGTAAAGCGGCCTTTTCCCTCCTTCTCCTGCTTGCCAGCGCCAATGCCTCGCGCTTCCAGCCCCAAGCTGGCGCGCAAGCGCCCCTGGGTGCCGATGTCGCTGCTAGCAAGAAGCCGCTCATCGACAGCGAGGCCCTGCAGGCGCGCATCAAGGTAGACAATCTGCTGACGCGGGCCGAGGAGCTCTATGAGATCGCGAAGCTGGGAGAAGAGGAGTACAACCACCCCACGCGGGTGATTGGCAGCAATGGTGAGTCATAATATCTCGGGCCGGTCCAGGAGCGGACCGCCGCAGCGGTGCCTGACGATGCTGACCGAGGAAATTCGCGATTGGCAGGCCATCTCGGCACCCTCTCGTATATTTATGCGGAGCTTGCCAAGCTGGGTGACTACTACACGCTGTCGAACCAGTCATTCCCGGCTGTCTCGGGCAATGTCTTCGAATCGCGCCTCATTCTGGGCGCGCACGTGTCTCAGTCTGCTGCTCCGATGGGGCTGACTCCTCCGACCAAGGACAAGGAGCCCGTACATGGTGATCTTGTCTATGTCGAGAAGGACGGTTGTGAGGCGGCTAACTACCCTGCCAGCGTCAAGGGAAACATCGCCTTGGTCCGTCGCGGCACCTGCCCCTTCGGCACCAAGTCGAAGCTGGCCGGTCAGGCCGGCGCCAAGGCTGCCGTGGTCTACAACTTCGAGGACGACGGCGTCTCGGGGACACTGGGCACGCCATCGCCTGACCACGTAGCCACCTTTGGCATCTCGGGCAAGGAGGCCGAGCCCATCCTGCGCGACCTTAAGAAGGGCAAGACTGTGGACGCCATCGCCTACATCGACGCCGAGATCAAGACCATCTACACCGACAACATCATCGCGCAGACCGTCGAGGGCGATCAGGAGAACTGCGTCATGCTCGGCGGCCACAGCGACAGCGTCGCCGCGGGCCCGGGCATCAACGACGACGGCTCCGGCAGCCTGACCGTGCTCGAGGTCGCCAAGCAACTCACGCACTTCCGCGTCAACAACTGCGTGCGCTTCGCCTGGTGGGCAGGCGAAGAGGAGGGCCTGCTGGGGTCCGACTACTACGTCGCGCAGCTGACGCCCGGGGAGAACCGCAAGATCCGCCTCTTCATGGACTACGACATGATGGGCAGCCCCAACTTTGCCTACCAGATCTACGACGCCCGCAACGACGTCAACCCCGTCGGCTCGCAGGAGCTCAGGGACCTCTACGTCGACTGGTACAAGGCCCACGGCCTCAACTACACGTTCATCCCCTTTGACGGCCGCAGCGACTACGACGCCTTCATCAAGCATGGTATCCCTGGCGGCGGCATCGCGACCGGGGCCGAGGGCATCAAGACGAAGCAAGAACAGGAGATGTTTGGGGGCGTAGCGGGCGAGTGGTACGATAAGAATTATCACCAAATAGGGGATGATGTTTCCAATGTCAATTTGACTGCTTGGGAAGTCAATACCAAGGTAAGAGACGCTCCAATCTTTTACAAGGCCGTGTTTGCTGACGATATGTTTGTTTGTCTAGCTTGTTGCGCACTCTGTGGCCACCTATGCCCTGTCTTTCAAAGGGTTCCCTGAAAGGAGATTTGCTGTGAACAAGGCCTATACCGCAGGTATTAAGCATCATGGCCATAAGCTTATTGTGTAGACTTTGGCCATGTGCGTAAACTGGGCTGGAACAACAAACCTAGGTAATAGGGCGATATAATCAGAATATTAGATAGAGTGTAATTAACTTGGATATGATCGTTTTGCGTTGCATGCTATCATTGACATTTTGGCGTTCTAGGATTCACAATGAAATTAGACAAGTTTAGTTATGAGGGTAGTCGTATGAGAGTAAAATGACATTACTACTTATGAAATCGATGGCACACAATAGTCAATGTAATTTGAGTAGTTGGATGCTCCTCTAGAGGATAGTTCATTAACTTAATAGATCGGTTTTCACATCAACATTCCTTTGTTTAGTGAAGACACCTTCATGGACTTCTGGCAGCGTTAATCACTTCCTTTATGTTCTCGAATTTAACCTCTCACAAGACTGAATAAGATTCGATGAAGGCAACCCGCCACTTTCATCGCAATTTCCTTCAAGTGTTCAAGTGGTCTCCAAGTTTCTTCGACAATCAGCAGTCTCTCTGCGACACCAATCAAGAACCTTTTGCTCCTGCCATTTGGTTCCCTCTCCACTGACCGAGTCCAAACCAAAGAAGCCACAACTTGAAGCTGACAGCTCAGGATAATTCGCCATGCCACAAAACACCAACACAGCGCCGGCTGCTCACGCCGCACCAAACATCCGCAAGCTCGTCTCCATCCGCCGCATCTCCCACACGTCCCGGATCCCACGTACCCGCTTCGCGCGGGTCTCTGTCGACGGATGGTCCGTGGTCGAGCGCACAAGCCGCGGCTACTCGGCCGGCCAGCTCGTCGTCTTCTTCGAGATCGACAGCTTCATCCCCGCGACGGACGACCGCATCTGGGAGCTCCACCAGTACTTTGTCGAGGACGCGCTCGGCCGGAAGGGCCTCCGCGTCCGATCGTGCAGCGCCTACGGCGTCATGTCGCAGGGCATGATGTTCAGGGTCGAAGATGTTCGCGAGGTCAGCGAGGAGCTCGAGAGGCTCGTTGCGAAACACGGACCGCAGGAGGGAACCAAGATGGCGATGGAGATGAGCTTCGAGGACCTTCTCGGAGTGACAAAGTGGGAGCTCCCGGTCCATGCCGCCGTCGAGGGTTCGCTCGGCCCTCCCCCTGACTTCTTCCCGATGCCGGGCTACCTCAGGGCGCAGAACAAGCCCTCGCTGTTCGACAAGGACAAGATGGCCAACATGTACCACGTCACCGAGAAGCTCGACGGAGACACCATGGTCGTCTACCACCTATCCAAGGACTCGCCGTGGAATCATTCGTTGCCGACAACAGAGGGAGTGCATTGGGTGGAGGATGGCCGGATCGGGGTCTGCAATCGGCGCGCAGACATCGCAGAGGACTCCCAATCCATTTTCTGGGAGGCCGCACACAAGCAGAACCTTCTGGACAAGATTCAAAAGATGGGCATCAGGGACGTCGCCCTCTTGGGTGAGCTTTGCGGAAGCACCGTCCTGAAGAACACCATGGACTTCCCCGAGGGCGAGCACGAGTTCTTCGCCTTCGACATCTACGACATCGGCAAGCAGAAATCCCTTCCCTTTGAGGAGACGCAGGCCATCTTCAAGCGGCTGGACATCCCGCACGTGCCGGTGCTGGGGCGGGTGCGTATGTGCGACTTTGCCCGGAACCTGAACGAGTTGCTGCGGAAGGCCGAGGGCACGGGTTGCATGGGACAGAACCGGGAGGGTATTGTCTTGACGTCGGTCAAGGACGGTAGCCAGACCAAGGTCATATCGAACTCATGGCTGCTGGAGAAGGGGATGTAAGACAGGCTGAGAGGTCATGCCTGCACAGCCGGGGAGCAAACTTTCCGCAACCAACCAACTCGTATCATGCGTAAAGCGAAACTTTTGAGATACCATCCATACATTGGGACCTTATTCTATCCGGGGGGGAACTAGAGGGTTTGAAGGATGTAGCCCTGTTAACGCCCTCCTCCTTTGCGGCTCCGTATTCACGGAGGCCATGGATCTGAGATCAGGTCAACTGACATCACCATGCTGTAGGATAAGAGTAGTTGGTTGATAGACTAAACACAGCCCAGAATGCTGTCATTATGCACCCTTCATTCCACTAATAAACGTCCGCCATCCGGGAGCGATGTCCGAGCCCATGCCTCACCACCCCCCCACCCCCTGTTCTCTGATAAAAAAAGAAATTGACACTGATCAAATTCCAAGAATCATCACACGACCTCGAACCGCACACAGTCATCCTGCGCCCCGCGCTGCGCGACCGGCATCACCACGGGCTGGTGGTTCCGCGCCGCGATCATGGAGCACACGCGGTAGTAGCCCGGCGCCAGGCCGCCCGAGACCTCGGCGCGCAGCCCGCCCTTGCCGTCCCCCTGGTCGTCGACGCCCTTGAAGTAGGCAAACGCGGTCGGGTCGGGCGGCGAGGTCGGCTCCGCCGCGCCGGGCTTCCCGCCGAGGTCCTGCACCGTGATGTGGCAGTGGCCGATGACATCGCCGGCGTCGTCGAGCTGCTGGGGCGCCGTGTAGTAGGCGACGGTGGGGTTGACGAGGAAGCCGGCGCGCAGGTGCGACGTCTGGATGGTCACGTTGAAGGACCGGTCGCGCGGGACCCTGGCGCCCGGCTGGGGGGACGTGATGATGGAGGAGATCATGTTGGCCCGGGCGGGGATGTTGCCCATGACGATGCTGTTGCAGGACGAGGTCGAGGTCTGGCGGCCGTTGGTGAGGGGCCGGCCGGCGCAGAAGTTGATGAAGTTGGCCTGGTCACTGCGGGAGGAGAATTCAAATCAGTATAAAGTCAAACTCAAGAGGAGGAGCGAACGAGCACAACGTACGTGTCCGAGGGCGACTGTCCGGCCTTGAGGCCCTCGGTGCCCTCCTCTTGTCCCGTGCTGAAGCTGGCCGTCTGGAGGACCTCGGGCGAGAGGCATGTCTGTACTGGCTTGCGTACACACTTGGTGGAAGTGCCGTCGGCGCCGTCAGGCGATCTGGGGTTGACGGCCGCTGCGTAGCTGGTGGCTACAAAGGCCGCGAAGGCCACGAGAAGGGCTGGGATGTAGTGCATCGTGATGTCAGAGCAGCGGCGCAGAGTCAACACGCCTGCAAGTCGTAGGATGGATGGATGACCCCATCTGCGCGACGCGAGGATCTACATCGCACCCAGCAAAACATTTATACTACGCACTCTTCTCATCTTACGCAAAGATGCAGACAGAAACCCAGGCATCCATCCAGAAGTGGACTGATCTTTCCTGCAGGCAATTTGGGCTAAATGAACCCGTACCGCCCTGCTTGGGCCTACTGGACCTCCCAAGACGGTCGTACGGGTGCACAGAAGATAACAGAATACCCGGTCGGGCGCAGGGGTTTGGACGGAGGAGACGGAAGGGGAAGCTTGGCGATGGTCTCTCGGGCGGCAATCCGACCAGTCGCAGGGCCGACAGTTAGTAGATCAGTGCGCGCCGAGCATTCCTTTTGGATGCAGCCCTTCGCAGCCGACATTGAGGGGCCGGTGGCCCCGAGAGCGGTCGCAGTGAGGCTGGAAGCACGTGGATTCTGGAAAGGAATGCCCGGCAGGGTGTGGCCATGAGACGTCTCTCTGTCCGCGAATGCATCTTTGTCGCTGTCGGTCCGCCGATGTCGTAGGGAGGAGCTGGTACGACACATCTGTAGGCAAGCTGCAAAGTTGCTGTGCTGTCGCGTCTTGGCTCCTTCTGACGTGTTCTGCGTGTGACCGCGGGTGCTTTCACGTCCCGAATCTGCGAAAAAAGGATGTTCTGCGAATGAGAGCAGAAACGTCAGGCTGCAGGATTGTCGGCGACTTTCGTCCCTTTTCTTGTTTGACCCTCAACATTGGTCGTTCTGGTCTAGGTAACCCTGGAGAGCGCCAGAAGCTTGGGCCCCCTGGAAAATGGGGCGTATTTGCCTCCCTACAGGGAGTGACAGGCCCCACATGCCCCCCCAACGATTGGGTTGAAGCGCTAGTCGAGCTCCTCACTCACCAGGCAACTGCCGTCGCAAGCTAAACTAATGCGGCTCGCAGCGTCGCGTCCCTCTTCACCAAACAGAAAAAAAAGATGGAGAGCGGTTCCTTATCTGATCCTTCACCCAAGAGCTAGCAAACCCCCTTTTTTGCATCAAAGCCGATCACCTTGGTGGATCGCCCTTCTCACAACCTCACTTCGCTTACCGAGAAGCTCACTCAAATCGGATTCGTGCAGACGCTGCTCTCCAGAGTTTGACCATGAGCGCTGCTGACAAACCCGCCGATCCCGTCGCGGCTCCGACCGCGGCGCCAGCAGATGAGACAAAGCCAGAGGCTGCCGCTGAGACCCAGCCCGCTGCACCTGCCGCAGCTGCTCCTGCGCCGGCCGCCACAGAGGCGCATCCCGTTGATGGCACCGCTTCATCCGAGCTCAAGGAGGCGCCCGCTGCCGAGGTAGAGGCCGCTGCTGCTGCCACCGACAAAGCCGCGGAGCCCAAGACCGCCGTCGTCGCTGCTGAGGCCCAGGACGCTGAGAAGCCTGCGGAGGCCAAGACCGCAGAGACCGCAGCTGCCACCGCCGCCACCGCCGAGCCTGCCACCGACAAGCCTGCGGAGGAGAAACCTGCCGCCGAGAAGGAGAAGGCCAAGCCCGCCATCCAGCAGCTCTGGGAGGTTGCCAAGGCCCATGCCCACCCCGAGATCTGGGGCGTCACCCTCGCCGACCCGGAGACCCACGTGCCCTCCCAGGTCGTCCTGCAAAAGTACCTCAACGCCAACGACGGCGACTTCGCCAAGGCCAAGGACCAGCTCGTCAAGACCCTCGACTGGCGCGCCAAGACCAAGCCTCTCGACCTGCTCAAGGCCGAGTTCAGCAAGGACAAGTTTGACGGCCTGGGCTACGTGACCAGCTACGGCAGCGTCGGCGATGCGTCTGCCGACCCCGAGTCCAAGGAGGTCTTCACCTGGAACATCTACGGCGCGACCAAGAGCATCGATGAGACGTTCGGCAAGCTTGATGAGTATGTTCACTGACGCCAACCCCACTTGACCAGGGATATGGAACGTGCTAACGATGAGATTTAGGTTCCTCAGCTGGCGTACCGCCCTCATGGAGTTGGCCCTCCAGGAGCTCTCCATCGCCACCGCCACCAAGCCCATCACGGCTGACTATGATCCCTACAAGATCTTCCAGGTCCACGACTACAAGTCCATCAGCTTCTTCCGCCAGTCCTCCAACGTCAAGGCCGCCAGCAGCGAGACAATCAAGGTCTTTGCCCAGAACTACCCGGAGCTGCTCAAGGAGAAGTTCTTTGTCAACGTCCCCGCCATCATGGGCTTTATGTACGCCTTCATGAAGCTGTTCGTCGCCCCCAAGACCATCAAGAAGTTCCACCCCATGTCCAACGGCCGGAACCTGGCCCTCGAGTTCACTACTTCTACCAAGGTCGAGAGCCTGGGCGAGAAGCTGCCCGAGGAGTACGGCGGCAAGGGCAAGGAGCTCAAGGCCGAGAGCAAGGAGCCGCTGCTCAAGTGAGGTTTACCCTGAGACGCAAAACGCGCTGGGCGCACATCAAAGTGATATCCCTGGGCTCGTTAGCCCTCTGCATGTTCTGAAATCCAGTCTGTAAGGACGCATGTGATTTTCCAACTTCGAATTGTTCCCGTTCTGGTCACCATTAATGCGGAGGCACGGTGGCAAACTTTATACACCAAAAAAAGATTAGATAGCGAATACTAAAATGCTCTGCGAGAGAGAGAACACCAACAGCGATGCAGGCAGTTCCTCTATAATATCTCTTGCCAGTAAAAGCAGTCCCCTCAGTCAACCGATCGCCGTCATGCCCCTCATATCATGGGCCCGAGCGCGTTTGGCAGTTTGCTCTAGTGCTGTATCCGGCTAATGCCACCAGGAGGGTCTGCCATCCTCGGGATCAAGAGATTGATAGCCACCGCGCTCTCGGCTCCAAGACGCTTCGTCTGCGATATCCATCACGTCTGGCGACGACGCCGGCTGTCCCGGCCGGGTCTGCGGGTCGCGAACCACCGAGATGCACGACATCGCCTCCGACAGCTCGCTCTCCTCTGTGCCGATGCTCATCTCGCTGGCCGGCGTGCTGCCGCGCGCCACCAGGAGCGGCACCGCCGCCGGCTTCGGGGCCAGGAGTATCAGCCGGCGGGTCTTCTTCTGCTTGGCGGCGGGGGGCCAGCTCCCGAGGCTCTCGCTGTCGGACTCCCCCTCGCGCTGCTCTTCCTTGACGCCGAACTCGTAGGCGCCGGCTATAATAGGGTGGCCGCATGACGCTGTCAGCAGACAACTCTTTCCCGCAACCCAAGGCAAAGACGGACTGGGGGAAGAAAAGTTTTCAACATACTCTCGCCCAGTGAGATCACGACCGAGACGCGGCTGCACGAGGCTGGCTCTGTGCTGTCGCCGTACAGCATCTTGAGGTATGCTCTGCGGGGGCCGGCATTTCCCCAGATGCTTTGGAGTATGCATGTCAGTACTCAACTTCATATAGCGGGAACTGGGCCTTGGGGCAGAGGGCACACAGAGCACCCACCTGGGAACATCCTTGATCACTTCAAAGACCTCTTTGAAGTCCGCGTCGATGAAGAGCTCGACATTGTTGGTCAGAGCCCAGCGCTTGCGCAGCTTCTCGTCCCTGGCTGCTTGGTCCAAGTCTTGGTTCGCTAATTTCTTGGTGAGCAGGACCATTTCGGTTGTCAAACTGTCGGGCTTCGTCGAAAGCTTAAACTTCGAGTCCCAAAATAGGTCGCGGAGCACGGTGTACACGGCCGGCTTGTGGAGGTGGTCGAGGACCTTGTTGGCGCTTCTTGCGATCAGTGATGGGTCTGGGGTGATGCAAAAGCCGTGGCAGTCCAGGGAAGCAGTGCGTGGAGTCGATATCGCAGAGGTATCGTCTTCCTCCCTGAACGCGGCCGGGGGGCCGAGCACAGGCGCAGAAGCACTCATGCCGTTTAGTTGGAGTGTCTGGAGGACTGTACTAGCTGAGCAGGCTGGGTAGTATGGAGTTGAGGGCGTTGGGACAACCTCTAGAGAACAGGAAGACCGACAAGAAGGCTGGGCTTTTATAGGAGTGCATCTCTTTATCTCTCTTGAATGAAGAAGGTAGTGAGTCCCTGCCCTGACCTTTGCAACTGGCGCATCACAGACTTTTGTTTGTTGGCAGGGACTGTTGTGATGAGATGGAGATGGAATTTGCTACACGCATGGTCCTTGTACGTCGTGACTACTGGAACTACCATGAACACGTAGGTGGTGCTTGTAACGTGGCACAAACGCTCAGACGACAACTTCGGGCAGTATCGCGGGCTTCAAACGATCGGGCACTTAACATTCGAGGTCAAGAAAACTAGAGGTCAACCACTGATTCATGTAGGAGCTTGTCTTGGGTACGAAGAAAACTCCATAGTCGCTGAGCAGTCCTCTTCAAGAGTCTTGATACTCCAGCATCGGCTCTCGAAAGCACATCCCTCTGCGTGTACAGTCCAGGCCATGAGTATTGACTTAATCTGGGCTACGAGGCGGGTGACGATTTACAACGAGCCAAGTCCAACATGCAGGTCCAAAACTAGATTCATCATCAAACTTGAACCTTACACAGTGCCAAACACCGCGCAAGGGTCGACATATGTGTTACCGAAAAGACCAAATATCGACGACGCTCGTCGACCTGCAATTGCAAAGCTCAATGATAGTTGTAATTGAAAAGGTTCCAGACAGCCCATCGCTCGTTGATGGACGTTGTCGCTGTTTGGCCGGCAAACGGAGGGATCCTCATTATTACCTTGACGATGTCAATCAGCACAGATTTCCTCTTAGTCGCCCGTTGTGAAGACTTTATACCTAGGTGAAGCCGTCCGACCCGTCAGTGAGTTGTCGGCTGTATAAAGCCGTCCGCCACACGAAGAGTGCAACTGCATGTAGGCCCACTGCCGCGAAGTGCCTAAATGGGCGGGTGCAATATAATGGCTATATCGACACATCACACACACTGGCCGAACCCGGATCTGACAAAAGGTGTAAGATGGGACGGTGTAGTCATGGGTTCATGAGATTTGCTTTCCTCGACAGCGTCATCTGCTTGGGTTTGCCTTGCGCTTCTGGACCAGGTAAATACCAAAAAGAGCCAGGATGTCTCTCACAAAGTTAGTGAGCGCAGTGCTCTTGGCCTCCGTCGCAGGACTCGCGGCGGCAGCCGTGACCATCCTCCCCGGGGGCCAGGCCAAGCCCTACCGCGGCCCGGCGGGCCCCCTCACGGCCGACGCCTTCTACCGCGAGAGCGCCGCCAACGACCTCTTCGACGACTCGGTGCAGGTGCTCATCGGCTCCGTCGACGACGGCCTGTTCGCCGACCCGGCCGCGGCGCAGCAGATCCTCCCCTCGTCCGAGAGCTTCGTCCGCGGCACCATCCGGGCCTGGGCGGAGCACCTGCACCTCGTCGTGCGGCCCGAGGAGGTCTGGTTCAGCGTACTGTCGCAGCTCAACGCCTACATGGACGCGCACGCGGGCGAGGTCGCGGGCGTGTACGTCAACCACCGCGGCGGCGGCGGGGAGCCCATGACGCTCGATGAGTACGACTACTTCCGCCTCATGGAGGTGTTCAAGCGCGAGATGGAGCTGCGCGCCAAGGTCCCCTGGTTCTCGGACTGGGCGTTTACGAACCTGACCACGACCAACGCCAACGACTACATGAACGTGGCCGTGCTCCTGCTGGGCGAGCCGCGGGCCGCTGCGCCTGCCGCCCAGCCCAAGATCGCCTGTGGCCTGCCGTCCGTCACGCTGGTCGGTGAGCAGTCGGACTGGGCGGACGTGCTGGCCAAGCTGGACCGGTTCGAGGCGTTTGGGCCCGAGGTCGCCGCGTACGGGGCGCGGCTGAGGCCCATCTTGACGCGGTTTGTCTCAAGCTACACTGAGTCGGATAGTCCTGAGACACGGAGGTTTTGGAACCAAATCGTCTCTGCATCTCCAGCTACCTCCGCTAATGCTGCAGGAAATGCCTCCTGTAGCGCATCCGAGACTCGTGTCTCTGGCTGGATCACTGGTTTCGTGCACTGGGATCTCGAGGGAAAGATCTTGGCCTCCGCAGCTGCGAGTGACTCAGCTGCCGCTACGCCGGAGCTGACGCTGGACGGTACTACCTACCAGACTATATCCCTGCAGGAACTTCCCATCGGCTACGCTCGCGCCCCTTTCCTCTTGCACGACTTCAACGACACTCAGCGGTACGAGGCGTACGTCGTCGCTGGAACAATGGGCCAACAGATCTCGACTGGGCCTCCTGATGGTTACGCCGGGGCGCTTCGGCGAGCTAATATGTCCTCTGCCGGATTCAATGCGTCGCAGCATAGCACATTACAGGCTATGTCGGCGTGGGCCTTGTATGGGCCGGCGAACCACAGCGCGCCGGGCCGACCGTGGGTGGAGGGGAGCGAGCTGGTAGACCTGGCTGCTTCAGTACGCAAGAGCGTCAAGAGCAATTCGACACTGTGTAATGTAGTGTAGGATTGTGAGAAGCAAGACAGATATCTGTTCCATGAGAGTCGGCAACAGCGAAGACAATTGGATAATGAAAACGTCAGGCCCACTCAAGCCTCCAGCATCGAAATAAACAAGTCCTGCAGACTATCATCGAATCCAACAACTCCAAGGCACTGCAAAGGTGAGGCAGAGAACTCGCGATTTCAACAAAATGATCGTGGGGAAGGCAGTGCACCATGCGCGATTCGTCACATCTTCAACAGCTCGCTATTCTCAATAATCCCACCCTTGTGACCCTCAAGGGCGATCTTGACCATCGCGCGGGCCAGCTGGTCCGCGGTGATGGCCGCGAACAACTTGCCTCCAATCTTGAGCAGGGGGTTGGCATCGCGCGCAATGACCCCGCTCGGACGTACAGACCAGGCCTCCAGCTTGTCCGGGTTGCTGTCCGCCAGGTCGGAGAGCGCCTTTTCGGTCTCGCCCTGCGCACGCGCAATAGCATTCTTCATCAGTAACAAACATCACCAGTGATGATCAACAGAAGGGCACCTACCTTGACCCGACGCGTGTCGCCCATAAACAGCAGGCTCTTGTCCTGCTTCTGCTCGGCGAAGGCGCCGCTGCAGAACACGAAGCGGAACTTCTGTCCGGCGGGCAGCTTGGGCGCCAGGGCCGTCATGAAGGCCGTGGCGGCGGGGACGACGTAGCCGACGTGCACCTTGCGCGCCGTCTCGACGTTGGGGAACTGGTAGGCTCGGCCGCCGATTGCCCTGAAGTGTTGTGGATCGTTCATGTTAGCGCTGATGGTCGGTATCAAGCTCCGGCCAATGGACTCTGGACGGACCATAGACATGCTTCGGCTCCGGCCAGCTTCTCCAGCAGTTCCGGAGGGTACGTGGAAAAGTCTTCGTGGATGATGGTCGTGAGCTTGTCGCCCTTGGGCATACCCTCGCCTAGTGGCTTCCGGCTGAGGACGAGGATCTGGGTGATCTTGGGGTTCTCGAAGCACTCGCGGACGATGGCGCCGCCGATGAAGCCAGTGGCTCCGGTGATGATGACCTTCATAGTGACGGCACTAGTGTTATCAATTGGGTCTGCCTGAGCCCCCTGCTCTAATTCCTAGTCGTTTTGAGGCCGATTGACGGAGAGCGGTCTGGTCGGAGAGGGGGACGTTGATTGATCCCTTTTATTATGAAATGACGAAATCGCCCGTGCCCTCTGTTGTTACTTGTGCACCGGACTTCCTCGCCCGGAATTACTCACCGGAACCGCAGGTGTACCCTGCTGGCACCCTCTACGCTAGGCCTAAACAGACCGCATTCAGTGGCTCCAGGGCTGCATGGAGTGAATTTGTCAGTGCTGGCCGGTGGGAGATCTCCCGCGAAATGGCCTTGAATACGAATTTGGTCTAGTCCTACAGCCCGCAACCTCAAACTACCACTACACACATATTCCACCACCATCGCTTTCCATGCCTTCCGTCCCGAGAGGCTAGATTACACATCTCTCTGAATATTCTTCCCCCATGGCCGGGGATTGCGTAATCTTATCGACGTGACGGGAGGGTGCCTCATCGCCAACGAGCCAGTCTCTCGCGCTCATACTCGCTCTCTGAATATTCGTGCCACTCGTCCTGCATCGTCCGAGCGTCAATCTGGCTTCTCGTTCCCTGGCCAGGCAAGCGCTGCCCGGTGAATGGCAGGCTCATGAAGCCGATTTGGCCCTCGATGCGGCCCCCGCCGAGGAACTTGACCCATCCGGTGTTCGAATCGCCATACATGATAGGACCCTCGGCCTCGCGTCCGCGCCAGAGAAACTCGTGCTCGTGATGCGACGAGGCTCTGGGCCGCTCCTCGAGAAACAAAACGCCATGGACCACGCCCAGATCAAATCTGCCCCAGAGGCTAGAGCCGGAAAGAGTGAGCGTGAGCTCAAAGTTGGAGCCGTATATCAGCCACTCCCGGCCGACATATTCGGAGGTGACGGCGTAAGTGCCGTTCAGGAGGCCGAGCCGCTCTAGGTCCATTTGCTCCGAGTACGGAGGCGGCAGTGCGTTGAAGTCGTCTTCAAATATGTAACTCTGTGATGCTGGCACGTCCAAGTAGCCCTGTGGTTCCGGCATGTCCAGATAGCCCTCTAATGCCAGATAGTCCATATCGCCCTGTGACGCCGGCTCGTCCATGTAGCCCTGTATTCCCGGCGTATCCAGGCAACCCTGCAATGCTGGCGCGTCCATGTACCTCTGTGACGCAGGCAAGTCCGTATAGCCCAGTGATTGCGGCGGAGACTGAAAGCGGCCGCGTGCTGCGGGTGCTTCACTTGGCCGTGAGGTCTGCCCTGTTGCGAATCGAGGGGGTGGTGACGGCGATGGTGGTCGCGCACGCGCCGAGGATGAAAAGGAGCTGCCCCATCGAGCAGTCCGGATCTGCCGCGCTGGTAGTGCTGGCTCCTCGGCCTTTATCTTCTTCGTAGCCTTCTGTACCATTCCTTCATCATCACCGGCCTCCCTCTTCACTCCCACCCTCGCTCTACTCGCCGACCCAGCCAACGCCTCCTCCTCGACTTTTACCTCGACCTTGACCTTGACCTTCACCGGACCCGTCTCAGTGGGCTCCTGCTCCTTCTTCATCTCGCGGTCCTTCCTGGTCCATGCCTTCCTGAGCTCCGCCTCCATCCTGGCTATGGACCCCGGAACGACGAGCTGGCCCGCCCTGACGGCGTCGTAGAGGCGCATGCGCGCCACGGCCTTTGTCTTGGACGGGTTGAGGCCGTAGTGGATGAGCTGCGCTTCGAACCAGTGCGCCGGGTAGTCCTTCTCGCTGCCGGCTGCAAAGTGCGCCTTGATCTGCGCGGGAGTCGCCCGCCGGTGCCGGTTTCCTCCTGACGCATCGGCGAAAAACTCGCCATTGGCGTATGCGAAGCCGGCGCCGGCGGCCGGCGGTGCGCCCAACAAGCGGGTAGAGTCTGGGGCCATGAGTGGCATCGCTGATTGCTTGATATTTATGTAGAAAGGAGCTGAAGCGAACTTCGAAAGGGACTAGCAACGGAGTTGACAAATACTGAGAACATCTGTGGTGGCCACGTTCCCCCTCGTCCAGCCCCCCGCCAAACCTTGGTCGACCAGATAGACCTAATGGCCGGTTCCTCGAAACTTGCTCAATGACCATTTATGATTCACCTTGAGTGGTTGTTGATAGCTTCTCAAAGGTGAATCAATTCTTCTCAGCGGCAGATGTCTGTCTCTATTCCGCATGTGGCCCGGCTCAGGTTCATCCACAACCTGTAGAAGCAATGGCAGAATGTGATCTCATAGGATTCGTGCTGTTTCAATATAACTACGAAAGAAATGTTCTGACCAAGCAACTGCTTACTTCTGTCTAGCTTGTCTTATTAACGACTCTGTAGGCGTTCTGAAATCCTCTTCGCAGCAAGCGCACCCAATCCTCTGACACTGTCCGCGCCTCGAATCTCGGGGATCTTCAAGAGTACTCCTACCTTCTGCTTGAACCAGTTGCGCAACTCGATGCTAAGCAGAGAGTCGACCCCGACCGTTTCCATAGACGCATCGAGATCCAGCTCCTCGCCGTCCCGCATCCTGAAAGCCGACAGGGCTGCAGCAATTTCCCGTGCCAAGTACGTTGCCGCTCTGTCTGTCTCGAGCAACGACGGGTCCGAGTTGCAACTGTGAAGGAACTCTTTGAGGCTCGCTGCACCCCCTTCATCCGCAACGCTCTGACCATTCTGAGGCCCGGCATTACCCGTCTGGAGGAACAGCGTCCGCGGGTCGCGCTGCCACGCCGCTTGGCTCATCGATGGCGCGGGCGTACTGCCAAACCTCAACCCGATCGCCATCTGCCCCTTGCTCACGTACCCGTCCGCGATGGAACGCCCACCTCGCTCGGACCTATCATCCGCATAAGACCTCGCCAGCATCAGCTCCAGCGCGTCCAGCAGCTCCTGCTCGTGCAGCGCATGCAGCGACTCCGCCCGCATCGCCTCGAGCCGGTACGTCTCCCGCGCCAGGATCCCGACGCCGCGCATCATGCCGATGTCGAGCACCGAGCAGGGTAGGCCCAGCGAGCGGCGGTACTGCGCAAACGCGTCGAGGAAGGCGTTGGCCGCCGCGTAGTTGGCCTGCCCGACCTGCCCGCCGAGGCCGGAGACGGAGCCGAACAGGAAGAAGAAGTCGAGCGGCTCCGTCGGCAGCTGCAGCGCGTTGTGCAGGTTCCACGCCCCGCGGACCTTGGGCAGGACGCAGCGCTGCCATTGAGCGTGTGACATGTCGGCCAGGTTGACGTCCTGCAGGGCCATGGCCGCGTGAAGGACGCCAGCGACGGGGTGCGACTGATTGACGGCTGCGAGCATGCGCCGCACGTCCTCCATCAAGCTGACGTCGCCGGATATGGTCTTGACGGTGCAGCCTTGGTACTCAAGTTCGTTGATGTAGTCGGCGTACTGCTGGACGGCTGCCTCGGCGGACCGGGAGAAGAAGATGAGGTGCCGCGCACCTTTCTCGACGAGAAACCGCGCAATAGCTTGACCCAGGCCGCCGAGTCCGCCCACGAAAATGTAAGTTCTGTCTGGGCGCAGTCGTGTTTGGAGTCTGTTAGGTGCTACTTTTAGTGCGGTATTATCCGTATCGTCGGGCATCATGAGCACGACTTCCTCCCAAGTTTTGGTTGGGCCACCTTGCACATAGGCGAGAGAATATTCAGCATCGGCTGCGTCGAAAGCCTTGATGGTTGATTGCATGAGGCCTTCTTTTTGCAGTTCAAGAGCCTTGGTGAGGAGCCTGAATCTGTGTTAGTTAAGAGTGTACTATGCAGTTTGGTGTGAACATGACTTGCCTGTGGCAAACGTCAGGGCGATGCAGAACCAGCTGCTTGATATCTACGCTAACGTAGGCTCGGTTGTTGCTGTGCAATGTTGATTGCTTGTCTTTGCTGGCCTCGCTTGGGTTTTCACTCAAGTTGATGCACTTGCCGAACGGTGCAGTATGGTTCCAGGCCTCTCCTGGACTTGAACCACCTTCGAGACTGAGCACAATATCGAAGCAGTCTCTGCCTAGCGATTTGGCGAGACTGGTAGCCTTGACGTCAGCTACCCTACCCCTTGGCACACCATACTGCTCGAGGTAATCTGCCTCTTCTGGAGACACCACCGTGCAATACACCTTACGCCACGAGTTAGGTTGGAGATTCACAAGAGAGTTTGCTAAAGGCCGCTGAGAAAGACTTACTTCAGCCCTGGCCATTTTAGCCAGCTTTATCGCAGCTAGCCCTGCGATGCTGCAAGGATTTGTGATCAAGACAGACTAGAATAGTTAGCACCACTCTGCTTATTTCTTCAAGGAGAGAGCAAAGCACCTCGCCCTTTTTGATCCTTGCGACCTCGTCTAGCGCATAGAATGCCTGTATGAGCGCTGAAGGGAGAACAGCTGCATCCTTGTTCGTGATTGTGCCCGGAATCTTGACACACTGTTTCTCAGAAAGCACTGCATGTGTCGAGCAGGCGTTGCTGCCGAAGAAGACAACTCTATCGCCAGCTTGAAGAGCTTGCACGCGGGGCCCAACACGGCTAATGACACCGCTTCCGTCGGTCCCAGCATTATCGCCTCCCGAGATCTTCGTGATTTTGACGTGAATCTCCACCAAGTCGCCACTTACTTCGGTTGCCTCAGCCCGTTTCCATCTAGCAGATGTCTTTGGCCCAGCCTTGCTAACAACCAACCTCTTTAGCCCACAAGACGCGTTCTGTTCGAGTAGTTCCTCGGACACTTTGACAGTGTGAAACCTGCTGGTCTTGATAATTCCCTCGGAGAAGGCATACTCTGAATCTGGGTTGGTGGCTCCACCCCCCAGATTACGATGCGGAAGCGTACCAAGCACATCCGCAACAGCCTCCCACCCTGTATTATCGAAACTATCCAACTCCAGTGTGACAATGTCAGCCGATGTCTCGTTGCGTATGGTACGCAAGGCTCCAACTGTTAAGGCATAATTTGGCTTTTGGCACTCGACCTGGCACGCGCCCGTGACCCAAAGCATTGGAGCGTCCTGCATAGACAAAATAGACTTCTTGAACGACACAAACATGTCGGGTGTTATGTCGTGCAGAAAGGGGCTCTCGAGGTCCAACAGACTCAGAACCGGCTGACCAGAGGGTATGTCCTGGCCAATGGTGAGAAAGGAGGGCTTGATATCTTGACTTTCTGTCAGGTAGCCAGTCAAAGAAGAGATGAGAGGATGTGTAGTGTCGCGACAGAGGACTGTTATTCTTTTTGGTCGGGGACTTTGTATAGTTGCTGGGCGTGCGAGTATGATGCTGCTGGAAGCGCTACTCCAGAATGTCGCATCGTTTGCGTCAAAACCAGCCTTTTGCAAGACGTTCTTGAAACCTTCGTGTGCCTCCTCGGCCTTTGAAGTTTTTATGGGCCAATAATCATAATCTAACGCTCTGAGATAACCGGCTATTGCGCAGCTAGGATCTGCTTGCTGGATCAAGAGTCTTCCCCGTGGCTGTAGGAGGCTCCTAATATGGTGGAGGTAGTCCGCGCGGCCTGTGCCCTGGCTGAGCTCGTCATCGGCGATAATGACAAGATCGTGTGTTGATTGAGAGAGCCCCTGAAGGGCGTCCACGATGTTTAATACCACGCCGGTCGCATTTGCAAAGCGCTCCCTGACTCTATCCGCCGCTTCCTGGGTGGGAACGGATACAACCAGGTCGCGATCATCACCGTTCTTGGAACTCAGGCTTCTGAGAACTCGGCCCAGCAGCTTGCCATTACCGGATTCGATCAGCAGAATGCGGGCTTTAGCATTTTGATGCCACAAGAGAGAGAAGAATTGTGACAAATCGACCTCGTTTCCAAGAAACTCGGATAGGCAGGTGTCAACATCAGGGTCCTTCGGAGGTGGAGGATTCGAGATACCGTTCATCTCGAAGAAAGCTTTGGCGTGGGAGTGTACCCAGTGAATTCGACTGGCGAGGTCTCGGAAGTCTCCACTTTCCTTTTCACAGATATCCAGTAGGTTGTCGATGATGAATCGGCGGGCATCTGGCTTCATCGTAGCCAGTTCATGGTAGTCGAGCACTCCGGGGTAAGCGCCGTTGACAGCGCGCTTGTGAATTGTGTCGAGCCACACTTTGAAGGACGTCAAGTGTCGGCCGTGATTTTGCAGTCCTGATAACTGGGATCGAGTCTCCAAAAGGCATGCCAACGCAAGCCTGTGCATTCGTTGTACGCTATCAACATGCCTAAACAGCCTTGCAGGGTCAACAAAGTCGATGTCGGCTTTCCACTCAATGATAGCTCCGGCATGTGGGTCATCATCCACAGTCTTGTTCGGTCCAAAAGGGGTGACCTGGAGGCCGTGTAGATGGAACACAAGTTTACCATTGGAGACGCCAATCACGTCGGCAACGGAGCCGCCATTCAATTGCTCGCTTGTCTCGCCTTCGACTTGAACAGATCCGGCCCGCTTCTCAGCGACGTACATCTCGTCAATGGATTTGGGCACTGAGGCAACCGTGAAGTTGCGTTCGAGGCCTCGGCAAGCCGCCACCATGCATATGTGAAGACTCGAATCTAGAGTAGTCGGATGGATCGCGTAGTAAGACGTACGTTGTGAGGTAGGAATGAGATCTGAAACTGTGGCCCCTGCTTTGCTTTGTTCGATTTGGGATGTTATGTCGGCAAGACCGCGGAACTTGGGACCGTAGGTAAGACCCCATCGCTGGCAGGTATAGTAGAACATGTCCGGAGACATTTTACGAGGGAGAGTTTTCGGGGTATGCAGATGTGGCAACTTGGAGGCAGCACCACCCCGACAGTGACCTGTGACCAGTCGTGTCCAAATTTCTCCATGCAAGGCAGAGATTGAAAAATTGTACCACGGCGATGCCTCGTCGGGTGTTTCTGGCACTGGTACCAAAGCGGTGATCACTTCGACGGCCTCGTCACCCAGCATGAGGGGAGAGAGAAACCTGACATTCCGGACCGAGTAGTCCCTGGAATTTGTCAGTTGGCGGATGGCTTCACCAGCCATCGTTATATATGCGGTTGCTGGAAGCAAAATGTCGCCTCCAAAGCTGTGGTCTCGCAGCCATGGCACATCTTCTACCCGAAGCTTGCACCGCCATGCGGGCACGGCATCGCCAGTATGCAGAACTCGGCTGCCAAGCAGTTCATGGTGATCGAATTGGCGCAATCTCCAGTCGCGGGAAAGCCTGCTTTCTACCCAATACTCTGCGTCATAATGCCAAGGATAGGTCGGCAAGTCTGTGAGGAGCTTACCAGCGGCGTTGACTCTGTTCAGATCAATCTCGAATCCTTGCGCCCAAAGCTGACCCGCAGCTTTGAGGATCGATACATGACCATCCACATTGCGTACGAGTGTAGGGATGTACTCTGCTGTCCGATTGTGTTTCTGGAGAATCTGGCGTAAGGGACCAGCCATTGCTGAGTGCGGGCCCAACTCGATGAAAGCTGCGTTCGGGAAATCCGATAGCAAAGCCTCGACCGCAGTGCTAAATAAAACTGGAGACACCATGTTGGTGGACCAGTATTTGCGAGGGAAGTCGGCGTTCAGTTTTCCAGTCACGGAGGAATAGAATGGCACCTGTGGTGGTTTGCCGTGCGCCACGCCAGCCACCCTATTGTCGAAGTTATCCCTGATGGCGAACATGTGTGCTTGTTGTAGGTCAGCTTTATAGATCTGGAAGTGTGGCATGACGACCTACGCGAATGGTACCCGCACTCGACCTGTAAGGCACGGCACAGCACCTCCGGATGCGCCTCTTTAATATTCACCATGACTCGGTGCAAAACGTCTATGTCGCCAGAAAGGGAAACACTGCAAGGTGAATTCTCGCAGCCAACAATCACGCCCGGCTCCAAATACGGTTCCACTTGGTCTTTGCCCAAACCGACAGCCGCCATGCCGCCTCGGTGAGCAGCCTTCAGCGGAGGCGTGATCTGACCGCGATGATAGGCCAAAGTCATTGCGTCCTTGGCACTTATGACGCCGGCGGCATAGCCAGCGCCTGTCTCCCCAGAAGAGTGTCCCACCACTGCCGCTGGCTGGATTCCCCATGAGCGGAGTAGGTCCGCGAGGGTGATCTGTAGGGCGGCAAGGCAGGGCTGGGAGAACTCGGCCTCATATAGGCGGCTCTGTCCCTGGGGCGCAATCATTGCTTCTGCATGCATGTAAGAAACACCGACTCATGGTGCAAGGAGCTAAAGAAAAGGCATTACCTTTTAGCGTCCATGAAGGAGGTTCAGGGAGGTCATCGAGGTATCCTTGCAGCTCTTCCAGCCTCTGGCTCACTAAGGGTACATTCTCGATGAGTTCCTTGCCCATCTGGGCCCACTGCGCCCCTTGGCCCGTAAAGACCCATATTAACGGCGGTATTTTCTGTGTGGGCTTGGTGATATTTGGGGGTTCGGTTCCTTCATCGGGATGTCGTATGACCGAGAACGCACGAAACACATGCGCTTCCCGGTGTGCGGCTAGAGTGTAGGCCGTATCTCGTAATTTTTCAGGATTCCTGGAAAGGTAAATACCGACGTTCTCCACTTGACTGAATGTCGAATGCTGGTTTGTGGCAGAAAAGGGAAGCAAAAAGTGCCGACCAGGGATGTCCGGAGGTGGAGTGTTGTTGCAGTGCTGTGCCGCAACGTTGGCGCACGTGGGTGACTCGAGGATAACCTTAAATCAACGGTCAGTAAATAGACTAGACTGTGTGTTTCAACCTTCCAGTTTCCTTGCCCGGGTATCTCGGGGCTGGTTATCCCACTGCCTAAATTTGTAGGTATAGGTGCGGACCAAAAGCAGAACACGAGTAGGTCTCTTCTTTCCTGATCGCTCTGTGAACCAACCACACAACCCGGCGGCGGTGTACAGGGTTGGAAAGATGACTCTCTTCTCTCACACAATACGTTTGGTCCTGGAGGAACCAACGAGCCTCTTACTTACATGAGCATTTGCGCCTCCAATGCCAAAGCTGTTGACAGACACTCGCTCCAACCGACCCGGCGGCCAGGGAGTCGCCTTGGTTGGGACAACGAGCTTCGCCTCCTCCCACGGGACTAGATGAACGAGTGCATGTCAGCAACCCTTTCCCAAAGTCATGCCCCATTGACGCAAAAAGTACATATTATCAAGGAATTGTCGACCAGAAAACTACTCACTTCTCGGATTGGGTTTCTTGAAATTAATGTTAGGTGGAATTGTCGAGTGTTCCAGGGCAAGAACCATCTTGATGACGCTTGACAGCCCGGATGCGCCTTCCCCATGTCCAATATTTGGCTTGACCTGAATCCTACGTCTCAGCGCCAGTCCGCAGAGCAATCCTCTCCTGTCTTGACGAGGATCAGCCAGCACTTACTGAACCAATATGAATGCCTTTCTCGCCCCAGATATTGGCAATTGCCTCGATCTCAATCGGATCACCAACCTAGCATACCAGTCAGTTTTTAGCAGCCCAGACCGATGCCGCCTTCGACTTGTGACTTACCGCAGTTCCTGTTCCGTGGCACTCGATCATCGCAACTGTCGATAGGTTTTTGATACCTGCGGCCCGATATGCCCTCCTGATCAGCTTCTCATGGCTGGATGGGTTCGGCACTGTCAGTCCAGGGGTTCTTCCATCGCCCGAGATACAAGTGTTCCGGATGACAGCACGAATGGGATCCCCATCGCGGACCGCATCGGACAACTTCTTCACGAGGATTGCGTTCACGGCCTCTCCACGCCCGTACCCGTCCGCGTCCGCATCGAACGACCGTGACGAGCCGGATGGAGACAAGACACCCTGCTCTGTCATGATGACCGTGTCGCGGGGCGTGAGGATGAGGTTGGTTCCGCAGACCACGGCGGCCGTGCATTCTCCAGACCGTATATCCTGACATGCCATATGAAGTGCCGAGAGCGACGATGAGCACGCCGTACGCAATACGATGCTGGGCACGGACAGATATCAGTCAGAGGCATCTGCAGAGGGAGCGAGGGGTCAGACACAGCCAACATACCTAGGACCTTTGAGATTGAACTCGTACGACACTCGATTGGCCATCACGTAGTCGCCATATATGTCGGCGCGCACCGGGTCCAGGTTCTGGCTGTCCTGCAGCTCGATCTTGTCCCAATCATTCCCCATGGTGCCGACGTACACACCAACCTCTTCACCGCGAAACTCCCGCCAGCCGGAGCTCTCAAAAGTCTCATACACCACCTCGAGCAATAGCCTCTGTTCTGGATCCATCGTCTCCACCTCCTCTTTTGACATGGACCAGAAGCTGGTGTCGACCTGTGCTGGGTTGTAATCTTGCAAGAAATTGCCGTGTCTGGTTCCAACATGGAGCGACTGGCCCGGTCCGTACCACGTGTCGACGGCGTAGCGATTAGTTGGCACCCGACAGCGCCCATTTCGGCCGTTTACTAGGAGATCCCAGAAGCCTTCAGCATCGCGAATGCCTCCCGGAAGCCGCATTCCCATGCCGGTGATTGCAATTGGCTCAACATCAGCCCTGCCCTCATCCGAGGCGATGTTGCCATTGGTCATTGGCTTATCTTGAGCGGCGGTAGACGAATGTGTCCCGTTGGGTTGTGCGAGATGCACCCTAAGAGGATCATTGCCTCGCATTGTCCACCAAGCCGTGTGTGCATAAGCCTCATTAGTGTGAGTTGTTGCTGGAGTACACTTTGGAGGAGGACGGGGGCTTGATCTAATTAAAGTCCAGAGACAACGATACAACTCGTCCCCGACACGGAACCAACGATCTCGCATCACCTCGCATCAAATAAGCGCACATAATCGAGGACCCTGACGCAATCATAATGGGGCGCACTCTTACAGAATATGCCCTTTGACATCGGCGGCGCTAGCTGATTCCTACGGAGAAATGGACACCCAGCTGTTTTCCGATGCTCCACGCTCCACGCTTCACTATACATTTTCTAATGTGACTCGACCTCACTTGCACACAAGTATGCAGCTAGTCTGCGAGCCGCCCGCCACTTCAGGTCAATGCCCCGTTGCTGACAATTGGCATTACCCCATACCGGAGCATGTGGGTACGCTTGGTCTCCTCGATCTCTTGCTGGGTGTCGTGTGCAACTTCGGCCGCTATTCCGTGGCCGTGAATAGTGTCAAAGGAATGCCTGTGCTCGATGGTGGTCCCCGAACGCAACACGACCTCGGCAGGGTAAAGGACCTGTCTTTTAAGGTCGCCGACGACCCGATGCACGATGAGCTGAGACGAATGCCGCCAAGGTTCTAAGCAGCCCAAAAAAAGTAAGGCTAGCTGACGTGCCGTGCTGATGACGGGAAACACCACCGTTACATCGCATGGATGGGGTATTACAACCGCGGACAGTAGTGGTCGAAATTATTCTTGACCATTGATCGAGTGACGTATCTGGCTAGCGCTTGATAGGGCAAACCAACCGCTCGAGCAGGAATAGGACTTTTGACCCGCGTTAGCCCAAGAACACGGCCACTGGGCCGATGGAGACGGAGCGGCCCAAGCGGGCTGTGCGTGCGTGCCAGTTGGTACCTATTCCACTTCTCAGTCTCAACTTCGTGATTCTTTTCTTTCGCAAAGGCATCGGTGCTCGCACATACATGCAGTTTCAGAGTCCGAGGACGTGGAGATCATTGGCCATCTTTCGAAATCACCAGGAACTAATGTCTAGCTTCATCGTGGATCTGCCAAAGGACCAGTCGGCCTCGAATAAGAGATCAACATCCGTTGATCGTCTCCGCTTTATGCATGTTATCAGCCCTGCAAGAGGATTGGCGTCAGCGGCCAAGCCCAGGTTTTAGGGGGGCCTAAACTACTGCTTACGGGACTAGCAATGGGTCATCTGTCCGATCAGACCAAGGAGGGTGATGAAATCCGAAGCTAAAGTTATGTATTGTTCTTCTTATTGTCCTTGCTTGGTCAAAGCCACACATTTGCTCGGCATGAGCCCCGACTTGAAGAGCATCTTTCTCACAATTGGACCCTGTACATTCTTGGCATCTTCTTGGAAGACGGTGATTTCCCTAATCTCCTACCTTGATCCTGGCCTTGGAGGATCTGAGCCATGTCGACTACCTGCGATTCGACATTTGTTCTCGCAACCTCATCTTTCTGCTCCTTGGGCAGGTGATAGTATTCACCGCCGGAAGATGTGATGTTGGCGCGATTTGGATTCATGAACCAGAACGCACGCAACATCGAAGTTCTTTCTCATGGGTCTCTATCAGTGCTAGAAGCTCAAGTGCGGCTATGAAAGGTGAAGGGGCTGCGACGATCATCGACAGCGTCGAGGTGACCCTTCCGTCCAAGATACACACTATGTTGGCGCACCCTTCACCTGATCTGATTGCCTCCAATGCCAGGACCCGGGCAAATAATTTGGCCTGCGTCGAGCTTTCCACGGGTTTGCGATGGAGCTATGGAGAGCTCGACACTGATGTACAACGCGCAGTGACCATTCTTCGCAGTGTCGAGGGCGTTCGAGCTGGCGACCGCGTGGCTGTTCTCGACCAGAACAGCGTATATCAGCTCATCATCCACCAGGCATTGCTGAGAATAGGAGCCATTTTCGTGCCCGTCAACTGGCGACTCTCCTCACCCGAGATCGCGCGCATCCTGGAAGACTGCTCGCCAGTCCTCTTCTACAGCCGAGATACGCACGTCCGATGCCAGCAAGCCCGACAGCGATGCAGAAGCTTCAGCTCCTTCACCAAAGCTCTCCAAGCTTCTCCGCCCGCACCCCCGATACCAATCTCGCCTGCTTTTTATGACAAGACAGGCACCATCCTCTACACCTCCGGCACTTCCGGCTCGCCAAAAGGGGTTATGCTGACGCCGCGTTGTCTCCTGGCCACGGCGACAAACTATGCCTACCTGGGCGAGGTCTCCACCGGCTGCGTCTTCCTCTGCGACTGCCCCATGTACCACATCATCGGCCTGGTCGTGCAGGTCTGGGCGCCGCTCCTGCGCGGCGGGACGCTGCTCGTCAGCCCGGGGTTCGACGCCGCGCAGACCAACCGCCGCCTCGCGGACCAGGACCTGGGCGTCACGCACTACTTCTGCGTCCCGCAGATGGCGACGATGCTGCGGTACGCGGAAGGGTTCGCGCCGGAGAAGTGGACCGCCCTGAAGGCCCTGTTCACGGGGGGCGCGCCGAACCCGCCCGCGAACATCCTGTGGTGGCTGGACAGGGGGGTCAAGATGGTCGACGGGTACGGCATGACCGAGGCCGCGACGACGGTCGGCATGCCGCTCGACGGGGTCGTCATCCGCGCCAAGGCCGGGTCGGCGGGGACGCTGGCGCCGCAGGCCCGGGTGCGCATCGTGGACCTCCTCTCGGACGGCGGCGGCGCCGACGGCGGCTGTCGGGACGTGCCGGACGGCGAGGCCGGGGAGATCCTCGTCCGGGGCCCGCACGTCACGCCGGGCTACTGGAATCGGCCCGCGGAGACGGCCGCGGCCTTCACCGAGGACGGGTGGCTGCGGACCGGCGACATCGCGCGGCGGGACGGGGACGGGTTCGTCTTTATCCTCGACAGGCGGAAGGACATGTACATCAGGGGCGGTGAGAACGTGTACTCCGCCGAGGTCGAGGCGGTGCTGATCGCGCACCCCGACGTCCAGGACGTGGCTGTCGTTGGCGTGCCTGATGAGCAGTGGGGGGAGAGCGGCCGGGCGTATGTCGTGCTCGAGCCGGGAGGGAGAATCGATGGCGAGGAGCTGCGGCTGTACTGCGATGGGCAGATTGCGCGGTACAAGATACCCAAGGAGGTCAAGTTTGTCGAGGCGCTGCCCCGGACGCCGTCGGGCAAGGTCATGAAGCACTTGCTCAGGGGCGGGATGACCGGACGGCGGGTGCCAGTGAATCGCCCCGGCAGGGGGTCTGCGAACGAACTGGCTGGTGGGACTGCCAATGGCTGCGGAATTCTGAATGGTGTGTAGATCATGAGAGTTGGATGGAATGCTCGTGGCGTACGAACATGGCGCAACGTTAGTACTCTTCACAATCTGACCTCGAGATATCATCATATGATACTTGGAATACATCTGATATTCATTTTTGGGTGTAGTCATCTCGTGTATGTCAAAAACTAGTGTTTACACCAAACAAACACCAGTATCCTGAAAACCTGCGTAGACCTCACTGCCTACTCCTTCAACAAGTTCAGCGTTTTACTTGCTGTGCTCGACGTTAACCTGTTGATTCTAGTAAGCACACATGTCAGACAGGATCCATCTTTTTCACTTCAAAGCCGCCCATTGGGGCAAAGACAGACTCACCTTCTCAACATCGCCCTCCTCATCCATGCTCTTCCGCACGGCACCCTTGGGGTCGGCGGTGGGGACGCCGCGCACGCAGACGTAGGTGCGGAACTTGCGGGCGGGCACGCCGGCCTCGAACATCTCGTCGATCTCCTCGAGCGTGCGGCCCTTGGTCTCGGGCAGGAAGAAGAAGACCCAGAGGGCGGCGATGGCGCACGAGGGGGTCCAGATGTAGCCGTAGCGGGGCCCCCAGTTGAGCGACTGCGGGTTGATGAAGTAGGGCGCCGTGAAGGTCGTCAGCCAGGCGAAGAAGAAGCCCGAGGCGGCGGCGAGGCCGAAGGTGTAGCTGCGCAGGCGCTGGGAGGGGATCTCGCCGCCCGCGAGCCAGGCGTATGAGGCGATCATACCCTGTGGAAGGAAGATGAAAGTTAGATCCGACCGTCGCATGAACTTGCTGCACTTTAAGGGACAGGAGAGCGAATGGATTTATTTGTTCCCTTTGTATCATAACTTACGTTGTACGAGGCGAGGTACAGGGAGCTCAGCCCGACGAGAACCTGGCCCGTGACCTTGGCGCCGGGGTTCTTGTCGTAGGTGATGGCGATGATGAGCTGCAGGATGCCGCAGGTGACGAGGCCGATGGTCATGATGACGCGGCGGCGGCCGTAGCGGACGACGATGAGCGAGTTAATAAGGATGGCGACGATGCCGACGGTGCTAAGGACGTTGGTCATAGCAAACGGGTCAGTGACCTTGGCCATGCCGAAGAAGTAGGCCTTGTAGGCGATGATGAACATGGAGCCCGAGGCGGCCTGCAGGGTGACGACGCAGACGGACAGCGCGGTGCGGCGCCGGTCCGTCTTGGTGCGGAACATGTCGAGCACGCCGACGTTGCTGCCGAGCTCGCGCTCCTTGTCGATGGCGGCCTTGATCTCGGCGACCTCGTCGTCGATGGGCGCCGTGGGCGGGCGCAGCCACGAGAGGGACCTGTGCGCGTCCTCGAGGCGGCCCTGCAGCACGAGCCAGCGCGGGCTCTCGGGGATGAAGAACAGGGCGACCGTGAGGATGCAGGGGACGACGTAGATGATGCCCAGGGGGATGAGGTAGGCCGACTTGTCCATGCGCTTGGCGGTGGCCCAGTCGATGATGGTGCCGACGAGGGTGCCCTGGTGGAGGGACGTTCCGGTTAGTCATCAGAACAAAGGACCGACGCGCAATTTCCTTTATATATCAAGCATTATGCACGGCGACTGCGACTTACAAAGGACGTGCAGAACTGGAAGATGGTCAGGAAGAGGCCGCGGTACTTGGCCGGGCTAGACTCCTGGATGTACAGCTGCGAGAAGGTCATGAAGAAGCCGTTGGCCAGCCCGATGAGCAGGCGTCCCGTGTAGAGGGCCCCGATGTTTTCCGTGGCCATCATCAAGATGTTGGAGACGCAGCAGAGGGCGCAGGCGAGCCAGAGGCATTGCTTCCGTCCGAGCTTGATGGCGGCAAAACCAGCACCGCCTGAGCTGATGAAGGCACCGAGGGTCATGAAAGAGGAGATAATCTGCTGCCGAGTGGTGTCGAGGTTCCAGCCGAGGGCGGTGTTGGGCGCCCTGTAGCCAAAGATCTGTCGATGGCGAAGAAGGGCGTGTCAGTCCAATTGCTTCACTGATTCGTTCTGAATAGCAAAGCGGGCGTACGAACCATGAGGAATCCTGGCATCGCCTGCAGACCTCCAATGAGGCCAAAGTCGACGCCATACTGGAAGGGCGACAGGATGATAAGCCCGCAGGCCACGAAGCACTTCCAGTGCGCGCGGATGGTGTCCTCGGGGTGGTCTGCTGTCATCTTGACCGGCGTCTCTCAAGGCTCGAAAGGTAGCGAGTGAAGACCACAAAGAAGAGGAATTGAGGCTGGCTGTTGAGTAAACACAGAAGGAAACAAGTCTCTCCTCAGGATCCGGGTTGGAGGTCTAGGTTTATGCAGATCCTTCCCCTGCATGCCATTTATATGCCACCGTCGCAATGGAGAACCCTAGTCGTGTGCCTTTATTACCCCAGCACCTACTGCGTATCCCATCTACTTGGCTAGGCGAGAAAAAGAAAGAACCTGCTATGAGGTACATACACACACACACACACACACACACACAGAACCCCCGGAGCAGGAGGTCGTGAACTTTGGCTCGGTCGGCGTGCCAATCAAGTACCGACAGCCGTCCAAATGACCAATAGGTGACAGAAAAACGCCCCTTTGTCTTGGCACAGAGGGGTTGGGGTAAATCTGGATGGAGATAATAGGTTGGAAGTCCTTTGACGTTGTGTTTAGCCTGCTCGAAGCGGGGCCCCGTGCAGGCCTCGTCGGCTTCATGGAGCCGAAGCATGCAAGCGATGGATGTCCCAGGGCGAAACACACGCGAAATCGACAAGAATCACAGACTATTGCTCTCCTCACCCCCAACCTGGACACAACAAATTTGGGGTAGGTGTGTCTTAGTCTGGACTGCCAAGATGACAAGTCGCGATCCTTTGCCATCAAGTCGTCTGGACCACGGCTGTATCTGCCCGTACGACACGTTCGCCACCATTGAGGCAACGCGGTGAGATCGATGCGTCTCGTCACTTCAAATGGGTCCCCATGGGGAAAGACGGGGTAGAAAGTGGAGTATCCTTTGCATGAATTGAGATGGAAAGCGGATCCTGTTCCCCAAGCACGGCTGGAGACCATCGTATCCTGTCGAGCTGTGCAGAGGCGCGTCGACACATCTAGCCCTGTTGGCGGCGGCACAGCGTCCCTAGTATCAAAAGTACCTACCTTCGTACAGTAGTAGTGTCTACCCCTGCCTTCCCCAACTTCAAGGAGGTCATCTCGGATTGCTCGGGCGTGCCAGTCCCTCGGTATTGCATTTGTTGGTTCTTGGGGATGCCTGGGCTGGGGGCAGAGCCTCTCCCACCGTTACATCCCTGAGCCACGTTTGCCTTGCATGCTCTAGTCTCGCGGATTATCTCCAAGGGGGAGGTTGTCTAGCTGAAATTGCCGACGAGTCGATGGATCCGAAGTATTTGTACGCCAACCATCGCAGGATTACCAACACATCTTAAGCAGCTTGTAGTCCCTTACCGAGGTCTGTACTCCTCCGAAGCCTGCGCTTATTCAAGGTTGACAGGCTCTAATCGTCATCTTGCGTTGTGTGGTTCCGAAGACTATTTTGTGCTTGTTTCTATGCATAATCTGAGGCTGAAGTTAGTTGAGGATTGCTAAAATGCCGAGATTTCCCCTTGCCACAACCACACCCAGCTGCTTGCACCTGCACACCACTCCCGAACCCCATCATTCCCAATTGAATATGCCGGTTCAATTGATAGGAATCGTCCAGACTATGGCAAGGTTTGTGAAGGCAGTTTATGAAAAGTGTATCTCGGCTTGGCTAGGGCAGTGTCACGCTGCTCGATTGGTAACCCCCGGCAACCCTGCCCGGACCTTTCACCGATCGACTGAACCCCCTTTGCCACTCATGTCAGTGTCACAAGTGATGACCTGTAAAGTTGAATTTTGTTTGAGCATTTCCTAGTAATGAGTCTTGGGTGAATCAAGACTACAACAGTCGTTGTGGCAGTTCCCTATCAAACCTGTTTTGACCAACCCTCATACAGTCTCGCCAAACGCTAGTTATCCTGCCCTGGAGCAAACAAGCGGAGGTAGGATTCATTCATCATCATATTATATCCCACATTACCAACCTTCCTTCCTCGTCTCTCACGTATACAACCAGCCATGCATGTCATGACTGCGCACCAGCAGCCTTCAGCTCCTCCTCCAGCGCCAACAGGTCCTCCAACCCCTTGCACATAACCTCCCTCTCCCGCTCGCCCATCGGCAGGCACGGCCGCCGCGGCTCGACGCACCCCCTCTCCGCCTCGCCGTGGAACATGGGGAACGCAGCCTTGACGCCGACAAACCCAGTCTGTATCGCCAGCCAGTCCGCCGCCGCCACGCGGGCCTGCACACGTCTCGCCTCAGCCAGCCTACCCTGCTCGAACAGCTCGAGCACGCGCACACACGCCCTCGGCGCCAGGTTCGCGAGGCCAGAAATAGTTCCGTGCGCTCCCACCACGGCTCCCTGCAGTATGAAGTCGGCGCTGCCGCCCGCGACGAAGAAGCCCGTGCCCTCGGTCGCCGCCGCCACGCGCGCCAGCTTGCCCGTGTTGCCGCACGTCAGCTTCACGCCCGCGACGTTGGGGTGCCGCGCCGCGGCGCAGACGGCGTCGCTGTCGAGGTCGACGCCGTTGGCCGCGGCCGGGTAGTTGTACACCAGCACGGGAATGGGGCTCGCGTCGGCGACGTCGTGGAAGAAGCGCACAAAGGCGTCGCCTCCACCACCACCACCAGCGTTCTTGAGCAGGCCGGCGTAGTACCCCGGCGGCAGGACGAGCGCGTGCGTCGCGCCGGCGCGGTGGGCGTCGCGGCACAGGGCCACCGTCTCGCGGACCGACTGGGCGCCGCAGCCGGCGATGATGGGTAAAGGGTGGTCCGCGTCGTGGCGCAGGGCGTCGGCGACGTGCTTGATCGCGGCGAGGCGCTCGGCGGGCGACAGGTGCGCGGCCTCGCCGTTGGAGCCGTGGAGAACGAGGCCCGCGACGCCGGCGTTGGCGAGGCGGACGGCGTGGCGCTGGGTGGCGGCCGCGTCGATGTGCTCCGTGTCCGGGGTGAAGAAGGCGAGGAGAGGGACGTAGACTCCCGGCTTGAGGGGTGGTGTGGTGGAGGAGGTATGGGCGGCGGCGGCATCAGTACCATCCTGGAAGGAGCTTACGGAGCTGCGGGCTGGTGTTGTGGCCATTTTTGCTCGTCGGCGCTATGTAGAGCTTGTGTGTGATGTAGAGCCAGTTAAGGGGGAAGAAGAGACGACGGTAAGTGACAGGATGTGAGATGGCCTACATTCCGTGTCCAAGGCATCTGTTTCAATGAAGCGCGAGACGGATCTTTTATATATCACGAGATCACTAGGACATGGAGCGGCTCATTGCCGGAAATAGCAGGGGAGCATAATGGAGGGTAGGGGAGCACACGTAAGGGAAACGACGGCAGTGCCATTGGTAAGAAAGTAGCTGTCCGAGGACCTCCAGCGGGTCTCGGCTGGAGTGAACATTGGAGACAGTGAAGAAGAAAAGAGGTCCTGTGGGGGCAGACAGTGCCTCAATCCTGTCCGTCGACCCATGTCCGGGTCATCGTGACCATTGTCAAAGGCTTGTCCATCAGTACATGAGCGACGGACCCTGGTCAAGGAGGCTCTTAATATCCCAAAGACCGACGAATCAGGGCACCGGAACGCCTTCTTGGGTCATCAAGACACAGCACATCCCTCGAGTCGGGGATCCAGGATCCCAGTCTGGGTGGTGGTGTGTGAACCCAGCCGGGCGGCAACGTGGGGGTGTTTTCTGTCCGCATCATCCATCCTCGCCATCCCTCAGCCCGAGACCCTGACTCCGTGGCCTCAGGTCGGTAAGACGGGGCGCAAGGGTGAACCTCGGAAGACAGAATAGCGTGGGGGGGGGAGGGAGACAGATACGACCAAGGACCTAAAGAGAGGGAAAGAGGCGCACCATCCCAGTAGGAACGAAGAAAAGCACATAACCAGACGTATGTACCACACAATTGTCATCAAGTCGCCGAGTCGGGGATGAGTGGAACTGCTGCTTTAAAGCGAGATGGGTAAACGGTCGACGTCGGCATGGTCGCGTGGCGCCTGGAGGTCTACCATCGTAACGTCGTACCCAGCATCAGGTCCTGCTGTCGATGGCTGCAGCCACTCCCGAGTTTCCATGTGTCAGGCAGGCATTGTGCATCCGAGGGAACATTCGTCCAGCAGTTGGAGCAAAGAAGGACGGTAAGAAACCAGCATGAGTAAGGAGACAGAGCGGTATTGTCTTTGGAAGTGCACCTTTCTTTCCTCGGGCGGACTTGTGCTCTAGTGGGGTTTTGTCCGCTCATATGACACGGCAACGCCGTCATCTCGGCAAGGTGGCGAAAGGAGATTGAATGCAGAAGAAGGAAATCCTGTCCAATTGTGATATTGTCGCGGGGAAAAGAGCGACCAGTCACTGGCAGTCAGTGGTGGCGGGGTTTCCTTCAGGCCCAGGTTCCTCCTCTTGCGATGTGACCCCCACGCTCTTGGCCCTGTTTGTCTGTCTCCCCTGATTTCCATTTGCCAATCACGCCCGCCCTGATCCTAGGCGAGAGGCGGAGATCATGCAAGGGAAATCCGGGATCGGGCTCGAGGAGTCGCAAGCATGTCCATCGCGCAAACACCAGCCAAGCATGCCAAGCAATAGATCACAGGGCCATAGACAACACACGACTCAGGACAAGCCGTTGTGCACGAGATTCGTCGCCAGAAGCCGTCGACTGGAAGCGAGAGGGTTCGCTGCAAGTCCACGACGGCTGACAGAGTTGTACTACATGAGACGAGCGTCCATTACATTGCATGGCGTCAGGGTTGTCATGGTCGTGTCATTAAACTCTGCTCCGGGAGAGTAGCTATCGGCGGCCTCCGCAATGCTCCTACCAAGCGTCGTCCTCATCGTCTGATTCCTCGGCCTCCTGGATGGTGAGCCCGTCATTATCGTCTTCGTCCTCCTCCGGATCCTCGTCGTCGTCAAAGTCTCCATTCACGTATTTGACACCACCGCCATCGCTGTCTTCTTCAGACTCCGAACCCGAACCAACCATGATGGGGTTTTGTTGGCGGTGCAGCTGGAGCCGTTCTGCAAGTGAGATGCGTCGTGGGGGATCGTCTTCCTCGTCGTCTTCCTCCTCGCTATCCTCGTCCTCGTCCTCTTCCTCTTCCTCGCTGTCCCCTTCCTCGTCTTCTGAGACTCTCCTTCCCCGACTGGTACCTGACTTGACAGGTCGGGCTGGATTGGCTGTCTCTACTACATCCTCATTATCACCCTCTTCATCCTCGGACTCGGGAAGAACCCTTCGAGCCCGTCGGTTCTTTCGAGGAGCGTCTTCCTCTCCCTGACTTCCACCCTCCGAATCTGATTCGATAACGCGCCGCTTTGCCTGCCTCTTGCCACGGCGGGATGGGTTGGACGCTATCTTCTCCTCATCGCTGCCTTGATCTTCCGATTCGGGCTCCGGACTCGAGAACACGGCGGCCTCCAGCTCATGATGATCCGAAGTAAGATCAATCGCTTCTATCGATCTGGGGGCTGCTTCGCTCGATACTGATTCCGCATCCGATAACGGCTGCACGTGCAAGTCATCTTCGTCGTCCGAGATCTCGGCTTCTTCGATGTCATCGTCGTCAATGCCCTCGCTCTCGTATTCGTCTTCCACGTCCGCGCCTTCACTATCGGACCCAAAATCGAGCTCGCCCTCGAGAGCAATATTCCACTCTTCCTGTTTCCCGCTCCAGCCGCGCAAGAGCTCAAACCTGTTGACGCCGGTCTCGAACTCGAACTGGATCATTGGCCAGACTTCTACTCCCGAGGGCAATGTTCGAGAGACCGGTAGCTGGTCCTTTTCGCCGTTTGATCCATCTCCTTCTTCGAGTACACCACCATCACCGTCTTCTTCTTCGCCAGATTCATCCTCTTCGTCCTCTCCGTTGTGGCCTTCAAGTGGCCCGGTCATCATCGCAGCAAGAGATTCGAGACCCCTCGGCACCTGGGCAAGCCTCCTAAGATAGCCTCGCTTGGTCGGGTCGATGGGAATGTTTTGCTCCGCCCACTCTCGGTTCTTGGTTAGGTTTGGCCATGCAAAGATGGTCTCGTAGTCTTCTCTCAGTTCTCCCAGGCCGGGCTCCTCCTCGTCTGTCTGAATGTAGTAGTTATGGACCATGTCCGATGTGCACCAGTGCGAGTGTACAGCCTCAACCATGGTGTCGTCGAAGCGTAGAAAGACGGACTTGAGGCTGGGCAGGCTCTGCAGGATCGACTGTAGCTTCTGTGGGTCGAATGAGCCCAAGCCGAACGCGACTCCATCGAGCGCGATATTGGCGATGTTGGCACAGAAATCCCGTATCCGCTTGGGCAGCTTCCTCGTAGTCAAGATAGGGATGTGGCCGGCCATGTAGACGACGTCCGACTCTTTGTTGAACCGCACGATAGCGTCTTGGCTCTCGATGTTGAAAGAGTCGGGCAATCTGCGGAGGGCCAGTGCGCGGCTCTCGCGATGGACCGCGAGTACGGTCCTTGCAGGTGCCGTCTGCTGCGAGAGCGTTGGTCCTTCGGCGAGATATGTAGAGTCTTCATACTGAAGGAGCACTGTATAGACGCGTGGATTGGCGAGAAGATCAGGGCAGAACATCTCCCAGACGCGTTGGCGCATCTCTGGTGGCAGACGCTTGAACTGATAGAAGGTGGGTGGGATGTATTCAACGTCGTCATCAGATTCTGAGTCTTCCGATGATTCATCACCCGATTCGGCTGCTTCTATGTCCAGAAATCCATGCGACTCATCAGACTCTGAATTTTCGGACTCATCATCCAAAGCCCGTGCTGAGTCGTTCGCCTCCTCTGAGTCCGAACTCATCGTGATCGGGTCTTTCCAAAGGTAAGCAAGCTCGTTTTCGTCGATTCGAAGATATCTTGAGCTGTATATGCGACGAAAGTGCGAAAGAAGGCGGTAGATTGTTTGTTCTTGATGATGAAAGGTTGACGAGTAGTTGCCTCGTTTCAGCAATCTGAGATGAACGAATCTCGGAAACGGGTCCACTTTCAATTCACGCCTAATCCACAGCCAAACACGCGCTAGTGACGTCCCTGGCTCTGGCTGACAGCTGGCACATTCAATATCTCAGCTTGCCCCACCTGCATGTACCTCCGTACCTCACAATAGTCATTGAAAGGAGAGGAGAGAGATAGAGAGGCTTCCTTTTGACTTGCAGGGATCACACAATATAGCTGGAATATCTAGCTTCTAGCTCCAAGACTTGAGAAGCTTCACAATGTCTTTATGGCCGTGCTGTGCAGCCAAGTTCAGCGGTGTCCGCCTCTTGTTGTCCAAGGGAGCCACCGTTGCTCCGTTCTGGAGGAGAGTCTTAACCACTTCCAGCTTGCCGTTGAGGACGGCGATATGCAACGCTGTTTGCCCGGTGAATGTGATAGCTGACGGATCAGCTCCACGTTGCAGGAGTACCTCGACCACCTGATGATGTCCTCCACGCGCCGCCTGGAGAAGTGGCGTCCAACCGATGTTCAACTGAGGGTTGCGCTCGGCTCCCACATCCAGGAGAAGCCGCACAATCTCAACGTCACCTCTACTAGCAGCCGTGCCAAGTGGTGTGTTCCCGAGCTTGTTTCGTCTGGTGATATCTGCGCCGTGCTCCAGGAGCAATTTCACCACATCGATGCTCCCGCTCTCACATGCTCCAATCAAGGGCGTTGATCCGCTCTGAGTGGGAACTTCGAGTTCATCGCTTCCTCCATCGAGAAGATGCCTTACAGTCTTCAGGTCCCCGAGAGCGGCGGCTCTATGCACCAACGTGAACTCAGCTTGGCCTGGATCTTTGAGCCGGGATTTCTCATCCCTGGCATTGACAGTGACCTCCCGCGGCATATCGTGGCTCGCGGGGTCGATTGTGTGGTACGTTGGCGCCGGAGATGGCGGACGGGAGGCATAGGCTGGAGGATTGCCGACGGTCGTGTTTCGACCGGAGGACGCGGGGCATTGTGACTTGTCGGCCATGTTCTTTGTCATAGATGAAGACGGACTGGCCACATGTGAGGAGAGATTCAACATGATCGCCTTGCATGCCAACCTCAGTCAACTTTTGAGGATAAAGGTCTTGAGTGACCATAAACTGCGCTTTATCCCGCACTTCCCAAAGTTCAGCTGAGTGTGGCGATGCTATCCCCACATGTTCAACCTTAGCACAGCCCTTCACGTATGCCTTGCCTGCTAAAAACAAGGGGTTTTCGGAGGATGGCACCACAGAGCTTAGTGAAAGGGGCTAGAAAAGGAACGTTGAACAATTGATGAGGTTTCTCGGCCCATCGTGCCACTTCTAATGTGTGCAGCCGGAACTGTTGGAGGATAATGTGGAGTCACTAAGACACGCAATGAATGCCCCTCGCCGATGTTCAAGACAAACTCGGCCTGCATTTCCTCAGAGAAAAGCAACGATAGCATGGCGACACAGCATTCCGGGTTGTGGCTTATAAAACACCGGGTACTTTCCCGTCTGTGATGCATGCAGGGCGCGGGTGAGGCAGCTTGCCAAGACCTCAGCATTGTCCAACCAACGAGTGGTTTGCAAGACAAGCCAGTGAGGGGCTCGTACCAGCTGCATTTCGCCGACCTACGTCTTCTTCCGCATCTTAGAATGTCCCTTTTCTCAACACCTTCTGTATCTCTGTATCCTCCATGAGCCAAGACAGGCCCCGGACGACCTGGGAACCATCACCATGAGGTTGCTCAATGTGGAAACTGAAAGGCTGCAAGAGTTCGGGGACCACCCTCCGCCATACAGCATCCTTTCGCACACCTGGGGCGACGAGGAAGTGACCTTCGAGGATATTAAGAGCAACAATTACACCCACCTGCAGGGCTACCAAAAGATTCGTGGGCTATGCAAAGTCAGTCGGGCCGAGGGCTACACGTACACATGGATAGACACGTGTTGTCTGGACAAGTCTTCCAGCTCTGAGCTGTCCGAGGCGATCAATTCCATGTTCAACTGGTACAAGTCAGCGGCTGTCTGCTTCGCCTATCTTGAGGATGTACACGACTACCCAGGACGGGGACAGTCTAGCCTGGATCAGTTCAAGAGAAGCAGATGGTTCACCCGGGGGTGGACACTCCAGGAGCTCATCGCCCCTCCCATGGTGATACTTCTGAATTCAAAATGGAGAGAGATCGGGACAAAGTCGGCGCCTTTTTGGGCTCGGCTCATCTCCGAGATCACAGGCATTGACAGGAATTGCCTCGCCATCAGCGCACCATACTCAAGCGCGACGGAGATCCTTCGGACCTACAGCGTCGCGCAAAAGATGTCCTGGGCGGCCAAGCGGAGCACAACACGGCCTGAAGACCAAGCCTACAGTATCATGGGTCTCTTCGAAATGAACATGCCGATCTTGTATGGCGAAGGTGCTGGGTCGTTTGCTCGACTGCAAAGGGAGATCTTGAACATGTCCAATGATGCATCCATTTTCGTCTGGCAATTATCAACCCCAGATGTTCAGCCACGGACTCAATATGGCATCTTGGCACCAAATATCAAGTGCTTCGCGAGACAGGACATGGTACATAAGTTCAACCACATTTCCACCGTCGAGTCGCACGTTGTCTCTCCTGATACGGTCTGTCGTCCTTACAAATCCACTGTCCTCTTGCGTGTGTGCGTTCTCGGCAATCTTGCGCCCTGGGAGTCGTTGTCCAAGACGCAAAAGCAGCACTTCGAGCGCCTCCTTGCTTCCTCTTCGGATGGCTCCTCCTCAAGATTCAAAAATGGCTACTCTCCCGGCCCACAGATGGCTGTCATTATGCTTGATTGCGGTACCAACAAGTGCAGGGTCGGGTTCACAGTCCAGATGGAGGAGAATGGGTCACTTTGGCGTGCTGACCCGACCCAATTACTGAACTTTATGAGCCCTGAGTTCAATCTGCCTCCGGCCGATTACCTCCTCTTCAATTTGAAGCAGAAGGAGATCCCAGACGAACAAGAGGGACAGTCATATCGTCTCGATTTCGAAGAATCCCTATCAAAATGGGGTTACACTTTCACCGAGGGTACTTGCGTGGATCAACAAACACGAGCCGACCTCCGATCACAATACTGCGGTAAACACTGGCGCCTCTTCACGCCCAGTGGCCACACAGGCGGTTATCCGTCAATCCTCGTCGTCTTCTGTCACACGCTCGGCAAATCACCCCAACAATTGAGGCGCGATACGGTGTTTGTCGGCTGCGAGGTCATTGCAAGATCCCCCATCGACCATTCCAATGTTGGCCCACTGATCAACAGAGTCCAACTTACCTCTCTTTACGACACTACCGAGATCCGCTACAAAGCCTTCCCTACCAAGCACTTGTTGATCAAGCTGCGTGTGGCGGTGCCACGTCTCAACACGCTGATCGTATCATTGCAAGACATGGATGACGATGAATCCTTTGATACCGATGGCGGCCACGATACGAACGAAGTTGATGATGCCGCCAGTATTGCAACTACTCTGGTGGAATATCGTGACTGGGTTTTTGGGTAGCCGGATGGTGCGTAGGGTACGCATGACAGTACCTCTGCGCATGTACTAAATAACCTCTGCGATTACCTTTACCCCTGGAAAACTGACATTCCCCTTCTTGTGGCTGAATAAACTGGTATGCTGCTCCCTTGGTCCGGACGCCCAGGCGGGCGGCAATCGGGGCCGATGAGACCCAGTCTATCCTGTGGTGAATATCTGGAGGACCCTGCGCCGTGCTTCTCTGGGATCCGTCGCTCTTATTAGTGGAAATTTCCAATATAATCTCCAAGCTCATCCGCGTGAAACAGCATGACACAGCCCTGTCCCTGAGCCGGATATAGCACACAGAAAACTTTCCCCAAATGATGTGCACCCCGCGTCTCGAACCCCCCTCCCCCGATTGAATGCAACATTCTATATTAATCTAGCAAAGCTCCGGTCCCCACGCAGAGTTACCATCCGTCCATTCCCGGTAGACTAACATTCTTCCGTGTGCGCATGTGCCGGACAGATATTAGCCGCCAGAAAGAAGTGGACACCGAAAGGGAAGGGATTTCCGGGGTAAATGGAACTGTACCTCGACGTGGACGCTCGCTGGGAAACACCATCTAGGATGGCGGGTATATATCTCTTGGCATTCCAGAGCTTATATCCTTTCAGTGAGCCTCCTTCAGACGCATCATCCCTCGAGCTGAGTCTTGCCAACCCAATAAGTCACCCACTGGACGTCAACTATGCATTTCCTCTCAAGCCTCACCGCTCTGGCGCTGGCCAGCCTCGGCAGCTGCCAGCTGCAAAGGGTCAATGACTTCAGGGCCGGCCCCACGAACGTGGGCATGTTTGTCTACGTGCCCAGGAACCTCAAGACTCCGGCGCCCATCGTCGTCGCCATCCACCACTGCCAGGGCTCTGCGCAGGGGTACTCGACCGAGACCCACTACATGCCCCTGGCCGACCAGCACAACTTCATGCTGATCTACCCCAACTCTAAGTCAGGAGGCGGCTGCTTCGATGTTGCCTCGACTGCCAGTATGTTCCCCTCCTCTGCTATGAAGATTGACCTTTCCAAAAAGGGCGAGCACTGACACGCTGCTCTCCCCAATCAAACAGGCCTCACCCACGACGGCGGCGGCGACAGCCAGACCATCGCCAACATGGTCAAGCACGCCGTCGACAAGTACGGCGGCGACGCGAACCGCACCTTCGTCACGGGCTCCAGCTCGGGCGCCATGATGACCAACGTCATGGTCGGCGCCTACCCGGACGTCTTCAAGGCCGGGTCCGTCTACTCGGGCGTGCCGGACGGCTGCTTCTTCGTCCAGGGCGCGACGGCCACGCAGGACCCGCCGGGATGGGCCAACGCCTGCGCCAACGGCCAGCTGACCAAGTCGGCCCAGCAGTGGGGCGACATGGTCCGGGGCTACTACAAGGGCTACACGGGCGCCCGTCCCCGGATGCAGATGTAAGTCCTTGTCCCCTGTCCTCTTCTTAACAGGGACCGAATGTTGGGCTGGGTGGAAAGCATTGTGCATAAGAGGAAAAAAAAGCTAACCTGCTTGTCATTGCAGCTGGCACGGCACCGCCGATACCACGCTCCGCTACCCCAACTACCAGGAGACGCTCAAGCAGTGGTCCAATGTCTTTGGCCTGACCACCAAGAAGGACACTGCCAACACCCCTCAGGCTGGCTATACCCAGACCATCTACGGCGACGGAACCGCCACGACTGCTCAGCTTGTTGGGTACAGCGGCCAGGGTGTTGGTCACACCGTCCCCGTGCACGAGACGATGGATCTTCAGTTCTTCGGTATCATGTAAACCAATGGCACTACTGGGTGAACAAGTCTTGGTACTTTGAACCATATACCAACTGTGTAGATAAAGGGGCTTCTCGTATGATCTTGGTAGTAAAATATTAGCCGGACCGCCACCTTGCTTTACGCCGCCCCTCAACAGGCGAAGCTTTCATCACATTTGTGAGGCTGTGCATGAGAAACTTTCCTCTCTTCCTTTTCATATTTCATAAAAGAAACAAGGGCATGAAAGGTGATCAAGTATATCTTCAATATCTCAACAAATCTAATTGGACTTTGCGGCAATCGAGCTGGGGCTGGAAGCCGATAGTTAACAGTGTCGGTTACTGGCTTACTTTCGACCGGCAGATGAGGCTGGGGAGGCTACGGAACACGGGGTTCGAAGGAGACAGAGACCCGATCTGGGGCTGGCTAAGCGCCTTTGAGATATTTAGGAAGGCTGGCTTGATTCCTTAGGCAGTTTGTCTTCTTGGCTTCAATTTTCTGATTGGTGCAATTCACGGCCAGGATTGTGATGCCTGGCGTCTTTCGACCTTAGATGGCACATGGGGAGCTGGTGAGATTTAAGTGGGTCGTTCTCAGCATTCCCAAAGTTCCTGATGTTGCTCATGCCATTCACGATTTCTCACCGTTCACTCTCTTCATTAGACATCGCGCCCGTGTAGACATCGCCATGAAGCTGATCGTGACAGGCGCGACCGGTTATGTCGGCAGCGAGCTGATTCGGCAGAGCCTGCGCGTGCCGGAGATTACTTCTGTCATCGCCTTGGCCCGCAAGCCTGTCCAGGTTCCAGACAAGCTCTTGGAGGGCTCGGATCCCAGCAAGCTGAAGAGCGTCGTCATCGAGGACTATGGGAAATACCCCGACGAGGTGAAGAAGGAGTTTGAGGATGCCGATGCGTGCATATGGTAAGTGGAGCATGGCCACCATTCAGTGCCAGTTCCACTGCTGATACGGCCCTCACCATCAGGACTGTCGCCATCACACCAACCAAATCGTCCGGCTTCAGCTGGGACTACGTCACGTATGTGTGCCAGCAATGCCCGCTCGCTGGGATGAAAGCCATGCACGAGTCAACAGCCTCGCGGCCATTCCGTTTCCTGTACATCAGCGGTGCTGGCTCCGAGCGTGACCAAACCAAGACGCCTAAGTACCAAGCAAAGTACTCATTGATGAGGGTAAGGCTCCTTTCCCTCGATATTCTTGATACTGGGACATTCATTGACTGGAGACATCTCGTTCAGGGCGCAACGGAGACGAAGGTGCTCGAGTACGCCGCCCAGCATCCAGGCGAGGTGGAAGCCATGATTGCCAGGCCCGCTTTCATCACAGGACCTCTTTGGCGCAACATTGTGATTTACATGGCTGCCCTTATTATCCCCATGCCGAAAGTTAGTCTTGTTGATCTTTCCAAGACGCTGTTGCATCATGCAGTTCACGGCTCCAAGAAGGATACGCTAGAGGGCGATGACTTGGACGGCACGGCATCAAGTTGATTTGATTAGTATGCTTGATTGAGTTAGCTTGTGAACATACCTTAAGCTTTGAGCACGGTCTGTATACCAGATCCGCAAACCATGCGTGGCGCCTTATAAGTGCATGATTGGGATGGGATGTTCCGAGCACTGAAGTTGGGTTGCGCGACTGACAGTCTCCTATCTTGGCACTTTCGCATATTGCATTTGTATGACCTTGTTAGTATCTTTCGAAAAGAGAATAAGAGAAAGAGAAAACTCATTTCATATGAGTTGACTTCCTGTGTTTGCAAACAACTTGATGATATTTGTAGTCACGTGATGTAAAATTCAACCTTGTGGCTGTGGCACCACCAGTTTTCGCACCTTCACATACCACCAAGTGATGCGCCATTGGTGTTAGAACACTCCCAGAGTGAGGATCATTCCTAATCTTTTCCATTCCCATCGCCACATCACTTTACTTCAGTAAGTGAGTGTCCAGCGACCCGTCAAGAGATCACTTCAATCAGTCCACTCGACAAGCGGACCCGAAGCCACCGAGGCACTTCCGGCATGTGCATCCAAAACGCGCCCAGGTAGCACCGGAGAATGGAGGAACTACCGATCCGGCCCGCGGGCATCCTCATGCAAGAGGAGTTCATCACGCCCGAGCACGAGGCCGAGCTCATCCGCATCTTCCAGAACGAGCTCGAGTGGCCCGCCCGCTCCGGCCGCCTGTCCCTGCACTACGGCTACACCTTCAGCTACAAGACCTTTGGCGTCGACACCGAGACGCCCTACAAGCCCTTCCCGGATTGGCTGCGCGCCCTGCTCCCGCCCGCGGAGCCCGCGCCGCCCGACCAGGTCTGCCTGCAGCACTACCCGCCCGGCGCCGGCATCCCGCCGCACGTCGACACGCACGGCGCCTACGACCAGCTGTACGCGCTGTCGCTGGGCGCGCCCGTGCCGATGCAGTTCCGCGGCGGGGAGGGCCACGCCGAGACCGTGGACGTCGAGCTGCCGCCGCGCAGCATGGTGCGGCTCTCGGGCGACGCGCGCCTGCACTGGACGCACTCCATCCGCGCGCGCAAGACCGATCCCCTGCCCGGCGGTGGCGGCGGGGTGCGCCCGCGCGGCCACCGCTGGAGCATCACGTACCGCTGGATCCGCGAGGGCGGCGAGTGCGAGTGCGGGAACGAGAGGCTGTGCGACACGGCGCAGAAGCGCAAGGGCATCGAGAAGGAGTACAGGTGGAAGGCGGCGACTGATGCGGCGACGACTGATACTCAAGGGGCGGTTTCGACTTGAAAGAAGTGCTTCTCACATCATGGACGGAAAATGATGGTCCGTACATGTATCCTCACGACGCGGAAATTCGGATCCATGCAAGTTCACGATTTTAAGTTGGGCCCGCCAAAGAACATGATTTACCATCTCAGTAGATCTTCTGAGTCGATACATCAGAGATTCCTGATAGGCCCGAGTTATGGCCGAGTCTCAGTCTACGCATGACGGTTCACGGGGCCAGTCGTATTCGTTGTGTTGGTGACTCTCCTTCTGACTGGTACCATCTGGCAGACTGCTCGTGGAGATGTTGAGGCTTTCAAGTCGGACAGCATGGCCACCCTCTTTGTTGGGCTGGATGAGAATGAGACGAAGCGTAATGCGATAGGAGTGGTACAGAGTGTGAACTACATGGAGAGCTCGGTGAAGCAGACCAGGGAGCGACCCCAGAGGGACGGTGCGGATGGGCAATCCCGATCGATGAAGGCCCAACACTTATGATATACGTTCGACAGTCTCATTGCTTGGGCGACCCCCTAGGAGACCTGCCTACGCACATTCTATCCGCACTTCTAGGTAAAATGCTCAGTGCAGTCACGTCGAGGGTTCAGACCGGCATAATATCCCATGTGCTTAACCTTTTCGTAGTGAGAAGTCACTACTGCCCTTCACAGACTCATGCAAAATAACAATGACAAGTTATGGTTGTCCAAACAATATATTAACGAGCGTGGGGGGGTTTTATCGATTTAATGTGAAGCTTCAACGGGGCAATGACAACTTGAACGAAAGGAAAATGACACGGAGACAGGACGTAGGTGTTTGGGGGCAATCAATCAACCCATTCCCTCTGATCAGGCAACAAGTAGCGGATCAGATACAGCAGCCGTCAGGGCGCCTAATGGCAGGCACAGCCAAGGTAGTTGGCCGTGCAGCGGCCGTTCACGCCATCGCAACCATTGTAGTCGCAAGGACCCTTGCCATTGCAGTTGTAACCGCAAGGGCATCCAATGAATGGGCCCTAGATGAGGAGGATGTACAGTTAGTGTCCAGGCTTCCTATATGTACCTTGCTAATTGGCTTTTGTACGTACACCGAGGCAGACCAGGGTTGTCGGGTTGCCATCACAGTCATTATCATAACAGTTGCCGATACTGTGGTTGCAATTAGCGGCGAGCTGGAGCTCGGTTGTCTCGCTGGTGCCCTCCGCGGGAAGAGGGTTCGCAACAGCGAAGGAGAGGAGGGCAAAGAGGGCGGTCTTGGTGAACTGCATATTGGCGAAGAAGAATATTGGACTGGGCTTTCTGATTTGGATATGATCTGCTTCCCTTCTTAGACTTTTCAGGAGAAGGGGGACATCACAACCATATTTATACACGTCGAGTCTGATCGTCTTCTCGAGACTAACAATAACGCACACCGCTCACATCTGTGTTGTCCTTTAATCCTGAACTCTCGACTCCCTGGACAGAATGTCGAGGTCGGCCTATGAGACAAGGTCGTTGCAATCATATAAGCATCCCTCGTCTATCGCGGCTTCAAGGTTGAATGATCATCCCGAGTCGACCATATTCGGATACTGCATCCTGCATCGCAAAAGTGAGTAAGCCTGGCATGGTACGACCACAGCTGAAATGTCTAACCGAACAAATGAGAATAGATCGGGACCCGAGGCTGTGTAACACCAAACAGTCTGTTGCCCCGAGCCTTGAGGGCCGCGCCGCCTTGGCTCGGAGGTAACTACCTAGATCGATTGTGAGGTTTCGGATATCCCGGCGGTAGAGCAGGAATGCTTGAACTCTTCGCAAGCCTGAAGGTCGCCACACAGTCCGCATACCTGCAGCCGTTGCGAGAGGCTCTTCCACGCTTCAGGGAGGGGCTTGCGGAATGGCGACCGAATCGGATTTCCAAGCGCGGGAGCAGTGTATATGCATGGAGAGAGACGCGTGGTCATGTTAGATCCGGCACATCCTCTCACGCTTGCATGCAGGTCTCCGCCTTCGGATCTAGTACCTGGTTGGTTGACATATCTATGGAGTTGATGACTGCATTACGCAGACTACGAGTGCAAGAAACAATTTTCCAAATCTCACGCAACTCAATCAAGCCGTGAAGAGAGCACCGAATCAAGGTCATGGTCTAGTTAAATTTTGATATGCCCATATGCTCGCTCTCGTCAGGTTCTTGTGTTGTGGCAAAAGTAAATGCCAGAAAGTGAGATAGCAAAAAAAAAGCAGAAAGGGGGCAAAAAAGCTCAGCCAAGGTGTCACTCGAACCCTGACCTACGAAAAACCACTTTTGCAGTTTTTCTTTGCTCGAACACGAGACCAGCCACATTAATGTGGTGTCCTCCGCCGTGAGGGTAGGATGGCGTGCTATTTATTAAATGGAATCCACGTTATCGTGGTCATGAACCATTGCACCATCCCACCCCCTATGGAAACTAGGTACTCTATTTACAATAATAAGGGTAAGATAGCTGCCTTTCGCGGGGGAGGGGGTCCGTGGTGAATTTGAGGGCCAAGTTAGTCTACGTGAGCAAACTGCAAGGCAGTGAACAAAGTCGAAGCCAAGATTCGACTTTGTCATGCTACTCAACACCGTGATGTTTGCAAAGCTCAGTCTGGTTGTTAATACCGCTGCCACGCGCACGTGCCTGTGCTGGATTTCCCCGGATGCCTGGAATATCTTGGCCCAGCCATCAATACCAAACATACAATTTGCACTATGCCGGTTATCCTGACTGACTGCTTCATGTGGGATGGCAATCTGGTTATGACTACAATACCCAAAGCACTGCTGTGAACCCCGTCAGGGCTCTCACTTCATTTCAATCTTTCTCACGCTGGACCAGGTCCTCACTTCTGTGGTCCTTCAGCTGCGTGCCCAACGAAGCATCCACGACAGAATGACGGTCGCTGCCTGCATTGATATTGGGTTACTCGCCACTACAACATATGGATCTATCAGGAGCTATGTCCCTCGTTTAATTATCATGGTCTTTCTACCTTGCTATGATATCCGCATATTGGCTCCGCGCGAATCTACCCGATGCTAACCCTGATAGGGATGATGATATTCATGATGAAGTTGAGCAAGTGACTATGTTTCACAAAACGATTGATGCCACGATTAATCGACAACGCTGGAAAGATCGTGAGAGCACACGAACGAACAAACATATTTAAATGCAACTGTCAAAAACTACAAGATTCACTCCACCCAGCCTACAAAGTAACCGCCGTCAAGTGTGACATCCGGGAATCAAATACTGGGCAATACACTGTCTATCTAGAAATCGCGGTGGTCTACTCGAGACCTTCTTGAATTCTGCTGCATTGTCTAGACTGACCCTCTGTATCTGGATGGCTCATATCCAAACAAGCATTCGATCATCCAGACGCCAGAATCCGAACACGAAGCCCGGACTTTTGTTGGAACTTTTGATGAGGTTGGATTTAGTGCTGACGGCTCGGCGCGGCTCGCGTATTCGGGTTCCAGCTCGCATTCCAGGGGCTGGCCAATGGCAAGATACAGGGGATGAAGGCGCTAAGCAAGGATGGGTTTAGCGGACAATGGTCAGGTCGACTCACCGTCATCGCGAGTGGTCAGATTCCACGTTCAAGACGTCAGACAGACAAAAGAAAGTATTTTAGACAATGACCTCCATTCTCTCTTTAGTTCTCGATCTTCCTCTGGTAGTAATCCAGCATTCCTCGCTGTAGATAACACCAGGACTCGATGAACAAGTCGCGATGGCATCCCTCTACGGCGCCTACCGCAGTCTCCCGCTATCAGCGTCGATACCGCTGACGATAGCGCTTATCATCGCCTTCGCCATCGCCCAGAATGTGGTATCGCAGCTCTGGTTCCCGGATCGCAAACGGCCGCCCGTCGTCTTCCACGTCTTCCCCTGGATAGGCAGCACGGTGCAGTATGGCATGGACCCTTACAAGTTCTTTGCCGAGTGCCGGGCCAAGCACGGCGACTGCTTTACCTTCATCCTGCTGGGCACGCCGCACACCGTCTATCTCGGCGCAAAGGGCAACAACTTCATCCTCAACGGCAAGCACTCGGACCTCAACGCCGAAGATATCTACGGGAAGCTCACGACGCCCGTCTTTGGCAATGGCGTGATCTACGATTGTCCAAACGAGAAGCTGATGGACCAGAAGAGAGTGCGCGCACACCCTGCCCAAATCCCCCCAGATTCGTCCATACTGACCGCTGCCCGCAGCTCGTCAAGGAGGCCTTCACCACCAAGGCTCTCCGCTCTTACATCCCCAAGTTCGTCAAGGAGGTCGAGGACTACGTGCGCACCTCGCCCAACTTCAAGGGCCAGTCCGGCACCTGCAACATCACAGAGGCCCTCGCCGAGATCACCATCTACACGGCCACCGTCTCCCTGCAGGGCAACGAGGTGCGCTCCAAGTTCGACGACACCTTCGCCACGCTCTACCGCCACCTCGACGACGGCTTCCAGCCCATCAACTTTGTCGCGCCCTGGCTGCCCCTGCCGCAGAACCGCCGCCGCGACCGCGCCCGCCAGGTCATGGAGGACCTGTACATAGATATCATCCGCCGCCGCCGCCATCGCGCCAACGCGGGCGACCAGCAGCAGCACGATGAGGAAGAAGAGTCCGACATGATCGCCGCGCTCATGGACGGGCAGTACAAGGACGGCACCACGCTCTCCGACCTGCACGTCGCGCGCCTCATGATCGCCATGCTCATGGCGGGGCAGCACAACACGGCCGCCAGCGGCGCCTGGGTGCTGCTCAACCTCGCGCACCGGCCCGAGCTGGTCGAGGAGCTGTGGCAGGAGCAGCTCGCCGTGCTGGGCCCGGGGGCCGAGCTGACGCTCGAGGGGCTGGAGAGCCTGGCGCTGAACAAGCAGGTCATGAAGGAGACGCTGCGGCTGCACAGCCCCATCCACTCCATCCTGCGGGCCGTCACGGCGCCGATGCCCGTGCCCGGCACGGACTGGGCCGTGCCGAGGGGCCACGTCGTGCTCGCGTCCCCGGGCTTCATGGCGCGCAGCGAGGAGGTCTTCCCGCGGCCCATGGTGTGGGATCCGCACCGGTGGGACGGCGGCGCCGGGGAGGAGGATAAGGAGGAAGGCGAGGTTACGGGGCCGACGGTCAACTACGGCTTCGGCGTCATGTCCAAGTCGGTCACCAGCCCGTACCTGCCGTTCGGCGCGGGCCGGCACCGGTGCGTGGGCGAGAAGTTTGCGTACGTGCAGCTGGGCGCGACGCTGGCGACGCTGGTGCGCCTGCTCAAGATGGAGCAGGTCGATCCCGAGGCGGACGTCCCGGCGACGGATTACTCGGTATGCTCCTTTTTGCTTAGCATTCAGTACCTTTTTGCTCCCTTCGAGAGAGCGCTTGCTAATGAACGATGTTCACACACAGTCGATGTTCTCGAGGCCGATGAACCCTGCTTTGATCAGGTGGCATCGCCGGTAAAGGAGAAGTGGGTTTTCTTGGTCCGGCTACGGTAGATTGGTAGATTAGGGCTTGGGCAGAGGTAGGGCTAAGGTGCGGGGCTTGGTAAGAGTAAATAACTACCCGGGCCCCCATCGAAACAGCCCGGTTAGCTCAATCGGTACGTTGAAATCTTCAGGCCCCGTCACATTAATTCCCTCTTGCTAACAAATTCCACAGGTAGAGCGTGAGACTGTGAGACTTCCCCAAGGAAACCACACCACCGCCACAATATACTAACATCCCATAGCTTAATCTCAAGGTTGCGGGTTCGACCCCCGCATCGGGCTCAATTCCCGGTGCTCCAGATTCAATCTGGAATCAAACCAACTTAATTTTTTGCCTTTTTTTGCCTTTTTGCCCATTCTTTGAGTGGTGAAAATGCAAGGATGAAGCTTCGTAGATGATAATGTATTCTTTTAGCCTTTTGTCTTCATGCCATCGGTCAAGATCACATGCGAGCATGGCCGCGCAACGGGCAACCGGAATATGGATCAGATGTGTAGTGATTGCTTGTATAAACGCAGGGTGGGAGCCTCACAGATAGACATCAAACTTTATGGGATCAACGCCTTTGATGACACTGCGACGTTCATTACGGCTCTCGCTGGTCCCTCTCGCTGGTCCCTCTCGGTGAGAACGGCTTGGACATTCGTTGCAACTCAAAATTATTCGTAATTGGTCTCTGCCAGAATGTGGCACGCCAAACCGATTCCAACCACTGGCGTGATGATGTCCGGGGACAGCCTCTTATCCCACTCCGCTTACCTGCACGCATGATATCATCGCAGCTAACTACACTTGATCCGACGGAGATGTCGTGAAAATCACGTAAAGACATCACGATACCTGGCTTGGTGTATCAAGTGTTGAGGCGCAAGTGTACACACAGCGGATCGGAGTTCCAGACCAGATCAGACCTCCAAGTTCTCCGCTCTCTTGGGTGAGAGCAATTTGAGTTATGCCTTATAGGATCCTTTAGACCCTACTGATCTTCAACAGGGGGAGATGATGTAGCTGGAGAAGCAACTCGTTGCCTAACCTCAACACCACCTAGCTCCCCCGTTCAGACACAGCTTCTCAACCCCTGCCCCCGACAACGGGAGTTCGATCCCCGGTGGTGCGAGGTTGAGAAGCTGCAAACAAATTCTGCGATTAATAACCCCCGAAAGGAGGAAGCGCGGTGCTGTAGCTGACGAACACCGATGCATAGGACACGTCCTGTAAGGTGGAGGGCAGGACCTGAAGGACGATTTCTTTTTTCCTCTTTTCTCCTTTTTTGCTTTTGTCCTTTTTCCTTTTGGGCACAAGAGCCCCCATAAGGTCTGCACAGCTGTGGAAGAGTGGAAAAATGTAGCTAAAGAAAGTATAGAAAGGATGAAATGGTCCCGGTGCACGTAGCAGGGACGTACGGGGCGCGCGCTTGCGTAGAGGGCATTCAGAAACGGGTCAGCTCGCAACGACTGCCGAAGAGACGCTTGATCTGGAGGAGCTTCTCCTCCAATACCTACCTGTAAAGGTCACTGACCTGCAGCAGCACAGGCAGGAAACCCGTGGCGTACCACCACGTCCTCGATCCGGCGGCTCGTCTCGGCGAGGTCGCGACAGCAGGCAGAGGATGACGTCGTCGAGGACGTTTGTGATCTCGAGCAGTTCCGGAGGTTGGAGATCCGGGCGAATCCACAAGTGGAAATGCATTCGCAGTGCGTCGCCAATAACATGATCGTTTCAGAGACGAACAAACCCTCTGCACAAACAGGCTGGCGTTTGCAAATCAAAGGCTTTTTCCTACACCAGATACTAGGGACTGCTTGATGTCACATCCAAAAATGAACGGTGAGTGTTGATGTACTGTTCGTCTCATTACATTAAGTGTCTGGTATCTGTCTATATGTCTAATAACTATGCAACATCGTCATCATTATGCGTTTCCTCCCTCCTTCATTACATTATGAAACCCAGTCAGAGTCATACACCAGACCTAGTAAGTGTACACCTGCTGGGGACCGATGTTGCCGTAGTGGCCGGAGCCGAAGGGGCTCGAGGGCGTGACCTCCTGGCCGTTGACGTTGGAGACGCCGAACCAGGCCAGCTGCTTGCCGTCGACGACGGTCATGACGGCGAAGGCCGGGCCGGGCTCGGTGACGTAGCCCCACGAGACCTTGTACTTGGAGCCCGTGGAGCAGGGCAGGTCGGACCAGCTCTCGGTCGCGCCGTTGGCGCCCGGGTTGCGGACGACGGTGCAGTGCTCCTTGCCCTCGGGCGTCGCGAGGTCAAAGTTGTAGTCGCAGCCCGAGTTGTCGGCGCCGCAGTACCGGATCAGGTTCTCGACGGTCCAGGTCTTGCCCTCGACGGGGACGGGGTCGTGGTAGCCTCCGGCGGCGGCGGCCGGCGGGGCGGGAGCCTGGCTCGGCGCCGCCGTGGCGGTCGCCGTGGCTGTGGCGGTCAGGGTGGGGTAGGTGAAGTAGGAGGACGGGCAGGAGCCCGGGTGGGCCGGGTTGCAGCCGCCGGGGATGCCCGGGATGGAGGTGAAGGTGGGGCTCGCCGTGGCGGTGGATGTCATGCCGGTGGTGGTCGGCGCGGGCTTGAGGGTGTGGGTCTGCTGGTAGCACCACTCGCGGATGCGGGCGGCGTCCTCGCCGAGGCAGGCGGTCTGGTCGCAGGCGCACATGACCTCGGGCGTACCGGCGGCGACGCAGGCGTCGTACGCCCTGTAGCAGTCCTCGGCGACCTTGCGGCCCTTGAGGGCCGGGGCGGCCGAGGCGACGGAGGCCAGGGCCAGAGCGACGGCGATGTTCTTGGAGATCATGGTGGAGGGCTGAATCTAGAGAGAGATGATAGGACTTGGTGGCGTGCGTGGATTGGCCTTTCTAGAACGACTGATTTGCCTTTGGAATGGAATGAGGATGATTGATTGGAATGATGACTGGAATGATGACTGGAATGAAGCCTTCCTGAACCAGGTCCTGGTCTCGTCTTTATACACGATTTAGCCTGATCAAGAAATCTGCCAACCACGGTTTTCCCGAAAGATCTCGACATGCCCTCAAAGCGGTCATGCGGATCAGGCGGCTGGGTTGCAGTACGGCAGTGATCTGCAATCGGCCGACTGCCAACCCTCGAGACGATGCCAAAACGACATGGCAAAACCCCGTGATGCCGAGAGAGTGGAGGTTTCTCTTCGCAGTCTCCGCCCGCCAGCCACGCGCGATGGCAAAGTCTTCGGGCAAAGAATACGACGAGAAGCTCCCCACGGCCATCTTCCAGCAGAGAATGACGTCCTGGCTCTAGGCGAGACCCTGAATCACCAGCTGCCCAATCACCCGGTGCACTGCTGGGCGGGCTTGGCGGGCTGGGTGCCCACAAAGTGGACTCTGTGAATACGAGGTCGCATGGCGGGAAAATGGGCCAGAAGAAGTCCTTTGGCACGACTCTTTGACGTCAGAATGGATCTTCAGGGCCCGCCGCACCAGCCAGACCAGCCCTAAATCGTTCAGACCCAGGCACGCCAGGCTCGTAAGAACCCTATTTACGCTTAATCGGCTCCCCGCTGTCAAGGCTATTTCTGGATGTCACGGCGGTGACGGTGGCTGGCCTTTGCGCCAATGCGATGCGCTTTGTTTGGTGAAGCGTTGCTCGGCTAGGAAGAGGCGCTCCACCTTCACGTCGAGGCCGGGATCGTCATGGACCCAGACTGCAAGGAGCCTAGCTAGCCTACGTTGCTTTTTTACAGCTCTGGGGCGATCAGGTCAAGGGCAGAAAGTCAGCTCATTGATTCTCGTGTTTTCTATTGGCGATGCACGTGGGAGTGGTTGGCCAGCACCGCAAGCTGTCAAATCCCGCCACTCGGCTCCGGAAGCCGAAACCCTTCCCTCGAGACGCGGAGCTGTGGGACTATGGTTGGGACCCATCATTCGCCTCCCTCGTCAGCCTCTCATGGCTTCGATCTCTGAGCTGGCGTAGATGAACGGACCAACGCCGAGCAGCCAGTTCTGCGCAATCGGTTCCTTGATGTAGGCCTGTAGACTCCCCGTCAGTCCCGCCTATGCAACGTTGGATTGGATCGAATCATGACGTTGATGAAGCCAACTTACCTCAAAGGTGCCGTTGCCGTTCAGGTGCCCAACCTTGACGGTGCCCTCCCAGTTGATCGTGCCGCACGTCTCGTTCACAAACTTCCTCGTCATGGCGTCGTAGGCCCCAAAGGCGAACTCCTGGTACTCGTGCTTGGGGATGTAGCCCTTGCGCATGCCCTTGAGGAAGCCCGTCACGAAGAGCGCGGTCCCGCTGCTCTCGATGTAGTTGCCCTTCCGACCGACGTAGTCGGGCCCCATCACCAGCCACCAGCCCCCGCCCTCGCCATCCCACGCCCTCCGCAGGGCCTCGGCCAGCGTGACAAAGTACCCCCTCAGCCTGCCGAAGCCCGGGTGCGACCGCGGGAACCAGTCGAGCACGTCGAGGAGGGCGTTGAAGTACCAGCCGTCCGCCCTGTCCCAGAGCATCGGCGACGCGCCCGTGACCGGGTCGGCCCACACGGCCCTCCTGCTCTCGTCGTACCCGTGGAACAGCAGGCCCGTCCCGGGGTCGCGGCAGTGCTCCTCGATCAGGTCGAACTCGTGCGCGATGTCGTCCCAGGCCGTCCCGTTGCCGGGCTCGAACAGCGCCGTCCAGTGCGCGTAGAAGGCGCCCACCATCCAGAGCCCGTCGAGCCACTGCTGGTCGGGCGTCTTGTCCATGTGCCAGAGGCCGCCCTCGTCCGTGCGGTTCTGCCTGTCGATCTCGCGCCGCAAAAAGTCGGCCGTGTTGAGGTACCGCTGCTGGCCCGTGTGCTCCCAGAGGAAGAGCATCGTCTCGCCCACGCGCAGGTTGTCCAGGCCCTCGTAGCTGGCCACGCCGTCCCAGTTGGTGAAGGTGCCGTTCTCCGTCAGGATGGGGTCGAGCTGGCCCCGGATGTACGCGGCGTACTTGGCGTCGCCCGTCGCGTTGTAGACGTACTGGACGCCGCGGTAGAAGACCTGCTCGGTGTACCAGCGCACCTTGGCCACCTTGCGGGCCATGGTGGCCTCGGTCATGAGCACCGAGTAGGGCCGCTTGTCGGCCAGCGCGGTCGCCGCAGCGCCGCAGATGGTCAGCAGGGAAAGCCACTGAGACTTCATTGTTGATGGATGTGATTGTATGCGTGCGGATCACACTTGAGATCTTTACACTCTATGAGAATCTACTTAAATGGCGACCGTCCTGTCGTGCCGCACCCGATGCGGAACGACAACCGAAGCCATGGGCTTCGTTGCCCAGTGAAGAAGTTCTCGATGGACTCCATTGGTATAAATGCCAAGCAGATGGCATGCCGTTAGCCTGCCATTCTGACCGACATAATGCTAAACTTCGATATATCACTCCCACTCGAAGCTACTCCATGGGTCGTCATTTGCGGGGTGTGCATAAATGAGAAGTCACAATGTCGATCTCTGGAGACATGCATGCCCCCATGGAGAAGGAGCCGAACTAGTGGGCGGCACAGTAACTTGCGAATGATTGAAAGGGGAACCTCCAACCATCAGGCTGACGGATGTTGTCTTGGCCAGTGTTCCGAGCCCATTTAAGGCTGCAGCGCCCGTCCCTTGTCGGGGCCGGCTCATTCCGGGTCGGGAGGTGAGGCAATTACTTAACACTTCCTTCAGCATATCTGGACTCCAATTCTTCAAATTGAGACCACTTCATACAGGAGTCTTCTATCAAAAATCCCTAGACTCGTCGAATATATGGAAACAGAGCTTGGTTCTAACACAATCGTACCGCTGCCCAACAGTCTCGGCCGAAACATCAAGTGTCCAGGCTCCAGCCAACCTTTATAGTCTCTAGAAACGAAGCATCATAGAAGTGATTTAGCCTCAGACTATCTCTATTGTTTGCCAAGTCGCATCGCTTTCTCTCAGCTTTTCGTGCTCGGATATCAGTGCAAGGCCCACCCGTCTGTACTGGGTCTTCGACTCATTGCAAGGAGTTAGCAGGAGTGCAAAGACAGCTCAGCTCTGTTTCAACACTTCGAGATGAAGCCCTGCAAACGCCCTTTGCTGTGCACCCCCAAAGACCTTATGAACAAACAGCCATGCTTTTTCCCCCTTGATCCGAAGTCTTTGCTTCCAGTCGCGGCGCAAATAGCTGTCGATTCATTCTGATGTTTAGTACCATAGAACACCAAGCAGGCGCGGGACTGGTCTCTTGGTTGCAAGGCTGGTATCGACTTACCTCCATCTATCCCCCTCAAAGGAGACTAGGGGGAGCATGTATACGTCGAGGACTGGTTGCGAATCAAATATGACAGCTCCGATGCCCTCTGATTCAGCATCGAGGGCTAGTTCGTAGATCGCGATCCTATATCCCCTCATCCTCGATCTCCTCATAGCAGTAAAGAAGAAGCGTCTGCGTACAGCACTCGCCTTTGTCGGCAGAGTGCTTGTTGGGTTATTCGAGAGATAGACTTGCCGGCACAGGACGCGTCGGAGATCCCCGCTGGCAATCAATATCTTGCCCAAACTGTCGAAAGCGACGGAACTTTCAGCCTCGGTCGACATGCCTGGGTAGTAACGAAAGCCGGCCGTGAAGGCGTAATCTTTCCGTCCGCCCATTGCCGCCCAAGACCAGCTTGGCAGGTGCGGCAAATCCTCCTTTGAGTTGTCCGACACGCAATGCCATGCCAGCTGGACTGCTAGGTCCTTTTCCCATACACCCGCGAAATATTTTTGTTGGCGTCGGAGGTTGATTTCGTTGACCACCCCTTGCAATGCTATGAGCCGATCGGTCTTGACTGTGAGGTTAGTGGATGAATAGTAAGAAATTAAGCTGAACCATCGCTCCAGCTCAGCCTTGCCAGCACCTTGTTCCGTTTCTGGAAGAAGGGTATATCTCCATGGGAGGATTTGGTCCAGGGGTGCGTCTGAATGACCTCTTTTCTTGCATTTCCAAGTTATTCCACCGCGCATGAATAAGAGCAGCCGACGGGCAAGGAGCCATTCTTGGAACGCCCATGCTCGTGACCTTAATCTGCTTTGGTCTGGGTCCGATTCGTGCAGAGTCATAAGGTTGAGATTGATGGTTGTCCCGGAATTCTTCTGCCCCAGCGCTGAGCCGGGGATCCGTACAGTCAGCTCAGGGTGCCTCTCAGTGACAAGAAGGCCTTCTGTCGCGTTCTCGGAGTCGGCAGCAGCTAATACCACAAAGGCTCCCTGATAGATCCGCCCCATTTGCTGAGATTGCGCAAGCCAGTCACTCTCGCTGTCCTGGATTATACACAGACTATCGATCCACAAGTAATCTACGCCCAAAGCTCGGGTCATAGCTATTGCTTCGCGGAAAGTCCTGGGCAACTCCGTCAGGCGCAGACCGGACAGGGCTTTCTCAAGATTGCCGGTCGTGACCGTATATGGGCGTCTGTCCTCGGTGCCCCAGCAGTGGCTCAGTGTGCAATAGCGAGCCTTTTCGTTGTCTGTCTCCCTGAGCCTGACGATGTCGGAGTTGCCCTCAACATTGACCTCTAAGACTCGGGCCGGCAACAGTGTCTCGCCTTCGACTAACACCTCCCCACTGATTGATTGTGTACACTCTGGGTGGTAATCTATGCAATCATGCAGCAACGGGCCAACCATATCGAGGATCTCGGTGGGCCTGTTGCTTGTCACAGGCCGTGTGCCACGCAGTAGCTTTCCAGGGACTCTCGGGGTGCCTCATACTCGATGAGCTTAGCAAGAATGCGCTTTGAAGCTCACGTTGCAAGTGGTAGACTCACTGGTACTGTTGGCAAATTCTTCTTCAACCCACACATTGAATGTAAAGGAGCGAAGGTCTCGGGTCATGGATAAGAAAAGACTGTCGTCAGGGTAAAGCTCTTCCCCAGCCGTCGTATCCAGCGTGCGGCCAAACATGATATATTCTATTTTGGCCGTTGGTTTTGTCTCCCATTTTTCATAATAGCTGCTTCTTTCGTCATCGTCTGGCAGTGCACTGTCGGCATATTGTGTGAGATATGTGTGAACGAGATTGCACAAGGCACACTTCGCGGCGGCCTTTGAAATAGGTGTGGCTTTGCGCTCTTCTGTGAGCTCGTAGACTGTGCTTCCCGGCTCGTCCCGCGACACCGCGTCAATCTTGAGAATTGCCTTGGTGCATGGAGGACACAGTCGCTGAGACATTGTTTGCTTGTGGTCGCATATTCAAGAAGCATTCGAGTTCTTGAACTTGATGAGGATTTCCGCTGGGGTGATTGAGACAATGGAAATACACGGGGTTTCTCTCAGCCTGACTTTGCGAAATTTGAGCGTGGAAAGGAGCTGAAGTCAGCCGAGGAAATCAAACAAGAAAGTCCATAATCATGCACTGCACCCCTTAATAATGCCCGACAGAGTGCGGGGGCCCTTCCTTTCCATCTGATACGTTGGGCACCGCTGGGCTATTGTGGCATGGACAGGGATCTTACGTGAGATGGACAAGGAATGATTGGGCTGAGTTCTACAAGTATCAGAAACTGGGGGGCCAAAGAACCACACAACTAATTATCGTCCAGCAAGATATTCAAGCTGGCGACTTCTCAGCCTTCTGCGACTCAACCTGCTGGACGCTCGAATTTCCCGACCCGGCGAAGAGCCCAGACGATTTCGCTCTGCGATCCTCAACCCGCACTGCCCACCAAGCTGCAGAGACCGAGATGAGAGTTCCGACGAGCAGGCCGATGGATGCACAGTAGCTGATTCTGTACGATGGGCCAAACTTTGGTTGGTAGATTTGGGGTCCCTAGAAACCAACTATGAGCGCGGATGCCTATATCCTTGGAGAAAGCATTTACATACCACAATGCCCATCAGTTGAGCCAGAGCCTAGAATGGCAAAGTCAGCGGCAAGCTCTTGATAGCGCAAGAATTGAGGTAGGGATCACATACGTTCGTGCAGCCAATCGCCAGGCCTGCAGAGGTGGTTCCTTTGGCCGCTCGGATACGTTCTTGATTGAAGCGTCAACATGCCAATTCTTATTATACACGGACAACAATGCGGACTTACCAGGCCACAGGAGAGGATAGAAGCTTTGAGAGGCAGCAGTGGCAGTGATTACGAATATGTATTTGGCTACCGCATTCTTGACCGTGATGAGGAGGATGTAGCACACAATCTGAACACTCTCGACGAAGAGCCCAGCAACGAATGGGTTCAGGCGCTTGGTGTGCGTCAAAAAGGCGAGGGAAAGCAAGATGATGAAAACCATCGTAAAAGCCGGCTGGCGATGATATCAGCACTTGATGTTCCCTAGCTTGTCTAGGATAAAAATCTTACCATAGTCATCAGTTGCGACGCAGCGGAGCCCTGAATGCCCAGCTCGTAGATGACCGTGGGCAACACGAAGGAGATACCCCACCCGCCAATGCCGTGGGTGATCCAGATGAAAGAGAAAGGAATGAAGCTAGGAGTTCTGAATAGCTCCTTGATCTGGTCGAAGTTCAGAGTCTTAGCATTCATTTTTGGTGCTTGTTCCGGCAGATCGTCGATGATGGCCTCCTTCTCGGCGTCGGTCAAGAACTTGACTGTCTCAGGATAGTTGGGGAGGAAGAAGAAGGTCACGACACCACAGAGAATAGCCGGAATGCCTTCTAGAATGAACAGCCACCGCCAGCCAGCAAGGCCGGAGATGCCATTCATAAAAGAGATGGCGTAGGCGAGGAGTCCGCTAATGGTGCCGGAGAACATGCCGCAGGCATAGAAGAAGCCGATGCGGAGCGGCAGCCTCTCCGTGGGGTACCAGAAACTGAGATGGTAAAGGACGCCGGGGTAGAAGCCGGCTTCGGCAAGGCCCAGGAAGAAGCGGCAGGCCAGAATGCCAGCGTAGTTTTGCGTGGCGCCCTGGCACATGGAGATGATACCCTATCACACCATGTCAGCACTCTGTCCAGACGAGGTATTTTCGGGGTCTGGACACATACCCAGGTAACCATGATGCGGCTCATCCACACAGAAGGCGAGAATCGCTTGAGAGCGAGGGTGGCAAGAGGCTCCGCGAACATGTACGGGTAGTAGAATATGCTGAGCGCCCAGGCCCATTGCGAACTGGATAGGTTGCCGAGCTGCTTCCGAATGCCCGTGCCGGCCTCGACGTTCATGATGGCCGAGTTACTGATGTTTGACACGTGGATGCGCATGATGAGGTAGACGAAGGAGTACCACAGCAGCAGCCGCTTGTCCACTTTCCGGTGTGCTCGCTTGAGAAGCGGCTTCGCGTCCAGGGACGGCCTGGCACTCTTGGTCCGGGACAGCATGGCGAGCGAGTTGACGGAAAGTTGGATGTGATGTCTTGTATGCGGATAAGAAGAAAACAGCCAAAGTTCGACAAGGCCACGGAGTCGCTGAGCATTGGATGGAACCCTTAGACATGACTTGGGGAAGGTCTATGGGGATCTACAAAGAGTTTTTATTTCTGCCCATGCCACTATTTTCAACTGTCTACTTGCAAGTGTCTGTTATTCCCGAAAGCCGCATCTTGCTCAGACTGGAGTCGAAAGCACGCCATCTCAACCCAGAGCTCGAAGCGATAACAGCCACACCGCTTTAGGCCTCTTTTCCCAGTGAGTAATATCTCGAGAGATATTAGGGTAGATAGTTCTAATATTGCTTTATCACAAGTACAATAGGCTACGTCTTCCCTTACTTCTGACTGGTCAAGACAGAGGCCAGATAGTGTGACACTTGTTGGCACCGAAGTACTCTTGTTAGCGTTCTTGCACGCCTGATTAACTACTCTTGAGAGCAACCTTAAGGTTACTGGGACCTCAAAACCACTCTGATCTTTGTCCAAGCAATGCTCTTTCCTCCAAAGAGCTTAGACCGCCTTGGAGAGCCGCCCAAGAACCAGGTGCTAGCCAATAGAATGGAAAGAAGAAGCTGGCTTTTCACCGGGAAAATTGAGTAAGGGACTGAATATCAAATAGCATCGCGTGGTCTACTTAGCGGTTGGATATGGTGCGATCTCGCCATGCACTTATAATATGGCGTTTACATCTCACTGCGGAGTCAAACTTCAAATCCCGGCGATGGCGTGCTCAGTGAATGCGGGACCCAGCAACCAAAACCATCCGCCACGGCCAAAAGACCACTATACCCGAGACCCAATGGAGTTATTGAATCCTGGCATATAAACGTGGTGGTTTCTTGAGACATGGTTCTCCCAAGATAAAGTGAAATGGGCTTAATGATTACTATACACACCACCCGCAACTTCCATGTGCAGTAATCACAGCACACAATGCCGTCCGCAATTACCCCACAGGCCGCACCATCGTTGAAGAGGTGGGAGCGGCCGGCAAAGACGACCGAGAAGCTCCCGTGGGCGGACATTGCTGTCATTGATATGAGCAGGTATGATCTGCCCGGCGGTAAGCAGGAGCTGGCTGAGGAACTGCGGCACGCTGTATGTGGATGTTTACTCAAGATCTCAGCTACGGTCATCATTGTTAACTCGCACATGCTATTGCAGGTGCATAAGACTGGTTTTTTCAGTTTAATCAACACCGGTTTCTCCCGTGAGGAGGTTGAGCGCCAGTATGACATCGGGCAAGGCTTCTTCAGCCTCCCCCTCGAGGACAAGAATCGAGAAGATAATCGCTGCGACTTTGCTGTGGGAAACTACTTTGGATACCGACCAGTAGGTGGATGGAAATGAGTGACTCAGACAAGCTCTTCGCTAACTGTAATTCGTCGCAGAACAACGACAAGAAGATGATGGGCACCAACGTCCTCAGCAACGTCGAATCAGTCAACATCCCAAAGTTCATCCCGCAATACGCCAACCAGCCGTTCCATCCTTTCTTCGAAACGTACAGGACAGAGATCGAAGACTTCTCAAGGGTAAGCACATGTACACAAAGGTATGCGCGATGTCTTTTTACTGACCACTCCCCGTTATCCAAACAGCGCTCTTCCGAACTCGCCGCCAAAGTCTTCACCCTCTTCGCCATCATCCTCGAGCTGCCCGAGGACTACTTCTCCTCGCGCCATGCCTACGACTCCCCGAGTGAGGACCACCTGCGCTACATGGTCTACCACCCGCGGCCCCTGGCCGACGACCTCAAGGTCGAGCGCACCTGGTCCCGCGCACACACGGACTTCGGCTCCCTGACGCTGCTGTGGAGCCAGGACGTCGCGGGCCTGCAGATCAAGACGGACGACGCGTCGTCGTCGTCGTCGGACCCGTGGCGCTACGTGCCGCCCGTCGACGGCGGCATCGTGTGCAACGTCGGCGACACGCTGCAGTTCTGGTCGGCGGGCTACCTGCGGTCGACGGTGCACCGCGTCGTGCGGCCGCCCGAGGACCAGGCGCACCTCTACCGGCAGGGCCTTTTCTACTTTGTGCGCCCGGGCGACGGCGTCGACATCAAGCCCGCCGCCGACTCGCCGCTGCTGCGGAGGCTGGGCCTGGTGACCGAGGCGGACGCGCGCGGGGAGCCGGTGACGGGCCTGCAGTACGTGCGGGAGCGGGTGAAGAACTACCACGACCATGACGACTATGCGGACAAGAGGGGGGCGACGTTCAAGGTGGGCAACCTGGAGATTGAGGACCAGGCTGCGTAGGTGAAGAACAATTGTATCGTGTTTCTGGGTTTCAAGGAAAGGACAAGCAAGTTCCTAGGGTTCTTCCATCCCTGCTCATCAACCACGGAGGCAAATTGCATTGAAATGAATCGAGTGAATTATCAAAAATATCTCGTCTTCTTTCACCAACCGAGCCACAACGCGACACCTTAAACCCATTCACGTCAGACGCCGCCTTTGATAATTACCTAGGTAGTCACAAAAGTCCAACCGAGACAACTACAAAACATAGCGGAACATGACCTTAAGAGAAGCAAGTGTCAGTAAAACCACCTCATGACCCGAAAAGACAGATAACGAGAAAGAACACTCACATTGTGCTTGTCCGTCACGTCCTCGAAGCCCTGCAGCTCGCTCTCCCTCTTCATGTCCGCCAGCTCCTCCTCGGACTTGCCCTCGAGGTCCCGGTCGCGGCGGCGGTTCTCGAGCACGTAGAGCAGGCGCAGGACCTGGTTCAGCACGAGGTTGAGCACGAAGCCGCACAGCATGGCGACGATGCCGCTGTGGTACGAGGGCGCCTGCGACGACTTGAAGAACTGGGGCCCCGCGATCTGGCCCACGCAGTAGCAGACGAAGACCCAGCCCGAGGCGACAGAGCGCTTGGTGCTGCCGGCGATGTTGGTCGAGAGCAGGCCGAGGATGACCATGAAGCCGACCGGGTAGCTGCCCAGGAGCCAGAGGCCGACGAGGCGGCCCCACTTGTTGTCTGTGTGCAGCTGGTTGATCAGGCAGGTGCCGATAATCTGGGAGGACTTTGTTAACATCTGTGTTTCATTTCTTATGTGACATTTGAGACGTGGGTGGGGGAGGGAGGTCGCTTACCGGAGGGATCATGCAGAGGGAGCCGATGTGCAGACGGGACTTCTTGATCTTGCTGGCGAGGAAACCAGCGGCGAGCTGCGCAATGAGCTGAATAGCAGACAGCGGCAGTTGCATGAGCGTGGTCTGGATAGGGTTGAAGCCCAGGCCGTTGACGAGCAGGGAGCCAAACGACAGGCCGCCGGACGCGATCGCGTTGACAAAGGAGATCAAGCCCAGGATAATAATCTTGGGATCGACGACTGCTTCGTAGACCTGCTCCTTAACGAACCGTCGGCTCTTGGTGCCCGTCTTGTTCTCGATCAGGCGCTGGATGGCGATGACCTTCTCCTCCTCGTTCAGCCACCGGACCTGGGCCGGGCCGTCGGGCACGAAGAGGTAGAAGACGACGCCCCAAATAACGGTGATGGCGCCGAGGATGAGATAGATGTACTTCCAAGGCGACAGGCTGCCGGTGATGTGCCCGATGCCGAAGGCGATCAGCGTGCCGACGAAGCTGCCGACTCCCAGGAAGGATATCCACAGCGCCGAGCGCGACGCCTGCTCCTGGCGCGTCCACCACATACCAGTCACCGCAACAAAGCCAGGCGAGATGGTAGCCTCGAAGACGCCCAGCAGGAAGCGCACAGTCGCGAGGCTGGCGAAGGAGGAACACGCGGCTGTACACATCAGGATCGCGCCCCAGAGGATGATGTTGATGCCCAGGAACTTGGCCACGGGAAACCGCTGCAGGATCGCCACTCCGGGATACTCAAACAGGAGGTAGCCGAAGTAGAAGATTGAGGCAGCCCATGAGTAGTCCTGGCCGACGAGGTGGTTGTCCTGGATGATGCCGTAGACGGACGAGTAGCCGAGCGAGGTCTTGTCGATGAACTGGAGGGCGTAGGTGGCGCAGAGGAAGGGCAGGATGTACATGTCGATCTTGCGCAGGATCTTTTTGGATGCGGCCTTGTCTGCCTCGCCATTCATGAGGGCGGCGGCGGCCAGGTCGCCCGTCTCGTCTTTGACGTCGAGTTTGGAGAAGTCGGGGTGGTGATCGTGTGCCGCCGCGACGGGCGCGATGCCGTCCCCGCCGCCACCACCCACCCGCTTCTCTTGATCGGCATTCGAGTCCTGGGTCATGTTGAGCTTCTGCTGCCTAGGGCTGACTGGGCCTGGAAGGGCAATGTGCGCTGCTGAAGGGCTTCAAGATGGGGAGGGAATCGAGCCACACAAGGCAGAAGCAGAGGCAGGCCTCGAGGGCGACGAGGCACAGCGGAATCGCAACTTTTTGTGCCCGATGCCTAGACCCTGGACATCGGAGGTCTTATCAGACAGACGTGGGCCAGTTTACTGAATAGCCCGTCGCATTCTTCGACTACTGACGGGCAGGGAATCGCTCGCGTGCTGCGCTGCCGCTACCAGTGCGACGGCGCCTGGGTACTTTTTCTCTGAAAAGATAAGACTAGTCAATTGGGGAGGATCTAAATGCTTATGTCGTCGCGACCCGAGAAGAGACCCAAGGATGGTAAAGTCCAAGATCGGGGAAAAGCAACCCTCCCCGACACTGTCGGTGTAAGTAATAGACTCCCAGCTAAGAAGCTGATCACCAAGACTAGGCAGTGGGATCACCCACTTGGGATGAGCCGATACATGAGAAATGGATCGAAATTTGAGCTCCTGGCCTCCGCAGGCCGGGTGCTAGTCAATTGATAGGTCAATGGCTGCACACCCACGAGTAATAACCATGCGGCACGACCAGTCAAACCTTGCCCGATTTCCGGGACGTTAGACCAAAGTTAGGCATAACGTCGGCCGAGTCCCCGAATGCGAAGTCGGAAAACAGCCCAGCTCCACCCTCATCCATCGCGTTTCCTCCGCTAAAAGATAAGAAACCCCACGTTAGTGTGTGTATTGTCGTGTGATGGTGCCTGGGTGAATCAGCTTCAGGTGTGCAGCAGCTTTGAAGCCGTCCTAGTGAAGTCAACAATAACCATCTGTCGCAATCTGTCGCGAAAGCTGCAAGATAGTGACGATGACGGAGGACCTCGAGCAGGACGGCTTTGTGATCATCTCGCATGAGGAGGCGGGCCGCCTGTCGGGAGAGAACCCGGTACCGGACTATTTGTCCGACATCAGCAATTATGTCGACAGCATCGGCGACGCGCTGTGGCCGGTCAACAAGAAGATCCACGACAACCCCGAGCTGAACTATGAGGAGTACATCGCCCATGAGGCCCTCACTTCGTTTATGGAGAAGAGGAAGGGCTGGAAGGTGACGAGGTCGGCATACGGCATGGACACGGCCTGGTACGCCGTCTATGACACCGGCAAGAAGGGGCCGGTCGTTTCCTTCAACGCCGAAATGGGTGTGTTTTCCGTCCTTGATCAAGTTTCGTGTCCTGGGTCTTGCTAACAAGGTGCCGTCGGTCAGATGCGCTCCCGGGCATCGGGCACGCATGCGGCCATAACCTCATCGCCTCGGCTTCGGTGGCCGGTGCTCTAGCAACTGTGGAGATGATGCGCCGGTTCAACATCAAAGGCAAAGTTGTCTTATTCGGCACGCCGGCCGAAGAAGGTTTGAACACCCCCGATCTGCCATGGCTGTGTTCCCGGAAACCAGCTGACGACCGATCCCAGGCGGCGGCGGCAAGATCCGAATGATCAAGGCGGGCGCATACCGCGAGCACAAGGTCGACCTCAACCTCATCTCGCACCCGGGCATCGTCGCGGACTGCGCGCTGACCCGCACGACCGCCTACACGCGCTTCAGCGCCGTCTACCACGGCCGCGAGACGCACGCCGCCGCGAACCCGTGGCTCGGCATCAACGCGCTCGACGCCATGGTCGCGGCGTACAACGGCTTCTCGATGCTGCGCCAGCAGACCATGCCCGGCGACATCATCCAGGGCCACATCACCGACGGCGGGCTCGCGCCCAACATCATCCACGCCCGCGCCGCCGGCGTCTTCGTCGTGCGCGCCAATCTGCAGTCGCGCCTCGACGTGCTGCGTGGGAAAGTGGACCGGTGCTTCGAGGCCGGCGCGCTGGCGACGGGGGCCCGGCTCGAGGTCGAGGAGGAGCAGGCCTACAAGGACCACGTGCCCAACCGGGTCCTGGGCAGGTCGTATGCCCGCTACTTCAACGCCCTGGATCCCCCGAGTCGCATCGCCGAGGACCAGGACGTCGATGAGATCCGGGGCAGGACCTCGGCTAGCAGCGACCAGGGAGACATCAGCTACGAGATGCCGAGTCTGAACCCTGGCTTCTCGATCCGCCCTGGCCCACAGGGGAACGGGCCGCACAGCCCGGACTTCACAGAGGCGTCGGGGACCAAGGATGCTTTTGAGAGGAGTTTGAGGGTTGGCAAGGCGCTTGCGGGAACGGCTATCGATGTGCTGACCCAGGAAGGTCTGTTGGCCGAGGTCAAGGAGCAGTGGAGGAGAGACATGGAGAAGGCGTCAGCTGGCGATGAAACGTATTAGCATGTATAATAATGGGTGAAATCGGACTCTGCATGTTTCAACTTCCGGAAGAGTGGTTTCCAGTCTTTGGGCAATTCGCACGAGTCCAACTCCATGGAACGGTATTAACGAGCGGTACTGTTCCACCAATTTGCGCTATGTTTCGCGACGTTCCTGTGCAATATTAAAGCGTCAGGGATGATCACTGGAGGTACTCCCCTTCTCGTTATCTGTGTTTGATTCTGTTGCCCTGTATGAGACTGTTGAGCATCAATAAGAACACAAAAGCAAATGCCACCATCAAGTGACGTGCCAGAATAAGACGCAAAGTCATGTCCGTAAGGAGTATTTGTGCTAGCAATAATCCGTGCTGCTAAACTACCTACCCATCACCAATTGCCCATGAAAAGAAAACCCAGGCGATACAAGCTCCTTGCTTGTAATATTCCCCAGCGCAAAGCTGACTGAAGACTCCGCAAAGAAAGAGATAGAGAGAACCCGATTGAGATATGCCCGAATGAACTCCAGTCGCCTGTATGAAAACCACTGGCCGTCCCAAATCCCGACATAGCAATGAAGCAACTCATGATCGTGGAGTGTTTGAGTTCGCAAGTCGCCGCCGCGAACAAAAGAAAAAAAAGAAAGATGGAAAATTGTGCATGGCTTACCACTACTGCGAGTCACAGTAGTGCCAGATGTCGGTACCTGGAGCCACGATGAGGTGGTGGAGCATGTCGTGCTCTTCAAGTGAGAAGAAAGCCGTGCCTTCGCCCCAGTGCGGCGGGGATTCATGCTGGTCGCATTGCTCGCCAGCCTTGCAAGCATCGCAGGACACCTTAGCCTTGAGACTCTTCATCTGATCCTCGGTCCATGGGAGAGCGTGCATATGATATAGACGCTTTGATCCGTGATCGTTGGGGTCCAAGGCCTTGACCGTGAACGTGTTCAAGTAGCCCTTCATCGACTGGCGGAAGGTGATGATAGTCAAGATATTGCAGTGGAGCGAGATGTCCTTGAAGCTCATGTAACCGCACGAGACTGGTTCGCTCGGCTTAGCCAGCTCGCAGACGCAGCCCTGGCAGTGATCCATGGCGTAGCTAATGCGCTGGTTGATGTCACTGAGGCGTTCTGTGACGCGGATGGTGTGGCGAGCATTGACCGCCACGGCGATGTCTGCAAAGTTCAGGAATAGCCTTCCTTTGTGGTCGATAAACGCGTCCTCGAGGACGGAAACCTTGTGGGGAGCCCGGCGAAAATCGAGACCGAGACCAGAAAGGAGCTCCAGCATGTCGTCGATGGAGGCACCACGAACCATGAGGCATCGCGTGGCTCCTTCCTCCTCGATGGCGTCGGTGACAAAGGTGTGGTCCGGGTATGCCGGAGTTCCGGTGAGAGTCACCTTCCACGGGTATGCGATGTCGGCGGCGCGTTTCGGGGTCGCCAACTCCTGGGCGGCACCTACGAAGTTGGAAGCATCATCTGCCGAAATAAACTTCACCATTGCAGTCATACCCTGTCCGAGAGCACGAGTGTCAGCTAGGATAGCCTTGTGCACACCCCCTCCGCGAACGCGCTGGAGAACATCGCGGAGCTGGTGTCCAGCAGGGATATTGGAGATTGTCACAGTCCGCAGATCGCTGCTGGGAACATCGAGAGCAGCTTCGTCGGGATAGCGGACTACGGCGTCAGGACGGTATTGGATACCGTACGTGAGAACGCCGGGAAGCTCCGGGAGAGGAGAGCGGTAACTCGTGCCATAATGCATCTCAATGCAACCCTCTCGAAGCTCCTCATCCTCGCTGATCCACTCTGTAGGTCGAACATCCGTGTCATCGACTTCACTAGGAACAGGGCTCTCAGTGGTCCCGACATGGTTGTATAGGCTCATCCCAAGTTCCAGCTCGAGTGCGCTGCAGTAGACGCGGCGGACTTCGTTCTGCGGGTAGTTCGAGTCCGATTCGAGAGATCCGGTAGGAATTGCCACATGGGACGGGCAAGGGGCGCCCGGGGTCACAGGAGCAGCATCAGAGATGCCAAGCTCTGCAATAGTGGTGGAGCTGCAAGCTGGGGATGAAAGCTCGTCAACCAGGACAAACGACGAAGCGGGTGATGAAGGCTCGTCATCCAGGACAAATGAAGCAGCCGGGGGGGAGTGGGCCTGAGTGTCAGGTAGCTCCTGAGCCGTCGAAGAAGGACTCGAGATGGAGTGGGCAGGGCTGGAGTCACACAGCAGGTCGTCATCGCCTCGCTCCTCAACGTGTACGAGGTCCTTGGTGTCATCGCTGACGTCGGTAGTACCTTCATCCTGGCGGCTCGTACGGAGGGCCGCAAGCTCCTCACGAAGAGATGCGTTCTCGTTCTCAAGAGTCTGTGACTTGTTCTCGAGAACTCTATTCTTCTCCCAAAGCTCACATTTCTCCCTGCAGAGGCGGCTTATTTCGACAAGTTGTTCATAAGATCGCTCCAGATTTTCATCATAGCGCTTCTGTATTCTGAACGCAAGACGAGGCTTGTCGGTTAAATCATCAAGTAGGTGCATTAGGAGATGACGGAAGTCCTTGGTGCCATGTCAGTATGTCCCTGGTATATCAGATATTGAAAGAACATTGATGGGACAAACCTGCGAAGCAGTTTGGAAAACCCGAGCCATGGTTACAAGGCCAAAGAGGTGATGTACTGATTTGTGAAGACGGGTACGTCAGGCTTGACTGAAGGATGAACGAAAAACCACCTTCTATTGGAAGCAGTGGTAAAGGAAGAAGAGATCTTGCTGATTTGATGAAGAAACACAAAACAGAAAGACAAAGATGAAGGGATAGAAGGGATAGGAGATGGGGGGAGGAGATGGAAGGAGGAGAAGAGGGGAGGAGAAGAGGGGAGGAGAAAAGGCTTTTGTAGTGAGAAGACCTCCTGTCTGCTAAGTGAATGAGAGAAGAGGGACAAGGTCGGTCTCCGGCCGGCCGCCGGGTAATTCAGTTAATGAGAGAGCAGACAATGAAAAAAAAAAACATGAGATGAACACATCAGATGAAAATGCACAGGTGGGTCTCAATTAACTTGAAAGTGAGAAGCCAAGAACAGTGAATGAGGCCGAAAGCTCCGACTGAATGCTCTTGGGGGACCTTGCTCACCTTCCGAGCAATTCAATCTCTTGTGCTGAGAATTGTTCTCCGATGTGTTCCCAATCTGACTGCTTAGTGGTGAGGAGGTCCAATTTCACTGTGAATTATTCATGTGATGACTTGCCCCCTGGAACCCTCCCTGGAACAAGGGGGATCTGACTCGGAGGAGAGATGTGATGAGGCTGTCCTATATTATGTCGACAACAGCTCAGTGAGGTTTAATGTGACTTGGCAGCTTGATGATCTGCGGTTAGACACACAGATGAAGGCTGATGATCTCAACCGATATCATACTTGTTAGGGAATTACTTGATTTCATTAATCGTTAGGGTATCGACCTATGTCTCGTGGATGCTCTCGACTCTCTCCTCGACTTTCTGCAGCAGCCGCTTTTCTACTTTATGTTTGGGCATCATCCAACCAGGCCATGCTTCCCGGGGATCAACAACGCCATTGCCATAAGGAACTGCCGGTCACTAATGTCGGCGGTCATGCAGGCGTCTACCTCTTGCCAAACATGGAAAACTGCCTCGCCAGATTGACTCCGAGACTAGTCCGGGGCGGAGGCGACGACACCGAAAGCGATGTCTTATCTTCGGTGACCTTGAACTCATCATCGTCCTGCGGCTCTTCGGTTCCATGAAGGGCGTCATTGGCGTCATGAACCCGACCCTCGCTGTCCGCACGACCTTCGTCCTCGCCTTCAAAAGCCTCCTGCACACTCGAGAACTTGCGGCTGCCCATCCAGGGGGACAGCGTTCTCTGCGCGCTCGGCCCCTTCTTCTTGCCAGACGGCTGCTGCTGCTGCTTCTTCTGCGGCGTCGAGGGCAGACTAGACCCTCCGGCCTCCTTCTTCTCCTTGCGCTTGAGGTACTTCCTGACCAAACTCCGCGAGATGTTCTCCTCGGGCTCCCACGTCGGGTTCTGGTCCGGCGGCCAGTCGCCGACCCACCGCACCTTGTAGTAGCGCACCATGCGGCCGTCCTCGAGCTCGAACCATTGGTCGCCTTCGAGGCGCTTAACCTCGTACGCCTGCTCTGCCTGGGCGGTGGTCTCGGCGGCGGCGGCTGACTGGTCCTGGAGCTTGCCTAGTGCTCCGAGGTCGGGCTTTGAGGAGGCTGGCGGGGCCGGCGAGGTCTTTGGCTTCTTCTGAGTGGGCGGTCTGGCCTGATCTTTCCGGTGCTCCGGCAATAGTCCTGTAGTACCGTTGGCCTGAACTGTGTCTTTACCGCGTGGCTTTGGTCCTGGCTTTTTCTTCTGCAGCATTGCTTTGGCTTCCTGTGTTTTTGCTGCTGATGGACAGGGCGCATGGCCATTCACAGCCGGGCCTGGCTTTGTACTCTGGTTCTTGGGCTTCATGCCCAAGAGCGGTGGCGAAATCCGGGTTTCTTTCCTGATGACTGCAGGTTCCGGCGGCGCAGATGTGGCTGTCTTCACTGGGCTAAGAGTGATCTGCTGAATGGGCGTGAAACTGCCAACATAGCTCGGAAGCGGCACCTGAGTCTCTTGTGTCAAGGGCGTCGGCACAAGATCGACGTCCATGTCCTCCTCAGAGTGTTCACTCCTCGACAGGCCGAATCCGCTCATCGCATCCGTCGCACCATCGGACAGCTCGCCCTGCAGCTGCTGTAGTATGGCCTGCTCGTCCTCATCCGTGACATCCTCCACTCCACCACCACCTGCCAGCACATCCCCCGCCTCCAGGAAATCCGCCAGGCGCCTCTTGCTCGGCGTCGACAGGGACGGGCCAGAGACCTTCTTGCGCACGACTCCTTGCTCCTCCTCCGTCTTCCGACCCGGCATTGGCGGGGGGCTGATCGGCCGCTCCACGTACGAGCCCCTTGGCGGGCGGCCCCGCGGCTTACGCGCGACCTCCCTCAGGGACGCGGCCTTGGCCTCGTCGACGGCGCTCTGCCACTCCTCCTCCTCGCGGCGCAGCGATTCCCTGTACTCCCAGTCCTCCATGACGCCCGGGGAGACGTACTCGAGCGCGCGGCAGCAGGGGATGAGTACGCGCGCCGCCGGCAGGTCGGGCCAGCCGATGATGTAGCATATCTTCTTCTGACCCAGCTTCCCGGGCAGGGAGGTCGCCGGGTCGATGACCTTGTCGACGATAAAGGCGTCGGAGTCGCGCGGCGGCAGGAGGGATATCGGTTGGGACTTGGGGCCGGAGCCCCGGACGTAGCGCCGGCGGAGGGGGATGTTGATCTCTATGCGCTCGCGCCGCCGCGGGGCGACGGCCGCAGGCACTGCCATCCTCTCGGAGGATCTCTCGGTGTTCGTATCTTCGTATTAAAAAGGTCGATTTATACTCGCAAGGCAAAGAGGTTATGGTACACCCGCCGCGTCAAGAAGGAGTCGCAGGACGCGCTCCGCGCAGAGCTGGCGGCGGGGTGTTGTGTGAATTAATTCCGCACCTGGCCACTTCTGGAGAGTTAACAAAATTAAGTCCAGAGCTGGACACGATGGAGGGGAAGCCCATGAATTAAGCTCATCACAAGAGAGATCATACCTGTTGAGTTGTTGGCCGGAACAACCGTGTGTCGCGAAGGAAGTTCGTGAGGACCAGGAGGGAGTGGTTTGAGGATTGGGAGATCAGCCTACCAAGTGGGCCTCGCCATCCATATAAATAGCCCAACAAAGACAACTAATTTTAATAGTATTAAGGTTTCTAACCCCTTTTAGAAGCCCTTTACATATGTTATTCTATTATTATAGTAGCTTAACATATTTTAAAGAGTTGCACTACTTATTTTAAAGTGTATATCTATGTTTAAATATTAAAACTAATATTTAATAGCTATCTTAGTAGAATTTTAATAGGGAAAACTGTATATTTCCTTGAATTGTTAAACAGAAAGTGTTAATCATAAATAATATGAGAAGGAATCCTAATTTTTAATCGCAAAAATATTGTTTGTATTTATGGTTTAAAGAATCTGTCTGGAGCGGGTTTTCAGGATTTTGACCTCCTAAGGATTTGGTGTCGATTCTAGCTCGCTAACTAGTGGGCTCAGCCCGCAGATTCCATTGTCGCTTTCGTAATAAGTGCACATGCCCGTTGACAGAGCCCGCCTCTGTCTTGAGTTTAGCAGAGGTCCCATTCATCCAGCACATTCTCCAAGCTGACATGAATTATTCGACTTCTCATTGTGACTCCTGTCCCTGATGATAGGCTATAGTACTTACTTGCAGAGGTGTCATCTACTGATATATCTGCAAGTTGTGTCCTTGGAACGGTGAAATGAAGACTCGATGTCTACATTAGCGGACCGAAACAATTGAAAACCAGTATCATAGGCTCAACTACTATAAGTCACTCTAGGACGAAAATTCTGGAGCACATGTCTGTTACGTTATGACACGACCTGGAAAATGGTGCAATGGGCCGAGAGCGGAGCCATGGGCTTGTTGCGAGGTTCATTGTGAGCTTCTCGGCATGCTGGTCATGTATCTGATTGGAACAACGGCCTAGGCTGTATCGGAGGTAGAGAATAGGACCAGGTGGTTAGAGACTGCACATATGTAGTTTTGGATAGTCGCGGGCCTTGCATTGCTCAATGGGTGCTTTGTGCGTTCCCGGCTTTATGCAACCTGGTTTACTTTCTTCTTGGTGGTATCTTCCTTCAGTGAGACAATGCGGTTCAGGATGACGCGGTCTGCTGTGCTTTCCGAATCCACAGCCTGGCCAAATGTGATAAGCGACCACTATCCCAAGCCAATAACACGGAGACTATATGGAGTCACTTACAAAATATGCAACTCTCATGCCCTGAAACCGGACGCTTTCGGGACCCAAGCTCTCTTCCGCCTTCTCACCGGCAGCCGCGGGCCAAGGTGCTCGCTTCCGCACTGTCTCGAATCCCGCCTCGACCAGAGCCAACGGGTACACCGTCTCGCTGTCGGTATCTATGTCGTTCATAAAGCCACCTTCAACAGCCGCAGGGTCGTCTGATTTGAATAAAGGTGAGTGAAGCCGGACTTCGACCTGGCGTGAGCCTTCAGGCACCCATTGAATGTGGGTTTTAGGCTTCTTGCTTTCCTTGTCCAGCCGAGCCCGGATCTCGGTAACCCTCCCCGTCGTTGCGTCCTTGGAAAAGGTCGTGGCCTTGACAGGATACGGGATCTGGAGCAGTCCAACCGTCTTCCCAGGGGCCAGGCGAAAGTAGTCCGGAGAATCCACCTCTCGAAAGTCCGACTGGTCGATGTACACCGTCCTGGTAATAGGCAGCTTGTGAATCCCCATAGTCGGATCCTTCGGAGAGAAGGGCAGGTCCACCTCTTGGGCTTCGAGCTCGTCTAGGTTGTCAATCACCAGTGGAACGGGATCCAGGACAAGCATGAGTCGCGGAACCGTAGTCTCAAGGTATCTTCGAACAGTTTGTTCGAAGCGTGGAATCTGAATCACGGTATTGGCCGTAGTAACTCCTAGCTCGTTGATAAACGCCAGGATGGCACCGTGTGGGACACCTCTTCGGCGGAGGGCAGAGAGCGTGTACAGGCGAGGATCATCCCAGCCGCGAACTACTTGCTCCTCTACAAGGCGGTTGAGGCCTCGCTTACTCATAATAGTACCGTTGATATTTAGACGACCTTGGAGGTTAGAACCACTATAAGAAGCACTACTGGCAGTATTACGGATCGGGTTGAAGTGCTTACCGTACTCGCGCTGCATGGGCTCATAGACACCCAAGCTTTTATTGAGCCACTCGTAACTCTCGCGAGAGAGAACGAACTCAGTTGTACAGAGACTGTGTGTTATGCCCTCAATACTGTCGCAAAGGCAGTGGGCAAAGTCATAAGTCGGGTAGATACACCACTCATCCTTGGTGCGATAGTGTGGTAGCCTATCCTTGGGTATACGGTACGCCGCGAGATCCCACATCTGCGGATTTCCGCTCTCGATATCCTGCTTCATCCGGAGAAATGCCGTCTGGGGCGCGTATTTCCCGTCACGCATATCTCTGAACTTGTGCAGGTTGGTGTCAACGTCTTGGTCTGCATGAGCACAGCGGTATCTCGGCCCCTCTTTGCCGTCTTGACCACCTCTCTGGAGCTTGATGTCGGCCTCTTGGCAGTGGCAGACATAAGCCTTTGACAAACGAATCAATGCCTCGGCATAATCGTAGAGCTTCTGAAAGTTGTCGCTGGAGTAGGTAATGGCACATGGTTCAAAGCCTAGAAAAAGTGGTCATGTCAGAACCACGATGTCCAAAGCTTCAAAATCTAGGAGGATTTTGAGCCTACCTAGCCAGCGGATCGTCTCTTCGATAGCCAGAAAGTATTCTTCTTTCTCCTTGTCAGGGTTCGTATCATCAAATCTTTGCCGCATGTCAGCAAGAGCACTTGGAACAAGTAGAGTTTGTTTACCGTAAGATCTGGCGTTTATCAGCACTACCAATCTACGGATGGGGTTCCAGTACCAACCGTCTTGCCGCCATGATACTTGGCAAAGCCAAAATTAACAGCAATGGCCTTTGCATGCCCCAGGTGCAGGAATCCATTGGGCTCTGGTGGAAAGCGGGTTAGCACCTGCTCAGACGGCCGGAGTCTGAAGACCTCGGCAAGAAAGCCTTGTTTGAACATGGCGTCAGGATCAAGCTGGGATGAATCGGCCTTGGCTTGCTGCTTCCTAGATGGTTGCTCTTCACCGGCACCGGCGCCGGTAGACGTTAAAGCCGTACTGGCGCGAGCTGCTGCGGCTGCTGCTGCTGCTGCCTTCTTGGCCCTCTTCTGCATCCGCTTCTTCAATTCGCCCTTAGAGACCATCTCTCCGGTTTCCTCATCAAGCTGAAGCTTGGCAGTACTTTGGGTGATGCCGTCCGCCATGATGACTAGTGTGGGAATCCTGTTTCGGTCGGTAGAACCAGTTGGTAAAAGTAAAGGACTGGATGGGATGCGAATATTTATGCGATATGTGAGTCATAATTTGAGGTAAACAACATGTTGGAGACAATTTATGCAGAAAGCCACCAGACATGGGGTAGCGGGGTTGAAACATGTCATTCGTGCCATCAGACAAATAACTCACTCCACGACCTCCAGTTTGTCTTTATTTCAATGAGTTCACTTCACAGTCCCGCCAACATTCACGGAAATGGGCAGGCCATAGTTAGGTAGTGCGTGAAGATGGCTTCAATAAGACCCTTGGTCAATCTCGCTGCGCTTAAGAATTTACAGAGGCCTGCAACAACGAGTACTATGAATTTGTCATGCAAAAGAGAATCCTCTAATGCCTTAAAAGTAGTCGATAACTGTTATGCCCTCAGCCGATTTGGCAAGATGTGATAGGCACTGGGTACGAGGATTAAAGTTGCCGAGGGGAAACTCCACGTAAGACCTTTGACTGTAAAATTGTTCATTCCTACTCAGGGTCCTCAATCAGTGATTGGGAAATCATGGAAAGAATTGCCACATTACACAAGAGTGCTGCGGCGAGAGCTGCAAATTCCCCGAATATGAAATGTGAAACCACTCGCTCCTTCGATTATCTCCTGATCGGAGAGAACGCCCAACTCATGAAAAAAGACCAAGTCCGTAAAATACCACTCATGCTGGTCCTGCAACCCTTGAGATGTTCTCAATACCCAACCTCTTAAAGACATCCTCAAACTTGGCGTGGTCTGCCGCATGCTGCATTCGATGGCACCACGTCACCTCCTTCATACCGTTCTTGCCTGCTGCTGCAGGTTCGAATAGCAGCTCACCGCCGTTCTGGCTCGGATCGCCGGCCTTGTGGACCTTGTGCGGCATCCAGATGACCTGCGACATGGCCTTGAGGAAGCCCTGGAGGACGTTCCCGTTATAGTAGTCAGACCCTTTGGAACCCATGCTACGCGGCAGCTGGAACGCTTCGTACAGCTTGAGATTCGAATCTGCGTAGACAGGGAAGGGACAGTTTGCCTCCCGCTTCCAATGGTCGATCAGCTGGTAACCGCCGTTGCCGATGACGACAATGGACGTCTTGACGGGCAGGCTACTGAGGAGTTCCGGAGTGACCGTACCAACAAGCTTTTGCATATAGGTTTGGCACGCCTGTTTATCTTGATCAGCGCCTCATGTCGCCACCATCGAGGGTAGGGCGTGCGTGAGATGTAATGCGAGGAGAAATTGCTTACGGGGCAGAACCAATGTCGGATGAACATGACGAGCACCCGAGGTGAGGCATTCACAATGTCCTTGAAGGGAACTTGTTTGCCTTCCCGGTCGAGGACAGTGAGGTCCCATGCGGCGCTCAGCGTCTCGGCCGTTGGGACAGCATTGGGATCGACTCCAGGGGCCACCGGGGCAGCTTGCGACCCGCCAGCCTCGCACGCAGCTGGGGTCGTCATGATAACGGGATAGTGGCCGTGCGACAACTTGTGACGGCGCGAATGAAAGCCTTAAAATGAGTGGCGATGTTCGGAGAACGCGCGACGTGTGATCGAATGAGGATCAAGGCACGTTTACGTGGGAAGTTTCGATTTCAATGCGATGGATGGCTGGAAGCGCGAGTGCGAGCTCCTTCCATGCCCCCTGTCTCGTCAATTGGCAGCGGGCGCCCAACTAATAAGAGCAAGTGCTGACATCCGTCTCAAGCAACTTCTTGGCGGCCTGGGCTGGATCTAAGAACTCTCTACATGCGTTTATTTGGAGGCTTGAAGACCATCTGAAAGTCTGTTTACTTCACAAATTGGATAGCATTGTGTAGAAAATTTGAAGTGCCTTTCCACGGGAAAAACAAGTCGAGAGAGATACATCCATCAAGTAACTACTGCCTCCGATGTTGCTCGGCGCCTGAGGCTGCCACTGCCATATCTCCACGCCAGCTGGCAGCCCAATCGGCTCCACCTCGGGACAAAACTTGGGTAGGCCTGGTATGTCACAGCTCAGAAGCATCAAACCATGATGGACCAAGCTTGAGCTCTGACGAACCCGGGCCATCTTCGACATCACACTCTCTTGCTTCTCCACGAGCAGCGCCAATCCCCCGAGACGCATCACAGAGCATAATAGGGTGCTCTGATTGATACGAGCGAACAGCATCTCGTCAACCAATACCCGCCGCGACTTTCCATTCCCACCGCAGCAAGGCCAGACCACACGATCAGCCCTGTCGCCATGCTCACCTCGACGACGACAACCATGTTCCGCCCTAGCGTCGCCCGCTCCTGCGGCCTGCAGCCTCTGCTCCGCCGCTCTACCCCGACGGCCTGCCCTTACTCGACCTTCCGCCCTTCCTCCCTCGGCCTCCGCCAGAGCCCGTGGCAGCAGAAGCAGACGCCCTGCATCAAGCCCGTCCGCAGCAGCACCACGACCACGACCGTCGTCCCCCGGCGCCACGCCTCCACCACCTCGGCCGCCCAGCAGGACGCCGAAGCCGCGGCCGCCGCGTCGGCCCAGGCCCGCGCCAGCCACCCGGACCTGCCGCCGCTGGACTGGAACACCTTCTTCCAGCTGCGCAAGACGCGGCGGCGCTGGCAGCTCGCCTTCAGCTTCGCAACCTGCGCCACGGGCGGCACCGTCGGCGCCCTGTTCCTCAGCACCGGCGCTGCCGACGCCATGGTCAACCAGATCCCGCTCGACCCGTTCGTCACGCTGGGCCTCATGACCTTTGGCTTCGCCGCGCTCGGCTGGCTCGCCGGCCCCAGCATGGGCAGCGTGGTGTTCTACGCGCTCAACAGCAAGTACAGGGCGCAGATGACCTTGGTAAGTTGGCCATGGACCGGATGGGGTTGTTTGGGGAGTCTATGCTGACAATTGTCTGCAGAAGGAGACGCAGTTCTTTGCGCGGATCAAGAAGAACAGGGTTGATCCCTCAGCCTCGTCGGCTGGTAATCCAGGTGAGCAACATGTGCCTCCTTTGTGATACGCTCGATCATATCGCTGATCATTCATCGTAGTGCCCGATTTCTACGGCGAGAAGATCTCAAGTGTGGCTGGCTACCGCCAGTGGCTGAAGGATCAGCGGGCCTTCAACAAGAAGAGGACAACTTTCGTATAATGGTCTCGTTTCGAGGTTTTTGCTATAGGAGGGAAGAGCACACCATGAAGCTGCAGCGCCGGTCAGGTCTGACTGTCGGCATTGCACATACAGAGTCATCACTCGAATTCTTTTTGGAAAAAGCTCGTAGTCATTAGTCGTACATCGGCAAGGACTCTGAAACAACAGTCTCTGCTTTACTGCTTTTTCCCGGCGTTTCGAGACTCGCCATCACCAAACTTGTATCAACAGAGTCCTGGGAGATATCGGAACATCTGGCACGAACAATACAAACTCCCCTTGTCGAAGCTCTTTGTCAGTTGCTGTCCAATGTGAGATGTTATGCCTGTTCACATAAATGGCAGGGTGTTGTCAACATCCCTCTTCCAGGCCCTCATCCCTCCCCTGATATCACCCACGAACCGCTTTCCATTTCGATCTAAACCCATCTCTTTCAGTTGCTTAGTCACAAGCTGAGAGTCATTGCCCACCCTGCACACAACGTAGATGGGCGCGTCGTCAGGCAGATCTCCTGGAATCCACTCCGGCCGCGGGACCTCCGTCTGCTTCTCCTGCCCACCGCCGCCATAGGACTGCATCTTGGAGAACGGCACATTGATCGCCCCGCTGATGCTAGCAATATCAAAGTGCTCCTTCTCCCGCACGTCGAGCAGCAGGTGTCTCTTCCCGTCCTGCGTCCTAGCCTGATACTCCCGCGGCCCGACCCTCTCACCGTCCGCCAAGACGTCGACAGGGGCCGCGGCACCCCCGCAGAAGGCAACGTAGTCCAGCGACCCGGAGGCCAGCGTCTCGAGCGTCAGCGTCGAGCCCTCCCCGCAGGCAAAGCAGTCCTTCCGCCGGCCGCGCATGCGCACGCTGCGGAATGTGGCCGGCGACTGCCCGCCGGCCGACAGGAGCAACAGCGTCGGCTGCTGCTGCTGCTGGTGCTGTCCTGAGCCTCCCTCTGCATCGGCGGGCCGGTGCCTCCCCGCCGCGATGATGCGGATCGCCTCGAGTGCCTGCAGCACACCCATGACGCCCACGACGGGGCCCAGGATCCCGCCCTCGCCGCAGCTCGTCACGGCGTCGGGCGGCGGCGGGCGCGGGAACACGCACCTGTAACAGGGTGGGCCTGGTGGTGGTGGCGGGCCGCCGTCGGCAGGGGGAGCGGCGACGACGCCCTGTGCTGTAGGGGGGCAGTTGAGCACGATGAGCTGGCCGTCGGTGCGCAGGGCCGAGGCCGAGACGAGGGGCTTGCCGAGCAGGACGCAGGCGTCGGAGACGAGGTACCGGCTCGTCGGGTGGTCCGTGCAGTCGAGCACGAGGTCGTAACGGGAGACGATGGAGGCGGCGTTGTTCGGGGTCAGGTGCGTGTTGTGGGCGCGGTAGGTGGGTAAGGGGTTGAGGCTTGGTGCGGAATGGTTAGTTCCTCAGGAAGCTGAGATTGAAAAGAGGAGAACATAGAGAAGGGAGAGAGCGACGGGGGCTAAAAGGAGATGAAGGTGTTTCATACCCTCTTGCGTAGGCGATGAGGCTGTCGACCTTGGACATGCCGACGTGGGCGGTCGAGTGTGCGATCTGGCGGTGCAAGTTGGACGCCTCGACGACATCGCTGTCGACGACGCCTAGGGTCCCGACTCCGGCGCCGGCCAGGTAGGCTGCGGCCGGGCAGCCGAGGCCGCCGGCCCCGACGATTAGGACGGCGGACTGCTTGAGATTGAGTTGGCCTGTGGGGGATTGGTCAGCGTTCCGTGGCGTTGGTACGAGACTGAACCGACACACCTTGAATACCGATGCTCGGCAGGATGAGCTGCCTGCCATATCTATCATATTCATCTGCTTGCAGCGGCCATTTCCATGGAACCTCCTCACCATCGGGAGCCGATGTTGGTGGGGCAGCTTCCCGGCTCTCAAGCTCGGCGAGCTGCGACTTGAGGACTGCGAGCTCATTCTCAAGCCTTTTTATTTGAAGCTTGAGCTCCTCAGCACTCCTGGCTGCTGTCTCCATGGCTTGATGGTGAGCTTTACCTTGGAAAGGAACTTGGAGGTTGAAGATGGATGTTAGTCATCGAGGTTCAGCACTGGATGCTCCACTGAACTTGTTCATCTCACTAACACAAGCCTCGCCCATAGAGGAGGATTGAGGGTTCAAAGACAACACTTTCTTCACCTGAATTAATAATTGAAAGCATTCGCTGAATATATAGATCCACGTGATTCGATTTCTCAACAGGTTTCCCTTTCATAATTCATAATTGTACACTTACATGCGCTGCTCACCGCCTGCTTCAAAGCCCTGGAGTGTGCACACCGCCCGTGATCCCGGCTATCGATAAGCTCCCCAAAAGTACGGCAGAAAAAAAAGTTGACCTCCACACCACCCCACCACTTGCTCCTCCCCTTGGCACATCATCACCGCCGCCAATCTCACATCCTCGACTTGCAACCTAAACCCTCCCCTTCAAGCAACATCTCCAAGCCCAACCCATCATGGCATGTCTTCTCCCCCTTGACCCAATCGCAAACCCAGCCAAAACTAACCCTCAGAAACAAAGGCCCCCGTCGCACCACAATCCCAGCACAAGAAGCGCACCCCGCTCCGCGCCCGCGTGCTCGCCAAGCTCGCCGACCCGACCCTGCCGCGCAAGACGCACCGCGAGTCCGCGAACGTCTCGGACGCCTTCATCAACTCGAAGCGCGACAGGCGCCAGATCAAGCACTCGTCCTTCGTCTCGCGCATCCAAAAGTCCCACCCTTCCTCCTCCTCCGGCCAGACGAAGCGCAGGAGGCCCAGCAAGAAGCTCGTCGCCACGCTCGAGAGCCTCGCCGACGCGCTGCCCGAGCTCGACGAGGGGAGCGAGCAGGCGGCCGCCGCGATGCGGGACGGCAAGGTGCGGCACAAGAGCCTCAAGAGCCGGCCCGGGGCGCTCAAGAGGAAAGAGCGGGTCGTCAAGGGCGAGATGGCGAGGTTCGGGGCCAGCCTCGCGCAGTTGGCCGCGACAAAGGAGGAACCTAGTGCTGCAGTGGCTACGGCCGCGGCTCCAGGCGCAGCTGGAGATAGCAACACGGCGCCTCAGCCGCAGCCGCAGATGGTCACGTCGAACAGGTGGGCGGCGCTGAGGGGTTTCATCTCTGCGACCATGGAGCAGAACCCTGCATTCACGAACAAGCCTTGAGCATGATGGGAGGAGAAGTCAGATAGTCGAATTTATGATACCCAGGTCTATGAAGAGAATGCAGTCTTTGCCGCAAGACCGTGACAAGAGCGGGCTCGACCTGACACGAGGCCAGCCGCGGCAAGTCTGTGGGTCATTGACCTTGTACATACCGCAATATATCACGAATGGAATGTCCAAATGCATGAAGTACACAAGAAGAAGGTCGAAAATGCAGAGAAAAGAGATCATCACAATCAGTCCTTGCGGTCTCGAATCATCTTATTGATCAGCAAAATGTCTTCCATCAAACATGACAGGTTCAGCAGAACATCCTGCATCCACTGCCTAGAAGACAAAGTAATGAGGCGAAAAAAGCGGTCATGCCACTGCTTCACTGACGGTCCGTTGATATCAATCATAAAAAAATCCTCCTCTCATCCGCAGAATCGTCTCTAAATCGACGAAACGACCTTCCCTGTCCTCCCTTTCCTATCCTTTCTTGCCCTTCCCTGAGAACTCAAAACCGCATTTACATCGTGTCTCATGCCCTCCCTGTCCAAACAAGTCGCCTTGCTCTTCGCTGTGCGCTTCCGAACGCCTCCGGGTGAAAAAGTGCGGGAAAAATCAAAATCAGAAACCAAAACCGGTGATCAAAGGCCTCGTCGCAACGCCGTTGCTCTCTTGTAAAACAATCAGACAAGAAGAGAAGAAAAAAGCAGCCTCAGTGGGGTGCCGACTCCCTCTATGTCCACGATCTTTGTAGACTCCGCTCTCGCCATGCCGTAGATGGGTAGGTATCTGAATGCACCTCATTCGTCGGAATATGAAAAGATATGTCGAAAGAAACAAAAAAGGAAGAAAAAAGCACCAGACAGAGGTCGAGGAGTAGAAGAATTTCCGTTTGGTGTGTTGGGTGGAAAGGAAGCCCACAGCTTGCACTGCATCTTCATGAGCGTGCTTCTTTGCTGTCTTCATGGTCGGTTTGTCAAGCTGTAATCGCAGACATCCTGTTCTTGGGGTGACTCATGTCTCTCCGGTAAGGTATGTCCGATAGAAGTCTCCTTGCCTTTGACTTTGGCAACCGTTATCATGCGCAGGTGATGATAGAGATCGACTACTAGTCGATGCGCGGGGGGGACGGTTTGTGCAGAGAGAAGGGGCTGGTGCTTCTTCGTCGCTCGCCCTCTCGTCGCAGGTTCTCGATGATCTTCATCATCTCCTTTCGGCCGCCGCCCGCATCGATCATCATGTTGGCCATACTCATTGAGACCTTCTCGCGGGCGTTGGCGTTGAGGAGGCGCTTGACTAGGAGGTGACGCATCAGGATGCACACAAAGACGCCGCAGTCGTTGCCGTTCTCCTGCTGGGGGCAGTCCTCTATGTTCTGGAACCGGAGCGGGATACCCAGGACCTTCGACAAACAATAGGTAGCCTCATAGCCCTCCTTATAGTTTGCGTTGCCCAGCGAGTCGTAATGAAACGCGACTCCGTCGATCGTGGAGACGAGCAGGAGCGACCAGTGCGTACCGCCCTCAGCTTGGGCACTGGTTGCGTCGGTGATGGGAACAAAGATGTGCGTGACATTCCTGAATTCAGGAAGTGCCTTCTTCACCTGCTCCATCTTGCGCTCCTTGGTCAGGATCATCGTCATCGTCGGCCTAAGCAGAACGATGCGTGCCTGAGGGTACTTGGGGAGGATCTCACGCTCCAGCCATCTGCGCAGACATGTCAGCATTTATCGAAGATAAAGTGAGATGAGGGTCAAAAAAGCGTCAAAGTGCTAGGGCCACATGGAATTTAGAAGCGCACTTACTCTTCCCAGAAGCTGATGTTCTGCAAGAGGTCAAGGTCAGTGACATGCCGAGATGAGATGAGAGGTGAGGCAACTTACGATGTCGGTGAGCCAGTCAGTCCGTAGGGCCTTGATGTCTTCATTTGTCACTAGCAAGCTTCGTCAGTCTCCTGTCATCACAGAAATAGGATCATTTGGGTCGGCATGGTTCGCACATGTCACATCGTAGTCTGCCAGCATCGCGTCAGTTTGAGATCTTCGTGAATAGAAATAGACGGGAGAGAAAGAAGGGCTTACACGAAAGGTACTTCTGTTCTGGAGAGAGCTGGTCAAGAGGAGTCTGTGTCAGTCTTGAGGATCTTCTGCATGGTGCGCTGAGAAAAGAAGCAGCATCCATCTTGGGTTTGGCAGTCGAAGACTTGGTGTTGTTGCGGTGCTGGGCTGGTGCTTTAACTGGTGCTTTGGCCTTTGCCTTGGCCCGTGCTTTGGTGGAGGAGGCTGGCTTGACAGGGGGAGGCAATGCAGTAGTCTCTGCAGGTGCTTGTGACTGGAGGGGTGCCTTGCCAGCCGGCTCGACCGCCGAATGCGCAGTAGGCTCGCTGTGTCCTGTGAGCTTGCGCTTCTTGGTGGTGGCGCTGGTTTCAGTGCGCTCGCCGGCATCTTGCTCGGCGGCGTTTCCGGAGGCGTCGGGAGACACTTCTTCGTCGAGTGTCTCCCTCTTGCGCTTGTTGCTCACCGCTTTGGCTGCTTCTGCAACCTTGCGCTTCTTGGGAGGGCTGCCACCGGCATCTTGCTCGGCAGCACGGCCGCCGCCTCCGTAGAAGCTCTGCGGCCGGACCTCGTCTGGCGCCTCTCGCTTGCGCTTGTCGTTGTTGTTCTTGTTTAGGGCCTCACTCTGGGCCCGCGCCCGGTCGAGTGATCCCGGCTTGGGCACTTCTTCGATCATCTTTGAGCCAATGACCTTGCCGTTGAGCTCGGTGCGCAGCTTGAAGACTGCCTTCTTGTTGACTCCGGGCTTGTTCGAGAGAAGGGAGGAGGGGAAGGGAGCACGCTTCTTGAGCAGAGGAGCAACAGGAGGGAGAGAAGAGGAAGAAATGGAACCAGATGTAGCTGGTTGGGGACAGCTTACAGCTTCACCCAGGTGGCGTGCGATGCGTTGTCGGATAGGCATCGCTGTCTACACCCAGAGTTCGCTCGTGGGAGGTTCGGAGTGTGGGTAGGGGAGAGAGTTTCGCAGTGAATTCGCTCGCGGTCGGGTCGGTACCGTGGGAGGGAGGAAACGATCGAACCGTGGTTGAAGTGACTTCGCGTCTTCCGAAGTCTTTGGGGGAGGGAGGGAATTTAAGGAAGTCGAAGTTTGGTCCAGAGTCGTTTTGCTTTGCGCCCAAACTCAAACAATCGGTCTGCTCGGCGCGAATAGGGCGTGACAGAACCGGCGGGGCCGCTCGAAGCTACTTCGCGCTCTTCAATAGAGGTTGCGAGTTGACTACGATGGCTACCTATTGTCTGGTCCGTAGTCGTTCGGGGACGCGCGCAGTGACAATGGGAGGGAGTTGAAGAGGTTAAAAGAGACAACAATGGCAACCGGGGGCGCAACAGAAGGTCCTTGGTGGTGCAGTTTTGGGTCAATAGACCAAAAGATGATGATCACACCGGAAATTGTGTCGAAAAGTGGGAATTGCGGGGGGTCTGCTGGCGGTTTGGTAGGGAGGGACATCTGCAGAGTGTGGGGTTGTCAGCCCGCCTAGAGCGCACCTGGCCAGCCAATACAGCCCTGAATAGGCCCCAGGAATAGCGGGTCAGAGCTGGACAGTAGGCGGCCTGCCACGACAATAGAGGCTGAGCAGTTGAATAGCGGCCTCCGACGAGTCTTCAAATTGACGAGTAGTGCCACCAAGGTCTCTTCTTTTCCGGTTCGCGTTCTTTTGACACCGTCAGTTTGTCAATATCTCAATGGACTAAAGTTGCTTTTGTTCTCATATATAGATGCGCGTGCATCGTGCCTGAAGAGCTTGGCTGAGTCGCTCTCTGTTTAGCTGGCGGTATTCAGGCCTTCTCAGGACTCTATTGACCTACCTACTTGTAGTATTGACAAGTCCTTCCTTGCCTTTGACTCAGCCCAAAGACATGATGCTCACTCAGTCGAGCGGTACGTCACTTTTTAGCCACGTCAGTTGGGACGACTGTTTTAGGAAATACGCATGTGCACGGGAAGCCGAGTCTAGTGCTAGTGGTCTAGAAGGTAAAGCCGAGGCAAGGTTTGGCACTAGGTCCGTCATTCCCGTCATTCCCGTCATTCCCTGTAGTCTTTCAAGAGCTAGGTACTGAAGAAGGACATCATCAGCATCATGGCTAGATGTGAGTATTATTTACGCACCCCAAGCAACCCGTAGTTCCCCCAGCCTCCCAGGCTCTCTGTACAATGAGAGCAACTGCTTTCACCCTTGAACGGCTGCCCAGCAACAATGACCTTGCATTCTCATCTGCAAGTTTCCATTTTGTACTCGTCCCTAAGCTTCCTCAGGTCATTGTCAAGGTTGTCCTCCTTCAAGCTGTCACTCAACGAAGCGAGATCGATGGACGCGAGTTTCTTCGCTGCTGCATGGTTGTCTCTGCCCGCGTTGCGACACGTCTCAATGAAACGCAATTTCTGGTTCTCAATGGCATGCAGGCTTTGCTTCCTCTCCGACTCGTGCCTCCTTGTCACATTGTGTATCGCTCGTCGGCCACCTTTCTCGTACTCATCGACGACATCCTTGGTGGCAGTCTGCTCAGACACAAAGAAACGTACGATTTTCTGTGACTTGTTAGCACTACCCGTGTAATTTGGTGTTGCGAGATGTAGATGGTTTTACCTTGGTGATGGAACTCATGGTCGCTGCCAAGTCCCGGACACTCGGCTCAGTCACACTCTTCCACCACTCTTCGACCGTGTTCTGCTTGTCAGAGCTATCCTCCGCTTCCTGTTGAGAGGGCCGCCCGTTGGCATGCCGGTCAGAGTCTGGCAACGGAGTGGGAACGTGTTGCCTATTCCGGGACCGGTCGGCTGTAAGAGCTCGCATCATCGCATCCCCAACGATGTGCAACTTCTCCCCGTGCTCTCTGTCTGGCTTCGTCTTGACCTGGCGAAGTGTTTGTCGATTTCCGCGTCCCTCGTCGCAAGTGACTCCGAGTAGTTGTGCAGTGAACTCCGTTGGCTGAGGGACATCGTCATCTCCAAATGGATCACTCCTGGAAGCGAGAGCAAGAGGCTCTGGTGCTGGTGTGCACACACGCCACGATACTGGGTTCTTCGACGGTTGGACATGATTAGAGACTAGTGCTGGGGTGCGCACAGGGCTTTCAGAGGGGAGTGCTGGCTGTGAATTATCGGGGCTTGGGCTGGAAGCTGCCAAGTACTTGTCCCATATTGGTTTAAGAGCGGGCTCGTATGAGTCCCGTATCTCCTCGTTGTAAGTGCCAGGCTCGTCCAGACCCGCCCTAGTTTGGATTGGCGAAGCCTCCTTGTGCGGGCTAGGTGTCGGCTCGTGAGCGGGTCCCTCAACGTTGGAAGTATCTGGGAGATTGGCCAGTTCTTCAAGAGCAAAGGAGCCATAATCCGACGAGGAACAGGATGATATCTCGATGGGGTCGTTTGGGCACTCTAGTGGCAGGTCAGGTCTGCTCTGTGAAGGACCATCCTCCTCGTTGTTTGCAGCTGGTGATGAGGGCGGATCAGATCTGTATTCGGCAGGCTGTGACTGATGAATACCCCTCGGCTTCTTCTTCGGAGGCTGGGCGTCATGCTTGGAGGGGCTCTGATATGGTTCCTTTGCTCTACGCCTCTTCTGGGGAGGCTTTGAACGCGGCTTATTGGGCAAGTTGGAAGACGTTTCAGCATCTGCAACGACTCGTGGAGGCTTTGTATCATTCGCTGCCTTTCCGCTTTGGCCAGGGTTCTTTCGTCTTCGAACCCCATTTTGTTTTGAAAAAGGCGTGTTGGGGGCTCGGGCGTTTGACTTGCGCTGACCTTTTGGAAGCTGCGGCTTAGCTGTTGGAACCACTTCCGTATCGAGGAGTTCCAGCATCTCTTCGAGAGGATCAGAACCCTGATTGGGCTGCTTTTGCTTCTTTCTCTTTGGGGGAGAGGAAGAATGTGATGGTGGGCCCTCGTCCTCGTAGTCTCCATCGCTCTCTTGGTATGTCTTCTTAGCTACTCTCTTCCACTTCATCTTGGAAGGCTGGGGCCGGATTGTAGAAGAGGAGAGGGGCTGTCTCTGAGTACGACAAGGGGTCTCTTCTAAAGCCATCTTATTTTCCAAGTCATCGTCAAAGACATCGAGATCTTTGGAGGTCCTTGGCTTGGGGCCATTACCAACGCCGGTCCAGGTTTGGGAGCTGACAGGTGGGCCGTGGGCTGGAGTGAGTGGCTCCATCACATTCATGCTTATTGCCTTGTGCCCAGTAGACCAGACACAAGAAATGAAGATGAGTGAGTGTCCCTGTACTGTCAAAGATATTGAAGGTTGGCCGGGATGATTGAGGCCAGGTTCACACACGGAGGGTCCAGTACTGAGACTGCGATCATGGAGATAAACTGGGATGGATTACGAAAATGTTTGGCGGTTTGGTGGGCTGGTGAAAGTCTACGGGCAACAGGAAGGTGCGCAGTGCAGTGACTACTTTGTTAATTTCCATGCACAAAGTCGAAGTCATGGTGTTCAAATGAAGTGAGGAAGGAGCGGATAGCCTGCAAGAACAACTTTGAATCACCAATGCTGGACATTTGTACTTAAACACCATACGCTGCACATGCGCAAACTGTGACAAGGGGATTATATTGATGCAAACATTGCATTGCTCTCACAATAGAAGTGTATTGGTATGTGGTGTCACCTGCAAGGTATCTAAATCGAGTCATGTTTCTGTGGCATCAAGGGCATGCTATCCAACAATCTCTCCATCTGCCCCATAGAGGTGAATCACACATTCAATCCATCCTCGCCTGTTGAGGCGTGAGTAGAACCAGCGCGAATCCTCCATCGTGATCAGATGAATCTCTGCTGCTGTTCCCACACATATAAAAAGCACCCAGCATCTTCTCGACTCCAAACCCTTTTTTCTTCTTCCAAAAATCACTGCACACTGGAACAAAAGGTCCAAACAAGCCCCCCACATCTTGATCAACGTCTTGACCACATCTACACACCTCGAACCATATCAGACTTACTCATCTACCACTTGACATTATGTCTCCCATTCTCAAGTACGCTGGCCTCGCCCTCGCCCTGCTTGGCGCTCTCTCGAGCGCTGCCCCAGGTCGCGCTCACGTTGACAACCACCTGGCACTCCAGCCTGCCACCACTCAGGGAGACGCTCTCTACCACACCACCGTTCACCACTCGATTGACCCAGCTATGCCCACCCCAGCGGCTACCATTCCTGCCATCAATGGTGATGCCAAACCTGTCAAGGTCGCTCGATACATCGACTTCGGAACCCGAGGCAACAACAAGCAGTGCAGCGAGGAGACCTTCCCTATGAAGCTCCCCCTCAATGACGCGCCCCTGGCCCGCGACTGCAACAACCTCGCCGCCTCTCTCGCCACCAGGAGCGGCTACTTCACCATCTCTTCCTCCGAGTTTGGCAGCAACAACGACCTCTGGGTCTCGGTCGTCTCCCTGGGCACCTGTGAGTTCGCTCTCAGCCTGATGGGTCTCGACGAGTCGACCCCCATCCTCGTCGGCACCACCGACATCCAGTACTTCATCCGCCGCACCACCTCTGGCAGTGACCAAGGCGTCGTTCATGCCAGCGGTGAGACCGAGTGCAACGCCTCTGACAATGGCAACGAGAAGTTCTCCGTGGCCTGGGCTGTGCGCTCCGCCACCTCTACCAAGATCGCCCCGCGCAGCATCGACTTCCACGCCAGCAAGGACGACGGCTACTGTGGCGAGACCCAGCCCAAAGTTGATTCGAACGCTGGCGCGCCTCTAGCGGACGACTGCAGGCAGCTCGCCAACATGGTGGCTAGCGTCCCTGGCTACTACAGCATCTCTGCTGACGAGTTCGGCGCTGCCGGCCACTGGGTCCCCGTCGTGGCCAAGGGAACCTGTGCCTTTGGCCTCAGGTTCCAGAACTCGGGCGACGCGACTACCGCGCTCGTTGGCACGAATGACATTCGATTCTACGTCGAGCAGGTCATCAACGACGCCAAAGACGGCCTCATTCACGCCGAGGGTAGCATTCTGTGCACAAACGGCCAGAAATCGAACTCCATGGACTGGAGCCTGGTTGCTGCCTAGGTTGAGGTACTTCATCAAGATGGGCTACCGGAACCGGGCAAAGCCTCATCTTGAGCACCTACCTACAAGTGATATCTGAAGGGGCAGGAGGTTATCACAGTGGCATCCAAGTTACACTATTACAGAAAAGGTAGAATTGACATCTTGATTCTCTAAGTTGAAACGGACCTTTGGTGACTTGCAGTGATGAACAGTCTGGTGAATCCGGTAGCCCTCATAAATCCAGCTCACTTTGACGCCTTCATTTATTTGATTTACCACTTTATGTTATCCGGTCACTATCAATCTGGATCCAGTCATGATACGTAGACATGTAGACGCTCTCCAACCTTTCCCATTACCCAATCCGAACCCATTATTCCGAACAAACATTACCCCAAACCCAGCCTATCCAACTCCCACTCACGCTCTTCGGACCCCCACCCCCCCGAATCACTGCGTACACCCCCACAGCACCGTAACAACAAGATGCCACCCCAGCGTAAACACAACAGCAAGCCACTGCAGCACCTGCAGCGCCATCCCGCCCGTGGCCCGGATGTCACCCCCGTCCCCGCCCGCGCCGAGCGACGTGCCCGCAAACTGCAGCGCGCGGCTGGCCATGGTCACCGAGGCCGCGGCGCCCACGGCCCCGGCGACCGAGTAGCTCGTCAGGTAGGACACGGCGGCGCGGGCGTTGCGCGCCGTCGGCGAGCCCTTGTCGGCGACCATGTCCCAGATGATGAGCGACAGGATGGACGAGAGCAGCAGCAGGGCGCCGACGAAGAGGGGCACGAAGACGATGATCTTCTCCTGGATCTGGCGGCCGAGCAGCAGGAAGTCCTTGAGGGAGCGGTCGGCGAACGGGTCGGTCAGGGTGCGGTTGTCGGCCATGTAGGAGGGCTGGCAGGTCAGGTTGCTGTTGAAGCCGGCGCAGAGTCCTGTTGTTGGAGATTCGTTAGCTTTTAACTGTCTTGGGAGAGGGAGAGAGTCCCAGAGACAGGGGTTGTGATTCATACCGAAGTATCCTACGCGGACGGAGGCATTGGTCTTGACGTCCTCGAGCTTGACGAGGTACAGGTCGGGAATGCCGGGAGACGTGGAGATGCAGCCGACAAGGGAGAGAACTATAAGTGTATTGTTAGCAGATGCAGGGATGGCAGAGAACATGAAGGCGCCATACTGTAGAACACGCCTAAAGAGACGGCGACGATGCCTATGGCGGCATATTTCATAGGTTTGTTTTCTATCACGAGATGTCAGCTACCAGGGAAGTAGAAGGCGGGGACAGTGTATCTCACGTTGATATTTGCCGACCATGATGGCTCAGAGAATGTGCGGTCTCGTGTTAAAGAGAGAAGCGGAAACAAGGCCTGTAGTAGTCGATGGAACTTTGTATCAAATGTCAAATGAATGGAAAGCTATCAAAGCTCAAAGCACATAAAAGAAAAGAAAAGGGAGTGTTGGTCGATGGTGTTGAAAGCAAAGTAGATTGATCTGCGAACACCATCTCAACAGAGACAGCTCGAACTTATATGTACAAACAGGCCCCCAAAGTCTGGATCCCTGGACCTGTTGATTCACCTTCGCCCGCCGGGGCCGGGCTTGATGGCCGCATATTGCACTGCCCTCGAAACAGCACCCATCCGGTCTCCGCGGTCCTGGCTGGCCCGTAGGGCTGGTCAGGAACCGGCAGATGCAGCCAGTCGATCGCATGACGCTCAGGCCAAGAAGCAGGCTGGTGGCCAAATCAAGATAGACACAATCGCGATAGACACCTGCGACCCGGGCCGGAGCCGGGCCAGCGGCAACTGGGAGCTGCACGACCCTTGCACAAGCCAGCGATTGGGTCTCGTTCAAACGGAGCTTCAGATGCGGCTGGTTTCAGCAGGCGACGGCCGGTCTGACTCTGTTCTACGGGCCAGCAGAATGATGCGGCGAAGTCAATTGTGCAGGGAATTGGGCCAATGTCTGCTCGGAATCAAGCAGGGCCAGCAATTGGGCCAAGATGGAGTTTCAGGGCGGGTCTGTTCCTGGGCCCTTGAGCAGGCGACCCTTAAGCGCCGTCGATCCGCGTCTGCAAGCGCACCGTGTTTCAGATCAGAACCTGCAAAGCCTAGGATTGATACTTGGTCAGGGCCTAGCTTGATAAATATGGAAATCGCTGGCTGGCCTACGCGAGAAAATTCGCGAGAATCCCCAAGGCATTCAATTCACCGTACCGTAAAGTAAAAAGCATCAAGGCAAATTGCTCATCCCGGTCTGGTCGCCCTAGCGGCATGCAGACTGAAGTCGTGCCCTGTCCGGCCCTCACACAGTGATAAGGATCCACCGACTTGCTCTTCTTACGGAGTAGTCTACCCACTAAAGTCACCACTTTCAACAACTGCGGACCCCCCCCCAAGCCCTCCCTCGCACTCCGCACAACACGTCCACGTAGTTATATAAACGCAAAATTCGTCGTCGGAGCCACGTCCCGGGTGAGATGGCCGAGTTGGTTATGGCGTAGGATTAAGGATGTCCTTTAATCCCCTTCCTATGGAGCAATCCGCGTGGGTTCGAATCCCACTCTCATCATCAAGGTTCATCACGGGTGCCTCCTGGATGCTTTGTTTTTGGCTTTCTTTTTGCATTGGTTCTTTGCCTCTGCCTCTGCTTGATCTGGTCCGGCACAAGCAGGGTGACCTGGACTAGTTGAGGCTCTGAGGCCTGGAGGTAGGTTCACGCCCCGTGGAGGGACCCTGTGGGCGAGGATAGTTGGCCTGTCTTGCGGATGCCGTACCACGCAGCTTCCAAGCAACTTCCCACTGAAGCATGAGACACACAATGCAGTCATGTTCCAATCAGTGATGTATGTTGAGCCGGGATCTATCTTCTAGAGAGCGGGGTTTCATATCAGTACAGCATACAGCACTCCCCTGAAGACCCTTCGTTCCCTCCCCGTCATCTCCTTTCCTTCACTTGAACCCCCATGGCTGCGGGTTTGCCGAGGCCCTATGACCCTGACCTGGTGGCGATGGCCCCGTCGCCGGCGGCGGTGCAGGGAACGACCCCATCGGGCTCGTGTTGAAGTTGAACGCGCCCCAGCTGAGCTGGCTCACGTCCAGGTCCATCCCTCCCGTACCAGCCTGCTGCATCCCGGGCACCACCGGCTGGCCCATCGGTGACAGCGAGCTGTAGAACATGGTGGTGTCGCGGAAGTCCGGCACTTTCGACATCTGCAGGTCATCCAGCGAGGCCGGAAACTCGGGCATCTCCGTGTCCGCCGTCGTGCCCGCGCCCAGCCTCTCCTGCTTTTCTCGCAGGTACGTGACGATGTACGGCGGCGACACCGGCTCCCCCTTCTCGACCAGGGCCTTCTCCCGAGGCGTCCACGCGTGCAAGATCATGGTGGCGAACAGGTGGACGATGGGTATGTAGTCCTCGTCGTCAAAGGTCCAGCGGGCCTTGAAGTTGTCGCTCAACGACTCCCAGTACTGGGCGGCTCTGTCCTGCGTGGGCCGCCTCTTGAGGTCCGAGACGATCTGCATGTAGGCAGGGAAAGGGAAGTACGCGTCGGCGAACCACATGTATCCCTTTGTGATTTCTGGCTCGGCCATCTTGGTGTCGATCTCGACCCATTTCACGGCCAGGCCGTTGAGAAGGTCGCGCTGCTCCGGCGTTCGCGGCCCTTCGTTTTCCGCCATCTTCGAGTACTGGTTGACCAAGTGGAACTTCGCTATCGTCGTACGCGCCGACCAGATGGTCATGTAATGAAGAGGATTAGCCGGGTCACATAACTGAAGGTACTTCTCCTCAATCATCTTCTCCAGCGCCTTGACCTCTTCGCCCTCGGGGATCGAACCATCCCGAAACTCTTTGGCAATGTTCTTCAGTGCAGGATACGTAAAGTCCAGGTGGAAGGTAGCATAGCGGAGGAACTCTCCCAGTTCGCTGCGGACGACAGCGAAAATCGCGTCGCTGCAGTTGCTGTGGGGACTAGGGGCAACCCTCATCTCTGGCCGCAGTTCAGAATCGTTGACGTTGAGCGGGAGCCGGCAGTCCCAGCTGGGTTCCAGCACCGATGATTTCCAGTCAGCAGCCTCGCCTATGCGGGCGTCGAAGAGGATCAGCGACCACCACAGCCTGCGGCACATCTCAGCTTCCAGCGCGGTGCGCTTGGAATGGGCAGATTCGCTATGAAGTCCCATGCGCTGGGCAATGCGCAAGGCGACCCCGAGCATCGAATGTAGCGACCTCGGGTCGACTTTGGGCCTATGGGTGATCTGAATTGCATCAGCACAAGAACAGAGGTATTGGAGAGCAACTGGACACACAATGTAGAGATGGAACGCTGTCAGGCAGTCACGGTCATTTGACCGTGCATACCCTGCTTTGAGAAGCGCCTGCAGACACCCAAATTGGAATCTCCTGATGAGAACATCCCTCGACTCCCCAAACATAGTTTTGCAGTCTTCTCGGGGCACGCTCAGGAGGGCCATGGCGTAGATGCTAAACATCAGCGCTTCTAGGTTGGCATCGACAGAGGCCAAGTCACTTGCTGCCTCTATGATGCGTGGCTGCATAGTTGGGGCGTGGGTGACACGAAGTAGCGTATTGACGTTGTCGAGATAGATCTGCCAAAGGCGAAAGATCTGGACTGGGCTTGGATGCAGCGTGGCCAGCTCAACAATGGACTGGTACTGGCCAAACATCAAGTGATCACTGTTCTGGTAGGTCCCACCATACGCTCTCTTGATATTGACTTCATACGATTCGTTATCGCTTTCGTCAAGAGGGTCCCGATACTGAGCAGACCTTGGTCAGCATCTCATAAACACTGCAGCAGGTTTGAAAAAGGGTTAGTACCTCGTGGTCGTGGTCCATGGCACGCCAAATGCTCCTGATCAACAACCATCAGCAAATCTGTTTCTTCTGACAGATGGAGAGCAGCACATACTTGACCTCGTTCACCCTGTCACTCCTGACAGTCATGGAAGGCGACGACTCATCATGCACCTTGTGCTCGTCATCGGAATCGAAATCATCGCGGGGTGAATCTCTTTCCACGCCGTCCTTGAGCGGGTCAAACTTGAGGCCGTTCTGCCGCATGATGTCCTCGTACTTGTGAATGCGATCCAGCAGCTCCCGCTCGGGGAACCGGGGCCGGCGCCTGCGCGGCACGTACGTGGCGGGCACACAAGGGACCTTGAACTTGAGGCAGTGCGCGCAGGGGAATTTGCGATCGCACTTCACCTTGCGCTGCTGACACAGCACGCAGGCCAGGACGCGCAGCGGCTTTTTAGCGGCGGCACCGGTGGGGGCGGGCTGCTGAGGAGCGGCCTTGACGGAAGACCCCGGCACGCCTTGGCCCGACGCGGCTGGCCCAGTCGACATGCTGGCCACGGGGCAATGAGATCGTTTGTCTCGGGTTCTACCGATGAGAGTGATGTTGGTGCCGCGGTCCTGGTCTATGTCGGGCCAGGGCCGATATGGACTGTGTCAGATCAGGCCCTCCGGCCGTAGCGCGCAGCGCTGTCGTCAAAGGGCCAAACGGTTCGTAGACGGCCGGAGCTTGTCTAGGAGTGAGTGACGAGAAGGTGTGGCCGCAAAAATAATGACTCTTTGAGCCTCCGGACAGGAATCCGTCGATATCGTGGTCGAAAGCTACCAAGCCCCGAGCTGAGGTGTGGTACGTTTGGCATCTTACGTCAACAAAGACCGGCGCTACATGGTGATGTCGACATTCACGTGACATAATCAGGTGCGGGACGAAGTGACCGTCCTTGGTTGAGTCAGGCGGGGCATTCATTGGCTTGCGAATAAAGAGAGAACCTCCAAACAAACCAGAGTCTCGGAAAGTATGGACGAATGGAATCATAAACAGCAATTTTCTGGCCAACTGCCTTTTTCTCCTCTCCGTGTCTACAGTCCAACCCACATCGCCCTTGTTCAAGTAGTACTTCGCCCCAGATGCAGTCGGCGAGTTGCCCGATATGACAGATACGGCAATTGACTTCTCGATTACATCTAAGGCTAGAATTTCTCAATCAACAGAGATGGAAAGATAAGACAAAAATTGACGGCTTGGCACAAGGTATCCCCTGCTCCTGTCCGGAGAGTTCGCACCACTTCCCCACTGTTGAGCCGTGACATTCGTGGGTCCGATGATAAGAGATTGAAACCCGATGGCCTGGTTACGGGCTCGATCTTGCCGATTGCCGGAATGAATGCGTCTCATACAGTGGTTCAAGTATGTATGAAAGTGCGTATATCAAGATGGAATGTGCCCGCGGCGTTGTTCGTCAGTTGTTCTACGTGGCTAAAGCGGATCATGTAATTACACTCAACACCATGCGTCACACCCTGATTTGCACTACGGCTTTGATATCCAGCGTTGTAGCGGGGCTCACTGCTACGACTCTAAACGCGAACGGCGTCCAGTACTATGTCCCTCATCCCGAGATCGTACGTAAATTCATATTATCAAGCTCTGGCAAGATCCGAACAAGTGCTGATTGCCTCTTGCATTGCAGGCCAAATTCTCGACTGTTCCGGCAGAATTATCATCAACTTCTCTAATACCATTTGCGGTGGTCGATACACAAACCGCCTCAACCATTTCAGCCAACTATGTAGAAGCCCAGCTCAAAGAGTATTCCCTCCAGGATGACGTCTACTCTGACTACCTCTCAAGCTGTGAGGCACCATGGCAACTTGAAGCATTACTAGGGCGTCAACTAAGTACCGATCAGTGATCTACCTTCAGGGGCCAGCAACATCTGTGAATGGCACACTCAACGCCAAGTACCTCCTATCCAACACCTGCAACACGTCAACACCACTTATGCCAGGCCCCTACTTCCTCAGCCCTTCAGGCTCTGTGTTCAAAGCGTACCGCCTTTACTACGACCCCAACAGCGCCTTCACAGCCGGGGTCTTGCAGGTATCTGCCGACAGCTTCACCGACACCGGTCTCGCCTCCTCGTCGGGCCAGGCAGAAGCCGCCATACCCGTCCCATGTCGCCTGTACTATGCCAAGGCCTCAAAGTGCAGCCCCCTCGCGGGCAAGCGCGTCGTCCTCAAGGACATCTACCACCTCAAGGGCCTGCGCACGGGCGCCGCCTCGCGGGTCTACTACGAGCTATACGGCCCGCAGAACGCGTCGGCGCCGTCGGTGCAGCGGCTGATTGACCAGGGCGCCGTCGTTGTCGGCAAGGTCAAGACGTTGCAGTTCGCCAACGGCGAGAACCCGACGGCCGAATGGATCGAGGTGCTGGCCCCGTTCAACCCGCGTGGCGACGGGTGGAGCGCGGTGGCTGTCGCGGCGTATGACTGGGTCGACTTTGCCATCGGCACTGATACATCCGGTAGCATGAGATGTAAGTGTCATGATTTGGCGTTGCCCACTATCACTGATCCCGAGTGAGTACTAGTACTCATTGTAAATCAAGTTCCGGCCGCATATAACGGTGTGTTCGGCGCGCGACAAAGTCACGGAGGCCTTACTACCGACGGAATCGTGCCCGTATCCACGTCTCTCGACACTCTGGGCCTCTTTGCACGTAGTGCCGCGGACCACAAAGCATTGGTGCAGGCCTGGTATGGCAAGGGGACATACAAGTCATACGCCAGTTTACCCAAGAAAGTATTTCGCACTACTAGTACTAGCATCGGCGGATTCCCAGTTGATGTCAAGGCTTCGCAGGTCTTATATGACAGCTTCGTCGACAAGTTGGCCGGATTCCTCGGTGCAACCGTGGTCGACATTGATCCATCTGCAGAGTGGAGGAGAACCGGTCCAGTGAAGGACCAAGAACTGCTCGCCTATACAAACATGGCAAGTGACACGACTTGACCAATCAAAATCTCAAATTGACAATTAAATGATAGTCCTATCTCGCAGTTGCATGGTACGAGCAGGTCCAGCTGTTGCAGAAACCCTTCTACGCCGACTGGAAGACCTACACCGGTAAAAGCGGTCTCTCCAAGATCGGACCAAAGGCGCGTGCCTCATTCGATTACGGCAACAAAAACGTCACTGAGGGCCGCTACAATGAAGCGCTGGCCATCAAGTCGAATTTCACACAGTGGTGGAGCGAGACCATCAACCCGCCAAACAACGAAACCTGTTCGGATGCTATTTACGTGTACCCAACCGGGGCAAAGGGCGCGCCGACGTATCGAGACACATATCTGTCGCCCCCGAATGTTGTCGTGAACTGGCAGGTCTCACACGCCGCGGTGTATGCGGTCTGCCCGACTATGCCGTGCCTATTGGGCAAGTCGAGTACACTAATCGCTTGACAGGGCTCAACGAGAGACTTCCTGTCTCCATTTCCATTGGTGCTGCGCGCGGATGTGTAAGTACTAGCTAGCCAACCACCTGATTCTTGTTCTAACTAGCCATGCCTGGTAGGACTGGATGTTGAGCCAGCTGATGGCCGAGTTAGAGCACGCAGGTATCACTTCAGCGGTGAAAACCGGGCAGCTCGCGTTTTGAGAGTCGGTCGTTGTCTTGATTTCAGGTTAATGTCCACTTCTGACGTCAGTCAAGACACGAAGGATCTTGGCGATCTTGTTGTATCTTCATTCCAGGCTTACAAGGTGACACCAGTCGAGTTTTACACTTAGCTTTCCAGTCCGTTACGTATCAAGATGTCCTCCTCTTCTCGCAAAATGAGTTTGTAGGTTTGAAGACAATAAATAGAAGCTAACTCTACTCGTTGGGACTCTTCCTGTGAAAATAAACCATTCGAAAAAACAATACTGCACCCTGAAATCCCAAGGCATTAGGTAACTTTGGTGGTGATGCCAGGCGCAGGGTCTTTATGGCGGCGTATACGCGTGTTTGGCCCCTTGCCCTTGGGGGCAAACTGGGCTACTTCGTAGCCTGGCACGGTCTTGACCAGTGTGCTGAGCTTGGCGCATCCATACGTCCTGGAGTCAAAGTCTGGGTGCTTCTGGGAGAGATGATTGCCCACGTCAGGGAGGTAAGCCCATCCGTCTTCTGCAGAGACTGCCTCAACCGTCTGTCCGAGCCATTTTGCGAATTGCTTCTTCTGTCCCGGGGCTTTGCTGGAGTCTGGCTGCGGTCGACTTGACTCGGCCTTGGGCTCATCTTGTGGTGATATGTTTTCAACAAAGATGAAGCGGTCACAGGCCACTCTGAACGCCTCTGGCGTCTTTTGGTGCCCAAATCCGTAGACGAGCAATCCTGCTTCACGGATGCGTGAGGCGAGGCGAGTAAAGTCGCTGTCGCTCGACACCAGACAGAAGCCGTCGAACTGGTGAGAGTACAATAGGTCCATAGCATCAATGATGAGGGCAGAATCGGTCGAGTTTTTACCTGTCGTGTAGGCAAACTGCTGAATGGGCTGGATGGAGTGTTTAAGGAGTTGGGATTTCCAGCCATTCAGCTGTGCCTCAGTCCAATCACCATAAGCACGCTTCACATGTGCGGTTCCGTATTTGGCAATCTCTGCCAGCAACGCCTGGAACGTGCGATACTGGGCATTGTCGGCGTCGATGAGCACGGCTAGCTTGGTTTCTGGATTCGCCATAGTTGGTTGGATGTTTGATGCAACTTTTCAGGATAGGTATACAGAAGAACACATTCGAGCAGTTCAAGAGGCTCGCGGAAAGTCTGATTTATACATCACCACGAGTCATCGCGATATATGGCACAGGTCTTGTATGACGGAGAGGAAAGTTTCTTGGGGAAAAGGCTAAAAGGACTGTTAATCTTCCAAGGCCGATCCCTGAGATGAGACACCTAGATGCCCAAAACTCTATCTGATTCTATAATGTGATCTTACAACCAAAACCTGGCCTGGCTCATGCATCCCTCTACCACCTTTGTAGTAAAATCGAAAGAATGCACTGGCTTATCGCTTTGAACTTTATAGGATCTGATTCAGGTAGTAGAATCATTCAGACCAGGTCATTACCCCACCTGCCGTTAGACGTGTGCAGCATGATTGAAGCTCTGCTAGTCGACGTTTGGCTTGCAATAGGCGCTTGCTTATTGCAGACAAGGCGACGCCAAGTCGTCGCTTGTGGGCTTGGGAAAAGAACATCCGGGAATAAACGCACTTTGAGGAGCCAAGTGTGGGAGTGTGGGAACGAACCCGTTAGCCTTCGGCGAGATGGACCGGGCCCCCAGATTCCCCCATCACTTTCCCCGCCCTGCGCACCATGTTGCCCATTACGATTTTCCGCAAGGGACGAATGGCAACTGCCGAATCCCACAGAGCTTGGGCAGGCACGCAGACTGGGGCGGCTCGAGCATCGCCATGCCCTAAAGCGACAAGACTGCCTGCAGATCTGTCGTTGGCGCGGCCGAAACGGAATCGGGCTGACTTGGAGAGGGGACGAATGAAAGCAGCAACTCGGGACTTGTTCTCTCAGCTGGGAAGAACTGCCAAGGGGGGGAATAGGGATACATAGATACAGGTCTGGCCTTGACATCTGCACGGATCGCGAACCCAGACACTTCATCGCAATCCTTTGCACAACTACACCTTCCAATAGCCACTATGGTCGCATCGCCAGATAAGACAGGCGACATGCGAGCCCAGGACGAGATGGTAGAGCAGGCGCCCACGATACAAGCGCACCTGGAAGAGCACCATCACCATCACCATCATCACAAGGAGCTCGAGGTAGTACCCATCGATCAGGAGGCTGTCGATCATGCCGTGCACATCGACCTGTCTTGGCGATCGTGGGTGGTCGTCTTCATCTGCTCCTTCGCCGTGATGGCGCAGGTGCTGGTGGTCACAGGTGCCGCGTCCGTCATCGCTTTCATCAAGCGCGACCTGGGCAACGAGGCGCTGGCCGGCTGGGTCATCCAAGGGCCACTGCTGATGCAGAGTGTGCTGTCCCCCATCATGGGCCGGTTGTCGGACATGCTCGACCGCAAGTGGCTGGCCTCCGTACCGCCCGTCATCGCCTTTGCCGGCGCCATCATCTCGGCCAAGGCGACCTCGATGACCATGCTGATCGTCGGCGGCATCCTCATCGGCACCACCCTGTCCTCCATCGCCATCGTGCACGCGATCCCTTCGGAGATCCTGCCGCTCAAGTACCGGCCGCTCGCAAACTCGACGGGCTTCATCGGCGGGGCCGTGGGCGGGCTGATCGGCTCTCTTGGCTCCGGAGCCGTGACGTCTCTAGCCCCAGACGGCTGGAGATACATCTTCTGGATCCAGGCTGGTGTCCACGGCCTCAACGCGCTTGGTCTTCTCATCTTCTACTGGCCACCGAAGAACACGGAGATCCCCAAGATGTCGTGGGAGGAGTACGTGTGGGCCTGCGACCCCATCGGCTCGGTGCTTTTCATCTGCAGCACGACGCTCATGCTGCTGGCTCTCGACTGGGCGGGTGGTGCATACCACTGGAATGACCCCCATGTCGCTGTCCCGGTCTCCATCGGGCTCTTGTTGATGGTTCTCTTCTGTCTCTACGGTGAGGAAGCTTCCACCATGCATTCATTAACCGTGTGTAGCGCCTGCCTTACTAACCTGTGTTTAATTATTATTCAGAATGGAAGGGTCGATCCGACGGCCTAGTAGCACACGTCTTCTTCCACCGCAATGCCAACTTTGCCCTTTCCACCTTCGCATTCACCGTCGAAGGGTGGATTTTCTACAGCGCCGTCAACTCCATCACGCCCCAGCTCATTCTGCACCTCGGTTTCGAGACCAACGCGTGGAAGATCTCGATCCGCCAGCTGAGCTACACGCTCACCACCATGGTCATGGCCTTGCCTCTGACCTGGTACTCGACCAAGTACAAGGACCTGAGATCGCCCCTGGTGCTCACCTTCATCATCTTTCTCGCCGTGTAAGTATCTTCCACCTCACCCGCTCCCTCCGACCATGACAGGCCACCAGGCTCTGACCCTGCTCTTGTTTCCACACAGCTGCATCTGCTACGCCACCATCCAACCCTCCTGGAACGCGGCCCAGATCGCCATTGCCGTCGTCTGCGCCATCGGCCAGTCGGGCCCGCTGACCCTGCTCGTCGCCTGCATCCAGTTCTGCTCGCCGCACGCCTTCATCTCGACGGCCACGGGCCTCGCCTTCTCCGCCCGCGCCATCGGCGGCGCCTTCGGCTCCGCCGTGCTCGACGCCATCATCAACGGCCGCCTCGCCTCGCACCACGACCAGGCCGTCTCGGCCGCCGCCGTGGGCGCCGGCCTCCCCAGCGCCCAGGTCCCGAGCATCCTTGCCGCCATCAAGGCCGGCAAGGAGTCGCTGCCAAATATCCCCAGTGCCGTGTGGCAGGCCGCCGTGGAGGCGAGCCGCTGGGAGTACGCGCGGGCGTACCGCTTGGGCTGGGCCAGCATCATCCCGTTTGTGGTCCTGGGGACTGTCGCGGTGGCGTCGATGAGGGGAGTCAAGGAGCTCATGACGGAGAAGATCGAGGCGACCCTGGAGCGCGTGCCAGAGGTTCGCGAGGACAAGATTGCTGCTGTGTGAGGCGGAAACTGCGGTAATTAGTGCCAAGATCGCAAACATATCGGATCATGTAAAGATAGGAAGACGAGATTTAGGAGGAATCTGGACTTGATGACGAAAATTACTGTATCGTTCTGATCACCAGAATGAAATAGACTAGGTTTTGTATCCCTCAGCACTCTATCGTTTCTTCACTATCCCTTTCCACATCAGACTGGTCTTCCTGCTCTCCAAATCTTTGTGCTCATCACAGAACAAGAGTCAGCCACCTTCCGACAACGGTGCCCACATCAACACCAGACTAGAAGATAGCATCTCCACGCTCCCTGATCGCCTTGCCATACATGGCCTGCATAAGCTCGTGCCAGGTCAGGCTGCCGTCCGACATCTGCTGCTGGAGCAAAGTCGCCCACCGGCGGTTCGTGGACTGCAGGCCGTTGATCGCGACATGCAGGTAGAAGCGATCGTCCATGTCGTAGCCCAAGTTCGTCAAGCGCTGCCTGAGCGTCTGCAGGCGGCCCTTGTACGACGCCAGGCTCATGAAGTCGCCCCGGTCAATCTTGCACAGCTGCTCGACCAGGCGGCCCGTGAGACCAGAGCTCTCGGCACTCTTCATGATCAGCCCCAGGACCGCCCCGTAGTGGTGGAGAGGGTCTTTGTGCTTGGGGCGCCAGCCCATGGCGAGGAGCTGTTCCGTGAGCAGGCCGACGGACTGCTTGAGGATGGCCTTTGCGAGCTGGCGGTCGCGGTCCCAGACGTCGTACTCTTTCGATCCTTCGACGGGGATAGGCGGGAACAGTAGTGCGCCGTCGATGAACCTCTGCAGGCCTTTCTGCTCGAACGTGTCCCAGAGGGTCTCCTTCCACTCATCGAAATTGCTCGTGCCTTCGAGCAGCGGGATGAGGCGCGGCGCAGAGTGGAGCGGCGTTGAGGGTGTGGCCACCAGGGCGCGGGGAGGAGTGGCTTGCTTGCCCATGGCGAATCGATCGAATCAGTTGAGCACTGGGCGGGCGTGCAGGCAAGTCGTTGATCTTCGGGTATTAGTGTCGCTTCATGCAATAATCAACTCGATTGCGATCGAGTGTCGGTGGAAGAAGTTCAGAATCCTTAGGCAGCGCTCTCCCTTGGTTTTTGGGTCTGTCAGTAGGATGAGGACGGAAGGTGAGGGTTCTGACAAAGTCAATAAATTCCCAGAAAAGACTGAGGTAGAAGTGAGATGGAAGTGGAAGCTAGCCTCTTCCCCCAATCTGCCTTGTCAATTGCTTCAAGAAAGTTAGTCGCACAGTGCCCCGACTCTGACAACCAGGGGCTCAAAGCTAGCTGGTCTAAATCATTCTTTTTTTCTTTCTTGGCCTAAGAGTTGGTCAAGAAACTTTCATCAGACGGTCACTGCCTTTGACAACCCGCTTAATGATTCGCCCACCAGCTCTTGCCACTGGTTGCTATGCCTCAACTGCAACAAGTGTTTGTCGGGACAAGCTCTCTTGGTACCTGATCAATAAAAGGATAGTCTCCTTTGTCCAAGAGGCACTCGTGATCTCGTGATGTAGTTTGGAGAGTCTCGGCTAGATGAGGCAGCAGGACCAAGCCCAACCTTTTCATCTCGTAGGCCTCGGTTTCAGGTGAACAAGCTTTAGGAAGGCATCAAGTATTGAAAAGACTAGATTGAACGTTTGACAAGCTGAAAGAGGATAGAAATTGGAATATTGCATTGCACGTCAGTCACTGGTGGTACTAGCTTTGCATCCCCGAAGTCTGCAGAACGCGGATGAAGTGGACTCAGCTGATGAATGCTCCGAAGACGTCCCTCATAATTACATTGTTTTTGTCAACCCCATGATCCACCGATCCTACTGTCATAGTCACACATCGTTTCGAAATTGTCGTGTTGATACATAGAACCTTAAAAATCCCGGATACACTCGCTCAAGGCCCGTTGTAGGACGCGTATCCCAGGAAATCATGTTCAGGTTACACGGAATACTCTTCCTACAATAATCACCGTCACCCGGTCGTATCTCGGGCGAACTGTCCGCTGCATGTGCATAAAGACATCGTCCAGTGGAGGAAGGCTGAGAAACAGAAATGCCTCGCTACCAGAAAGAGCAAAGTCAGCAAAACTGCATGGCGTGAGAGCTTCTAATGGCTTCGACGCGGCCCCCAAGAGTTAGCGCCTAATGAATACGGTTGGGCGAATCAGCGCATACAGTCAATTATCCGGAACTACCCAATTCGCAATCGGCCATCTCGCCTACCCCTGCGGTCCCTTGCCGCGTGCGGAGGAGGGGTGGTGAGCCGCTCGAATGCAGGACCGTCAGCCCAGAACCCAGAATGCGGCCTGGATAGCCCGGGATGCAGGACCAGTCTAACAGGATAGACGGGTCGCCGCCCGGAGGTTGTGACGAGGGTCTTGGCTGGACCTCGCCGTGATTCCGACGAGATGACAAGAAGAGAATGACCATAAGAAGGCTGGATCTCTCCCTCAACAACGCCATGGGTCGTAGAGGTAGATCGCCCCAACTATTCTCCAACGTATGGTCCCGGCATGAAGATGAAGCACGCACCACTCCTACTACAGCTCGCCGCGGGCACCTCTCTGCTGGCAGCAGCCGAGTCGTTCGACTATATCATTGTCGGGGCCGGAACGTGCGGTCTGGCCGTGGCGAACCGCCTGTCTGAGGACCCATCGGTCACGGTCGCCGTCATCGAGCCGGGGACAGACCAGCGCAACAACGTCAATGTCACAGACCCAGCGCTCTTCAGCGCACCGTTCGGCTCCGCAATTGACTGGCTCTACACAACGATGCCACAGTCTGGTGCGGCAGGGCAAACTCTCCAGCTGCACCAGGGCAAGGCCTGGGGCGGGACCAGCACCATCAACGGTGAGCTCTTCCGCCCTTGTGCAAGAGCATACGCGCTACTGACCAAGTCCTCGCAGGTATGACCTACATCCGCGGCGATGCAGCTGAGTTCGATGCTTGGGAAGAGCTCGGTAGCAAAGGGTGGAACTGGGCTGCTCTGGAGCCGTACTTTCACAAGTCGGAGAAGTACATCCTCCCTACCAAGGAACAAGTGCTCGGCGGCGTGACGTACGAGACAAAGTATCACGGCTTCGATGGCCCTGTGCATGTCAGCTACGTCCAGACATTGCGAAACAATAACGTGACTCCGCTCCTTAGAGAGACTTGGAAAGGATTGTCGATCCCACTCAACCCCGACCCGAACAGCGGGCATATGCATGGTCTCTCCATGGGGCCCCAAACCATTGACCGGGACCTGAATCTGCGATACGACTCGGCGACGGCGTACTTGCATCCGGTAGAGACTCGCCCTAACTTGAAGATCATCAAAGGCACTGTGAAAAGGATCACCTGGGCGTCGACGAAAAACAAGCGAACGAACCGCAAGCAGTGCAAGGCCGTCGCCAATGGGGTTGAATACCTCACCGACGACGGCGTCTCGCACGCTGTCGAGGCAAAGCGCGAGGTTGTCATCTCTGCCGGCACCGTCCGCACACCACTCGTCCTCGAGAGCTCCGGAATCGGCAACCCAGCCCTCCTCAGCTCTCTGGGCATCGACACGGTCGTAGACCTCCCGACGGTAGGCGAGAACTACATAGAGCAGACCAACCACATACTCGCCTTCTTCAGTACAGGTACCCTCGACCTTTCGACGAGCGCATACCATACCTTCCTCACAGCGGCTGACCTCTTCGGCGAGGACCTGGCCGCCGTCGAGCAGCGCACCGGTGATAGCCTGCACGCGTGGGCCCAGGCCGCCGTCGACGCGTCGGGCAAGAACGCCCTCGACATCGCCGCGGTCGAGAGTGTCCTGCAGGTGCAGCACGACCTCATCTTCCGCCGCAATGTGACCATTGGCGAGATAATCCACGGCGCGTTCCCGGAAGACACGCTGGCGACCAACTACTGGTACCTTCTGCCCTTCTCCCGCGGCAGCGTGCACCTAAAGTCCAAGGACAAGATTGACGAGCCGGCCATCGACCCGCGGTTCTTTACGGCAGGCTTCGACATGGAGGCGACCATCGCGACGGGTAAGTTTGGGCAGAAGTTCTTCCTGTCGAAGCCGCTGAGCGATTACAACACCGGGCCGCGGGTGCCGGGCGCCGATATTCTGCCAAACAATGCGACCGACGAGCAGTGGACAGCATATCTCCAGCACAACGGTGAATTTCAGAAGACCCCCCCATGGGTTCACTTGCTGATATTGTGACAGTCGCGCCCAATTCGCACGGCATGGGCACGGCAGCCATGATGGCCCGGGAGCTGGGCGGCGTGGTTGACCACGAGGTCCGCGTGTATGGCACGGCCAACGTACGCGTCGTAGATTCCTCTGTCATCCCGATGCAGATCAGTGGACACATGACCGGGCCGCTCTATGCTCTGGCCGAGAGAGCCTCTGACATCATCAAGAAGACACCGTTCAAGGTGTGAGATCTCGAGGGATTGTTTCAAGTGCTAGAGCGTGCATCGAATAGCTGCTAGGTTGTTGCTTCGGCATGTTCATTCATGTAGAGTAGTCCGGTGCAGATAATTTGCATAGCTGCGAAGTGCACTTTTGTTCGTTGGCGAGGCAAGGGGAGATTCAATGAATGCGAATGTCTGGGCTGGAAGCTCGGCGATTGTCGGAAATATGCGCATACAGAGTCCTTCGTGCCCGTGGATATAGTCACACGAAGCGGAACAAAGGCCGCGGCGGGATCGTCTATTGATGACTCAAAAGCCAAAGAACCAAACGAAAGAAGAAGGTCGATTTCATCCCAACAGGCATCCTCCCCACACTGGGCGTAGCCTGGAGTCGGAAACGGATGGGAGGAGTGCTTTCTGAGCTGTCGAGTTGCGGGGATACAAGGTTATCAGATCAAAAAGATAATCAAGATGCATTAGTGGAATACGACCTGGGTCGAGTTGGTGTACCGTTGCCGGCCCATTCGACACCACCAGATCGTATTCTTCCCTGTCAGGTGGCTGGCATGCGGTTTTAGGCAGTAGTCAAATCCTTCTCCCCCGCCAGGATCGTGGGACTGACCGGCTTCGTCAAATGCGGCCAGGCCATGTCCATCCGTGATCGGGATGAGGTGTGGCTAGTCGGTCTCCGGTATTATCGCCGTCGCTAGTGCTTAGGAGGAAGGTGAGAGAGAATATTATGGTCAGCTCGCAAGCTCGCAAGCTAGTATATATCAGTGGCTTACCGCATGCGGTTCTCAATTAATGATTATATGAACCGGCTCTCATACATCTCGTTGAGTGATTCGGAGGACAATGACAGCTCAGGACGTCGAAAAAGTTGAGCCTGTACAAGGCAACACCACCTCTGAAAATGGTGTTGAAGCCCGGCTCACCAGGAGTAATACCAACGACGGTGACGATGCACAGCCTGCAATCGAGCGGCAGCGTGTAAGTGATCAAACATGCATGGCGATTGAGCATCGGAAGACTTACCACTTTTGATGACAGTCACAGGCTGCATGGGACGGACCCGACGACCCAGAGAATCCGCTTAACTGGCCGTCGTGGCGAAAGATTGTGCTGGCTCTATGCGTGTCCCTCGGCCAGCTCGCCACGCTCATGAGCGCAAGTATTGTCGCGGCTGCCCTACCGCAGATCTCTCGCGACATCGGACTCGCCGCCAACCCGACCCAAATTGCATTCTCCGTCTTCTTCCTCGGCTTGGCGACCGGCCCATTCCCCGTGGCGGCTCTGTCAGAGATGTACGGCCGCAAGCCCGTCTGGCTATTTTGCAACTGTAGCTTTATCTTGTGGAATGCGCTGTGCCCTGTGGGAGACAAGGCAGGCCTGCTCATTGTTGGGAGGTTTATGGTGGGCGTAAGCGCCAGTGTAGGCCTCACGGTATGTGTAACAGCTTCCAAGGTCCCGCGTCTCGAGTGTACTCACACGGAGAACAGCTGACAGGGCCAATCATGGCAGATATGTATCCCGCTTCCGAACGTGGCAAGTCTCTCGCCATTGCCGGCATTCTGACGTATCTCGGCCCTGCCCTCGGCCCCATCGTCGGCGGCATCGTGTCCCAGTACATCCACTGGCACTGGCTGTTTTGGGTGCTCTCTTTCTTCATAGCTGCGGTCACCATACTCGGCTTCTTCGTCATCCGCGAAACGTACGCACCCATACTGCTCTACCATCGGGCTGTCGCCCGCAATCCCTCCCTACACGTCTCTGAGTCGCCCTTGACGAGAAGATTCTGGGTGGATCTGTCCGGCAAGTTGCGCTTCAACCTCCTGCGCCCCATCAAGCTCATGGTCACACGGCCCGTCATTCCCTTCATCGGCCTCATGTACGGCGTCGAGTTCGGAATCTACACCCTCGTGCTCTCCACCTTCGCCGCCCTCTGGATCGAGCGATACCGCCAGTCCGAGACCGTCAGCTCACTGCACTACATCTCCATTGCGGCTGGGATCTGGCTGGCAGCCCAGTTGGGCGGATACCTCATGGACTGGATCTACAAGCGCCTGAGACAAGGCCGGCGCTTGCGCGTGTCCCGGTTGGAGAAGGGCGCCGTAGAGGAGAGACCAGGTGTCCCCGAGTTCCGGGCGCCCTACATGATGATCGGCGGCATCATGATGCCCATCGGCCTGCTCTGGTACGGCTGGGCGGCCGAGCGGCGCGCGACCTGGGTGGCGGTGGATCTGGGTGCGCTGTGGTTCACCTTTGGCGGCACGATGTATGTGCAGGGCGCGCTTGCCTACACGCTCGACGAGTTCGAGGCCGGCGCTGCATCGGCGCAGGCGGGAACGAGGATGCTGTCGCAACTGGCCGGGTTCTGCTTCCCGCTGTTTGCGCCGCAGCTGTACGGCCGGCTTGGGTACGGGTGGGGGAACAGCGTGCTCGCCCTGGTGGCGCTGGCGTGCGCGGTGCCCATGCCGTTTGTCTTGTGGTTTTGGGGAGATCAGTTGCGCGCGAAGGGCAGGGACAGGGTTGCGTTTTGAGGTCTGGGAGGAAGCATCCAAGTGAAGCAACAAATATAGATGCTACGATGGTGATTGTGGAAAGATGATGCCCGGGCACGGTTACTCTGCGCTTTCCTTTTTTTATTTCTATAACATCAAAATGCGGGCAATCGCATCTGGCAACAACCCGGCTCTTTCCCGAGCGCCTATGCAAGTCTGAATTGCCCTTACCCGTCGGATCTCATCTCGATTTGTCATTCCTGGAAGGGAAGTCAAAACTCGAGGCAGCCAGCATCGACTTACAGAACAGAGAAGATCCCTACCCCCCAGATCCGAGGCTCGGCCTGCAGGTGTGATGGGGATGCTGAGTCATCCAAACAACCTGTTAAGAGGTATGCAGCGCCCAGCACGACCTGGTACAGAGTACTTCTGCACTCACTCCGTCTCTCTGCATTCTTAGCGCATTTTGCGTGTTCTTAGGCAGGCTAACCCCCTACAGTAAGCGCTCCGTGACCGGTTACGAGCGCTAAAATGGCCGCTGAGGCGCGCTGGAAGCGGCTGATAAAACACGCCGAACTGTCTCGTCTTGGCACCCTTGTAAGTACATCTGAGCATGTATGCACCTCTAGCATCTAGGTAAATCAGAATGGAAGCTTTTCTCGCTGGTGCCTTGATTAACATGCACACCTGAATTCACTTGAAGGAGGCAGCCCTGGTGGAGAGTGATTTGTTGAATCAGCGCATCAATATCATCAGCCCACAAAAGGATCAACTAGCCTCCAGCTGCAGGGCTGTGCCTGGCGCCCCGGCACGCCCGGAAATCCCGAGTCTCGCACATGGGAAAAAAACTGGCCAGCAAATTTGATGACCAGACTGCTGGACTTCGTAGGTCAAGGTGGATTAGCCACCAAGTTCTGACGCAATGTGCCTCCTGACTTCTTCTCCTCCTTCGTGACACCTTGCTCCATGTCAATCTACCTCGCAGAGTCGTGCCCGTACCTGATCTCGAGCCAGAGCTTCCAAAGCTTCTTCTGGCGATGATGCAGTGTCCAGTGCGTCTTGAATCGCCATCACCACCATGACTGCCCGCTCGCTCCTCCAGCAGAGGCGCCTCGTGGCCCTGGCTGGAGCTTTTACGTTTGCCTTCATCATCGTGACCACCCTCTGCTCTCCGACCGCCCGACTTTACTTGACTGGCAAGCCAAGCGGTTTGAGACCATCGCCAGTAGCCATACAAGACCCAGTTCAAAGCCCATTACTCCCATTACCCCCAGCGGCGCCAGCGGCGCCAGCGGCGTCAGCGGATCAGACGCCCTCGTGGGACCTCCGGATACCGAACGATTACTTCGATAAGAATCCCAGTTCCAAGTTTTGTGCCGAACGGTTCTCTACGAAATACCTTGAAAACCTGCGCAACAATTCAGCCATCTATTGCAGCCCGGAGAAAGCCCAGTCGAGCTTGACCTGCTTTCACAGTCGTACCTCACCCGATGGGCCAGACTCGTTCTGCGTCGCCCGGGGGGTTGCTCTTGACTCCAAGAAGCACCGATTCGGAATACACTGTCCGCTCAGAACCCTGAGCTCGGAGGAAAAGGCCGGGGGCGTGGTACCGTTTGAGAGCATCCGTGGTTATTGGTACGGGACAGGCCCGGCCGAAATCTTTGGAAAATTTATAACATTTCTCAAGAGATCGCCCCCTCTCGTTCCGTCAACAAAGAGAGAAGAAACAAACCAGACCACTGTCGGCGGTAATGTCATTGCCTCACCACCGCGGAATTTCCTGCTGATCAAGCGTGAGGGTGATGGCAATCCGTGGCACTGCTTGCTGGAGATATGGTCGGCCTGGATGACCATGGACGTCCTACGCATCTCGATGGACCCCAGCCGCAACGAGCCCTACTTCGCACACAGCGAAGACGAGGAGGATACGCAGGTAGTCATCCTCGACGACCTGAACGAGGGCCCGTACTACGACATGTGGTCGCTCTTCTCCAAGCACGACGCCGTTCGCCTGGGCGACCTCAGCACGCCCATCCCATCCTCGGCGAATGTCATCATTCCGCTGGCCGGCGGCAGCAACCCGATCTGGCAGAATGACTGGGGCGTCCGCGATTGCACCTCCGCGGCCACGCTGTCGGCCTTCTCGCGCCGTGTCCTGCGCATGCACGGCCTGGACCCGGACAGGGCCCAGCAGCGCGGCCCGCAGGCCAACATCTCCGTTGTCTTTGTCGACCGTAGCCGGTACAGGAAACTGGTGAACCAGACAGCCCTCTTTGAGGCGCTCGAGGCGCGGGTTCCCCACGTCTCCGTCCGCCTCGTCGACTTCGCAGCGCTGAGCTTCCGCGACCAGGTCCGGGAGGCGAGGAACGCTGACGTGCTGGTTGGTGTGCATGGCGCCGGACTCACGCACGCCATGTGGATGCATGACGGTGCGGGGTCCGTCGTGGAGATTCAGCCCTCGGAGCTGAACCACAACGGCTTCCGGAACCTGGCGTTAATGAAGGGGCTGGGTTTCTACCGCGTGCACGCTAACTCTACGGAGTCACCCAAGAAAAAGAAGCCCACGCGAGCAGCATCATTGGTGATTGGGGGCGGTGATGAGGCCGGGCCGGGGGACCACGCGCTGCTGCAACGGCGGGACCGGTGGCATTGGGAAGATGTGATTCTGGAAGAAGAGCGTTTTCTCGAGGTCATGACTGTCGCGATCAAGTCGCTGTATGCAAAGGGGTCCCTGAATTATGACGTCAATTAGCACTTGAAGTGCGTTGAGGCAGAGGTAGGGATGAATGCATCCATGATCTGAACTGAAATTGGAATGCCGCTATCAGCCACTCTCGGTCTTTTGAATGATGGGCGCTACAGGTCACCCTTACTCGCGTGCCAGAAATGTCAATCGTACAGAGAGTGAAACACTCCCTGTCCACATTTCGCTGCCAGGGATGGCCTGTCAGCGGGATGGCGGCGCGTTCCCGGTCACGAATAATGTGATCCAAGACATCGCTCGGGACTTTTAGCCGGATCTGGCAAGCATCTTGCTGCTTATTTTCACCACCCCCAGGCGAGACTAGGCGAAAAGCGATTAAGGGGTGACTTTTGACAAACAGAATAGAGTGTTAGGACACGTTTGGAAACACCCCGGCGCTGCTTGAACTGGAAGGGGAATCTCGAATCCTCACGATTGTCCCTACCAGCGACGAGAGCAGGGAAGCGCTGCCCATTATTGAACATTCGCGACTCCTCATAGATGAACGGCAGACCATAGCACTTGTCAAATTCTGCAGAACAAAGTTAATTTGAGAGACGACGAAGCAGGAACATCCGCCAATGTTGACATGGCGGTGCTCATAAGGGGACGGCGCAGGAACACCTACCTCGCCCTCGCAGTCCTTTTGCTCATCTTCTACTACCTAACATCATCATGGCGGCACACGTCGTCAGAGTCTGCCAGTCTGGCACAGTTCATGAACTACGAGGGCTCTGCCACACGCGTCAAAGCCGTCAATTCCAGCTTCGACTGGAGCAAGGTGTCACACGCCTACCCGCCCGGGGACCAGAAGCCGCTGCCGCGCTCCCCGCCTGGCGCGAGGGATCGGATCCCCCGAGTGCAGCACCGCTTCGGTGGCGAGTCCTCTGCCGTGCGGAAGCTGCGTGAGGCCCGCCGAGATGCCGTGCGCGCCGTCTTCAAGAAGAACTGGGACAGCTACCGCAAGTACGCGTGGAAGGCTGACGCGCTGCTGCCGCTGTCAGGCAAAGGCCGGGACCAGTTCTCTGGCTGGGCGGCGACCCTGGTCGACGCCCTCGACGCTCTGTGGATCATGGGTCTGCGTGACGAGTTCGACGAGGCCGTCGAGGCCGTCGCCGAGATCGACTTTGGCGAGTCGTCGTCGCAGCGGGTCAACATCTTCGAGACCAACATCCGCTACCTGGGTGGCTTGCTTGCGGCGTACGACTTGAGCGGTCGGCAGGTGCTGCTACAGAAGGCACGAGAGCTGGGCGAACTGATCTACGCCGGGTTCAACACCCCTAACCGGATGCCTGTGGACTTTATCGACATGTCGCAGGCCAAGACTGGGGAAGGACTGACTGTGGAGTCGTCGGTGGTGTCGGCGTCGCCAGGGACGCTGTCCATGGAGTTAACCCATCTGTCGCAATTAACGGGCGACAACAAATACTACGCGGCGGCCGCCAAGGTAATGGACGTGTTTTACCACCAGCAGAACAAGACGAAGCTCCCGGGGATGTGGCCCATCTACGTGTCGATGAGCACTCAGGACCTGACGAATGGCATGTCCTTCACGCTTGGCGGCAGTGCCGACTCCCTCTACGAGTACCTGCCTAAGATGTACCAGCTCTTGGGCGGGTTGGAGCCCATGTACGAAGACTTGTCGCGGACTTTTATGGCGACTGCGGATAAGCATCTCTTCTTCCGTCCGATGCTGGAAGACAATGCCGACATCCTCATCTCTGGAAACGTCAATGTCTTTCCAGAGGAGGATCCAGTACTCGACCCTGAGAGCGAGCACCTGGCCTGCTTCATCGGAGGCGCTTTTGCCCTGGCGGGAAAGCTGCTTGGCAGCCCCAACGATGTCCGCACGGGGGCAAAGTTAACTCGAGGCTGTGCCTACGCTTACAGGGCATTCCCTACAGGCATGATGCCTGAGCGGTACAATATGGCGCCATGCAGATCCAGGACCGAATGCCCGTGGGACGAGTCTGTTTGGCAGGAGGAGAAAGGCAAGCGGAAGGAGTGGAAGGAGCATCTGCCCAAGGGCTTCACGACAGCCAAGGACCCTCGCTATATCCTACGGCCCGAGGCCATCGAAAGCGTGTTCGTGCTCTATCGAGTTACGGGGGACACGTGGTATCAAGACACGGCGTGGGGCATGTTCAAGGCTATAGAGGAGGGTACCCGTACCGACATCGCGAATGCAGCTGTTCTCGACGTCACCAGGGCCAGAGAGCATCTTCCGAAAGAAGACTACATGGAGGTAAGTCTCTCGCTAATTATCACCTCATTCCCCTCAGCATGAAAATTCGGGTCTGACGTAGAATTGCAGAGTTTTTGGTTGGCAGAAACTCTGAAGTATTTCTACCTCATATTCTCTCCTCCCGACCTGGTTAGCCTCGACGAATACGTCCTCAACACTGAGGCACATCCGTTCAGGAGGCCCAAGTGGTGATCCGGATGTAGTGTCTAGATTTACTTGCAAGCTCAAGATGGGCAAGGTTTGCCAGTTCCATCCGACTGGTGGGCGTCTTCCATACATGCAACTCAACTATTCATACTGGCATGGCGCAAGTTGGGCATTGGACCTCGTGCTAGCTGCACTTACAATTGAACTTCCGGCTCGGAGTCCGACTGCGGATTCCACTCCATTCCCTTCCTAACGGTGACCGTTGGAGGGGAGTGTGTCGTGGTCGTACCACAGGTTGGGAACAGACCCGGACTCTAAGGCACGCTTATGCTGGAGAAACATGTTTACCAGATCGTGGAAAACATGAGTGAGGCTGTTTATCACGAGAACAGGCGCTTCCACGTACCAAAGTTTCGCAGTCTCTTCGCCTACTTAAGGCGATCGCCTTGCCCGGAGGGACACTGATCTTCTCTTCTGAACCATCTCTCGTACCAGCTTCCTTTTCTTCAGACGTAGACAGCAGTCATCAAGCTATTGTTGCATCTTCCCGCCTCTCGTGTCATCTCATCACCATCATCAGAGTTGACACTCTTTTATCAAACGACCCAGCCGATTTCGATAGCCATGGCTTCCAGGTGGAATCGTTCAAACTGGGAATCGCCCAGCTCCAACAAGCAGAACCTCGCAACCTCTCCCAAGCGTGGTTCAGGTTCCCCTGGCGCCCAGGATGCCGTGCATATCTGGCAACCTGGAGAGATTGCATTTCTCAAGAGCCACCTGGTATTCGACAAGGATGAGCAAAAGTCCCTGATTACCTCGCGGTATCTTGAGATGGGTGCCACCGGCCACCCAGTCGTCGTCCTGCGCATGTCTCCCAACAAAACACATGCTGCTATCACCACGGCCAGCTCCTACCATGCCGATGGTGCGAACGGCAAGCATATCCCGCCTTGGTTGCAGTCCAATCACACAACCAAGCAGGATAAAGACTTCCGCGCGTTCGAGGGCTCAGAGCTGCCGCCCAGCGACGTGAAGCGCCCTGCACTCCAGCTCGAGGACGGCAAATTCATGCCCAAGAAGAACGCCTGCTGGATTTATGTGCGCAACATGTGGGTCGTCCCGGTCACCGTGCTCGGGTCCTTTGACCAGACGCCGGACATCCTTCGCCTCACCGACGACGCGAGGCTCGATCTCCTTGCGCACATGGAGAAGCGGAGTGCCGGCACGTTCGCCAAGGTCATGGAGGGAGTGGACTTGGAGTACATACCGGTCAACACCAGGAACCTCCCGGTGAACGACCCAAGTCCAGATCCCAGACCCAGACGGCAGTATCACGCTGTCCGAGGCAGCCCGGCACCTCTCGGATCGCGAGGACAAGGCTGGCCCCCCGCCACCAACACGGCCCAGCCTGCATCTGCCAGTTCGTCGACAAGTCTCTCATGGCGGCGAAGCCCAGGACAGCCGTCCGCTACCGACAGGCCCCAGCCTGCGCCGGCGGCTCTCGAATGGCGGCGGCCAAGCCAACCGGCCGCCTCCATGGGCGCCCAGCCTGCACCGGTGACTCTCGAATGGCGACGGCCAAACCAACCGGCCGCCTCCATGAGCACCCAGCCTGCACCGGTCAGCAATGACAAGCCTTCTGCCTCCCCGCAATTAACAGCTCCAAGGAGGTGGGCAGATGCGGCCACTGCAGGCTCTGGGGCATCGTCTCGCAGAGATGGCTGGCGGCGAAAGGGCCCAGAGGCCGAGGATCGTTGGAAACGGAGGAGCTGAAGATCCGGGCGCGGGTATCTGGGACGGGGCTGGGGAACTACTCGAGGTTTTGGGCTTTTTGGATTCACATTTCGGATTTGGGCACGGAATGATGCTTGTTTTGGACACGTTGGCAATCGTATCCTCATGTATCAAATGAGACTTCTCACCAGACGATCTATTTTCTGAATGACAATTTCTATCCCAGTTCCAACATCTTGATCTCTCTGTATCCCTCCGATTATGCACGTGATGGTGTTTTGGGCTGCACGCCTTTTGGCAGTAGCACGTGTTCAAGGCCGAGCAGGAATGTTTCTGGGAGTGCGTTTGAGTTAATGAAGTGGCTCATTGCAAGACCTGAGGGTTTGTCAACTACTGTACGGTACAAAAGTCATGGTTGCAAAGAGACTTCGCCTCAGCCAGCCACTGGCATCCGCATTCATGACCCTTGTCCTGGACAACCACAATTCAAGGTGACCCGAAGTAATCAGGGTGGAACACTCTCGACCCTGCAAGTTTGGTAGCCCTCCGAACACGGCACGGAGGGTGGTGTGTTCTCCGGGCAAGGACTGAATGAGTATGCTAATCTGCGGCTTTGTCGACTTTTGCCGCAACGTGAGAACTTTATTGCTCGGTTACATGGCCCTGACGGAGGGCAGTGTGTCGTCAATGCAAGCACTTTACCTCTGCGCGGCCGGCTATTTGGGCCATATAGGAGACAGGCTTATTATGACCCGCTATGGCTCCCGCGGAGTCTCATCTCTGGTGTAATTCCGCTTCTGCGCATCGCTGGGCATGTGAATCATGGCACAGAATGTCTTCAATATGCAGTGAGATGCCAAATTTGGGGATCGTGCTGTCGACATCCTGACTCCTTATCTCCCTAGAAGCTTTCAGCAGACCACTCACCGCGGGCATACACAATGGCAACGCCCGAAACACCAAAGGTCGACCTCGACCACCTCAAAGGAAAGACAATACTGATCACTGGAGGGGCGTCGGGCTTTGGGGCGGCCTTCGCCAGGAAATGGGCAAGCCATGGAGCCAACATCATCATTGGCGACATGAGTGACGCCGCAGGAGAGAGTCTTGTTGCAGAGCTCCGGTCCAGCACAGGGTCTCAGAATCATTGTTACCAGCATTGCGACGTCACGGACTGGCAGAGCCAAGTCGCGCTTTTCAAACTGGCAGTGAAGCAGAGTCCATCTGGGCACATTGATGCCGTGGTTCCCAACGCTGGCATCAGCGGCGATACCAACTCCTCTCCAGGCAACTTTGAAGACCCCCAAGGTCTGGACGGAGATGACCCTGCTCCGCCAAGGCTCAAGATCCTCGATGTCAACTTGACGGGTGTCATGTACACTGTTCACCTCGCCATGTTCTGGCTCGCAAAGAACAATACCGAAAAAGCCCAGGGCAAGAACGAAAATCAGCCCGAGGGCACAAGAGACAGGCACATTCTCCTCATCGGGTCGGTCGCAAGCTTGACACCGCTCGTGGGCGCTGCACAATACACCGCTTCCAAACACGCAGTCACAGGTCTGTTCAGAAGCCTACGCGGCACAGCATTCCATCGAGGAATACGCATCAACTTGCTCTGCCCACACTTTGTCAAGACCGGACTGCTCAGCGACGGCGTAATGCTGATTCTCGCAGGCGGCGGCCTGGGCGAGGTCTCGGACGTGGTGGAGGCGGGCACGCAGTTCATGGCCGATAAGACCGCCTACGGGCGGTCCGTCGTAATTGGCCCAAAGCTCAAGGTGGAGGACGGCGATGACGGCGAGATGAGGCTTGTGGAGATACCCAGTGCGGAGGGCGAGGAGGGCAAGGGCATCTGGGACTGCTTCGCCCACGACTACCAGAGCACCGAGGCATTCTTTTACCGGTACACGCGCCTTCTCATTGCCTTTGCCAAGATGAGGGGATGGGCTGGCTGGGCCAAGGACGTCTTCAATGTAGTATTCCGACGAAAATAGGAACGTCAGTCAATCAATCCATTTGCGAGAGCGGTTCTGCATTTTGCCTCGAAGACAGCTATATGACAGGGCCAGGATGAAGATCAACGTTGCAGTGGGCTGCACTAAATTCCCCGGCTGCACTACCCTGCAATCTGCTGATGGTGTGTGGAGCATCTGTCAAAATTCGCAATATCTAGAAGAGCTTCCAGATCACCGCTGCCTCATCCGCATAGCCGTGTAAGCGAGCTTCTCAGAGATAAGCATTTACGCCATCCCGCGAGGGCTGGGTCTCGGTCCAGACCCTTCGCCAGCCGGCCGGGGGAGCAGGAAGACTCTGCAGCTTCAAATAGGGTCTCGACCTGGGTAGGTGCCGTCCGGGATTATGGGCTCTCGATCCCAAATAAGCAACAAGCTTGTTATCTCAGCCTCCTGCATCCGTGACTGAAAGGTTTGTATCCTGGGCCAGGCCAGGCCCAGTGTCATGTATCTGCAACACAGTGTAGTGGCAACAGCGTTTGGCGGCTGATATCGTGCAATATTTGCCGACATAATACGGCGAATTATTCCCTATCAGAAATCCAGGCACCCCTTCCGAAAGCCAACGTTGGTCCCTTCCAAAAAAAAAAAAAAATACAGTAGAGCCCATCGACGGTCCAGTGTTGTCTTGAGGTCTGGTTGTTAGTTCTTTCTTCTCTTTTTCTTCCTATACCCCTTTCACTCCCCCTTTCCGTTTTGTGGGCAGCTGCGAAGGACGAGAGACGCTCCGCCTAATCTAAGGTAGAAATCCATCTTTGATACCCAGGCGTCACTCCTCCAGACACCTATTCCAAAGTAATTTACCCATTCTGGGCCGCCAAGACGGACCTACGTAGCCCTTCGGCATCTGCACACGGCAGCAAACACGCGATGCTCGGCATAAGTGCGGATTGACAACGGCTAGCTAGTATGCATTCGAAGCGAGCAGACTGTGTCGATCCGGTTCCGCTTTGCGTGGTAAAGACGCCCACTTTACCCCAGGATCTTGGCACCAGGGGAACAGACCAATCAGTGCAGGCTGGCTTCATCTGGCTAATGCGAGGCCAATTAGGATGAGATGGACCCTGGATCTGATCATCGAATGGATGGAATGCTCCGTGCAAGCCCGCCGGGGGACACGTTATCGTCAGGTCGGCGCTGCGGGCAATAAAAGTGGCTAACTGGCCCCAGCTGGACTCGGTCGCCCAGCAAGATGCGGAAGTCGTGAGCGGCGGTCCTCTTCTCGAAAAAGTTCCAAGACTGATATATCAGCCCTTGGTCCTCTTCCTTGCACTGGACTCTTGGCTGAGCACGCAATCACACACAAGTTGCTAGCTGTGCGGCCGAGTCTACCATGGCGCCATCCGTCCTGCCTCCCGAGGAGTCGACGCCCGAGCCAACCACACCGGTGACCGAGACTGGCAGCGATGGCTCCAACTTTGAGATAGTGAGCCCGTGCTCACCGTCCGAGACGCTCTCTGCCAACGGACAGCCCGGCACTCTTGACGCTGCCGCTGCCAACGGAACGTCTGGTCAGCATGCCAACGACCAACAGATACCCGCATCCAATGGCCACAGCAACGGGACCAATGGCTCACACGACACGGCCCAGGCTAGCTCACAGACAGCAGAGACCCCCGAGGCCCCTCAGAAGAAGTCAAAGTACTCCCCTGTCGCCATTGTGGGAATGGCATGTCGCTTGCCTGGCAACGTCTCTGACCCGGAACAATTCTACGAACTCATCTGCCGAGTACGGAGCGGCTGGTGCTCGATGCCAGAGGAGAGATTCAGCAAGGACGGCTACCACCACCCTAACCCGGACAAGCTAGGTTGCTACAACCCAGCTGGTGGCTGCTTCCTGACCGAGGATGTTTCGCTCTTCGACGCCCCTTTCTTCAACATCACAGAGCGAGAAGCCATTTCGATGGACCCACAGCACCGCCTGATTCTCGAATGCACATACGAAGCCCTCGAGAATGCCGGTATCCCCAGACATGAGCTGGTTGGCAAGAACGTGGCTGTCTATGCCGGAGGGTCTTTCACCGACTACGAGTTGAACAACCTGCGTGATCTAGACACCGCCCCCATGTATCAATCCACAGGAAATGCCCCGTCTCTGCTAGCCAACCGCATATCTTACTACTTCGACTTCCGAGGTCCCAGCCACACTGTCGAGACGGCTTGCTCGTCAAGCTTGACCGCTCTTCATATTGCCATGCAGAGCATCCAGAGCGGCGACTCCTCCGTGGTTGTGCTAGCCTCAAGTCATCTCAACCTTCTCCCAGACCACTTTGTCTCTATGTCATCACAAGGTCTACTGTCAGGAGATGGTCGGTCTTACGCTTTCGACTCCCGTGCCAACGGCTTCGGGCGTGGTGAAGGTGCTGGTGTCGTCATCCTCAAGCCCCTCGACCAAGCACTAAAGGACAATGACAACATCAGAGCCGTGATCGTCGGAAGCGGCGTTAACCAGGACGGACGTACCAACGGCATCACTATGCCAAACGGAGATGCCCAGCTGGAGTTGATGAGAAAGGTCTACGAGGATGCCGGGATTGATCCCCAGGAATGCGGATATGTGGAGGCCCACGGCACTGGCACAAAGGTCGGTGACCCGATAGAGATGAAGGCTCTGCATCGCATGTTCTCAGAAGGGAGAAGCCCGAGCAAGCCGCTCTATGTCGGCTCTGTCAAGACGAATGTCGGTCACCTGGAGGGTGCCAGCGGCATTGTGTCAATCATCAAGTCCGTCATGATGCTCGAGCGTGGATATGTCCTGCCAAATTACGGCTTCCAAAAGGGAAACCCAGAAATTCCATTCGACGAATGGGGCATCAAAGTCCCTGCGACCGTCATTCGATGGCCACGACAGAAGAAGTATATCAGTATCAACAGCTTCGGCTTCGGAGGCGGTAACGCACACGCCGTCCTGGCAGCAGCGCCGAAGAAGCCTGTTGTGCCAGTGAAATGGATGCACGACTACGTGGAGCCGAGCCGTCTCTTCGTTGTGTCCGCCAACAGCAAGGAGGCTCTAGCGGAACAAATGAGGAACATGACCATCTATCTTGAAAGGCACCCTGTTGCTTTCCAATGGAACCTGCTAGCCAATCTCGCCTACACTCTTGGCCAGAGAAGGTCATTCCTGCCCTACAAAATGGCTATTGCAACAAGCGACGGAGCATACTTGACAGAGGCCTTGGCTAAGCCTCCAACCAACCCCGTCAGGTCAACCCGGGAACCCAACATTGGTTTTGTATTCACCGGACAGGGGGCGCAATGGCACGCCATGGGACGAGAGTTGATTCAGGGATACCCCGTCTTCAAGGCATCCCTTGAGAAATTTGATGCTGTCCTTAAACGGGTGGGTGCACCCTTCAGCATGATGGAGGAGTTGGCACGAGATGCCAAAGAGTCCCGTCTCTCGGACGCAGATCTCAGCCAACCTGGATGCACGGCCATCCAAATCGCCCTGGTCGACCTATTAGCTTCTTGGGGCATCCACCCTAAGGCAGTCGTTGGCCATTCCAGCGGCGAGATTGGTGCTGCATACGCTTCTGGCACGCTGTCGCTAGAGGACTGTGCATCAATCGCATACCTCCGCGGCCAGGCGGTCTTGAGGCTGAAGGCAGACCACCCCAACCTCGACGGTGGCATGCTTGCAGTTGGCGCGGGCCCCGAAGATGTCTGGCCTCTTATCAAGACGATCAACAAGGGCCGAGTTACGATCGCGTGCATGAACAGCCCTGGAAGTATTACGGCTTCTGGCGACTCTGAAGCCATTGCCGAGCTGCAGGCCAAGGTTGAAGAGAAGCAGCTTTTCAACAGGAGGGTAAGAGTGGACACGGCTTACCACTCCCATCACATGGAGCTTGTGGCAGGCTGGTATGGCGAGTCTGTTGGCAAGATCAAGGCGGCGCCCCAAGGAGACGTTTCTTTCTTCTCTTCTCTCAAGGGCCGGCTCGTGGACTGCTCAGAGCTTACAACGTCCTACTGGGTGGAGAATCTTGCTCGCCCTGTGCAGTTCTCGCAGGCCCTGACAGAGATGTGCACCTCCCCCGTCGGCACTGACAAGGTGGACCTGCTTGTAGAGATTGGCCCTCACTCTGCTATGGAAGGTCCAGTGAAGCAGATCCTCAAGGCAATCGACACCAAGGCAAAGAAGCCCACTTACTTCCCATCGCTGGTCCGAAACAAGAACGCGGTCGACACGACGCTTGCACTGGCAGGGTCGCTCTTTAGCCACGGAACGCTTCTTGACTTCAAGGCCATCAACTTCCCAGTCCCCCCACCCAAGGCATGCGAAGCATTGAAGGACCTGCCGAAGTACGCCTGGGATCACGGCAAGCGCTACTGGTGGGAGACGCGCATCAGCAAAGCACATCTCCACCGGCAATTCGTACGCAACGATGTCGTTGGCGCACTCGCTGACTACTCCAACGAGCTCGAGCCGACATGGAGAAATATCATTCGTACCGACGAGCTTCCTTGGGTGCGAGGCCATATGATGCAAGACATGATCATTTACCCCATGGCCGGATACCTGTCCATGGCCATCGAGGCATCAGCGCAGAGGGCGCACCTCGCAGGACAGACATTCGATCAATTCGTATTCAGGGATGTCATCATCAGCCGCCCGCTGGTGGTCCAAGAAGGCAGCGATACCGAGACTAATATCACCATCCGGCCATTTGCGGAGGGCAATCGACAGTCGTCCAAGACATGGGACGAGTTCCGCATCACTTCCTGGAACAAGGACAGGGGCTGGGTCGAGCACTGCCATGGCATGATTAGGGTCAGCTCGAGTACCGATACAAATTCAGTGCATCAGACCTCGCCGCTGGAGAAGGCATCCCTTAAAGAAAGAAGAGCTCGCATTCAGGCGACCTGCAATCGCACTGTCGATCACAAGCAGATCTACACTGATCTCGCAGGCGTTACTGCCAAGTACAATGCGCAGTTCCAGGGCATGGAAAATTGCGAAGGCAGTGACACAACCTGCGTTGCGGACATCATCGTGCCAGACACTCGCCGTGGAATGCCAAAGGACTTTGAACCATCACTCATCATCCACCCTGCCTTCCTGGACCAGTTCACACATGCCGCCTGGGTCATTCTCGGTGCTGGTCGCGATAAGCTGCCCGCGCTCTACATGCCTCGCTTCTTCAAGTCGCTGACGGTTTCCAAGAATGTGTGCAACAAGCCCGGTGATCGTCTGCGGGTACATGGCGAGGGCAACCCGAACTTCGTTAACCCAGCCTCCACAAAGATTACGATGTTTGCGACATCCATGGATGGCAATGAGGAGTTCATCCATATGGAGGGCCTTGTGGTCGATCCTCTCATGGAGGCGCAGGTCTCCACTGATCTCGCCTCTCGGGAGTTGTGCTATCGTGTGACTTGGCAGCCAATACCAACTGAGAGTTCCGACGGAGAGAGCAACGGCGAGGCGGTCATTGAAAACAACATCGCCGAGCCAATCTCCATCGTTTGCACAGATGCACAGAAACAGACCATTGCCACGCAGCTCAAGGAGCAGCTTCGCAATGTGTGCACTGCAGATGTGGACGTTGCCTCGATTAACGATCGTCTTGCCGGAAAGATCTGCGTTGTGCTGTTAGAGTTGGATGAGCTCCTCACCTCAAAGCTTCGTGAGGAGTCTTTCAAACAGCTGCAGACCCTTATCCAATCTGTAAAAGGTATCCTGTGGGTCGTTTCAGGCTCATATGCAGACGCTACGAACCCGCAAGCTGGCATGATCCTCGGTCTAGCTCGTACAGTTCGATCGGAGGCTGGTCTCAAGTTTGCTACTCTGGATCTTTCTCAACCCGCGCTCTCCTCTGCCAGCACCGTGGCCGACAGTGTCCTCAAAGTCGCCCAAAGCGTCTTCGGCAAGGATGCGTCCCCCGATGTGGATATGGAGTATCAGGAACGTGATGGGGAGCTCAGCGTGTGTCGCATTCTGCCAGATGAGGAGATGGATGCCTTCGTCGAGCAGCAGACGGGTGCTTCGACAGCTCCATTCTTGCAGCCTTTCCACCAGGCGGGACGGCCTCTCAAACTCAAGGTCGGAACAAATGGTGCGCTCGACACTCTTCACTTTGTTGACGACACATCTGCGTCCTCGCAGCTCCGCCCTGACGAGATCTCCATCGAGGTCAAGGTCACTAGCATGAACTTCAAGGACGTCATGGTGGCCATGGGAGAGGTGCCTAGCCCGTACCTGGGAGTCGAGTGTGCCGGTGTGGTCAATGCCGTGGGTGCAGATGTCAGAGACTTCAAGGTTGGCGACAGGGTGTGCGCAAGCTCCGAAGGCGCATATTCTACCTACACGAGGTGCAAAGCCACCAGCGCCGCCAGGGTGCCCGACGATATGTCGCTCGAATCCGCAGCAACTATTCCTGTAGTATTTGCTACTGCGTACTACAGTCTCTTTGACGTCGCCCACCTGCAGAAGGGCGAGACGGTACTCATCCACGCCGCTGCTGGAGGTGTGGGCCAAGCAGCCATCATGCTCTGCCAGATGGTGGGCGCTAATATCTACACGACTGTCGGAAGCGAGGCAAAGAAGACCTTCTTGATGGAGACCTATAACATCCCTGAGGATCACATCTTCTATTCCCGAGACACCACATTCGCCAAGGCCGTTCAACAAGCCACCAACGGCCGCGGCGTCGACGTTGTGCTCAATTCGCTGGCCGGCGACTCTCTCAGGGCCACTTGGGAGTGCATCGCTCACTTCGGCCGCTTTGTCGAGATCGGCAAGCGGGATATCCTCAGCAACACCGGCTTGGGTATGGCCATGTTTGAGCAGAATGCCACTTTTGCCTCTGTGGATCTGACCGTCGTTGCTGCTGAACGCCCTCAGGTGATGAGGCGTGTGCTGGACGACGTGTTCAAGACGCTTAGCTTCGGTCTCATTCGTCCAATCTCTCCCATCACATCCTTCCCTATCTCGGAGGTTGAGACGGCATTCCGCACTATGCAAGCTGGCAAGGTTCATGGCAAGGTCTTGTTGACCGCGGGACCAAATGACTTGGTCAAGGTAAGTATTCTGAGAAGGACATCGATCCTAGAATGAAAATGGCTGACAAGTTACGTAGGCAACCTTTTCTGAGAAGACATTCTCTAACATTCTCCGCGCTGATGGGACATACCTTATCATCGGCGGAACTGGTGGTATCGGACGGAGCATCACCCGATGGATATTCAACAAGGGTGCCAAGAACATCGTTCTGGTCTCTCGATCCGCCAGCCCATCAGCTAAGGTGAAGGAGCTTATCGAAGAGGGCAAGACGCAAGGAATCAACGTTTGCATCCATGCCTGCGATGTTTCGGATCAGGGACGGGTTCAGGCCATGGTGGCAGAGCTCGGCAAGAGTCTACCTCCGATCCGTGGAATGATCCACAGCGCCATGGTTCTAGATGTAAGAAGAAGCAGCCTCAAACATCGCAAATTACTTGCCACTAACGCAGTTATAGGATGTTCTGTTCGAGAAAATGACCTTTGATCAATGGGACCGTGTCGTCCAGTCCAAGGTCGCCGGCTGCTGGAACCTGCACAACGCCTTGAGCGGTGAGGAGATCGACTTCTTCATCACGTTGAGCTCGGTGGCTGGCATCATCGGCAACCGTGGCCAGGCAGCCTATGCGGCCGCGAACACGTTCCTGGACTCGTTGACTCAGCACCGCCGCAGGCTGGGTCTGCCAGCCACGACCCTTGACCTGGCTGCGGTCAGCGACACCGGCTACCTCGCCGAGAATGCAGAGCGCCAAAAGCAGGTCCTCGACCAGATTGGCGGCGAGCACATCAACGAGAAGGAGATCCTGGCCTTGATCGCCGCTTCCATCACCGGTAAAGCAGAGGAGACCTGCGGGTCTCAGATCGTCACCGGTCTGAAGCTGCCCGCATCCTTCTCGAATGTCTTCTGGGCCCCCGACGGCAAATTCGAGTCCTTGCGTGCAAAGGCTTCCCAGGGAGCCGAAGGCGATATGAGCGCTGCTCAGTCCATCTCCCCCGGCGTGGCACTGAAGCGGGCAAAGACCTACGAGGAGGCTCGTCAGGTCGTGATAGAAGCCCTGCTAGACAAGACCGCCAGTGTGCTCATGCTGCCGCGTGAGGAGCTCGATCCCTCCAAAGACACGGTCTTTTACGGCCTGGACTCTTTGGTCTCGATCGAGATCAGGAACTGGATCACTCGCGAATTCGGTGCGGCGTTGCAGATTCTTGACCTGCTGAGTAGCGGCTCATTCGTGGCTCTGGCGGATGTTGTGTTGCGGAAGACTGAACTGGTCTCGTTTGACAAATGATTTGACAAGTTCAAACGATTTACTCTGAAGTTTCTTGTATTTCCTTGTGATTCTTTTTATTTTGAGTGTTTTTTTTTTTTGGCACAGCTTTGGCTTTGTAAGACTTTTGGGTTCAATTTCCATTCTCACTGTTATTTTGCCCTTTGATTCGACTTTCCAGTTCTGAATTATAAACATACAGCTTTCCAATACGAAACGCTTCTGATATATCTGTACGAGTCTAACAGCCTTGTGATCTCCATTGTGTACGCGTAAGGTTTGGATGACAAAGCTCCTGAAGATGAATCAACTCATGGGACCCCAGTGCTTCCTCATTTCCCTACTTCCCACGATATTCATCAACACAATATACCCCTTGACACTAAAACTGCAGTGAACGGCTAGGGAAATAACCTCTCCCTCCTCATAGCTAAGCCAGCTACCAAGAAAACAGCACCCGCCACGATCACAAGGACAAAATCTTGCCTGATAGCGTCTGTAATGGCAAGAGTCGCTCGCTCTCTGAGCTCCCCAGTCAAACCTCGAAAGACATCGCTCCGCCCCCCCGCGACCGCCTGCCGGATCTGGTCCTGTGTGTAGCCTGCTGGCCCCAACACGGCGCCCAAGTTCTTCACAGAAGTCGTCTGGAAGACCTGTCCGCCGATGACAAGCGCTATCGTGCCCGCGCTGAGTTGAGCAAAGTTCTGCAGCGTGATCGCGTGCACGGCATCTCGAGCGTGGGCCTTCAGCGTAGCTATCGGAAAGCCGATATTTATGGCGGGCCCCGCCCCGACACCGGCGAGGACGTTGATGCCGTAGATAGCGCCTGGCTGTGTCGACGGGTCGAGGTAGACGTAGTACAGCGCGCCGGCGATGGTCAACAGAACCCCGGACACGATGTAGATTCCGATGTAGTACTTGATCCTCGGCAGCAGATATCCGGTCAAGAGGTTGGAGGTAATGAGGACGATGATGAACGGGAGGAGCCTGACTGCTGCTTCGATGGCGGTGTCATCGCGGACGAATTGGAAGTAGATGGGGATGTAGTAGATTGGCAGCTGGACTCCCGTCATTGCGGCGGCTGTTGTGATGTAGAGCAGGACCTGGGTCCGTGACTTCAAGAGATGGACGGGAAATGAGCGCGTGGTGGGTGTGGTAAGGATGGAAAAGGTCTGCTGTACTCCATATGCGATGAGTAGCATCCCAAACACCACAATCGTAGCAATTGTTCGTCCATCATGCCATGGCCAGATGCTTCCAGCTGACAGGAAACCAAGAGAGTAACAGACCCAAAAGCCCATGCTCAGGATAAATCCCAGATAGTCAAAGCTCGCCAGGCGGGCTTTTACCGAGAGTCCGAGGGATGAACGAATGTTTGGAAAGAGGAAGAGATATATCGGGGCGGTGACGGCAGCGATGACTAGGTTGATGTAGAAAGCCCACCTCCATGTCGCGTTGCTGTCTGAGAACAGACCGCCTACAATGGGTCCAAGGATGCAGCCAATACCCCAGGAGAAACCAACGAAAGTGACATATACGCCTCTGTTCTTGGGAGGGGTCAATGCCGTCAGGTAGTTCAGGCTTCCGAGGTAAATGCCAGTGCCGCCAACGCCAGCAATGACACGGCCGACGATGAGGGCGTTCATGCTCGGAGCGCCTCCACACAGCGCTGATCCAGCTTCGAACAAGACTACGCCGCCGATGTAAAGCCACTTCTGGTTGAAGGAGTTGTATAGCGCGCCATACGGGAGGATAGAGGCTGTGGAACCGAGAAGGAATCCGGCACCAAGCCATGCAATCTGTGAGACGTCGTGGAAGGTGTCGATGACGGCGGCCTGAACCTCACCTGCGATGGTGGTGTCGAGGCCGTACATGGTGCAGGACGAGTAAACGGCAAAGCAAACGAGCCACCATCGCCAACCACTCGGGCGCTCGATTCGGCCGGTGTCATTCTCTCCACTGCCTTCCGGATCTTCTGGCGCTCGAAACTCGGCCAGCGAGCTTCTCGGCCGTGAGCCGTCTTCGATAAGAATCTCTGTCAGGCGTCGAGCAAGGTCGTTATCGGAACGTAATTCGCCGTCAGTTTGGAGATGCTTTTTGTTGGCCTCTATATCGGTGTGCTCTCCCTCTTGATTGTTTGTTTCTCTCTTCTCTATCGATATAGAGTCACCACTCGACGCACTGGGAGTCTCCATGGTTGGTGGTGCTGAGCGAAAAGGATTATTTTCAGCCGACGGTTGTTCGATAGCTTTTCTTTTGCTCTTCGAATTATTTTAATGATTAATGTGAAGTTCTGGGTTGTTTCAGATATTTTACTCCCAGTTTCCTCTGTTGCATGCGGTGTCATCTCGCCTTCTTATCTATCGCCAGTCCATCTTACATGACAGGGAGGCACTTCAAATACAGGAAATGGAGATTGCCTGTTTGGGAAGTTGCTCGGGATCCACTATGATCATGTAAGTGCTTCTTCCATCGGATACGATAGCGCGGTCTAAATGCTGGCTGACAAATTGGCTTTGAACTGTACATGGCGTGCTTTGCTTAGCGATCGTGCTAAGCGGTCTCACGCTCAGGAATTGCCGTTCGATACTTCGATGAGCCTCTATGTTGGAAATTAAGGTTCATTCCGTGGAAGAGCTAATTTATTATTAGACATCGACAGCTTCAGGAAAGCGTCCAGTCGCCAGCCATCAGTAAATGTAACTAAACAGTCCCGAGAGGAGAGGAGTACCACACTCTTCATGAACAGTGATGTGATAAGCAGACTGATTTGGGTTCGATAGCCTTTCATCAGGGGCAAGGGGAGCTCTACAATTCTGTAATTAATTACTATCGAGGACTAGAGGAGAAATTGTTGAAACTTTGAAGTCTTGCCTTCCTGGTTTTCTCACTGTCTTTGATTCTCCAACGTCCTCCACAAAGCCATACCGTGGTCCTCAAAATTTGTTTCGGGCCAAATGAAGTCCTTCAAGATCTCTCGCAGTTCAGGCCAGGAATTGTACAAGCCCTCGAATCGATGGCGATTCTGGCATAGCAAGTAACAGTACTCTGATCCCATCTCTTCAGTTGGAGCAAATATCCCACTGACAAACAAAACCCACAGCAGCAGTTCAGGATGCTGATCCCAGACAGGGCTTCGGTGTACTTTCCGGGCTGCTTCTAGCAATGTCACTGTTATGTGAGACTAGAGCGCGAAGCCTCATTAGCAGAGAGATCACCATCCGAAACGCTGAAGATCCAAGTTTACCGGGACGATTGTGCTTTGCCAAATCCGGCAACAAATCATGCAGGTAGTCAGATACACAGCTCTGTACAAAGCCTCCAGGAATGGCGTAGGCGTTGGCAAGTATGAAAGTCGGGACAGAACCGATGCGAGCTGGTTATCGAAATGAAGGAGGCTGACGACATCTGGACTGTCGGATCTGGAGGAGCCTCGAATTCGCTGTAACGAGTGTATGTCTTCAAGCAATGGCTGAATTTCCTCCGGTAGTAGTCTCGAAACCCTGACAAACCCCGCCGGCATGGAAGACCTGATAAACTCATCCCGCTTCCAGCATAGCTCAGAGAAGGTTGTATGGCAGAAGAACCTCTTCGACCCAGTCAATATGGAACAATTCAGATCCTGCCTGTTGCAAAGTGTCAGAACGTCTTTGTGGCTCAAGGAGAGCAGGTCTCACCAGAATATGGCACGCTTGATACCATCTGTCAATGGAATTTCTGAACCCTTTCGAAATTCTAGTATCTCCTTGAGCCCTTCCATATGCATTTCCACCTGAGACGTCTTCCCCATCCGGGCCTAAGTCGCATTAGCATCACACGCAGAGTAAATTAGAAGCAGAACTAACCTCGACTCCCACTAGTAGTAAGATTGCTCCGAGAGTAGACTCTGTGATATCTCCATCCATCGATTGTATTCGTTCACGTATCGAAGTGATGGTGCGACCCTTGTAATCCATAACCTCCTCATCGGTGCTGGTAGACTTGGCAGCGAAGGTGAAAGCGAGCATCGCCGAGTTGAGAAGAGCAGGGTCCTCCGTCAAGCCGCCCCTAAACACGGACTTGAATGTTTGGAAGTCGATGGAGCTACCGATTGTGAAAACCGGTTCGGCCGCCTGTCGCGCAGCATCTGCTCCTTCATATCAGCCATTCTGTGCTGCGAGGGTCCAAGAGGAAGCTCCTGGCATACAACAACTCAACAACTCATCCAACCTGCTGACTTCAGTGCCAAAGTTCTCGACGTCTTCAAGGTCCATAGCGAACAGAGATGGGACGATCGACCGCAATGGTATACCGCGCATTCCATCGGCCAGGGAAGCTTGCCTGGCCGGGTCAATACTTGGCGCCACAGACACAACATAATTGGTCCTAGTATTCCTCTGGAAGGATCTTTTGCACTGGAAACCTCGCTTCGCTGCATGTGAGCGAACGTGTCGAGTGCTCTCTCGAGTCTTCTGCTGCCCTGGTTTGCGCACCTCCACAAAAGTGAATGCGTTGTCTGTCTCGTCAGTATCCATTTGTAATCAGAAATGGAAAGGAAGAGGATAGAGTTGGTCTAGCAAGCAGATATGTGGGCAAACCTGGGATTGCGTTATGACCCCGAAAGATGCATGCTGGTGAGACACGGTCCCTGAGGAGGCATTTTCCTAAATAAGTAATAGGCAAATGCCAAAATCGGCGTAGTGTTGTTTCGGAGATAATTTGACTAATTCAGCCCTACAAAGAAGAGTTGATTACTCATGGAATCATGGCCTGCATGGCCTATGGCACTACTGTTTTCCCGCATGCCCTTGAACTAATTGGATGACATCTCCCCTGTAGACGGTAACAGTCTTGTTTCTCGGATAGTAAAGGGACTGCGGCTTGGGTTGTTGCCGGACCACCAGCATCGAGACGTCGGCCAGATGGACAGGATTACCAATAGGACACAGATCTCGTTTAATCAAGTACTGGCTCATACACTGGCCCAGGAAATGAGGTACCAATAGTGTGATAGAATAATGAAGTTTACTTTGCTGTTTCGGCCTCAACAAATGTCAAAGCACTTTGTCTGCAAATCGTCAAACTCTAAAGCCTCCCCTTGCATGACACCGTCAACATAGCACCCGCCAATGAGTTCATGACAATACGATCTGGTCGTGCTCCTGCGCATTACAAATGGAATGTTGCCGCCAAAGAGAATGCAAACGCGATCCCCAACCCGAGCAGCGCCAGGAACGATTCCACAAAGGTTCCTCTTAGTCGTAACGAATTTCCAGCCGCGGATGTTGTCACTCAGCATCGAGCTGTATGCCGCAGATTTCTCCCGGCGTGTGCCCGCGCCCAGCATACTACTGATAGCATCAAAATCGGCCTCTGGCTTGTGGTCGTAAACACGAGTCCTCCCACGTCTGAAAGCAGCCTTCTTCAGGACCTCCCGGAACGCTTTGTAAGAATTCTGAAGGTCGGTGTCGGTAATTGGGAGATCTGTCGTTCCTGCCACCGGCACTCGCCACTTCATCTCTTCAAGACGAACTTTGGGGTAGAACTTCCGGAGAGAATCGACCATTGAGTCCACCTCCTTGAAGTACTCAGAGCACTCCCTTGCTTCATTCGAGTTTGAGTGATTACTGATGTGCATAATCTCGTCAACATATGCTCCAGTCACCCGCAGTAGGTTGCCATTCAGCCATCTGATGACTTCGTCTCGAGTCTCTGAAGCATTGAACTCGGCTTGTCTGTCATGAAGGGTGTTTGTAATGGGGCACGTCAAGTCAGGTAGCCATGACGGGAAGCCCTTGGACTGGGGATTTAAACCCGCGCGATAGAGAAGGTGCATGCCGTGTCCCTGGCTGACAAACACGCGGCCGAACCTAGATGCAATACTGGAGAAAGAGGTACTTTCTCTGTAATCCGGCTCAAAGTTCTTTTCGTTTCCGTCAGAAGCCAGGCCGAGCAAGGCGAAGAATCGGTCCCGCCGTAGTGTAGAATTGACATGACGGAAGGTCTCCAACAGCGACAGTAGATTCCAGCGGTGGTGATGTGCTTCATGATCCCGGAGGTGTGAAAGTCTCATGAATGGTACCCACGATGCGGAGCATGTCCCCAGCCGACCACCATGCTCTCGCTCGATGGTGTGGACGGCGATGTGGATATCGTTCCAGTCCGCCGTCCAGCTTCCGCACACAATAGTTACCGTCGGCGCAATGACGGCTTCTTGGACTATCCATGCCCGGCGAAACCAGTTGCTTTCGAAGAGCTTCGAAATAGATCGCCATATCGGGTCGCTAGGTTGCGGCGACGACCGCTCTTCCCAAGATGGGTCCACTGGGTCGAGCCCGTCTGGCCAGTCCCTCCCTGCTGCGCGACCGTAGGTCTCCTTGGCAGCCACTTGAAGAAGAGTTTCCATCGCCTTGTCGTACTGTGTCTCGGCACTCAAGAACGCCATCGTGCGGGTCGCATTCTGGAAAATCTCTGGCAAGAGTCGGATTTGCCTTGCCTTTTCAACGTCGTCCTTCTGGTTGATACATATTGCATCCACCCAGAGTACAATAGGGCTCTTTTCGTCCCTCAGACGTCGGAGGCAGGTATTCAGAGAGTCTCGTATGTTCAGAAAGCCGTCCGGGGTCCACAGCTTGTGCAACGGCGTTGCGGTGTTCAACCCCCACTCGTAGGACAGCGTTCTGTAAGGACCGCTGTTTTTGATGCTCGAGCAAGTAAATACCATACCAGTGAGGGGAGCTTCATTCTTGCCGGGGAATAGCATGAAAAACCGCGTTTGCTTGGCCCTAAGGGCCTTGTAGGAGAACTCAACGCGGACTTTCCTGCTAACAGTCAGAGGTAGTGACTTCTCACAGCCACTGTCGGCCTCCTCAGGGTACAAGCAATTGCGAATACGCTCTCCTGTGGCTTGGCGGATCGTCCACGGGGCCTGATGATAAGGTAAACTGATCGTGTCTGTGTAGTGGCTACTACTCAGGAGTGGAGCGGCCCGAGGCTTTCGTGCCCTGGCTGGATCCGGTGGTGAGCACCCGTTTTTGATTGTTGCAAGACACTTGATCTTCCCCTCGAGGCATAGAGAATCGGAGAGAATAAGTTGCCAGGGATCGAAAAGAATCTCGAACTGAGGATTCTTGTAGACATCGCTGACCCGCACTAGGAGTATGACATCGATGCCGATGTGGAGAGACTTTTCCAGTCTATATCTGCGGATCTGTAGGAAGTATCAGTGATTGTATGTCATTTAGATATGATAGACGTAAGAGAAAGGGAGGGAAAGGCATACTCTCCGAAGCTGTTCCAGATTCCAAACGAATGATGAAGTCGCATCACCCTCTGAAACAACGACTTCAAAATGATAACGGGGCGATATGGACCGCCACGCTGTGCCGTCCCCCATCCCTTTAGGAAACTTGTCAAGCTTTGTTAAAAGCTCTGTCAACCTTGCTGATGATTGAGGGTCCTCCAGGGTGAAAGGAGCTGGTCCATCGCTGCTCTCGAACGCTGGCAAGCCTGCTCTTGAACGGAGCGTACTTGTCCAGTGCCGGATAGGGTCATAGGATGGCCCCAGATATCTTTGAAGAAAGCTAGACACCTGAATACAAGAGTCAGTATGCTCCATAAACTCTACAGCATCCAATTCAAGAGTATCAACTGACCAACGTCTGTCCTAGGTACTGGAGATGGTCGCTGGGGTCCAGTTTATGACTCTGCCAAAACAAGCCTTGAGCATGAACGGGGTCTTCGTTTGGGATTACTCCCATCTTAGTAAACGACAACAAGGGGATACGTCTGTCTGCGTCCTCGTCTGGATCTCTCCCTCTTCGTCGCCTGAGAGGGTTCTTCGGTCTAGAATATGGCACCCTGCTTCTGGGCTGGGAATCGTCATTGTCGCTGCTCTCCATATCGGAGAAGAAGTCGGAGAGCTTGAATATGTCGCCCGTACGAGACCTTCGAGCGCTCCTACCATTGCGTGTGCGAAAATCTAGATTAGAAATCAGCTTGAGGTCATTCACCATTCTCCACGATAAGATCAATACCTTCATCTGAGTCACTGTCATCATAATCATCATCGTCCTCGTCGTCGTCGTCGTCATCAGCTTTGTCAAAGTAATGGCCATTGATGGCAAACGCGGTTTGAACTCTCCTGATATCCGGTTCGCTCAGAGCTGTGTAGAGCAAGCTTAAATCCCGAGGATCGGTGATTCGACAATGCTCTGCGATCATATCGATGAGCTCAAAGGGAAATTGCTTCCGAACATGATTCCTTCTTGCAATATAGATCGAGAGATTGCCAGAGCGATTTGTTAGCATTGTTGCGTCACACTCGGTCTTGTGGCTGGCATATTTCTGGCTCCCGTCAAAGGTGAAGGAGTATACTTGATAGATATGCTCCACAATTCTGATCTCAGCCGTTTCAAGCTGGAGACATGTATCGGCTCTGTCCTTTTCTGACTTAGGGATTAATCTGTTTGGTCAAGTTAGAGATTGGCAAACACAGCGACACATGATTGTGTAAGAGCACAATGAGTTGCGACTTACGATTGAACATATTCAAGTCGAGATTGGAGGAACCGAGTGTCTGAGTTGGAAAAAACAGAGGTCCGTGACGGGTAGACAGTCGTTTCAACAAGTTTCGTCAAGTGTCGAGGTTGGAACCCCATAGCTTGGAATAGTGCGCCAACTGTGTCGAGGTCTCCGGGGCTCAGAGCTAACAGAGGAACCTTGCCGGCGAAACTCTTGGCGAGGTGTGGACGATCCGCGATGAACCACGAGTTATCGCAAGGACGACAGAGTTCCCAAGCAGTGTCATAGCCCTGTTTCTTCCGAACCGGAATTATCCCTTTCTTCATCAGAGGCTGAACCGAATGTCTAGCCTTCGCAGGGGTCATGGGCGCCAGAATTGCACTCAGGTCGGCCAGGACATTGAGGATGCGACTTAATGTCCAGTGACGGTCAATAGAACCTGCCTTGTTCACAACAGCGTCTATCTCGGTCCCGCGATAGTGAAAGAGCTCGGAGAATAGGTTATGGCATGTTGGATAGATAGCACATGGATCTACTCGCTCCTTGCGACACTGTGCGATGGTCAGCCATCGACCTGACCTCCCGCCACTTGGTCCGATGTACAGTGCTGGGATGAACTCAAACGCAGCCCTGTTTCATGATTAGCAATTACACACATTTCGTTTGTTTTGAGAAGCCTCGAACTTACAATACCGCGACTTCGTCATCCTCGTAGCGTGATTGAATGTGCTCATAGACATGCAATATTGCATTTTGCTCAGGCGAGCCGCCTTGATCAGCAAGTGAGAACAAACAAGACAGATAATAGTCCAGGTCTGCTTCAACTTTGATGCCAAGCAAACCCAGCTTGCGGCGTAGCGACCGGTCCTCAGAGCCTTCTATATCGATCGTAGTCACTGGGATTTCAAGTCGCTTGATGTGGGGGTCTAAGGAAGAAAGGATGATTTGACGCAGAGATTTCAAACCATGTTGAGTTCGGACTAGACTGTTCCTCATGTCTTTGAGTAGGTTCTCATGAGACTCGACTAGGACCGGATTGTGTCGCTTGTGCGTGTCCATTTCAATCCATTCCGAATATTCATCCCAATGTTCCACCAGTAGGTGGAGCACATCGGACACAGGGCACTCTCTGAAGAGAAACTTGAATTCTTCTGATAGAGTGAATCGCCGGTTGTCCAAGTGAGTGACAAGCCGCGGGATAGATGATAGGCGCAGAGTACTGATGAGGTACGACTTGAATGAATCTACATCAGTTCCACGTGAAGGTTCAGGTAAGAACAGCATGTTGTAAAAGTAGTCCACCGACAAATAGTCGAAGGGCCTGGTCGGGCCAGAGTGAAGCAATCTAGCCGGTTTATTCCTAGCAGGTGCATCCGCAGAGTCGGTTTCATAGACTGTGTCGAAGCTGAACCTATCCCAAGTGGAAGTATCGAAGATTGTGACGGATACAGAGCTCTGAATGGCCTCCTGGGGGATGTCTGAAAAGTGTAGTTCGTTGTTTGGTCCATCAGAAACGAGATTGAGGGCATCTGAGATGACACAGGCGCTCTCTTGAATCTCCATGTCATGACTGGATAATGTCTTCACGTATGTCATGTATTCCTCGTGAGGTGTCGAGAACTCCTTTTCAAGCTTGCCAAAGATCTTCCCAGCTATTGACCCGGGTTCAAAATCAACCCTGAGATATAGCTGCGAGCCTTTGCAAATACCGCCGTCAGAAGTAGCAAACCAAAGATCTATGTCATGAGTTGGGCGCCACGAAGACTCAAACAAGAACACAGCGTGTGAGATGAGCTCCTTCCGAGGGATCCTATTCGGGTCGAATGATGCTGAGCCGTGTAGTTTGGCAATGTGGGAACACATTTCTGGCCGTTCGATTTCCACGATGCCCAACTTCTGATACAGGCTGCGTCGATGCTCCTCTGTGGCGGCCAGGGGGTCAATGATTCGCATATCATCGGCCAACTCAAAGCTTTTTGGGTTCAGATCCTTATTGAAGAAGACAGGGCTCTTGTCAGCTGATGTCCATTGTCCGTTGGATAGTGGTATGATCGGTAGCTTTGCAAGGATATCCTTATAGGCGGCAGTCTGTGCCATGGGCAGAAGGACTTTTGCAAGTTGAGAATGCCAATCAGGTTGTTTCAATCGTAGCTCCACTGAACGCTTGGATACCATAGACTCAAGGTCTGTCAGGAATGTTGGCTCTGACATCTCAGACACGCCGAGATCGAGAAGCGAGGCTGTTAGCCACTCCGGGTATTTTGCAGACAGATAGCGACTGGCGGTATTGTCATACAAGGTGAAAGGACGGCCGTTACTGTCGGAGAACCTGCTGGGACAGACATAAACGAGATCGGACGGTTTGCACATTTCTCCGTTCCAGGACTCCAAGACCTTGCTCTCACCCAGCTTTCCCAACACAGCCTCCCGGAAGGGTTGAAAGAACTCGGAAACCTCGGCGTCGGGGACAAAGAATGGCCAGAAGTATTTCAATGAACCTTGGCCAAGATTGTGTACCGCCAGAATGAAGGCGTCAGTTAGACTGTCTCGAAGCGATTGGTTCCAGAGGTTTGAAACGTCAATGTGCGAGCGGTCTGCCGTGAGCAAAAAGTCTCCATTAAGTAGAAACTACACTCTCGATTGTCAGCCAAGTATATAGGTTCTCTCGAATTGGATTTTCAACAATACCTTTAGGCCATAGTCACTGATTGGTAACAAAGCATGAACGTACTGAGAGCACTGGCTCGGTTGAGCAGGAAGATCGGTGACTGGGAAGGCGAGGACGAGTTCCCAGAGATGAGAACTCGGCCTCCTCTTCTCAGCTGGCAAGTTCAGTACTTGATATGTCGACGTGCGATACCGTACCTGGCTCTCATCCATGTGAATGACTATGACTTGGTCCCCGTCTTCCTCGAAAACTTGTTTCCGAAAAGTACGATTCCATCCTTTGTTGTCTCGGTCGGAAACACTAAGCACGAGGCGCCGTACTCTCCTCAGAAATACAAGAAGATTCGGTCCAAAGCCGCGGAGCTCTTTGGTAAGGTCTACTGAAACGTTTGGATCGGCCAATTGAAGGTAGAAGGACGTCTGATCCTCAATAGTCGGCGCGGGAAAATCTGCCCATTTCGGGGCAATGATCCCGAATCTCTCTGTGCTGTCGAACATGAAACGGTACTGGCGTGATGCTATCCATACCTTCTCTGCCACTCTATAGACACTCTTGAACCCAATCCCCTTCTCGCCAGTAAATCCTCCAGAATGGTTTTTGCCACTCTTAGTGCTTCGACGCACTGTAGAGATGGCCTGCACATGTTTAGCCTCAAAGCCGGTCTCGTTACAGTCAACCCGGAGGCTGCCCGCTCTTTCATCGCACGTAAAGGTTAATGTCGGAACCGAGTGACTGTGGTACTGGTTATCGTCGGCATTCTGCAGCAACTCGAGAAGAAAGTGCGTCTTGGTGTCGTATAGGTCCGATGATGTGCTGCATTCTTAGCACAGGTCACGCCAGTAGAGGAAAGGAGCTGACCCGGCCGAGCGAAGATAACATACAGATCCAATAAGTCGCATAGAATTACAGCAAGCTCCTCGTAGCCGACAGAGGTATGCTTTCTTCTGATTGTCGCGACGAGCTCTCTGGCTTCTCGATCCGACAGAAAATCCTCACTCGTCCCCATCTCCTCTTCATCCAGGCCCTCCCTAGACATGGAACAGCAATCCAAGTCTTTGTCGTCCCTGAAACTCTTGACTCGCAAATATCAGCTCAGTTCCAGCAGATGCAGACGATGTCAATCACTGGAGATTCTGGGGTGGCCGGCTCATATCTAGAACACTGAAAGTGTGTGAGCCCGAATTCGGCCTTGTTTCGTCACTATTGTGCTTCGCCTGCCCAGCATCAGTGGCTAGTCTTTTTGGTGGTGGCGGAGCTGAAACTCCATTCGCCTTGGCCAGGGTTTGTCGTCCAATACCACTGCGAGGAATGGAGTCGGCACCCGTCTTTTTCGGTGTCACAAACTCCACCTCGGTTAGTCGAGCTGATCACATAGCATTAACTCTTACCTAGACGAGCTAGATTATGTTTCTTGCCGCCCGCCACTTGATATTGCTTCTTCCAGCTCCCCAGCTCACTCGCTATTGTACACATCCATGTCCGTAGGATAGGCGTATTGGGTGGAGTCCGATCGATTGGGCACTTGGACGTTCGATTAGATTAAGCCGTTGTAGCATATTGGTTTCTGCCTGTGGTCCGGCTCATGGCGTAGGGATACCCCTAGCTCCGACAATGGCTATCTCTAAAGCGCAGTTTCCGCTGGACATGTAACATCGGACATGTGGGAGCGGGAGCGCCCTAGCTCTCCCGGATCAGCCACTACAGCAACCAATTCATATGGTGTCTGCAGATTTGTTGTCCCAATGCAATGTTGTGATTTGAATGCTCTCACATACTCAATATCAAATCCCCACGGATAGCGCCCTATCTTTCCCAGTTTCTCGCTAGAGTCTTGAGTTCCAAAACGCGTATATCACCAGTCTATTCGAGAAGGAAAGCATTCTTACGATTTGGTAGAGACTATACGGCTTGTCTTTTAGAACAAGCTGTATAGGACATTCGTTCATAATATACGTTTCGCAGTCAGGCAAGTTCTCATCTGATTAGAAGATGGCAGCAATCACTCCTCATTTCAGACACATGTTGAAATTGGGGCAATTCAGCTTGATTCATTAGTATAAGTACTTATGTGAGTAGGTGAGAGCCACCCCTTCTATTTACAATAGCGTGAACAGCCTCAAGTGCGGGTATCTCGTACCATAGGTGTCTGACTCCAGTACCTCCGGGTTCGGCTACCCATGGCGAGAGGAAATCATGACATAGCGCTGGCTTGGGCTCATGGGCTCTTTGAAGTATCTGATATGATTCAGTTGTTTGGTACCCGAATATTTTGTCCGTGGGAGACTATATGCCACAAAGTCTGATCACTCGAATGGGCAGGTGGCAGAGTATCTGGTCCTTGGTTCAGGTCAGAAAGCACGATTCAACCTTTGGACGCACGTAATCCCCACTGAAACTCATCAACAGGCCCGCTTGACAGCCAATGTCCCTATTCCAGACCAGAAACTGTAATAAGAATCTTACGGAGGGAAATTGTACAACTTTTATTCGCGGAGCCCACACCGGCCGAAGATTCCGTGGAAAAGTGGGCCACATTCGGGGTTTTGGATAAATGCCGGCCAGCAGCTTCGTCTAAGTCGGAATTCGAAGTCCTAAGCCGAATCCCTAAAAACATGGCTGCAATCCCGCTTCGGCAGTGGGAATTGCCTGCGCGTTCTTTTCAGTTAAATATGTAACGATTTGATTTCCTTGGCCTGGTGCTTGGCAAAGATGCGCAAAGCTTGAATTGTCATATGCCCTGTGCATGCACCCATTATCCGTCTCACAGCGCCAAATACTTTAAGATGACCACACCAGGCCCGGCTGGCTCCCCACAGAACACGACCAGTTCTCTCGGTTCTGCCATTGGGAATCATCAGGATATCCACGATGGAGAGAAAGATGCTCCTATCGCAGACAACGAGCAAAACAGCAAGAAGGCCCCGAAGAGTCCCACGGACGTGTCGGACCATGCCTTGCTACATGGATTCGCATTCTACATCACCATGAGCTGCGCCATCATGGCAGCATTTCTCATTGCCTTTACCGCTACCATTCTGGGAACTGTACGTGGCTTCTTCTTTTTTTTTTTTTTTTTTGGGTCGAGTCATCGATATCTCGCATTGCGCCTCTAACACCGAAACCATAGGCAACACCATCCATCACGTCAGAATTCAACACAGTGGAAGACGTGGGCTGGTACGCCGCTGCCTACCTCATTGCCAAGTAAGTTTAGGGACTCGAACACTCTCTGATCCGGAGAAGAGCAAACTGACAGTGCCGTCGCAAAGCTGCGGCATGACCCCCTTCACTGGCCGCCTATACCGCATGTTTCATATCAAACACCTCTTCATGGGCTTCATCGGCGTCTTCGAGATTGGGTGCATCGTCTCCGGCACCGCAAAGTCCTCCAAGGTGCTCATCGTTGGACGCGCCATCTCGGGTATCGGTGGCGCAGGCATTGTCACCGGTACAACGACAATCATCGCCTCGACCGTACCCCTGAACAGGAGGGCGCTGATGATGGGCATTGGTATGGGGGTCTTGGCTGTCGGGCAAGTCGTCGGCCCCTTGATCGGAGGAGCCCTGACCACCATTAGCTGGAGGTGGTGCTTTTACATGTACGTCTGTTCTGTTACCTGTCCGTTGCTCGCAAAACCTCGCCGCCAGAAAACTAAATGCTATCTCCTCGATGAAGCAACCTTCCAATCGGTGGCGCCGTGCTCGTGGCCCTCGCCCTCTTTGTAAAACTCCCCGTCGCTCGCCTCACCAAGTCCGACAAGACTGTCCTCCAGCGCATCCTTTCCATCGACCTCGTCGGCTTCGCCATATTCTCGGCAGCATGCGTCATGTTCCTCCTCGGCCTCGAGTGGGGCGGCGACGCACACCCCTGGAATTCTCCGACAGTCCTCGGCCTTCTCTGCGGCGGCGGCGTGACCTTCCTGTGCCTGGCGGCGTGGTTCTCGTACAAGGGCGACGCCGCGCTGATCCCGCCCCGCCTGTCCAAGGATCGCATCAACCTCGCCATCGCCATCACGGGGGTCCTGCAGGGCGGCGGCGTGTTCCTCTCGAGCTACTGGCTGCCTATCTGGTTCCAGGGCGTCAAGGGCGCGTCGCCCATCGCCAGTGGCGTCATGATCCTGCCGATGGTGATCTCACAGTTCGTCGCGTCGGTGGCCTGCGGCGCCATCGTACAAAAGACGGGGTACTACCTGCCCGAGGTGGTGGGCGGTAACGCGCTGGTGACGGTCGGGGCAGCGCTGCTGTCGACGATGACGCCTGGCACGAGCGAGGGGCAGTGGATCGGCTATCAGATCCTTATTGGGGTCGGGCGCGCTTTTGTGATGCAGCTGGTGAGTTTGTTGAACGAGTGGCCGGCACGGGTTACACCTCGGGTAAAACTGACAGCATTGGTCTTTCCCAGCTTGTGACAGCGATCCAGACGAACCTGCCTCCCGAAGACGCGTCCCTAGGATCGAGCTACGTCAGCTTTGCGCAGTATTTCGGCGGCGCCGTCTTCGCCGCAGCAGCCAAGACGGCCTTTACCGAGGCAGTCGTTCCGGCCCTGCAAGAGTACGCTCCCGGTGTCAGTCCCAGTGCTCTGAAGGGCGCCGGTGTGACTGATGTGCGACACGATATCCCGGCGGATCTGGTTCGCGGGGTGATCTTGGCGTACAACAAGGCTATCACCCATGTCTTTGTAAGTGTTTGCATCTCTGCGCTATCCTTCATGTTTCTGGCGAACTGGTCTGACACCTGGGTTTTCAATCTCAGTATGTCCAACTAGCTACTGCTGCCGCAGCCTTGGTGGCGGGATGCTTTGTCGGATGGCGGAAGGTCAACGCGAAAAAGGGGAGGCTTCCTCCTCCGGCCAAAAAGCCCGCCGATGATGTCGAGGCTCGGGGTGGAGTAGTAGCAGATGATAACACCAATGAAGTACCAGAAGATCTGGCAAAGAAAGGGGAGAAGCCATGAAGTTCCAATGGTTTTTTTACCAGCACTTAACAAGGTATGTACCACTAGACAAATAGAGCAGGTTCAATTTCTAGATGATCTCCACGGGCCGGATTTATTAGACAGCAAAAGGAAGCCCATTAACAGGTTCTCGTACTGTACATAAACAACCAAGTAAACCGACTCCCTACTTGATGCTCGTAGCTACCAACATGCAGTCTCTCTCCTAAGAACTTTCTGTATTCAGCGAACCAGTCAACCCAGCTCTAGTCGAACCCTTTCCCCACCATTCAAGCCGCGAAATCTCCACCCGGCCGGATCAGGATCGTCCTCTTGCACAGCAGATCCATGCCGAACTTGGGCCTCTTGTGAAGGTAGTCCAGAAAGGGCTGGGAGTTCAGAAACCAAGTCTGGGACAGGTAGATGAAGTCGACAAGGATCCGACGGACCCTCCGGCGGTGCAGCTCGTGCTTGTACGCGATCTCGAGACCCGCAAGCAAGCCGTGGAGGTATTCGTGATCGACAAAGCCACGGGGGCTGCTGCGGGCCATGTCATGGAAAACAGTGACCTGGCGGCTGCAATGAGTCTCGAGCAGAGCGAGGGCGTGGTCGACGAGCTCGACGAGGGAGAACTTGGCGCCCAAGTCGTAGAGGGCGATGCATGTGGTGAAGAAGAACTCTTCCTCCTCGAGTTGAGGCGGGTGGCAGACTGACAAATAGCTCCAGTCATACTATACCTGAGAGCAAGGGGACGTTGAAACTCACCTCCTGTGTAGATGAAGCCCATCAACCACTCGACGTGCTCGACGGACTCCTTGAGTTGTATAGTCGTCTTCTCTGATGGCTTAGACTGCGCCGTCAATATTACGCGCTCCGCCCGTAAGTCTATCCTGATGCGGACGTACCACATAAGGGCCTAATTTGTGATCGAACCAAGGACATCGCATGCAAAGAATTGCACGATGGACGTGCCAGGTCCGGTTGCCGCAGACGACTTCGATGTCAGCGTAGGCGCCTGTCTCTAGTAGTCTGTGGCGCGCATGTCAGAGAGCTCCACGGTGCAAATCATCATGAATAGCGACCCTTACTCGTGATCGTAGGCTGCCATTCTCTCCCTTGGAGATCTGAGTACTACTGCCTGGGTGTTGTAAGTCGCCTCATATGCGTCTGGTGGGGACGCCATTATGATGTGAGACTGGTCACCAGCATTGGATATGAGGACGATTTGACGGGGTCTGTGCCGATTTGATAAGGCTCTGAACAAGTGCAATCTGACTGCAAGTTTAGAGAGCTAGCTTGGACGATAATCGCTCCGCTTGACCAGGGATATTCAACCTTTGTGTTGAAAATGATTCTATTCAGATGCGAAGGTAGAAAGAAATTCGTGTGAGGAATGACAGCAAAAGGCTGCAGGGGGGCTATCGCTACGGATTTGAGTGTTGGGGGTTGATGGCAAGTCAAACCAAACGTCTAGGCTCATACAACCAATCAATCAAAGCAAGAGATCAAGGTGACGCCATGAAGCAATCAAATCATCCGACAGCCTGCCTATCTTCGTTAATTTGAAGATCACACTCCACGATATGTCCCAATATCAAGCACCAGGAAGCACGTGGGACGGAGCCGCTAGACGACAGCTCAGACCTGAGATGACAAAATAGAGGCAGGCCTCATCAAGTCGTCAAGGGGTCAAATTAGAGTCGTTTCTGTCACTCAGTAAGGAATACGATGCTTGCAGATGGCGTGGGGTGTGTGAGGTTGCATTGGATTTATCCTCTGATGGGAAAGCGGCCCCGCATAGTTAAGCGTAGCCAGTTAGAGCCTCGGGCAGATCTGCCGTGTGTGGGTGCGCGATCGGCTTGTGTTTGGGGAAGTGTTCGGAGAATTGATTGGGTGGGATTGCCCTGGGCTAATGAGCTGGGAGGTACCTGTCAAGTAGCGGTCTTATGGGAAGGGTACAACTGGGAATACTAGACATGTTAGCGCTGGCAGTGAGGGAGCACAGTGAAAGACGGACCGCCTCCTCCAGCAAGCCCAGCCCAATCCTGTTCGGGAGCCTTTGCAAAGACTGTAGTTACACCTAGGTAAGTAGCTAGCCAACGATACCAGTCAGGCCCAAGCCCCGTGATCGGAGCAGCTGGACACAGATATTCCCCTGGAAGTGAACCCGTTTCGAAAACCCAAGAGCGCCCTCCTGGAGGAGCCGCACTGTTCGCTGGGCTGTCTCCAGCTGTCAATCAGACGGTCCGCCAGAACAGCTCGCCAACGGGGACCCACCCAGTCACACCCAGCCCAAAGTCCCAGACCCCCAAAAGTTTATCTCTGGCCCGAGGTACCTATCAGTTAGCCTGCACCCGCAGCAATCTGTCAAGTACCCGACTACCCTCTTGAGACGAACACGATTCTTGCACCATCCAAGCGCCAGACCTCGTGCCAGCAGACCAGCTTTGCGGGGATCCGTTATCCAGATCCATCAAAACTCACTCTCCAATTCAACCTCACCTCCAAAAACCACTTCCGATTGCCGCCTGCTCAGACTTCCCGCAACCCTCAATTCGCACTGGCATTGGCCTCTCCTGCTGTTTGCCTGGCAGTTCTCTTCATTTGCGACCCTGTCCCGCACTCGCTCTGCGTCTCCCCAGGCCGAAGCGGCAGCTGGCAAACAACTCCCGACCGACTGTCGCGAACCCGTCATCCCATCCCCACCACCGGCTTCGCATCACCACTGTCGCATTTCGCAAACAGGCCACCTCTATTTGCGCAAAGCTGATCTCGCGATGCACTCATAGCAGACCTTCGGATTACACAGCACATTTTCCTGATATTCTCCGCTCTTTTTCACCTGCCGCTCCTCCCTCGTCTCGTTTAGCACCCTGCCGCTCACTCTCGCAGCACATCACTCTCAACCTTGCATCTTCTCACATCTTGATTCCTTCCTCTCGGCATCACAACCCACTGGCTCAGCGGGCCGTGCTCTATTCAAATCACCAGTCCATCCTCTAGCTGACCACCATGTCTGCCCCGTGTATGTCACTGCGATATAGGCCTCCCCCAGCCCTCCCTTGTCAATGCAAACCTAACCTCCTCTACTGTAGTGAGCGAGGCCGAAGAAGCCCAATACACGTCGATCATCGATGCCATTCTAGCTACTGCTGATTTGGCAACGGTATCACGAAAGAAGGTCAGGCAAGGACTGGAGAAGGCCCTCGGTGGAAAAGACCTTGCCGATCAAAAGGTTCGTTCCCCTCAATCTAGTCGCGACGTGGAGCATTTGAGTTGAACAACATACTAACATGACACTCTTGCGTCTGGCAGGCGGCCATAAAATCTCTGATTGAGGCCCGCTTCGATGCTATCAGCACCGGATCGCAAGGCGGCGCCATCCCGACCCCTCCCTCGGCCCCGCTGCCCTCCTCGGATCTCGTCCGACCTTCCCCCAAGCGCGAGCGAAGCTACGAGGCCAACGGCCATGCCATTTCAGACGGCGACGACGCCGATGGCGAGATCCGCGTCTCTACCGAGCCCGTGAAGAAGAAGCAGAAGAGAGATTCGTCGACTGTCGAGGACGCGGACGCCCGCCTGGCCGCTCAGCTGCAGGCTCAGGAGAACCGCCTTGCGCTTGGTAGAACCACCCGCGGCGGAGGCTCGGCCAAACCTAAGAAGAAGGCCCCCAAGAAGAAGAGCGCCGCCAAGGTCAAGGATGATGAGGATAGTGACGTCGGCAGCGACGAGAGCGGCGTCAAGAAGCGCAAGGCCGGAGGTGGCTTCCAGAAGCCGTTCAACCTTAGCTATCCTCTGGCAGACCTTGTTGGAGAGTCCCAGGTATGTTTGCACTGTACAAACAGGAGCTTGAAGTATTTCTTCAGTTCCCTTGCCCCTCCACACGCTTTGTTTACTAATGATGCGCAGCTCTCGCGACCCCAGGTCGTCAAGAAGCTCTGGGAGCACATCAAGGCAAATGGACTCCAGGACCCGGCCAACAAACGAACAATCATCTGCGACGACAAGATGCAGGCCGTCTTCAAGCAGGCCCGCGTCGACATGTTCCAGATGAACAAGCTGCTCGGCAACGAGCTCTATCCTCTCGAGGAGGAAGCATGATTCTTCCCACGACTATCACCGTCCGCTCTGCAACGCTTCTCGCGTAAGGAACAGCACAAAAAAGTATTGATCGACGGGCACGTCTATCGTCTCTCCTGACGGTTGCACGGCTGCTGTCATCTCCGTATCTCGTCGTCACGGTTATTCCTGCAAAGCGCTGTCTGCTGTTTTCTCTCCCTTTCCGATATCCATACGGTTGATACGCGAATCCTTCAGGAATTAGTACCTTGGCGTTGCGATCGTCTACGACGACATGATATTGCAGAATTGGCGCTGCATTTGGTTCCTGGACATTCTACTTTCCCACGTCACCATGACAGGATGACGCTGTTTTGTCGCACAGGGCCGACCTAGGCATTCTTTCTGGCTTGTACAGCCTTTACACACAATCAAGGGGCGGCATATTGCATCGAATTTGATTAATTTGACGTTGGCCTTTATGGGGACTAGTAGGAAAGGTAAACCTCGGTGACGAGAAATGAATTGGCCTGGAGTTTCTTGCCAAGCAGCAACACGGTAGTTGAGGATTTTGGTTGCGTTGAATTTTTCCTCCTTGCGTTATCTGCAACTGGGACGTCTCTGGCTTTTCGAGATCTGCTGCCAGTTCACACAATAGGCATTTGGTAGGCGTATGGCCAGCTTTATTCTAGGGTTTGAGTCCTCAAATGCCAAATGACCATATCGAATCAAAACCAAGCCAGCCAGCCATATGAACAAAAGCACGTTGCACGGATGGGCATTGTGCATCGAGATGAGGTGAGGTGTAGATTTGAGTTAGGCCAGACGAGAGCAGGACAGGACAGGGCAGATGCACTGATGATGCTCGGCGATGATTTCATTGTGAGCCAGGGTGCATGCATTTGTTTGCACAGCCCTTTTCCAGGTCGGTCTGACTCTAGCCCAGAGGACAAGCTGCAGGGAAGCCAATGACGGCCAGCTCTAAGCATGCCGGCACTAGCCAGGGCAACATAACAACATTGAGTGGGTGACTAGGTATGAGTCGACTTGGGTAGGGGTCACCTCTCTGTGTTTGGGATTGCTAAGCTTGCGGTAGTGACTGGCTCTAACTGGTGGTTACTTTAGTGGTTCAAGGATGGATGACGCACCGGCGAATTAGCGAGCTGATCCCGCTGGCGTGGGCTTTCCCAGGATGAGAAAGAAAGAATTCACTATCAGCCCAGAGCACCCAGATAACCAGACAAGCCCCGCATTGGCCCGTGCGCAACATTTTGACAACCAGCAGCAAATTTAAGTGATGATCCACGATAATATCTAGACCCAGCTTGCCCATTTCCACCCCGCCATTGCCTCCAGATTTCTCTTGCAATCTCAACTCTACGACCTGTATTTCAAGGCCCGCGAGTACTTAGGAAGCTCCAGAAGTTCTGTCTTACAATACAAAAGACGATACACATATCTGAAAGCGTGACACAACCGAGATATCGAGGAGTTACCAGCACAAACACTTGAAGCTTTGCGAACTCGCACATGGCCACCCCTGCGGGAGACACAACTGGTGGCGGCGAAGCCGGATCAGGCTCACAGGCGACCCGAGGAGGCAATCGAAACAGTCGCGGCGGCGGCCGCAGCCGTGGACGCCGAGACGGTCAGTCGCGCGGTGGTGGTGGTGGCGGCGGCGGAGGATCATCAAGAAGTGGACAGAGACGAGGAGGTAGGGGAGGAGGCGGCGGCGGCGGCGATGGAACCGCAGGCAAGCGGCCCACAACTGCCGACTCGGCGTCAGGAGGACAGGCGAGGGACGGAGCTCTTGACCAGGCAAAACAGAAGCTGCCGTCTGCCTCACAACCTGCGGCTGAGGGCGCAGAGGACGATGATGCTGAGGGCGAGGTCTGCTTTATCTGTGCCAACCCGATCCAGCATTACTCTATCGCGCCATGCAATCACATCACATGCCATATCTGCTCTTTGCGGATGAGGGCGCTGTACAAGAACAAGGATTGCCCACACTGCAGGGTAAGTGGAAGCTGATGCGATGGATATGATCCCCTGCGATGCTCTCTGTTACTAATCCATGCCTACATCTAGACACCCGCTCCCTATGTGATCTTCACCGACGATGCCTCGAAACGATACGATGAGTACGGTAATGCCGACACGACGAGCACAGACGACAACATCGGCATAAAGTACACAAACGAGGACATCGTGGGCGACACGGTACTGTTGCTCCGGTACAACTGCCCCGACGAGTCCTGCGACTATGCCGGCCTCGGCTGGCCCGACCTGCACCGCCACGTGCGCTCCGTCCACCACAAGAAGATGTGCGACCTGTGCACGAGGAACAAAAAGGTCTTTACGCACGAGCACGAGCTCTTTACGGACAAGGCGCTCGAGAGGCACATGCGCCACGGCGACCACCAGCCAGGCGCCGTCGACCAGACCGGTTTCAAGGGCCACCCGTTGTGTGGCTTCTGTGGAGAGCGCTTCTACGACGACGACAAGCTCTACGAGCACTGCCGGAACAAGCACGAGCGGTGTTTCCTCTGCGACCGGCGGGATTCGAGGCAGCCGCACTACTACCGGGACTACAACGCACTCGAGCAGCACTTCAAGAAGGACCATTTCATCTGCCTCGACCGGGAGTGCCTCGAGAAGAAGTTTGTCGTGTTCGAGTCTGAGATGGACCTCAAGGCGCACCAGCTGAGCGAGCACGGCAACTCGCTGTCCAAGGATGTCCGGAGGGATGCGAGGGTGGTGGACATGTCGTCATTTGATTACCGACCGACGTATCAGCAAGAGCACAGGGGCGGCGGCGGTAGGGGTCGGAGGGAAGGGCAGAGCAGCCGGGGCCGCGATCCCAATTCGGAAGCGTTGCCGCCGAGCTCGGCTCAGCCGATGAGGAGAGACGAGATCGCCTTCCAGCGACAAATGGCAATTCATTCCGCTCAGTCGGTGACAAGTCGCACTTTTGGCGGACAGCTTAGTTCGTCAGCGTCCGCTGCTCAGCGGCCCAACGCCTCAACGCAAGCAACCTCATCTTCATCATCAGCTGTCCCTTCTATTCCCCTCGCCGACGCTATGGAGTCTCTCAACGTCACCGATGCAGAAAACTTGCCCCCTCAGGAGCGTGCACGGCTCATGCGCCACGGCGCCGTCGTCGAACGCGCAGCGAACCTCCTCGGCAAGGACGCGGCCAAGATGACCACCTTCCGCAGTCACATCTCCTCGTATCGCACCGGTGCCCTGACGGCGCCGCAGCTCATCGACGCCTTCTTCGCGCTCTTCGCCGAGACGTCGTCGACGGGGCTAGGCACCCTAGTGCGCGAGGTCGCGGACCTCTTTGAGGACAAGGGCAAGGCCGACGCCCTGCGCAAGGCATGGCAGGACTGGCGCGCCATCAACGAGGACTACCCGAGCCTGCCCGGCCTAGGCGGCATGCACGGCGCCACGACGGCGGACAGCGGATGGGCCGGGGCTGTGAGCGGAGGCCAGCAGGTTGCAGGGGCGGCGGCGGGCGGCCAGAACCAGTCCAAGCACACGACGCGCGTGCTCAAGCTCAAGAGCAGCACGACGCGGCGCGGCAGCGCGTCGGCATCGAGCGGGCCCGTGCCCGTCGTGGCGGGGAGCAGGCCTGCGGCGTCGTGGGTCAGCGCCAACAAGCTCTCGTCGAACCCGCGGGCGCCGCCGACGACGGCGTCGTCTGCCTTCCCCGCGCTGCCGGGCGCGTCTGCGTCGTCGAGGGGCGCCACCGCCGCCACTACCGGCCCGTCTGCGTCGTGGTACGGTGGCGTCAGCGGCAGCGGTGCGAGCACGCCCTCGCGGTCGGGCACGCCGGCTGCGGCGGCGGCGGCGGCGTCGGCGAGGAGGCCGCCTGGCCAGGGGGAGGACGCGTTCCCTGCGCTGCCTGCCGCGCCGAAGGTGCAGACCACGATCTTCGGGTACGGCGGCGGGCGCGGGGTCCGGAGAGACCTCGGCGGGAACCGGGATACGGGGTTCTCGTGGGGCGGCGGTGGTGCCGGCGGGAGCGCGAGCGGGGCGGCGTCTGAGGCTGAGGGTGGTGGTGATGCCGACGGCGGCGGTGGCGGTGGTGGCAAGGGGAAGAAGAAGGGGAAGCAGGGCAAGAAGCAGGTTTTGGTGCAGTGGGGGTGATTTTGGTTTTGTTTACGAGCGGGCGGATGTCCGTGTGGTGGATGTCTGGAAGGTCTACTCTTGCATGGATCGAGGAGTCTTGTGGGCTGTGATGGCTTGCGCATAGCGGTGGCAAGGATGGGCTGCTTCACGTGTATTGAATGGAATGGGGTGTGCTGTGGTCCTATGTTGGGTCCCGATGGCTGTGAGCATGAGCCACATGTCCAGGGTAGATTTTAGATCTGGTTGTCATGACCTGTTTTTGGTAGTAATGAGATGGTTGAGACCCGAAACCCGTTTTAGTCTTTCGGTTAGATGGCGGAGGCTCTGTGTGTCCTGGCGATGGAGAGCTCCGAATACTGTATGCGAGCACATGCTCCGGCCGGGTCGGTTCCAAGGAGGAGAAGTTTTCGCCTTCGGAACCTATATCGTTGTTGGCGATATTCGGCGGGCGGGGTTTGAGCGAAGCACGCTAGGAAGGCGAGGCTCCAAGACATGTCCGTCGGGGCCGCGTCGGGTGATTACGACACGGGGTTCGGGCGGCCCCACTGACGCCGAATTGAAGTAACATCAAGGCTCGGTCGGGTTCAGTGTACCCGGTACATCAAATCTGAAATTAAGGCGCCGAGATTTCTGCAGTATCACATTGCACTGTACTGCTTCTATTCACCAGAGGGATAAAGAGTTAATTACTGTCAGATGGGCTGGATACATACAAGACCATTAAAGATTTCTCCTTTGGTCCAACAATTACTGCGTCTGGCTTGGTACCTGTAACTACCTACCTTGGGGCGTGCCTCCTTATCGATAACAGTCTACAGTGCATCCTGAAAATCCACGCACTATATCTCATCCTCGACCCACCGTCATTCTGCGTCAGAGACCGTCAAGGTTCCCATCATCAACAACTTCTTCTTTTCAGCCTACCCCAATATGGGCCGTGTCGAGACGTCACTCGGCAGACCTCCTGCGGCTTTCCGCAAGGACGCGAGAGCGAAGAAGGCAAGAGCTACCTTGAACCAGCTCATCCCCTCACTGCTGTCCGCCCACCCACGGGCTCGACGAGGCATCGAAGCAGCCGAGCTCATCTCAGACCCTCCGAGAAGAGTGTCACCGGACAATGTATCAGCGCCGCGTGTTGTGTTGCAAGCAGCCGACACCCTCACGGCGGCCAGATCTCTGCGAGACGAAGCCCTCGCCGACTACAAAGAGATCAGCCTGGCCATCCTGAACATGGCATCGCCTTTGTCGCCCGGAGGCGGCTTCCTGAACGGAGCCGGCAGCCAGGAAGAGAGTCTGTGCATGCGGACGACCCTGCTTCCCTCGTTGAGGGACGAGTACTACCGCCTCCCCGAGCTGGCCGCCGTATATACCCCGGACGTCCTCGTCTTCAGGGACGAGCAGGAGGACCAAGTCCTTCCCAAGCGAGATCGGTGGCATGTGAACTGCATCACAGCAGCGATGCTGCGCAGCCCCGAGACTGAGCGCGACGCCCTGGAAAGGGGCAGGTATGTCCACGAAAGAGACCGCGAGCTGGTCCTCCAGAAGATGAGGATGGTCCTCCGCATCGGCCAGATGAAGGGCGACAGGGTGCTCGTCCTGGGCGCGTGGGGTTGTGGCGCGTACGGGAACCCTGTGGGGGAGATCGCCGCAGCCTGGCGCAGAGTTCTGCTGCCGACGCCGGATGCCAGGGGCAAGGCAAAGGCCCAGAGGGAGACGTGGGCTGGGATAGACAAGATCGTGTTCGCAATCAAGGACCCGGGGATGGCTCAGGCCTTTGCGGCAGCGTTCGGTCAAGGACTTGAGCACGAGGAGGGTCCCGAACCGACCGAAGGAGAAGGAGCGGCGGACGTGGCCAACCACAAGAGGCTCGACCTGAAGGAGCTGCAGGACAGGATCAGTGAGTTGGAGGCACGCATCGAGGCGGCACCCAGTGCTCTGCTGAGGAGCGGTCTGGCTTCGATCCGCCAGAGCCTGCAGGCCCAGGTGCAGGAAGTGGAAGCAGGCGATACGAGCTCCGAGGAAAGCTACAGCAGCAGTGGAGGCAGAGCAAGGCGCCACGAGGTACAGCAGCAGCCGGGTGCAACAAAGACCTAATGCGCTGTAGCGGCCGAAAGATTGGGCATGCAGCCCTGTGCAGATTCGGCGCCCCCGAATCCTCCCAGCCACTGAGTCACTTGCTTGGCACCCAGCACGTCGACGCCACTTTTCTCGGTGTAGCTACAGCAAGGCGTGCATCCCCATTACAACCCTGCCATTCAGGCGCCCTCTTCGGCACCTTCCGGCCTTCCTGGGCCATCTAGAAGTGACTGATTCCTCTAGAGCTGACTGATTTCGGTTGCGGGCAGCTATGCTACCTGGATGACTGAGCCAGGTGCCCTTCTGGAGGCGGAAGGCCGCGGTGGGGTAGAGTGGTGCCGACTGGACAAACATCCGTGAAAAGAACGAGGCCAACGGCCCCCTGTTGCTCATTACCCATACCCTAGATAGCGTACATTGATGCAGTGCTGGTACCGCCGCACATGATGTAGCGGGAGCTTCAACGCCCACAAATATGGAACAAAGAGCGAGCAGCTGACCGGATGCCGCATCCAGCATCCACCTTTTCGGTCAGAGCCACAGGCAAGGCTGGCTGAAAGCAATTAGTTAGTTATGCTGTGCTACCCTCCGTCAGGAATCGTTGTTCCATTGTACCAGGCCTTTCTATACGGGGGCACGAAAATCCTCGGAAGCCATTGAGGGTGGGAGAATGTGCAGTCTCATCCTTTCGAACACTCCTGAGCCTATCATCCAGAACAGGATCGAAGAAAACCAGCCGACACCATGCCCCCACCACGGAGTGCAGCGTGGCCCCGGAGGAACTGGCCCCGGAGGTTCCTCCGGGGCCACTTGAGTAAACGCGAACGGCATTGAGTTTGCACGATTCCCATTCACTATCATCACCATCCCCGTGCAACTCACAGCCGATGGCGATGGCGAGTTACATCAGGCAGCACGCGCCTGGGAGCCTTCGCACCCACGGTCTCTTGGCAAGGAAGAAGATGGCCATGGCTTCGATGCCGGCCCCTCTGCTTCTATTTCTTCGTCAGCATCGGTTCGACCGGCTACGAGCCCCATAATCACCATCGGTCTTTGCGTCCATCGCTCCTGGCGTTCTGACGGATCTATTGCATCGTTCTGCCTGTCCAATGAGGACGAAGTGGCTCTGAAGTATGCCGACTCTGTGGTCGACCTCGTGCCGGTTTTAAGGCGTCGAATATCGCCGCCCCTCCCTCCAGACGTGCCTCCCTGGCGTGTGGCGCCGTCTTTGGCTTCCGACTTTCCTCATTCTCGCTCTCCATCGCCTTTCGCTTCGGGTGCTACCGAGCCTTTATTGGCGACCGGCGTGATATCGAGCGGTCCTCATCGCCGTTGCCCTTTTCGCCGTTGCCTTCCTCGCTGTATTCGTCACAAGAATGGAAACCCTGTTACCGTTTTCCTTACCTTTCACACAACGGCCGCAACGCAACTTCACTACTCGTTCCCTCAACCTCGCTGCCGACATCACAGCCACTTTCCGCGACTACAACGACGTGCTTGGTCACTATCCCGTCCCCGACCTCAACCAAGGGCTGACAGCCATGCCTTCTTTAATTCAACGCTTGCCCGGACGAGTTACGATCTATACGGAGGGATTTTGCAGCTGGCCCTCGCAGTTGGGATAGAACAAGGGCTGAAATATTTGGAAGGTAACGATATCCCCTATTTTGCGGACATGGTGGACAGTAGCTTGTGCCTTGGAGTCCAGAACATAGATTTCGAATTATCGTCTACCTTTCTACCATTGTCCCCGATCGACAGGGCATGGATCCTGTACACGAAAGACCCACGAAACTTAACCCTAATCAGCTGGTGGGCTATGGAAGGCATCGATGTGTTGTACTATCTTGCCTACCACCCGAAGTCGTCCTCCTCCCTGCGCAGCCGCAATGCTGGTCTCTTCCCTGACGGCGTCCAGGGCTCGCCAGTATTCTTCAACGCCACCTCCCTATTCTTCCTAGACAAGCTCTATGATCATAACGAATCTCTCCTGCAGTCACTACGGAACGAATCGTGCAAGAATGCGGCGAAGCTGTACCGCATGCATGACCTACTGGTCAACATTTCTGGACAGGCCAAGGCCCAGATGGAGGACGCTCAGAGGTTCGGGCCTTTTGTCACAACCGAACAGGTCGGAGATGATGACGGTAGCGGGCGTACAAAGTCCGCGAAGTCCTAGGTGAACCGCGCCCTTAGCCACCTGAGTCGTCGCTACTCCCCATCTCTTCTCGAGGAACTCCAGGACCAGCGGCGGGCACGCCTCGCCTCTGCGCGCCAAAACGCCCACGTCGACCTCCTCAACATGACAACACTCCTCCCTGCCGTCCTCCTCCCTGCCGCCGGCGCTCTGGATGCCCACCAGGCTACTCAGAAAGCGTGCCAAAGCTTTCAAGAGTTTCACAAGCGACTGGGAGGACTGCTCGAGTGCTCTCAGATGAATGATACGCGGCTCTGCGATGGATAGGTCGTCTGCGAAGGCCATTCCGTCAGCCGAGACCGAGGGACCACGAGGAGCGGTAGAGAGAGATGTGTGCTTGTACTTGGATGACTGGGTGGACCTCAGCAATGCCCTCGGTAGTGGATGGCTTCTGGTGGCATCCCCACCAGGCTGCATGCCCTAGATGAAGACTTTGCCTTCAGGCCGGCGGGAGGAAGATGCCGCAGCCTACGAACAGGAGAGGGCGAGGAGGGAACCCACAAAGTATCCTTGTAACTTTTCTTTGCCTTCGTACGACGATTTTGACGATTCTTGAGCCGCAACAGCCCATCTGTTGGGCCAGGGACAACGACAGCAATATATCAACAATGATGCGAGGGGTGGTTTTCTTTCCTTCTCCCCCTGCCTCTGACTATTCCTTCTCCCTTCTTTTAGCTAGGCCCTCAAGGCAGTACTGTAGCAACCGGCTCACTCCTTAGTACGATCAGGAGTTTCATGCTCGCCCTTGCAAACGCCATAGGGATATCAAGCCTCTGTGACAAGGCTTTGGAACATTTCTCTCAAGGCTTGGTGACAAGGTAGAAAAATGGCTGGATAGTTTCGGAATCAAAGCAGACTAGATTGCCCATTTCTAGGCAGTGGCGGTGGATAGAAACCTTGAGCGTTCATCCTTCAGCATTGTCGTGTAGCATCCAATCATTGTGGTTCAGCATCTCGTGATGACAAGGGGATTAACGAAGCATTGAATCCCATATGCACAGACAGACTCAAAAGAATACCAATCACTGCTTGCTAGTGCTATCTAGGCTCTTGGGAACTGCTGGCTGAGGAATTGGCTAGCAATTGCAAGTTCAGCCGCTACGAGGGTCGGTTTTGATTCGGCGATGGCACCTTGATATCCCATCCTGATCAGTTTGAAATTAGCGCCGGCAGCATCATTTACGCGGCAATCGTGGGTTTGCCCCCGTTTTGTTAGATCCAGAGCCCTAAGGAAATCGTTCTCACACATTTTGGATTTCGAAAGAGGCATGTTATTCAAATGATAGCTAGCGATCTGGAAAAGCAAAGCCCTGTTTCAACGTCCCGTACTCCATGTTTCAACGTCCCGTACTCCATGTTTCAACGTCCCGTACTCCATCTCGTTGCTTTCCATATTAGCTCTGACTATCGTCAAGTTGACGACCCTTAGTACTGGCAGCAAATGACTCTCCCCTTCGCTATCTCGGTCCTTGTCGTTGCAGGTAGAAAATGTCAGGAAGAGTAAAGAGAGGGGATGACAATGTATGCTTACAATAAACAGCAGCCAGAGAGTAATTCAATTACGCATTGGCCAATGACTGCTTGTGCATTTCCAGTAACGTCATTAGTTGGCACAGCACGTCCTTCCTCCCCTCAGGCTCTGTTAGTTTCGCCCATCTCGATCTAAACACCCTAGCCTTCGTTTCCTCAAGAAGCTTGTCCTCTTCACTGGTGTAGCTGCAGAGGAATTCTTTGTACCGGCTGCCAAACTCGAACTCATAAAAGCGGACGTATATATCACAGCAAGCTATGACAAAGACCCTGTATATCTCGGCCAATTAGCAAGTCATATACTTCCACAATACGCAAATGTAGGGATCGACAGGGACAGACCTTTCCTGTTTACCGCCCTGCTGCCAAAACTCCGAGATGGCCTCGCTAAAGCACTGCGCCAACAGTTTCTTGCCCTCCGTGCTGTCATCCTCGGGTCGCCGCTCTTCGCCCTCGTCGAGCCGCAGCAAAGCGCGTTTGGTCTCGAGCAGGGCGACGGCAGGGTCCTTGCTGGTCCAACCGTCCCTCTGATAGCATGTCAAGACGATGCTACCGTCGTCCTAGGCAGTCAGGAATTCTGTCGGATCTTTGAGGGGGCCCGCGGGGAACTTGCGGGAAGTGTGCTCCGGGTTCAAATCGTACTCTTTGTGACCAACCTGGATCTCGGTCCCCTTGTCGTCACTGTCCACATCACCACCATCAAGACTGGGACGGCGGACCTGGTGGAGGACATAGCGAACGAGCTCGTGAAGGAGCGTCTCGGACCGGATCTCGGGTATGTTATGGCAGCGCAAGGCCAAGTCGTCTGAGTCGTCAGAGGCGGGGCTGGGCATGCAGTCTGGGGAGGATGGGGGAAGCTGCTGGCTTCCTTGTCCCGGTCCTGCAGGCGAGGAGGACAAGATGGCGAGTGGATCGACCATGTCAGCGCCGCGGGGGGCGGGCTTGGACACGCGAGAGGACCGCCGAGGAGGGGGAGGACAAGGAGTTGCAGAAGCTTGTGGCGGAAGACAGGGAGTTGCAGGAGTTTGTGGCGGAGGACAAGGAGTTGCAGGAGCTTGTGGCAGAGGGGTTTGTGGCGCTGCAACAGAGCTGGGTGGATTGTGGTCGTCATGATGATTGTTGCCGCCTTCTTTGCGATAGATACGCCGGACGCCCAGGATAGCAGCTAATAAAGGGCCAATACCACTCTCAAGACGGCTGATGCGATGGATCGAGGTAGCCTCGCACAGAGCGGGAAAGCCATCGAGGAGGGCTTTCCTGGCTGCTTGGTCGAATCTTGTGGCGGCGGCGGCAGCCCTGCCACCGGCCCCGGAACCCAGGTCACAGCAGCACCCAAGCGTGGCAGGTTCATGATGGTCATTGACAGATTTCACGAATCTAGTAGTGGAGCTGTAAGAGGTCACCAGATTGAAGGCCTCCAGGTGTTTCTCTGTCCATTGGCTACCAGACAAGAAGAGGTTCGGCGGATTCTGTGCTACACTGTCTTGAGTACCGCTCGAGGGACGAAAGCTGAAGTCGGGCGGAGATGAGTTCGGCGAGTTGGATGCATCGGTATCATCATCCATGGTACCGATACCAAGCCTGTGGGGAGGAGAGAGCGATAAAGAGGAGAGGAGTGGAGGGTGAATGGACAGGATGATGGGTGCGAGGAAGGGTTCATGGCAAGTGACACCATACCGTAGATATCTTGTCATGGCCTAAGCAATCATGGGGGTTAACCTGGCAGACTGGGCAAACCGGGGCAATCGCTCTTGATGGAGGTGCAAGAAGACTGCTTGCTCTGACGTTACACTGTGAGTGATAGGAGAAGGTGGTGTTGTGCCCTACAGGAGTCACCCGCAATGACAAGCTCGCAACCATAGTAGAGCATGTGCTCTCGCCATGGTTTGCTTTGTCCTGTTTTCCGCATCTGAGTCCCAGATACCAAGATAATCATTCCACCGAAGACTTGGACAGAGCTTGTGGAATGCCTCTTGTTCTGGTCCGGAGATTGTGTGTGTTTGTGGAAAACAGACGTCTCTTTCAAAACTGCGAGTTTGCAGTATGTTGATAATTGAGTTTGAAGGTTTGCGCCAGCAACTGTCAACGTTCCTGGGAAGCCTGGTGGTGCCCTTGAGAAGTTTCTGTTTCAGACAGTTGTGAATTCGAGTAGTTGGTGGTGAAACAAGCTATAGATGTCGATTTGCTTCCGCCCGGATTCCGCTATTCGCGAGCCCTAGAGCTTGGCTTCGAGATGATGGAGGGCGAAGCTACCAAATGTGCCAGGAGCATCCACAAAGCATTCAGGGACAACATGAATGCAGACAAACAGAAGGGTCTAGGATCAGCTAGCTTCAGCGAGCACAACATCTTGTAAAGGAAAGAGGGCACCCCAGGGGGGTCACTACCTTATGGGTGGTTAACATGGTAGGGTAGCCGGAGCATCGAGCCAGCGCTATCCAGATTACGGCAAGGAGACAAGAGGTTTTGACTCTGCTTTGACAATGGCGGCGACGAGGATGATGCTGTTATCATGGCAGTTGATCAGGGAGCTTGCTGTGACTTCATCGAGGTTACTTACTCGAGCACAAGCCAGACCTCGTAAGGCCTTTAGCTGGCCAATTGTTGTTGCTTTCAGTTTAGTGTTGGCGATATTTCTTTAAGAGCATTATGCAGCCAACCACTTAACGGCTGTTGGTCAGACTTCTTCTAGATGGCAGTCTCTGGTGGGCTTGGTCGCTTGTACGGATCTGTCAAGCCTGGAATCACATCAAAACAACTCGATATATCACCTCTCAGTTTATTTTTATCTCGCTCTGAAAGGCCAATCTTATTTATCAGTCAACTTCTATGACAGCCCCGCATCCTCTTCCCCGAGTGCTGTCGTCCCGATGTCGATAAGATTCTGCAGGACAAGCTGGGTGACGTAGATCTCAAGAAGTGAGGGAAGAAGCGAGACTGCCGGTGGAATCTCAACATCTTGACCATTGCCAGAGACCACGCACCAAGGGAGGTCATCATCCTCGACCAAAAATAACCCCATGCAGACGCGACATAAACACATTGCGGTCCACGTCGGTAGGCAGCCAGGTCCTCCGTATCTCGAGCGGGGCATCCCCTCGGGGAAAGTAGACTGATGGGTGGGTGAAGCGGGCGGCCCAGGCGTAGGATATGTTGGCTGAGTAGACGACAACTCCAGGAGTCTTATTGTCGCGTCCGACATCAAAGACATGGGCCTAGATAGTTGTAGATGCAATCCCTCTGTCAGTAGCATATCCTAAGGGGAGGGAGAAATAGAGGGAGCAAATAACACTGACTAGAACAGATGAGGAGTCGTCGTTCAGATCCACGCCTGTCTTACCCTTATCCTTGCCCTCCTGGCCGAGCAGACCGATGGCCTGGGCGACAAGGGCAGCCAAGACATAGGGCTCACGCTGAGGGCGGGGCGGCGGCGGGGGCTGAAAGTATGTTCCGCGTGGCAGGTACATGAGTGTCTTCTTAATCCTGTTGGATTTGGACATGGCAGTGGCACGGGTGGAGATATAGAGGAGGTCGAGGATGGCAACTGAGATCGATGGCGCTGCATGCGACGAGGGAGAAGCACCGCTGCGCCTGAGACGATGCCATATGGGGAGCCAGCAGACTTTCTCGCCAAAGGTAAAGGGGAGTAGCTGGCCATACCACTGCGGGCTTCTTGGGTACATGTCAGTGCATCAGTCGAGGGAGGGGGTGGCAGATAGAGGGCAATCTTGCCTTGTTGCTGTGAAACAGCATCTGAAACCCAAGGCTTCTATGAGAAAGCAAAGGAAGAGAGCCGCATCTTCTCCACAAATGGCTTTCCGTAGATATTTTAGCCGACGTTTGCTGATTGCATCGACCTTGTCGCTGAGCGGGGGATGGAGCGGGTATTGTTCGGGGGAGGACGAGGCGTCAACAATGGTGACACCCAGGAGTTCAAGGTGAAGGGCAGTCCAGAAGTCCGGCGACACAAGGAGGCGGGTGCGGGGATGCTGCCGGATGATGCTGTTGAGTGAGCCAGGCTGTGGCGGCGCCCACAACCGCCTTGTGCTGGTGGTGCTCGGCTTGGGTTGTCGGGCCAGATCCTGTCGACATGGCCTCTTACCCGGGCGCGGACTCGGATGCTTTACGTTGCCTTGACTTGGCAGCAGCTCTGCCAGCGGCGTTCTGCTCCTCTTGTTCTTGTTGTGATTTGCGGTCGGTGGTGGCTCGCTGGCTGTCTTGGTGCCCTTGCCCTTGCCCTGGTCGCTCACCATGCCATTCTCCTTGTTATCATCCTTCTCGCAGGCGCTGGTACCGTCATCGTAGATGGCACCGGTACCATCATCGTCGATGGCGATGGGGAAGGGAACCGCCATCGTCGCGCGTGTGGGAGTTGACGGGGAGTTGACGTGTGTGGGCGTTGACGTGGACCTGCGCCATCGTAACTAATAAGGTACGTCATTTGCGTGAGCGCGCGTGAGCGCGTGAGTGCGTGAGTACGTAAGCATTCGCGTGGGCACGTGCGCACGCGTGAGCGGTGTTGGGTGGCGTTTCTTCAGATCTGTCCCGAGGCGGCGATGTGCCCTGTTTTCCTTCGTGGAGGGTCCTAAAGAGCGAGACTTGGGCATGGGGAGCATCCCAGGGCTATCCGCAGTCGATCAAAGCAAAGGAAACTACACTGACTCTTATCTGCCAGCCTTCCTATACCGACAATAACTTATCCAGCTTCCTCTTGCCCCTTTCCTAGACCTCTGTGCCTTGGGTACTTTAGTATGAAACCCTTACCCCTGGCTCTCCTCACATACAAGCGACAAGCACACCGGCACGATGCATACAGGATCCAAGTTCCAAGGATGAGCATGCCTCTGAGAAGCGCAAGGCCGGGGCTGAGGATATCCGCCAGAAGTGCGCTGACTGCATTCTAGTATCTATTACCTTCTCCTTTCTCTGTCGCTCTGTCTCTCTGTCGCTCTGTCGCTCTTTGTCTCCAGCTTATTGCTGGTGCGGAAAGGTGCATGATCATGTTGCCGGAGAATTTGGGCGCACTGGGTAGGCACGCTGAAACCGGACGTGGCAGTCACCACACGCTTCAGGGGATGCATGGCAGCGCTAAGAGGAGACCATTCAGACTTGTTGCTACCGTCTGTCTATTGTCTTGGGCTTGAGGGTGCGACGTCATTTCCAACTGCCATAATTACTATTGAGCGCAGCTAGCTAGTAGATGTGGGTGCTTTGTCAGAGGGTGTGATACTTGATCTGAGGTCACTATTGGCAGCTGCCTGAATGGCGCTGGGTTGAGGCTGCCGCGACCTCTTGGCTGACTGGAGGATGTCGTTCAACATGCTGCGCCGCGTAAGCTTCAGGGAGTTCTGGCATGAACGCAAAGATTCGGTGCATTTCGTGCTCGTCCTCTCCATGGCGGCAGCTATGGTGGGGTTGGGAGCCCTTGATGTGTTCACCGGGCCGGACTGGGACAGCTGAAGGCTTCAACATCTACGGGACTTCAACCAGTAATGACGGCAGGGAGGAAGTGGCCACCCGGGCGAACGCAAGCATGATGGATGCATTAGCCGGTCGTGAACGTAGAGTACTCTGCATGACTGGGAACGACTGAAGCCTCATTCCATCACCTCAGCATCCACTCTCGACCGGCGGTCGCAGAGACAGCACATGCCGTCAATCGCCTGCTTGATCACACAGGACTTGGCGGGACCCATCTCCTTCACGCCCTCTGCCTGGGGTTGAAAAGGCTGTGGCCCATCCGTCCAATGCTAGGTACTCCGAGTGTAGCGTCTGCTCCGGTACGAGATCTCGGATGAGTGCATCTCGTCAGAACCAAGTAAAGTAGCCCTACTTCATAGCCGCGTATCGGGCCGAGTCCTCTTGGGCTCGGCATCGCCGTTCCCCTTCAGGATGGCAGAGCATCCGGATCGCCCTCCTTTTCGAAATTGGTCTTGTGCGACGACAAGACTGTTGCGTCGTCAGACACATGCCTGCGGGGTACCACACCATTCTTTTACGCAGTAGATCAACCCGGAAGAGCGCCACTTCCGAGATAATATGCAGTGCTTTCAGGCACAGCTGCAGCAGAGAGATGTGCACAACGGCCACAGGTCTTGCGTATGTGCCCATCACCTCTCTCTCTTTCACCATCCTTTACTCTTTTCTGCGTCAGGCACCGTCTCCGGTATAGGCAGGGTTAGACTTTTCCTTTTCCTCTACATACAGTTGAGCCTCTTGGGAGCGGTTGGCTTCGTGGAGCCAACTACTAATTTTGAGGATCTGTCCTCTTTTATCACCAGCCTTCTTCTCCACACAATCGGTTCTATTTCCCCGCATACAAGCTGACCTTAGAGCTCTTCTTTCAGAAATGAGAGGCTGCATGGCTCGAGGATCTGCCGCCAATCCGCAGTAAGAACTGGCCTACTGGCTTTGTTTCTCCGAGCACTTGTCATCTCATTGTGCTCAAACATCTTCTCACAGCTGTCTCGTGTCTCTGAAATACCTAATGGTCTCGCCCTGACAGTTCTCGACTCGCTGAATTACCAAGTCGAGCATGATGGACCGACGCACCTTTCGAACCGGCCCATCTCGACAAAGGGTCCCGCCACAGTGACAGGAAGAAGGCGACAACAAAACCGTTGCCGATGTGAGCGATACCGGAGGATGCTGGGAAGCTGCACCTAGAAAGACGACTGGTCTGTCATCCACTTCGAACAGCCTTGCCCACTCATCGCAATGTCCGACAGTGAGCCTAGCGCGCTCCTCCACATACTTGTACCCGAGAACTTGTACCCAAGAACTATCCAACAAAACCCACACAGCCGCAGCTCATACGGGCAACAAGCAACACAAAAACAACAACTGTGGCAGAATACAACATGAGGGAGGGATGGTTGAGGCATTGGACATTGGCGCGTCGCAGTAGGCTAGGCTGCTCAAGACTGAACATTGGAAATACCGAAAGGGTCCATTCGGGGAATCGCAATAGCAAACCAGGCATGAGTTGGGGAAAGTACGAGAGCAGAACTTGTGATCTCTTTCTGGTCACGCAAGCCATTCACTGCCGGCCGCATTGCGTCCATGAACGGGAACACTGCGCTCGTGGGTCAGCCCAGCTCCGCCAGCCGTCCACGTGCCGCCCTCGGCATCAAAGGATCGAGGCCATAAGCAGCGCCGGATCTCTCGGGTCCCTCCATTTTGCCCACACCATGCCCCTCTCGGCACATGCCTCTCGACTGCTGGGGACTCTGGCGCATGCCTACAAACCGCTCCGTTCCGGTCGCAACAATATGGAGGCTCTCGTGGGCCAGGCTATGAAAGACACCGCAGAATTGCGGAAAACCTCGGTGCCATGGAAGGACGACGAGCCTCACCGGCAATGCTGCCACGCATTCCACCCGGCGAGCTCTTCCTGGCTCCCGCGGACCCCCTCTCCCGCCGGCGAGGACCCGGCGGGTGACCTTGGCGAGATCGACCGCATCGCTCTCTACAGCTGGAACGTCGACTTCATGCTGCCCTTCGCCTCGGCCCGGATGGGGCCAGCCCTCGCCCACCTCGGCTCCCTGGTGCGCTCCGGCCCCGCGGGCGCGGCCACCGTCGTCTTCCTCCAGGAGTGCACGCCCTCGGACCTGGCCACCATCGCCGCGACGCCGTGGGTCCGCGAGCGCTTCCACCTGACCGACGTGGACGCGACCAACTGGGCGACCGGCCACTACGGCACCGTGACGCTCGTCGACTCGCGCCTGCCCGTCGCGGCCGCCTTCCGCGTGCACTACTCCCAGACGCGCATGGACCGCGACGCCCTGTTCGTCGACGTGTCGCTCGGCCAGGGCGCCACCGTGCGCCTCTGCAACACCCACCTCGAGTCCCTGGCCCTCGACCCGCCCTTCCGCCCGGCCCAGATGCAGACCGTGGCGCGCTACCTGCGCGGCGAGGACGGCGGCAAGGTCCACGCCGCGCTGGCCGCGGGCGACTTCAACGCCATCCAGCCGTTCGACCGCACGCTGCACGCCGACAACGGCCTCAGGGACGCGTACCTCGAGCTCGGCGGCCGGGAGGACGCCGAGGAGGGCTACACCTGGGGCCAGCAGGCGGCGACCAAGCTCCGGGAGCAGTTTGGCTGCTCGAGGATGGACAAGGTCTACCTTTGCGGCGCCGCCGAGGTGGTCAGGTTTGAGCGGTTCGGCGCGGACGTGCTGGCGGACGGGGAGGAGGAGAGGAGGCAGATTGTGGCGCTCGGCTTTGAGAAGGCGTGGGTGACGGATCACCTCGGCGTCATGGCTGAGGTGAAGATTCTCGAGGGAGAAAATGAGAGTCGGCTCTAGATCTGTTTTGAAAGAACAACCGGTCTCCAGGGTTGCGGATACAGGTGTTAACTTCAAGACAAACCCGCCATATCCGTCTTGAACACTCCGAGTGCGCGACTTCCAAGGCAATGTTCCCTAAATTTCGAAGAAGAATCAAATGCATCCTATGGCCTCATGTGTCTCGAAGTGGAAGACTCGAATCTACTGCCTGCCATTGTAGCTGTGCATAGCCTCCTTCGAGTTGTGTTCGGGCGCGTTCAAGACATTCCCGATGTTCCGGTTGGCATACTAAATAGGTAGGTTACTTGAATACGGACTCCTGCCGCATCTTTACACCATTGGCAGTACCCCACGAACACTGCTTTGGTGCCAGGGTCAATGTCTAGGTCTGGATACTATTTGGATACTATCCCTCAAGCTGCAGACACCAATGATCTTTTATCTATCGATGACTCTACGGGTCGAGCTAAGCAGCAAGCTAGAAACGACTCTACGGTTGCTAAACGGCATGGACTTGTGTGAGTCTCCTATAATTTCCCATTTCGGCAATGCTGAGTTGCCCGACTGCAGCCTGGTGACATGGGTTTTTATCTTTCAGGGGAGCACATCGCCGCAGCCGTCAGCAGACTGTTGATATCTACCTTCTGAAAGCGAACACGACAAGCACTTGAGGGTGTTCTGGGCCTTCTTATCAGGACTCATCGTTTTGGGGCGGGCTTCTCGACTTGGGCCAGCCGGGCATACGGGGTGTGTGCTGCGCGTGTTACATCGCCTAGGGTGCAATATATGCCCATAGCGCATGCAGCATTGCGCCCAGGGGGCGTGCGAGTGCTGCCGTTCCCGCTGCTGATAAAGCCGTTCCAGTCAGGCTTCGGTGATTTGGCTGGTTCTGGAAGGTCTCGGCACCCCTGCGCGTGCCAAGACGGTCCATCGGTCAGGGTCATCTGCCGGCGGAGGGTCGCTCACGAGCCACCTCGGCCATCTTATGACCAGATTAGCGAAGCTGCTGGGGCACGGCAGTGGGCGCGCTGCCGAGTTGCTGTTGTTGTCAGTTGCTATGTTTTAACTTGCGCATCGCACTGCACTGCACCCGCTTTCCCACTTCCCCACCGCCTCGCGCCACAACCCCGTCCTTGACAAGGCCAAAGCTGAGTATAGTGGTCCGCCAGACGGACTGGCACTGGACTATACGGATGACCAAAGTCTGTCCACACGTCCTTGCTCAACGCCAAATCGGCCCTGCTCGGCCCTGTGGTCTCAGCCACAGTTGACTACAAGCGAACCAGCCAAGACCAAACTAAGCTGCGACCTTCCCGTTAGGCATCTCTCTGAGAACGTGATCCCTCCGGCAGTATTGGGATATGTCGATGTGACATACCCTTCCGGGCAGGTGTACACAAGATTCTCTCTGCTCACCGGCCGGCTGGTGGCAGGGCCACAGCCACGACCCTGGGCTGTTGGAGACGAGTAAGTAAGCAAGCTGCGTCTCCATGCAGGTGTCGAGTATAGATCCGATTTTCCATTCCAGAACAGCACCTGGAGGGTTGGAGCAGAGGAACTGAGCAGGAAACTGCCCATCCCCCACCCGGCTTCTCTGCACGGATGACTTGTGGAGGCGATGGATCAGGGGTATAGCTCTGTGCAGCTACGTCATTGGTCAACAGGGACTTCCAGTTGCCTTGCGAGATCCCCCGGCGCCGGATGAGACCAAGCTTTCAGGAGCAGGCATCCCTGCAACGGAGATAATAGTATGTGTAAGTGACGAGGACAATGGCAGCTCTTGGCATCGACCTTCCTTCCTGTCTTGTGAAGGTCTAGCAGCAAGGGCAGCTTTGCTCGGCCTTTCTGCTTGCCTAATCGAGTCTGATGGCTTTTTCAACAATCATTTATAATTTGTAGTCATCGGGAAGGCCGTGCATGAGCTAGTGAGGGCTTCCATCTCGTATTCAAGCTCACCGCGACGATGTTACAGCATCTTCCGCCTAGTGCCCTTCGCATTTCGGATGGCACCTTTCCAAAGGGGAAGCAGACGCATGTGCCAGCCAGTAATACCGCCTTGCGGGTCTGGATGTCTAAGAGCTCTGCTGGCGTACTATAAGTAAGCCTCTCCCAGGCGAGAAACATGACCAGTTCGTGATGCCATCCTTCACACTCTCTATCCTCCTGGACTCTCAGAGTGGCCATGCATTCGCTTCTGCTTCTCGGGCTCCTGGGAGCTTCTCAGGTGGCGGCTCATCCCACTGCGCGCCAAGACGAGTCGGGTCTCCGGCGTCGGACTGTGAATCTCGATGCCTTTCGCCTTCAGGCAACGGCCGAGTACGTCAATGCAACCGAGACCACGGACTCGGGGGCTTCCTCACTAGCCAAGCGTGACACTTATGTGGACACTGCCGTGGCCTTTGTGAAGAGCATTGCACCCAATGCCGAGTTCCGCGTCGTGGATGATCATTATGTCGGCGCAAATGGCATTGCTCATGTCAACCTCAAGCAGACTGCGCATGGTCTCGATATCGACAATGCCGATTTCAACGTCAATGTGAGTCTGCAACTCAATCCTGAGCACTGGAATGATTGGTTCTAATCCCTTCCAAGGTTGCCTCTGACGGAACTGTCTTCTCCTACGGGAACAACTTCTTCACTGGAAGTATCCCTACCGAGAACCCTTTGAGCAAGCGCGACTTTAAGGACCCGGTCGCCGCTCTGACCGGTGCCATCAACGTTCTGCAGCTTCCGCTCACAGGCAACGGCGCCACTGCCGAGCCGAGCGGCGGCAAGACCGAGACGTATGCGCTCAAGGGCACGACCGGTGCCGTTTCGGATCCTGAGGCGCGCCTGGTCTACCTCGTCAAGAGCGACGGCAACCTCGCTCTGACGTGGAGAGTTGAGACCGACATCGTGGACAACTGGCTGTTGACCTACGTCGATGCCGCGTCGAAGGAGGAGGTCCACGGAGTAGTCGACTACGTGTCGCATGCTACATCGGCCACTTACCTTGTCTAGTAAGTCGTCACTCGAACTGGCACCCTGCTGCTCGTTCGCTAAGGCAATAGAGCCCCTGGGGCGTCAATGATCCCACTGAGGGATCCCGGGTGTCCGTGACCGACCCATGGGTCCTTGCCGACTCCCCGTTCACCTGGATCGGCGACGGATCAGCCGAGTACGACACAACCCGCGGAAACAACGGCATCGCCCAGGAAAACCCCACGGGCAGCTCGAGCTACTTGAACAACTACCGCCCGGTCTCGACGGCTCACAACTTTTCCTACCCGTACACCACCAGCATGTCTCCCCCCAGCAGCTACCGGGATGCCTCGATCGTCCAGCTCTTCTACACTGCCAACGAGTACCACGACCTGCTGTACGAGCTCGGTTTCAACGAGGCTGCCGGAAACTTTGAGGTTAACAATAACGGCAAAGGTGGCCGGGGCAACGATTTCGTCGTCCTAAACTCCCAAGACGGCGCAGGCACCAACAACGCCGACTTCTCGACGCCCCCCGACGGACAGGTAGGCCGCATGCGCATGTTCGTCTGGACTTTGAGCACTCCCCAAAGGGACGGCGCTTTTGAAGCAGGCATTGTCATCCACGAGTATACCCATGGCCGTGAGTAACCCGCTAGATAGACCTGGGACTGTTGATCCACTGAGAGCTATACTAATACCAAATGCTATATTAGTGTCGACCCGCCTGACTGGTGGACCTGCCAACAGCAACTGCCTGAACGCTCTGGAGTCTGGAGGCATGGGAGAAGGGGTAAGTACTCTGCCAACTTTTTCTTCGATGCTTCGAACTCCCTCCATATCGTATTTGACTCGGGCTGACCGTTTCTGCGCTGCAGTGGGGTGACTTCATGGCCACCGCCGTGAGGCTCAAGGCGTCAGACACCAAGTCCAAGGACTACACCATGGGCGCCTGGGCCGCCAACAAGCCCAACGGCATCCGAGCCTACCCGTACTCGACCTCGCTGACGACCAACCCCTACACGTACACCAGCGTCAACGGCATGAGCGAGGTGCACAGCATCGGCACCGTCTGGGCGACCATGCTCTACGAGGTCCTCTGGGGCCTGATCGACAAGTACGGGTTGACCAGCGCCTCAAAGCCCACCTTCTCCAACGGCGTCCCCACCGACGGCAGGTATCTGGCCATGAAGCTGGTGGTCGACGCCATGGCTCTGTAAGTCTTTACATGTGTTCTTTTTGTTACCTTGCTCGAAACACGTCTGTTTGTTAGGGAGCCCGCGCTGACCGGGATTGAATGTAGTCAACCCTGCAACCCCAACTTTGTGCAGGCCCGTGACGCCATCCTCGACGCCGACAAGGCGCTTACTGGGGGCAAGAACCAGTGCGAGCTCTGGACTGCTTTCGCCAAGCGTGGGCTGGGATCCGGTGCCAGGTACAACTCGTCGAGGAGGACTGGCAGCACGACCATTCCTTCGGGTGTGTGCTGATTGGGTCAGCCCCAGGAGCATAGGTTGAAGAGATAGGATAATACAGGAAATACGTTGGCCTGACAAGCAGAGTATACACATCCAATCTAGCTCAAACATGCAGCAGTATATTCATTGACAGCTGCCCCGGTTTCTTTGTACATATTCGTGCGATGCTCTTGTCCTTCTACCAGGTTCATTACCAAGTTGAGCCCTAAAGCAATGAGCGGGTCATCGAAACTCTCTGAGTGAGAAGCTGTAAAACCCAACAACAACCCCGAAACCAATAGGGGATGCTGGAGGCGTATCTAGAACAACCTTTCCAGGTGGAATCCAAAGATACTTCTGCAAATATTACTCTCAGGCAACAGTTAATCAAAGTGCCATCCCACATGTCAATCCAGGGACGCCATACCAGACGACATAGCACATGTTCGCTCACAACACCGGCTATGGCCAGATAACTTCGAGAGTGGCTGCAAGAAGACTACTCACTACATTGAGGTGCGTCCCGCTCTCGTGAATGATAGCAAGCCCAACTATATACGTATATACAGAAACAACTTCTCTCCGTCGCAGACCTAATGCATACCCCAGCAAGAATCAACCAGCGAGCCCGTCGCCCAGCATGGCATCAATCAGCTGGCAGTGCCGCACGGCGTTGGTCTCGCTCCACTCGTTGTCGTAGTTGAGCCCGTACGGCCAGATGTGCCCGCCGCCGCAGTTGATCTTGGCCGAGGCCCCGTCCCACGACCGCAGCAGCCGCGTGGCGGCGGGCCAGTCGCCGGCCGCGCACCGCCGGTCGAACGCCGCCGTCTGCCCGACGCCGAGCGTGTGCGAGATCTCGTGCAGCGCCGTGCGCTCGCTCATGTACGACCGGTTCGAGCCGAAGCGGATGTTGCCGCTGAAGCTGCCGTCGGCCGTCTGCACGCCGGGCACGTACTGCACCGTGATGGACTTGCGCGGCCGCGTGGTCAGCCGGTTGTACCGCGCCACGGCGAGGTTCATGGCCGACTCGATCTTGGCGTAGGCGTCGGCCTGGTCGGCCGTCGGGTTGGACACGCGCTGCAGGGTCCAGGTCAGGGCGGCCGAGGCGAGGGCCGCGTAGGAGGCCCAGACGAGGGCGAGGAGGTGGAAGCGCATCGTGGGCGGGCGGACGGACGGACGGAGATTGGGGGCTAGATAGCGTGGTTGGGCGAGCCGTCGCGCGATGGGGGAAGAGGGAGATGCTGAAGACGTCGGGCGCAAATAAACACAGCTTGGCCTTTATAGCACGAGGGTTGTTAAGACCTGCGGAGCCATGGTATCCGCAGAGGCAATTTACCCGGTTTTTGTCACTCAGCATTGAGGATCCGGCATCCCCGAGATTGGGACGATGCAAAGAGCAAGGCATGTGATGATGAGGCTTGGCAATGACCCTGAGCCAGGTTTAGTCGCTCGATATCTCGTGAATCCCTGCACTTGCGCGGGTCTCGATGCAACTGTATCATGGAGCGGATATAAGTAGCATCGGGGCAGACGCCTCAGCCAAGCACCCTGAGCCTCGGTCACCATTCTCGACTGGGGCAAACAACTCATGTTCCCCAGTTTCCAAGCCCAATACTATCTTAGATTTGGTTCTACTGGAGAATATTGGGGAAAAGGTGCCGTTGCCATTGGCTGGGAAGCGTTTAAACATTGACTACGGGCTTGTGAAGGAAGGTGATGCAGGAGGCATCGGTGCGGCCAACGAAGAAGGCCTCGTCCGGGGGATATGTAGATTTTCAAGGCGACCTATTCACATCTGTGTTGATACGTCTAGGTTTGGTCCATTCACACAGGCTGGCGTTGCTGGTAAACTATGGGTTATGGCTGGCTACAGATCAGGCAGAGTTTTGCTACAAACACGCGCGTGGCAGCGCCAAAGCCTCAAAGTGAAGCTGGCGAATGTTAGTACTTGTAGCAGAGAAGTCGTCGGGGGATGTGATGTACGATACCGGAAGATGCATGGCTAGACGCAAGGTGCCGCTTTTTGACCATTCAAAGACAATACCCAAGGCTATCGATGGTACTACTCTGCAATATTCAATCTCTATCACTCAAGATGTATCTTAAGTAAATTGGATTGATGTGAGAAGTGATGAATGAGCAGTGGTATGTAGGGGTTGTCGCTGACGCGGTCGATCTAAAGTGTCGTCGGCGGGCTCGCAGCGGACTTCGGCCCGTTCCAGAAACATCGATATTCTTCTATGGGGATTCTCAAAGTCCCCCCTCGAAGGGTTTTAATTAACTTGCTGACGGTGTTTGTTGGCCGCCACGAACGACGCGGGTGTGGTGCAGTGGCTCGTAGTATTTTGAAGACTGTGGTGCTCGACAATTGGGAGCCTATCTACTAAGTTGTGTGTTTGTCTCGTAACTGGAGATAACTTCAAAGCTGGTAGTCACATTCTAACTTTATAGATATGGCACTCGAAACAGTCTATCATTGAGCCTATTGATGCTGATTTTGAAATAAGAAAAGACATCCCCTTCATAATTACCCCTGAGTACACACAAGAGAAATAATTGTGCTCTGAGTGTACAACAAGGAGAAGAAAAAAAGAACGAAAACGGGTAAAAATAGACAAAAAAGCTTACCAGGAGTCGAACTCCTGGCTACGAAAGAACCCTTTCACTTCAGGGTTTTTCATGGGGGGAGATCAGCCACATTGTTTCTGTGGTGTCCGCCTCCGAAAGGGGGCAGGACGGCGGGTTAGTTTCTAGGAATCCACGTTAATTTGTCGCGGTTAACCACTACGCCATCCACCATCCCGCCCCCGATGGAAACTAGGCACTCTATTTAGAATGATAAGGGGTTGTTGCCTTGATGAGGCGAAGGTGAGAGGCGAAGGTGAGGGGCGAAGGTAGGCGATAGGAGAGCTCTCGCTTCGATGATCTCCGGGCAGGACGATAAGATATGAAGAAACTACCCGCTTTCTGAATCATAATAGACTTTTATCACCAGTTTGAATTGATTCCCGGGAAGCTCAGCGCAGGATATATTTCCCTTCCACCACTGCATAATGCAGAACCATGGTCTTGGGCACACGGTCCAGATTGGTGATCAAGTTCCGATCAACGAGGTTTCTTCCATCTCTGAGCAGAAATAAAGGAGGCTGAAATATGATAGAGGGTGATCAAAGAAGGATGCTTGATAAGAGAACACAAAGCACGGGTTGGAAGACTGGAAATGCAGTTTTTTGTGACCTTGTTCCAACAACCATATCCTGTATACAAGTCCAGTCTCGCAACGACTTGAGGAGTCCTGCATGTGGGTTGTATCTGTGGAACCGCAACTACATTTATTGAAAAAGAAAGGTATCACGAATATGGCCGCTGGTTGATCTCGCTTTCGGCACTCATCCTGCTACGGTTTTGCAGATCTGATCTCAATTCTTGGCACTGGCTCTCAGCTGCGATGCTTTACTTAAAAGATCTCTTGCTCATTTCTTTAAGGTATAGCTACGCTGGACTAAAGTGCGTCATTTGAGGGAAACATTGCCACAATGACTTGCTTCGGGCTACTTGGTTGCAATCTTGTCCCCCATCAACAGTCCAACCGGCTGCCGTGCGATGCATTTTGCGCGAGCACTTAAGCAACAAGAGGTGCTGCAGTGCGTTTAGCAGTCCCGAGAGAACATTTCGTCACGATGTCTGAGAACGGTGGAGGCTCGGTGCCCAGGGTCTGGGGCGCAGGGATCTTGCTTGCCAGGCCCGACGCGGAAGAATCGGCGCAGTTGGTCGGCGCACGCTTGCCTGCTTCCTCGTAGCAGTGTGGGAGACCTGAAGCCCAGAGCAGTCAACAAGATGTTCTTGATTCCATAGTTGAAACGGGAGAGCCACCCACCAGTGATGGGAAAGGGCACGCAGTGGTATCTGCAGTCCTTGATAGTATCCTTGTCGGCAGCTCGGATGTATGAACCATCGTAGAGCTTCAACCATGGGCTGGGCATTCAGGTTGTTAGTATCAAGGCCCATGTTGTGTTGTTCGAAGATGTCAAATGAACACACTCTTCATTGGTATCACAGTCGGCACGGCATCCAGCATGGACAATGTCGCTCGCAACTGCGGTCTCGTAGGCCTGGCATCCATCCCACTCACAGTAGCGCTTGGTGAGGGTAGGTGAGACGACGGTGCAGTTGAGGGAGGCCAGGGCCTGACCAGCGAGGAAGGGGACTGCGATGACGGTGAGATACTTCATAGTGAGGTTCGCTGCTGTTTCTCAGAAGGATGTGGAACTGCAACCTAGGAAAGAACACAAGAAATCCATGGAACTCTTGGAATGGATACTCGCTACTTATATCTATCCAGACGGGAGGCACGGCGGGCGGTCCAACAATCTGATGCTCAGCTCCCTATTCAGGCGTGGATTTGCGCCAAGTCGACTTCGCGTCCGGGTTCCATGTCGAGATCCTTCCGGTAACCACAGCCATCGACCAACAGTGTGCTCAACATGAAAACGTTCCTGGAGAACAGGACGGGTAAAGTGGTGAGGCTAAACCAAGGTTGGACAGTGAGTCCGGTGACATAGGACCGATCACGCCTGTGCCTCCATGCCTCCCCCGCACGAATGCGAACATGAATCTCGTCCTTCTAGAAGGAGATGGAGGGAGACGTGCAAGTGGAGTAAGACATTGCAACATCAACGTCGGATCGCGTCGTTGCCGTTCAGGGCGCTCCCGGCTTGGCACCCGGCAATTCTGACGGTCATTGAGACAGGTGTATTCGCTCAGAGAGAAGATAAAAGCCCAGAATGTGTTTGATTGAACGTTTGCTGAAAGACACGAAGAATTGAATGAATGGTGGAAATGGTGCCTGATAAGAACTGAAGACCTGACGTTTGTTGCTTCTAGGCTATCGGGTCTCGGGTTGTTGAATTTAGCTCTGAAAGCGTGACCATGGTTCCAGCGCTTGTGGCTGGTGGCAACATGTGCCCCAAAATTTTCCAACGCTTCATTCACTGCCTGCCCGAGAATGATCGCTCAACAACTTTGGGTAGTTTTGCTCTTCTTGGTCGACATGTGAATTCAACTCTTCATCGCTACGACAAATCTACCCGTCAGGCAGCATAGAACATACACGTAGCTATGTTCTCCCTGGCACACCGGCCGAAGCGCCGCGTCAAGGGCAAGGACTCGACGACAAACAGCGCACACATCTCAGGACACCCGCCCGTCGCGCAGCCACCTGCTTCATCGCTGGCCAACCCTTCAGCTCAAATCCCCTCTCCGCTGAACCTATCTTCGGATGTCAAACAGCAGCTCCACCAATCTCCAGCTGCAGAAGAGCATTATCCTTCCGGTGTCCAGACTGGCTTCGTCCCAGCACGGGGCGATGATGTCGAGCCGCCCCGGACGCGACGCCCAGCACGACAGGCCAAAGCCAAGGGCCGGAAGGTCATCGGGCGCAAGCAAGAACCGCGCCGCAACAGCACCTCACAGCGTGATCGTGCGGTGCAGTCCCCGCGCCTCCAGGGGAAGCCTGCGGAGCGGAAGCGCAACTCTTCGGGACCACGACTGGACAAGAACCGGGACCGCAGACTGGCGCAACTCCTTGACGCCTACTCCAAAGAATCTCCCGATGTCAGTCACAGCTACCAGGCCATTCAGGATGTCCTGAACGGACAGCTGCTGGGGTTTGCTCCGGCACACGAGATCTTGAAACACGACCGACTGGGAGACTTTGCCATTGCTTTCGAGATGTACGAGCCTGCCGTCGGTGCCACCGGTGTGCGTGCCTCAAAGAGAATCAAGATCTTTGTCTCTCGCTTAATAGATAGCATCTTGAGCAAGACCCAGAGAGGAGCGGTTGCATACGAGCCCGGCGATGGGAACTCGGTCGAGTTCTATCAGAGATTCTTGAACGTTTTCAAACGTGGAAGACATCAAGATGCAGAGTACCTCCAGGCCGAAACATTGCACGGCCTCGTGACTAACCTTGCTTTGGCAAGGAAGCGCTTCTTGCAGGACCTGCAGGTTCACGGTCTCAGCGTGGCCCCCGATGAGGCGATGGAGATGGATGAGCAACACGAGGACGACTCTGACGTTGAGGAAAAGCAGACACAAAAGCCATGTCTGCCAGATGTCTTGGAGATGGAAGACGAGCAACAGCTTCCGGATGTCTCGGCAGCGAAGCGTGACAACAGATTAGCCGCGCTCTTCGACCAGTGGATAGCCTTCACAGATGCAGACCCGAACAATATTGCTCTTGACGAGGCGATGGATTCCATACGGCAACTATAAGCAGGTACTACTTGGGTCTTGGGGTGGAGTTCTGCAATACAGGAATAGGCGTTGAAGTGTTAGATAGCAACAATATCGGCGGGCCAAGGCCAGAACCATAGGCCCTTCGCAGGTTCGTCTATCAAGAGCGGTAGTATCCGGGATAGATGGTTTAGATTAGAAGGCGTCCCGGTTATTTCATAATCATGGATGTTTCTTAAATCGAGAACGTGGCTTGAAGTTCCTCCCGCTCGTGAAGCAACTCACTCGAGCACAATGTCCTCTGTCCCCCCGGTTCTGGACGAGTGATCAGCATGCCAAGCCATCTTCGCTACACTACACGTCGCTGGGGGCCATGCATGTCGTTGTCCCCGGTCAACTCTTTCCAATTTTTGGCCCCCATGAATTAGTTGTACGAGTAGAGACGCTGTGCGGGACCAGAGCCGCCGGAACTAGAGCCGCAATGATATCCCCAACCAGGGCTTCGGCACCGATGTGGGGAGAGAGTGTGCTTAGGTGCCAGGGTTCCGGGACCGATACTGCTTCGATGCGCCAGCAATAATCCCCCCAAGGTGCGGCCCAGTGGGCCTAACATCTATGAATGGAGGTGATCCGCATGTTCAGGATGGCTGTGTTCGTGCCCAGACTGCCAGCTAGCCAGCCAAGCCAGCAATGCCAGCATTAGTTGTGCTGACTGCAGGGAAAGCAGTCTGGCAGTCCCACGCGCAGAGGCAGAATAGGTGCGAGACTGCCCCAGAACGTGAGGTTTCCCATTCTGTGCTGTCACCGCTATTCTATAGCTAGAGCGACAGGGCGAAGGTGGACTTCTCCGCATGCAGGGGGGGTTTACCGTCGCACGCACCACTTGGGCACTGAGATCAGCATCTCAACTCTCAAGCTAGAGCTACATGCAGTCACAACTATTTTCAGAAAGAATGCCTGCGGGCGAACGGGCCGTTGTTCATTCTACAGACTTTCTCCTTGTCGATTCAAGAGAGGGAAAAAAGTATAAGAAGCTGGCGAACAGCCGATTAAGCTGTAGAGTCAAGCAGCAGAGAGCATCCAGCACATGCAGATCCAATCAAGCAATCATAATACATCGAAGCACACATAGTCAATCATCCTTCCCTCCTCCTCACTCCGCCTGAAAAAACATGCTTTGGCACACCTACACCCTCGCTCTCCTGGCCGCGCCTCTGGCTGCCCTGGCCGCCACGAGCGAGCGCTGGTCAGTCGGCTACTACAAAGACACCTACTGCGAGAAGAGAGGCGGCTACCTCGGCCGCTGGTCCAAAACCGGGTGCATCAACCTCGACAACTACACCTACGACATCAAGGCTCTCCAGTTCGAGTTCGACATGGGCCGCTGCGGCTACTCCATCATGGTTTTCGAGGACCTGGACTGCAAGACGAAATCCGGCTCCGGGACCCGGCAGGTGAGGAGCGGGGAGTGCGCCTCGGTATACGATACTGTCGGCAAGGACGATGCGAAGTGGTTGAGCTATTACATCTTAGCCAACCCATGCGGGTAGATCGTGGGCTTTCAATGTCGGGGGCTGGGCTAGAGGAGACTTTATCACGATTCAAACGATCAGGGTTCAGTCACAGTGTCTAGCGAAACCCAACGTTCTCCCCATCCAATATGATATACATAGCATATGGCAAATGATCTATACTTGTATCATACATTATACATTAGAGGCTAGGAGATGTGGTCCCTCGAAGCGTTGCTGGCTGAGAGCCTGCCGAACCCATCAAGACTGGAGTGAGATTTGTTCGACCTCAAATTTCAGTGCCAATGCCCACCTTAAACCCCCATCAGCCTGACCATTAATAGCGAGTCCGTGCCAGAGTCATGCTTCATCCCTTAGTCAAGAGTCACAAGTAGAATTGGGGTAGAAGGCTGCTTGGTGGAGATAGACATCCCCTCGTCTTGTATTAGATTGCTAGATATGTCCATAGTGGCTGCAACTCCTACGAACATTGCTTGGCTTTCTGGCTAGGCCCAAATCTGACACTTACACTGGAATTGTATGTACCTGCTCTCGATGTTGGGAATGCCCATCAAATACAACCCGAAGGAGGGACATGTAATATCGGAGGACTCTCGGACCTGCGGCGGTTTGTACCATCATCCAAGCCCAGTGGAAGGTGATCCGAGACAGGCCACCCATCGCCAGGCGCCGCCAAGAGACCTGACTGTCGCTTGACATCCGGAGGATGGGGCGGCGGGCTGAAGAGCGACGCGGGAGTAGGATCCAACGCGCTGTGAGGCCGATGTCCGATGCGGGACTCCATCATCTTGGTGAAGTTAGTCTTGTGCCCGTTCCAGCGCTGTCGCGGGTCCGACCAGCTCGACGAGTCGAGCCCGTAGTAGGTAGCGATCATGACGGGAGTGACCAGGTCGTAGTCCAGTGCCAGCGGGTCGGCATCGGCTTGGATCAGCAGCGTCAGGACGTCTCGCGCCGCGCCGTACTTTGCGCCAGCGTGCAGTGGCGTGCGGCCGAAGGCGTCCCGCGCCGAGACCGAGGCTCCGGAGTTCAGCAGCAGATGGACCATGGGCTTGCTCGAAGACTCGAGGCTGAAGTGAAGGCCCGTATAGCCCTGCGGCCCAGCTACAGAGGGGTTGGCCCCGCGAGCTAAGAGACGCGAAGCAGCGTCCAAGTGCCCGTACTGAATTGCCAAGTGCAGCGGAGTCAATTCGTAGTTGTTCTGGACATCGAGCGCGTGGCCGTGGTCGCAGAGAATGTCGATAAAGTCTGACATGCCGAGCCAAGCAGCAAAATGCATAGCGGTGTTTCCTTCGCTATCTCGTGACATAACCGGCGCGCCGTTGGATATCACTCGTTGCAGTCGGATCATTGCGTCACGCTGCTGGCTTTGGCGGATCTGAAAGCCGAATGGATCCTCTTGTGCTGCGACTGGCAGTGACAGTCCCAGCTTCCAGTGCGAACTGTCTATGAGGGTGGCGAAAAGCGCCAGATCCGCTCCTGGGAGTTCATGCGCTGCGCGGCCGCACTCTAATGCTTCCAGGATTTGGTTGCAAAGTAAGGCAGTGTCGACGCACAAGGCAACAAGATGTCGGTCTCCTAAGATAGAAGGACTAAGACCTTTGCGGTTGATGTCTTGGCAAGCTCTTTCAGGGCCGGTCGCATGGTCGGTTATCGGTCTTCGCATGAGAATGGAGCACACCCTGTCGACAGAGTGGATGAGTTGATTGGGCAGATTAACTTCTCTCCTGGCCTCGACAGCATGCCGGGGGAGGGACCTCGAGTACAGCTGTAGCCAGTCGATATGCGAGGTCTCGCTGAAGATGTCGAGCTGCTCCCTCTGTTTCGCTTTGGAGTGCTGCAGAACGCAGAGAGCATGCAGGCAGGTCTTGATGATCATGCAGTGGCCAATCGGAACGAAGTAGTGCGCCTTAAAGAGGTCGGGGCCTTCGGTCAGGAAGAATTCACGAACCGTCGCATGGATGAACTGGACTTGAGATGCTCCGGTAACCTCAATCAGACCCCTTGATATGGTACGGACCATCCTTCTGACACGTTCGATGTTGTCATCCCAGACCAGCGAACGCTGCTCCAGGCTTTGTAAAGCGGGCTGCACATCACTGAGTGATTGCAAGCTCTCGTTCATGAAAAGCTGCAAGGCCTCGACACCTCTTGCAGGAACTGCCTGGGTTGCCAGGAGGACCCAAAAGATTAGCGCCCGTGACTGAGCCCTCTCTTTAAGCCGCAGGGTCTTCATGAGGTCGGTGAACAGTGCCGCGAGATCTTCCGGCACGTCAGCTAGAGACTTTTCGATCTCATAGCCTGCCTTGCCTTCGTCAATGTCGCGGAGAACAATATCGATGACAAGTACAACCCATAGAAAAATACCCGATGCTTTCTGAAGTAGCATGTCGCGTAAGGTGTCCACGGATGCGGAGTCGGGCATCACCGAATACGGAATTCTGCGAGCAATGTATTCGGATATGTCATGCTCATTGCCGTGCTCAACAACAATATCCACGCTTCTCGGAGCGGTGATAGTAGGGTAATGTCGACTCGCCAGGCAGATGTCGAGTCTTTGATCTGCGTTGATAGCAGCTTCGAGGAGTGTCGCCAGATAGTGAACCGTCCGCCTCACGCTACTCTCGTCGCATTCATCCAAAGCATCGATGAAGAACACAACTCGACGTGAGGCTGAACTGCGGGTTTGAAATCCAGCCATGACGATCTGCTGGAGTTCCTCTTCCTGGGGCTGCCAACCGCCAAGTTCCGATCTCAACTTGTAATGATTCGTCAGCTGGTTCCTCAGATGTTCGTCCTGCCTCAAGAGATGAAAACAGAGGCCTCTCATCATCCCGATTGAGGTCTTTTCCAAGGGAGAGCCCCGAGAATTGAAAAAGAATGGCACGACGAGTGGTTGGTCAACCCCACGCTGTTCCATCCTGCTGACAGCTTCTTTCATTAGTGTTGATTTTCCTGACCCAGGCTTGCCTTTCAGCCACAGGAACCCGCCTAAAGTACTAGACATGGCTCGGCTGGACCAAGATCTATATGTATCCGAGGAGAATAACCAGTCACATGTATTTTGCATGGGTTTTGCAATGGCCCTCTGCCGTAACAGTAGCTCGGGAAATGCAAGGCACTTTTCACATTCTGCAGTATTTTAGTAAGGGCTCAAAACACCCTGTTGGCTTGTAAAGACTACTGCGCACCGTTTTCGATAGCTAGAGATGATTAGAATCCCCAACTAATAATCCTTTGGCCTTAGGACTTACCTCGTCGAACTCTGGAAAGCCTTTGAAGTTCCACTCCGACCTTCCTGAAGCCAGGATCGCTCGGCCCACTGAAACGACACATGTGCATGTGGTCTGCCGGTATGGTTTCGGCGTGCTCTCTAGGATCATCCAGCGAGGAAGACACGTCTGGCACTACCTGTTATGTCCAGATGGTCAGCCAACTCGCTCCTCTTGTGCCCTAAAGAAGACTTAAAGGCCACTTACCTTTCCGTTGAAAGGACCGATATTCACACCTGTTATGCCCCGAGACTCCTGAAAGGTCTTGACGACGAAATCCCTGACACGCCACTGCGTGAGGAACGACTCGCGACAGAGCTCCAGCTCAGGGCTGTCAAGACCTAGAGCCCGAAGTATTGCAGGGTTTGCATCCATCCTCAGCACGGTCTGCGCAACACTCCTTACAACATCCGCCATAGACGCAAGCTCGTCGCTGCCTCGATGAGGTGTACCCATGAACACAACAGCCGACGTGCAATTGATGATGTCTTGGATAAGGGGCTCGGTCGACGATTCAGACCGCCTTAACGCCTATTGACCATCTTTCAGCACAGGCTAAGTTGTGGTGATGTTTACGCCAAGCATTGACCTACCTCTTTGACAATGATACCTCCGAGAGAATGCGCCACGAAGATGATGCTCCGCCCCTGCGGCCTGATTCTGTCAAGTCCATAGAGCAGATCCTTTGCATGGGAGAATATGTTTCCCTTGTCAGCCGGGGAGTAGGCCTTTGTTACCACCGTGTCGTAGCCAAATGTGAGGATGCGAGACGTTGGGCAAAGCTCCGGCAAGAGGTCCCGGGGCCAGCAGACGGACTGTCTGCGGCTTGGGGAGTTGGCCAGTACATCTTTCCCTGGTGATCTGCCCCGATGCTTAAACAGAGTCCGGAGGGAGAAAGGCGACTTGGTCGTTGGGTTGGCGGTTTCTGGAGCGCCTTCGTGGAGCCAGGTCTTCTCCGGATGCCCTTGAAGACCGTGCACAAACACAATGCTGCTCCTTTGTCAGACTTGTCGCCTATAGACACGACTATTGGCACCTACTCTACATCTGTCTGACCCTGTGGCTCAAACAGAGCGGTCAGGCCTGTACTGGCAATAGCCGCCATCCCTCAGCTAGTGGCTGATGTGAGCGCCAGTCATGGAATCTCGACGATGACTGGATACAACAGAACTGAACACGGCAGGAGAAGTTCTGAGAGGTTGATGGCGGAATAGACATACGGAACGAGATCATGATGTGTGGGTGGAACAAATTGAAGTCGCGCAGCCCAAAAATATATCTCGTCCCCCAGCCTGTTCAGCCGCACCAACGCACTCCAATCAACAGAGTGAGGGGTCACACGGTTGCCAGGATCATACCATGACCAATAAGAGCCGACACTGGTCCGCCACCTCTGGCTCGAGTTGTCAAATGGGATTAATGCATGACAATGTGGCGTTTTTGATGTGGAAATTGGGGTGATCTAGATATGCACGCGTCCTTTTTAGGAATCATCAACTTGGGGTTTCTAGCTGGGGGGGCCACACAAAGGACACTCCAGGTTTCTTCGTGCAAGTTTAGGATAGAAAGAAAGCATCATTTTACACCTTCAGGCTGGCTAAAGCGCTCAGCACCAAGCACGACATGCAGAAGACAACGTAATTCCATCCTAGGGATGCTAGGCGGGTTTCATCAGAGAGCTCGTGCTTGGGTTCTAGCAATATCTCGGCTTCTGTTTGACAGCATGAAGCAAAGTAAAAATAGCTCCGTGTTATCAAGGAATAAACCATATTCAACGCCAACACCATAAGGATTCCCAAGCTCGCTTGCGCCGACTTTTGTGTCGAGGTTCCTCTCCTGGCTGTGTTTCTCCGTCCTCATCAGTGGCTGGGGCCGCCGTCCCTCGTAACCTCAATCCTTCTCCACGGACCCTCCGCTCATTATCGAGCATAGCATAGGAGGGGATGTTTATCGTCTCTGGGCTCTGAACAAGTTCAGCCCTGGCGCTCTGGACGAAGGCTTCAGGGCGCCCAGCGCCGCCCTGGCTCTTCTCGTCCAACTCTAGTCCAGTTTCGGCCTCAAAGCTTGCTGGATCGATAATGTGGAATCGCAGCACCCTGGTGCATTGTTCCTCCCAGTTCTCTGGGCAGTCATCCTTTGCAAAGCCCTGCCGGATCAGTCCACCGGTGCCGATCGCCATAGAGCATTCTGTTTCGTCCTCGGGTCTCTGCCTATGTGCAATCAGTTCAGGACCACCCCCACCCCTGAGCCGCATGACCAAATGGAGTACTGCTTCCTAGAACATGAGTTAGGCACCTCTGTTTTGCGTTACAGGCAATAAACTTGCTTACCTTCGGTATGTTGTAATCTTTCAAGATTCTCCCTGTTGAAGGATCAGTGAGTGTATGGGCGTGTTGTTTCCCCTTGTAACATACCATCTTCAAGTTGTTTGCCGCGGAAAATAAGTCTTTGCGCGTCTGGAGGCATTCCAGTCATCTGCCAGATCTTATACTTTACTTGATCGATCGTATTGGACTCATCGACCAGCAGTGAAATTATCTCAGTCATCAATGTAGCGACGAAGATTTGCATCCCGACCCGCACGTCTTGACGTAACATCAACTGCACCGTGGTTTTCTGAATTGTGTTAGCTTGCCTTTTCTTTTTCAACCTCTGGGTGGCATCACATACTTGGGCATCTTTGCTGTCCTGGATAGACGAGTCTATAAACTCGTCTAGAATCTCGGCTGCATGTCAAATTTCTCGTTAGGTGTATGCTGGGTCAAATTCTCGATGACACGCACCGTTTTCAAGCCTCTTCCCTTTTCTGATCAGGATCTGCTTCTCAATAGGAAATCCATGCGTTTTCATTATTCTATCCTTCAGAGTCTGGATCGTATCATGTCCTTGAACATTGTCCAATACAATGCTTTTGGCTAGCATCAGATTGTTCGCGGACGGTTTGAAGGAATGGCTACCCTTTGAGATGACCACGGGAATGGACGCTACAAGATCGAGATGCCCTAAACCGTCCAAAGTCGAAGATGTGATCGCCACTGAAGGTGATCCTTGAGTGGACACCGTCTCGGTGAGTGCTGATGCAGCTGACGAGGGTGTTTGGTTCGATGGGGCCCTATCTTCTCCTCCAGTCGGGGCTGTGAGGGTTTGCTTTGTTTCCGACGTTGGAGTGTTTCCGGTACGCGCCCGGCCATGAGACCTACAAACACATGACCATCAGTAATCCGATCTAATCACTCACCTACCTCGAACAACAAACACCACTTACTCTGATCGAGCAGTGACCTGGATCTCTATCACCTTCGTATTATGCCCTTGGACGATTGAGCCTAGAGAAAATCTATAGGAAATCAGAGGTAGTCGCGATCAAAAAAGAGCCTTACAAACCTACTCACTGTCCTTTTCGAGGACTTGAAATTGGCGGACAAGATCCTCGCGAGCACGCACCCCGTGAATCCACTCCTGCTCTGGGGTAACATAGTAGTTCTGGGCCTCCTCAGACATTGGGGAAGCGGTATTCACGCCCCCAACAAAGACCTTGACCTTGAAGAATGACCTAGGAGAGACATCGAAGAGTCGAATTGCGAGTGCGGTACGCGCTGGAGGAGATCATTTGAGTTTGGCATTCGACTGAAGGAAGACAGGAGAGTACTCAAGATCGAGGCTTAGAAGTCTTCATACCTTTCGCGGCGAGAAGGAAATCCCATTCATAGAGCCCGTCTGAAGTCTTTCTCATCGGCCTGGCCCACTTCGGGGCATAACGGGCATTGTAGAGACGAAGTGCCGCAATGGATCCAGTTCTCTGCTCAATGTCCTCGTCGTCATCTTGCATATCCTGGGGCAGAGCCGCCGTGAAAACGCGTTGTCTTCTCGGAACCGGATTGTCTTCCACTCTCGGCGTCTGGAAAATGCCCAATCCCATCTGGCTTCCTGCGTGAGGACTCGACACGCAAATGCTGCGTCGTTGTAAGCCTTCAAAGAACGACATCATCCCAAAGCTGTTGAACGAGCACTGATCGAGTAACCGTGGGGAGTAAGGAGGCAAGACGAAGTTGTTCGTATCGAGGGAGTTGAAAATGGGGTCTGGGACTGTGCGAGGCCTCTTCACAGGGTGATGCCGGCTGTCGAGGGTGCCTGATGGTACGGGGCCAATCACAAGAGTCGATCGGAGAAGCTGAAAAGTGCTGCAGCCACGGGCACTTTGCTGACGTGTCACGCATGATCCCCGCCCGGCGGCGCCACCGTTACAGCCATTGGAGGCTCATGCATGTTGTGTCGGGCGCGTTCACCAGTGGCGGTCTGAACCATCTCTAGACATGTTCTTTCTACCCTTGCCATTCGTGTTTCGGCCGCTGCGATGGCAGACGGTCCAGCTGACAGTCCTCTGTCCACGACGGGCAACGTCATCGGTATCCTCACCTTTGCCCTCGCTGTTGTTTCATTTCTCGCGGCATTCTATGCCATCACACACAATGCTCCAGACGAGATCGAGGACTACAAGATGTCCTTGAGAGACAGAGAAGTCCATATACAAAAGATCAGAGACTATTTCGATGAAGCAGACAGGTATGCCGATGGCCAGCTGGAGGGCAATCCAATCAAGGACGTGATTGACAGCATTCTCGCCGATCTGGAGGCTCGTCGACAGAAGATGGAGGAGGTCATCGGCAGCGTCAATGGTCGGCTGCAGTGGTGGTATCGCAGGCAGGACAGTGAGTTCCCGTCTCTTTTGTGTCCGAATATCTCGATCACTTCCCAGAGTTTGGAGATGTGCTCAGGCAGAAACTGGGTGCAGACTGTTAATTATGAAATTGCAGTGGTTGTGGCAATGGCTAGGGTTGAGAATCAACTCCAGTATCTCAGTACGCTCCAACTGACCTTTCTTCTCCTGTAAGGATACCTTCCCCCAACCCTGAACGGTGTGATTGACTCTCTTCACCAGCAAGATGAAGAGACAAACTGGGCAACTGGATGACATTGAAGGCGACATTCGGGATCTCAAATTAGCGCTGGCGACTGTGCTGCCAAGAGCTTGATACCGAGAGTTTCCGGGGTTCAAGAAGATCTGCAATGAAAGAATAAGGTGCAACACCCACTGGTCACCACCAACCCCAACTCCGATCTCGGTGGTCGGTCGGATGTCACGAGGACCGTGGATGGGATCCAGAGTCTTCTCCACCAAAGGTCGTACATGACAGAAATGACTTGGACGCTTGCTGCTGTCTATGTGCGATATTTGTCGTGGTAGTCAAAGCAGTGACATTGCCGTTGGCTGTGCTGCCATGAGTGCGGGGTGCTGTGCACAAAGGCAACACGTGAATCCCGCCAACCTTCGACGTCACCAAACTCTGCTCGACCAACACCGTGTCTGTGGCTGCCGCGCTATTGAACTTAGAAGACACGGGTTTAAAAGCTGGAGCTTCCCTGTCTCTTTCTCGAACCGATGCAGCTGTATCAAACACACATCCAACGTCTTCTCCATATTTTACGAAACCATGGCATCTTCTGGTATTCCAATCGCCTGCTACGGCCGACACCCACCTACTGGTCAGGCTGTCGCCGACGGCCTTGAGCCCGAGTATGACTGTGGGTCTTATCTGCCCTCCCTGATCTGGTGTTCCATGCTTTCTGCGTTGTGAAGTTACTAATACACCCGGGGTTCCAGTGGTTCACATGGTCTGTGAGTTTGACACGGCAAAGTCGGAGCTTCCCCGGATCTTGACCGGCGATACCAGCTGCATCCCTACGTCTTCCGGAGTAGGCAGCAATCTTCAGCGCCCCGAGTCTGAGCGACGGATTCCTCGCGCCGTCACCTGCGGCGGTGGCATCCCAGATGAAGAGTACAAGGAGCTTAAGGAGATCGTGCACAAGGCGGTTGGCAGGGAGATCCCTTGGTACAAGGTGTATCCTGGCGACGTGACAAAGTACATCCCCGAGCAAGAGCGCAAGGCCGAGAGCCAGGGTCCTCCCGATGGAAAGTACATCGCCATGTTCTTCAGGGACGCAATGAAAGGCCTTCAGTGACAAGGTGTGGCCGAGCGGGTTAAATGTTGGCTAGTCTGGGAACCGTTACGGCTTTTACTGGTAGCGAGAGGAACTTCCGGTTTGGAAACCAGCTCATCGAACCGCAAAATAGTAAATGGCCGCACTTTGGAACTATTAAAACATTGCAGCTCCATCTTTGATCCTAAGAGTGATTCCTTCGATATCCGTATGGGATACCTGCCTGCCAGTGTCCTGCATTGGCTTGTTGATGTCAGTGAACCACACGCTCACCACGACACAATACTTCGGGCCTCCCTTTGGCATTCTCGGCTTCCATTGACTTTCCTCACCTTCCTGATAGTTCTATCGGCATCGATTCATGGGTTCCACCCCAGCACTGGTTTCTCAAACAATAGAGCTTGGCAGCGTCTTTCAAATGCTATTGTGGAAGTTGGCTATTACGAAAAGCTTATAAACGACACTGCAGACCTGGTTCCAAGATCAGACTTTCTGCCAAACTTCGGGACCAACACCAGAGCTGTGATCTCACAGTACTATATATTCAGCATATCACTCTTGCAAGTTCACACCCCATCATCATTCATCATCCCGGCTTTACTTGGTTAACGCAGAGAAAGCCTGGAAACCAGATCTCGTTTCGTGCGCGCTGCAAGGTCTGCAGCTCGCGGGCATCATTCTCGTCAACTGGCAACGCTTGGGTGGTGATTCACTTGACCCTGACTTCACTTGCGCTTGATTCAGGGCACCCTCCTATTCACTCAACACCAATTCACCATTCACCTCGGGGCATCTACGGTAAATTAAATTTACCTGCCCGCGAAATTCCATTGTTCTTTGTTCCCCACCATTCTCTTGTTTCCCAGCAACTCGATCCTTCTCCCAAAGTCTGAACCTGACTGTCTCCTCTTCTTTGTCTCGACAACATCATCGTTGAACAAGGCCTTTGTCTCCTTTTCAATCAAGAAAGAGATCACCGAGTTGACATCTTCGAGCGTATTTATCGCATAATCACACAACCCGAAGTACTCCATCTCCCATCTTTCTCTACCTTTGCAGAGCAGAGGTTCTTTTCGATCCAGCGATTCCCACTTCGTACTACCGAAGTATCATCATCAACACCGACAAGATGCAGACCGTCAAGTTCTTCCGCTTCGCCCTCCAAAAGCTTGGTATTGACGATGGCGTTGCCGACATCGCCCAGATCCGGGTCGTCGTCGACGACAAGAGCGACTCCAAGCAGCTTCTCGGCGCCAAGGCCAGCATCACCGAGATCATGTCGCGCCCGAGCTTGGCCCTAAGCACCGCCAATATCGCCGCCACCATGCCGAAGCCAGTCCGCCGCGAGCACCTCGTCCAGCGATACTGGAACAAGATCTCCTCGTTGGTTCAGAACCGGCGTCGCGATACCAGCAAGAAGACGGATCGGACCGCTTCTGCTGCGTCTGCCTCTCCCTCCTCCACCATCCCTACCACTCCCTGCTCTGCTGTCTCTTCCGATGGCACTTCTGATGCCGATGCCACTCCCGCTGGCCCGACCGTGGATCAGACCCTTACCATCACCATCCGCCCTGGAGGTTCGACTCCTCCGGTCGAAGCCATCCGAGCCTACTCGACGGAGAGCAATGCTCTACCTGACAGCCCCTCGGCCGTTTCCTTCTCTGGCACGATGACGTCGGAGCCCATCACGGAGCGCACCTACGATAGCGATAGCGACGAGTCGAGTGCCTCCTCCGCCACGTCTGTCGGCACGGAAGATACCGATGCCGACTACTTCAACATCTTCAAGGACGATGACTGGAACCTGGATGCTGAGCCAACTTCTCCCTCCGCCAAGGATCCTGTTGGCGAGGATAACGAAAGCAATACCGAGGAGGAGACGATCTTTGATGGTGAAGACATTGCCTCTTCCCCTGTTGCAGAGCCCACCGAGGCTGCCGATGAAGGTCCGTCGGCCGATATCACCGCCACGGACACGCACACCGCTCCCACTTCTAGGGAGTCATTCATCCACGTCTACGAAGACGACTTCTGGGCCCCGCCCTGCCCGACCAGAACCCTCGACGAGATCTACGAGGACGCGGGCTTCGAGCACCACTGGTGGCACTTCCACGAGGAAGTTGGCTTCCAGACGGCCGACGGCGGCGTCGAGGTCAGTAACTGCGGCTGCGCGCACGGCGCCTTCTGCCACCTCTTCAACCCGATCGCCGAAAAGAACAAGCGGCAGGCGGCCTACTGGGAGGCCAAGGGCGAGCCCCTGGGACACAAGTGCACATGGCAGCTGCTGGACAGCCCGGACCCATTCGCCGCCGCCGCGGATCGTGCCAAGGGCCTTCCGGAGCTCGTGGTCACGACGCCCGAGGGCGAGAAGAAGTACCTCTCCGACATGACGTACCGCGCCGGGGAGACAAACTGGGCGGACTTGGACGACGACGAGGACTGGATCTGAGGGATCCTTGATTTGCTTTTGGAGGAGGTTCTGGAGATGAACCCTTGGACTTTTTGCGGAAGGAAGGAGAGCTGGTTCCGTTTATTTTTTTATAGTTTTGTAACATCGATGTTTGTTCTCTTGTTTGGGACTGGCCGGCTGGTCTTGCTTTCCCACTGAGAACTGAAAGAGCTCATGATACCCATTTGCTAATTATTATTGTACGCGTATGACGCCCCGAATTGAAATGGCAAAAAAAAAACACTTGATGATACTTATGTTTGCACCCGTGATCATGATATGCCAACTTCTGGCGCGTACCATGTCCGGCCTGTCTTTCAATTGATGTGACTGATCGGCTACACAGCAGCCAGCCATGGTCAAATGTTCGAGGAATCCCGCGTGTTTACGGAGAGAAAATGCCTCTCGTCAAAATACCTGGGTATGTGGTGATCCCGTACTCGAGCCGCTTCGAGGTAGGTTGACATTCAGTTGTGGAGCCACTGGAGTGTCGCCCCGAAAGGCAGCAGCTCTAGCGCTTCCGGGGAAGTCGGGCCAGGATTCTTTAGTGCGTTTAGGCGCGGACCAGCGGGCTGAGCGGGGGTATCCACTGCTGAAGACCACGTTGTGGGAGGGGCCAGGATTTCGCGCCAGATCGACCTTGAAGGCTGTTGTTGGTCACAACTATCAACGACGAAAAGCACCGACAGTATCTGTGCACCGCCAACGGAGGAGGGGGTCCCCCAAATGCCAAGGAAGGCGTTAGGGAAAGCGTCAGGCCCATGCTGGGGTTCTTCTTGTCTTGATAGGCTGCGTCGTCGGTGCAGCATGTGCAACTGCATACTGACAGGATGAACACGGCGTGTCCTCCGCTGGACCCTACACCAGCCATTGGCCCTGGCGCGCCACAAGCGAAGCGGCCAAGCTGCATTCGGCCGTTGATTCCGCTCGCTCCCTTCACACAAAAGCGCAGCACAGAGCGAAGTGGCGTCCTTCAACGACGGCGGTGCCCGCGGGAGCTTGCTGGTGACAGCTTGAGCTTCCCGATCAGGGACTAGCTTCGCCAGTGCGGACGTCCCAGTGGCAGCAGCCGACGGAACCCCCTGTTCGCTTCCCCCTTCACAGCTTCATTACACCATGCCACTTGGGTACAAAATTGCGCACCGAGGTCTCCAGTTTTTCATGAAGGAGGACCACAGTCCGATGTGCTGGGTCGCTGGAAGGGTGGGAGAGATTTCTTAGGATGCCGTTGGGAGCACTCGATTTTCGTCTTCTCTTCAACTTGACAACATCACCCTCGTTGAGCGCCGTACGCTACTACTCCCTATGGTCGGTTTGCACCTACATTGAAGACTCTCCACAGATCTTAGAGAAGAGACATCGCACCATCTACGATGAGCAGCCCCCGTGAAGATCCGGCTCCTGGCCCCAGCGGAGAGCATCTTGTAGGCTAGCCCTTCGTGGGATGGACCCAGTCCCTGGATCCCCGCTCCATTCGCTGCAGAACATTGCGCAGAATCGAACTGACGATGGATCGACAAATGTAGGTGGCTGATACCTTTGGCCCGGACGAGGACTCGGCTGTCGGCGTGGTGCGTATGAAAAAAAGCAATATCCCAAGAAGCCCAGTCGCCGGTCTGCTGGCTAACAACGGGGCGCGACCGCGGCCAAGTCCATCAACGACACATCGCTGACCTCGCTGCGTTCGAGCGTCCTCGCATTCCATGAGGAGAATGGCAGGACGTATCATGCCCTCAGCGCGGGGAGTAAGTACCGAACACAGCATTTCTTGTCGATGCATGTGCGCGACGGGCAGGCTGACTGGATCATCCTCAGAATATGCTTTTCCTAATGACGAGGTATGTTCTGGCCTGGGGAAAGAGGAGATGCAGCAAGCAATCAACACTGTGAACACCCTGCTCACTATTTACCCAGCAAGAGAGGGATCGTCTCGGTATGCGCCCCACCCCTGATCCGTTGATACTTGACGCCGATCCCGCACGAACGCGCATCCAGTGAAGGGATTAGTCTAACATGACACTGCAGACATTTCTCACCATCTGATGCTCTTGACGCTCGATAGCAAGCTCGCGCTTTGTCCCAAGAACGAGACTGCGAAAAGGGTCCTAGATCTGGGCACCGGAACCGGTATGAAAGGAAACGATGCTATTCCTCCTCCGTTGCTTCAGGTGTAGAGTGCTGATATGTCATAGGAATTTGGGCCATTGACTATGGTGAGACTGGACCATGCAGTAGACAGCAACAACACCTACAGCATCTCAGCTGACTTCCTTTGAAGCGGACGCGCATCCAGAAGCACAGGTGATTGGTGTGGACCTGAGTCCCATCCAGCCGAACTTGTGAGTGGTCCTGAACTCCAGACTATCCAAACAACGCATCCATGACTGATAAATCCCCAGTGTGCCGCCTAATTGCCAGTTTGAAGTCGACGATGTCGAAAAGGAATGGACGTGGAGCAATAAATTCGACTTTATCTATGCCCGCAACACCGGCGGCTCGTTTGCCGACCACCAAGGCATGATACAGAAATGCTTCGAGTAAGGCTCCCCTCCGTTTGTCGCATTATCGGAGTTCCTTCTTCCATCGCTGCTAAGCATTCTTTTCTATCACACAGCAACCTCGAGCCCGGAGGCTACCTCGAGATGTGGGACACGGGCCTGCCCGTTACCTCGGACGACGGCACCCTGACCGAGGAGCACAACCTCGTCAAGATGTGCTACATGACCGTCGAGGCCGCGCGCAACCTCGGCCGGCCCATCGACCACACCAAGAAGTACAAGTCCATGTTCGAGCAGGCCGGCTTCGAGGACGTGCACCTCCAGGTCTTCAAGTGGCCCAGCAACCAGTGGCCCAAGGACAAGAAGCACAAGACCCTCGGCCTCTGGAACCTGGCCAACATGGACCGCGGGCTCGAGGGCCTGACCCTCTTCCTCTTCACCCGCGGCCTGGGCATGTCGCAGGACGAGTGCTTTGCGTACGCGGCCGGGGCGAGGAAGGAGTTGAAGAACCCCAGGATCCACGCTTATTGGCCCATGTAAGTTTTGCCATCTTTGCTACTTGCTGGTTCATGTGATTATTGGCTGTGGGTTATGACTGATGTGACTACAACAGGCACTGCTGTTATGGCCGGAAGCCTAGCCTTGACAAGGTGTGATTGGAGAATTGGGCACTCAAAGCACCCAACCATGACTTGACGACAGGAATGGATCAAAGAAAGGCACTCGAAGAGCAAATGCCCACGTATCGTGTAGTGAAAACTAGCTTTATTTACCGACACAAACATCTCGCAACCTTCATTTGCATCTGAAACATGTCCTCTCAGTAAGCCTCTCGCCTCTCCTTCTTGCTGTCGTGAAACATGAGTGGAAGATCAGCATCGTGTACATGGGACCACTCCCGCCCATCCCAGACGTCTTCTATGGGCAGCTCGCCCAGCGTCGACTGAGCTCTCTGGGCATGCTTCTCCACAGCCGTCCACACGCGCAGGATGTTCTCTCCCACGAGCAGACGGATCTGCTTGTCTGTCGCGCCCCGCTTCATGAGCAGCTGTATAAGGTCGGGGTACTTTGAGGTATCCTAGAAACAGCCAGTTGGTCAGCCTGAGTGAGCAAATCAAAAAGAAAGAGGGAAGAGTGTTGATGAATCGTCGAACTATCCTCACCTCCATGCCCCTGACCATGGAATCCGACCCGTCAAAGTCCGAGCCGAGGCCCACGTGCTCCCACCCGATGAGGTCGGCAATGTACAAGATCTGGTCGGCGACGTCGTGGATGCTCGCGCCGCCGGTGTCGTCCGTGCGGAAGAAGAAGCTGACGAAGGGCACCATGATGACGCCGCCGTTGGCCCGGAGCCCCCGCAGCACGTCGTCGGGGGCGTTGCGCAGGTGCCGGTTGAGCGCGTAGGCGCCCGAGTGCGAGAAGATGACGGGCGCGGCGCTGGCGCCCAGCGCGTCGCGCATCGTCTGCGGCGACACGTGCGCGAGGTCGACGAGCATGCCCAGCCGGTTCATCTCGGCGACGAGCCGCTGGCCGAAGGGGGTCAGCCCGCCGTCCGCGCCGCCGGCGGCGACCGACGTGGCCGAGGTGGCGAAGGGCGTGTCGCAGTTGTGCGTGATGGTCAGGTAGCGGGCGCCGAGCTCGAAGGTCTGGCGCAGCACGGCCAGCGAGTTGCCGAGCTGGTGGCTCCCCTGTTGTTTGTGTTTTCCATTCCTGTCAGCCCCGAGAGATTCCGAGCGCGGGTCGACCCAACGCGGGACAGGACGCGGGAGGGTTTACCTCGATGCCAATCATGCTTGCGATCTTCCCGGCCGCGAAGGCGGTGCGGACGCAGGCCGGCGTGACGCAGAATTGCAGGTCGTCTGGATGCTTGGCGATCAGACGCCGGACGACATCAATCTGTTCGAGGGTGTCTCGCACCACCCACTGAGCATTGCAGTGTGAGATTGTGTCCCTTCTCTAGGCCCAGTGAGACTCGTTCATCTGGCTCAGCAACTCACCGTGGCATCCTCCATCTGCGCCACGCCTTCCTCGCGGCATTCCATGTAGACGCTCCAAAACTGGCCGCCCATCTGGCCGCTCCGCATCTTGCCCAGATCCGTGTGGCTGAGGAGGGCGCCGGCAAAATCAAAACGAGGGCTGTAGATCTTGTTTTTGAGCTCCTGCCGGACGACATACGGGAGGTCATTGTGGCCGTCGATCAGAGGCGTCGTCGAGAGCACATGCCGCGTTCTGCCGGCGTAGTCATCGGCCCTCAGGCTGGCGCCGAATGGGAATACGCTCGTGCCAAAGCGGAACAGTGAGACAGAAACGGCGAGCGCCGCAACGAGGCCCGAGTATAGATATCTCCGCAGCCCCTGCTGCCCAGGCCGTTGGACCACCAACGCTTGGGAATCTGGCGCTGGGTTGGTCGGCCGTGCTTGGGATGGCCCTGACTGGTCAACGGGCTGTGACTGCGTACTTGGTTGAACCTCCGCCATTGTATCCAGGCAATCTGCTGTGGCTCTACATGAGCGTCAAGAAGAAGCAGGATCGACCAAATTCCCCTCCACTCCTCTTTATCATGATGCCCCACTAAAGTCGGCAAGATTCCTGTCTTGAAAATGGGAGTTTATTACAACCTGTGTCAAGGTCGTGCTCCGGTCTTGAACCTGGCCCTGGCAACATCTGACCGGCTACATTCGGCCTATGATGGCCTGGGTGGAATCCGAGCCACCAGGATTGATGTCCATTCCGGGAAGGTGTTCAATATCATTCTACACTAACTCATCCTCCACGGTCTAGCGCTGACCGCAGGTCTTGATACGTCATTGAACTGATCGCCCAATGCATATGACGCTCTTCGCAATCATGGGAAATAACTGCTGTCCATGTCAAAGAGTCCGCTTGGAAGCGGCGGCAGCCCTGGGTCGAGGTTGGCCGAAAAGATGGCATCAATGCGGCTGAGGTCGAAATTTGGATCAAAATCGTTGAAGATGCCCGCGTCACCAATAAAGTCGTCGAGGGTGTTGTTGCTATTCGCATCCAATGAAAGCAGCGTCGCGTCCAGCCCTGGCGTTTGTGAGCTCATCACAGTCATCGTCTGTGACTCTGACGGCTCGCCCGTTGCTTCATTAGGTGCCTGCGAGGAGCTAGCCGCCGGGCGAAGAGTCGCAAACCCCGGAGCATCTGGCGTCCTGGCCGGCGCATGGTTCTCTCCTCTACTCAGGTTGCCGTTAGTGCTAGTTCTGGCTGAGTCTTCCTGTGTCTTGGCCATCTTCCTTCCAACTGCTGCCCGCTCCACTTGCTGCAAGGTATCAGTTGCAAGGCGCGCCATGGCCCGAGCTGAGAGAAAGCCCTTGCCCAACTCCTCCAACACCTCGCAACTGCTGTGAAACAAGCCATAGGCTCTCTTCCGCTGGTAGGGCACGCTGCTGTTTCGCAGCGTCTTGTATGCAACCGAGGCTGCCAGCGAGACCGCGTATGGGACGGCGACCCAGAATGTCATGGACGATTTGAATTCCTCGGATGCAATGGACACGATGCTGGAAGCACAGAAGTATTGAAGACTCGTGCTAGGGCCGCGCGCAACTGAGCCCTGATACTCGGCTTTTGGTCGACTGCGGAGTATGAGCACCGCCAGGAAGAACAGCTCAAGGGAGGCTAATATCTGGTCTTAATACGCTTGATGGTGAAGGTGGAGGAGATGGCAAGCAAACATACCAAGCAAAGCATCACCGACTTCTGCAGTCTGAGTCTCCCGCACCAGGTTCTCAAATGTCAAGTCTTCCCCTGCTGCTTCTGATGCCGCAGCACTATCAGGGTTGGGGCGGTAACGAGATATTGCCTCGTCGAGGAGCTCGGTGATCCGTATCACTAGCCTGAACGATGGCATCTGATCCGGCACTGAGTCTGTAATCTTCATATCCATGTCTCTGCTGTGGTAAAGCACCGGACGGCCATTGATCGCCGCGTTGAGCCTGTCGAGTACCCATACGCACCAAAAGAGTCGATGCGACTTCTCACTCTGTATGCTATCGTCCGGCCAACCGAGATGCAGGCCCAGGGTCTGGGAGTGGTGAACAACCTGGGCGCAGTAATAACTCGACAACTCACTGCAACTCGGCCGGTCAACGTAAAAGGCCATCAACGCGCACACTTGTAAGAGGACCACCCTGTCAAGGATGAAGCCCATGTCCAGCGACTGCTTTATTGCAGCAGCCACGCATGCTCGAAATTCAGTCTGAGGGAGGATTCGCTCTGTGTGAGGTAGTCGCAGCTGTCCCTTTAGAGCAGGGTCCAGGGAAGCGACAAGACATATACACTGTTTGAGAGCAGTCGCCTCCATCGGATTGTATTGCTCGAGAACTTCTCGGTGTAGAATGGGGTATATGGGATCAAACTTGGCGTAGTATAACTCCGATATGAACGTGAACTCGTATTCCGGAGGCAGAACAGACAGACATTCCTTTCGTAGATGAGCCGACAGCGTCTTGAGGCAGGAGAGGCCCGACGGCTGCGAAAGAGGGCCGTCGCGATGCCTTGCAGACGGGCCGGATTCTCCTACGTCATCTGTCGCATGCGTTTCCTCGGGCTTCCCTCCAAGCCAGACTCCTACGTCCGCATGCCTAGGATGATTGCCTCCGCCATCGTCTTTACGTCCTCCGCTTAGGAAGGACGCCTCGGGGCTAAGGTCGCCAACGAAGCGAAGGTAGGATTTCCGTGTTTGCCGGGCCCGCGCCAGTTCAGCCGGTACTGGTCGAGGATCGCTTTCGACGGCCGCTTGCGGGCCGGAAGGGATTTGACTCGGCGGCTTTTGTATGCCCGTGTTGGCTATCGATGACACTGTCGATGACAAGCCCGGGGATCGGGCCGGGCCACTGTTCTGTGATCCGTCCGTGTGCGTACAGCGTTTCTGGATCAAGAATCAGTCATGAGAGGGCTTCGGGCAGCTTAGCGGAGTCGACTTTTCTTTCGAAAACAGGCACACTTACATGGCGCTTTTTGCACGACTCGCAAGTCTTGCGTGAGTTTTTACGCTTGGCCCCTACGCCGCCAACGTCGTCGGACACGAATTTGAACATATTTCCGGGGGTTGGGATAGCAGAAGCAACATGGAGCCAGAGATGCGGGGTCACCAGAAAAGACCAAAGGGGAAGTTTGGCTGATTGAGCTTTAGATTGATTGGCGGGGCTTGGAACAACAAAGGTAATCACTCAGACATCAATCCCTTCATTTGAGGCAGCGAGATAGTCTGGGTCATGCTCAGTGACGATGTCAATTTTTCATTTATCTAGGATTATGCGAGAACCCATTCTTCTCAAGTGGAATGGGGGCGCTAATGCATCCTAACCGCTTCCCTGCAGTCGAAATCCGCAGCCAAAAGTCGCAGTCGCAACACGTTGTGTCGTGAGAATCTTCAGGCGAAACCCTATGGACCAACCTACCCTCCAGAGATGTTGGTCCCTTCTCCAGACGCGCAACCGAGCGGCATTCTCGAAAATGGGAGGCCAAGACCGCTCAAACCTCCACAATCGCCTCGTTCACATGTTAATGAACTAGGCCTGACAAGAACAAATGGAGTGCTCAGTCGAGCAGCTCCAAATGGAGGTGCACCACCTCGGCGCCATCCGCTTCCAGCATGGACATCAGTCCCGCACGCATCGATTCCATGATATGATCCATAGGGGTGTACAAGGTCATACCGCGCAGGTCGACTTCCGGAGAGTGGTGGAATCGCACGTCGGACATGGCCTGCAGGGTAGCAGGCGGAGGCACAACGTCAGAGGGCGACGGAGTCTCGTTCTTGAAGCCGCTATAGAGCAAGCCAATTGCCTTATGCTCCCCTTCATCAGGGAAAGCGCGAATAACAGCGCCCGAGTCCCCGTGGGCAGAAAACGCACTAAAGCCAACATCGGGGAGAATGAGGTTGGCGATAACATGGTACTCGACCTCTCCATAAGTGCGCACCAGAGCACAGGTCCCATTACAGAAGCCGATAGTAGTAGCAGAGGCGGCACCAATTTTGAAGACGCGTTCGTCTTCAGATCGGGCCGCTTCAACGTAGTCATGCCGTTTGATGACCCGGGCGAGCTCGTCAAGGACATGAGGAGCCGGACGCTACAAGGATGCGTTGTCAGTTCTGCGAGCTCAATATAAACAGGAAGGTGTTTATACGCACATTCGTGATCGGAATAGAGTCATCGCCAAGACGGCTAGCGTCAACCTCGATTAAGGCCCATTCGAGGTGGGCGATGCGTCCCAGAGTCAGGATGCTCGAAACCGTCAGGCCTGAGGTGCAGAAAACCTTGCCGAAATGAGTTGAAAAGGATTCGGCTTTTCCAAGGAGGGCAGATACGTCGTTGAACTCGGCAACCAGCATAGCTGTACGCTCCGGCGTCGTGGGGCTCTCAATTCGTTGCTGGAGGCGCTGCATGTTGCGCTTTAGTCGCTCGACCCAAGCGGACTGCTTGGTAAGCGCTGGCTGGTGGACGTCCAGGCATACCCGTGAACCATCAATAGCATCATCGCGATCTATAACTCTCGAGGTTAGCAAGCAACCTATGACAGGGCTGAATACGAGCAGTAAAGCAAGGGTCGATTTACCGGGCGAGACAACATGGTGAGCCGAGAGAGCAAGGATTTTCGTCTCTGTCTTGAGGATCCCTTCATTGATCCGAGTGATGTCAAGCTTGAGATAAGCACCCAGGGTTCCATCGGATCCAGAGCCACCAATACTAGCTCCAGCGCAAGAAGCTGACGAAAATGACTCTTCAAAGCTGGGGCCTAGGCCGTACTTGATAGTGGGTTCATGGTTGGTGGTGAGATTGTGAGGAGACATGACACCTTCGGTCAGCTCGACACAGACCGATTGATGGAGCGAGTATGCCCGCAAAACATCCACAACTTTGACAAGAGCGTCCTAAACTTTGTCAAGAGTGGTGGAACCGGGATGAAGAGCGATGACGATCGTGGCGGGATCGGCCTGATCGATGAGGCAGACGTCACGGACTGTGAAAGGGCAGAGCAAAGTGAAGCGGATGTGATCCTCATCGAGGATGCTCTCAAGATCCGTGGCTAAGTTGCCCTCGTTCCAGGCCAGCGCGAGCGGGTGACCCGAATGAATGGGGTGGATGGTAGGCCGGGAGAACCAGAAGTGCGAGAGAGCCGTGGCGATGCTCGGCACGTAGCGTCCAACGAGGATGCCGCCAACCCTCTTGACGAAGATGCTGGCATCCAGAAGGTGGTCGCGGCCACTGCCGGCGTTGAGGTCGTTCTCAGCCATTTGCGCGCCGTTGGTGAGAATTGAACGGGATAGTGGCGCGAGTATCGCAAAAACAAGAGGGGTTGCCTATATAGGTACCTTTTGCACTTGGGTAGTGCTTGGATTATTTAAGGGAGTTGGCAAAGGTTAAATAACCCTTGGTGGCCTGAAACCCTCCCACATCGCGGAGATCATTGGTTGGTTAAACAATAGCTGCTCTTCCCAGCTACCGAGGAATAGCCGAGTAAGGCAATCCTGAGCACAGGTCATTTTTTCATATTCACTTTACATTCACTTCAGTCATTGAATATTATTCACTTTCCTTTGTTCAAGCAGCCTAGGCTATGTTACTGTAAATCTGATTTGTGGGGCTTATGTTATATCAGGTGGTGACAGCTGTGGGCCTACTGGCCGGCCTGTGTCCAGAACAACTCTCCGGTTGTTCTCTGAAGTCTCCTAAGTCAGTTGCCGATCTCAAGCCTGAACAGGTCGATCTGTACCCAGATGAAGCTAGATGCGCTCCTCCAGCGTGCAGGCATTGCTGCACTGGTCATCCATCAGATAAGATAAATTTGCCATGACAATGTTTAATTACCAGTCTTTAACAGAACGATATCTCAATGTATGGCAACTTCTCAATCAAGAACCTGGCCACGTACGTTCGCCCCGCCCTTTTGGCTAGAAAGCATGTTCTATCCGAGAAGCCAGCAGTAGGAGAGAATGTCAAGGACTCAGTCGCACTGATCAAGTGGTATCGGTCCGCGATCGCAGGCCCAACGTGTTCAATCGCCGAGAAATAGCACTTCCTTGAGAGTTATCGCCTGGCTACCCAGGAGCTCAAGGGCATGGCCCGCATTCTTGGATTCCAGGCACGACAGCTTTGGTCTGATACCCAGCACCGTCCATTGGTACCGTAAGTCTCGATATGCGTTGGCCATCCCACCTTTTACATTTGATTTTCAGAGCCTTGGCCAGATACCGAGTGGCGCAACCAACCAACCCATCAAGGTGGTTTCCTCCTTGACGGTGGAGTGCACTACATGGCCGGGCTGCGAGACCTTCTTGCATCGCAGCCAAGAAACGAGATCGCCCGAGTATCAGCTTTCACCATCCAACTGCAGGAGCACCTGCCTCCTGTGGACGCTACCAATGTCGTCATAAGGACAAAGTCTGACATCACGGGCAGCTTTCAGATCTCGGTTAGGACCACACTACGCGAGGACTCGTAGACTTCCGCCAGTAAGAAGGGCTCGGTCAGAGTGGAAGGCTCTTTCAATGAATCCAAAGTCACCGTCTCCTGTGATGATAGGGAGCTCACTCAAACGATCAAGAACGAGAGGACTGGTGTTCCTCCCGAGGTCCACGCGTGAGGATAGGGCCTTGTTCACGGGCAAGCACGGAAAGAGAAGGCACCCGAGACTGCGCTGGCCGACTTAGAGCTGAGCTATGTCAACTGCACAAGTTCCAATCCAAAACACTTGCTGACTTTTACGGCCCGGAATAGTCGAGCTCAGGCTCCGTAGTGGAGGGCAGGACGGCGCTCCTCTGGACTGTCGCCACCAAGTTTTCTAAATCATCATGGGTCGATCGGACGAATATACTGTCCTTGGTACATCACGGAGGCTGAGTACTCGATGAAAAGGCGCCGAAAACGTGAATCTTAGCATCACTGAGACGGGGGCAGATGATCTCTCTCCACCTCTCGAACACTCCACTGTCCCAGACCCTGCCTGCGTGCTACTGATTACTGAACAAACAATATTCGAGAGCATTGCGAGTTACGGACACCGCTTGTTACTAATTCAATGCTTTATTGGGCTTTACGTACACAGGTTGCAATACCATGGTTGACTGAGGAAGTCCGGCTTTGGCCAGAAGGGGACTCCAAGAACGCTGCGTCGATCTCGGCTTGGTCAGCACGCGATAATGCCTTTAAGCTATGGAAAGGCTACACCCCGGCTCATATAAACTCTATTCTGTCCCAATGCGACGCTCGACGGTCGTTCCTCGCAGGAGGCCGAGGGCTAAAGCACCCCACAAATTGCTTGATGCTATGTTTAGCTCACAAGGCTGCTTTGGGTGCGACATCCTCAAGCCTCCCGGTTCTTTCTTTTCGTCCCTTTACCGTAACAATGGTGGAAACAACGTTCCGGTATGACCCCAGAATGGATTTCTCATGTCTCGACCCAGTACCGGATCTCAGTGCTGAGGTTGAGACGGGCTGGACCAGAGCAGCCTGGGTGACATCGCGGCATCTTGGCAATAAAGGTTGCGGAGGATGCGACCGAACTCTTTGCGTTGATAGAGCGATCTAGAGCCGCAGACCCTGATTACAAGCTATGAACGTAAGTGTGCTTGACAGATCCGGGGTCATCAAAGACAGATCGTCATGCTAGACTTTGTGAAGGCGAGACCATACTCTCTTTCGCCTGTGGGGTGACGAGATGAGATGGCCAGGTCAAAAGTCTATTCGGCCGATCCCATTATATCCAGTGGCAAGTTCATTTGCATATATTGGCTTCCAGCCATTCTTGTGCCTCTGGAGTTCTCGCTGCTACTAGAGGAGGGCACTGACAGGACGAGGATCCCTCTCGCATCTGCCAATTGCCTCCTTCGGAGGGATGATCAACGAGAAAATAAGGTTGCATCGAATGACACACTACCTGGTGGAAGAGGTTTGTGAGCTATTATTAGACCAATGAGAAATATCCCAGGTGCTTGGGATGGTGCAAACCATGGGTTGGCAATATGGATAAATTGTGGCAATGATTTCACCTCTTGGTTTTCTACCATTCTCGCGCATTCTTGCCATCGTCCCTAACTTGGTATTTCGCCACCAGTCCGGCCAACATGCAATTGGAGTCGCAATGCCTGACTTTTCCAGTTCGATTCTCATGCAGTGTGGCTTGCTAGGTGGCAAGCCGAACTGGATGGAAGCGGAATGGTTCTCTGGGAAAATGGCTGGGAGGACGAGCCAGCTCTGGATCCTGGGTTCTTCGGCTACTGTAATGGCTCAGTGCAACGCTACTCCCCAGTCTGGGCAAACGAGTCTTCTATCGTCAGGTGCTTCGGCTGGTGCCAGGAGGGAAACGCTTGCGCAGTTCGTGTCTCTTCCTGGACTAAGTTCATCTATAAGAGTGATGCAGGTCCCTCGACCCTTGGGCCTTGACCGTGCAATTTTTTATTAGTTGTGTCCTGAGATATTCTCCGAACTGTCTATCCTAACTGGCATAACGATCAAAACATTCGAGTAAATACCGAACACCCAAAGTTGTATTGACATCCCAACCCTTGCTATTTGGCTTTCCAAGTCAACAATGTCGCTACTCACACACTACCTCCTCCTCGCCGCAGTGGCGCTGACTGGCGTCGCCGCCGACACCGCTGACGCCCCGGCCTCCGCACCGAGAATCACGTCCGTCAAGTACTCGGGTCAAGGCTGCCCGCAGGGATCCGACAGCGTCGCGCGCACCGGAGACTTTGGCAACCTAGGGTTCAAGTTCAGCAAGTTTGCCGCCAACTCGCCCGGCACCTCCAGCACGACCGCCTGCGAGGTCCACGTCCAGGCCTCGGGGGGCTCCTCGGGCTGGCAGGTGAGCCTGGCCGACATCTGGGTCAAGGGCCACGCCGTCCTGCAGCCCGGCGCGTGCGCCAACTACTTCACCACTGCGTTCTGGTCCGACGACCCGACTGACACTGTACGATACTGTGCTCCCTTCTTCCCCCGAGTGAATCAAGAGTCTTTGGAGTCGTCTCCATGCTGACATGATTGCCCTTGCAGGTTACTGTCCGAGGCACGCTGAACAACGATGACGACAAGGTCCTCGACGTCCCGGTGACTATCCACAACTCCGTCCCCACCGGCAAGTCTTCATGGTCTCAGTGCATTGGGGGCGACGGCAACCCGGGCATCCTCAACGTCAACTTCCGCGTTGCCCTGTCCGATGAGAGGAATATCTTCACTGTCGATGCTGAGGATGTCAAGTTCCGGTGGAGGCAGTGCTAGGAGACCGGCAGGCGCCGTACGAGTGGCTGAAAGACCAACGCATTGAATGGCATAGAGGGCGAAGGGGGCATTTCAAAAGCGAAGAGATATCATATCCTATTGCATACACAAATTAGCAACCAACAGAGAAATGTTGTCGTCAAGCACTGTCTTGCTGGATAATGTGTCAGGGTAAGGGGCTGACGGGTGACCAGTAACCTCTCCACGTGTCAGAGGTTGGCCCACTGATAGTTTATGACATTGAAAATATTCGATATGCGAGTGAAAGTTTTTTCTGGGCAATTCCCGTCGGTAAATGTACCTAAATTACTTGGGGCCACTTCAGAGCGTCTGGCTGTTCTGGAGGTAGAAGTCTGGCACTATATTCAGTGTTCAATGGCGTGATGCATCTCAGTCTCCTCGACAAGGAAAGCCAAAACACGCAATGTGGAGAATAGGAGTATTACCAAATGGGATTGAAAAGCTGGCTGCTGGAGGTAGTCAAGCTTTGACTGTTTGCAAAATAGTATCTCCCGGGCAAGCAAAGCCTAACCGCCTTGTATTTGGCGAACAGTCATATGAAAGACTTCTCGCATCAATGAGCCCCGAACAAAGATCAGCTCACCCTGAAATGACTATCTGATTAGTTGGTCATAGCAACAACTGGATAAGCCCCTACTTGGATTTCTTGCAAGATCCACCCCATCAGCCAAATCCATGCCTCCGCAACCCATTAAGAATCAACCACAGCCGGATAGGACAACAACTGCTCATCAAGCATCACTCAAAGTATTCTGTCACATTCTAGCTCTGTCTAGCTCGGGGGGAAATTTGATTGCCTATTGTACTTGGCAATTCTTTCCTACGCCTCGACTGTGTTTTCGGGCGTCATCCTGGCTTGGTTAGCTCTACATCGCCGTTGACAATTGTTCCCGGTCTTCAGACTTCACTACCTCCCTCCTCTCCTCCGATACCTGATGATGAGCGTGCCAAACGCCCAGGAGTTCATCAACCACAAAGAATGCTTTTCCAAGCCTAAAAAGAAGCTCGTGCAAACGCGCATTGTCTTCGACCCCGTTTTTGGCTTCTCCGCTCCAGCGCGGCTGGTGACCAGAAGGCCCGTACCAAATGCCACCAGCATCGCACACACGCCATTCTTCTCGACAGCAGATCCGTCATTGACTTGCCTCTTCCGGCTGCCATTCGAGATTCGGTTGCAGATACTACGCTACCTTCTGTTGTCCGATTACGACTTTGTCCACCAGGTGTGTGTAACGACACAACGACTTGTCTTCTACAAAGACAATCGTCCGTATCACCTTTCATTTTTTGGACAAGAAGTCTCTCCAGAAATCCTCAGATGCTCTCGAGCCTGCGAGGAAGAGGGCGCAAGAATCCTCTACGGAGAGAACCGCTTCAAGGTCGCAGATTGTCGCGCCGTAGGAAAGGGGCAGACTGTGAACTCCTGGCCATTGCCGTTGCGTCATGCACGTCTCATCTCACGGCTCCGTCTCGGAATCTACAGTCAAGAGGACGAAAGCAAAGCCGCACTGACTCGACAGCCCTACCTCTTCCCTCAACTCCGGCACCTCACTCTGCACGTGAGACTTACGTGCCGGCAATTTGAGAATCTATTGGACGTGTACAGCCATGTCTTCAGGCAACTCAAGACATTCGACTTGTGCATCACCATCGATGAAGGGGAGTTTGGAAACCTTGTGGAGGAGATCTGTTATGGTGGTGAGGGGAACATTGTTTGGATGCAGGAGGAGGAGTTTGAAGAGATCATGTGCATATCATACAAGGCAGCGCTGATCAAGCATTCTTGGTTCAACAAGAAGGACATTGAATGGGATGTTGAGAACGTCAGCCACGTGTCCTGGGCTGAGTGGGTGGCCTATGCGATGCTCAGCGACTGATTGCACTGTGTTTAGTTTGTTTTTGCATCACAAAGTACATGTAGGACAGCACAATTGCACTGCACATTTATCAGAGTCGGAGTTCGGAGTGTGTTGAGTTGAGATTACCGTAAAAGTGGACCAACCACACGTGACTCGAATCTTACTTCCTCCGAGCTGACGGACAGGTCTCACCCGACTCCAAGTCTTCGAAACAGCTCACACAACACAGGAAGCCTGAAGTGGTGCGGTAGAAGAAAGATGACGGTTGTCCAGAGCCAAGGCCGGTCTGGCGCGCCTTCAAGTCGCTTGTCGGCCGAGATTGACAGAGCGTCGGATGAGACCTCGCCTCTGCTCGCGAGCCAAGGCGTCCGGCCCGCGACGTCAGCTCTTGCAGACGCCGAGGACGGGATGGAGCCGGTCGGCGCCGAGAAGCCCATCCCGAAGCTCCAGATCTTCCTGCTCTGCTACGCGCGCTTGGTCGAGCCTATGGCCTTCTTCTCCATCTTCCCCTACGTCAACCAGATGGCCCAGAAGAACGGGCACCTCCCCGACGCAGATGTCGGGTTCTACAGCGGGCTCATCGAGTCGCTCTTCTCCCTCACGCAAGCGGTCTTCATGCTCCCCTGGGGCAGGGCAGCGGACCACGTGGGCCGTAAGCCCGTCCTCGTGTTCTCGCTGTTTGGCGTCACCGTCGCTACCGGCATCTTCGGCATGGCCAGGACGATCTGGCAGATGATTCTGTTCCGCTGCGCCGCCGGTGTCTTTGCCGGCACCATCGTCACCATCCGCACCATGCTGGCGGAGCACAGCACGCCCAAGACGCAGGCCAGAGTCTTCAGCTGGTTCGCCTTCTCCGGCAACCTGGGCATGTTCATCGGGCCCTTGCTGGGCGGCGCTCTGGCCGACCCGGCGCAGCAGTATCCCTCGCTGTTTGGAAACGTCAAGTTCTTCCATGACTACCCATATGCCCTCGCCAGCTTCGTGATCGCAATCGTGGGGGCCACCGCGGCTGCGGCCTGCACGCTGTTTGTCACAGAGACCCTGCAGCGGGAGGAGAGCGGCTTCTCGCGCGTCGAACAGGCCGCATCGGGAGCGGTGGCGGCTGGGGGCGGCGAGAAGTCGACCTGGCAGATAGTCAAGTCGCCCGGCGTCGGCATGGTACTGTATGTGTACGGGCACGTCATGCTGCTTGCCTTTGCCTACACGGCGATCGTGCCCCTGTTTTGGTTCACGCCGGTCGCCCTGGGCGGCTACGGCTTCACGTACCTCCAGATCTCCTTGATGATGGGCGTCAACGGCGCCGCGCAGGCCATCTGGCTCCTGCTCATCTTCCCGCCCCTGCAGCACCGGCTCGGGACCAACGGGGTCATGCGCGCGTGCGCGCTGGCCTACCCCTTGATCTTCATCCTCTCGCCCCTGGGCAACGCCATCCTGCGGGTGGGCACCAAGGAGATGGACACGTTCTTCTGGATATTTGCGCCGACGGCGCTGGCAATCTGCTGCGGTGTAAGCATGAGCTTCACGGCCATCCAGCTCGCGCTCAACGACATTACACCGTCGCCGCAGGTCCTCGGGACGCTCAACGCCCTTGCCCTGACCGGGGTGAGTGTGCTGAGGGCCTTCTGCCCTGCCTTGTTCACCAGTTTGTTTGCTCTGGGCGCGAGAACCCAGTGGCTCTGGGGCTATGCGGTCTGGTTGCTGCTGACGCTGTTGGCGTTGGGCTTTGCCGTTGCGGCGAGGTACCTGCCTGATCCCAAGGAGGCGGAGAGGAGAAGGGAGGCAGCTGAAAGTCCGAGCGACGAGTGATGGGATGTGTTTGAGGATTGGCAGGTTTCCAAGCAGCGGTCATCCCTGCTTGCACTCTACACGGCAGCTATCTAGCGGGGAGGTTCATCAAGACCTGCTGATGCCCAGCAGTGTTCTGCTCGAAGCAGCCGGCAGGCTCTGGGTTCCCGACGTACAGTGCCTAGCTCGTCTAGCTCGGTTGGATATGCTGGCCTGATCATATTCAGACGGGCCGGTTTTACAAACAATGATTTCGGGGCGTACACTTGTAGACCATATAGAACATGTAGACAAAGCTGGGTATCTTAATGTGCATCTTATTTCCTTTGATATGTGGTGTATGCGCCATCTACCTAACTACAAGGACGGACGGGTTGCGTCTCGCGTCCACGGGTCCGTCTGGTGAAGCTGGTGGGGCACTCAGGTTGGGCCGTAGTGGATGTTTTCGGGCTGTCTAGTGGCACGCTATGCACCTGAAAACAGGAGTGGAGGGCGGCCCGGCGGGGGGATTCAGCACTGTCATTGGGCACCCAGGCCGCTGTGATTCTAGAACCAAGAAATGCGTCGCATCTGCCCTCCTTGCATCACCAGGGACTTTAGCAGCTCGGCATTCTCCTGGGCAGCTGACATCATCGCCATCATGAGACGCCCAGTCAGGCACCTCTCCCACCCTCCCAATCAAGGCAGGATATCTTGCCAGGCATGCGCCCTTTTCTTTCTACGTTGTTGATCCACTGCAACTTTCATCTCTCTCTTCATTTCGGCAAAGACGACTCTTCCTGCCCTGGACGTCTTATCGCACGCTAGCAACTGAGCTTTTGCCAGCTTGCCAAGTCTTCTTGTTTGCTCGTTCGAATCAACAACCCGCAGTATCTGCTCAGACCACATTCAAACAGTAAGCAAGAGAACCCACCGACAGTCCTAGTATGCTTTGATCCGGCCAACTAATCCGCCGTCTCCATTTCAAGTGCCCTCAAGACACGAATACCGCGATGCCAAGAAGGTCATCTACCTCGAGCCGCCCACCAACGGCTCCAAGACGGTGCGGACACGAGTGACCAGGGTGATCCCGCCCCCGCGGCTCCCCTCTCCGCCTCCACCTCCTCCGCCGGAGATCATCGAGGTGCCGCCGCCGCCGCCGCCGATCATGCTCCCGCCGCCCCCTCCGCCGGAGCCGGACATCATCGACGTGATCGCCGTGGACGTGGCGCCGCGCCGCAAGAGGTCCAAGAGCCGCAAGAGCAGGTCGCACAGCCGGGAGACGCGGGAGCGGGACCGCGAGGTGATCATCGAGCGCGAGAAGATCGTGCCCGTGCCCGTGCCCGTCCGCACGCAGCCGGAGTTCGAGACCTTCCGGTACGTCGACGCCCCGCGCCGGTGGAGCCCGCCGGCCCTCCCGGCCCCGCCCCCGAGGAGGGAGAGCCCCGACATTGAGCGGCAGCGGATCATCATCGAGGACCACCGGCGTTCGAGGGGCTACGAGTACCGCTAGCGAGCTCCTTACTTCTTGTCGCCGCCCGGATCTTTTTCTTTCTCTTGCCTACTTACTTTCGAGGTTAATTTATCCTTTGCGGTGGAGGATGCTCTGCACGAGTTTGCTTGGTTGCTCTCTGCTCGAGCTTCGACGTGGATCTCCTTGTTTCTCCTTGTGTGTTTCTTATGCGATGCGGCTTGTTTGGGTTCACGGTTATAAACGACGGTTCATGACGTTATGAGCACACTTACTTTTCTTGTCCTTCTTCTGGGTATCGCACCTCTGTGTACACGGGAGCCGGCATAACTACTAGACACGCGGTCCGAGCACGACTGTGCATCCGTGTGTTTGTTTTCGTCTGAATTCGTAGGGCGGCAAGACTTGGTGACATTACACCAAGGGAACGTGCGCTTGAAGGTCGTGTCAGCGAGATGAAACGCCGTTGAGACGGCAAAGGGCTCGTCCCATTTCGGCAAGTCGTCAGGCCAGCTGCACCTCGGCGTTTCAAAAGAAACATCCCGCCATAAATATAGAAAGCTTCCCGAATGCAATTTGCCCCCCCCTCCGAGATGAGATTCGCAAGCTGTCTACGTAGCATGCGCCCGTCCAGCGTAGCACTCCGTCCGTCTAGCATTTTTTTCGGATGATGCTTTCTCCTGCATTCCAACCTGGAGAGGTGGCGCGCCTAATAAGCTTTGGAGGTTGGAGACACATCCACATCCGGTGCCTCTTAAGTCCGGGGGGTTAGTTAAAGGTACGAAGTAGGCATCATGATATATGAGATAATTTAGATTCGGATCAACAATGTTGTGGCGGTCTACCCATGAGCAAGCGTGCGAACACGGCTATTTCAAGGGTTTTTGACTACAAGTAGGTACGAAAGTACCTGTCTCTGCCTTGGAATCGATGTCAGGTGTTGTAAGAGTGCCCTTGAGTGGTCAACATTCTTGTGATTACACATCCTTAATCAAACTCGACCAGGGTTTGATGGGGGCGTTCACTCACCCACACCGCTCATCAATGCTTATCGATCGTTGGCGAGATTGATCGGCGGTTTCGTCCCCCCGAGGAGGAACAATCGGCTCCAAGGTTTGGAACGAGCGGGATTTCAACATGAAAACACTACCTGATGGAGATGCCATTTGTTCGCTATCTTTGTCAACACCTGGCGTAGCGTATGTTCCAGCGAGAGTCGGCGGGCCTGGTCCGTTCAGGGTCCAGCTTTCACTGCGAACTTCGTAAGTCTGAGCTAGACAGGCACTAAGAGACGCCTCTGGGTCCAAGATTCGAGGCTCTAGCGAGTTGCAGTTGGTAGCCAAGACGTGCCAAGTACAGTGCCGTGAGTACTTGTACAATTACTCCGTACTTGGCCTGTCGAACGAACGCGGGGGGCCCGTGACGGGTGCAGTGCGGGGAGACGCAGGGTCTCTGCTGACAGGAGAAGAAGAAGAACAGACAGAGAGACACGCACAGACAAGACACAGGCAGGCACACAAAGTCATTGTACCAGACGAGCATTGTACAGGGGCAGTTCCACAATGTAAATGCGATATGGTTACCCAGACAGGCGCTGGGCATGAGCGAACCCCCGTACGTTTCCCCCTCGCCGGGCTCTGGCGCCAAATTCATATGCATGTGAAACAGGACAGTGATAGCGGCCGTTGCATGTGGGACGCTGGTTGGGATGCTGGTACCCATGCCCTGTGCAAGTACGAAGGTCCAAGTATCTTGTCGCAAACGGTGATCCATCCCATAGTTTGATCCATTCCTACAGTAGAGTTCAGGCGTGTTCTAGGCCTGCCCCCTGCCTGCCGCTCCAAGACACGGCCGCATTCCTCTGTCTTGTTGGGGCCGCAGGGCTGGAGGCATGTATGTACCTATGCATGCTCTGGCTGTTCCGGCTGTACGTTGGCTTGGTTGGGTAGCTACCTGCGCGTTGATTCCTCGAGGACTTTCAGGTCCAATCCACCTGGAGGCAGAACTCGTCGCGATGGCAGCCAGCCCGTGTTTGTGCACGGCTGAAAGGTACATAACATGGCAAGATGGCACGTGGATGGTTTATGCTTCCTGGCTTGCGTGCATGCAAGATACAAGGTTATTAGGGGGGCTGGCCCCATAACTAGACTCTGTACGTACTTGTATTTGATATGCAGAATCTGGATACAAGTACGAAGTACTCGCCCGCTTGCTTCGTGCCGGGATTGGACAGGGGCAGTGGCAGGAAAACAAGCCCATGAATGCCGGCGACAGGTTTCACAAGCCGTGCGACGAATGGATGGATGGACGGATGGGATCCCTGCAGGAGGGCCAGCACTCGGGACTGGACAGGAACTCGACTAGCAGTGCAGTAGCTACCTACCCAAGCTCCCTTCGGTAATGTAAAAGGGAGGGACTGCAGGGCAGTTCAGTACCTAACAAGGAGCACGCACCCGACTTGCGGCGCTCGCTTCTCCCGCTAGTTATCGCCTGCCGGTGCGGCCGCTTGCTGGTGCTGGTGCTGGTGCAGGTGTGTGGTGTGTGGAGAATGAGATGCAGCAACTTTACCTCCAGTAAGGTAGGAAATATGCAAGTACTCGAGCTAGGTAGTTACTGGAGCCCGAAATTTGAGATTCGCTAGGGCGGGCAACCTTGGCAGCCCGCCCACACCCACACCCACACGCATGGACACATGCACCCACGCCAGACAGAAACCCACATCCTCCTTCTGCGCCTAACTCGAGAGGGATTGATGAGGCAATGGCCCTGGTCCCTGATTGAATGAATCAGGAAGGCGGCTCCCCTTCTGCCCCCTTTCGAACCTGGCTCGCCTGGCACGCCTGGCACGCCTGGCGCTTTCTCTCCACCACCGCCGCCGGGTCTTGCCTTGCCTTGCACTCTATTTTTCCGGCTGCCAGTTGAGCCCACCAGCATCCCATCCATCCATCCATCCAGAGCGAGACCGACACACACGTCCGGAGCACGCGCCCTCACCTCACTCTCTCACGACAAGACACACGCACGCACGCACGCACACCCGATCCAGTCCGGACGCCTGATCTGATCTGATGGGTCCTGTCGCGCCTCTCTCTGTGCGGCTGCATTCCCCCCGGACCTGAACTTCACCTCCTCGCTAGTCGGGTAGTCCTGCTGCATCCGCACCCGGCCTTCCCACCCAAGCTTGCGTCCTCCTGGCCCGGACGCCCCTACCGCTGCTCCCGAGTGCCTCACCACTTATGCGACGTGAATCAGGGTCACCCAGGCTGCCCGGATCTCTGCGAGCTGTCCTGCGTTGAACAAAAAATCCCTTGGCCCTCCCGTCGCCGCCGACCGAGCGCGCCTGGGCACACCACCACCACCCTCTTCTTCCTCCTCGTCCTCCCCCACCCTCCCTCTAAGATCATCTCTCCCCCCAGACGAGGGCAGGTATAGGGGACCATGTCGCAGACCGCCGCCCCGAGTAATGATGGCCTATCCGAGTTCCATTTCAACCCCTCATCTTCGTCGAATTCCTTTACACAAGACAGCCCTACCATCGGCCGGACACAGGCACAGCATCCGCCTGCATACTCGACGCCTTCGGCCACACGAAAGAGCAGTGGCCATCACACCCCGTTGACCGGGTCCAGCCAGCGGTGAGTGGCTTTCGTGACATTCCACACCTTCTATCAGTCTACTCGTTTCGTACATATGGGCTCCTCGGTCCACCAGGGGCCTCCCCTGTCTCTTGACAACCCCCAAACACCTCGTTCGCCGCGACTCGTCGTGCTGCCATCTCTAAACTTGACACCCAACGCTGACTGACTGCCCTTGGGACTATCACAGATCGCAGCGTAGGCCGACACCAAGCCCTCTCCATACTACCACTGCTGTGTCTCCCTCCTCGAGCAACGGGAGTCCTTCCTCGGCGTCCAACTCTTCGCCGGCGCAGAACTCCCCAGCCAGCATCCCCCAGATCGTGACTACGAGCCACGAGGAGCGCAAGCTCGCTGCCACACAGTCATCTCAGCTCGAGACCACATACTACGATAGCGACTCTTCGGCGCCGTCTACGCCGGTCGAGAAGAACACAAGGTTGGTTCTCTCCCCCTCTCACCGTGATTACTGTCAGTGGAGCATCCTGCCTAACCTCTCCTGCTGCAGTGCGGCCTACCCTTCTCGACTCCCGAATGACAGCTCCAGGAGCGTCTCCGATCCCGTGGTGACCTCCAGGCCTCTAGGGGCATCGACCCTCGCCTCGTCCCAAAAGAATATGCCGGGACCTGCGGCCTCGCGGGTCGAGGGCTCTGGCCCGATGCGCAACTCATCGATCGATTCTGCCATCTCGGCACTGTCATCCAGTTCACATTCGCACAAGAACTCACAGGATGGCCAGTCCCAGAAGCCCGTGGATGTGGCAAGCCTGATCAAGGCAGCTGGCAGTGCCGAGGCCGTCATCCAGTACCTCCTGAAGGAGAAGCAATCACAATCCCAACAGAATGCCCAACTATGGCGGCTAGTTGACAAGCAACGAGCTATGATTCTGGGGCTCAACAAAGATCTGGAGAGGGCCTTGAAAGACAAGGAAAAATATCGCAAGAAGCTCAAGGAATTCGTTGCTGCGCAGGATGTACCGCCCCTGCCCGCGCCTGTAGTGGCACCCGCTGCCGCGGCAGCTCGCCCGGCAGGTGAGCCAGCCGCGCCGCGAGAGCAGGTCCTGGAAGTGCCAATCTCCCCCATTATCGGGTCCGATGGGCAGAAGCATTCGCCCATCGACATGGCCCTGGCGCCCTATCCCATCACTCCGCCCGCCGACCAGATGGCCGGCCCGGCATCGGCCGTCGGTCAGATGCTTGACCCCTCCCACGCCATGCCTAAGCCTCAGGAACATGCTCTCGACCAGTACGATCATGAGGCGCAGGATCGCGAGGCCGAGGCAGCCCGCAAGGCTGCAGACGCGTCCAAGGATCTGCCCCTGAGCATCACGCTCCCCTCATCGCGAAGCCTGCCAGGAAATCCGCCCCAGATGCCCCCGCCGAGCCTACCTCCGGCGCCTTCTCACCAAGCCGCCGCCCCAAGTCCTACAACCAGCATCAACGAAGGGCTGGCGCAATTTCCACCACCACCTGCTCCCCCACCGCGGAAACCGCCACCTGCACCCTTGCAGCTCAGGACCGAGGCCCGCAGCCCGACTATTCCGCCGGATGAGGGCGTCGAGAGCGAGAGCGACTATGATGACCTCTTGGAGGTCGAGGAGATTACCATGACAGAAAAGCGCGGCCGGCGACGCACCCGCGAGGAGGACGATCGCATGCGCGAGGTCTTGGCTATGGAAGAGGCCGAGGCCCGCAGCCTCTCCAAGAAGAGTAAGAAGAGCGCCAGCGCCAAGGGGACGCCCAAATCGGCCGTTCCTGCGCCGGAGCCAGCAGAAACAGACCCAAGCGTCCGGCTCGCACCCCCGCCAGTGCTGCAGCGCAGCAATATACCCGCCTCGCTGGCGTCGGTACTTAGCGGCGGCGACCTCGGCTACGGGGGCCTGTCGTTGCTGAGCCCCGGTCTTCCCGCCAGCCCTCGGCCGCCGGGCCTGCCCTCTTCGCCCATGCAGTCGCCGCCGCTCTCTCCGAGAGGTGTCGGGGGCATCCCGCCCGCGCCGCTGTCCCCTCGACCCCCGCGTCAGCCGATCCCCCTTCCACCCAACACGCCTCTGCAAACTCCTTCCCCGGCCAACGCCGCTGAGCCTCCTATACTCACGTCCCCGAAACCGCTCAACATTGTCAAAAAGGTCATCGAGGTCGGTGATGCGCCAAGTCTGTCCGATGGCGGTAGCAGCCGCGATAGTCCAATCGGGCGAACCAAGGTGTACAAGGGCCTCGTCACGGAGGAGTACCCAGATCTGCTCCTGCCACCCAATGCCCTCCCGTCCATCGACATCAAGGTGGCTTCCTCGCGCATGAAGCCTTCGCGCGCGAGTCTCCTCTCCTTCACACAGCTAGAGGAGGACCCGGTGTTTACGCTGGCCATCTTTTCACGTGCTGACGGTGGCGAGCTCTGGCGCGTTGAGAAAGACTCGGCGTCGCTGGCTAAGCTCGATCAGAGGCTGAAGCAGTGCCCTGCCTTCACGGCCAAGACCCCTGACCGGTCCCTCTTCAGCGGTCACGCGCCCGCCAAGCTCGACGCCCGCAGGCTGGCTCTCGACTATTACCTCGACGAGCTGCTCAACACGCCACTCGACCAGGCCACCGCGCTCGAGCTGTGCCGCTACCTGTCCCACAACACCCTGCCGCCCTACGCGGATGAGACCGGTGGTTCTGCGGAACAGGCATCTAGCTCTAGCGAGCCGAGCACGACCAGTGTCGGTCCCGGCGGTCGGCCTTTCAAGAACGGCTACCTAACCAAGCGCGGCAAGAATTTTGGAGGCTGGAAAGCCCGCTTCTTTGTTCTCGATGGGCCCCAGCTCAAATACTACGAGACGCCTGGTGGTGCACACCTTGGCACCATCAAATTGCAGAATGCCCAGATTGGCAAGCAGGCACAGGCACAGCAGAACGACAACTCGTCACCAGCGCGAGGCGCCGGCACTGACGACTCGGACAACCAATACAGGCACGCCTTTTTGATCTTGGAGCCCAAGAAGAAGGACCCGTCGGCAATGACGAAGCACGTCCTGTGCGCCGAGAGCGATCGTGAGCGGGATCAATGGGTTGACACGCTGCTTCGGTGGATCGACTACCGCGACCCTGACGATGAGGACGCTGCACGCAAGGACCACGACCGTCAGGGCTCCGCTGCTTCTGAGCGTGCCCCTGCAAGCAGCAAAAAGAAGCATTCTTCAAGCAAAAAGCCACAGCAGCAACAACAACAGCAGCAGCAGCAGGCTACCTCCTCTGACACGCTCATCAGCGTCAGCTACGACGCCGCACAACAGGGCGACGCGCCTCAGGGCGTCCCGACGCGCCAGCAGCGGGGTGGACAGGCGCCTCACGATGACGATCAGGGCCGCAACATGGCGCCACAACCATCGTACGCCATCTCGGCGCCCCGCGACCCACAGGTCATCCCGGACTCGGCCTCGTGGGGCTCCAGGGTGGGCGGCCTGGCGGCTCCCAGCACCGATGAGAAGAAGGTCAGGAAGCGCAGTTTCTTTGGCTTCGGTCCCAAGGCCCGCTCCTCCAGCGATGGGCAGGATTCGCTTTTTGGTGACTCGAATGGCGGACTCTCCAGCACGCCGCCTCAGGGCGGTGTCGTCGTCGGCGGCCCCGTGCGCCAGGTGTTTGGCGCACCGCTGGCCGAGGCAGTGCGCTACAACTCACCCGTCGACGTCAGCGTGCCGCTACCGGCTGTCGTGTACCGCTGCATTCAATACCTCGACGCTAAGAACGCCATCTCGGAGGAGGGCATCTTCCGTCTGAGCGGCTCCAACGTGGTCATCAAGCAGCTGCGCGAGCGCTTTAACAATAACAGTGACATCGACCTCTTGGCCGACGAGACGTATTACGACATTCACGCTGTTGCGTCACTGCTGAAGCTGTACCTGCGTGAGCTGCCGACCACAATCTTGACGAGGGACCTGCACATGGAGTTCCTTTCGGTCACCGAGATGACGGGCCAACGGGAGAAGCTCGCGGCACTCAACGAGCTCGCCCAGCGGCTGCCGCTTCCCAACGCGACGCTCCTCAAGTACCTCATCTCCTTCTTGATCAAGATCATCAACAACTCGGACAAGAACAAGATGACGGTCCGCAACGTGGGCATTGTCTTCTCGCCCACGCTGAACATCCCGGCCCCGGTCTTTGCGATGTTCCTGCAGAACTACGAAGCTATCTTCGGCATCGAGCCCGAGCAGTACGAGCTACCGTCGCCGACCTCGGACAAGGACTCGTACGGCCGCCCGTCAGTTGACCCGCTGCCCCGGCCCCCGACGTCACAGGCGAGCGAGTCTCCGCACCGGCAACGCCTGATGGACGCGGTCAAGAGCGGCCAGCGCAGCAGCCCGACGCCCCCGCCAGCGCTCGTCGCCGGTGTATCGCACTACAACCAGCCGCGCCCGGCACAACAGACGCCGCCGCCGCAGCGGCAGCTCAGCTACGAGCCGCAGTATCTCGCGCAGCAGAACGCGGCCGGGTCGCACATCTCGCTGCGGCCGGCCTATGAGAGCGGCTTTGTTGTACCGCCGGGCTACGACCCCACGCAGGCGCCGCCCCAACACGTGCAGCAGCCGCTGGTGGGGATGGTGGCCCCGCGGGCGAACCCGGGGTACGACAGGCCCATCTACGAGGGCGGCGGCGGCGGGGGTTACGACAACGCGTACGCTCCCTCCGCCAAGGCGAGCCGCCGCGAGAGCGGCCTGTTTATGGGCAATGGCGTCGGCGGGCTGAGTCAGCAGGGGTCGAGGAGCCGGCTGCGAGAGGAGAGTCACTATTAGACTTGCTAAACCGGTGATGAATGAGGCTGTAGCCTTGTAGAACGATCGAGGTTAAAGAACGAAACGAAACTGAAGGAGTTGCTAATGAAGAAATACCCTCGAAAAATTTGTACATAAGCTTTTCACTTTACCCTCACGACATGAAAAACCTTCGGCTGGACCACCAAGTCTGGGTAGGCTTGGGTGTACATTACAGACAGCAGATGATGGAGGGGAGGCACAAGGCTTTGTTTGCAGCGTTACGGTGCGACTTGCATGATCTGACAGGATATACCCAATTATGTACGTAATACCAGACGAATGCGGGAGGCTGCCGGTGGCTTTTCTTGTTTTTTTCTTTCTAGGTTCTTTTTCTTTTTCTTTGGCTTCTTGGATGATGCTCTGTCTCTGTTTCTTGGGGGAGAGCGAAGGATTCGATCGGTTTTATTTTGGATACCTTGGTCAATAGTTTGTCAGAGAGTGCGTGGAGTGAGGCCTCAGGCAATCAGTGCATAGACCGGTCACACAAGATGTGTGTGACTTGGAAACTTCAGCCCCGTAATGAATCGAAGCTGTCAGCTTCTTTCTTGCAAGATAACCTATACACTCGCTCCGTCACTTTGGTGTTGTAAAGCCGAGAATCATCACAGGCAGGAAGCATGGTCCTGAGATGTTACGAAACAAACGACGTGACATACGAGTTCTCCGACAGAACCTTCACAAAGACATCGCGACTCCCCTTCAATAGTCCCTACCCGGATGGAACCCCATTCATATGGTTTAGGCCGTGGTGAGGCACTTCCAAACTACCTAGGTATGTTCTTCACATTTGCTGACCAGGCGGGCGCTATACTCGTGTGTAGGAATCATGAGAGAATCACCAACGAAGCCAAGGCTTTGGAGCTAGTGTCTGAAGCAACGACTATCCCCGTGCCAAAGCTGCTCGAACATGGGATACATGCTGATGGCCGTCGATATTTGGTCACGGAGCTCGTCGAGGGCGTTTCGCTGAACGCATTCCCAAGGCCTTGCTCCAAGCCAAGAAATGAACAGCATACGACAGATCAGTCCCTGCCATGTCAGGCGTGTTCGGACCAGGCTTACTCGAATGCTGCCGAATTTATCGAGCGCACGGTTTTGCCTCAACTTGCGGACTTGAAAGCTCGTTCCCGAGGCATCGACGGGTTCGTCATGCCGCCCTCCTGGCTCAGCCCCGTCGAAGTCCCGTGGAAGGGCAAGACGTCTTGGAAGACCCTTCCGCTGCAGCAGCCCGACTACGTTTTCCAGCACGGTGACATGGCGGCTCACAACCTCATCATGGACCCCTGCACGCTTCAACCCAAGGCCCTGATTGATTGGGAGTTCGCTGGCTATTTCCCAGCCGGGATGGAGAGATGGGTCGGCTCACTGGACCCGGAGGCCTATCTCAGGCGTCGCAACGGTCGGGCCCATGTGATAGCAGAGTTTCTCGCCGAGGAGTTCTTGGAGTGCTGTGACAAGTGGCACGATCGAGACGAGTTGGATGAGTTGGTTCGCGCTGGAGACCTTCCGAACCCAGACGAGCTGAAGGACGCTCGTATTTAAGATGACCATAGGCTTGATGGTAATTAGTACCTGGGAGTGCAAAAGTCTCCATTCATTTACTCTGTCGGAGCCGCGGACTTGAAACAACAATATCGAATGAATGCAAATTCGACGAATGTTTGTAAATAAAGATCGCCTCCGATCATCATTACCCTTCTCTTCTGGGGAGAGACATGGCTCGAGCACAGGCTTGGAGATGCGTGCTCCGCCGCACTGAGCCGGAAGGACACGGGACCACGGAGGGAAAACTTACCGGTGGTGCAAGCCGCCACCAAGAATGCCAGCTGCTGGCGACTGGCAGCACCTGTGTGGTCCGGGAGAAGCCGATTAGTCAAACATCTCGAGTGCGTCAAATTCGAGACGAGAAGCCTCAATGTCGGCATATCGGTCCCTGCCACCTCCGCGATCAACCCTCAACACCGAATCGCCATCGTTGCTTGCGAGCCACCCCCCCGACGCCCGACGTCAACCACCCGGCCGACCGGCCACCCTACCCACGCAGGATGGACTCGTCGTCGCTCGACCCGAGACTGAGGACCGCGAGCGACAGCAGCTACCGCGCCCCCAACAGCAATCTCAACAACATCCACGGCGCAGACAACAGCGCTGCTGGCCGCAGTTTTGCGGCGCCAAGCCAAGCTTCCGCCGAGCCACACTCGGCCACGACGGCGGCGGCGTCGTCCTCCGCCGTGCCAAGCCGTAACATCACGAGCACAACAACCCGCTCCCCGCAATCCCTCAGCACGCCGACCGGGCCCCCTTCCCACCCTTCCGTCTCCGTAGCCGACACTCCCGCCACGAACCCTTCGCCGCGGTCTGGCGCCGCTCCCAACCACGACGATGACGATGACGACGAGGACGAGGACGACAACGAGGAGGAGGAGGACCGCAGCCACGACCACGGCGTGCACGACTCGCCCAGCCAGGCAGCCGTGAGCGCGCTGCTGCCCGCCGGCGCCGGCGACCCCAAGAAGCCGCGCGCGTGCGAGGCCTGCCGCGGCCTCAAGGTCCGCTGCGACCCGGACCCGGCCAACCCGGACGGGCCGTGCAAGCGCTGCGCCAAGGCGGGCCGCAGCTGCGTCGTCACGCAGCCCACGCGCAAGCGGCAGAAGAAGACGGACAGCCGCGTCGCCGAGCTGGAGAAGAAGATCGACGCCCTGACGCAGAGCCTGCAGGCCTCGAGGGGCGCCGCGGCCGCGACGGTGGGAGGAGCAGGAGGAGGCGGAGGAGGGGTGGGCGGGGGCTTGTCGTCGTCGTTGTCGTTGGGCGGCGGGGGCCTGCGCGGCGCGTCGGCCGGCGACGACGGCCACGATGCTGCTGGCAGGCTGATGCCGGCCCGGACGTGGTCCACGCCGCCGTCGCGCGAGCACGCGCCGCCGCCCCCGCCGCTGCCGCAGTCGACCAAGACACATCGGAGGGCGTCCCCGTACGGCTCGATCTCCGACCGGTCGGCGACTTTCCCGCCGCCCCCGCCGCCACCCATGGTCATGGCCGGACAGAAGAGGAAGCACGTCGAGAGCCGGGACAGCCAGGGCCCCGAGGACGTCAAGGACGTGCCGCCGTCTGTGACATCTGGAGTCGGCAGCCTCGGCCACGAGTACACAGACATTGTCGATCGGGGCATCATCTCGATGGAAAAGGCCGTCGAGCTCTTCTACCGGTATACGGAAAAGATGTCACCCCACCTGCCGGCCGTCATATTCCCTGAGGGCACGACCGCGGCCGAGATCAGGAAGAGCAAGCCGACCTTATTCCACGCCATCATGGCCGCCGCGTCCTCGGAGCTGCCCAACGTCCAGCGCGCCATCGTCAAGGAGCTGCAGCAGATATTCGCCGACAAGATCGTCGTCGCCGGCGAGAAGAGCCTCGAGCTGGTCCAGGCCCTGCAGGTCGCCGTCATCTGGTACTGGCCGCCCGAGCACTTTGAGGAGCTCAAGTTCTACCAGTTCGTCCACATGGCCGCCATCATGTCCATCGACATCGGGCTCGGCCGGAAGAAGTCCGGGCGCCACCCGCGGCACGTCCCCTACGCCTGGCGCGACCACCCCTTCAAGAAGCACCCGCCGCCGGACCCGTGCAGCATCGAGGCCAGGCGGGCCTGGCTGGCGTGCTACTACCTGACGACCAACACCTCCATGGCCCTGCATCGGCCCAACCTCCTGCGCTGGTCCCCGTTTATGGCCGAGTCGCTCGAGGTGCTCAAGACCTCGCCCGAGGCGGTGCCCTCGGACAAGTACCTGGCCCACCTCGTCTGGTCGCACAAGCTGTCGGAGGACATTGGCTACGAGTTCCAGATGGACGACCCGTCGGCGGTCATCAGCCTCGCGGACCGCCGGACGCAGTACGCCCTCAAGGGCTTTGAGCACGAGCTGGAGAAGTTCTGGTCCTCCCTCAGCAAACAAGACATACAACGTAAGGCCTATCCCCAATCTATCTTCCTCAAAACAAGCCCGATTGGAAGCTAACTTTCACCCTCCCACCCCCTTTTCTAGCCTCGCTACGACTCGGCATCCACGTCGTCAGCCTCTACATGCACGAGATCGTGATGCAGGCCGAGGACGACCCGCGCGGCGAGGAGCTGCCCAGGCCGCCGTACTCGAGCGAGTCGATGCAGGGCTACATCTGCATCGGCGCGCTGACGCCGGCGCACATCAACGCGCTGTCCGAGTGCCTGACGGCCATCCACGGCGTCTTCGACACCTTCTTGTCGCTCGACGTCGCCGTCGTCCGCTGCATGCCCGTCTTCAACTTTGTGCGCATCGCCTACGCCACCGTCGTCCTCATCAAGATGTACTTTGCCGTCACCGCCCCGGACTCGGAGCTCGGCTCCATCATCAGCAGGGAGGACATGGACGTCGAGCGCCACCTCGAGCGCCTGCTCGACAAGTTCCGCGCCACGGCCGCCGAGGACAGGTCCCGCCCCGCGGCCAAGTTCCTCGTCGTGCTGGTCATGATCCGCTCCTGGTTCCAGAAGCAAGGGGGCGCCGCCGCCGCCGTCGAGGGACGTCCGGTGGGGGCGTCCTCCGCGGCACACCAAAAGGACGGAGCGACGGCGTCGACGACGACGACGATGATTGGAGCCCCGCCGCATCTCCAGCAACAGCAGCAGCAGCAGCAACGGGGCAGCTTCCCGTCGTCGGCAAACACGCCCCTCCATCTCCTCTCCGAGATCGCCACCAACGACGGCGCGGCCGCTACCGCAACGCCAAGCGGCAACAGCCTCGCCGCCGCCGCCAACGCCACCTCGATGGCCGCCCCCCTGCCCCCCTGGCTCAGCAACATCCAGACGCCCCAGCCCTTCACCTACGACGGCACCAGCAACACGGCGGCGGCCCTGTCGGCGCGCGGGGACCAGCCGCGGGGCAGCGGCGGGGCAGGCACGGCAGCAGCAGCAGCAGCAGCGGGGGGAGCAGGGGGCAGCTTCGGCAGCCTCGCGCAGCAGCAGCAGCAGATGAACATGCCCTGGCTCGGGCTGGGCACCGACTTCGACTACAGCAACCTCGGCGACGGGTTCGCGCAGGCCATGGACATGACGCTGGCCGAGATGAACGACAGCGGCTTCAACCTGCAGGAGGACGGCATCCGGCTCGTCATGAACGAGCCCTGGTTCTCGGGCGGCATGTTCTTCAACGGGCCCTCTTGAAGAGAGAGATATCACAAACAGAAGGCGGGTGAGATTACGGACACAGGGGGGGTACAATCACGGGAATGTCCCTTCGCAAGGCGTTTTATTTGGGTGTTAAAGGTCGGGTTTAGATGGACAGTGGGCACGCGGCGCGGGCACATACATTGCATAATAACTAGAAGCGGATTTGAGCGGATTTGGTTTCTTGATTTTTCATCCTTTCTTCTGTATCTAGCGTTACATCTCCCTCGAAGGGGGCAAATCCATGCAGCCATTTACCATAAAAATAGACTCAGCGCTATGTGATATCAATCATCGCGACCCATGCAACCTTTGTTGGCGCGAATGTCGACCCCAGCGGCCTGCTGATCTTCAGCGGCCAAGCTGATGTGGCGACTACGGCCTCAATCATCAAGTCAATCTGTGTTTCGTACTCATTCCTCGTCCCAGTTGATTCTCAGCTTCGGGTGGAGATCGTCCAAGATGGCCCTGGAAGACCAGTTGTTGTGTAGGGAATTCGAGCAATTCCCCGTGTTCCTTGGTCTACCCTAGAGCCTAGATTTGCCGTATACGATCCAGGGCACCCGGGGGAGGTCTTGAAGCCCTGAAGCCTCCGACAGGGGCATAGGGATGGGTAGTCCTAGGAAGGCTGCTCCCAACTGGGCCATTGTTCCAAAAAGCACTTCATCATCTGACTGGGGGAGCACCGTGGTGGCGACGGTAAGGCCCGTGGGACCCAAGGCTGAACGAGCGCAAGAACCAAGCAGTACCTCATGGCCAAAAAAACGAGCAAGAAGTGTGTTGTTTCCTGGGATGGGGCATTTTCGCCTGCCGACCACAGACTGCTGCGTGCGGGAATGCGCACAAGCAAGAGGGGCCCCGCGTACAAGCAATCTGATGTAGCTCCTACTACCAGGGGGGGGGGGGGGTCGGGGTGGTGTCGTTTCGTTAGGCGTCGGATGAGACGCCAGGCATTGCGAGGTGTGTGTTCCGTATAGCTAGTCATAAGGTGTCGTCGACGTCATTTCCAGAGCGAACCGGCGTGGGTATTGTGCAAGAGCACACATTCCCTGCAAGGGCCTCAGGCCTTCAGTCCATGTAAAAGTCGCCCTTGAGAATCCGCTCTTGGAAGTGGTCGGGCTTGGGGCGAGGGTCTTGGCGGGGCTTCATGGCGGCGGCCTGGGCCGGAGGGGCGGGCATGTCGGAGACAGACTTGGCGCGGTCGTGATGGTGAGCCGACAGCCCTCCAGCGCCGGGACGAGGAGGCGAGTTGTTGAGCCCGGAGGCAAAGGAGAAGGAGGGGCGTGAGCCGGTCACGCTGCTCTCGGCACGGGATCTAAGCTGCTCGGACCAGTTGAAGCCTTGATCTGTTCGAGCAGGGGAGAACTTGTCAGAAGCAGATCTGGAAGTGTTTGCAGGGCTTGCCTGAGAGGCGGCGGCGGCGGCAGCGGCTGCCTGCGACCGCCACGACGCGGACGCAGACGAAGCGGCACTGCCGGGTGGCGTGGGCAGTGCGCCACGGACACTGCTCGCTCGCCGCGCTGCCTGGGCCGGTGGAGGAGGGTTGTTGCTGGCGGAGGGCCTACCATTACCGGAGCCGGGGCTCGTAGCGCCGCCGGTGCGCATGGTGCGCATGGCCTGGGCTCCAAAGCTCATGCGGCGGGCAAAGGGGGTGGTGGGTGCGGTGCGCGTGTTGGGGGCCGCATCGTCCTCCTCAATGGCATTCTCGTCGATGGAGTCCGAGTTGGTGGAGATGCTGCCGCGTCGCATGCCGGCGGAGACGGGAATGGTGGTGGGCGAGGTGCCAGAGAGGCCGAGGGTGGAGATGGAGAGGCGGCGTCGCTGGTCGTTCATGGCAGCGGTAGTGATGGGGCCGGGAAAGACGTTGGTGCCTTGCGAGGTGGAATTGCTCCTCTGGAAGAGGTTGGTAAAGGCGGCCGAGGTGACCGAGGCTCGACGGGCTCGAGGCATGTCTGCTTGCGGAGGGGAGTCGTTCTGGGTGTCGTTGTTGGACATTGTGACCAAGAGGGTGCCGCTATTGGACGACGGAGAGGGATTGCTTTTTATAAAATGTGACAGAGGGAAGAGGAAAAACGGCTCCGGGATCGGGCGGAGGCAGGTCGCGTGTGCAGTGGGAGGGACGATTCTGGGGGGAGAGTGGGCTGTTTAGTAGGCCAGGTGGTTCGAGACGTGTGCGACGGCGCGCGGTGGGTCGATTCAGAGTCGCCGACGGTTACAAAAACGCAGGCCGTCCGTGTCGCTCGGCCAATGCTTGCTGTCTCGCTCGTCGTACTGCACGCTGGTTGTGAAACGCGGCCAGAGGGTGAGCAGGGCGTGCAGCGTTCCTGGATGAGCCGACAAAGGGCAGATAAAGGCAGATGGCTCGCACGGAGATTGCCAGAGATGGAGAGAGAATGGGACGAGGACCCCGGATTTTAGAAGAGGGACCCCGCGGCTTAATAAACGGGACTGCCGTGCAGATGTCTGGGATGATGTATCGGTGCCGTTCGAGCCAGCCAACCAGAGAGCTGTGCGGTGGCTAGTCGGGGGACAGATCGCGCGATGTTGTTTTAATTTAGACGGCGACGAATGGTGCTGGACTGGCTTTGTATGCTGTGTCGATCGGGAAGCAGATGCAAATGGGTAGATGGATAGATGGCTGCAGCAGGCGCCCCTCTCAAATCGAACGATGTTGTAGCTTCTTTGTGTGTGGTCCTTGCAGTTTCCTCTCTGGCTCTTTGGGCTTGGCACGACTCAGGAATGAAACGGAGTAAGGAGGGGATAGAAGTGCTTGTTGAGGGGAGAAAGAAGGGAAAGAAGATGGATGAAAGACAGGTTGGGTGGTGGTGGTGGTGGTAGACAGCTAGGTAGGTAGACAGTGGATGGATGATTGGGAATGGAGGTTAGTCCACACGCAACTTCACGCAGAAGATACTAGTCAGAGTGATCCTCAGATGTCGTCTCGTTTCTGGTCTAGTTAGGAGGGGGGGGGGGGGGGGGGGGGGGGGGGGGGGGGGGGGAGTGGGAGGGAGGCGTGGGCGCGACACCGGGCGGGCTGGTTGGCAATGACGTCGGATTGAGTTTGGAACCAAAGTCGAAAACGGGGCCGGAATCTAGCACTAGATTGGTGGTCACTGTGTCGTGCTTTGGGAATGGGAGGGTGTGGCAAAAGGAGCCGACACGCGCTCACTCATGCACCCATCCACCACCACCACCACGCACCACGACACAATTGTCACAAGCTCGAGAGCGAGAGAGGAGGGGGGGAGAAAAAGAGAGGAGGAGAGGAGGAGATGCACTGGAGATGACGAGGCCTCTCTTTCTCCGTTCCTTCCCTTCCTCTGCAAGACAAGCGCACGCAGTTCGCGAGAACAGGCAACGGTGCCGACAAGAGTGCTGGCCTCGATGCAGCAGGTACGTGCGACGAGCAAGTTGAGAGCTGCTCCTGCTTATCTTTCATCTTTCAGTTTCAGGGTACGTAAACTACGGAGTAGAAGCTAGTCGCAGGCAGGCACGTTGGGTGGGGGTGGCAGAAGGACCACTGCCGGACTTGACATGGATCACAATAGCAGAATAGGGTCCCTAATTAATTCTCTCTCTCATGGTACGGCACGACCAAAAGAAACGAGCAGCAACTCTGTGCTCCCTCCAGCACCTCCAATCCCCGTGTGCCAAGTACCCTGCTCCTCCAGATGGCCTTGGTTCACCTGTTCTTCCCTCCATGTGTGTGTGCTGAGTGCGTGTGTCCGTGTTGTGTGTGCGTGCGTGCTTGCATGCAGACCTGTTCGTTCTCCCTTCAACCTTCCACTGTAGCCGAGCTGTACAAGTAGGGAACTTCCAGCCAGTCGCCAGCCCGCTCCTCGACGCGACGTCACACGCCCGGCTCCACCAGTCACCCAATTTGCGGGGTAAGACTTTAGCGCCTGCAGCTGCTATCTCTCCTCCCTGTTCGTCCCTGTTCGTGCCTTATTCTGTCGTTATCGTTCGTTCTGTTCGATACGGATCAGCCAGCAGCAGCTCGTGCACACACCCATCATCATCTCTCCCTTCCTCAAGGCTGCTACTCAATTTAAGAGAACAGAAACATGTTCTGACAAGAGCGTGAGAATTGATGGCTACCTCCTGTAACGTCGGACCGTCATCGACTGCTGCTGTTTGAGACAGCCTCAACAGATGAGATGAGATGAGATGAGATGGCGCTGGGCCGCTGGGGGGCCCGCCCCGGTTGATTGATCGACGCCAACCAAAAAGGTCTGGGCCCTGCTAGCTCAACGCTGGCAATCTCGCACGCGTAGCAGGAAAAGGGGGAAATGCACAACGCTCGCTCTGCTCTGCTCTGCTCTGCTCTGGTCCAATGGCACCACACGCTGCTGATCCCTCGAGCAGACAGCCCCATACCCATCACGCATTCTCCTCCTTTTCTGCCATCCCATCCCATACCTAACGCAGGCATGTACTTGTACAGCCCTTTGTTGAGCCCGCCTCTTCCCATTGGACCCATGTGGGGGAGGAGGCAGGGAAAGCGTGGGGACCGCCCTGCTGCTAGCTGGCTTTCCCCGGATTTCCAAGACTCGCCGGCTCCCCGTCCGTTCCAGTTCCAGCACAGCTCCCCATGTTGGCAGCCCACTCCCTTTCTCAGGGGCTTCTACAAGTACAACACAAGGCCGGTCTACTTACTTGTATGCCCCCAGTCGTCACTTCGAGTTAGTTCGTATTGCTCTCGTCTTCTATCAGTGGACATCAATGTCTGCACTTTGGCATCGGCCTCCTCAAGGTCGACGTCGAGCCGGTCCTCTCTACCTCGTGGTGCATGCAATACGGTCTGGTGTGTGTGGTGCTCTCCCTACGTGCTTGTACCTACCTATCATGCTGGGAGTAGAGAGAAGCCCAGCAGATCTTCAAAGATGAAGGTACCTACCGCTCCACATCTATGCTTCCGCCCAGGCGGCACCGAATCCGTTTTGGGGGGGCGCATCTCGAGCGGAGGTGCTGCTCCACCACATTCAGGGCCACATTTGAAGTTCGTACTTTCGTAAGCTCGCATACCTGCAACGACCAAACAGCCTTCTCCTTTTGCTCTTCTGCTCAGAGCAGATGGCACTGCGACGCTCGGGATGACCCCCTCCACCGAGGCCATGCTGAGAGTACCGGATCCTCTCTTGCCAACCGATAAAGAATGAAGGAATGAACGTATGAATTGAACAGATGGTTGCTTATGCTAGCACCAAACCCAAACTGAGCCATCGCCCAACCCGTTCATCAAGGACACTGCAACTCCTGACTCGTCTTGACTCGCAGCACCAGAGACAGCGTCCCTCTCTCCTTAGCTTCGCCCTCGCCCCCTCCATCTGCATGCCATTTGATGCCTCTCCCTCCTTATCAATGCTCCCATGCACGCCAAGTATGTGCTACAAAGTCAAAAAGCCCTGCAACCCGCTCTGCCACTTCTGCTCGTCCCATTCCCTTTTTGCACCTCCGGATTCTCCAACATGAAACGGGCTGGTCTCAGGTAGCACCGCGGCACAGGAAAGCATGCCACACACACACACACACACACCTCCTTTTTGAAAAAAAGCGGAATCAATGCCACGCCCCCCCTCACACTCCTCCTGCCAGTGTGCGGTAAGGTAGGGCGGACAGCAGCAGCAGGATGCAAGCTAGTGCAAAGAACCCGGATAGGTGTTGTTAGTGCTTTGGTGAGAGCTAGCGACATGTACATATGCAGCCTGGATGCAGTGTTGACGAGACAGGGAAGAGTTGGGCAAGGAAGGAGACTTCGAGAATCATGACTGCTTCGGCCTTTTGTCGTCTGCTTGGTTTTTTAATACCCGGAGAGTTTCAACAGGACAAAATCTCTCTCCAAGATACTGTCTAACTCGCGGGAAATTCCCTTGCCAGTGACGCATCGTAGTCATTGATAATGCTGAGAATTCTAGTGCCCTGAAGCTGTTATACTATCATGGGGGCACACAACTTTGCCGTTCTGCTTTCCCCAACGACTGTTAACTCCAACTTGGAATTCCTAAAAAATCTTTTGATGATCCAGATGGAGTGAGATTGTTAGAGGATAGTGCTGAGGGCGTTGAAAATGGAGATCCTGAGTTGAAAACCCGAGGTTTTGTCTTCTACAACAGAAAGATGGTTGACTTGATGTCAAGGCAACGAGTGATATCTCAAAAGTTTCCCAGACGCATTCACATCTCATCAGTTCTATTTTCTTCTCGAGCTAATCAATGCCTACCATAACTACTAGGCTGCACACACGCCAGCGAGCCTACACATTCAGCTGCGCAGTGGTCGACTTGGCGAGGTACTGCTCGTACGGCGCAAGCAGCTTCTCCACGGGGCCACCGGCGCCGCAGTATCTCTCGACAATCTCGACGCTGCGGCCGATGTACAGCTCGGGCTTCATCATCGTGTCCAGCTCGTCCCAGATGGGCTGGAAGAACTCGGTCTTGCGGATCCGCTCGATCAGGTCGTTCGGCTTGCCCTACAAGGGGAATGCGGTCAGTTGGCGGGCAAATGTAGGAGCGAAACGAGGAGCATCTTACCTCCATCTTCACGACGCTGGCAGCCTCGCGCGAGAGAACTCGGATCTCCTCATGCGCCCTACTTTGGTTAGCATCGATATCATCGGCATCGTGGTATCACGGCTTACTGTTGTCTGGAAGCGCCCTTGGCCACAAGCTTCATGATAATCTACGAGATTCTCAGCAAAAGTACCAAGTGAGCGAGTCTGTTGTGAGTCACTTACCGCCTCAGTCACCATAAACGGCAGCTGGTCAAGGAATCTGCTTCGGATCCGTGCCGGGTAGACAACGAGACCGTCCGTCACGTTGTCCAGTCCGATAAGGACGGCCTCTGCGAGGAGCATCATCTCAGGGATATCCATGCCTGTTGTCGTTAGCTGTGCACATCATACATGAATGCGAAGCATCTCAAAGAGCGGGTAATCACTCACGCCTAATGGCAGAGTCATCGAGCGTCCTCTCCATCCACTGGGTAGACAGGGTGTTGGCAAAAGAAGCCGGCTTGGCCATCAGGGCACGGGACAAGGAGCAAATTCTCTCGCTTCGCATCTATTTCAAAGAGTCAATGGTTTGAACCAGAATGATAACTCTCTCCGGAGATATGTGAAGGAAGACAACTTACAGGGTTGCGCTTGAAGGCCATGGCCGAGGAACCGATCTGCTTAGCCTCGATAGGCTCCTCAACCTCCTGGAAGTTGCTGAGCAGTCTGATGTCGTTCGCCATCTTGTGGGCACTGGCTCCCAGGCCGGCCACAGCCTGGGCAACGAGCAGATCGACTTTGCGTGAGCTAAAGACAAAGTCAGCATGAGACTAGGTTGCGCGTAAATACAGACTAGCTGCTTACTATGTCTGCGTAGAGATATCCTAGAGAAGCTCAGTTAGCAAGGCACTGTTGGTCTGCAAAGTGTAGAAGACAGGAAACATACGTAGCAGGCGGGGAAGCCGAGCTTCTTGCAGAGCAGTTCGTTCAGTTGATCACACTTGGCGTGATCACCCTGGAAGCTGTGCAATCGAGCATTAGCAGAGCAACCCCTGGCGGCTTTGGGGTATGCTTACATCTCCAGGAAGGAGGCCTGAGAACCGGTGGTTCCTACACGCCATCAGTATTTGAGCATTATAAAGCCCGCGAAGGCGCGTCGCAGATCAACTTCTGTGGGTCCATTTAAACATACCCTGTGCACCACGCAGCTTGAGGTTCTTCCGAACAGTCTCGAGAGCCTCCAAGTCAAAGGTCAGATCCTGCAGCCATTGGGCCGCTTTTTAATCAATGTTAGTTCCTCTCTAGACAGAACGGTCATGTTTTGTGGACATACCGCGACGACCAACAGTAATCGGCCTGCAATTATTGTCAGCGATGAGGTCCATTGTACAAGTCGGTCGGAAAGGCAGGCTTACTGGGCGCTCTGCAGATGCGTGTAGGCCAATGTCGGTTCCGCTGTAAAGGACTGCCATTAGTATCTCACATAAGAGTATGGCAAAAGTAACAACAGCGTTTCTGTACCTTTCCACTGAAGAGCGAACGACTTGAGGTTGGCAATGACCTTGGACAGCCTCTTGGTCAACATGTCGAGGGCGTCGCGCATCATGATGAGCTCTGCATTGTCAGTGACATAGCAAGAGGTGGCGCCGTAGTGAATGACGCCGGCGGCAGCCGGGGCAACAAGGCCAAAGGCGTGGACGTGCTGTGCCGGTGTGTTAACAAGCAGTGAGGATCACGCCACGAGAAATAAATGCTTACGGCCATGACATCCTGTAAAAATCCAAATTAGTACGAGTGACTTTTGTAAATAGGTACAGCCATGCAAAGTATTTGTGGGTGTATGGGTGTGTGCAAAGGGCTATGTCGACTTACATGACGTCTGATCTTCTCCTCGACACGGGCCGCCTCGAAATCATCGTCGGTCACGGTCAGGTGAGCCCTCATCTCGTCCAGGGCCTGAGGTGTAATGGCATCGACGCCCAGCTCGTACTCAGCCTCGGCAAGGCTCAGCCAGAGCTTGCGCCAGAGAGAGTGCCTCGACCTCTGGCTGAAGAGCTTGGTCATCTCTGCACTGCAGTAGCGGCTCGTGAGAGACGTCTGATAGACATCGTAAGGGCTCTTCTGGGGCCCCTGGGCCTTGAGCTGCTCAATCTGCTTTTGAAGCTCCAGGATCTGTGCCTGGGCATCCTGGGTTTGGTCGGCCATGTTGGAAAGCTAGCTGCACGCTTTTGTTTGTATCGTGGGGTGAGTGGTAATGGAAGCAATGTTCCTGATATCCGGACCACGAGCCGAAAATTTTCGTCAATTATCGCGCCGTCCGGCCGGCTTGGTGTTAAGTGTACGTACCTGCGTGGAGGAGTGGAAGGTGCATGTGGGTCAACATCAATTGGCGGGGCGGTTATCGATAAACTAAGTGCCTAGTCTTAGTCATCAAGTCATGCCATCTTGAGTTACTAGGACATCAGACCTCCCTTCACATCTTACGAAAGTCATGATCCAGTCAAGCATCCAAGCACCTATTAATTGATAGGCTGAAGATAAATTGGCGCGGGGGTTATCTTTCCTGGGGTTTAGGCTCAGGTAACTCTCCAATGGCAATATCAAACTGGCATACTAGTGTTTGACACCCAATAAGTCTGAGATAGAGACTTTCAGCAAGCTATTTAACAAACAGGAAGTGCCAAACAACTTAAAAGGGTATAACAAATTGCAAACTTTCATATGCCCTCAACGTCACTATAGCCCGACCCCATTAAGGGCTAGATTGCTAGATCCCTAGGTAACAGAAGGCTAGCCCAGCGTAACCCAACCGCTTGCATATCCATCCCTTTGTGGGCAGTTCAATATAAGCTTGAAAACCGAGCAGCGTCCATGTAGCGGAAGCATTCTATTGTATGCAGAGGCCGTGGTTGCCACAGGTGAGTTTCGATCCCCAGACCTTCGAGGACTGGCCGTTACATTAAGAAATGTGGAAGACGAATGAACCCTGCCAATGCTCTAGAATCGACGGTGGGTTGTAGCAAGTTTAGCGTTTGCAGAGAGCGATTTGCCTCCAGCCGGCTGCACAAGCACCTCAGGAAAGCGAACCCGCAGCCAGACCGGCGCTCGAAACGCCGACTGCAATAATGCTTTTCCGCGAATTCCTCCACATCCTGCGGTTGTCTTCGATCTGTACCAGCGAGCTGAGCAGGACCTCCTCGAAGGCATCGCGCGGCAGGTCCACGGTGAGAATCTCTATGGTGCCCATCTCGCCGGAGCCGTGCACATCGACGAGGGACAGGACACGGCCCTCGGCATCCGACAGCCTCCACGATGCCTCGTACCCGTCCATCCCCGTGGCCAGCCACTGCAGGCGGCCCAGACCGCCGTGGGCCTCGAAGCTACCATTGAGGGGCCGGTAGGTGATGTCGACGTCGCGCGACGGGAACCGCATCTTGACCTTGCCTGACATGGCCCAGTCAAAGGTGCCGATGACCGTGGCGGCGGCGGGCTCTTGGGCGCCGTCCAGCGAGAGCAGGGTAAACTCCGGGCCCGAGGAGAAAAAGCCCGTGACGTGCTTGATCTCATACGACAGCCGGGTGTCACCGGCCACGGTCAGGCCGGCCGCCGTCCATGTGACCTTGTACGTCTTGGTCCCTGGCTCCAGCTGGGGCAAGGGCGGCACGGGAGGGGCGTATTTGATGAATTTCCGCTTGAGTGCCTCCATTACGTCGGGCTGCGTGGGTTTGAGTTTGGCCAGTAACCATGGTAGCAAGTGCTCGTCGATTCACTTTATGTACTACTATATGGGAAGAGGATTCCCTGGCCAAGTGCTGAAGACAGCCCCTGGTTGACGGCGGTCCCCGAAATGAACGGTGACCTCGGCAAAGATCAGGGCGCCTGTGGGTCGGGCCCGGATTGCCAAGACACCAATTACCAGGCTTGAAACCTACTTATAATTGCATGCGAGATTGACTACTCCAGCCTCCCTTCCGTAAAAGATACATGCATCCTGGGGTGCAAAACGGAGCGCACACGGCAAAGCCACAAAAACGGAGCGGATGGTGGCATTGTGTATGTAGCTAAGTGGTCACGGAAGCAGACCGCTCATGCAGCTCATGCAGTCAGAGTCAAACATCCCGCCGGTGTTGGAGCTTGAAGTGATCACAAGGTCATAAACAAGCATAAACAAAACAAGGGTAGAGATCAAGAGGTGTGTTATCTCCAGGACAGCCAGGCCTCTGTTCGTAGGAGACATGTATTTTTAGCGGTAAGAAATCAAGGAAGGGTATAGATATAGACCTAGTACATCCTCAAAGGTAGTTGGACACACAAACCAAAGAAAAGGCTTCTTTCATTGAAGCCCTTCCCTTATGGTATCATATCTGCTCCGAAGACAATCGTATTTATTTCAGCACATCCACGAATAGTAGTCTCTCTCCTGCTACTTGATGTATCTAATTCTAGAGTAGAACCTAACCAAAGGATTATCTTCTCCTGCCTGGCTGGTGATGCAATACTATTATATTGAATACAGGTCAACTGACACCATTCGGCCCTTTGAAAAATACTGGCAATAGCTTTATGAACTGTATTTTGGCTGTGTGCGAATGCTTCCCTCGCCACCTCGGATGTACATCCACATGCAAAGCTAACATCGAGTCCTGTGGACCAACCCTCCACAAGGCCACAGGCAATGGACATAATCATGCGCTTCCCTCAGCAGATTGACGTTGAAGAAGGTGTGTGCCAAGAAGGCGTTCGGTCATACCGTGCGGTTCTCGTAGCCATTCGTCATGTAGGTTCCAGTCCTCACGCAGCTGCAGATCGATCCCATTCTTGTTCACGTGTCTCCGGGAGATGTATAGGTATCAGACTGCTCGGCAGCTTTTCGACCTGCTCGATTGGAACTCCGCCTCCCAATGATGTTTATAAGATCAATGACCCCCCCGACGACGCCCACAGCAGCTACGGGGTTCACAGCGCACATGGCCCCGGAGGCGGCAATACTTAGCAGCGCACTTCCCACTTCCAACATCTTTGCCCGGCGATCGGATTTCTCGGGTGTAGTGCCTTTGCTGTCGTCTCGTTGCATGTCATCACTCAGCACCTTGCTGCCTTCTCTGCTGGAGCCGTCAGCGCCAGTCTGCTCTTGCAGAGCACGCCTATGACTATCATCATGACCTGCCTTTTGCTTACTTCTGGGGGCGGAATTTTCGAGCAGTCGCGCCTCAAGCGCAGCGTTCTTCAGGTGCATCTCGGACATTTGTTCTCGGAATGCCTGCCGGTCTTCCGTCCGCTGGACTTCGGCAGCTGCCTTCTGCTTCTCATACACGCGCTCATACTGCGACTGGACATGGCTGTACCGGCTCTGGTGCTCGGCCTCAATCTGCCGGATCTCCTCGCGCCGCTCTTGACGCAGCAGCTCCTGATCGTCACGAATCTTTTCTAGCCTGTGTTCCATCCTCTCTCGCTCTCTCCCCAATATTGTTTGTACTTGCACGTCCTTGTCCGCGAGAGCTTCTGCCGTTTCTCGCTGGAGCTGCTTGAGCCCGGCCATATACTTGCTCTCCATCTTCTGGAGCTCTTCATTGACTGCGGCTCCAGCGCTAGTTTCATGGATCGGCTTTTCTTCATCGACAAGCTCCTGCTGAAGCTCGAGAACAACGGTAGGTTTGCCAGCCAGCTCCATTATGATGTCCAAGGCCGACTTGCGGTCTCCCATAAACCGTTCAACTCGTGCACCATATTCGATCATGTCTCCCCAAAAGTCGGATTTGTCCTTGAGTTCTGTCTCATGGGCAACAGCCTTGTTCTCGGGAATGACACCCCAAAAGGTAGAGGTAATGATAACATTCTTCATCGGATCAGAGCCGCAGAGCTTCCTGAACATTTTGAGGTTACGCATCGAGCCGCCATCCATGCGGACGTCTGTAATCCTGTGGAGGTAAATGATGCCGTTCAGACGCACATTCCGTCGGTACGTGACCTCGAGCCAGTCCGCCAGGTCGATCAATATCTCAGTGTCGCTTTTGTATGTGTCATTGAAGCCTGGGGTGTCGACTAGCACGACGTGGTACCCGCCTACATGGAAATCGTACGGGGTGACTTTCTGGGTACCTGTAGATGGGGCAGTCAGTCAATAAGACAGTATTTGTGGTCAGATGCAGAGATCTCACAAGCCTCAAGCGTGTGGCCAATCACAACTTCACTTTTACCACTGGCCTTTTGTACAAACGTGCTCTTCCCTGATCCCGTCACCCCCATCACGCCGATCAAGAGAAGAGTTTCTTCTGCCTGGGTGTCTCTAGTGACCGACGCCATGGCTGGGTGTGAACGACAACAGGACCAGAACGTCGTGGGAAGGACCTATCAGTTACTCGACAAGTACGTCTAATGAATAGGAAAGTGAAAGAACAGCGAAATACCCGGCCGCGCTGCCAGCCACGCGACGAAGACCTGTATAATATAATATAAGTTCCCTATCTCCTGATGAGGTTCCTATGCAGAGACTGTAAAATCGACATTAGTGCACGTTTATGCCACAAGACCACGCCCTACTAAATTATGGAAATATGACAAGTAGAATTGCCTGCTCATGGACTGAGCCTGGTATCCAGAGAATGACGCGGGGTTGTAGGAGTACCGCAAGGCGCAGCGGGGCAATGGAAACTAATATTAGGAAGGGGATTGAGTGAGGCTGCTTCATGCAGATCCTACGCCCGGTTTGTATGTGAGGATTTGAGGTGGTGGTGGTGACAGCGAGAGCTGGCAGGGTACATTTGCTTCATGTACCTTCGCTGAGATCACATCAGGCCGAAACGATAGATCAAAGTCAAGGCCATGATCTGGCCAATAACATCGCATGTGGAATAATAATTTCAGCGCAGTAATGAATCCACTATCCTTCCTGAGACCAGTCTCCCTGCCCAGCCCACCGCGCTTAGCCAGCGCTATGTGTCCAACCACACTCAACCTTTCAACCAGACCCTGTGCCCGTTCTGTTCATTAAGTTGTTCTTCCGTATCCCTGGCTATGATTCCTGGCTGGATCAGCATCACTATTGGCGACCCATCGTGACCGTCCTCCAGTTCCGGAATTTGCGACTGGTGGACTTCTAGCACCTTCGATGTCGGACTGAAAGGCGTCTCTAGACGTAAGCTTTGGAGATTGTAAATTGATATGAATGACCGCAGCGACCAGAGATGAATTGAGTAATGGAGAGATTGGCTGATCTCGTCCGCCAGGAGTGAACACATAGCTTTCTCCTGATCTGAACCGCCCGACTCGAGAAGGAACCGAGCAGGACCTGCCAGGAATTTATCGACCAGCACAGTGGTATGCTTCTCAAAAGCTGCCGCCACCACCGGGTCGCTCTGCGCGAGCACGAATATTCTCAGGAGCTGAGAGCGCCAGAGGTGGGTGGCCGACGAGTGGACTGGAAAGACTGTTTAGACTTCTGAACGTGTTGTTGCAGCTTTGATCTGAACCCAGTGACCTACCATTCTGCAGAGTTCTATATAGTTCGGCAACAGACTGTTGGACCACGCTTGGATCAGTCTCGTCGTTGAATCCACAAGCACCCACTATCCAGAGCGGAGAAGCGAAGACCTCATTGCAGATGAAGTTGGCAAGGAGGCCGTGGAGAAGGAGATAAGGCACCCTGCTGATCTTGTGCTTCAGCAAACATGACGGGAACTCATTGTTCTCAATTCTCGCAAATTCCTCGCATTGCTGATGCAACTCGGCGGCATGCTCTGGCGGGAGGCTCTGGATAAGGGAAAAGTTGTGGTGCGCGTTGTCCTTCGCCCATTCATACCAACCTCGGGCACGGGCTTCAAACCAGGACTGTATGTCGCTGTCTGAGGCAGTAAAGGATCGGTTCTGGTCCATGAAAGTTGTCACAGCGGTTTTCGCGGACTCGATGTCGTCCGACTGCTGCAGAAGCTGCCGCTGCAGGCCGTCAATCTTCTCCTCATATGCCTTCTCCATGAGTCGCCTGTCATTCGTGTACCTCCTCTCGACTCGCGAGAGCTCTGCACGGAGTGCCTGAACCTCTGCTGCGAGCTTGACCTCCACTGCCTTTGACCAAGTGCGCTCGCTACCTAAGCGAGTTCTCTTCGCTTCATCGTGATCGGGAGGTCCCTCTTCGCTTCCGAGACATCGAAGCTCACTAATCCTTTCAAGGGGATGCTCCAGGAAGTGTACTTTCGTGGAATCGATCCTTCTCATCGGCTGTTCCATCCTTTCCGCTGGCTGGGACAACGTGGTGTAGTACGACATGGGATGTTCGAGAAGACAACTTAGCTACAAAAGGGATTGATCTTGTGTGAATGGGGGAAGATTGGCTTCAGTGTGTAAACCTCAAGATTACCGGGCATGTTCATGTAGTGATGGTTCATGCCTGGACCTTAGGCTCAACGTGCTGATTTATGCTGTACCTCGATCTCATGTATCTTTTTCGGCTTGCAGAAGGCTTTTCCGCAGGGTCATGCATGTTGATGCATGCACTGCCTCCTTGGTTGCCAGCACGAGCGGGGTTCATGCAAGCCGCATTTACAATTCACGGATTGGCAATGACTTGGATACGCCGAAGAAAAACTGCCTTGCACCTGCGGGCTTCTGAAGCTCGAATCAGTGGACTGGAGATGGCCCCCGGTTAAGGCATGCCGAAGCTCCATGTGTCCTCCAGGTATTGGCTCATGGCTGCCCGATGAGCCTCACCGGAGAGATATGTTCAAGGTGATGCCTGCAGGCCTGGTATATCTAGTCACAGATGATCCCTTTTCAATCAGGCTCCGTAACACCTCCTCACTGTCGCACCTTCAGCAAGAAGCGGGACTGTTGCCGGGTGATTTCTAGCATGATCTGATTCCCATCGTTCCAGATGCTACAATCCTTGACAAAGAAAGAGCAAGCAATACAAGAGCAAAGTGACCATGTCCAAAGGACCCAGCAAAGACTACTACGATAATGAGGAGCCCAAGGAGCAGAAGTTTCTGATTGTAGGGGTCGACTACGGTACCACTTTTTCTGGTATGGAATGTCTCCGCCCATTAACTCGAGCCTGACAATTAATTATCTACCCAAGGCGTCAGCTATGTCTTCTCGGACAAGACTCGAGTAGAAGACGTTGAGATTCTGGATCAATGGGGCTCAACAAATTCTCATCAGAAACAAGTCCCATCACGAATCGCTTATGAGCCCAGCGTCACCTGGGGTTATGGCGTCGAACCAGGGCAAATCGCATACTGTTGGACGAAACTGCTTTTGGACAAAGACGCTCCTCCCACTGAGCATGACGACAGATTGCTTCGTACTGACCTAGGACCAGGATTCAAAGCGCTATACAAGAAAAAGTCCGCTCAGCGTGTTGTACAGGACTATCTTGAGCTCTTGTATCAACACATCATGAGTGAGCTGACGCGCAAGCTGTCTGGTCCCATCCTGAACCTCACCCCGATACATTTTTGGTTCACCTACCCGGCGCTGTGGTCGGTGAAGGCTCAGTCTGCGACCAAAGATGCTGCTCTTGCGGCCGGATTTGCTAGCAGGCGAAGTGACGAGATACACCTGATCAAAGAGCCCGAGGCAGGAGCAATCGCCTGCCTCAGTGCGCAGGCATATTCACAACACGCACTGATCAGGGTAAGAGCTCGAGATCTCCTACTCATTCCGACGTTGGATAGACTGACATGATGTCCGGCATCGTAGACTGGGAAGGCGGTGATCGTGTGTGACTGTGGTGGCGGAACTACTGTTAGTGAAACACCAATCTTTACCAGCTCGGGTTATTGGAAAGGCTGACTGGATTCCCTAGGATCTTGCTTCTTATAAGATTTCTCGAAAGCATCCGAATCTCAAACTCGAGCAAATCTGTGTCAGCGAAGGTATTGCCGCCCCTTCTGTTTGTTTCTGCTGTCGTATTTCACTTGGCTGATGTCGACGCCGTCGCGCAGGAGGAAAGTGCGGGTCCACGACCATTGACAGGGCCTTTCTTGCATTGATGCAGCGCAGATTCGGCGAGGCCTTCCAGAAACTGCCCGAAAAGAAACGCGGTATCAATTCCAAATTCATGGCCGAGTTTGAGTCGGCCAAGAGGGACTTCAACGATCCTAGGATTCCTCGGACACATCGCCTACACCTGAAGATGGATGTCGGGAATTGTCGGTACTACGACGCGGAGGACGAGGAGGTCCTTCTGAGCAGGTATTACTGTTTTTATTCTTCTTGGCTCTGAGAAAGCGCCCTTCATGATGTGACTAACGAGTCCCAGTCAGGACATGAAGGAGTTGTTTGACCCTACCATTGATAAGATCATCAGCCTCACCCATAACCAGATAGAGCAAACAGAGGCCCAGAGCCTGGATGTCAAGGCAAGATATGAGCGTGTCCTTGACTACCAATTTATCTCCGTTAACGGATTTTCAGGCAATAGTTCTTGTCGGTGGATTTGGAGAATCGAGGTACCTTTATCGCAGGCTGTATCATGAGTCGGATCCAAAAGGGATTGCGGTTTTCAACCCCCCCAAATCGTAAGCAGATCCTAGGATCACCATCTATGCTTTACAACCTCTAACTGAAAGAGCCAGATGGGATGCCGTGTGCCTCGGAGCCGCGTTCAGAGGGATTAAGGGTACACTTGTCGGAGAGAAAAAGAGCCGCTCGCACATAGGGCTTCAAGTAGCTCGACCATTCCGACAAGGCATCGATTCCGAGTCTGATGCCTGGATTGACGAGTTCAGGGATAAGAAGATGGCCCGTGGTTATATGCAATGGATCATCGCAAAGGTCAGAGTGGCATCCCTTCAACACTTCAACATGAGCACCGCTTGGCCGCTGAGTGTACTCACGTCGTATAAAAGGGCGAGACAATCACCCTCAAAACAGCGAAGGCCTTTTCTAGGATTCGGCTGATTAGCGATGATGATTTTAACCGCATCCTGGAGTTGAATATTTACGAATGCTCACTCAATTGTGCGCCTGACACGGATGATAACCCTGGTAAGCATCGCACACCCGGCCAGAGATGTTTCGATTTCTCCGCATATCCAGATTTGTGTCTACAGTAGGCTCACATTCAAATTAGCTGTCATGAATGTCGGCACGATTGAGTACGTTTTGGCCAATATTGATGAGCAATCAGTCAACAGCATCGAAAAGCCTAATGGCACGTTCCACGAGCTATGCTTTGAGGTGGTTATTATCCCAGAGGATGATTTGGGGTACATGCATTTCAGAACGGAAGCCAATGGTATTGTCATCGGGACAGCAGTTTTGAAGATCTGAAACTACTCTTCACCATAGTGCACTCAGCGGTACATGGTAGAGCTAGATATTTACTTGCTTTATGAGTGGTGGGGTCCCTGTTCTCTCAACATCAAAATATCGCTCTTGACTCTATGACGATAAAAAGCAAATCCATGTCTCTCTACAAGGGTTTTAGAAGAGCACGAGCGGATTAGTAGATCCTAGGCCGTCATGTTGTCAGGCTCAGGAGAGAGAGTAGGTTCAGTAGGCTATAGGTCAGCGGAGAACAAAGTAAGTAACCTCTTGAGGACTTCCCATCCCAATGAGGACATAAAATGGAACTAACTCACAACTATGCAAGGGAAATGAGTCTGCTCGGACATCATAGCCAAAATAAGGCCACAATTGAGGAGCATGGTCAAATGTCCACAACTGACCTATTATGATACTTTGTGTGCCTGATTCTGTCTTTCTGGTATCAGCGATATGTATGTTGTGCTGCGCTTCTTCGAAGTTCCTTTCCTGATTTGGTGACAGTTCATGCAGAGAACCTGAGGCCAAAGACAACCGAGACAAGCCAGGTGTGAGATTATCAACCCCCGCGCGGCCTTTCTCTGCCCCTCATCACATGTGCTACCCCCCTCCTTATCTCTGACTACAAGATGATTTTTGTTATTAATCCGATTGCTCACATGCATGCAGCACTCTGCACTCACTAACACGACAGCACTTCCCCTTATCGCGTCATTTTTCCATCAATGACCATATATCACCTGCGCAAGCTCTGAAAGATTCCTCTTCGATACTTTGGCGAGAATTGCAGCTATCTCCCTGGCCATTGGATCGACGGCCATATCAATTCTTTCGGCCAAAGTCAAATCGCCCTACATCCTCTCGTGATGTCAGTCCAAGATGTCCAAGTCTTCACTCTCCATGTCGCACCGCAATTTGAGCGGCTCTCAGCAGAGGAGAAGAGATATGCACACCATATGGCTCGGTAGCTCAATATCTTCAGTCTGAACATTGCGTTATCTGTATCCTAACTTTCGACCAGGGCTGCTTGGCATGGAGCAAGAATCATTTTGAGCCAAGTGTCTCCTGAGGCTCCCGCCATTTTCGATTTTATTCAAGAACTTTATCACTCCTGCTCTGGACGCTGGGAAGATATTGTTGACTCTGGTGTATCCAAAGCCAACCTCGATAACTTTTTGAGTTATGCTGCGACCTTCTTATCAAATATTGGGAATTATTATGTATGCCAAGTCTGTTGCTCTTTAGTAACTATTTGCAAGCAAACTTCTGACCTGCAACTTAGGGTTCCGGAGACCAAAAGTTCATTCCCGACGTCGACATAGAGGACCTTGAGAAGCTTTCCAGAAAGTCTGCAAAATTGTCAAGCTTGTACGACCAAATTTCTGTGGCAGTTACTTCAAGACCACCTTATGGCCTTGGATATTCAAGTGACAGCACTCAGAGTACCTACTATCCTGATGTCCACCTAACGAAAGACTCCATTGATGCTGTATCAAAGATACTCGAGGAGCATTCGATATTCCCCGAGAATACAAGACTCCGCAGGGCAGAGAACGGCAAAGACTTTGAGGTGCTTGTCGCTTCTGTCCAAACCAACGACAGCAATGATCTTCAAGTCTTAAGTCTGCCTGATGGCGGTGGACTCGTCACGCTTGTTCACGGCGACCACGCTACAGCACTAGGGCAAATTTGTACTGAGATTTCCAAGGCCTCATCTTACGCTGCCAACGACACACAGAGGGCCTTTCTATCCAAATATGTTGAGAGCTTCCAGACCGGGAGCCTTGATTCGTACCGGGAGTCACTGCGGCTCTGGGTACGAGACAAATCACCAAGGATAGAGAACATCTTCGGTTTTGTCGAGCCATACCGCGATCCTCACGGGATTAGAGCGGAGTTTGAAGGGTTGGTGGCCATCGCGGATGACGAAGAGACCAGACTCCTTGCCATGCTGGTCCAGAACTCCGCAAAATTCATCAAGCGCCTACCATGGGCGAGCGCGGACAATGATGGAAGAGGCCACTTCGAAAAGAACATGTTTGAACCGCCTGACTTCTCGAGTATCCACAGTAAGCAGGAAACCCTGGTCGATGAAGGTGACGAGTCGCTGATATGTCTTTAGCACTTGCGTACTGCTCAAGTATCATATTCCCGGGTATCAACCTCCCGAATGTACTATCCCGCTGTGCCTTTCAATACGATTTGTATCATGCTGACTGCTCGACAGTACAATGACATACGGCAGGAGGTGGGATTCAAGAATGTGATCATTGCGAACCGCATGATCACCGAAAGTCAAGCGGTACAGTACCCGTTCATCGATGCATCGGAGGCAGAGCAGTTCAAAAAGCACAAGTATCCCGCGTACTACTGGTGGGTTGTGCTTCACGAGCTTCTTGGGCATGGTACTGGAAAGATGCTGGCAGAGACTCAACCAGGGGTGTACAACTTCGGCATCGATGACAGACCAGTCAACCCTCTCGATGGCAACCCAATCGAGAGCTGGTACAAGTATGGCCAAACCTGGACAGGCCAGTTCGCAGACCTCTCGACTACAGTTGACGAATGTAGAGCCGAGCTTGTGGGCGCGTACCTGATGGATGACGACGAGCTCCTCGAACTTTTCGGCTTCACCGAAACCTCTGAGATCAAAGCTGAAGATCGTAAGTTACCTCCCCCAAGTGAAGGGACGCTTTCTGACCATAGTCAAGTGACCTACAATCTTTATCAGCAACTGGGCGTTGATGGCTTGAGGGGTCTTGCCAACTTCAATGTTGCCAGCGGCGTAAGTCTTACATTTACTCACGTACTTTGCCTAGCTGACACGCTTGACTAGAATTGGGGCCAAGCTCATAGTCGAGTAAGCACAAGTCCCTGAAGAAGACCATTCCATTTTTTCGGTCTCCTGACATCTGATATAGGCTCATTTTGCGATGCTGAAAACCCTGTTACTCGACGGCAACGGGGTTATGACTATTGCGCACGACGCAACAAGAAGATCCCTCACGGTTCGTGTGGACCGCTCAAAGATTCGGACAGGTGGCAAAGCCGCGCTAGGGAGGATGCTCCTTCGGTTACATATGTATCGATGCACCGCTGATGTTGCAGCATGTCGCGCCTATTATGAAGACTTATCACGGGTTGAAGGGGAGTATCTTGACTGGCGAGAGACGGTTCTAACCAACAAGCCACCTCCCATGGTGTTTGTTCAGGCAAACACGTTCTTGGCCGAGGGTGACGTGATACTCAAGGAGTATCCGGCAACGGTAGAAGGTCTTATTCAGAGCTGGGCCGAACGAAACATCTGACTCTACCTAGCGTTGCTCGTTTTATAAAACCTTTCAATGCGCTCCACGCCCTTCAATCCACTGCAGCACCTGAAAAACAGTCTGTAGCAAGGCAAGGAGAAGGCTCAGAGAGCCGAATATGAGAACACTCCACAGAGCTAACCAGGCCGTTGAGTCACGCTGATCCTGCCACAATTGCCATATCGACCTGGGTCTCTTGCTCATCGCATAGCTATGCAGTCGTACAATCTTACTCCGGAGGTGGGGGAAGTCGGCAGCCAAGTCATATTCGTCTCGCTCAACCAGGGCCATGGAGCAGTCTGTTTGCTTCCTACCACAAAGCTGGGCTAGAAGAGCGTCGTGTTCCTCCTGCGGCATCCCTTTGAATGGTTGAAGTTTGCGGAAAGCAGCCCTCGATCTCTTTTCATGGCCAAAAATGAGACGGTATGATAAGAGTATCTCATGAAGCAGTCCTGTGATATCGTCCACACCAGCCCATTGCACAGAATCTGGCGATTCAAGGGCACAGCGGTAAATTGGCGTGGCCTGACCAGCTGTCAGTTGTTGCTGTTCCAGATTCCAAAGACAAAATGACGGAAAACGGAAAACATAGAGGATCCCGGACGGCTGGTCCATTTCTAGATGACAAGACAATGAGTCGACCCATTGGAACTTGATGCCACACACTTGGATCAACATGCGTGCCTCTAGATCCTTGGAGTGCACTACCTTGGTCTGACTGAATAATCTCCGGCCTTCTTGGTCATCTAAGGAGCAGTGGTTCCGTGGCGGGAGCATCATACCAAACCCCAGAAGAAAATTGGGCAAATTGCTGGAGCCCACGACGCTCGGTTGCTCTAAGCAAATTCGTGTCTCTCCACAGTGCCCATGCATCTCATCGCTAACTCTGTAACCTCCAAAGGCATCCTGAATGCAATCAGGCTTATACAGCATTGTTTGCCAGCCAACAATGGCAAAGACAAGATTTCTGGCGGATTGCAGCGCTGTGTATTCCTTGTTGAGCGTGAGAAACCCTTGTGAGATGAGGGTGTCTGTGAGGCCATCGATGGATTTGGGCTCCGAAACCAGCATGAGATCATGGATCTGATCCCACAGCGGCAGGAAATGTTTGCTCCAATCCACGTCGTTGCCGAGATCACTATCCGACACGCATGATAGCAGGTGGGCTGGCAGGCAGATCACTTGACGGCGCAACCAATGGGAGTGCCACTGGATATCAGTGAAAGCTCGCCCAGATGTCGCCAACAGTGACCTAGGCACCTTGCATGAGCTGCAGATCCACAGGGCCGTGGGGGAGCAAGTACATCATACCGAAACCACGACATATCGTTTACGTTCCACCACAGTGACAGGTTGTAGTCCTAGAGTACTGACAAGACTCAAAGGAATCCTAGTTACTGCCTTGGGAAGCCGTGAGAATAAACAGATGGAAAGCAAGGCTCGGATGGCTCTAGGAAGGTGGCAAGCACCCCGTATTTAAATCTTCCTCGCTACCAGTGTGCCAACAAGGCTGTACATCTGCGAATGGGGGCCAAGAATCACGATGGACAATGCATTCACTTGTCTCGTTTTCTGCGATCCGTGGAGGACCAGGAGGATTGGAAGGCTGAAACTGCATGCTACACCCACCAATTCAGGTTGCTGACCACTGCGAATCCCTGCGGCTCCGGGCCAGGCCGCACAACAGGCGTCCAACAGTTGCATCCGGTTGCATCCAGCCCCCATCAAGCGACTGTGTGGCACTTCGCCGAGGGCGCCAAAATCAACATCCCCCATTGGCGGTTGCTCTTGCTCTGATATGATGAACCTGCATACCTTTTCCTACTCCGGGTTCACAGACACCTCCACGAATAGAATTCGATCCATCCCGCCTCAGTTGACAGTTACCCGAGTACCCCGCCCTCCCCCTGGGATCTATTCCTCCTTCTCTTCTCTCATTCTTTTCTTCTCCTGCTGTAGACGCGCGCCAAATGCTGGACACCCGAGGCCATGGACGAACGGTGGGTCTCTTGACCTGTGCGGCCGTGCCTGCAAAGTACCTGTAACTAATTATATCTGCGGCAGTCGCTCTCCAAGCCCATTGTGGCATAGAGCCCTGGAGAAATATCGCGAGGAGCTCCAGGGTGCAGAGGATTTTCGGACCATTGAAGCAGTCCACTCCCTCGCGAGCTGCTCGATTCCATCGCTTCGATCCAAACCAGTACTTCCGGTAACTACTCGGGAGTTATCGCACTTCGACGACTTGCGCCACGACTCAAGTTCGTGGACGATTTCTCCGCCGTCCTGGCGCTGTGCTTTGGTGCCGACGCGACACTTACCGCAACAGTATGGGGCAGCATCAGGATCATCTTGGGACAGGCAGCCTCGACGGCAGATACCTTGCAGGATATCCTCGACATGCTAGAGGATCTGAGTTTGACGCTCCCTCGCTTCCAGATCTATGAGCGCACACTGCCTCTCAATCGTCAACTCCAGCATGCAATAGTCGACGTGTATGGCGAGATCATTTGCTTCTACGCCCGGACTATCTACTTCCTCCGCAGCAATCCGCACCTGGTGTTGAGGAAAAATGCGTGGCAAACCTTTCAGAAAGACTTCGCTCGGACCATCCTGCGAATCAAGCGCATGTCCTCCGTCGTAGAGAGCGAGGCCGATATGGCCCGTATGCGTCAGGACGAGTCTCGCTACAAAGAGGTCCTGGAATTCTTGAATGCAATGAAGATAGATGAAAAGGACAACCCCAAGTCTTTGCGCTTCAACAACATACCCTTCCCAAAGAACCCTAAGTTCAGTGGCCGAAAGGACATGTTGGCACAAATCCAGACCACCCTGAACCCAGCATCTTCCTCCTCGTCCATGCAATCCATGGCCCTGTTCGGGATGGGAGGTGTGGGCAAAACCCAGACTGCACTTCAATTTGCCTATCAAAGCCTGGACGATTTTGAGGTTGTATTATGGGTCGCCGCCGACAATGCCATCTCCATTGGCCAGAGTTTTGGCACAATTGCAAGTGAACTGGGCTTGCTTGGCGGCGATGATGAGAAGAAGGATCCAGTAGTGGCCATTTGGAAAACGAAAAATTGGCTCAATTCAACCCGTAAGGCTCTGCTGTTTCTTTCATCGCGAGATCGATCTTGCTGTGCTAACAGTGAGCACAGAACTTCCATGTCTGCTGATTTTTGACAACGCGGACGATCTAGGCGCCTTGAAAAAGGCATGGCCTGCGTCCATCAACGGCGCGATTCTTTTGACCACAAGGGATTTTGAAGTCGCTACGACGCTTGCAGCAAAGTATCTGCAAGTAGAACCACTGAACATTGAGGAAGGAAGCAACATGCTGCTCAAGGCTGTGGGGTTGGAGGATACGCCCTCGTCTGATACGCAACATGCTGTCACTATTACCAAGACATTCGGCGGGCTCCCACTGGCATTGAGCCAGATCGGCGGGTTTATCAACCAAAGAAAACTGTCCCTACAGGACTTCCTCCCGCTCTACGAGAAATATTCGACCAGAATCGATGCTCGAAAGGCATCTCACGATGACTACGAATATACATTGAGCACGGTTTGGAACGTCTCCTTTGAAAAGCTTAGCGAAGAGGCTGCACATCTTCTAAGCCTACTATCTTTCTTTGATCCGGACAGCATATCTGAAGAGATTATGCTGCATGGGTCTCAAGGCCTGGATGGTGAGTTTTCTTATCTATCCGATGAATTCAGGTAGGAGTGAGCCCTAAAGATCACTTGTCGAGGCATTACGTGGGCTAATCTGAAGGGTAGTCTGGGGGATTCTGCAGAGGAGCTATTACGGGCAGCTCTCGTCACAAGGGCGCGGGGAAGTTCCACACTGTCTATCCACCGACTGGTACAATCAGCTGCTCGCAAAAGACTGGACAAGTCTACCAAGGTCAAGTATTTCGACGCTGTGGCGCATATGTTGGGTTGGGGATTTCCAGATCATGCAAGTGTGGATATTGGCCACCAGATGTCAACCTGGTCCCGGTGTGAAAAGTGTGTCCCTCACGTCAACTACCTAGTCGACCTTGCAAAGACATCGGATATCACGCCATCTAATCGGCAGAAGTATGCAGAGCTCCTATTGAGGTGCAGCTGGTGAGTCATTCAGATCTCTCCTCGCTTACAAGGACAGACTAACCAAACCAATTTAGGTATTTGTATGAGGGCGAGCTCTATTCTATCTCCCGGAGCATGATCCAGCAAGCAATAGAGACGTTCGATGACACCTCGACCCTTGCATATGCAAGTGCCATTGATCTCGGAGGTCTCATCGACTTGGATATGGCTCGACCAAGTCAAGCTTTGGCACCTTTCAAACGTGCACTGGACATCCGACTTGCGAGGCTTGGGGCTGAAGACCCTTTCATCGCGTATAGCCTGAACAACATTGCCCTAGCATACACCGAGATGGGGGAACTTGACCTCGCTTACAAAGCGCATGAAGATGCTATCAGTCTCAGGCTCAAGGCCAAGAGCGACAGGATCGGAAACTCCTACAGCAACATGTCTAGCCTGCTTCTTCGGATGAACCGTCCAGACGAAGCCGAAGAAATACTTGCAAGATGTCCAGAGCTCAAAGACTTCAGCGACGAGACATTCCTCAGCCTGGGAAATCCACGCTGGTCGGGCGACATGGTCCTTTTATCTCGCATCCGAATGGCACAAGGGCGGGTAACTGAGGCTATCAGACTCTCATCCAAAGCGTTAGCATTTCGGCAAAGTCTTTTAGGGGAACGCCTGAAGACGTGCGATTCACGCTACGATCTTGCCTGCATGCTACTCAAGGATGGCCATGAAAGTTTAGCAGCGTAAGTGGCGACCTCGCCTCCAGTGTCAGACTTGGGATGCTGATCAAAACTATCGCACAGTCGGCTCCTGGAAGAAATCGTCAGTATTTCCGAAACCTTTGTGGAGGGTGAGGGACAGAGGGCACGTGCTTTGTACAAGCTCTCGATAATTTACAACGGCAAAGACCAGCAAGTCTTGAGTGAAGCCTACAGGGAAAAGGCATTACAGTCACGAGCCGCCGCCAATGCTGAGTTGAAGGATGCTCCTTTTGAAGAGGCAGAATTCGCTAAGCTTTGTCTCTGGATGCTTTGGTAGTAACCTTTCATTTGCGAGAACCACCGCTAGCTATTTCCGCCCGGAAAATCATCAATCCGCTGCTGAGACATTAGACAATCATTCTCTCCCGAGGTGTTTGAGTATCCAGGACTTTTGAGTACCATGAAATGTGGCTGTTTTGATTTGCTTCATGGTCACGGACATTGTGGTGGCTTGCTTTGAGACCCTGATCAGAACTCACAAGAGGTTTGTATCTGGTGAAGACTTCCATAATTATTGCTATCCTACACTTCTCGAATCTGGAAACAGGTAGGACCATCCCTTTGGCCAATGACCAGTCTTCCAGAATCTTCTCCCAGTAAGTCATTGAGAACCTCTTCCATGGCTTCTCATCAGGTGGAGAATCTCAGTCATGCCGTCCCAGCTCCATTCCCTTTCACATACCCTTCTCAAATAAAGGCCACGCTGGACCAACACGGGAATGGCGACTAGTAACGTATCTCCGCTGCCAAGACAAGACCTAGACAACTCGTACTCGTAATGAAGTATCCCGCTCCCTCTTCTGCCTTGGTCGTTTCCGTCTCAATATCAAAACACTCGCGTGCCCCCTCGAGCCCCAAGCGGCTCAGTCGCTGCCAACAGCCGGATCGGAAAGGAGAGCGGCCCTCTGCACCAGCTCCTCCTGCGACTCCGTCGTCAACGGCTTGAGCATTTGCCGCTGAGCAAGGACGTGGTTGTCCTCGACCATGTGGGGCACGATCTTTCGCCACAGAAGGTCGAACCGGGCCGCGAAGGCCGGGTTGAACATGCAGTACACCACCGTGTCGTCCACCATCCTCGTCATGGACACCCGGAGCGGGTACAGGACGTTGTCTGGCGTCAGGCCCTCGCCGCCCTGCTGTCCCGGCTGCTCGTACATGATGGTGAGGGACTTGCGGAGAATCGCCTCGAAGTCGACGACGGCCGGATTGTGCGAGTCGATCTTGACCAGCGCCCCGAGGATGTCGGTGGCCTTGTCGAGATGAGCAATGGCATAGTCCATCATGTTCTTGTAGGCAATGGAAGCGCCGGCAATGTAGTGGGCAACGTTGTGCAGGACGCAGTGGGCGTTGAGCGGCTGTTCCGGGTTCAGGTCCGCACCAGGATAGACTGTGTGAGTTCATTAGCAACAGGTCCGAGTTGTTAACTAGCAACCAGAAAACAGGAGCTTGGTTATCAAAGTCTTTACTTACATCCGCAATACATGAACTGCAGCGCAGTTCCGAGTTGGCCCGGATCGTGAAGGTCAAGTGACATGAATCGAGGGCTCCCGTCCTACTTCCGATCAGTCATAGGTGAACCATAATCGTATATATAAGAGCAGACTCACCGGGAGCGGTGGAGGCAAGCGATCGGCCAGGTACTTGGACTCTCGAACCAAGATGCGACGGTGGAGCTTCCAACGGTTCTGCTTGCAAGTAAGGAGAATGTCCCAACCAACGGGATCGTTGAAGAGCCTGCTCAAAGAAAAGTTAGTTTGGTCGCATAGTATGCCCTCGGGAAGCATAGACTGACTTTGCATCATTCTCCTTCTCCAGAAAGCGCATCATGGCTTCCTTGCCCTTGTTCGGCTCGCCATTCGCATCTGTGGTAGATCCGCCTTCGACGGGCTCCTTGACTGACTCTTTGACAGGCTCCTTTGTCAACTCCTTGGTCGGCTCATCTGCTGCGCTACCCTCATCCTTTGGCTGAACCGCGGCTGGGCCGGAGGAGGCCGTCGTTGGGTGACGATCTCCGTCAGCGATGATACCCAGGGCGTTCATATTGGCGATGCTCGGCGATTCTGTTGATTTCCGGCCGTCATCCACACTCTGTGACGAGATTTGCACGTTTCTGAGGTTGTGACGGATGTTGTCGGTTTGCTTGGACGATTGTTTGCTTGAGCTGACTCCGGCCTCACCTTTGCTTTGGTTTGGGTTGAGAGTTGTAGGCGTATCGCTGGGCAGCAAAGAGGTGCCTCTCTCAGCAGGAGGTTTATACCAGGGAGCTACTGGTGCTGGTCCTAGCTCCGGAGCGCTTGGGGCCGGGGAAGCCTTCGAGGAGGACGCTATGGCCGTGCCCGAAACCTGCAGGCTTCCGATGGGAGTGCCCGCCGCTGTTTGCAGGTTGTTTGCCGCCCCTTTGCCCTGCATAGCACCAACCTGTCTGCTCATCAAGAACTCATGCAAGCTCATCGCTCTACCGCGGCCAAAGCCCGGAGTTGGCTTCCTGCCAAGAGGTTTCTGTGCTGTGGCGTGTTGATCAGCACTCACGGATCGGTTTCCCGATGCTGCCTTGCGCACAACAGTCGACCACTCTCCTCCCTGGGGTACAGCCTGCTCGTCATCGTGACTCTCTGGTCCCTTTCCGGATGGTTTGTCTGTATCACCAAGACTCTCGGGTTTCTTGCCGGACGACTTGTCTTGGTCATCGAGACGAACAGGTCCCTCTTCGGCCGGCTTGTCTTCACCATCAAGAGGAGCGGGTTTCTTTTGGGAAGAATTCCCTTGATCGGCGTTGCTCAGAGATGTCGTTGCGATTTGCGCCCACGTCCGTGATGCGGCGGCAGGTTCCGCCGGCGTGGGTGGGCTCGAAGGGGTTTCCGGAGCTGCGCTGGCAGGAGGCGAAAGAGACTCCTTGGCTTTACCGGCAGCCTTGCGCTTTGCCTTGCTCTTCCTGGCCATCCTTCCTTTACGCCTCTATGGTTGCAGTTGTGGAGGCCTTTGTGTCGTTCGAGGGAGGTTGTGAAGTTGTCAAGAGAGCAGGGTTCTGAAAGCAATCTGACACAAAGATGATTGAGGTTGCCTTGCTAGTGAGGTGCTGTGATTTTTTATCTGGGCGGGTCACTAGCAGGACCCCTCTTTGGGGACAATTTTGAAGCTGTCGATACTTGGCGAGCCTCGTCCGGACGAGGCTCGCACTACTGAGCACAATTTCAAACTAGCCTACCGCAACCACCATAACCACCAGCCAACATCCCTGTAGGTTTCACTGCTATAAAATTCGAGGCACAATACCAACCTTGATCTCATAGAAGTCTCTCGGAGATTAATGGCTGAGTATTGGGCTCATAAAGCTCCTTTCAGAAAGGGGGGCTTCCTGTGCCCAATCCAATGAAGTCAATCATGGGTTTCTGTTTCTGTTTCTGTTTCTGTTTCTGTTTCTGTTTCTGTTTCTGTTTCTGTTTCTGTTTCTGTTTCTGTTTCCTTTATCATACAATTTCTTCAATCAATCTAAGCAAGACTGTTCTCTTGGAGAATGAAGCAATCTTACGGTCAAGATCTACGGTTCTGCCCCTGTAAACAACACTCTATGATCGTTTGGAATGCTCGAGAGCAGCCTTCCCATTTTTCATCTGGAACAGTGAATTGGCTGCGATGGTTCTGGGTTCACCATGCCTTTCCAAGCATTTTTTCCCCATAAGAAATGCACGTCAAAAGATGATGTTCAGCTTAGCTTAGGGTAGGCCCGTTAATTATGACATTTGACTACTCGACAAATGAAGGCACCAGCAGGATGTCGACTTCCAGGTGAGAGTAACAAGTACCAAACAACCAATTTCAGACCACATTTCCACTACTTCCGAACAAGCCACTACTTTCTAGCCACGTTTTTGCAACGACGAGACGAATACAATGGCCAACATCACAATAATACTACGGTAAATGGCCAGCAGACTATGACCCAGTAGCAGGAGAATCTAGAGTGTGTTTGTTTACGCTCCATGGATATTGATCAGAGTCCGCATCTGCAACCTCATTACGAGGGTCCTGCTGCTTGAAAAGGGTGAGAAAGAGGAGTATTGCGCTGGAGGAGAAAACAAGTCGAGACCACAATAACTTTGACCACACCGACATAGCTACAAGGTCGGTATCGTTGCAGGAGGATCAAAAGAATGCTTTTATTTCGCAATTTCCAATGCCCATGCCATAACGCCGAATCTAATGCAATGAGTTTGTCTTCGAAGAGACCCCAAAACGCCGGCGCTTTCTGATGGTTCCTGAGGCAGGAACCATTCCGATGTCTAGTACATAATATGTACTGTGATAAAATAAAACAATTGCCGTGACAGAAGCACTGTGATATTGGCGGACAAATTGTGGCCCGACCCTCGCGGCGCGGCCTACGAGCACATGGCGTGGACTTCGTTGCCGACGCCGTGAGAACGCTACCTTGATCACGTCTTGATCATAAAAATCTGCCTGTGGTTAGCACGTACTGGTGGTACAACGGACAGGCGCTTCAGCGACCTACCTGGTTCAAGGCTGCTGGGTCCATAACCGCGCGCCTCTTCTGCGCAATAAACCGCTTCCTGGCCAGGTGTCTGCCTGCCACCACAGCCGCCACCGCCGCCGCATCGCAGTCCGTGACATTTTCGCTATCCTTGCTCGACTGGTCTGCGCTCTCTGTGTCGTCCGTCTCACGTTTGCTTTTGCTCTTCTTCTTCTTGCCGGACTTGGATTTCTTGGAGTCTGGCTCCTCGGGCGACGGCGAGCCAGATCTGGCGCTTCTGTCCTTCTTTCTCTTGGCCTTTTCCTTCCTCCTCTCCTCTTTCCTACGTCTCTTCTCCGATTTTCTGTCGGTGTCGTCGTCATCGCCATCGGTCTCTGCCTTGCGCTTCTTCGACTTTTTGTCCTTCTTGGGGGGCGCGGACTCGACGGACGCCTCGGAGTCATCCGCCGGCTCGGCCTTGATCGACTTCTCTTCTTCCTTGGCGGCGGCCGCAGCCTCTGCATCGTCCAGCAACTTCTGCACCTGGTCGCCCACCAGCAGCCCACCACGGACGAACCTCACCGCGCCAAACTTCCGCTCGATGTAGTGGCTCATTTTGATGATCTCCCTGGCCTTCTTCTGCTCCTCAATGACGGCCTCGTCCTTGCCGTTGAGGCGGCAGAGCAGGTCCTTGAATACGTCGAGGCCGGTGCACTCGTCGCCCTGGTTCTTCTTGGCACCGAGCCCGAGGTTGTCAGCCCTCAGTGCCACGCGGATGTGCGAGGCGCTGGCGGCGGTGTGGAACTCGGCATGGGACGCATCTTCCGGTCCGAGATACTGGCCCGGGGCCCAGCCCTGGGAGCGCAGCATGCGGTGGCCGAACGAGTCGGTGTTGCGGCTCCATTTCGTATTGTTGGGATCTTTGGCGAGCTTGCGCTTGCTACAGGACAGGGCAATAAGAGTCAGCCGACTGCGGTCGGCATGCAGAGTTCGGACTGGAACCGACTTACTTTTTCGCTGCTGCTAAGCCCATTGTGTCGGGCTGTATCGAGACGAAGCTGCTTGGGGGCAATGTTGTGTTTGTTGCGTCGTACAGTAGGTATGTTCCACTACGAAACAAGATAAGAAAAAAAACGAGGCGGAGAGGGACTGGAAAAATCAGTATCGGGGCGGGCGAGTGATAAGCGATGATAAGACCAACCCCAGCCCACGGGCGGGAAAGCGCCCCACTATCCCGCCTGGGCTCCACGAACTCTTGCCCCTCTGGGAGGGAGATCAAGCAATGCGCATTTGATGTTCCCATCCTCAATTCCCTAAGGGAAGAATAATGGAAGGAGGCACCCACACCTAAGTTGCCGGGAATTATCCCATCCTCGGTGCCTAGCATGTAACATTAGAAAGAAAGAAACATGGTGATAGTTAGCTATTGATCTACAGAATTTACATCACAGTCATCATCTTTCCTTGCAACCTCACATTCAATAACCAGTACAAGCAGCAGAAAGATGGATCCTGTCAGTGCAGCTCGGGACATGGCCGATAGGGTTGGAGAGGTAAGGGCAAACCCAAGTTCTGGTACTCAATTGAGTGCCAGTCTACGGCCCAACCTCGAGACTGAGCCATATTCCTCCTCTCCTCTAGCACAAGGCACAACGTCACGCCGCAAGAGCCCAGATTCGCGCGAACTTCGATCAAAAGGTAGCCATGATCAGGGAGCGCATGGGCAATTGTCAGACACAGCACGAGAAGGAAATGTGTGCTTCCCCCCTTGATTAATGTTGTAGACCAACCCATACTAAGCGTCCACAGAATCCGAGCGCACCAGGCACAGGTCGAATGCCTTCTTGTCGAGGTCGAGAAGCGCAATTCTCGCCAGGCCATTATCTGCAAGAAACTGGCCGAGATCCGCAACGAGTGCCTCAACCTGTCGAAGCAGTTGAGAGCCGTTTACGCCGGGCGCGAGGAGCTCGCTCGATCATCAACTTCCCAGTCGCTTCTCGATGCCAGCACCAGAAAGGCAAGGACAGCCGCAGCTTAAGATTTGCCGTCGATGGGCCTCAGGAGAAACTCGCATGTCGTGTACCAGTCGGAGAGAGTGAATTGCTCGAGGGAAAACGGAGGTGCTTATGGCCTAGTTGGCACTGGCAACCAGGTAATGGCAGAAAAACGAAAAACATGTTCTATGTGGCGAGTCGGGATCTCCGGGACGGTGTGGTGGCCTCTTGAAAGTGGTGTCTATTGCCCATGCTCTATCCGTTACATTCATAGTACAAGAAGTCGCTATCGTACACTCATGCAGCCGCTTCAGCAGACGTGCATATGTAGACCTCTAGACTTTGAAGCCAAAGCCCTCCATGCAACTCCGGTATTGCTGGACCATGGACTGGCAGTCCTTTGCGGGATCGGCGGCCGTGGAGAACAGCATGCACTCGTCTCGTCGCGCTTTTTCGTCCTTGCATACGCAGCACGGCTACACATAGAACAAAACGTCAGCACTTGGAAACTGTGAGCGGGATCGCGAGCGCGCGCTTGCGCAATCCAGAGGAACCGACTGACCTTGGGTTTTGAAGCGGCGTCGGCGTTGACTTGGGGTGCCGGCGAGGAGCCGAGAGATGCTGTCGAGCGCGGACCTACATCAGCATTCCGAATGACGGCGCATATATATATAAGAGGGGTGACTTACGCATGGTTGCAGCTTGCGACGCCATTGTGCCTTGAGTGATGGTCAAGAAGAGAACCTATCGTTTCGAATTGTGGAGGGCAGAGTTGAGTTGGGGGATGCGATGCGATCAATCATGCTCAGACCACACTAAGATAGAAAAAAATCCCCGATAACGTCAGTCAAAAACCTCCTGACGATTTGTCAGTCTGAAATGTGGGGCGCGGGAGATCTACGCCGCGCGTGCCAAGACTCCAGAACGCCGAAAGCCCCGGACCGGATCGGCGCTCTCACAGAGCAACCATAACGTGCTCGATGGACGCCATCTCTACTGGCACCCCTTGGTTTTCGACAAACGCTGGGTCAATCTTGCAACTCAAAATTCGATTCTTTTCTGCAATATTCTTCTCGCCTGGAAGACAGTCCCAAATATTTGGAAAAGTACATACGTGAAGACTTCAGAATAAATGTTGGTACAGTGCAACAATCCTACAAGGTGGCTTGTTAAAAAGATCAAAGACGGAATGACTCTTCATTGCACCCTTGAATCAGAGCTCATGGAATTAAGATAATATGCTGTAGTAATATAGTACAGGTGTAAATGTCGCGGCCAAACTTTACAAGGCTTGAATGCGCAAGTATAAATGTTGGAACCTCCTGAAGGTGTGAATCAAACATTTCACCAGGCGTATCCCTGGCAATCATATAGACCTCAAGTAATCCATTCCTATACCATAAAAGATGAGAAAAATGACTGCCTCACAGTTCGAGGTTCCTGACAACTTTCCGGCTTCTCAGGATAACACAGGCCCATCATCTATGCTCTGAAACTCTCCCTGAGCAGGCAGTTGGGGAAGACAATAATCACCATATTGTTGGTTGGTCTTTGGATCCCTACGAGACCAGGCTGCTTCAAAGTCAGTGTGACATATTACCTCGCATAACGGAGCGGCCGTGTCAGGACTCGGGAGGGACCGGGCACGGTACCCCACAAGTTGGAGATGACTCCATCAATCTCACCTGCACACCGGCTTTCTCCTTGCTGCTCTCACCTTTATCAAGGCCCCGCATCCAGACGATATCATGCTGTCGATTGAAGAAACCAAGGAGTTGTCCCGTATCAATCTCGAATTTGCTGAGGCACGAAGCAACCCTGCACGTCCCGTCAAGCTCCGCCGAGCCCACTCCACTGACACGGTGACCACAGATCATTAAGAAGGACCCCGAGGCCCCATTCCTAAAGGCATGGGACGAGGCAACTGACCTGGCCGCCATTCGAGCTCTCTTCCAAGCCTTCAAAGAGGCCGCAGAGCGCTCGCGGCCCGACCCGTCCACCGTAGCGTACACGCAGGAGGACACCGAGATCGCGGTGCGCGATGGAACGCGGGTCACCCTGCGCATCCACCGGCCCAAGACGCCACCGGCCGGCCGGCCGGGCATGGTCATGTTCCACGGCGGCGGGTTCGTCGTCGGCAACCTCGAGGTCAACGCCGGCCTCGCCCACACGTTCACCGAGATGGGCGCCGTCGCCGTCGACGTAGCCTACCGGCTCGCGCCCGAGCACCCCTTCCCCGTGCCCGTGCACGACTGTCTAGATGCGCTCCGCTGGGTGGCCGCGCACGCGCGCGAGCTGGGCATCGACCCGGCGAGCGGCCTCCTGGTGGCCGGCGAGAGCGCGGGCGCCGACATCGCCCTCGCTGTCGCGCACGCGTATCGGCAGGGCGTTCGGGAGGAAGGGCTGCCGCCGCTGACCGGCATCTATGCGCCGCTGACCTCGGCGGTGACGAGGGACTCCGTGCCGGAGAAGTATCGAGATCGCTTTGTGAGCATGGATCAGAACGCCGAGGCTCCCGTGCTCAGCGCGGCATCGCTAGCATTCATCCGTAGTAAGTACCACACCCAGGGCACACTGCGTGAGTGCGTGCTCACCAGGAACGTCGGTAGAAATGTATAAGCCGCAACCGGCTCACCCACTAGCCGAGCCGCTCCTCTTCGAGCACGACGGCATCCCCAAGACTTACTTTCAGGCTTGTGGCTGGGACCCGACCCGAGACTGCTCTCTGGTCGCCGAGCAAGTGTTCTCGGACGCAGGCATCCCCACACGACTGGACGTGTATGCCGGCCTGCCCCACGCCTTTTGGACCGTAATGCCCGATGCCGGCTTCTCGAAACACCGCCAGGAGGATGTCCGACTGGCACTCAGGTGGCTCTTGGGGTCTTAATCACAAGCATCTATTCGTAAATCTCATACATCAGCATTGTGTGCGTGTCATACTCATCACATGATGTAGTTATAAATACAATTGACAAGACTCTATCAAATCATGTCTCCCATGAGCAACAGCCGGTACTTCTCGAGACCGTCGCGCAACCGGATCAGTATGCCCGCCGCGAGCATCTTGACTTCGTTCTCTTCGCCGCCGTCCTCCCCACGCGTCTGCTCAAAGACCTGCGCAACCCACTCTTGTGTCTGCACCACTTCCTTGCCCTGCTCTCTGCAGAGATCTCTCATGCGGTTCTCGTTGACCTCGAAGAGCGTGAGCAAAGCAAACAGCACTGCGCGAGTGACCCCGCTGTCGCCAACGCAATGGGTTTGGATCGAGCTCCCGAGCAAGAGACCCCACAGCTCAGAGGTCATCTGGGGCAGGGCCAGCGTGCTCGGCCCTGCCGCATGCAACAGAACCGCGAGGGTCTTGATGTAGAGCGTAAGGAGAAGCGGCTGGAACACGACGCCTCGAAGGCGTGCCGACATGGCATGGATGGCGTTTAAGAATCTCGCTGTCAGGGGGAAGAAGAAAGAGCTAGCGATCAGCTGTGCGGTAGTGTTGGGTATGCTGCGCACTCCCGTGGCCGCCCTGGACGCCTTGCCACCTTTGGCGCCCTGTTGCTGTTGCAGACGCTTGGTGAATGACGAGAGCTTCAGGACTTCGGGGCCAGTGGCCGAGTCTGCCGCCTGGGCTGCCATGGGAGCAAGCATATCCGAGGTGAGGTTGTGCGTAATTTGTTCTAAAGCGCTCTGTGGGAGGGGTCGTAGGTTGTCATGTGTATTGCCTTTGCCGTCTGTCTGATGTGGAGAGTCCAGGTACAATCTCTGGACTCGCTCTGGAAGTGTGTGGGAGGGAAACGCTGCTGCAGATGCGTATGCAGAATCGTCTAGACCGGCTAGTTCGCGAGCGGCGAGACCCATTGTTGTCAGGATTGCGGCTCGCTGTGACACAGAATAGTCGCCCTCGAAGAGGGCCTGCGCGAACCGCGGCCCAACCACATCAGGCTGAGCCACGCAGAGCGCAATCAGGCTCTGGAGCCTCTGGTCTGCGAACTCCTCTATGTCGTACTTGTCTTGAATGCCGATGAGAAGGGGCACGAGTTCCTGCAGGTGGTCTCGGACCTCTGTACCATGCTGGGCTTTTCGGCGGATGAGAACGGGCGCGGTGGCCATGCCTAGTTTCTGGTGGTCGTAGTTCTCCGAGTCCCGCAAATAGGCTATCAGCGACCTGATGTACACGGGCGCCCTGGGTTTGTCTCGCCTGATCGTGGTCGGATCATCATCGTCCGAGTCTTCGGCGTCAGAGTCGGGCTTGGCATACGGGACAGGGTCGTCGCCATCGTCCTCACTGTCGTCGACCTCTTCCACGATGAAACCTGTTGTTTGAGGGAGTCTCGCGGGTTTGCGGACTGACACTGGTTTCTTTTGTGATGGAGCGGGGGCGATGACCTTGACTACCTTCTGAGCAGCTCTCAAAGGGTCGATTGACCCGACCGTGTCTGCCGCCATCACCAGGCTCTTATACCACTCTGCTTCCTCAGTCGACGTCTCCTCCATGTGAAAGTCGAGCCGTGTCTCCGGCTTATCGGTGAGCGAGGATAGTGCCTCGCCAACAATCATACCCAGGAGGCGAGCCCTGCTTTGCGAGGCAGCAAGCCTGTTGGAGATACCGCGTGGGTAGTTGGTGGACCGCTTCAGCATCACAAGCTTCAGGGGCGCAAGCTTGTGGACGTATCCCGCGGCAAGAAGCAAGACCTGTGCCTGGGCTGCGGAGATACTTAGCGAGGGCATTGGGCCATATGAAAAGGGCGGGGGCTTACCTTCTTGATGGAGGACGGGGGTGTGCTTGATGTACAATTGGTCGCTGAACTGGTCCATGACCTTCTCGAGCACTCCTATTAGTATGTCCTTGTACTGTGCGACCACGGCAAGGACCGCCCGGCGCATGCCGACCGTGCCCATAGCCGCGGCCCCTGACGGCGACACGAGCCAGTGCTCCAAGATTTCCGATACTAGTTCCTCTGTGCTAACGAGCTGATGGATGAGACCGGCAACTGCCGATATCATTTCTCTAGAAGATTTCGTGTCGTTCATTTGGGATCCGCCCAGGTAATCCCGCGAGAGGAGACTCAAAAGTGCGAATGCAACTTTTCTCCTCTCCAGCGGTGCCAGGCTCGCAAGAAGATCACGGAACCGGTGCGCGCCACTCTCTGACCGAAGAATTAACGAGGATAACAACGTTTCCATGACGGCTTCTGTTTTTGGCGTTAGTCATGTCCGGTGAGCGCGGAGATGTTCACCATCATACCTTGAAAACCCAGGCGGAAAGACTTGGCCAGAAGCTGCGGGAGCAGCGACTCGCCCTCGGGCAGAGACCGATTTGCAGAGTACGACAAGTTCATTGCCAACCAAATGCTGTACTGCTTTCCATTCGCAATCCAATAGGATGATGAGCTGGTAGTGCTATCCCTCGTTGCCTTCTTGTCGAGCACGTTCTGTGCCTCGGCAGCCAAGGATATGATCTTTCCACCGCCGACTATGTTGACAAATTCTTGTTGAAGAGGGCGTTTCTTGGATTCTGTTTCGAAGCCGACTGAACTGCCAATCCAAAGTTGGTGCAAACCGTCTTCTCCTTCCAGAATGCCGCTGGTCATGTCGAGAAGGCTGTCAAGGTCAAAGGAAGGATCTGATCCTGACGCGCGAGGTCCCTCAGCTCTTTCATCCTGTAGCAGCACTCTCAAGCGCGCTAGACAGGCATTGACCCCAGTGAGGCTCCGAAGGCAATCCAGAAAAAGACCCTTCGCTGATGGCTCGGTCTTGAGGAGAGGCCAGTAATTTGGAGCGATGCGCAAGACAAGCACCTGAACGAGCTGAGAATACTGCGGGCCTGGAACAGAGGGAACCATAGGCTTGGAAGAACTGGCCCGGGCACGCCTGACATGTTGAAGAGCCGAGATGAGGGTATCATAGTCGGGCTCGTTTTTCAGAATATCAAGAACTTGCTCAAAGGATGCCTCGGCCAGATTTGATGCGGTATCATGCCGACGAGCGTCTGCCTTGCCTATGAAGACCGGCTGCGTCTGAGAGCCTGTAGGACCCTCATTGGAAGAAGCATGCAAGAGCAGATCCATGCTCTCAAAGGACTGGAGTAACTTCAAAGATCCAGATAAGTTGTGCTCTTGGCTCTCAGCGCACCATCAATCTGACTTCGGCGTGGTGTTTGGGTGTGAGATGAGCTCAAGGCATGTTTATTGCCCGCTGGAGATGTTGGAAGATGTTTCTTTTGCAGAGAGTTGTGAAATGGAGTTAGTCACTCATCCATTCCTTGAGAAGGTCCAAGACTGCCAGACGTCCAGTGCTCTTGGTGTGCGTAATGTCAGAGACACTCAGTGAAAGGGATGTCGATTCATTAATGAATATTCCAAGGTCGCCAGTTCACCTATCACTGCTACGCCTTCTATCATAGCATTCAAGGTTGAATTTTAGCGCCAAAATCGTTGCGACAGGCACCAGCAGGCCCCCACCCACCCCACTACTCGTCCTGTGATGTGATGCTGCCAGGGCTCAGGAGCTGTAGCTGAGGTCAGGCAGTCATCGGTCAAAGCGAAGATCCCTACTGATAGCCTTCGGACTTTAACATCGCACAACACACCAGACGTGACGCTTCGGGAAGCTGCAGGCAGTCCCGGTCTTCGGCAATAGGACGTGTTCCCAGTGTATTAACAGGCCCTCAGTCCAGCAGAGCTCTCGTGGCGACGGAGCACGAGGCGCATCCCCGCGCCTGGTTGATCACTGCAACATGGCAGACACTCTGGCTGTCGCGCAGCCTGGGAGATCAAGATGGTAAGTCCACAGACTCATATACTGCTCGTTTGACCGTTGACTGCTCAACAGGCGACTGACTTCGTCTTGACACAGGGAGTATCTCGACAGGATCCGGACCACCGCGGGTCCCTTCACCGACGCCGAGAGCCATGACCCGGAAGAGGTCGTCTCAGTCGTGGATCGCATGTGCGTGCTGGTCATTGGGGCGGGCGGGCTCGGCTGCGAAATCCTCAAGAACTTGGCCCTCTCGGGGTTCAAGAACATACACGTTATCGATATGGACACGATAGACATATCCAACCTGAACCGCCAGTTCCTCTTCCGCAAGGCAGACGTGGGCAAGTCCAAGGCCGAGGTGGCCGCCCGGTTCGTCGAGCAGCGGGTCAAGGGCGTCAAGATCACGCCGCACAACTGCAGGATTCAGGACTTCGATGAGGACTTCTACATGCAGTTCCAGTCCATCATCTGCGGGCTCGACAGCATAGAGGCACGGAGGTGGATCAACGCCACGCTGGTCGAAATGGTCGACATGGCGAACCCGGAGTCGCTCAAGCCTCTGATCGACGGCGGCACTGAGGGCTTCAAGGGCCAGTCCAGGGTCATATTTCCCACCGTGACGTCGTGCATCGAGTGCCAGCTCGACATGCACGCGCCCCGTGCCGCCGTACCCCTCTGCACCATCGCCAGCATCCCCCGGCAGCCCGAGCACTGCATCGAGTGGGCCCACGTGATCGCTTGGGACCAGGAGAAGCCCTTCCCCAAGCTCGACAAGGACGACCCGGAGCACATCCAGTGGCTCTATCAAAAGGCCCTCCTGCGGGCGCTCGAGTTCAAGATCACGGGCGTCACGTACTCCCTCACCCAGGGCGTCATCAAGAACATCATCCCGGCCATCGCCTCTACCAATGCCATCATCGCCGCGAGCTGCTGCAACGAGGCCATGAAGATTGCGACGAGCGCCGCGAGCTTTCTGGGCCTCGAGGACAACTACATGATGTATTCGGGCAACGACAGCATCTACACCTACACCTTTAAGCACGAGAAGAAGCCGGACTGCCCTGTCTGCTCGGATGAGAAGCAGGCCAGGCCCCTCGACGTCGACCCAAATGTGACGCTACAAGAGTTCCTCGACTCGATAGCTGCACGGCCCGAAGCTCAGCTCAAGAACCCGTCCATCCGGGCAGACAACAAGACTTTGTATATGCGATCACCTCCTAGCCTTGAGGAACAGACTCGGCCGAACCTCGAAAAGACTTTGAAGGATCTCGGCCTACAGGACGGCTACGAAGTGTTAATCACGGACCCGGCATTCCCGACCCTGACCTTCAACTTCATCTTGCGTTTCAAGTGACCTGGGAAAGACCACTATAGCGGTGGGACAATACGTAGAGTCATACAATAGATATACAGGCGAAAAGGTCTTGCTTGGAGTTGAACCCATCTAGACTGAATATCTCAAAAACCAAAGAAGCGACTGTCCCTTTTGTAAACCCCGTACGCCATGACTATGCATCCTAGACCTCCCTCAGAGCCAAGTCCCAGTCCTTATCTGGCCATGTTGATGACTTGGGTCTCGAGCTTCTTGCACTTGACCTTGAGCTGCTTGACAGCCTCGAGGAATAGCTCATCGCTGTCCCACTGGCCAGTGCTCTCAATGGAAAAGATGAAGTGATCCCTCTTGCGGCCGAGCTTCACCTTGTCCTGGAACTCCGCGTGGCGCAGGCACTCTCGGCTGACAGTGTCCTTCATCGGGTCCCGCACAACTGCCTTCTTCTCGCCGGCGTGGCCTTCGTAGCCGCTGCCCTTTTGCGCCGCCTCCTTCTTCGTGACCTGCTCCAACCCAATGACACCAGCGGGGAAGCACTTGGCGAACTTTTCGGCATCGGTGCCCAGGATGGGCTTTGTGATGGTGATGGTCGGCATCAGACGGTATGACGCGGTGCAGACAGGCGAAAACTTGGCGTGGTCGGCACCGTTGCCCTTGTGCATGTGCATCTCGAGATCGATTTCTTGGCCAGGCCGGAGCTTGGCGATGAGGATGTCTGGGTTTACAGGCGCGATGGCATCGTCGCCGGAAAAGTACTGCACCTGCCTGCCTTCTGGTACGAAGACGATATCCTTGGCATAGACATGCGCATGGTTGTAGAGCTTGGTAGGGTCCGTCTCATCCTTGGCGGCATCCGGGTTCCTCGTGCAAGACACGCTGAGCTCGAGCTTGACCGTGTTGTAGTCAAACGAATTGTCAAACTGGTTGCCAGTCTCGGGCGCCTTCCACCACTTGATAAAGTTGAGCAGACCCTCCTTGCCACCCTTGAAGGGAATAAGGCCTAGCCGATGTGACAAGACCTCATCCTGGATCACAGACGTGTTGTTGGAGATGAAGACGTGCTCGATGGCGAGAGTGGGGATCTCGGCGATCAGGATGCGCCGAAAGGCATTGGCGATGCTTGCATCGACGCCGATGAGAGAGAAGGAAGCATCAAACTGCTCGTTCTTGTGGAACTTGATCTCGAGGCTGTCACGGAACTGGTCTAGGTCCCAGGCTTGGTCTTCGCCAGGGAAGTGGCCGGGGAAGTCGGTCGCTGCAACGTTGGTGACGGTCTCCTTGTTTATGCCGACGATCTAGTGCACACAAGCTGCTGTCAGCGCTCATCCTTTGGATGCATGTTCTTGGATACAAAACTACCTTTCGCCGGTCAAGCTCGGCCTGGCTGGGGGTGGAGGTCGGAGCCATGTTGTGTGCATGACCATGAAGGGGAATGAATTCAGATGACGATTTGCGCCTCCAAATCTTTGGCGGTGGAGGGGTCTGGTCCTGGTGCTTCTCTTTTTTTTTTCTCTCCTCTACTGATAAGTCCTTATCGCCCGAAGCCGCTTTGGCACATATTATACCTGCATTGCGCTGTGCCTTTTTCTGTTTTGGGGTGCGGGTCCCTGCAAAGGGACGCTAAATCCAGGAATTGTAATTCACAGCATTTGATTGAGCAATTCGGCCACGGAACTACTTCGGCCCGCTCACAAATGCTGGACTCTGGAGCTTCGGCCGGCAAGCATCATTGACGGCTCAATCGACATCTAACGCTCCGGTTCGCCTCCTCGAATTCGAAGAGAAAGCCAGACGACGCCCGCCAATTGATTTGGGTGAAGAGGCTGCCACCATCCGAGGACAGTTTCTTGCGATCTCTTCGCGACCGTCATCAGCGACAATGGCCAGCCTCTACCGCCTCGCTGGCCGCAACGCCAAGCGGCTCTGTCTGAGGTCCGTAGCCACGCCCTCCTCGGTCAGGGCCTTTTCATCAACCTGCCTTCGAAAGTATGCCGAGCCCTACCAGGGAACGCGCCTCATCCCCGTCGACGAGGATTTCGCCCACCCGAACGATCCCTATGGAGTCCACAAGCTCCAGGAGGGCGCCGTGCAAAAATCACGCGAGGGCTCCGTCGAGAACAGAAAGGTCCGCCACTACACCGTCAACTTCGGCCCTCAGCATCCCGCCGCCCACGGCGTGTTGCGCCTCATTCTCGAGCTCAATGGCGAGGAGATCATTCGAGCCGACCCACACGTCGGTCTGCTGCACCGCGGCACGGAGAAGCTCTGCGAGTACAAGACATATATGCAGGCCCTACCCTACTTTGACCGGCTAGACTACGTTTCCATGATGACCAATGAGCAATGCTTCGCCCTTGCTGTCGAGAAGCTCCTCAACATCGAGATTCCTGAGCGCGCCAAGTTCATCCGCACCATGTTCGGCGAGATCACCCGCATCCTGAATCACCTCATGTCCGTGCTCTCCCACGCTATGGATGTCGGCGCCCTGACGCCTTTCCTCTGGGGCTTCGAGGAGCGTGAGAAGCTCATGGTAAGCTGCCCGCCCATGTTGAGTGACACAACCTGTTGCTCGTCTGTCGCTAACATGACTATCTACGAATAGGAGTTCTACGAGCGTGTATCTGGTGCCCGTCTGCACGCCGCCTACGTCCGGCCCGGCGGTGTTCACCAAGACATCCCTGTTGGCCTGCTCGACGATATTTACCAATGGGCGACCCAGTTTGGCGACCGCATCGACGAGACTGAGGAGATGCTGACGGACAACCGCATTTGGATCAACCGGCTGAAGGGCGTTGGTGTTGTGTCCGCCAGAGAGGCGCTTAACCTGTCTTTCACAGGCGTCATGCTCCGCGGCTCCGGCGTCCCATGGGATATCCGCAAGAGCTCTCCCTACGATGCCTACGACCAGGTCGAGTTTGACGTCCCCGTCGGCGTCAACGGCGACTGCTACGACCGATACCTGTGCCGCATGGAGGAGTTCCGCCAGTCTCTGCGCATCATCCACCAGTGCCTCAACAAGATGCCCGCCGGCCCCGTCCGGGTCGAGGACTACAAGGTGTCGCCTCCGCCGCGGGCGGCCATGAAGGAGAACATGGAGGCCCTCATCCACCACTTCCTGCTCTACACCAAGGGCTACGCCGTTCCCCCAGGAGACACCTACTCGGCTATTGAGGCGCCCAAGGGCGAGATGGGTGTCTACGTCGTTTCTGACGGCAGCGAGAGGCCATACCGTGTACACATCCGTGCACCTGGGTTCGCTCATTTGGCAGGCTTCGATCACGTGTGCAAGGGCCATCTCTTGGCGGACGCTGTCGCCGTCATTGGTACTATGGATCTTGTGTTTGGTAAGAAATCTCTCGCTCTTGTTCGTCATCTATTTGTGCGTGCTAGCTAACAATCGTCCAGGTGAGGTTGATCGGTAAAGTAAATAGGACTTGGGGGTTGGCGGGGAAGAGGAAGTGGGAAACAACGGCGACGAATCTGCAACGAAAGCCGGGATGTCTTTTTTTTTGTACACATACTCCTGTTAGACTCGGGGTCAGATGGCTCTGAATGAAGAAAGAAAGAATGCATCGAAGACCGAGGACTTGAGCTTACAGTCGTGACGTTTCTGGGCTAGACAAGCAAACCCCATCAGTTTGACTCGAGATGGCGGTTCAGAGCACAGTTTTCCCAATCGCCGACGTGCGGTGCTAAGCCCTCCGGGCCTGCGCCGATGGGCAGCCCTGCCAGCTGAAGATTCTGAGACGGGTAGACAGACGTCTGGGCATCCAAGACGAGGCCGGTGTGGTCGCCTCTCTGGTCGAACGAGGAGCTGGCAGTCGTCAGGAAGGCTCCGACCCGGCCGGCAAACGCCGGGGGCACCTGGTACACGGCACCGGCGATCCGGGCGGCAACCTTGGGGCGCGCCGCCTTCTTCTCCTCGGCCGGGCGCGGCTCTGGCATGTCTGGCAGGGGCGTGGGCAAGCGTCTCTCCTCAACGACGAAGCGGGCCCGGGCCCTCTTCGGCTCCGAGGACGGCGCGGGCGTGGTCATCTGGGGCGAGCCGGTCGACGAGTCGGAGGACCACTGGCTCAGCTGGAAGTCGTGGAAGGACAGGCCGCGCACGTGGCTGGCGAGGCCGGCCGGGTTCAGGCCGTCGGGCCGCTTGGGCCGGGGCTGCCTCAGCGACAGGGTGTCGGAGGAGGCTTCGGCCTTGGCTCCCGCCGCCATCTCGGCCGGGCTGCGGGCCGGCACGCTGTAGGATATCTTCTTGCCCTTCTTGGTGGGATGCCGTGCTTTCTTCGCGTTGCTTGCGTCGTCGTCGTGGTCGTCGCCGTGGTCATCGTCGTCGTCCGTGGCGGCCGGCATCACCTCCTTCTTCACTTCCGGGTAGGTGGCGAAGACGGCCTTGCACCCGCAGCGGCCGGCCTCGTGCTCCTTCCGGTGGTCGCTCAGCCACTCCGCCCCGTAGAGCGAGGGCAGGCGCACGTGCACCTCGCGGCGGTGGCCGGTGTTGGTCTCCTGGTACAGGGGAGGGATCTCAGAGGTAGTCGCGCCGCGGGCGGCGGGCACGAACATGGCGGTGCCCGCCACCGCAGCCATACCTCTCGGAGCGCCGAGTCCGCCGACGCCGTTCTCCTTCTCGGCGCTACTGCCACCATCACCATCACCAATGCCACTTTCGCCCTGCAGGGCATCACCGTCATCGTCCTCGTCCTCATCATCAGGCGGCGATGCAGGGGGCCCGATGGCGCGCGGCCGAATGAGCTCCGGGAAGACCACTTCGCAGCCGCAGACGGCCCGCTCGTGCATGAAGCGGTGCTCGGCCTCCTCGATCAGCACGGCGCGCGAGTGCAGCAGGCGCTGGCAGGGCCCGCACATCTCGTCGGCCAGGAAGGGGCGCTGGGCGTGCAGGCTGCAGGCCGGGTTGCTGTGGCGCTCCGTGGTCAGGGGGCACGGCCGCAGCACGGGCAGCGAGGCGTGCCCGCAGGTGTAGCCGATGAACTCGCTGAAGCACATGGCTAGGTGAGTCTGAGCTGAGCGAGTGAGCGGTCGGGCAGGGGTTCTTGCAAAGGGAAGGGGGTGATTCTGAGTGGTCGGTTCCTGTGGCGCCGTGATGTGTTTGAAGTCTGCGAGAGAAGGCCTTCAAGACGAGTCAGCTGGGGGGCAGGCAAGAGGGAGGTGAGGTGATGTCAGTCCTACTCTTGTATTCATAGAGCTGAAAGAATTGGAGATCAGTCAACTTGTACCGGACCAAGAGACAGGGTGGCCCTTTTCGGTTGCAAAGTAGTGATCCTGAGAGCAAAGGTCAAGTCGAAGATGAAGAGCAGACGCAAGGATTAAGTCAAACCCCTCTGATCAGGCGATCATTCGTCCGATCAAGGAGTTTTGACAGGAAGATGAGGAAGGACTTGAATTAAAGGGGAAGAAAGGGTGTGTGGTTGGAGAGCGAAGGGCTCGTTCTCAGTCAATCGTTGAGATTGACTTAGGACTGAGCTGGATGACCCTGCTTTTTGACCTAGACTCCAAGGGTCAACGAGAGATAATATCAAGTCAGGGCTATTTTGAATGGTGTCTGTGCTTCCACCATTGGCTGATATATCGCAGGATCTGGACTTGGCTCCTAATCACGAAAGAATCACCATGAGCTGCCAATGACCGGGATACAGGCGATCGATCCAAGTAGTGACGATAGCAGCTATCATGTGAAAACAATAGGGGTATGCTTGTGAAGAAGTGAAGGAATATCTAGGGTGCCCAATAGTCGAGATCTGGTATCTGTAAATTGACACACTGAGAGTATACCTCACAACTCCTTCATAGTACGAACCAAAGGCAGAAAGAATACTCGAGGCCGCACAGGGTCGACCAGCCAGCTCAACGAGTAGGTCAAATTATCATGTGCTTTTATGTACATTAATTATACACATACTACATCTTACAACAACGTAACGCAGACACCCACCCATTCATCAAACCCTCCCCCTCCCCCCCCTTTTTCAAAACAACTTAGCCCCGCTCCCAGCAGCCTGCCTCATAAAGAAATCCTTCAGGGGGCCCAGAGCGTTGACGGCCGACAGGCCCAGCGACCTCAGCGGCACGAGCGGGCCGCTGCCGACAGAGTACAGCTTGTGCAGCTTGTCGCAGACGCCGAGCAGGACGTGGTTGGCGGCGTAGCGCTCCGACTCGTAGGGCTCGAGCGCCGTGCGCGCGCCGAGGTCCTGCCCGTGCGCGGCGGCGAACCCGACCGCCCGCGCCAGGCTCTCGACGTCGGCCTGGCCCGAGTTGAGCCCCTGGCCGGCGAGCGGGTGCACCGTGTGCGCGGCGTCGCCCACGAGCGCGAGCCGCTCGCCGACGTAGCCGTCCGCGTGGCGCAGCTTGAGCGGGAACGAGGCCACGGTGCCCTCCTGCACGCCGACGACGGCCTGCGGCACGCCCGGGGCGTCGGGGTGCGCCGGCGCCCAGGGCTGGTGCTCCAGCCGCCAGGCCAGCTCGTCCTGGTGGCCCGAGGCCATGGTGTGCATGTACGCGATGTCGACGGGGGGCAGCCGGAAGGCGGCGTTGACGAGCGCGACAAAGTCCGCCGGCGCGAGCCGCTTCAGTATCGCCGCGTTCTCCGGCGTCGTCGACCAGACGAGGGTGGAGAGGTTGCCGGGGAGGGGCAGCATGGCGACGGGGCCCGTGGGCAGGAACCGCTGGTAGGCGATCTTGTGCTGGTCACCGCCCCAGCCGTCGCCGGCGAGCTGCAGGGTCGCGACGACGCCGTGCCTCTCGTAGTCCCAGCCCCGCGCCTGTATGCCGGCAAACGACCGGACAGGGCTGTTGGCGCCGTCGGCGCCGACCAGCAGCCGGGCCGTGAGCTGCTTGCCACCGTCGAGGTGGACCACCGGCCAGCCAGACAAGTCCAGCTCTTCCGTCTCCTGTCCGTAGCCGATACTCTCGACTTTCGCCTTGTCAAACATGGACACTCCGCCGAGCTCGTCGAGGCGGCGCAGCAGGCCGGACTGTAGATTGAGGTTCTCGGCCATGTACGCAATCGTGCCCCCGTTGTTGCCGGCGGCCTCTGCCTCCTGGCCGCCGCGGGCCCAGTCGAACTCGATGCGCGCGTCGGTCACGCCATCCCAGACCTGCATCTCCTGGTACGCCTGCACCCTCTCCCTCTTCAGATGCCGCCACGCCCCAATGCTGTCGAGGAACCTGGCCGAGGCCGGCGTGAGCGAGCTGCAGCGGTTGGAAAAGCGGTCCTGCGGGAGGTTCCACGCCCGCAGCTTGGACAAGTCTTGGGCTTCGACGAGGGCGGTGCGGAGACCGGCCGTGACGGGGTTGGAGCCTGTGTTGCCCGGGCATAAATGGTAAGTAACTACTACCACACCAATGTTGCCAATTGGGATGGGAGGGCAGCAAGCACTTACGAAGAGCAGTCAAAAGACTCAGGCCGGCAGGGCCGCCGCCGACGCAGACCACGTCGTAGATATCGGCATTGGAGGCGCTTGCGAACCCACGACGTCGAGCGGAGGAGGTAAGGCGAGAGCTGCAGCTCCGGCAGACATACCGTGACGTCCGTGTGGCCAACATGTTGGTGTACCGCTCGAGCAGGCACAAGATAAGAGAATGTCGAGCCTTCTCAAGCTACCGCAAGCAAATCATGTGTTGTCGATGTCGACAGTTGGTTGAGGTGGGACGTTTTTTTGGAGTCTCTACGGCTGATCGGCGCTAAGCCGCAAAGTCCCTGCAGCACTCCCGGTCGCTTTCTGGCGGGAGCTACAGTGGGGCCAACTAAACTCCATTGCCCGTTGGAGCTTCCACGGTGTCGGAAGTTCCACCACCAATGTGTGATGCAACATCAGACAGGCTGCTCTCATCCACCGACTTCCTTGATGACCAAAGGCGTAGGTAGTCTGTACTTCTGGGCGTGTCTGTCGCTAGTTCCAAGTTCACGGAGCATGCAGACAAGAACTATACAAGGTAGGCACATTGGTAGGAGCACATATTCGAGTTAAACTTGCATCAGTATAAGTGCTGTATGGAATTAACCAAAAGAAGAAGAAACAAGCAAAGAAGCCCAGGTAATTGATACAAAAAATTGCAGAGGAAACCAAAGGATATAACCAAACTTCTTCCTGCGCAACGACCGATAAGGAGGATGGGTATTTCTCTGTCACTTCTCAAACTCGGAGATCTGACCAGCCCTGCCCCAGCTCTCCCAGCTCCACTTCTCCTGAACACCGCAGCCCTGCGTTCCTCATGCGGGCGCGGGCGTCTCTGCGTCGCGAGTTAGCAGGAACGGGGAGGGGGAGATTTTCCCTGTCAAGGAAACTAACCTGTAGTGGCATGTGACGTCGTTCCTACTGCGCTCTCAGTGTCGACGCCTCCACCCAGGGTCGCATTCTCCTTCTGGTGGTTGATCGAGCCGGCCTGGATGGACGAGTTGTCATCGACGTCGTCGTCGAGCCTGGCGCGCCACTCGCGCAGGTCGTCCTCGGCATCGTTGAGGATCTGGCGAGCGGCCGACGAGTGCGTGTAGCTGGGGCGGGTGTCGCCGGGGACCATGGGCGCGTCGTCGAGCAGCCTGAGAAGACGCCGGCCGTGGCGAGCCAGGATGATTTGCTTCTCGGCCCGCTCGATCGTGGCGGCAAACTCGGCTTCGTACGCCTCCTTCATCTTTTGGCGTGTCTGGTGGGGGGGGAGGGGAATTGTGGTTAGCAAACGTTGGAAATCACTCATGTTGGGAAGTGCTCACAATGTTGGTCAACTGGGCTTCTGCGACAAGGTTCTCCGCCTCGGCCCTAACGAGCTCCTGCTCGAGGATGACCAGCCTCGGGCTCTGGGGCTCCTTGAGCTTGAGCTTGGCGATCTCGTCGGCAATCTTGTCCTTGCCGTCGCGGCTCGGCTGCACGCTCTTCTCCGTGTTGCGGATGGCCTTGAGCACGCCGCGGCTGTCGTCGAGGGCGTGGGCGTAGTTGTCCTCCTGCTCGCCAATCTCGCTGAGCACGACGCCGATCTTGTCGCTGATGTCCGAGATGGCGTCGTCGGCCGTCTGCTCGCCCCACTCCGACAGCTGCGTCGCGATGGACAGGCGCTCCTTGGCGGCGGCCTCGTGGGCCGAGATGAGGTTGTTCTCCGACTTGATGAGCCGGTACAGCTTCTTGGACAGCTCGGGCTGCGTCGTGCCGCGCAGGGACGAGAAGGAGAAGCCCTTGCGGCCGCCGCTGGAGGCGGCCTGGCTCTTGTTCGAGCGGACAGAGAGTGCGCGGTTCCTGACGTCCTCGTTAGCGAGCGGCCCAAGAAGACCATGCCGAGCTTTTCTGCTAGCACGGGGACAGCGGGCTGACGGTACAGGGGGGAGAGGGGAGCAAGGTGCTGCTCGGAGCTCTTGCGTGAGAGCCAGCCAGACATGTCTGGGCAGTGTGTGTGTGTGTTGTTATTGGGATTGCGAAGCTTGTTCTTGTTGTTTTCGTACCCCTTCATACACACATCGCACGACACAAGAAAGGGAAAACAAAAGCAGGCAAGGCTTTGAGGCTTACATTCTATCGTAGGCTAGAGATGTGTGCCCAGCGTGTTGTCGTTGTCGTTATTATTGACTGCACAGGTAATGCTCTTTCCCGATACGAATTCACAGATTGGACAGTGGGTTTGCGAGGGAAGGTTCGGACGGGTATATGGGTATGGATATGCGACACAGACAGAGCAGGCAAGGGTTTGTTTAAGAAAAAAAAGAGCATCGATGATGGAAAGAGAATGCCTCAGCTACGACTCGGGAATGACGGGACTTGCCAACCTCTCACAAAAGCACCAGACATCCATTGAGGAGCTGGTCGGTGACGTCTGCTGGGCCAAAAGGTAGGGCGTCTCTCACCAAGCTAACGTATTGGCTGTTAGCTGTCTCCCTACATGCCATGTACCTCTTGCGCTGGCCCCGCAGACTTTGTGAGCTGTCTTGGACAGTAGCTTTCCATGTGATAACTTGGGATACTTTTGGGGCGAGAAGGATGTACGAAATGTGGAATATATTACCAGTGCAGCTGAACTTATCATCTGTCTCAGCTCCCTCCCTGGCTTCCCGAAACGAAAGCGCTGGAGAGAATAATACAAGGTATGGGATGTATATACATGGATTGACCCCAGGTTTACCAAGCCTTCTATCAAAAACACACTCTCGAGCATCCACATGTACCTACCAGCTTTCTTTCAGGCTGGGCGCGTCAAGGCAAAGGAAATGCTGGAGAGTCGAGACCCCATTGCGAGTGCAAATGACGAAGTGGGAGACGCCATGACATCATGGCCCAGAAGCTTTGGCGGGTTGCCCCACCATGCCGTACGCTGAGCTGAGGATGGCCAGACACGCACCCATCAGGCCTCGCAAGCTGCGATAGCACGTAACTAGATACAATCTTTCTGACAGCGTCTCACATCAATGGGAAACTGAATCGTTGAAAAGACATTTCTGGTGGATCTCCACTTGATAGTCTCGTCCGATATCTAGATATGCTCCGCTGTGAGAAAGGAGGAGAGAGAGTCGAGTGAGAGGTGTCAGGTCCTTGGTCCAATAACTTCAGAAACATCAGACAATACATTGTTCAATAATTATCATGATTACCCTCTGCTATCGCCCAATTGTATCCAACATGCTAAACACACACAAAAAAAAAGGAATAAAACACCAAGTATAGCACGAATCCCTTCAAAAACCCCTGCCCGCCGTCTCCATTCTCGTGTGTAAGTGTCGTCCAGGGACGTTTACATGGTCAGCCAATTCCGCACAGGGTCTCTCTCCTCCATTCTTGTCCCTTCAAGATTTACACATAATGCGTCCGGCTCGTGCGCTCAATCACCACCGGCCCGCTGGACCTGTAGCTCGTGCCACTGGCCCGGGGACTGTGATGGTGGTGGTGGCTGTGGTGAGACCGCCTGGCCGAGTGGTAGCTGGCGCGCGGTGCCGCCGGACGGTGGTAGTGGTCCCGGTGCCGGGCGGGGATGATCTCCTCGTGGTAGTAGTATTGCCGCCTGGGCTCGGCCGAGAAGCACATCGTGAGAGAGGCCGGGCGGGGGGAGGTGTCGCGTGTGATGGGAGCAGGCAGGTCTGAGGACCAGTATCGAATGTGATGATGATGATGATGATGATGACGATGATGCTCACACACAGGTGGTTTGTCTTTGGGATATCCAAGGAACAATACCGACCAACAACGGCAAGAAAGCAATAAGATTGAGTGAAGGCCTATCGCTGAACAAATCGAAAGCTGACGGGAAGGGGATCTGGATGGGAAAGGCACGAACAAGGCTGGATGGCTGCCCCCTCCTCCTTAAAGCTTTCCGGCAACTTACTTACAGGCTGCTGCTACTACCACGTACTGTGGAATGACTGATAGTCAGTCACCTGCATCTTTCTTCCGAGTGCTCGTAATCGACGCCGGGCGTGCGTTGTGTGGCAACACGCCCGGCTCGGCAGCAGGGAAGAAAGCTGCGCCTTGGCCAGGTTCTGACCCATGCCATCCATGCAGGGCGTGAGACCCGGTCTGGAAAAGGGCTGGGATGACCTGCAGGCGCACCGGCGCACCCCAAGGGAAAAAACATGGTGCGACCCTTGCTTTTGGCATGTGGGATCTTTTGCTATTTTTCCCATCTCCCTTGGCAATTGACTTTGCATGGCGGCTTACCCTGCGCAGAACCAAGGCCCAGAAGTCCAAGCAGCAGATGGTCTAGACATCGACGGCGCGCGTCTGCATCTCGTATCCCACAAATAAACCTGGGAAAGAATAGGGGCCTGCAGGTACAGTGCTACCTGCCGGGCTCACGAAGCCTGGCCCACTCCAGATGACGAAGATTCTCTCTCTCGACCCTGTTTAGCAACGGGCCCTTGGTGCGAATCCTGCTTCACTTGCATATATCCATCTAAACTTGTTCAACTGGGCACGCAACGCGATACGGCCAATGTAACCTCTGTCCTCAAAAGTGTCTGGTATAGCTTGCTCCCTCTATGCAGTTTGCATCGTTCGCCAAGGAGGCCGGCAAAAGTCAAAACGGGTCCAAAGAGCACGCATGTGTTTCTCGGGCTCAACGTAGATCATGAAAGGTGGCTTCGTCAGCCTTACTTTTGGCCTCCTAAAGTCTATGGTACAGCAAACAATTATGAAAAGAAGACACCATGTCTCTACAGTGTTTTCGTCTGTTCATTTCTTCATTTCCTTGATGAAAACTGGACGTTCACTCCCCCGATGAGCCAGGCCGCAACCAGAACCCCGATCGTGCTCGTGAACACGAGGATAGGCTTGCGCAGGCTGGCCATCAATGAATAGTCGTAGGTGATGATGAGCTCCCGGTCTCGGACCTCATCCACTAGGTTGCGCGCCTTGAGGGTGACGGATGTCCGCCCCGCGGTGTCGAGGTAGGTGTTGCGGACCCCAATGGTCGCCTCGGTGATCGAGGACGAAGGGATCGACGTATAAAACTTGACATTCCTACGATGAGAGCATTCCGGTTAGCATACGGTGAACAGCCATAAAGGCAAAAGGGAAGAGAAAAGAGAGTATTTCGACTTACTCAGCGCCCTCAGGCAATAGGACCTGCACGCGGACCTGCTCGTACTCGATACCCTCGTTCTGCTTGGGGCCCTCGAGGAAGGGGATGTTGAGAACGTAACTGTTGCCCGACACCCTGCGGAGGAAGTTCTTGGCGTCCGAGTTCCAGCCAATGGTGAAGGGGTACTTCCAGCCGCCAAACACGGGGTAGCGAGGCTTGATCTCGAGCAGAGCCTCGCGCTTGTTGCTCCGGAAGCGGGATGTCGACACGTTGCCAATTGCATCGGTATAGTAGGCATCGGCGCTGCCGACCCGCAGGGGGAAGCGCAACTCCTTGAGCGCCGAGGACGGGGGGTTGTAGTAGGCCTGCTGAGCCCACTTGACGCGGTTGAAGAGAGACGACAGGTTGGCGCCGCGGTGGTACAGCTCGTAGCGCTCCTCAAAGGCGACGTTGCCGCCCCAATGGCTGACCTCGACGTCCCTCTCGAGCAGGGCGACGTGGCTCACGGGCTTGGTGAACTCGAAGCGCACCTGCACGGGTTGGGCGGCGCCGGCGGGCTTGTGGTCAAAGGGGCCGTAGATGAGCTTGGAGCCCTGCTTCTGCGGGAACCCCTTGGCGTCACCGAAGCCGGGGAGCTTTGTGTAGTCGGGGATGTTGCCAGAGGAGAACTTGACCTCGGTCTTTTGCTTGGTTGTGTCGTATACGGACTGGCAGTACGCCGAGAAGGAGTAGGCGAGGAATTGTGATTCGTCCTGGGCGATGGAGGCGGGTAGGGGAGAGTAGGCGCGCAGGTAGTAGTATGAGATGCCTAGCGTCTGCTGGCCGCCGGCTTTGAGGGGAGCGGGAAGGCGGATGCGGTAGTACTGGATGTCGCTGTAGACGGGGGAGGAGCAGGTCAGCTAGGGCAGGCAATCAGTGAGCAGGGAAAGTCGCTCGCACCTCTCAGGGTCGAATTCTACAGCCTCGACGCCGAATGGACCAGCATTGGCATCCTTGCGGTCCTTCACCTCGAGCCCGCCGAGGCGGGACATCTGGTCCGCAGTAAAGGGCAGGTAGTATTCATCTTGGGGCTTCGAGTCGATGTTCTCGATGAGCACGTTGATCGATTCCTTGACATAGTTCCTCTCCAGAGAGATGACATGGACGAGGTTGGCGTTCTTGAAGACCTGGGCCGGCTTGAAAGTGGCAGGCAGCTTGGCTTGCGATGCGTCGTCAGCGGCGGCAGCTCTGGTGGGCGAGACGAGGGAGACCAAGGACAGCAGGGCCGGGAAGAGCGCGGAGGTCCTCATCTTGAAAAGAATCCCGAGAGGGGGAGGGCTCCTTTCATAAATAGAAGGTCTTCTCGGTGGCTCGGACTGAGAGAAAGGGAATTGGCGTCGATGGGGTGCGGGCAGACTCTCGGGTTGAGACTGGGGATCGTTCAATCCATCTGCGGGTGCTCTTCTTGTCTTGGTGGACTGTGGACAAGACAGCTTGCATCAAAAAGCTTACGAAATACGTTGCTGGATGCGCTCCCGCCCGCCTGTCCTGTCCCTGTCGCGAACCCCTGTCGCCCGGGCTAGCCCAGAAGGGATAGGTACCTAAGGTGCCTTCATCTGTCTGAGGTGGTGGTCTGAGCTCAACCCACCCGATGAGGTACCGCCAGACATTAATCAAATCCATTGCTAATATTGCCATTCATGGATGCTCTTGTGCCCCTCATTCCAGACCCAACTTCGTCATAGCTCTGTTGAGGAAAAGCTGTTCAACAGCTACCCAAGCTACGACCTGATGGATGGTACCTCTGTTAGAGCTCCCCTCCAAGCAAAGATGGGCTCCCTGAGTCTCCAATAAGGTGACTTAGAAAGATATAAACAAGTCTATCTTATGGATGTTCTCGTGCTAGAATGTGTTCTGGATCTTTGATAAGCCAACGATGAAAGTGTTGCCCTAAGCTCCCAAGTCTGAAGTCTGGATCACATCATGCCAGAGCCACTAACAGCTGTGCTCTGTTTTTTTTTGACTCGAGATATCTTGGGCTGTGGGACCCACTCAGAGCTGCATGGTCAATTGCCTTCTCTGGTCACTCAACTTCGTCTCTTGCATGTCCATCTTGGCCAGTCCTGTGTCATCCTTTCATTCTCTCTTCTCGCCTTACCGCCCTGGCGAATCCCACACTGCGTCCTACTGGGCCCCCCCACACTAATACAGCAATACTCGACTGCACCTGGTCGGTCCAGACTTCTTGGATCCCTTGTCACCGACTTTGTTGCCCAGATCATCCGGCCGGCCTCTGACCTTCACCCAAACCTCCAAGCCGCCAGATATCAGCTTTGTCCTCTGGCAATATCTCTTACTCCCACAGCTCACCCATAATCTTTGGATATCAACCGTGTCGAACAGATAATCCTGTTCTGACTTGGTAGCCCTCTGTGTGCTTGGAAATCCCATCATCTAGCAACAATGGTCGGACTAGGCCCCAAGAAGCCGCCTTCACGCAAGGGCACAGGTATGTGGTCATGCCCTGACACCATCATCAATGCGATTGCTTTTCATTGCTTCTTCAAAATGTGTTCCAAGGCACGCGCCTTGTGGTGCCGATACTGGCCTTGTCTGCATGGGCTGCACCTTTTCGTCGCACGAATCCCATAAGCTCCTCCTCCCGGGGCCACACATAGACGCACACACACTCTCTCAAGTCGCATCAATCACGTTCGAGAGACTAGTGTCGCTCAACACTTCTGCACTTTCCAGCCAGTCGTGATAGTGAGACGTTCATGCATGTGCCACCCTCCCTGAGCACTCGGCTCTTGGATAGCCAAGGCTGTAAGCCGGCTGGGGGGTGGGATGCTGGCCGTTTTCCTTCCGTGGATTTCCGCATCATCACATCCCATCTCTCTCCTCAAAGCAAAGAGGTGGTGGCTCCTCATAAAGACTTATCAACCGTAGACTTGAAGCTCTGCAAACCTAGTGTGATTTGCGGCTCTTGAGCAATTGTCGGCTGTTTGTATATCTTGCAGTGACAGAGTCTTGTGGGATTTACTGGCAGAGAAGCTCAAGTGAGCGTCAGGTGAATTGACTGTGAAACCCGAGTGAGCAACACCAAAAAGAAAACAAAAGAGAACAGAGAGAAAAAAACGCCTGTCTAGTCTTAGCGACGCGTCTTTGTTTAGCCATGACTTTCTCGTCCTTTTATGACCAGCTTCCGTCTGGCTTCCACTCTCACAACTATCAACACGCATACCACCATCACGATCACACCAAAATGGGCAAGCCCTTCAGGCATCGCTGCTGCTAGGCGCAATATGCTAACTGTATCATGACAGGCTCCCTGGCAGATGTCCCCAAGGATCTCCTCAAGGAGATTGAGCAGCTGGAGCGCCTGCTCACCGTCGACTCAGCCAAGCTCAAGCAAATCACCGACCACTTCGTCAAGGAGCTCGAGAAGGGTCTCAGCGTGGAGGGAGGTAGCATCGTGAGTTCCAGGTTTCATTCATTCCACACCATCTATCAACTCTATTAACTGGCGCATACGTAGCCTATGAACCCGACGTGGGTCATGTCGTTCCCGGATGGCTACGAGACTGGCACTTTTCTCGCCCTTGACATGGGTGGCACCAACCTTCGTGTCTGCGAGATCACCCTGACCGACCAGAAATCCGAGTTTGACATCATCCAGTCCAAGTACCGCATGCCTGAGGAGCTCAAGACAGGCGATTCTGAGGAGCTCTGGGAGTACATCGCAGACTGTCTCCACCAGTTCATTGAGACGCACCACGGCGAGGCCAACCACCCCGAGAAACTGCCTCTCGGTTTTACCTTTTCCTACCCCGCGACTCAGAACTACATCGACGAGGGCATTCTGCAGCGCTGGACCAAGGGCTTTGACATCGCGGGCGTCGAGGGTAAGAACGTCGTGCCCATGTTTGAAGAGGCCCTGAAGCGCCGTGTACGTAGCATTTCTTCCTTGACTCCTATGCGCCCTGGAACGAACTCCCCTGCTGACTACATTCTACAGGGTGTTCCCATCAAGCTCTCGGCCTTGATCAACGATACCACCGGTACCCTGATCGCCTCGGCCTACACTGACACCAAGATGAAAATTGGCTGCATCTTTGGCACCGGCTGCAACGCCGCCTACATGGAGGACTGTGGTTCCATCCCCAAGCTGGCCCACATGAACCTGCCCCCCGACACCCCCATGGCCATCAACTGCGAGTGGGGCGCGTTCGACAACGAGCACAAGGTCCTGCCGCGTACCCCCTACGACATTATCATCGACAAGGACTCGCCGCGTCCGGGCCAGCAGGCCTTTGAGAAGATGATTGCCGGCCTGTACCTCGGTGAGATCTTCCGCCTGATCATGGTCGACCTGCACGACAACCACGAGACCCACATCTTCGAGGGCCAGGACATCGAGCGGCTCCGTAAGCCGTACTCGCTGGATTCGTCCTTCCTCTCTGCCATTGAGGAGTAAGCCCGCCCTATCCTACCCCTGAGTTTCCGTGGTCTAAGAGCTCCTCGCATTGCTAACACGTGTCTCACACACACAAAGTGACCCCTTTGAGAACCTGCAGGAGACGTTTGACCTGTTCCAGCACAAGCTGGGCGTCAGCCCCAACCTGCCCGAGCTCGAGCTCATCCGCAAGACGGCCGAGCTCATCGGCACGCGCGCGGCCCGCCTGTCGGCCTGCGGCGTCGCCGCCATCTGCAAGAAGAAGGGCTACGAGAGCTGCCACGTCGGCGCCGACGGCTCCGTCTTCAACAAGTACCCGCACTTCAAGGCCCGCGGCGCCCAGGCCCTGCGCGAGATCCTCGACTGGCCCGAGAAGAAGAGCAAGAAGGAGGAGGACCCGATCGAGATCCTGGCCGCCGAAGACGGTAGTGGTGTCGGAGCTGCCCTCATCGCCGCGCTCACCCTCAAGCGCGTCAAGCAGGGCAACATGCACGGCATCCTGCACCCCGAGAACTTCAAATAGGTTTCCGGGAATTCTTTTTCTCGGGCGTCGTAACTGAGGCGTTGTTTTTGTCACTCGGCAAAGGTTGCTTTTTCTTTTCCTTCTGAGGGGGTGGTTCAACTGGCTCGGATTTCAACATTCGGGAAGGGCGAGTATGCAGAAATATCTAGCAGGATTCTCTCTCTCTCTCTGTCTCTCTCTCTCTCTCTCGCTCTTCAGCCAAGCAATGTACACACGGGCAGTCGATAACCTAGTTCGCAAGTTAGTAACATGGTGCGTCCCAGTGGTGACTCGTGATGACAGCGACGATGCAGTGTGACTTACTGTCGAGGGTCCAATACCGGCGCTTGACGCCCTCCCACTCGCCCTTGCCGGCCTCGTGCAGCTGCTGCATGTCGACGCCGACCTCCTTCCAGTCCACGTCCAGGCCGGCGTCGGCGAGGTGCATCTCGACCACCTTGGTGTAGACGTCGTAGCAGATCTGGCGGTCGGCGCCGAGGCCGTTGAAGAAGCTGAAGGTGCCCCGCTCGTCGAGCAGCGCGGGCACGAACTCGGTGAAGAAGAGGCGCAGCTGGCTGTAGTCCTCGCCAAAGGTGTCAAAGTAGATGGCGTCGTACACCTCGCCGCGCTCGAGCAGGCCGGGGACGACCTCCTGCCACCTGCCCGCGTGCACCTTGTACGCGCCGCCCTCGCCCTCGCCCTCGCCCTCGCCGGGGCCGGAGCCCTCCCAGTCGGCGGCAGCAAAGGTGGACTCTGGGCGGGCTATGCGCGCCAGGACCTCCGGGTGGGCCTCGATGATGTGGTGCCGCGCCGGCGCGGTGGCGCGGAACATGGTGTCGACGATGCCCATGCCGAAGCCGACGTTGAGGACGCGCTTGCCGGGCTGCTTGTCGGGGCCGAGGAGGGCGTCGACGCTGCGCTGCATGATGTCGGTCTCCCAGGCCATCATGACGCCGTTCCCTTCGTCGTCGACGAGCTTGCCCTCCGAGTAGGTGAGCTTGGAGCGCAGGTACGTCTCGCTCTTGACCTCGTCGTCGGCGGCCGTCTTGGGCGGGACGAAGCGCTCGGGCTCCTCCTCTACAACTGCATCGGCGGTCGCCCCTGTGTCTTCTTCGACGTTGACGAGCTCCGGCGCCTCGTCGCCGTCGTCGGCACCATTCGCGTGGTGTTCCTCCTCGCCCGCTTCTCCGGCATCATCACCATCCATATCTTCGTCTTCTTCGTCAGACCCGCTCGAGAGTTCCTCGTACCCCTCCATCAGGCCGAAGAGCATCTCGGCCCGCACGCCGGCGTCGACGCAGAGCGAGTACAGCTCCCTCTGGCCCAGGCGGTGGGCAAGGCAGCCGGGCGTCTCGTTGCGGTCGTCGACGTCGTTCCATATCGCGCCGTATAGGAAGAGCTTGTAGACTGTGTCCTTGGCCGCGGCGGTGTTGTCAATACTGCCAGACTCGGGCTCGGGGGCAGCATGACCACAGGCGCGGATGGCGGCGTGCAGCGGCGTCTCGCCCGTCTTGGGGTCCTGGCAGCTCGCCTTGCCGGGGACGTCGAGCAGGGTCTTGAGGGCGGCTGTGTCGTGGTGCCAGGCGGCCTCGAGGATCCGGCGGGTGTCGGCGGGGCACGAGGCCGAGATACGGGACTCGAGAGAGTCGGAGGCGGGGTCGGAGGACGCCATGCTCTTCTCTTTGGGAGGGGCAGCTTTTGCTACTGCTCGAAATGAAGGAGCGGAAAGAGTACGGGACGGAGATATGATTAGGTAAGAAGCTCGAAAAGGGAAAAAGAAGAGCAGCAGTTCACCTATCAGAAACGTAGCATGCAACGAGCTGCCTGCCTCTGTCGCGCGTAGACAAACATTATCCCACTTCTTTTTTTTTTGTGTCTAGTAAATTTTTAGAACTGATGGACAAGCATGTGGTCTGGCCGAAGCTCAGCTTGCCGCTAGGATGCTAGGACGACACCCCGCCCCAGGCGGTTCAGGGCCCTCTAGCGACGATTATGCCGGCTGTAGCGCAGCTCAAGCCCACTAAAACATCTCGCTGGTGTCGCTAGAGCCGAACACACAGACGAGACGTGAGAGCCATTGGCGAATCAGACGCCAGAATGGAAAACGTGGGCATCACCCAAGCGGGGCCCGCCTTCATCATTGCAAGTAGTGCCGCCCAGAGCCAAAGCTTCGCTCCACGACATGCCTTGTCGCCAGGAGAGTTTGACTCGGACAGAGCAAAGGAACAGACGATTCATTCTTCACTTGCTGTCTTGCGTCTTTGCTTCTCGCGGAATACCCTCACATATCCGAGGAAGAAGGAGCAGAGAAAGAAGCACATACAGAACTGCCAAGTCTCATGGTTTGGCAGAGCTGGGCTCCACCACCACCAGCATAGCATCACTTCAAGCCACCGCGTGCCAGAGCCTCGGAACAAGCAAGACAGAGAGACACACGCTCATCCCCTCCTGGACAGGGTCTAAACCATACAGCTCCGGGACACACACACCACACTCAAGGTATGTATCTACTTGTACACGGGAAGACCCTTCCGTTCAGCCCCTGCTGCTTTCCCCGTCCTCTCTTCCCACCACACCACACCACACACACACCCACCATCAGCTGCCATCCTTGACCAGAGCCTCTTAGCCGCATATTGATCTTTTTTTCTCTCGTTTCCCTCTCCCGCGTTTCTTTATCTTTACGCGCGACATCATCCTCCCTCCCCTCTTGTTCCTCCCTTCTCTCTCTCCACGTTCTCGCACCCCCATGCTCATCGTTGAGGACCTCAAGACACGAAAGCGGACTTGGCACTCTAGGAGGCACTCCCGTCGCACCGCCAGAGCCCGTCCCGGAACCGTCGTCATGAAGTTTGGCGAGCAGCTCCGTTCGAGCATCATCCGCGACTACCAATGGTACTACATTGACTATGACTCGCTCAAGACCGACCTCAAGTCGGCCACGGGCCCTGCCATAGATCAGTCCGCCTCTGCAGGAGCCAAGGGCCGCTCCGAGAGCACCACCAGCAGAGGGACCAAGCGCGAATGGACCGAGGACGACGAGGCCCGCTTCGTCTCCAAGCTCGAGGCCGAGCTCGAGAAAGTCCACCAGAAGCAGCAGGTCAAGGCCATTGAGATCCAGAGGCGCATTGCCGTCAGCGAACGCGATGTCAAGGATGTGGTCGGCCGCCTCCAGGAGAGGGGTACCGACCCCGGCCCCAGCGAGGAGGAGTTTATGCTCCTCGAGGAGGATCTCAGCGACATCATTGCCGACGTCCATGACCTAGCCAAGTTTGTCCAGGTCAACTACACCGGCTTCTACAAGATCATCAAGAAGCACGACAAGATGACTGGCTGGCTCCTCAAGCCCGTCTTCAACACCCGCCTCAAGGCGAAGCCCTTCTACAAGGAAAACTATGACGCCTCCGTCGTCAAGCTGTCCAATCTCTACGATCTGGTCCGCACGCGAGGAAACCCGGTCAAGGGCGACAGCGCTGCCGGCGGCAGCCAGGCCAACTTTGTGCGCCACACGACAAAGTACTGGGTGCACCCGGATAATGTCACGGAGCTCAAGTTGATCATCCTGAAGCACCTGCCCGTGCTCGTCTTCAACGCCAGCAAGGAGTTTGAGCAGCAGGACTCGGCCATCACCTCCATCTACTACGACAACCCGGACACGTGGGAGCTCTACGAGGGGCGCCTGAAGAAGACCGAGGGTGCCGAGGCCATCCGCCTGCGTTGGTACGGTGGCATGCGCAGCGAGACCATCTTTGTCGAGCGCAAGACCCATCGGGAGGATTGGACGGGCGAGAAGTCGGTCAAGGCTCGTTTTTCGCTCAAGGAGAAGAATGTCAATGCCTACATGAAGGGCGAGCTTCTGCCTGCTGCCATTTTTGAGAAGGCCCGTAAGGAGGGCAAGAAGTCGGCCAAGGCCATCGCCGAAGACGAGAGGCTCGCCAAGGAGATCCAGTACTCCGTCCTCAAAAAGGGCTACAAGCCAGTCTGCCGTTCCTTCTACAACCGAACGGCATTCCAGCTCCCCGGTGACGCGCGCGTGCGCATTTCTCTTGACACCGAGCTGACCATGGTCCGCGAGGATAACCTGGACGGCCGGAAGCGCTCGGGTGATAACTGGAGGCGCATGGACATCGGCGTCGACTACCCCTTCTCCCAGCTCCCGCCCGAGGACGTCGAAAGGTTCCCCTACGCCGTGCTCGAAGTCAAGCTGCAGACACAGATGGGCCAGGAGCCTCCGGAGTGGGTTCGCCAGCTGATCAGCAGTCACCTGGTCGAGGCTGTGCCCAAGTTCTCCAAGTTCATCCACGGCACCGCCACTCTCTTCCCCGACCGCATCAAGCTCCTGCCATTCTGGATGCCCCAGATGGATGTGGACATCCGCAAACCCAAATCGCACGACTTTGGCATCCGCCGCCCGGGTCAGTCGGCAACAACCGCCACATCCGAGGACGAGGATGACGACTTTGACTCCGACGACGAAGACGATGAGGATCACGATGGCGACGACGAGAGTCCGCCCAACGGCGAGTCCAGCAGCCAGGCTGTCAGCCGCAGGATGCGTCATCTCCGACCCGGCCAGCCGCCCATCTCGCTCCCCACCGATATCGAGGACCAGACACTCGAGCACGCTCAGCTGAACGAAGCCTATCCCCTGTACGACTCGGACGACGAGAGCGACGACTCTAACAGACTGGAGGAGGCCCGCAGGATAGGCGGCTGGACCTACTTCTCCACTTGGACGACCATGCATGCGCGCTCCGCCGCTCGTCGCACGTTGGCCGGTCTCACCGCCCTCGTTCCCCATCCGCGCGGTTCGGCCATCCCCCGCAGCGAGCGGCAGCAGATGCTCTTTGGATCCGGCGAGGTCCAATCCGTCCGCTTCAAGGCGCCCAAGGGCAAGAAGATCTACGTGCCGGTCCGTGTCGAGCCCAAGGTGTTCTTCGCCGCTGAGAGGACCTTCCTCGGCTGGGTGAGTTTCCAGTGTTTTTTCTTTTGGTGTGTCGCTTCGATAAACTTTGTGTTGCTAACAGTCTCACGTCTTTGCACAGCTCGAGTACTCCATCTACATTGGCACCATCGCCGTCACGCTGCTCAACTTTGGCTCCAAGCCCAACAGCATGGCCTTTTTCGTGGCCGGCGTGTTCACCCTGCTCGCCATCTGCTGCCTGCTCTACTCTGTCGGCATCTACCTGTACCGCAGCAAGGCCATCCGGACCCGCAGGGCCTCGGCGCAGTTCTACGACCGCTGGGGGCCCAGCATCCTCTGCGGCGCCCTGTTTGTCGCTGTGGCGCTGAACTTTGGGTTCGAGGGCCGGCAGAGGCATATCTGGTAAACGGGGGGTATGTTCCGTGTTCCTGCGTGGCGAGTGTGGCTTGTTTCGTATTGCGGCAGAAAGATGGGAGAAGAAGGATTGGAGAGAGCATGTTTTATACTTGTGAATACCAATCTCGCTACACCACGCGTGGCGATATTTCTTGGATTGAGTACCTAGAACGTTTTTCTTTTGTCAACCAGGGGGCATTGTGTAATACAATTGTATCGTCAAATTCAGGCCACCGCAACCATCACTACTGTAATCGGATTTGCCATATTCTGTAAACCGAGTATAACCTCAACTTGGTTTAAATTATCACTCTCAACATGATGGCCTCGAACGGAATACTTCATTATTTGTTAAACTCCTTACAATGCCCTTTTCTGATATCATACCAAGTATGCAGATGTACTACTCCTTGGGTTGAACGGGCAATCCGGTACAGCCATGTTTTGCACAAGTAACTCTCGACCGATGCAGCGAGACAAGTCAATTGCGTCTTCAGATACAGGGTAGAAACTGGTTGATCTAGATAACGTTGTGCCACTCATACATTCAGCCGATCTCATTAATCTTTCGTCGTCCTCTCCAAACCAAACAGGAACATTCCCCTGAAGGGGGGGAGGGGGCTGCCAGCCTCAATCGAGCATGTAATAGCAAAAATAGCAAAAGACTCGCCAGACTCCTAGCCCAGATTGAAAACCTTTCCCTATGCATTCATTCCTATACTCACTCATCCCTAGACCACGGCCGTGACCCTCCGGACGCTCTTGCGCGCCCCCTCGCCGCTGATGGTGACGGAGCCGTCCATCTCGAGCGCGCGCATGCACTCGGCAAACTCGGCCGGCTCGAGCGCCACGCCCGCGCCCTCGGCCACGCGGCGCCCGACCTCGGCGTACTTGACGACCTGCCCGCCGGCCGTCATGTCGTCGAGCAGGCGCAGCACGGCGTCCTTGAGGTCGGCGCGGCGCTTGCGCTCGGCGGCGCTCGTGCCCTCGGTCAGCAGGGACATGTCGATGCGGCCCTGGGCGTCGGTGGCGGCCGTCTTGAGCGCCGACTTGATGAGGCGGTTGGCCTCGCGGACGTCGTCGCGCGTGACGGTCGGCGCGAGGCGCATCTTGGCGTGCGCCTCGGCGAGGCGGATCATGGACTCGAGCTGCCGCGTCGTGGCCGTGATGCGCTTCTCGGCGGCGCGCACGTCCTGGCCCAGCTTGCGCATCTCGATGTACGCCTCGACGAGCTCCTGCCCGGCCTCCTGCGAGAGCGTCGGGTGGACGTTGGCGCGGGCGTACGAGATGTACGACGTGAGGAACTCGACAGGCTGCGGGAATGTGTTAGTCTAGCTACAAGAGAGACGGGAAAATGAGTGTGACGGGGGATCGAAGACACTTACCAGGACCTCGTTGTTCGAGTTGGCAGAGTGCGGGTTGTCCTCGAGGTACATCGATAGGAGATGCTTCGCCAAGCGGCGGTCGTTCTTCTCGTCGACGCGATCGAGGATGAGGTAGACCAGGTCGAAACGGGACAGCAGCGTGGGCGGCAGGTCAATGTTCTGCGGAACCGGCAGGTCAGGGTTGTAGCGACTGCCAATGGGATTGGCCGACGCGAGAATGCTGGTCCTGGCGTTCAGGGTGGTGATAATACCGGCTTTGGCCACTGAGACGGTCTGCTGCTCCATGACTTCGTGAAGCACGGAACGCGTGGACTCGGACATCTTGTCGAACTCGTCGATGCAGCACACACCGCCATCGGACAGGACGAGGGCGCCGGACTCGAGCACGAGCTGCCTCGTCTCGGGATCACGCGTAACGTAGGCCGTCAGACCGACGGCAGAGGAACCCTTACCGCTGGTGTAAATACCACGAGGGGCAATCTTGTGGACGTAGTTCAGGAGCTGCGATTTGGACGTTGAGGGGTCACCGCACAAGAGCACGTTGATGTCGCCACGATACTTGGGGCTGCCGCCCTTCTGGAAGGTCTTGTTGGTGCCACCAAAAAGCTGGAGGAGAATGCCCTTCTTGACATCGTCGAGCTCGTAGATGGAAGGGGCCAGGGAGCGCGAAAGGAGGTCGTAGATGTCGGACCGGGCGGCGGTTGCCTTGATCTTCTCCTCCTCCTCGGGCGAGATCTTCTTGGTCTCCTCCATGCCGGTGGTGTTGGCCTGGGTCTGCGAATCCTCGTCCTCTTCGAGGTCCAGGGTAGACGGGTCGACACCCATGCGCTTGCTGTCGACCTTTTGCACGTGCAGAACATCGACATAGGTCTTGTGGACGCTCTTGACGGCCCTCTGCCGGGGGTTCACACGGACGGGGCTGACGCGGAAGATTCCGGTGAGCTGGACGCGATCACCGGCCTTGCAGAAGTCCACGAGCTCGTTGTAAACGCAGACCGAAACCGAGTGCGGCGTCTGGCCCGCTGGGACGGCGTCGGGAGTCTCCTGCAGCTTGATGACCTGCTTGTCCTCAAAGGAGCAGCGGTTGTGCACGATCTGCATCGAGTTCTTGGAGCCGCAGCGAGGCCGGGGGCACTCTGTCGGCTCCCGGATCTTGCCGCGGTCCAGGCTGACGTTGACAGAGTGGTTGCAGACGCTGCACTTGAAGAAGGCGTCCTTCATATCCGGGATGACAGGCGTGGTCCGGATGACCAGGCCCTTGATGGAGATGAGCCTGTCCATATCAGACGGGTTCAGGTCACGCAAGTTGGTCGTCTTGTCCAGGCCGTAGGGCCGGACGACGTACAGCGTCTCGCTGACCTGGTCCTCCAGATTGGTTTGGGGCTCCGCGGCCGGCCGCGGGGTCGAGGGCTCCTCACTGCGTTCAGAGCTGGGGAAGGCGGGCTCGGAGCTCTGAGAGGCGGTCGGCTGCGAGGGGCCGGTGCTCTGTGAGGTCCTCTGCTTGGACATCTCGTTCCTCGCTAGCTCCATCATGAGGTCATGGACAGACTGATCCATGATGGGCACGACTTCTTGGGGGTAGGCTTGGATCTGGTGCCAGAGTTTGACCGTCCTGGGGTAGGCTTTGAGGTCGCGGACGTCGACGTAGAGCCTCGTGCCGCCGAGGAGCAACATGTTCTCCATGGCCTCCCAGTACGAGCGAGATTCGGCATCTGGATCCTCCTGTGTGTCGGCCTCGGTCATGCCATCGAGCCACATGCGGTACTTGCGTGTGAAATTCCGCAAAAAGTCCTTGAAGGCGGCAAAAGTGTCATCGATAGACACTGTGGTACCCCAGATCAAGCTCTGGCTCTGGCCACCGAGGTTGCTGGCCTCGGATGTGTCAGGGTTGTTGTTGGAAAAGGAGGCGGCATCGGACCCGTCGACGGGGCCTTCCTTGACAACGCGGCCAGCGTCGTCGAGGATAACTCGCCTCGGGGCACGAGGGGTGCGCAAGAGACTGTCAGAGTGGATATCACCTCGCCTGTAACGGGCTGAGGTGGAGCGATCATCGACAAAGAGGCCGCTGCTCTCGCTCCGCAGATCCGACTGCGGGTTCAGATGCCGTCCCGGACTCGATGACGGCTCGTACCGAATCGGGGAGGATTCTACAACAATAGAATAGTTAGATTGGGTCACGGCTACTGAGTGCCGGATAGGGTTGCTCACCACCGATCAGCGCTCCGCTGGCCCGAGGTGTCCTGTCACCAGTACTCTGTGTATCTGTCATCTGGCGCAAGGGCGAACTGGGCATGCCGCCCATGGGCTGGTCGTTGGTGCTCTGGGTGTTGCTCATCTGGCGGAGAGGCGACGAGGCGCCGCTGGGGTTAGCAGCGGCGGGCGAGGACTGGAAGAACATGGGGCTCGAGGCGAGCTGCGATGCCCTCGTGGTCCGGGGGGTGCCTCGGACGGAGGCATTGTCCTGCGCGGCAGCAGCAGTCGAGGGGCCGGGAGCAGGGCTGCTGCGAGGTTGCGAACTGCGCAGGTTGCGGCTCGGAGTGGCCGACTGCGAGCTGCGGGTTGATCGCCCCTTGGATGGCGACGACATGGTGATGTCGGTGGGTGCTGTGGTGTATCCTCTCTGCTATTGATGTACTGCTGTCGTGAAGAATACCGAGGACGTGTAGATAGAGAAAAGAGACACAACAGAGAGACCAACAGACAGACAGTGAAGAGAGGGAAAGTGGGAAAAGATGGAGATTGTGGTGTTGACGGCGGTCGTGCTGGATTGGAGGGGATTGATTAATCACAAGCCCCTCCGCTCACCTCCTTGGAAACGCGAAATCCAGGCCCTGGACGCGCTGTAGGTGGCTCTAGCGCGTCTTGGTCGCGTAAAGTGGTTTTTTTTCTAGGCCCCCGGCAGCTTCTCTTTAATTGAGAAAATTGGTCTGTGCTGCCAGCGCTAAAGCCTCCCCCACCCAAATTGGAAGTTCAGCCACACGAGGCTCTTGGACCCACCCTGCACTTCGTTGCTGTGTCCTGATCGCAGGGCCAACTGCCAACTGCTGGTAGCTATCAAGGCCACACTCACTCTCTCATACAGCTTCGACACAATTACGCCCGCCTTGGCCCATCCACCCACTCTCCTCCTCCTCTCCCGATTTTCCTTCCAGTACAGCCCCCAAGATGTCTCCCGGCATGTCCTTATTCTCGGTGAATGCCGTCATCATTTTGAGCAGCGATGACGGCTCCCGCCTCTTCAGCAAATACTACACCGCACCCCACCAACCGGCCACCGGTGCCGGTCACGCCTCCGGTATGTCCACTCTCCTCCGGTCCTCCCGCCGCGGGTGCTCAATGGCAAGATCATAAAGACAAAAAGACTGACCGCCCATGGACCACAGCTGCGCCGACCCCCAAGAACCCCTACCCCGACGTCAAGTCCCAAAAGTCCTTCGAGAAGGGCCTGCTAGAGAAGACGGCCAAGCAGACGGGAGACATCATCCTCTACGACAACAGGATCGTGCTGTACAAGATGGAGTCGGACGTCATGATGTACGTCGTGGGCGGTGCCGACGAGAACGAGGTCCTGCTCTACAACGTCATCCTGGCGCTGCGCGATTCACTACATCTGCTCTTCAAGTATGCTCCAAGCTCAAATCTTCGCACCCGCGGAGCACACACGCATACTGACCCTCCAAACCTAGACAATCCGTAGACAAGCGCACCATCATCGAGAACTACGACCTCGTCTCGCTCGCCATCGACGAGATTGTCGACGACGGCATCATCCTCGAGACTGACCCCACCATCATCGTCCAGAGGGTGAGCAAAGCGCCGACCCAGGACGTCGACCTGCGCCGCATCGACCCCTTCAGCGAGCAGGGCGTCAACAACCTGGCGCAGCTGGGCAGGGCCAAGCTGACGGACTGGCTGAGGCAAGGGCTGTGATGCGAGTTTATATGCTTTGGGGTCATATTCACATGCAAATGGAGTTAATCGGGTCTTTTATTAAGGGATGCTCGAGAGAGAAGGAAAGGGGAACCAACCAAAAGAATAAAAGCTCTATACTGACAATGCTCAATGTGTGCCATGTGGGCGAAAGACCCTTACTTAACGCCCAAGGAAAGCGTACTTGCGTCTTATCTAGAAATCTTTTCATGATGCGCCCCCTATTTTTCTATCTGATGATCTGAGACGCCGCCTTGCGGAGCCTGTTCATGACCGCCGCGGCGATGTCGTCCCTGTCCCGGATGCCCTCGACGAAGATGACGTCCACCTCCCGCCTGTCCAGCTCGCGCAGGACCGAGAACAAGCCATGCGCGATGCCGCGCGTGTCGCTCCCGAGGTCCACGTCGAGCACCTCGGCCACCTGCCGGCCCTTGGCGTCGCTCAGCGCGCCCTCCCGGATGACGTAGCTCAGAGCCGGCGTCTCCTCGCTCGTACCCGTGGCCACCTCGGCAGCCACGTCCTCGCTGATCCGCTGCTTGGCCTCGAGCTGCACGCCGCTCGCGCCCGCCGCCTCGGGCCACCTGCCCGTCCGGACGATGCCGATCCTCGGGCTCACGGCCAGCCTGTCGCCGTCGTCGTCCGCGCCCTTCTCCGCCGCCTCGCGCACGTCGCCCGCCACCAGGCGCGGCCGGACGGAGGCCTCGTAGAGCACGACCCGCGCCTTGGGGCTGTAGTGCTTGTACTTCATGCCGGGCGCCCTGGGCGCACTACTTCCTGCGTTGCCGTCCTCGGCCCTGTCTCTGTACGCCTTCTCCACGCCCTCCCACCCGGGGCACGCCCGCAGCTCCTCGAGGCTCACGCCGCCCGGGCGCAGCACGACGGGCGGGTCGCACAGGCCGTCGACGACGGTGCTCTCGACGCCGACGCTGCACGGACCGCCGTCGAGCACGACGCCGATGCGCCCGTCCAGGTCATCGAGGACGTGCTGCGCCGCGGTGGGCGAGGGCTTGGTCGAGGCGTTGGCCGAGGGCGCGGCCAGGGGTGCCCCGGCGAGCTTGATGAGGGACCGCGCCAGCGGCGAGGCCGGCATGCGCGCGCCGAACGTCGCGAGGCCGGCCGTGACCTCGGGCGCCAGCCTCGACGGCCGCGGGTTCGGCAGGATCAGCGTGAGCGGGCCCGGCCAGAAGCGCTCGACGAGGGGTCTGTAGATGGCGGGCAGTAGGTCGATGGGCGCCCTTTGAGTAAGGCCAGAGGATGCGCCGTTTGCGCCGACAGCAGTAACAGCATCGCCATCATCATCGCCAGCGCGGCGGAACCCGCGCATTACATCTGCGAGCATCTCGAGGTCGCAGACGTGGACGATGAGGGGGTTGTCCGACGGCCGGCCCTTGGCCGCGTAGATGCCCTTGACGGCCGCGCTCCTCGTGGCGTCCGCGCCGAGGCCGTACACCGTCTCCGTAGGGAAGCCCACGGGGACGTCCGTCTGCCGCAGGTGCCTGGCCGCCTCCTCGAGGTTGGCGACGTCGGCGCTATCCGCCGGCCCCGCCGCCGCGGGAAGCTCCCAGTGGCTGATGTCGTCCGTGCCATCCGGCCTCTTCCTGAAGCTCCCCAGCGCCTGGCCGTTCCGTATCCTCAGTACCCTAGTCATCGCTGATGATGATGATGCGCGCCGGGAGGAGCAGGCCCGATGCCGTTGCCGCCCCAGCCCGCAGTGAAGAGAAGCCGTCCAGCGGTATAAAACCGAGATGCCACCCTTGCCCGCCAATGCGGATGCTAGACACTTGTTCGTCGAGGCAGCCGTTGTGAGTAGTATAGCTAAACCCCTGTGGAATGAAAGGAATGAAAATCCCGAATGTCAGATGACGAATACAGTCTCAGATGATTTTTATGTGAAAGTCGAGCGTATCAAAGTTGAGAAAGTGGAAGCTTGAGATCTCTGCTGAGTCACGCAGAAAATTTTGGTAAGTGGTGGTGTAATTCCATGGTAGCCAAATTTCGCCGTTGACGCAGCTTCTCCTCAGCCCACCCAGCAGCATCCAGGAACTGAATGCCCCAGCTGACTAGTTTTTCATCTCAAGTAAAAGGACAATTGTTTTGGTATTTCCAAGCTGAAATGGGAATTGCATCATTTGGTATCATTAACGTGATGTTGCAGCGCTCTAGCTCTTAAAGAAATACATCCTGGCTCACGCAGCCTCTATTCCAGAAAACCATGCCCACCCACCCTGGCATAGCTAGACTCCCAAACCCCGTCTCCCTCCCTGCCACCAAGCATCCCTTGTGTGTGTGTACACATGATCATTCCTCCGCCTGCAGATCGAACGCCGTGCCCGCCGCACTCCGCACCGGCAAGCTGGAAATATGCCCCTTCGCAAAGCTGATGTGCTCCTGGAAGCTCGCGAGCATGCGCTGCAGCTCGTCCTTGACCTCGTCGCGGCTCGCCAGGCCCTCCAGAACCCTGCCCGACGGCGCGTCCGGTCGCGGCGGCAGCGGCGAGGCCGCGAGGTCGTCCGAGTACTCTGACCCGTCCGCTGCCGCCGCCGCACCCGTCGCCTGCTGACGGCGGCTGCCGCGGTCGCGGTCCGGCATGGCCAGGTAGTCCGAGTCGATGTACTCGTCGCCCGAGTACAAGCCCGTGTCGTCGAGGTAGCTGTCGATAGCCCGCCGACGCGACGTCTCGTCGCGCACGGCGAGGTCGCCGAGCCCCACGAGGCCCTCGGGCGGTGCCTTGCCGAGCTGGGCAAAGTCAGAGTCGTCCGAGACGTAGATGGACGGCTCGCGGTTGGAAGAAGAGATATTTTGATAGACTATAGAGTGCCGCTCGAGGTCAAACGGATTCGCGGCTCCAAAGTCAGACCCCGTCACCGAGCCGGCGTCTGAGTGGGCCGTCGACGGCCTGCTCAGGTCAGGCAGGGGCTCAGGCAGGCTTTCGTCCAGGTCGATCAGGCTGCTCATAGAGGCACGATTATCCTGGCCTCTCGGCACGGCCAGGTCGTACGTCTGAGAGGGTAGGACCACGGGGTCGGTCGGATGATGCGTCAGTGGCGGCCGCTCGCCCGAGCCCGGGGTCACAGCGGGCATGACACGATCTTCGTGGAAGGGGAAGCGTGACATTTCGGGGTTGGCAGAAGCGGGGGGCGCCATAGAGGGGAACTTCCAGTCCTGGGTGCGCCGGTTATCCTTGAGGTCAGCTGGATCGCTGAGCGGCGGCTTGCTCAAGTCGGCAGCGTCTCCGTTGTCATAGTCGGTGGAGGCGCGAGGCCCGGCACGGATGGTCTCCATGTCAGCGAACTGCGACAGGTCGCTGCCGTGGAGGGAGGCATCGAGGTCGATCAGGGACTCTCGAAGCGTCGCGTGCATCGAGTTGTCGCGCAGCGGAAGGTCCGAGGCAGCCGGGGGCGGCATGGGCTTTCCATAGTATGCTCGTGCATTTTCTTCATAATTAGATATGGTGTTGGGGTCAAAGACCTTCTCAAGCGGCGCCTTGAGGACCGGCAGCTGCGGGGGCGGGCGCCTGCGCCCCTTGCCCCGGGGTCGAGAGGGCACCTCGCCATACTCGGCGGCCGAGAGATCGACTTGCGAACCGTAGACATCGTAGACGGCCTGCGCGTCTGAATTGTCAAAGGCGCGTGGGTCGTGCTCCATGGTCGTGCTGAAATTCCACTCGTCGTTGGCCAAGGCGGTCGATGCGAGGTCGAAAGAAGGCGCTTGTGCTCCGCCCATGTTGAAAAGCGACTTTCTGCTCCCGCCCTGGGATTCCCATAGTTTGAAGCCCTTGACTAGCGTTGCGAGTGACGAGGTGGGATAGGCAGCGCTGGTGTTGAAGAGGTACGGGTGATGCTGGATCTGCTCGATTGTCGGCCTCTTCTTGGGGTCCTCCTCGAGGCAAAACGCCACGAGATCCTTGAGCTGGGCCGAGTACTGGTCACCCTCGAGGCGAGGTGTATGCTGCTTGAGATAGTTGCCGAGCTGCGTCATGTTCAAGCCCGCCATGACGTTGGGCGGCAGGCCTGACGCAATCTCATAGACCATGGATCCAAAGGCCCAGATATCGACCTCGCAGCCATAGGCAGTCGACTCGTCAAAGAGCTCAGGGGCCATCCAGTGGGGCGTGCCGATGATAGTCGATCGCTTGTCAAACTTGGTCTCGATGACGCCGGCGACGCCAAAGTCGCAGAGCTGGACGCCGCCGTCCTCGGTCACCAGGACGTTGGCGCCCTTGATGTCGCGGTGGATGATGCCCTGGCGGTGCACCCAGTAGATGGCCTCGGCGACCTCCCGGAGGATGGGGATGATCCACTTCTCCTGCAGGCCGCCGGGCGCGGTGGGCTTCATCAGAGTCGCCACGCTGCCGCCGGCGCAGTACTCGGTGATCATCCACATCGAGTGCCCGACGGGGAGGGCGTCGAGGACGTGGTTGACGTTCTTTGCACCACCCTCGCTGAGGAGCTTGAGGGCATTGACCTCCTTGAGGAACTCACTATACGTGTCTGCATATTTCGGATTCGGACTGAGCGTGTCCGACCCTTCGATGTCGATCATCTTGACAGCGACAAGCTTGTTGGTCTTGAGATCGGTCGCCTTGTACACGCGACCAAAAGTTCCCTTGCCGATGAGCTCCTGGAGACGGTAGGGCGGCACATCCTTGCCGGCCTTTTTGCTCTCCTCTACGACCAACAGTTGCATCTTCTTGGCATCCTCGATGGCTTTCTGCTTGGTGACCGAGAAATCGGCACCGTAGACAGAGAGGGTGGCCATCCTGGAGGCCGGGGCGCTTGGTGGCGCGCGTGTCGTGTCGTCGTGAGCGGTTGGTGCTTCCGGGCTGATGTCGTCAAAATATGAGCCTTATGGCATTGCGTCCATCAGAAGGGGCGCTTTGATAGTGTTAGTTGATCGCGCTGTGGCGGGCATGGCTCATGGTCGGGACATGAAACGGCCAGGTCTTTGGTGTTTCGATGAGGCTCTCAAGTGAGGTGAAAGGGGTGACAAGCAAGCCGGCACAGATGGACCAATCAGCAGGTTGCGCCCCCACCGATGGAACCCTGCCCGCAAGTTTGGGGTGCAGAAGGACCTAAACTACAGCGGGCGGGTCACTAAAACTGCATCGAGTCCGTGCGAGCTAGCCGTGGACCGACGCTGGGCATCCCTGGAGTCGGGGTGATACACGTCCCGTATCAGCCACCGTCAAGTGCTCTTCAATGTGCTATGGCTGCCGGGTATCCAGGGCAGTTAGACAAAAAGCTCTCTTAATTTTCTCACAAGACTTGGAGTATTGTGTTTGCTGCGTATAGACTAGATAGACGTTACATTGCCAATCATTCTTCAGGCAAAGCGACATCCATACACCCGCCATGTCATGTAAGTCTCGTCCCCTCCTCCCCACCGCCCACACACGCCTCTCAAGCAAAAGCGTACTGACAGGCCTCGTCTCACCCTCTCTCTCTCTCTCTCCAGTCCTCAACACCACATCCACAATATGCCACAGCTCCACGCTGCCAGAGGGCGTCACCCGCGAGCAGGCTATCGCCATGCTGCAGGACCACCACTTCTTCCTGGAGTGTGACCTGCACATGATCCACTTCGAGCCGCTCGCCGAGCCCGAGGTGGCCCTCACCGTGCCGGACGGCATCGAGGCCACGGGCGAGAGCAAGGCCTACCAGGTGACCGACCTGGTGCACACCCTGCCCGCCGGCCTCTGGGACTCCAACGTCGTGAGCACGTACGAGATCACCAACAAGGCCGACGGCATCTTTGTGCGCATCCGCAGCCCCATGTCCATCGTCATGGACACGGTGTGGACGATCAAGGAGGCTCAGGCCGAGGGCCAGACCGAGGCCCAGACCGAGGCCGAGGGCGGCAGTGCCAGCAGCAGCAGCACCGGCGGGCTCGAATTGGAGGAGGCCGTCGAGATCAACTGCTCCAGGCTGTTGATGGGTACGGTGAGGAAGCTCTGCGAAGGCGGCTGGAGAGAAATACACGCCAAGATGCTTGACAGGCTGAGGAAGGAGGTGGGTGCCGTCGCTGGTCAGAACGGCCAAGCACCAAGTAAGGCTGAGGCTGGCTCTGCGGAAGCCAACTAGACTATATAGAAGGGCTCAAAACACTACATCTCGCTCTTTTTTCTTATGTCTATGCTATGTTATACAGAGAGTTCATGCAGAGTAATACAACAAGACAAAGGGCCAACACGAGTCCTCATCCGCTCTGCTCACATGAGGCTGCTGCGGCCCCCAATCTCCATGCTCCCCTGCCCGTCCTTCATCTCCCCGCTGCGCCCGACCACGAACTCGCGGTAGATCCTCTCCAGCCGCGCGCGCTCCTGCACGCTGATGCTCGCCCGCGTGCCCTCGAGCGCCTTGACAAAGTGCTTCCACCCGATGACGACCTCCTTGTGCTCAGCCTGGGCGCCGTCAGCGCCGCCGCGGTGCTCGTCGCCGCCGCCCCCCTTCAGGGCCTTGCTGCGCTGCCTCGCCACCTTAATGCTCTTGAGCTTGGCCGCGATGGCCGCCTGCTCCGCGAGCTGAACGGACTTGGGCTTGGCGCCGTCCGCCTCGTCGTCGCCGCCGCCGCCGCCGCCGTAGCGGAACTGCACAAACTTCCTGGTCGCCGCAGCAAGGGACGATGCGGTCTTCCTCGCGCCCGCTCCTCCTCCACGGCGGCCGCTCGCGGTGGCCGAACTGGCCTGGTCGGGCCCATCGAGCACGTCGTGGATCGCCTCGAGCTGGGCGTTGGACACGAGCGCCTGCAGGTCCGCGCCCGAGAAGCCCTCCGTCCGGCGGGCCAGCTCCAGAAGGTCGTCCTCGGAGCTGAGGAAGTCGTCGCTGAGCTTGGCCTTCTTGGCCAGCGCCTTGATGATGTCGAGCCGGTCCTCGACCCCCGGGAAGTCGCAGAGCAGCGACTTGTCCAGCCGCCCCGGCCGCAGCAGCGCCGGGTCGATGAGGTCCGGGCGGGAGGTAGCGGCTAGCACGTAGACACCTGAGAGGCCCTCGGCGCCGTCCATCTGCGTGAGGAGCTGGTTGACCACGCGGTCCGTCACGCCCGTCGAGTCGTGCCCGCGCTTGGGCGCGATCGAGTCGAACTCGTCAAAGAACAGCACGCACGGTTTAGCCGCCTGCGCGCGCTCGAACAGGTCGCGGACGCTCTTCTCCGACGCGCCGATGTACTTGTTCAGGATCTCCGGGCCCTTGACGCTGATGAAGTTGAGGCCGCACTCGCCCGCCACGGCGCTGGCGAGCAGGGTCTTCCCGCAGCCCGGGTAGCCGTAGAGGAGCAGGCCCGACCGCAGGCGGAGGGGGCACTTCGCAAAGATGGGTGCGTACTTGGTCGGGTACTCGAGCGTCTCGAGGAGGACGCGGCGCGTCTCCTGCAGGCCGCCGATAGACGAGAAGGTCGTCGTCGAGCTCTGCAGCGTTACGTTTCTCAGGGACGCGGGCGTGAAGCCCTTGAGCGCATTATCAAAGTCTACGCGCGCCAGCTCGACCGAGCCAGAGCCGTCGTCCAGTGGAGACTCGGTCACCGAGCGCATGAGCGCCTCGTTGCGTGCGCGGGCGACTAGAAGGTTGAGGTCTCCAGGCATGTAGCCGTCGGTCTGCCCGGCAATGTCTAGGAAGTCGAGGTCGTCCTGCAGCACGAACCCGGTAGTCTCGGGAGCAGAGTAGTGCCTGCTCGCCTGGCTAGCGCCGTCCATCCATGCACCATCCTCACTTCGTGCACTCCCGTCGGCCGTTGTCGGCCGGCTCCCGCCATCGCTGGTCGGAGGCCTGTTGAACCTGTCCTGAGCGGGCACCGAGTTCTGCTGTGCGATAGCCTCCATCACCTTGCGCCTCGCCTCCTTGTCGGGGGCTTTGAGCGCCACGATCTCGCGCACGACGTGTCCGCCCACAATGACATTGTGAAGGGATTCTTTGCCCTGCGCCGTGGCGAGGAGCACCACGTTGCTGTCTCTGCCGCAGTACTGCCGCACAATGGACGAGATAGCCTCGCTGATCTGCCGGCTCCGCCCATTCTCATTGCCTACCTGTAGCTCCGTTTCGACGGGACACAAACGGTCCAGGTCATCCAGAATGACGACAGCCTTCCCGCCGAGCCTTGCACCCCAGCTTGCCTCCATGAAGAGCTTGTTTAGTGTCTCTTTGATGTTGGTGATCCTACTCTCGTCGTTGACGAGCTTTCGGCACGGGAAATAGGTCGTGTGGAAGAGCTGGTCGCGTCTCAGCCGGTTCGCCAGGTCCTGTGCCACAGAAGTCTTGCCAGCGCCTTGGGCGCCGGTTAGGAGGACGGAAGAAAGGTGTGAGAGATGCGATTCAAGCTCAGCTAACAGGGCATCAATGCCGACGAGGATATCGCCAGCCTTGGAGAGACCATGGGACTGCGCGTCGGCGTGCGAGGAGAGGCGGGGTATGGGCGCCTGGACCTCGATGGCCACTTGATGATCTTGTGCGGCGATCCAATGGCCGGGACTTTTGACGCCTTGCACGGCCTTGGGTGGCGGATCGAACCGCAGGATGCCTCCCGCCCAGCCGTATGGGGCATCCATTCCGTCGTGAACCCCAAGCACCTGCCCGTCGGTCAGTGGCCCTTGCAGCAGTCCCTTTGATGCTTTTCCGGCATAAATGTGCTTGATCCTCTTAGCCGACTCTTCGCGCTCTGCCTTTGACTCGCCCCCGAATCGGAAGCCCACCGGCTGGCTGGCATGCTCGTCCTGAAAGGGGAAGATCTTGAGCTTCTGCACCGAGCCGCGCTGTAGCGGCGCCGATGCTGGTTCTAGCTTGACCACACCACCAACCATGTGATGGCACCCAAGCGCCGCGCACAGCGGTGCCGATAGGGCTGTCAATTGGCCACTCGGAGGATCGTCCCAGGCGCGCAACTGGGCTACGACCCTAGTCGCCACCTCCACCGGGGGCGCGGCGCCATCCCCATTGACCTGCTTTTGCGCGTCTGCCTTGGCAGGCATGTGTGTCGGCCGCAGAATGTTTGCCGTCACCCACTTGACACCACGAAAGTCTTGAGAGAAGAGCTGGTCTCGGTCGACCCACACGGTTAGGTCTTCTGCGCCCGTCTCGTCGTCGAAATAGTCATCGAGGTACGTCCGTGAGACACCACGGAGGAAAAGAGCCGGCTTGCGCTCTTCCCGACCGCTCTTCCGCCTGACCGTGCTTGGTGTGCTCTTGCCGCTCTTCTTAGATGTGCTGGCGACACTTCGGCTCTCCCGGCTGCCCCTGCTCGGCTTTGACCGTACCTTGGGCGCGACAATGACCTCGGCGTCGGGGGCGATCTTGGCAAACGGCGCGTCTGAAGGCAATGCCGGCTCCAGGGATACCACATTGACATTGGCAGTAGATGTGGGTGATAGATGCAGCGTCAGAGGATGTGTGTTTGACCCGGCCCCAGCGGGCAGAACGTAGGCGGGGTTGGGCACGGCGCGCACTTGGTGCTGCATGTTAAGCTCAAGAAAGTTTGCGTGCAGCTCGATGATCTCCCATGCCTCGGGCGTGACGGGCTCAATGTTTATTGTGTGCACCAAGGGCGGGTCGACGTGGACAATGGCCGTGACCTTCTGCCCATCGTGCAGGCCGAGCGTCTCTGCCAGGACCGGGTCGATCTCGACGAGCGCCACCTCTTGCTCCTTGACTCCTCCTCTTGACCCGGAGAACCCGTCACGGTGGATCAGGGGCACCAGCTTCTTCTTGCTCGGCATACCGGTCCAGCCCAGGAATACGGATCGTTGCGCGGATTTCGTCGGACCGGAGTCGGCGGATGCGCCGTTGGACACGGCAGCACCCCGGAAACTAAGCTCGACGACGACATTTTGCGCGGGCTAAGCAACAAGATAGTCAGTCAATCGAAGGGCAAAAAATTGCATGCGCGACGGGAAGCAAGATACGTACGGTGTTGACGTTTACCAGCAACGACACCAGCGATGCCGGCAGGTTGACGAGGCAGTTCTTCAGGTGCACCAGAGAGATCTCGGCACTGGCCGAAGGCGCCTTTCTTGGTGCCATGGTGCCGTGATACCGTGGTGCCGTAGTGGAAGAATGAATGAAAACGGACCAGAGCTACAAATCCCGTATGCGGATGCGGAGAAGGAAGAATATTATGACAATGTCGCAAAAACACATGCTGTGTGGGGGATTGTGCAGCGACCGACCAAATCGGGGACAGCTTGAGCAGGAGGAGCAGTGGTCGTGAACCGGGGTAATTTGGAGCATGTGCCGAGGCTCTGACGCATTTGTCGGCGGCGCGAGCCAATGCGCCAGCGAGGATTTGGGATTTGTGCCACAGTGCTCCAGGGCGGGCTGTGTGTGGCTCGTGCTGTCAATTGAAGAAGCTCCAGCATCCACTGCTGCTAACAGCCACACCCGGGGGCGACTGGAGGGGCGCTCAAAAAATCAATTAAACGCGAGAAGACGCGTTCCTAGCGCCCATGTCGCGTGTGGGTTCGCGATTTACTGCACCACCCCTGGCCCTGGCGCCCTCCACTACCAGCCTCCCTCCAGCATTGACAAGCCTTTCTTTATTGCACACTCTTTTAATGGATCGCAAGAACAACAGCTGAGCGACCAGAGGCAAGGTTGGATTCTGTTTCTTTCGCTGTTTCTTCTTTTCGTCAATCTCCCGTCTGCTTCGCCATACCCATCATCAAGCGCAAGGGAGGCACACGGTGCGATAACAAGAGCAGACATGGCGCTCCTCACGTACAGAACCAACATCAACTACGAAGCGCAATTAGGTGAGTGCGAGGTCGTCCCGCTGAATGGTGTCTCTGTTGTACGGATCTGAGCTGACACGCGTGCTGTAGCCGCCTTCGAACACTTCCTCCAGGTCTTCAAGACCACCCCGGAGCAGGCCATCACCCAGGCGCTCGGCAACATCAACATCGACGAGGATGATTTAAGCGACGAGTACGACTTTATGGACGAGGATGACGAGGCTCACCAGCGCCGGATGCAGGAGAAGGCTCGGCGTAGAGCCCCGCAGCACAAGTACCGAGACATGCTGCAACAGCTCGCCAACCGCAAGATTGACGAAGTGTGCATCGAGCTGGACGACCTCGCAGCAGTATGTAGTGCAGTTTCGCATCCCCTGCGAGGACAATTCGTGCTAACCATGTCTGTCTGTGCAGTTTGAGGAAGACCTGAACGAAAACATGCAGCTCACCCAGTCCATCGAGACCAACACCAAGCACTATGTCGAGATCATGTCGAGGGCAGTCGACAAGTCCATGCCCGAGCCGGATGCCGACATCACGTTCAAGGACGATGTCCTCGACGTGCTCATGGCCCGGCGCCGGGTTCGCAACCAGGAGCTGGCCGAAGCCGCCGAGACCATGGTGAACCCCACCATAATGGAGGACACCTTCCCTGCCGAGCTCACGCGGCGATACACCCTGGTCTTCAAGCCCAGGACCGCAGTCGGCGACAAGGCCGGCAAGGCCTTGGCCGTCCGGCAGGTCCGCGGCGACCACCTGGGCCATCTCATCACCGTCCGCGGCATTGCCACCAGGGTGACGGACGTCAAGCCCATCACCCAGGTCAGCGCCTACACCTGCGAGAGCTGCGGCTGCGAGATCTTCCAGCCCGTCTCCGACAAGCAGTTTACCCCGTTGGCGGTCTGCCCGTCCAAGGACTGCAAGGCCAACCAGTCCAAGGGCCAGCTCAACCCCTCGTCGAGGGCTTCCAAGTTCCTGCCCTTCCAGGAGGTCAAGATCCAGGAGCTCGCTGAGCAGGTGCCTATCGGCCAGATTCCCAGAACCCTGACCGTTCTCTGCTACGGTAGTTCCGTTCGCAGGATCAACCCGGGTGACGTGGTCGACATCGCCGGCATCTTCCTGCCGACACCGTACACCGGCTTCCAGGCCATGCGCGCCGGCCTCCTCACCGACACCTACCTCGAGGCGCACCACATCCTGCAGCACAAGAAGGCCTACGAGCAGATGACTATCGATCCCCAGCTCGTGAGGAGGATCGACCAGTTCCGCCAGTCGGGCCACGTCTACGAGTACCTGGCCAAGTCGATCGCGCCCGAGATCTTTGGCCACCTCGATGTCAAGAAGGCCCTGCTCCTGCTCCTCGTCGGCGGTGTCACCAAGCAGATGGGCGACGGCATGAAGATCCGTGGCGACATCAACATCTGCCTCATGGGTGACCCCGGTGTGGCAAAGTCGCAGCTGCTCAAGTACATCTCCAAGGTCGCGCCCCGTGGCGTCTACACCTCCGGCCGCGGCAGCAGTGGCGTCGGTCTGACGGCCGCCGTCATGCGCGACCCGGTCACCGACGAGATGATCCTGGAGGGCGGCGCCCTCGTCCTGGCCGACAACGGCATCTGCTGCATCGACGAGTTCGACAAGATGGACGACAACGACCGCACGGCCATCCACGAGGTCATGGAGCAGCAGACCATCAGCATCAGCAAGGCCGGCATCTCGACGACGCTCAACGCGCGCACCTCGATCCTGGCCGCGGCCAACCCGGTCTACGGCCGCTACAACCCGCGCATCTCGCCCGTCGAGAACATCAACCTGCCCGCCGCCCTGCTCTCCCGCTTCGACGTCCTCTTCCTGCTGCTCGACACGCCCTCGCGCGACACCGACGCCCAGCTCGCCAAGCACGTCGCCTACGTGCACATGCACAGCCGGCACCCGGACCTGGGCGGCGGCGCGGGCGCCGACGTCATCTTCTCCCCGCACGAGGTCCGCTCCTACGTCGCGCAGGCGCGCACCTTCCGGCCCGTCGTGCCCGAGGGCGTCTCCGACTACCTCATCAAGACGTACGTGCGCATGCGCGACAGCCAGAAGCGCGCCGAGCGCAAGGGCAAGCAGTTCACGCACACGACGCCCCGCACCCTGCTCGGCGTCGTGCGCCTGGCCCAGGCGCTCGCGCGCCTGCGCTTCTCCGACGCGGTCGTCCAGGACGACGTCGACGAGGCGCTGCGCCTCATCGAGGCCAGCAAGGAGAGCCTGGCCGCCGAGCAGGGCGCCGCCGGCGGCCGCAGGGCGCTCAACGCCAGCAGCAGGATCTACAACCTCGTCAAGGCGCTCGCCGACACGGGCGCGTGCCGGGCCGACGACGCGGGCGATGACGAGGACGAGGAGGAGGACCAGTACGGCGTGGAGCTGAGCCTGAGGAAGGTCAAGGAGCGCGTCATCGCCAAGGGCTTCACCGAGGACCAGTGGCTGACGGCCTTGGACGAGTACACCTCTCTTGATGTAAGCATTCTCCTTCCTTCTTTTGTGTTCATCTTGTGCATTTTGGATCTTTTCTTGCTGACTCGACGAACCACAGGTCTGGCAAACATCTGGCAACGGCACGAGGCTGACCTTTGTTACTGCTAATAACGGTGATGAGGACGAGATTGACTTTTGAAAAACACATGTATGACCGGGTAGGGCGCGTTGCGTGATGAATGCGGATGAGATCGGACCTTGATGTACTGGCTCTTGCTTGCTTGCGATTTTTATGGGTATATGGCGTTTGGCAGGGCAGGTATCGGCATGAGATGAGCTTTCTTAAAGACAAAGCGAACGGGAGGTAGAGGTTTCCAAAGAATACAGTAATCTTTCCAAGACTTTGCTCCAAGTCAGGGCACTGTGATTGTGATTGTGTGATGTATCGGCATTTATCAGAACATGCAGTAGATGTGACAAATATGTATTGATTTTACAAGTTACACGATGATATAGAGGGCTGCTAATTTTAAACATACAATAGTACACGCAGGTGGACCCGCCGCGAACACATCTCACAGCCGCATGTTCAGCAGCGCCGCCCTCTCCATCTCGCCGACGACGCCGTTGCCGCTGACGCTCCACGTGCCGGTGACCGCCTTCTCGTCCACCTTGGCCCTCAGCAGGCCGCTGGCGGCCCAGTACTCCATGAGCGACCTCGCCTCGGCCTTGTTGACGCCCTGGAGCCCCATGACCTCGACGTTGCTCAGCGCGGCCTCGACCCGCTCGTCGTAGCCCTTGAAGTAGGGGTCCGCGGGCGGCACCTCCTTGCCCTGCTGAGCCGCCTGGCGGCGCGCGAGCGCGAGCTCCATGGAGGCGGTCGTGGGGCTGTTGCCGCGGCTCGTGGCGGCGAGCACGGCGCCGCCGTTGGGCAACTTGGTGGCGCCCGTCAGGAGGTCGACGTACATGCGCACGAGGGCGAGGTCGTGCGAGTGGATCGGCTCAAAGGCAGCGTTGCGGTAGTCGCTGACCTTCATGATGTGCGCGAGGCCGTCCAAGGCCACCATGACGGGGGGCCGGCCGGCGTCCTTCTCCGTGAGCTCGGCCCAGAGCGCCTGGAAGACGGCCCAGGCCTGGTCGGCCTCCCTGGCGGCGGAGGCCAGGGTAAAGAGGCTGCTGCCGGAGGGGACGTGCATCTGCAGGTTCGGGTGCTCATTGACCGTCTTGAGCGACGAGAGCACCTTTTCGTTGGCGTTGCGTATCGCCTGGAGGAGCTTGAAGGTGTAGACTGGTTGGAGATATTGCACGGGGTTGGAGTTGGAGAGGGGGCTGTACTCGGTGCTCGCCGTCGTCAATTCCTGGGCTGCAGCTGGGTCAGTATTCTTACGTGAAGTGGCACGGGACTCGCAGGTGTCCTACCTTCGGGGATGTTGATGACCACCCAGTCGTTGAGGAGGCCATTGGCCATGGCCTGCAGCATGAGCATGCTCTTGCCCGAGATGCGATCTCCCGTCACTACCAGTCGCAGAGCCTCCTTGTTTCCGGCAGCCTGCTGCATCTTTTGCACCAGATCTACGGTCTCGGATCGCAGCAACACGCTCGGCTGCCGGAAGAGACCCCAGCACTGGGTCGGCTTGAAAGCGTCGAGCGTTCTCAGCTGGTCCACGGCGGCATCCGGCACGGCCAGGACGGCACCGGCGGCCTGGCGGTCTGCCATGGCCTCCTTTGTCAGAGGCTGCAGGTCCGGTACGGCGAGGGCGTTGTTGTTGCTGAGCTGTATGCGTTTCCGGAAGGCCTTGCGCTCGCCCGGTCCAGGGGGCTTGCCACGGTCGACCTCCTTCTTCTTCTTGAACTTGCCCAGCCTCATGCGCTTCCCGGCCCTGATATGGCCCTTGGCAGAGTCCTTGGCGGCAAGCTTCTTGGGCGGGCCCTTCGCGCTGAGCATGGCAGACGTCGAGAAGGGCGCCGTGGTGAAGGCGATGATGGGTGTCGGAGCTGCTAGGCGGGCGACAGGGAGGCCGCTGGAAGGCCTCAGGAGGCACTTCCAGCAGTTGGCGGAAGCCATCGTGGTGATGCAAAGGCTTTTCAGTACGGGTAGCCTGTACGTCGTAGGGATGCTATCTCATATTGCGCGGCCAATTGCTCTGGGGAATGTCCGGCCTCTTTGCAGCACGCGATGTTGCCAAAGCAGCTCACAGAATTATTTGCTGACCTTCTTAGCGTTTGGGCAGGGGTTGTCGGGTTCGCAGGACCGTTGCTCCAATGGGATCAGTCGATGCGCCAGACCCGATTTTCCTCTCCAGTCTGGCAAAGCGGTGCGACATTCGGCCGGCTCATTCTTGGTCTGGTGTCCCGCATTTCGAATTCTGCACCTCGAGACCGCCTAAATTTCAGATTGGCTGCACCAGCACAGACGGCGAAGACAGGACTCCAGCGACCGACCGACCACGATCTTTCAAGACGACAGAACGCCGCAAGGGCTACAATCCAACCAAAAGCACATCACTATGTCTCTGCCCAAATCCAGGCCAAAGCTGCCCGTGGCGGTCAACAAGCCCACGCCGTATACATTCGATCTAGGCCTGCTCCTCGCCAATGACAGCAACCCGCTCGAGCTCGACTCCGCCAACCTCGAGTCCTCACTCGCAGAGACTGCCCGCGATGGCGCACAAGCACTCGTATGCTTTTTTCCTCCCCTCCGCTACTCCACGCACCCCCTCTAAACGTGACATCATGAACTAACAACACGCTACAGATCAACCAGCTCCTGACCACCTGCCCCATCCAGTCCACCGAGGCCGGCGTCCTGCTCTCCCTGCCCCAGCCCACGACGCCCCTGCCGCGCGAGAAGCCCGTGCCCCAGCCCAAGCCCCTGACCAAGTGGCAGCAGTTCGCCGCCAAGAAGGGCATCAAGCCCAAGACGCGCGAGCAGCGCAAGAACCTGCAGTACAACAAGGAGAAGGGCGAGTGGGAGCGCAAGTGGGGGTACAAGGGCGCCAACAAGGGCGTCGAGAACGACTGGCTGATCGAGCTCGACCCGGAGAAGGAGGCCCAGCGCAAGGAGGGTACCACCGTGCGCGGAGACAGCCGCAGGGAGAGGAAGGAGAGGATCAAGCGGAACGAGAGGAAGATGAGGAAAAACCTGCGGAGCGGGGAGAAATGAGTTGCATAAGGGCCTCATATTCTGGCGGTTGCCATCTCTCGTCTGTGTTTCATGGCCTCCGGCGTTCATGGTCTTGCGATCTGGAGTTTGGGTTGGTTACGTGGGCTGAGCCGGAGAAGCTCGCCTGATCATGTTTAGTTGCCGTCTTGCTCTTGTAGAAAAGTCAACGGCATTCAAGTACTCACCATCGCCTCTTGCCCGCCACCTATATTGTGCTTTTTGATACTCATGAAGGCCCGGTGTACGATTGCATCGTATTTCTGTTGCACAGCCCTGGATTGACATTGAGCTCCTATCAACAAAACCTACTTCAAACGAGAATGCCATGATGCACAGACACGAACCGCGCAAACTTCATCAACGCACTGCGGATGATCCAAGTCACAGACGATATAGTACAGAGGGTCTGGGAGACTGCTCAATAAACCAACTCGATCTCAATTTTTTCGTGTCCAAAACTCGCTGAAACAGTGGCATTTCTCATGCCTTCGGGGTATAAAAAAACGACAGGAGTGAAAAGTTATGCAGATGCCAGAGGTATCATATGTCTCCGCCAACACGCTAAAAGAGAGACAGCTAGCTAGGGATCTCAAAATTGCGCGACAAAAGGAAACAAGAGGTTATGAATGTCGATATAGAGCGTCGTCAAGAACGTAAAGTCATGGTGTCGTAGCGTGTAGGGAGTCGAGGGCCAGGAGATGGCGCGCCGTTCCGAGTCCGTTCACAAGGGCGGTATGGGAGCAGAGTGGGAGTGGTCAGGTCCGTAAAAGTCTGCCTCACCGAGCGCAAGGCCGATTCTAGAAGCCAAGAGGTGACAAGGGCTTGATGGGCGACAGCGGCCGTAGATCGTTTGATCTTCTTGGCGTAGTGGTCTCTTGCCGGCTGTCGATCGTCAGATTTGTCGAGATGGTCGAGGCCGAGGCCACACTGGCATTCTCGGGGGCGTGCGTCTTCTTCTTGAGGCGGGCCTTGCCGGCTTCCCCACCGCTCTGATTCGACTGCTTGCTGCTGCCAGACGACGAGACGTTGCGATCCTCCGGTACGCCTTCTTCCTCCTCGTGCGCACGAGGCGCCGCAATTCCTTGAGGTGGTGGCTGGTCAAACAGCATATACTCCTCCTCGATGAACTTGGCCTCGTTCTTGCAGCCCTTCCAGCATTCGCGCCAGTCACAGACAAGGAATTTGAATGAGAAGGCGTCAATCTTCATGCAAGGCTGGAAGCAGATGCACAGGTTGCGAAAGTCCATCTTGTTCTTGTCCGAGTGTGCCAGCAACAGGCTCAGATGGCAGGTGATGGCAAACAAGAGGTAGTAATTGAAGGGCGACAGGTTGGACAGCTCGTCAATCAAGAGCTGGGGTACCTTTTCAGCACCGGCGCACTCACGTGCAACACGCTCCTGTGCCGCCTTGGGGAAGAGTTCATCCGGCAGCTCTCTGAGCCACGCTTTGAGCATGGAGCCAATGATGTTGATGTCATACAGATCGTCTTGTTCGAACAAGTCAACATCGTATTCTAGGAGAAAATGGTCAGTAAATGTGTACAGCAGAAGATGGGGAGTAGAAAAGTAAGGACAACGGCTTACCCTCATCAAACTTTCTCTGCCACTTTTTGATCTGCGGACCGCTGCCCGGCACTCGATACAAGCCTTCCACGTCTGTGCCCTTGTAGTTGAGGTAGTCGATGGCCCTCCAGGGGAATGCTGGCATCCAGAACTCGGTCTTGTCCCGAGAATCCTCTAACCTCTTTGAAATACGAGTGCGGCGAGTTTGTTCCACAAGGGGCAAGTTGATCACTTTCAAGACGTAATGCTCATCGTCGACGACGGGCTCTCTCTCCGTCGTACTCCCACTCCTCGAGTTCTTGCCAAAGAGGCCCTTGCTGATCATGTCGGCCGCCTTGCTAGAGGAGCTCTTGAGACCGCTGAAGAATGCCGAGCCGCCATTCTCCCGAAGAGAGGAGGGCTGGCCTCGGACATGGTCCCGATCCCTGTGGCCGTCTCTTCCCGGCGTATCACGAGCATGGGCCCGGTCGGCAGAGTGATTCCTAGCAGAGGAAGACATCATCTCCCTAAAGGAGCGGTCGTGCTGGGCGACTGGGGCTGTTTTGAGGGCGGCGACGGTCTGCGCCCGCTCCGGCGGTTCGATGAGCTTGGCTGGCGCCGTGTCTAGAGATCCGGCAGTGTCTGCGTCTCGGATGGATCCAGTGCGGCCAAATCTGAATCCTTTAGACTTGTCCTTTCTGTTGCCCGCGTTGGAGCTCGGCTCGAACTCGGCGGACGAAGCCAATGATACCTCTGATTTGGATGGATATGTAGGCATGGGTTTTTGTAGGGGTTGCTCTGGTACAGAGTACTCTGCTGAAGGAATACGAGTTAATGGTGCTTATATAGAAAAAAACCGCCAAGGCTGACGAGAGCAGAATGACTTGACAAGAGATGATGATGAGCAGGAGTGTGCATGCTGTACGTACCTGACTGCTTGGAGTTCTGTCTATTGACTCCTGGACGATCAGTGCCTCTGGACATGATCTCGTTCCTCGAATCCGAATGAGGCTGAGGCTGCAGTCTCTCGGCGGACTTGGACGACTTGCCAAAGCTGAAGAAGAAGCCTGACTTGGAGGCCTTTTCGTCGTTGTGACGCTGGTTGTGATTGCGGTGGCCAGAAGGGGTACCACGACCCTGGCCGCGGTCGTCGTGCTGGTGCTGGTGCTGGGGCTGAGACTGGTGCTGTTGTTGGTGCAGCGGTGGTTGTTGTCCGCTGGGATGGTAAGTGGGTTGGTCAAAGGGCTCCTGCAAGGTCGCTGAGATGGGCGGGTAGTCTTCTTCGGGCTGCTGCTGTACAAGGTCGGCTACGTGCAGAGGCTGCTTGCCCCCGGCGCTTTGTGCTCTCTTCTGTGTCAGGCGGAAGGGCGAACGTGGGGACCTTGGCGACCTGGTCGAATCTGCTGGGGAGGTGAGCCGTAGAGATCCGCCAGATGGCTGGTCTGGTTCAGCCGGAGCTGTGGCCTCAGAGAGCGGCAACGGCTGAGGGGCGGGTTTGCGTCCCATTGTCGGTATTCGTGCAGTGTTTGGTTCGGGAGGGGTGCTGGTGGAGGAGGACGAGGAGGAGGGGAGGGGGGGGGGGCGGATAGAGCAACAAGGCGACCAACCCCGTGATTTGCGCTCTGGCCAGACGAGGACAGCGGTCTCGTGCGAGGGCGTGTGGCAATCGCCCGGGATGAGCAAGGCAAAATAGGCAGATTTGCAGTCTGCGACAAGTAAGAGACGAGGCCAGAGCAGGTCGAGGCGCGGGACGACAAAGGTTGGCGGTCGCGAAAGAAGGGGGCCGAATGTTGGTTATTGGGCTGGTCTGGCTGTCCGGGAGCGGGTTTGGCGGGTTTGGCGAGTGTCTGTCTAGCTAGGGGTCGAAGAGGGTCCCGTAATTAGCTGTTTCCCTGTGCTCGTTCCCAGTACGAAGAGGTAAGTACAAGTATTTACTAGGAAGTCAAGGGCCACTCCGCGCCCATGCCAGCGCCAGCCAGTTGAGATCCGTCTGGCCTCTCGGGTGGGTGGTCCTGGCGTCCAAAGCCGCCGGCTCGTCAGGTACGCGAGGGCGCAGTGGGGCCTGGTCAGGACAAATTGGGCAGTTCCTCTCTTGCTTGGGTGGATGTTCCAAGATCTGGATTAGGTACGACCCGCGATGCTTCTTGCCAAGTATCATCATTCTTCTCCTCAACTTGCAAAGCAGCAAGGCTCGTAGTAATATATCTAGCTTGAGGGCTCCTGTGAGCGCCGTCTTTCTTTGTTGCCTACCTATTCTTTGTCACGTTTTTACTGGGCAAGCACAATGGCGTCGCAATATCTAATGTCTTTGGCCTTGACCAGAATGGAGAACTACCTAGGTACCTATTCACCTCAAAGAATGCATGTATGAACGTTGAGCCAATGGAACCTTGGACGGTCCGATGTACGGACAGGAGGCTTGTCTTTGGTGCCGCCTGGGCAAAACGCCCTTGTTAATATCATTCATTATTTGTACGCCTGTTTCCCTCTGGTCGACTCGTCGAGGCGGCAGGTCGAAGGCGTCGTCAGCAGTGAGGCATACCCTAAACGGCAAGTTTCACTGGGACAACTCTGAAACCTGATCGAATCTTGGTGTGGAAATGCACTGTCAGGGGTCTGAGTGGATTAAACGCTGGATCGACGGCTCTCTGGTGGTTTGGGGCGGGGAATATCCATCACGTCCATGGGTCCGGTAAAGGCCACACCACAGGAACATTGAACCTCCAGATGTCGTCCAAAATTCGCCAAGATGTTCTTTGCGATCGCCCTTTTCTCCCTCAATGTCTTTGGGGTTGAATAAAGTTGCCAAGTCGAGGCTGATTCCGGAGAAAAGTGATATGCTATTAATGCCAATACTTGATCAACTTGCAAATGTTGATTTCACCCTAGCGGAATTCTTGGCCCAGCATTCTCATATTTCTCAGTGATTTTGCAGTACATGTCAGTCCAGGTGCGCTGTTTACTTTACTAATCTACCATATCCGAGATTACATTATTGTCATTAGTCTGACAAGGCATGTTTTTTTTCGGTGGCCAATTCCTTTTTTCCTACAGGGAGCTTTGTTTCTCCAGGGAAGACATCTTCTGCTCCCTTGTGACTTTCGTTGTGTGTAAGGTATCCATAGATCGAAATGGACTTTGTCCGTACAGAAATCGAAAGCACAAGTTTCCATGTGCTTTACACAGTCACTACTGACGGGGCATGTCACGATCTCTCAAAGGATGTGCTCCGGCTAGGCCTACATGGGGCTCAACTCAACCCGCCCTGGGAACTGCGTCAAGACGGACCACCACCCCGCCTAGGTAGAAGGGGAATGGCGCCAGCGGAGGTGAGATCCGCAGACCCTGAAACTCTGGAATGTTTGGAGACATAAGACAGCACTCGTCCTCTTCTCATCCCGAGCTGAGGTACGGAATGAAACAGTGGCAATGAACAACGCCCTTGCATTCTGAATCGGCGCATCGCCTACCCTTAAAGAACAAGTCGATATTCTGTGTCGGAGAGGGCCAGGACGATCCTACTCGACTAGGCAAGTAAGTATCCAGGCCATGCGGTGACATGCATATCCGTATTCGTCACCGCCTTTTCCCACCTGAGAGCGGAGGGCTGCAGCTCTCGATCGCATCCATGATTTCCTAATGCAGTTTAAATCAGGCACAGGTGTTTCTGAAACTCGACATACAAGCCTCCCGTGCCAAGTAGCCATCAGTCAGGAAACAATTCATGGCCGCCTCAGTGCCTATCAAATCTGATCAACTGAAATCAATCGACAGACCTCGAAAACAGACGCACGGTATTTGCTGCTGTGTCTAGATCTGTGCTCAAATGAAGATGATCCGCATCCGTGAACAAAGTGTCCTGACCTTTGCAATAATTGCCTGCAGACTCGAGAAGTCACGAGGTTTGTACTTGTAAGGTGGCTGTCCAGGCTGTGATGGTTGCAACCATCCAACCCACCTCAAGCTCCACCGGTTTACGTAATTCACCTCATCGTCTTCAACGACCAAACATCCAAAAAGGAACAGCCATATGGCCAGCAGACGGCCCGAGTGGTTTCAAAATTCTATAAAATGGCACAGACACCCGCGGCTTCGGCTGCTCTCGACCTTGCCACAGATGCGCATGTCAAGTACATCCAAAGCTTGGACACGCGGAAAGATGAGTATGACTACTGGTTGACCGAACATCTCCGGCTCAATGGGCTATACTGGGGCCTGACGGCCCTTCACATCATGGGCCGGCCTGACGCCTTGCCCAGAGATGAGACGATTGACTTTGTGCTCTCATGTCAGCACGAGAACGGAGGCTTTGGAGCTGCACCGGGCCACGATGCCCACATGCTCTACACTGTGAGTGCGGTGCAGATTCTGGCCATGATCGACGCATTTGACGAGCTCGAGGCGAGGGGCCGGGGTAAGGCGCAGGTGGGAAAGTGTTAGTATCTCGGATCTTCTAGTCTACATTCTTCTCTGACCTCGCTTGAACAGTCATCGCGGGTCTCCAGAACCGAGAGACCGGGACATTTGCTGGTGATGAATGGGGTGAAGAGGATACGCGCTTTCTCTACGGCGCTTTCAATGCTCTATCCCTCCTGGGCCTGCTTTCACTTGTCGATGTGGACAAGGCGATCGAGCATGTTGTCGCGTGCGGCAACTTTGACGGCGGGTACGGCGTCAGCCCGGGCGCCGAGTCGCACTCGGGCCAGATCTTCACTTGCGTTGCGACGCTGGCCATAGCGGATAAGCTTGACCTTATCGACAAGGACCGACTAGCACGATGGCTCAGCGAGCGGCAAGTGGCGGGCGGGGGCCTGAATGGCCGCCCCGAGAAGAAAGAAGACGTATGTTACAGCTGGTGGGTACTGAGCCCGCTCGCAATCATCGGTCGTCTTCACTGGATCGACCGTGAGCAGCTTATCGGCTTCATCTTGACCTGCCAAGATCCAGAACTCGGCGGCTTCGGTGACAGGCCGGGCAACATGGTTGATGTGTGGCACACTGTCTACAGCATTGCAGGGCTGAGCCTGCTGGAATACCCGGGCCTTGAGGCCATCCACCCGGCCTACTGCATGCCCAGGAGCACCATAGAGCGGGTGATCGGCAATAAATGAAGGTCACTGGCAAAGGATGTCCATCACTGGCATTCTGGTTCATCCCCTCCAAGCCTGCTCTAGACGCCGCTCCTGCGTGCTCGTACCATCTAATAATCTGCTGACAGCCTCACCGTGTCTTCAGAATACAAGGCACGAGCAGAGGAAGAATCTATTGACAGACTGTGCCGACCTCTTGCTCTTGTTGGGGGCTTGGGCAGGTCAGTTCAGATGACATTGGGTGTAAAACTGTCGCTGTGAGCGTGGTCCAGCACATCAGTATGCCCTCTACTGCGCATCCTCGGACTCTGGAGGAACAATCTAGGCCTGTCCCAGTCAGTACACTGCCGTCTGAAGATCCCCTGATGCACCTCCAATATTTAGATGAGCTGGAGGGATCAACAGAAACAATGCAGAATGCTCGTCCTACAGATTTCATCTGAACTATAAGATCAGACTCAATTCCATGTGAGGTGATTTGTTTCGCTCAATAATTCTTAGCAGCCTCAGCTGACTTGAGCCTGTGGGCCTTCTTTGTTCTTTGGTGTCCAGGAGTCACGAACTCTGAGGGCAGGCACGCGTGGCAGACCACCCCGTTGCTCCTTCCCTCCTGGTCATGCTTGCGGATAAAAAGTCAAGTACCTCACCTTGATGCCCACCAGCCAGCCTAATCCAAAGTACCACTTGACCAGACAAGCAGATCAATCTGTGGCATTAGGCAGCGGATTGGTCTCACCAGAGGGCATCATCTCTTCTGCCTCTCCTCTCATCTTCATTTCTTGAACCAATCTCTCCCTTCAACCCTGAAGTCATCCTGGGTGCTGTTTGGGACGCATCCAACGCATTGCAAATTCCCTGCATTGAAATCAGCAACACCTACATCTTGAAGTCAGGTACGTGTGGAGGTATTGCTCATCATCGTCATTGCCCTTTCTTATCTTCTCATTGCGTTCTCAGTTTCCATCCATCACCAGTCTTCTTTCCGCGTTTGTGCCAGGTTTCTGCTCCGAACCTTTCCTTCTCTTCCTCTCGGCCCTCACTGTTTGTACATGTCTCCAGCACTGGACTCGCCCATCTCATCAAATGCTCTGCTCCCGCCCAGACTTTTTGCTAAGCTTGCCGACCACTCTTGAGCTGACCACCATGCTAACGAGCTTCCCAGAGTGGTGCTTGCCAATATTCACCACCGCTCTGGCCGAGAACCCTGACCAGGTCGCACGCACGTACTCGCGAGAGCACGACTTACGTGCCCAATAGATTTGGTACCTTAGTTGCCCTCACTCCTGGTGACGATCATTGAAAGGCAGGCACTGATATACAATAACAGATCCTGCCAGACCGCTCTCTCGCCGAAGCAGCGCAAGCCTGTGCCTATAAGTAACTTCTTCGACGAGAAACGGGTTTAGTCTTCCGCTTTTGGCTGCCGCCTTTGAGATCGTAGGTGCTCCATGGTCCCCGAGAGTTCCTCACAGGGTTCAAGCAAGAGTCCTGCCTTTCTTTCCCCCGACTTCCCATCTCGGATTGTTTCCACGTCCTCTCTCTTCCACGAAACATCACCACTTCCGATGCCCCCGTCCATTCTTTCGTCCAACTGTCCCTACACCGTCTTCGCTCGTCCTACGTTGCTCCCTACCCTTGCTACCAACCTTGCTCCCATACCAGTCTCGCTTCAGTGCTCTGGCTTTTTTTGTTCTTTTGTTTCTCTCTTGTCTGTTTCCCGACTCACTACGTCAACTGCTTCTTTCCTAAACCCTAGCTGGTATTAGACGCCTGCTAGCTCTGTCCCTCCCATCGCGGCCAGTGTGTGTCGACCATTCTTCAACTTCAGGCGTATGTCTCTGCTTCAAGAGTCCAAGCGCGTTTCTCCTTTGCGTGTTGAAACCCTCCTGCTTCAAGACTTGACATTCCCCAAACTAACACCAGTTCTCTAGATGATGGCGGCCCTTGCCGAGATGGACCCCGAGCTGAGAGACGTCCAGCCCCGGCCTATTCCGCTAAAGTGTATCCTGTGCCCGAAGAAGCCGTCGTTCTCCGACATATCCCATCTCTTGACACATGTCTCCTCAAAGTCTCATCTACACCACAAGTTCAACATAGAGATGCGTGCCAAATCAGAATCAGGGGCTGAGGACACCCTGAGACGGTACACGAAGTGGTACGACGACAATGGAATTGAGACTCTGTTGGCTGAACGCCTCTCTTCCAAGGAGCAAAAGAAGACTGGACGGCGGGGTCGCCCGCGCGCCAACGTAGTAAGATAAACGCCAATTTGTTATTGAAGTACTTGTACTGAAGCATGACTCTTCAGTCCTCAGCTCGCCCCTCGACACGTCAGCCCATACCCGTCAAAGCAGATCCAGACGACGTCTTCACAGACGCAGATCACTTGCCCCCGGTCGGGGTGTGGAATACCGCTGGGCCGCACCGCTCCCTCTGTCATCCTAACCCAAATCAAGACCCGCGTTTGGATGACTCGGCATATCACACCCCTTTGGCAAAGCGAATTCGTTCACCATACCAGCTATTGGACTCTCCAAGTGACCCTTTCCAGATCAAGTATGAACGCTCAAGGTCGACCACCGAGACCTCCGACAGCCTCGTTGCTTCCGAGGTTACCACTGCTGTCACCACGGAGAACACAGACGAAGATGGACACGCGAGCAAGCTTAAGGGGGTCATCTGGCCCGGTATGGACCTCTTCGACTCGGCCACCCCAGATCAGAAACGAAAGCGCAATCAGCGCAAGGACGGCTCAGTCCTTGAAAACATGAAGATGACTTCTCAGGCCGTCACGCCGACAGAGTGTATTTGGGGCACAGATGGGGAGTACCAGCGGAGCCGTGACATCTACGCAAGCCCCTCTATTGACGGTAGTCCTCTACCGAAGACTACTCGGAAGAAGCGCGTGCGGTCGCCCCCTGAAAGCCCCACAAAGGCGAAGAAGGGTAGGCAGCCCAGAGGCAGAAAGCCAGGGTTTGATGAGGCGGCAGGCAAACGCCGGCGACAGCCCCTCGCCGACGTCACCACCACCCGGCAGACGAGAGCATCTACGAGAGCTGCTGGACAGCTCAAGAATAACTTCTCGGTCAAGACCGATGCGACCGATGATGACCTGGACGATATGATCAAGCGGGAAGATGAAGCACCCTTTCCAACTCGCGGGATCATGAGAAACGCTCTTGATGTTTTCGAGGAAGAGGCCCCTTGCAGCCCGGGTGAGCAGGTGTCATGCTCTCCGGAGACCCTAGGTGTTGACCTGGGCTACCCAGGTCGCACCGAGAGCCCAATCGAAGAGAATGAGTGAGCCCACCTTCTACCCTAAGCTGTCCCGTACTCATTGCTGACATTTGTGCTTCGCAGCTTCGACCTAGGACCACGCACCACGCTGCAGCCCATCAACCCGAACCTGCTGCTGGCGTCACCCCTCCCTCTCTCGAGGCAAACTCCGGGTCTCCGTTTCTTCAACAACTCTATTGACACGTCGACTCTCGGATACCGACAACACTCGACTTCCTACTCTCAGCACTTTCTGGGCGGCGGTCACACCATGCCGCCTAGTATCTCTGAAAGCTTGACCTTTACCCCTTTGTACTCGCAAGCCCGCATGGGATTTGCGCAGTATCAACCCTACGGCTCAGTCCTATACGATGATGGGTCCAAGGAGACCCACGGTGGCTTGCAGTCACATGCTAGCCGTCTGGACTACGGCGCCTTCTCTCTTTCTCAGCCATCGAACCCATATGCTAACGCGACCCAACGGCACACCACGGATTTCGATATTTGAGTGGCAGGGCATCCACTCTGACTCTTTTTCTGCGTTTAATTTTGCGTTGCCTAAGCATATCTCCCAGAGCGGCAAGCCCGTTCAACTTTCCTGCTTTCCACAGTTTAAAAGATACCTGCAGCAGACCGTTCGATCCTTAAGGAATATTTCTCTATCCGCGCCAGCAAAGAAGTAGAAGAGGCTGGTGGAACTCGGTGCAGACTGTAGATCATATGTTGGGATTAATGGCGTCTAATCTTGCTCTGCAATTGGGGAATATCCCTTTCAAAACCCAGAAAAAGTCCGTTGGTATCAAAGTAGTCAAGCTCCAATTCCATATAGCTACACTAGTCAGACAAAGACGAGAAGAATATGCGCCTTAACATATATCCGCTGCCTCCCGGTTCATGGAGAGGTGCTCTGCTCCCAGCTCTCGCTTGTAACAAACCAATTTGGTTCCTCTAGGATACTTAAGTCTAGGATACTTAAGTACAACTCACACTGCTTACAGTTGCTCGATGCTGGATATCAGATGGTCGAGTTGGTCTGGACCGTCACCTAGCACGTCGGACATGAGCCTGGCTGCACCACGAAGCCTGCGCATCTTGACTTCGTCCTCTAGTTCGCGAGACTTGTGCCTCGCCACCTCGATAACCTTTTTGGGTATCCTCGCCAGGCGGGCCACGTTGAGGCCGTAGGACCTGTGCGCCACGCCTTCGCCGACCTCGTACAGAAAAGTGATCTCCTCCTCCTCGTCGTCGTCGTCGTCACCGTCGTGATCCACGTCTTCTTCTTCGTCTCCGCCGCTGTCTCGGCCATCCGCTGCTTGGCGCCCCCGGCCCCCGGCCCTCGAGGCCCGGAAGCGCATGTGGACGTTCTTGACGAGGCCGGCGCCGAGCCCCTCGGCGACGCGGGCCAGGTTCTGGTAGTGGGTGATGAAGAGGGTCAGGCAGCGCGTGTGGCGGGCGACGTGGTCGAGGACGGCGTGGGCGATGGCGGCGCCGTCGTGGGTGCTGGTGCCGCGGCCGAGCTCGTCGAGGACGACGAGGCTGCGCGGCGTGGCGGAGCGCAGGATGGCGGCCGTCTCGGACACCTCGACCATGAAGGTCGACTCGCCGGCGAAGAGGTTGTCGCGGGCGCCCATGCGCGTGTGGATGGCGTCGGCGAGGGTCAGGGCCATGGCCGTCGCGGGCACGAAGGAGCCGACCTGCGCGAGCAGGGTGAGGAGGGCGACGGCGCGGACGAAGGACGACTTGCCGCCCATGTTGGGCCCCGTGACGAGGTGGGCCAGCGGGGCCGGGGAGCTGAGGGAGGTCGAGAAGGGGATGTAGCCCGTCGGCAGGGTGTGCTCGGCGACGGGGTGGCGGCCGCCGGTGATGGAGATGGTGGGCGGCTCGGACGAGGGCAGGATGGTCGGGCGCGTGTAGCCCGGCAGGGCGGCGACGCGAGACAGCGAGAGCAGGCAGTCGAGCGTGGCGAGGGAGGCGACGGCGTCGCGCAGGGGCTGGTACTCGGCGGCGACGGCCCGGAGCAGGTCCGCAAAGGCGGCGTCGCAGGCGGCGGCCAGGGCCTCCTTGTGCTGGTCGCGCTCGCTGATGAGCCGGACGACCTCGGGCGTGTGGAAGCGCGAGACCTTCTTGGTGCCGCTGATCTTGGCCCACGAGGCCGGCACGTGCTTGAGATCCGCGTTGGAGACCTCGACGAGGTACTCTATGCCGGCGACCGTGACGTAGTCGACGGGCTTCTTCCTCGACAGCTTGGAGGCGGCGGCCGCGCGGTGCTCGTCCAGCTCCTGCTCGACGGCGGCGATGCCGAGCTTATGGTTAGTAATGTCCTCGGTCTCCTCCGCCTCCCGGAAGAAGGCGTACTTGTCGTTCTTACGGGCCGCATCGGTGCTGATCTTGTCGAGGAAGGACACGACGATGTCGAGGATGGCCGGCAGGGAGGCGATGGCCTCGCCGATCAGCGGAGACTGGAAGCCCGTGTCGGCGGGCGACTTGACCGCGGCATACTCGGTGGCGATAGTCTGCAGCGTCTGAAGCACAGCGAGGAGCTCGGGGCGTGTGCACTTGCCGTAGTAGATGCGGATGAGGCTGCGTTCCAGGTCCGTTCTGGTCTTGACGAGCAGCTGCTCAATCTTGTCCACCTTGGCGGTGGACTGGTTCTCGAGGAGCTCCGCGACCGCGGCCACACGTTCCTCGAGGCGCTCCCTATCGAGGAGCGGCCGGCCTATCCACTTCTTGAGGAGCCGTTGCCCGAACCGAGTCTGCGTCTTGTCGAGCGCCCAGAGCAGACTGCCCTTCTCCGAGTGGTCCGTCTGGTTCCGGTACACCTCGAGGCTCTCGAGCGTGGTGCCGCTGAGCAGCATGTGCTGGCGGGTGCTGAAGGACTGGAAGTACTTTGTCAGGTCAAAGATGTGCTCTAGACCGTACTCGGTCAGGTGCGTGATCATGGCCGACAGGCACACGGTAACGGGCTCCGGGAGCTTGAGGACCTTGTCCAGAAGCGCTGCCGCCTTGTCATCTTGGGAGCTGTCCTTGAGCTTGCCGGCGTAGAACTGCGTGACGTGGGAGTAGGCTTCGGCGGCCATGGTCTTGCCCTTGGCCACACGCTCGACACGCGTCCGGTCGCCAAAGACGTTCGTCGCGCTGCCGGAAAGATGCTGCACGAGCTTCTCGCTTGCCTTGGTCAACTCGCCGACGATCAGGAGCTCGCACGGTGAGATGTGCAGCAGGCGGGTCTCGATCTCGCTCCTCATGAAGCCGTCCTCAAAGTTGTCGTATATGATGTCTCCCGTAGCCGGCTGAACGGCCAGGATGCCGACATCGACCTTCTCGTCGGTGCCCCAACCTTTGGCCTTGGATTCGGTAATGCACAAGAGGTAGCCACCAGCCGGCGCGCCCGACTGGTCACTGCCCTGGTCAAGCTCGCCGAGTTCATCAATGTAGGTGCCTTTGGTGTAGACATTGGTGAGCTTGCGGACAAAGGGCGCGTTCCTGTTGTCTCCGGCCTTCTTGAGGGCGGCCGTCTCGAGCTGGCGGACCACGCCCACCTTGTGGCCGGCAGCGACGAGCCTCTTTGCGTGGACTGGGAGCCGGTGCACGGGGATGCTGGCCGATGCAAAGCGGTCTAGATGGGCCTCGGAAGGGTGCTCGTCGTATCTCATCTTTCCGGGAATGCAAACAATGCTCAGCTCTTTGGCGGCGATGCGGGCATCTTCGCCAAAGAAGCGGAACTTGTACCCAACTTCAACGATCAGGATGGTGTCCATGTGCTTTCTCTTGATGTCTAGGAATTGCAGCTCCATGGGCGTGAGCTTGCCGGTCTTGGATCCTTTCTTCTTCGACTTGGCCGGTGCCGGTGGCTCATCGTCCTCGGCAGCATCCGCATCGTCGGCGTCCTCTCCATCGGCCCCGTTGCCCTCGTCTGTATCGCGGCTCCTCAAACGGGACATGCTATCGGGGTGGCCGAGCTTCTTGACAAACTTTTTGTGTAGCTCTGCCTTGCGCTTCTTTGTCGCGGCATCCTCGTCGTCATCGCCGTCAACAAACATGGCTTCGCCGGCATCGGGATGGCTGTCATTGTAGACGTAGCGCTCTGTCCTGGCGCTCGGCCTCGGAGCGGGCGAGTGGGATGTCTGGGCGTCATCCTTCGGAAAGAAGCCGCTCTGCTCGACATCGACAGAATCGGCTGGTTTGGTGCGTTTGGCGGACCGATGCGGGCGGTTGTTTGCGATGTCGGGGTCTTCTTCCAGGGGTCGTTTCCGGGTGGTCTCGGCAGGCGATGGCGATGACGGGCTGTGCTGCGACTGGTGAAATGCGGCCGACAGGCCATTGACGGTCTTCGGGGTGAAGAAGCTGGTCAGAGACGACTGCTTCTTCTCTGCGGGCTTGGATGCGCCCGCCATATCGTGGAGTCGATGCCAGACAAGATGGGCTCCGCCGGTCAAACTAGCATTTGTGATATCATCGTTTCTAACGGCGTGAAGGCTTGGAAAGGGGAGACGCGTCTGTCTAGACTCTTTACGCGTTAAGTGCTATCTAATCAGCCCGGAAAGCTGCAGGTGGTTCAGTGTGCAGCTAGGTAGTGGGCTAATTAGGGTCGCAAGTAACTACGTGTACTCCGCAATTGACTCCAATTGTAGGCAGTCTCCTCTCCTTTGCAAATCTTCATCTTATATACCAGAGCTCGACCACTTTTTGCCCTGCCCAGGACCCCTCAAGACTAGTATGAGATGGAGCTCAAGGTACCGACTACCTGAATATCACCTTTATTTGCGCAGCGAAGGGCCTACGAGGCTGGACCCTAGCTCGAGAGGAACGAGGGCTCCAGGGTCCCATTTTACGAACGCGAGCAGTGAGGGCTAATACAACCCCATTCCTTGAAGGCTGCGTTGCAGGCAGTCCCTCTAGTGAACTGGTATTGGGCGACCAGGCGCGAGACTGACCAGAGACCACCTTTCACGGGGGTTCAATGGTGTTTCTAACAGAATCTATCCTCGGTTCTCACGGAGATTCGAGGTCGACGAATCAGCCGCCAACACCATTGCTCGCCGATGGCTCCGCGAACTCACTCAAGCTTCGCAGCCTGGAAAGCAGTCACGGGCATGGGACCTTCCGGTTTGTCTCGAGAACACAAAAACCAAAATGATCCCAGGCAATCCTTTTTTTACCACCTTTATAGAGCACCTTAGCTAGGTAATATATCCTGATTAGGCACCTGAGTTAATGTACTTACATTACTTACAAGTCACTAACCTTGAGGCTTGCCATCATTTTCGAGATAGCTTCATCGATCCGTCCACTATCCACGTATTGTAGCCATGGAATTGAGCAGGGCCTTTCTATTTAGACACACACACACACACACACACAGCATGTACGTGATGTGGATTACTTGGCCAAGGAACGAAATACTGGCTCTATATGGAGCAAACCGCTTCATACGGTTCTCTGGTTCACCCAGGAAAGATCTCGGAAGCCCACGTACAAAGTATGACGATCTTAAATCCCTTCTTCTGGTCGTTATGTCCTCATTCCTTTGCCATTCCACATCTGCATCAAAATTCAGCAGAAACTCAATCCTTTGTCAAACATACGTCTGCCAACGCGCGCCCACGTATAAACGCCTACAGATACACGCGGACACAGCTATCCATAAAACACATTCATCATGGAGTCAAAAGTCGCGGTCAATCTGATCAAGACTCGCTTTCTCGTTCTTTCAGACACCCACGGCATGGCCTTCACGCCCGAGAACCATCCCCTTCAACTCGAGAACCGCACCCAGCACGTTGATGTCGCCATCCACTGTGGTGATTTGACAGAAGAGTCCAAAACCGCCGAGTTTATCACCACTCTCGAGCTTCTAAAGAGCCTCGATGCAAAGCTCAAGCTTGTTATTGCCGGCAACCATGACTTCACGTTGGATGTTCCAATATTTAAAAAGAAAGTCGCAGAAGCCATTCCAGCTCTTCGAGCAGACGAAGTGAGCAAAGAATACGGCGGCTACGGCGAGATAAGGACTTTATTTGAGGATGCAAGGCAGTCTGGGATTATGTTCCTTGACGAGGGCACCCATCACTTTACGCTCGATAACGGGGCAAGTTTGACGGTATATGCCAGCCCTTACACCCCTTCACGGGGTGAAGGGGGATTTCAATATTCACCCCAGGAGGGGCACACATTTGCTATCGAACCCAATACAGATGTGGCTATAACTCATGGCCCTCCTAGGGGTATACTGGACTTTACAGACGCACATCAACGAGCGGGATGCAAGGATCTTTTGCAGCAGTAGCACGAAACAGACCAAGTCTGCACTGCTTTGGGATATCCATGAAGGATGGGGGGCTAAACTGGTGGCTTGGAGAGAGCCAAGCAGCGCCGAGCCATCTCATTTCACGGCCGTAGATAACGGCAAGTCTCAAGTAGTGGAGACCCTGGGCAGGCTTAAAGCTTCACGAGATGATGGGAAGCTACCACAACAACGATCCTATCACACGAGTCACTGCAGAGGCGATGCTTATCCTCTCAAGAGAGGACAGCAGACCCTCTTCGTGAATGCAGCCATTCAAGGGGAGGACGAGGCTTCAATGCAGCTGCCTTGGTTGGTCGACTTGGACCTTCTTCCGCCAGCCGATGTATCGTCTCGCAAACGGAAACAAGCACCGCCCGGGATCGAAGACGGCGAGTCGGTGGGGACAAGGGACAAGCGGATGAGGATGGCGAGCCCAAACGAGGAGTAGATGGAAACTCGACCTGGTTTTAGAAATATCTGATAAACGCTAGACATTGCATCCACATCCTCCTGCCGCGAGGCATTACGCTGTGATGGGGCGATGTAATTATTCTTCTGCAATTAAAATTGTTGCAGTAACCCATAACTTGTCTCTTTGTGATGACCAGCTACTTGTAACTCCTTGTGTAAACCCGCATATATCTTGTATATCATATCATCAACTACTTTTGCAACCACATGTTTACAAAACATAATTATATACCTCCAAGTCACAACCGCGCTTCCACCGTAGCCAGCCACCTACCTCTTCATATACACACGCGTCGGTGCAAGAGAGTTAAGACGCAAAGAACTCTTCTGGATTGTGCTCGAAAACACCAGTTCAGCCCCTAAAAGGGAAGGACGAAAGACACAGACTATTTGACCTGTCAGATCTTGTCCGCCTTCTCCGACTTGTCCACGTGCTCATCCGAGTGTGGCGAGGCCAGCGTCGCTCCCTTGTCGACAATGTGCATGTCCAGGTGAGCGACGTTGGCCTGGTCGCCGTCAATGACCTTGGCCAGCTCCTCGAGGGTGGGCCCACGCGTCTCGACGTAGAACCGCCAGACGAAGCAGAGCTCGAAGAAGATCCAGCACTGTGGGGTGTCAGTTTGATTTGTTCACCAGCCTTGGTTACTCTTTTGCTACAATTCCTTCCGGAGAGAGAGGGGGGAGCGGGCAACTTACGGTGTAGATGAGGTAGAACTTCCAGGTGTGGCCCTCGAAAAAGTCAAACGCGATGGGATTGGCGTAGACGTTGAGCGTCAGGGCCGCCTGGACGGACACGTTCATGATCATGAGGCCCTTGGCGCGCATGCGGTAGGGCAGGATCTCGATGGCGTAGCCGACGAGCAGGCCGGACCAGGCGAGCGAGTACATGACGCCAAAGAGCCAGATGAAGAATATCATGGCCTTGCTGGCGCCCTCGAGCCCGTGCTCCTCGTAGAGGCCCGAGGTCAGGGTCCAGAACACAAACGTGCCGAGCATGCCGCCGGTAGAGGCCAGGAACATGGGCCGGCGGCCGATCTTGTCGACGAGCAGGGCCATGGTCACGGAGACGATGAGCGCGAGCACCGTCTGCCCCGCCGACAGGCCGAGCTTCTCGGTCGAGTCCATGATGCCGGCCGTCTCGTACAGCTTGGACGTGTAGTTGGAGATGATGGCGTTGCCGGACCACTGGGAGAAGATGCCGAGGGACAGCAGGATGGCGAGGCGGTAGCGGTTGCCGCGGGTGCGGAAGAAGTCGACGTAACGGCTGTTCTTCTTGTTCTCAAACTCGAGGCGGATGGTCTCCTTGATCTCCTGGTACTCGAACTGGACGGTGGGGTGGTTGGCGTCGCCGTTGGCGTGGTACTTGGCCAGGATGGCGAGGGCCTGCTCGTGCTTCTCCTTGGCCATGAGGTAGCGAGGAGACTCGGGCACCCAGTAGATGAAGACGAGCTGGACGACGGAAGGAAGAGCCTGGACCAGGGCCGGGATCCGCCAGGACCACTCGTTGTTGAGGAAGTTTGTTCCAAAGGCGAGCCATGCGACCACTTGTTCTTCCGTCAGCTTGTGTCTTGAAGGGAGCGCCAGGGCAATATCGACTCACCCAATGCTCCCACATTCCAGAGGCAGTTGTAGACGGTGGTCAGACGGCCTCGGTGCTGTGGGTGGCAGAGCTCAGTGAGGAGCATGGGAGAAGCAATCTGGGCGAGACTGTTGCCGAAGCCAAGCAGGACGCGGCCACCCATGAATGCTGTGAAGCAAAGTCAGATGGGACTAGTGTGTATCTGCATTGGGCAGGTAAGGGGATACGAACTGGGTAGGTTCTGGCAGCTGCCCTGGAGAATAGCACCGACAATCATGATGCAGCAGCCCATGGCAATGGGGAGCTTCCGGCCCAGGTTATCGGTGATGAGCGGACTAGGCGATATGGTCAGTTTGGCATGCTTCTCCTTCTCCTTTCACCTGCCTGCGGACGTGTACTGACACAAATGGGATCGAGACCAAGCTACCGATCTGGTAGAGGGCGCCGAGGAGGCCCAAGGTCTGACCCTGTGGATCGCCGAAGAAGTTCTTCCATGAGTCGAAGTTCTGTACCGAGTTGAAGAACATGCTAGATATGATACCATAGTCAGTACTTCTGTCGTCCCTCAAGAGACTGTCGACACGATGAGGAGACTCACCCGTCATAGCCAGTTGTGGCCGAGGCCACACAGAGAATAAAGGCGTAAAAGTAGAGCTTGCGGAGACCCGGCTCCTTCCTCCAGTTGACCCTCTCGAACCGAGGTGCATCCTCCTGAGCGTGGCGGGTGGCCTCGGCCTGGGCCTTCCTGTTGAAAATACCCATGACTGCGGGAACGCAACTTGGGTTTACAAAGAATGAGTGAAGAAGCAAAATATGATAGAAGAACAAGGCCTATAAGGATTGACTTGGGCAGTTCCCAGAATGTTGAAAGAAAAGAAGCTTTGGGCGTGGAGGACGAGAGAAGGGCATTCTGATACGGCAAGTCTTGTCGCTAGGCCACTTATACATATATCAGACGCGAGAAAGTGTAGGACGATCATGCTCATCTGGTATGATGGACGGGACGGACCTCGTGCGTGTGGTCCATTGGTGTTGGTTGAGCTCATATTGGGCCGTCGAGAAACATATAGAGGCCAAAGTGTTTTAATCATGTTATGACAGGGTTTGTTTCGATATCGAGAGTGTGATTCTGGGTGCATGCTCGCCGAGAGGCCCGTTGACGCCCACAACAAGGGGCGGCTCGATCTATCAAGCGGCTGAATATGTTTATGTGCCTGCAATATGAGATCTCCAAGACACGGTTCGATATCAGAGCATGCGAGCGTCCGATGTTGAGACAAGAAGGATGCTATCCCTCCAGGGCCCCAAGTTGGAGGATGAGGCGACGATCTCCGGTTCCCCAGGTTTCACCGTCTGGCCTACCCGTGCTCTCGGTTCTGACGTTCACGCTTGTATATACATTGGGCCCAGCCATTCATGGCAGTAGATGCATCACTCCTCTCCATGGCACAGCTTTTGATTTGGACGAAAGCAGCTCGCTCGTCCCTTGGACTCGAGCGCCCGGATCGTCAAGTCGTCCAGTCCAGGTAATATGGCTCGGAGAACGTGCGATGCAAGCAAACCGAGATGCAGATGGCCTAATTAGAGTGTTTGAAATGAGGCTCGATCGTGCATTACCGAGCCCGGGAATAGAGGTTGGCTAATGCTTGGTGGTGCTATACTTGAGTCCACCGGGCCGGGATGGGATGGAACCTATCCAGAGAAGGCCAAGGAACAGGCCGGCGTGGTGTGCCAGGGTATCAATGGGATTTAGGCGGTAATCTAGAACATTATGTGACCTTCGTCGAGTGTGGTCGGTCTTCCTCGGGTAGGCACGTTATCATTGTGGAAACCTTGTATGCATTCCGATTGTTTAATATCACGGAAATGACTGGAGGCGCACGCCGATGTCCCTGTCAGATTCTCGAAGATTGAGGGACTCAGAGCAGTTGGGGTTACTCGGGTCTTCCCTGAAGATGCGCTGCAAATCTGGCAACACACAGCACGGACGGCACCGGCAGGCGGAGTGAAACCGGTTATGCAAGTCGACCGTTGTTTCATCTCGCCAATCTGCCATGATAGCCGGTAGCCCTGATGGAAGTGGACTAAACGCAATGAATGCGCTACGGCTCATCGAGTGTAGAAGCCGCGCCGATTCAAGTTCTGGAGTCGGCCCTACCGAGAAACGTACAGGAGAGAGCCGTGCCTGTTGTTCCGAAATGACTTGGAGGCACTTCGTTAAGCAACATGGCCTGTTTGCTGTACCATTCTGAAAGGAAAGCGTCCCTGTCAAGGGTGTGCGAATCGTAGATAGATGCCACGAGAACAGGAAAGCTAAAGTTGTGATGAAATAAGATTCTATTTTCCACATGTCAAACGCCTCGCTCATATATGCCCTATATACACTTTGAGCTACATGCCAGTACTCCGTAATCCATCCAAAATTACATCCAGAGCCTGCAGGTCCCATCGGCACCGGCAGAGACACACCACGGTTCCTTCGGGTGCCAGTCGACATCCAATACACCGAGATGGTCGACGACCTTGTGACCCTTGAGCATTTTGAGCGGCACGATGGTGGGGTTCTCCATGAGGTCGCTGACGACCTTGCCGTGGAAGATCTGTAGGGTACCGTCGTCGCTGGCGTCGGCAAACAGTGGCAGGCCGCCTTTGTGATACTTGACGGACCGGATGGCCTTGGGATGGAAGCGCATCACCTTGAATGGGCGGGTAGAGAGGTCGAGGTCGTGCCAGAGCAGCCTCCTGTCATGAGAACCGACGATGATGTTGTCACCGCCGTTATGCACGTCAAACGACGAGATGGACTTGGCGCCTGGCTGGATGATTTTGACGAGCTCTAGCTTCTGCAGGTCGTAGCAACGAATCTTGACCTTGGTGGCGACAAAGAACAGGGGTCTGGAGGGGTGGAAGTGGGCAGTCTGGGGGTGATCGGACAGTTTGCGGAAGGGTATCTGTGTAAGATGCTTGGAAAGCGTGTGAATGGCGACCGAGGTGCGGCCGCCCGACGGCGAAACGGTGCAAAAGTGGTCGCCTCTCCTGTGCCAGCTAATGACCTTGACAGGCGACCGGACAGTCACCTTGACAATGACACCCTCGTCCTCCAGACGCGCGGTGCCGGGCTTGGCCCACTTGGCCGGAGGCTGCTTCAGGTCGGTGGGCTGCTGGTTCCCGTTGGCAGCATAGCCGAAGCCGGCAGCGAGCACGTCCCGACTAGCTTGTTCTAGCTCCGGGTTGATAACGGGCGGGACCATCATGAAGATGTCTTCCCCGGCGGCGGCCGAAAGCACAAAGGCATCCTTGTTGGGCCGCCAGCGTACACAGTCCACGACGTCATCACTGCTGAGCGTAACGCTCCAGACTTGGCGTCCGGTCAAGAGCTCCCAGAGGCGAACCGTACCGTCGTCGCCACCCGTCGCCAACCAGCACCCAGTAGGATCAATAGCCAACGACCGGACGCGGCCTTCGTGACCGCGGAAAATGGTCTGGCAGACCGTTGGGAACGGCTTGAGCTCTTCGGGGCGGGGTAATTTGGGGAGGAGCGAGTTCGGGTCGATGTTGAGCCTGTTCTTTCGAATTCTGGGCGCCAGATACAGATCTAAGCATCGCTCAAAGCGCTCCTTCACAAAGGTGTCGTAGGCCGGAACCTTGCGCAAGGCGTCGTGCTTGCTTGGCAGATACTCTTTCTCGCGCTCCTCGGGGTCGATATTCTCCCAGGCTTCCTTCTCATCCTTCGTCGGGAGGTACTCGGGCGGAGGGTTGTAGCTCATGTCGTAGCCCGGAGGAGGAAGTTTGGGAGCTGGGATATGCATCACATGAGGTTCTTGCGGCTGCTCATCCTGCCACAGGTCATAGTGATGCTCTTCCTCTTCCTCCTCCTTCTCTCGCTCCTCGGGAGGCTTGTAGGGCAGGATCCTTCCCTCCCGGATGGCTCGCACCAGCTTCATGACCCTCTTGGCTTCGTGCTTGGAGGGCAAGAAACGACGCTTGGGCTCGGGTGCAGCACTCAGAGGCATCTTTTCCTCAATACCGGTAAAGTATTCCACGGTATCCTGTGTAACATGTCATGTCAGTTTTTGCCTCGGGCCCGGTTCCGCCACGAGCACACATACCGGATAAGGATCGTAACCGTCCTCTGGCAGCTCATTCATCTGGACGCGCTTGAGGAGCTCTAACTCGTCCTGGCTGAGGTTGAGAGGCTTGCCGGTCGAAGGGTCTGTGAGGCCAGTCCAACCCTTAGGCACCTCTATGCTGTCGAGAAGGGCATCGAGAGCGTCGCCCGTGGCCGGCCGCATGATCTTCTTGCCGTTGATGTCATAACCAATGTGCGGGTACGAATCGTAAAAGGACAGAGGGATGTTTCCAATCGTGTTGACTGGCTCGTTGGCGTCGGTATCATCCGAGTCGTACACGGGGTCTATCTCGTCGTATATGTACCGCACGCCGCCGTTGGCATCCGTGGTCACTCGGTAGTTTGGTCGGTCTTGGTCGTCTAGCTGCTCGTCGGCAGGTTTCCCAAGATCCGCAGCCAGCTTCTCGAGACCGTCCTCAAGCTCCTCAGGCTCCGAGTCAAAGGAGGCATCGTCGCTGTGTAAGGGTTCATCATCTTCGTCGCCCGACCCTTCTTGATCTTCCTCGTCGAAGTCTCCGTCGCTGCTGAAGTCTTCCGAGTCATCTTCGCTTTGTGACAATGCCCCATCAAGCAAGTCATCCGGGATCTCGCTGTCCGACTCCTCCACCTCCTTGACCGGAGTTTTCCGCTTGCGTGCTGCGTTTTCGGGAGCCATTGCTGCTCGGTGTTGCGCTCTGCTCTCGACCTGTGAAGTCTGAGACGGCTCCAGTAGGCACTAGGATCTAGAAATCTACCAATTTCTCGAACTTTTTTTTTCTGCCATGGTCGGCGGGGAAGCTAGCATGTCTTGGGCAGCACGGTCCACTCACCGCCTTTTCTGCTTCTTGATTCTGTTAGATCGACACCTCGATGCCCACTCATCTCCACCCCTCAACCATTCCCTTCTCAGCCCTACAACGAGGGGGGTATTCAGAAGCTGCATCACGACCGTTGCCTGGCCCCAGGACAAGAATGTCATTATCTCCAGTAATCAGGCATTTTATTGAATAACTGGATTTTCTCCCATGTTTGCTTCTTCAAGACGACAGATATTGTCCACCGTGTCCATCTCCCGACATCTTTTTGGTCTACGAGTCGTGCCGGTCTGGCCTAGTACCCGTTATAACGTACCGGGGCAGAGCCATTTGGAATCGTGCACTCCGTGCCGACACTCGACAGCGATAGCCAGCTGTCTCTCTCTGCTCATCAAGGTGCAAGCAAACAAGACACTGCTCGGCTTGTTAGTGCTGGCCGACAGCTCCAGGCAGTCGACCCCACATCCTTGATTACGTACGGAAACTTGCTCAGGCACGAGTCCGAAGACCCCGATCCTGCGCGGCTCCTTCAGCCCGCTCGGAGACTTTTCTGGCGGTCACCTGATCGCCTCGAGTTCGTGTTGACACTTCACATCAAGCCCATTGCGACTCAAAAGACGTCAGACCCCCGTCTTGTATTGTTCCTGTGAACCCTGGCTGTCGTCGGAGACATTATCCGCTTGCAAGGAAGGAGAAATGGCGTCTGTACCGGCCCAGGCCGATAAGGCCAAAGAACCCCAGAAGCATCGCGCGTGCGATGAGTGTAGTATGCCATTTCCTCCATTGACCCTTACCAGGTCACACTCTTTGCTGTGCAACAGCTGACCCGGGCGGATGTAGGATCGCGAAAACTGGCATGTACCAAGGAACCGGACGGCTGTGCCCGTTGCAAGAGGGAGGGCATCAAATGCCATTACTCCCCGCAGAAGCCCATGGGCCGGCCCCGGAAGCGGCCCCATGCCGAGGTTGCGGGGCCTTCCGACCCGGTGGTGGCTGATGCCGAGGTCCCGATGGATGTGGATTTTCCCTTCCTTGATCCTACTGCCCAGGGACTGGAGTTTCTTGATATATTAGGCGCTGAGAACGCCTTTTCCGAACCAATCCACGTCCAGTCGCAGAAGCTGCCGCCACAGTCCAAGGGGGTCTTTGCTGGTTCCTGGCATTATGACTTGCAGGAGATCGACTTTGACACTACCAACTCCCCGCCTGAGGCCAGCCAGTCATCCGCGCCGTCGACCGCCGTGAGCCCCGACGCGATCCTCCAAGACTCGTACTCCCCGGCAGGAAAGACTCACAGCCTCTCTTCACGGTCTTCCGTCGCCGCAGAGAATGCGACCGCCGATCCGCCGCCACTCGGCATTGTCAACGCGCAGAATGCGCTCTGCGGTTGCCTTGCGAGCATCTACCTTGCCCTGGACTCGCTGCAGCAACTGCCCAAAGAGGTCGGCCCAGCCATGGGCCTGGCACGAAATGCTGCCAAGACGGCGCACAACACCATATTTTGCCCCGTCTGCTCCCCAGAGATCACTGACCCCAACCTTCGTCCGCCGGTGCAGAGCTACCAGAATCTCATGATGCTCTGTGCCCTCCTCCCCACCATCGCCAACACGTACAATGCCATCCTCGCCATGATTGACGCAGAGGTGGCCAAGGCCGATGCCGAGAATCGGTATCTGACCTTCAACCTAGACGAGTATGGTGGTCTGTGGGGACGCATGGCCGGCCTGGACTCTGTCTGCGGTGCTGCTGCCCATTTCAACAACGCCGTTCTCGAACCCTCCATGTGGCGGCGGACGGTCAGAGCGCTGCTCAAGATCGACGTGTACGGAGTCAATACGCACAAGGACGACTTGACATCGAGATACTGCCAGCCGTGCACCCAGATTGGGTTGAGGGATATCTTGGAGCTGTTGGAGGCCAGGTCAAAGACGCGTCATGAATTCATGGATAACGCCGTACGAACCGGTCAGATTAAGCTCAACGATGGCCACTGCTACAAGATTCTTCCTCCAGGCAGCAAGCACCCTTGCCAACAGATTATTGACATTGCGAGGCAGGCCATAGACCAGTTGGTTGTGGCCTAGTGTCACGCAAGACTTGTTTCATCCTCCAGAGCTCCAGATCCAGAGAGCTTCTGGAATACCACAACTCGGTCTTTGGAACGCCCGGGGACAGCCCCCCCTCATCATAGATACCCACTTGGATTTACAAAATCAACGGACTGACAACGTGCAGAGATGGAAAGAAAGGCAAGAGCATTTTGGATTTGACACGGGAGTCCGGGATGGCTCAGGGATACGGACATGGGTACTGGCGTTGGCGTTCTTCATCTCACGATGTCCAAATATGCAATTTCAATATGTCCGTGAAGGCAGAATTGGGTATATAATGACACAAGCATATCCAGCTAATAGTACGAGCTCCTTCCTTCGTATTCGTCCTTGGTACCAGGGAATTGGCCTGGTCCCGATGTGACTTGCTGCCCTTCATCCTCGGAGCTCTCGGCGTTGCCGTAGTCGTCTGCCACTTCTGGAGGCGCTCGCATGGCGTCCAAGGCGGACGCGTCGATAACCGGCGGTTCATACGCCTTGATCTGGTGGATCTCGCGACCCGATGGCATCTGCGCCAGAAGTGCGCCCGGGGGCGGGACGAGTTGTGTGTTCATCTGCAGCGCATTAGCATATGGCACTTGATTGGTGAATTGTAGCGAGCGGTCTTGCTTGCCGTATCGTTTTGCTTCGTCCATTTTGCCTCCAGCATCTCAATCACCCGTGTCTCCTCGAGCTTGCCGGCATCGGCGCCCCAATTTGACGACCTCTCGACCTTGCGGTCTTCCCTCTTCTCCGACCATTCCTTTCGCAGCTTGCTGAAACCCAGCCCGCTCCTCTTCTGCTCCTTCTCTACGCCGAGCTCTTGTAATGCGGCGTGGAGCCACCCGATCGCATTGCCGGTCTGCCCGCCCAGCTCCGCATCAATGCCGAAGAAACGACACGCCCTGGCTCGGCTCGTCCGCCTCAGGTCCTCCAGGTATCTGACAAACGTCTCGTTGACCTTGCCGCTGCCCCTCCCGCCGCCGCCCTGGCACAGCGAGTAAGCCTGCGCCGCGTGCTCCGACGCGGCGAGGCACAGCCGCGCGAACAGGTGCGCCCGCACCTTGGGGATGTCGGGCGCCTTGAACATCCACTCCATGTCGTTCTTGTTGCGGTCCTGCGCCGCGACGGCCGGGTACGGGTCGTCCTTGAGGACGGCGAGGAGGGTCGCCTCGGCGAGGGCCAGCTCCCGCTGCGCCCGGACGGTCGCGGCGCTGATGTCGACGGCGCACGCCGGCGGGGCCTGAGCCCGGTGCTCGGCGGCCCCGGCCAGGTAGTCGTAGACGGAGGCCGCGTCGAGCAGGTGCTTGGTCGCCGCGGTGATGGCGCCGTGGCGCTCCTGGCTGCCTATGGGCGCGACCGACGTGACGTAGAGCGGCTGCAGGGCGCTGCGGGCCTGGAGGGTGTAGGCGTTGGCCAGGGACGAGAGGACGAAGGAGAGCTCCTGCTCAAGGGACTGGATCCTGCAGCGGGCGGCTTCCTTGCCCGGCACGGCGCTCTCCGAGAGCGTGGGCCTCCATTCTATCGCCGGCGGCGACTTGGTGGCGACCTTGATTTGCTCGCCGTGGAGTGGCCGGTTGCCAAGCCCCGACTCAACGGCAGAGAGGTAGGGCAGATAGCTGGTGAGGCTGGAGATGACCAATGGGAGGTTCGGTGCCTGGGATATGGGCGGGAGACGCTTGTGCTTCTTGAGCGTGTCTCTCACAACCCCACGGTACGTGCTGGCGTTGAGGGGTAGTGAGGGATGTGTCTCACATGTGAAGCTCGATGAGTATGAGAAGGCGGACGTGGTTGGTAGGACAAATGGGAAGGGCATCGTGTCAGTGGGGGAAGAATGCACAGTTGAATGAAGCAATCGATAGTTCAACAGGTTGTCCTCATGATGGCCGTTCAAGGTCTTGGGATTTGTGGCTTGGCAATGTGCATTATCAGAGATCTATGCTACATATCTCGGCATTGACGTACGTCGAAGTATTCTGATGTTACAGGACGAGTCGTACAACTACCCCGCTAACAAGGCCTAGGGCGGCTCTGTAAACATTGACATCACAGGCGACGTTAACAGCTGGTTCCCCACTAAAGCACCCCAAGTCAGGCACGCTGGGGCTCAGGGGTCCGGCAGCTCAAATCTCCGATCCGGGACGGCACTTAGCTAATCGCCAGCACATCAATGCACCAGAGCTCCGGAGCTTCAAGCTGTGCTTCGCGCTTTCATCTCCAACCGCAATTGTGCACCCGCCCGCCTCTTTCAGTCCTTTAAGACGCGGTCAATGAGACAAGCCAGTTGCGATTCACTCTACTGTTGGTAATGATGGCCGGCCCCTCGTCCCATAAACCCCGGCGCAAGGGCAAGAACCCAGAGCACCTCACCAAGTCCGAGGCCCTTGTGCGAGCTCCGGCCTTCCCACTGGCTGCCTTCCTCTGGCCAGCCAGAGCCTCTGTGTCGCAATGGGAGCTCCTCCCGCTCATTCTCATGTTTGTCGGCCTGTTTAGATGGGCGGCCGGCTTCTGGGGCTACTCGGGTATGGAACCTCTACACGCGCCGCCCCCCTTCCAAGCCGTCTGCTGACCTGATGACCTGCAGGCTTCCAGAAACCCCCGATGTATGGCGACTACGAGGCCCAACGGCATTGGATGGAGATCACAACACATCTTCCCATTTCACAATGGTATTTCCACGACCTGCAATGGTGGGGTCTGGACTATCCGCCCTTGACGGCCTACCACAGCTGGCTCTGCGGCAAGATCGGATCGCTTATCGACCCCTCGTGGTTTGCCCTTTACAGCTCGCGTGGCTCAGAGGACCCCATGCTCAAAGTATTTATGCGCGGCACGGTCATCGTCTCGGAGTATCTCATCTACATCCCTGCAGCAGTAGTATTCGTCCGCAGGTTCAGCAGGTTCAGTGGCGTCGCGACTTGGTCCTCTGCCGTCGCGCTTGTGGCCATTCTCATGCAGCCCGCCACGATCCTCATCGACCACATCCACTTCCAGTATAACACGGTCATGTTGGGCTTTGTGCTGGCGAGCATGTCCAGTATGCTTGCAGAGAGGTACCTGTGGGCGTCTGTGTTCTTCGTCGCCGCTCTGGGCTTCAAGCAGATGGCCCTCTACTACGCCTTTTCGGTTTTCGCCTACCTGCTCGGGAGCTGCACATTCCCCATCAACATCTCCCGGCTGCTGGGAATTGCTGCCGTCACAGCAGTGTCCTTTGCCATTCTTGTGCTCCCGCTGATCTTGGGCGCACTCTACGACACCCAGCGAGGTATCGATTCGAGGCCTGAGCTAGACGGCCCTCCGCCACCGCTCCCCCTCTTTCCCCAGCTTGCGAACTACCTGGACACGGGGGCATTCTACTATCCTGTTGTCGAGCAGATGGTGCAGATGGTGCACCGCGTCTTCCCTTTTGCGCGTGGCTTGTTTGAAGACAAGGTGGCCAACTTTTGGTGCGCGGCCAACGTGGTGATCAAACTGAGAAAGTACTCTCCGGAGCTGCTGCAGAGGCTGTCACTTCTAGCGACCCTGGCCTCCATCATCCCTCCGAACCTCGTCCTCTTCCTGCGACCGCGCAAGACTCTGCTACCGCTGGCTTTTGCGACGACGGCCTGGGGGTTCTTTCTCTTCAGCTACCAGGTCCATGAGAAGAGCGTGCTTCTCCCGCTGATGCCCATGACCCTTTTGCTCGCCGGGAAGAACGGGCTAGGCAAAGACGTGCGCGCCTGGGTCGGCTTCGCCAACCTACTCGGGGCCTGGACCATGTTCCCCTTATTGCAGCGAGTAGACCTGCGGGTACCTTATACCGTGCTCACCCTCCTGTGGGCGTACCTCCTGGGCCTCCCTCCAACATCCCTTAGTTTGTACCTACAGGGCAACGATGGGTCTCTTGGCTCCGTGGTGACAGCCCTTGTCCATGCGGTCTTTTACCTCGCCATGGTGGTTTGGCACGTTCTGGAGCTCTTTGCGACCCCGCCGCCAGACAAGCCAGACCTCTGGGTAGTACTGAATGTCGGCGTTGGGGCTGTCGGCTTCTGCCTCTGCTACTTGTGGTGCTTCTGGAGCTTGATTCTTGAAAGCGAGATCGTCCCGAGGTCTTGGTGGGCGGGCCAGAAGGAGAAAGCCAAGACTCAGTGATGCAGAGTCATGTTCTTTATGTACGAGACGGGGAAGGGTCTCCGGCTCTACTATGTGTATTATACATTTTCCCTTTGCTCCTGTGATACCCCGAAGAACAGACTTAATAATAGGTCGTCGGCTAGGATCCGGCCCGCCTTTAGATAATGCTTCTCGGTCTTCTCGGTCTTGCAATTGTGATGGACGGATATGGATCCCTTGTCCACCACGCCAGGCACCGCTGTCAGCACCAGTGTGCTGGCATTGTCTCAAGGAATGATGTGCACAGCGGACGCCACAGAGGCCCCTCGAGGTGCATCGCCCACGACCTAGTAATCCTTGAAGTCCCATCAAGCTCATTTACCAGGCTGGTTCGGGCTAGTGCTTAGACACCGCTTCCCCAGAAATGCTTCCCCACAGATTTGGTGAGGATTTCGGGACTCACTTTCTCTTCACAAATAACATTTGGACTGTCAGGCAATCGATTGGGGGTTTCCGCAACGATTCTTGAACCTCTCCAGACTACCCAAGGTACCATTTGTTATCCGCAGTATGTTGGAGAGCAAGTTCGCTCCTCTCCAATGCGCAATTGAGGGTCACAAGGGCTACATGCACTGCCGTTCCAAGGGACGGGGCACATCAGCAACTGGCGCAGGTCCGCCGTCCTTCATCCTTCAGCTTTCAGCCACTGCCCCACGACACGTTGGCACAAAGACCAAACCCGCACCTCGTGTCTGGACAGTCCTGGAAGGCAGACACGCAGATCAGTGACGAGAACTGCCACTCCAAACCTGCGCCGCAAATAGACAAGCGCTGTTTGCCGCACCTACCAAGCAGGGTCCGCTCGTCAGTAAGCAGTCTTCTGATGACAGTCTATGGATCACAAGCTAGGCTGGTTTAAGCTTGAGCGATCAATTTTCTTTGTCCATGTCTCTCTTACTTTTCATTGCGGGATCCGCATCATCCCGGTCACTCGACTCATCACATCCCGGGTAACTGCCCTCCAAGTCGGGGGCAGATGCGGCGGATCTTCCGCTTCGCTATGGGACAGGGGGGGACCATGGTTTTGGACCCCAACCAGGGCGAGTGAACTACATTCCTCTGGAATTTGCGATAAGCCAGCTCGCTTCATGAACGCCTATATTGACCCAAATCACGACCGGGTCGCATGTTCTGGCCACATTAGCCATCCCGGCAATAAGGATGGCGGGGTCGTGTATCCAGCCCGCGAAATGGGCCTCGAGCCTCGCGGGCCTTCGCGACAGAGAGCACAGTCGTGAGGTCTCTCTGAGTGACGTGACAAGGGACGGCCCAAGTGTGTGTCGATCACCGTCAGGCTCGATGCTACGTTCCTCCTTTCCCTCCACAGAGTGCATGTCTTTGTTGACCAGACGAGGCTTCCACGGCTCAAGATGATCAGAGCAGAGATAGCGTGAGAGCCGGTGTGGGCATGACTTGCATAGCTTGACTACATGACTATCCGTGCACTCGGTTTGAGTATGTCGAAGCTATCTGGCAATAACTCTCCTCTCTCCTTCGCACTATTTGACCTTGCAGCAAATCTGCCGCCATGGTTGCTATCCCCGGCCAGTTGTGTTGGTTCGATGACAAGTCGGCGTCGACCGAGCCGTCCAACATGCTACCCTGGCATTCTACATTTGGCTGCAGCATCCCATCCTGCACGTGTCTGCAGTCTGCTGAGCCAGCCCCCAACACGACGTCCAGGGTAAGCATGAGTGGGTGGGCATGCTTTTGATCTCCCTCTCAGCAGCCGAGTCCGGCCCTCGATGGATGCGAGGACGGGCTTCTCTCTTTGTTCCCCACCCTCTTTATCCTACATCGCCGTACTTGGCAATCTCACCCATCCGCAGCAACCTCCAACATCCTTACCACTCGCCTGCAGGGTGGCGCCGGGCGCCCTGCCCTCCAACTCGGACTGGGTGCGGCCAGAGTTTCCTTTGATGTACTTTCGTACCCGTCAGCATGAAGCTGATTAACATCAGCCATGCCGGCTAACCCCCATCCCATCTGTTTTTCTCTGCTCTCTCCTCTCCCCTCCCGCACTGGTTATTCTTCCCGACGCTTGATGGTTAGTCCCCAAGCAGTGGTGTCTTGCATTCGAACGACAGATGACCTGAAGAAAAGCCATCACGATGTCGCAGACTTTAGTCTTTCTCAGCCTCGCTTTGGCGGCGACGACTGCCGTGGCCCAAAAGGCCAGCACCACGTCCAGCGCGCCCGCCACGACCCATACCGTTGCTGTTGGTGCCGTACGTTGAAACCTGTCTGCCATTGAACCTGGGACCTCTTATGTTGACAGAGAACACAGAACGGCTTCAAGTTTGAACCAGACAATGTCAAGGCCTCCGTTGGCGATATCATTGGTTTGTACCAGCGATCTTTTGTACCGAGTCATGGAGTATCGGGACTGACATTGTCTTTCAGAATTCAACTTTTACCCGGGCGGCCACTCGGTAGTCCGCGCTGATTACAAGAGACCTTGTATTCCTTGGGAACTCTCGGGCGTGAATAGGCAACCGGGCTTCTTTTCAGGCTTCCAGAATCCGCATGTCTATTCCGGAGATGTAAGTCTTGAGATGCACTTTCACCCCTTGATCCTCCTCAATGGGCTGAACGATCATGGCAGGGCCCCAAGTTCCGCGTCCGGGTGAATGACACGGATCCCATCTTCTACTACTGCTCGGCTCCTGGCTCGTGTTTCGAGCAAAATATGGTTGGAGTCATCAATGAGGTGGGCCTTTTCTTCCCTTCTGGTGCTTGTAAAGACAAGGCAGCTAATGAAGCCATGCAGAGAGAGAATGCGACGCTCAAGGTCCAGAAAGAGTTTGCCGCCAATGCCACCTTCCAGCTCAATCCAGGCGAGCCGCTTCCGTCCGAAACTTCGAGCACCAAGCCGGCCCAGTCATCCAGTCCTCCTGCCTCGGGTTCGGACTCATCCTCGCACGGCTCGTCGCTCAGCGCCGGCGCCATCGCCGGCATCGCCATTGGCGGGGCCGCCGTGCTCCTCCTGGCCGGCGCTCTGCTGTACCTATGCGGCAGGAGGGAACGGCTGGACAGCCTCATGCACAGGCGTGACAGGAACTCGTACGCCGTGCCCCCTACGACGACGGAGAACAAGTACGACCCGAGGAGCCCCGGCCAGGAGACCTTCAATTCCCACTCGCCCTACTCGGTCCGCGACCCGTATGGACCGGGACCGCACAGCCCGCCGATGCATTCGCACTACACCGGCACTCCGCCGCCGCCCATGAGCCCCGGACACTCGCCGTACAACACGCACCAGGGCATGGCCCCCCCGCCGCCCATGTCAGGCGGGCAGCCCGGTCACGGAGGCTACTAGTATGTTAAAACCCATCCTCGCAAATGCTAGACGCATAAGTCCTTTGTTCTGCACCCTGCTAACGGCCGTACTCCAGCCCGACACAGTCACCGCCGCCACCGCCCGTGGAGCTGGCTGCCTCGTCGGACCCGGGCAACTCGCCGCTCCCCAGCTACAGAAACGAGAGGGCGCTGTCATGGGGCCAAGGGCCGGAAGTTGCGTTCCGGCCGGGGGCGAAATAACGTGTTGCTGTCTTTTTTGTTCTTTCTCCTTGTTCAACCGCCGATAGGAAGGGGGTTTTGTCTTTGCATACTACCGGCGTCTGGGAGAGTGTCCTTTTTACCTAAAATGAGATGGCAATGTTTACTGGAGGTTTCCTTTGGAGCAAGCTAAAGCTGGGAGGTTGTCGGCCTTCTTTCATTGCTAAAGATGTACAGGATTAGAGCTGGCTGGCTTTGTTTTCGATTCGCTCTCTCGATACCATATACAGAGTTATTCCTTCAAAGCATCGTCATGTTTGACCTCATTGCAGTTGAGGTCGATGATCATCCAGCCAGTACGAAGTACCAGGTCAAACTCGATGTTCTACTCAATAAACTAATTGCGGAAGCCTCCTGCATCTTTGCACAAGAGAAGGTCGTATCTGATGATCAAATGCCCACCTCCTTTAGATGAGCCCTTGAACCCCACCCCGACAGGCGCATAACAAGCGTGTAAGTGCCTTGGAAACCAAGGGTTGTGTCGCGCGTGTAACCTTGAGGTTGGCCATTTCAGAGGGCTTCTATTCTAGAAAACTGTCTGACCACTGGGACCATTAGAGGGTTCAGGAGACGCGCTTCTGATGCTCTGCATACGGACATCATGCTGTGGACAGCATGGGGAGTGATGGAGACGTGGTGTGTTCATCTATGTGCAGGGGGTTTATTAGCCGGGGGCGGCGCTTGGGGGGTAGTCTGACAATCTATTCTTAGCCGCCAAGCTGCTCATCCATCAGCAGCGGGGGACCGGGGGACTCGAACGATCTACCTGTTCGGGTCGATCGGTGCTTGACGTAGATTTGATGTGCAGACCTCCGAGCGGGCTCTTGGAGCTTTGTGGTTCTTGTGTAACTCCCTTGGAATAAGCAGGTGAACATGTCGCGCAATAAGCAGGTGAACATGTCGCGCTTCCTTGCCGCCCCGTGGGCATTGGGCGATGTGTAAGTGGCGTTGTTGCTGCTTGGTGGTGGTGTGGATATGGCTCTCTCCCTCTCCCTGGCGAGCTTCCTAATGCAGCCTTTGTCGTCCTGGCGGGAGTGCGTGAGACCCTCAAGTTGATCAAGACACTATGTCAATGTTTGCTTTAATTATGAATAAATTGTGTGTCCAGATTCGTGGCTCCTGCGAGAATGAATCCTGTCAATTCCGTCACTTGGAGTTGATTGCCAAGTGCATAAGTGCAGGCTCACGAGCTCTGGTCGTCAACATATATCATTCCCCAGGTAGCTTGTGAAGTGGCTCGAGAAACACCAGCCTGGACACAAAGGACACAGAAAAATGGCTAGAATAACCTGGTTTGAAATGACATCTCTGACTCTGGCTGCACCCACTGTCATCGTTCTGGGCTGTGCAACAACGATCATCGGCTGCTGGCATGGCATGGCGGGAGCTGGTTCGTGACGTAATCGCACAAAACAACCCGATCAAATCCTCGCTGCACTCGACTCGATGACGGGCAGTCAATTGAGCTTCTCGTTACCATGCTGTCATCAGCCTCAAATGTGGTCAAGTGAGAGGAGAAGCTGAGGGCCACAGAAGCGGCTGTCATCCCTGGTTGCACCTTGTTAGGTAAGGTACTACAGGTAGCGAGGGTAGGTAACTAAGTACCTAAAGTAGAGGACAAAGAGCAGCAAAGAGTGGCTTTCAAACGCCCGGAGCAGCTCCATCGAGCATGTGGTGCTGCTCCGGGGTCTGCCAGCCCCTACCCCACTGTCCGTGCATGGTTCCTTTCTGTTACGGAGGAACCTTGGGTCGGCAGTGGCGCGACCCCTAGAGCCAAGTACCCCGCTATGGGTGGTAACCGTTTGGATGGTGACAGCTGGAACTTTGTGAAGCTTAGTCCAGGCCAGGGCCCTCGCACGCTTCCGGCTTGAGGACACAGTGGTTCAATCCGCATCAAGGAGCTACATCACTGCCAGAACCCCCGTCCACATTTTTGTTCCAGCACAAGTGGACAGCATTCACGAACTCACTTCCCAGCCTCTCTTCCCCTCCCTTTCTCTCGCAGCAGCAGCAGCAGCTCAAAGCTCCCGATCGATCCTCATCGCCGCCTCGTATCTTTTCCTGTGGCCTTTCCCACCAAGCTTACTCAGTTGGTGCAACAGTCTCTGCTTTGTTTTGGCCGCTTCAATATCGCCAGACCCGCGCCCGAGCTTCCCTGCTCTCCTCCCGCCGCCCAGCTCTCAACCCCGGGAAGAGCTCGACAGTCTTTTCCAGCCTCCATCGTGCAATAGCGCATCTGCTCCTTGCACACACCGACTACCGTCCCATTATCCCATCAATATGGCGACGATGCGAGGTCCCACCGGCTACGGCATTGGCCAGCCCAATCCCTTCGGCGGCCCTGCCTCCCCCCAGGACCAGGAGAACTCGAGCCCTCTGGACGCCATTCGCGAGCAGACGAGCAAGATTGAGGACATGCTCGACACCATCAGCGAGCCCATCAAGCCGTAAGTCTCAAAGCTGCCTTTGCGCTCACAAAGAGCCGCCTGCGTGCTGACACCCCTGGGCTTCTCACAGCTACCTTCCCGCGATTGGCCGTTTCCTGATTGTTGTGACCTTCCTCGAGGACGCGCTCAGGATAATAACACAATGGAGCGATCAGCTTCACTACCTGCACGACTACCGCCACAGTAAGCCTCGGCCATTTCCAGAGCTCAGAGCCCCTACGAGCTGCCTTGCAAGAAGCTAACAAGCCATGCGCGCCACGCACAGTCTGGAGTGGTGTGACCCACCTCTTCCTCATCGTCAACGTGATCGCCATGAGCATCTGCTCGGGGCTCGTCATTGCCAGGAAGTACTCGGAATATGCCGTCGGCGGTCTCATTGCCGTTGTTGTCATGCAGGCCCTCGGCTACGGCCTGATCTTTGATCTCAACTTCTTCCTCCGCAACCTCTCCGTCATGGGCGGCCTCCTCATGGTCCTCTCCGACTCGTGGATCCGCAAGACGCAGGCCTTTGCCGGCCTTCCCCAGCTCGAGGAGAAGGACCGCAAGATGTACATCCAGCTCGCCGGACGTGTTTTGCTCATCTTCCTCTTCATTGGCTTCGTCTTCAGCGGCGAGTGGACGCTTGGCCGCATCCTCGTCTCCCTGATCGGCCTCGTCGCCTGTGTCATGGTTGTCGTTGGTTTCAAGGCCAAGGCCAGCGCCACGCTTCTCGTCGTCATCCTCAGCGTCTTCAACATCCTCGTCAACAACTTCTGGACTGTAAGTCTCTTCCACCTCTGTCGATCAGCCCACCATGCTAACTCGCCACGCATAGCTCCACGAACAGCACCCCCACAAGGACTTTGCCAAGTACGACTTCTTCCAGATTCTGTCGATTGTCGGCGGTCTTTTGCTGCTCGTCAACAGCGGGCCCGGCAAGGTCAGCTTCGATGAGAAGAAGAAGGTCTACTAGATGCACAGCCTAGCATGGCGTTCCTCTGCGCTGTGGAGAGGCAGGGGGAGAGACAATGGCAAACGGACAAAAGACGCAGAGGCTGGTGTATGAGTGGAACGGGCTCAACTTGTCAAGTCGAGGAAAAAAGTGATTTCGTGTGGTGGAGCGCAGTCGGTTGCATAGACACATGTGCATGCCGACGCAATATGATGAAAGAGGAGGTTTAGCAACATTGCAATGGCGTTACGCGAACACGTTGGGCTGTATATCGGAGCGATCTCGCTCAATGCGACGCCTAGCAGGATGGCTTATTCTGTTGCATATCTGATGGTTTTTCCAGAATGCGACGTCTAGACAGCGCCTTTCTCCCGTGTCCAATCCAAAGGGATGGACTGGTCAGGCTACGAAATGAAAAAGCAACAATTGATCGTCTATTCTGTGCCAACTTGTGAACATGCCGGGAACGATGTGTGATTACCGTGCGGAATTGGAAAGGAAAAAAGCAAATGCTGGGTATATTCTCTTATGCTATAATACACAAGGGCTCCAGCGGGCCCAAACACAACGGCCGGTTGTAACAACCTGTCAGATGCGCCACGTCTAAAGCTATGATTCTACAGTCTACAGCTGGGCCATCCGCTCCGCCTGGCCCCCCCTCTTTTCTCTCCTTGAGAAGTTGATCGTGTTTCGAGCTTAACCAGGTATGACTTACTGGGCGATTCCGGTATCTGTACCAACATCGTCGTCGTCCGACAGCGGCTCGCCGCCGTTCTCCCTCTCCACCGTCTCCATCTCGTCGAGGAGCCGGACCCTCTCCTCGAGCACGAGCTGGGCCCACTTGCGCTCCGCGACCTGCCGGCGGCGGTGCTCCCTGCCGAGGCCGGCCGCCGTCTCGGCCGCGCGGGCCGCCTCGAGGGCGGCCACCGCGTCGCGCACGGCCAGGTCCTCGGCCGCGAGCTGGCGGACGCTCTCGACCTCGGCGGCGCGCCAGCCCTCGTAGGCGGCGAGCCGCGCGTCGTTGCGCCTCATGT